AATGTCTAATGCATCATGATTTCTAACCTCAAACATTCCTTTTTTATTTTCATTATTTTTGCGATCATATATAGCAAAAGATTCACATTCAGTTGAATTTTTACTCAAATTGTCATAATCTATAAATTTCATCCTCATCCTTACTCATGAATGTGCCTCCACATGCAGCATCTATAGTACTTTTGTGTTGTTCAGATACACCATCATAAAATACATAATTTAATTATCATTTGAAAATTTCATGATGTGGACATCTACTTTGAAGCTCCTTGAATCTTTCTCAAGATTCATGAAATGCTTCTCCTTATTTTTGAGTAAATTAGAGAATGACTTTCTGCATGGCATGAGTCTTGCCAATGAGATAGTATTTTCTCAAAAATTCTTGCTCTATTTCTAATCATATAGTGATCTCATGTGGTAATAATGTGAGCTGATAAGTCTTCATTATCATGAGTTAATAATTAGTAAATAATATAGTTTTAGCCTTAACTCATGATAAATATACTTATATTTGTGTTAAAGTGTGAAAAGTGGTTTTCAGTTGATTAACGTAAATTTTTGGCTAATTATATGATTTTATATGAATTTATATGATTTTTATAGTCTTCCTTTTAAGATAAATGAAGAAAAAGAAATAAAAATAAAAATATAGCAAAATGGGGGGGACTTGCCAGCCAATCGGGCCCGCAAGTGGGTCGAAAATGCAATCGGGGAGGAGCTGCGAGCAGGGGCTCGAGCGGCTAGGACCGATGGGGGCGTGTGTGCGCCACTCTCCTTCCACGTCACCAGTGGCTAGCTGGTTGTGGGACAAGGAGTGGTCGTACATGCGGGAAAAAAGAACTTGTTTGCAAATATAATATTACTATATATTCGCCCGAAACTTTGGCACACAAGCAATGTGAAACTAAACCTATGTCACACCTTTCCCAGAAAGGCTTTGATGATTTTAATACCTATAATACCCCTTATTTATAATAGAGATATATCATGATGATGTCATTTGATAAGGGCATTAAAGTACTTATGTCAATCTCTCTCATGTAGGCAGACAACAAACGTAGGTTCGAATCCTCCCAAAACCAAAACTCATATGTTTTTATCTGATTATCATAACTTTCCTGCAAATTGTCGATGAAGGATTAAGCTGCCATAATTATTGGATCATCGGCAAAAATCTCGTCAACACAATTTGCAGAACATTGTTACTAAAATTGCTGAATGATTCACGATAAAAGGATCGTAAATCCATCGAGTAAAGTATTTCTGATTGATTGATGAACAAGCCATCGTCGGGAAGAGGACAATCCACCGGGAGACGAGTCGCCACCTCTTGAGAGTGTACCGGATGCGATGAAGAACCTCCTCTTACTGTGCGGACCTTAGGATGAAGCTCCTTGACACGCGCCCCACCTCCATCCAACTCCTCTTCGTCAAGTGACAGCCGCTGGAGAGCCGCAAAGTCACCATTTTTCCACTCCGCCAGGTGATAGCCACCGAAGACAATTTGACGACCTATTTCATTTATCTCTAGACTTCGCAAGGAGATCTAGAGATTGCCCACATCATTCTTGTCCAAGAAGAGCCTTCAAGGTTGTGGATACTGCACAACGATCCTCTCGAATGCTCAGAATTTCGGTGCATCACTGATGCATCACCGCCGTAATGCCGGAACTCAGTTTTTGTGTTTTTAACTTAATTTTTACTTCATTTAATGATAATTTGTGTGATTTAAATTTACCAAAATATACTTCATTCAATTACGATTCTTTTGGTTATTACAAATCTTAATTTGATCAATTAAATCATCTATAATTGCTTACGTAAGAATCACCATGCAAAACTCTATTTTTGCCTGATTTGCATTCATTGAGTGCTGACGTCATCCTGACGTCGCACCCTTATTTCTCTTTTTCATGAATTTTAAATATATTTTATTTTTATTTTCTAGTGTAAAATTCATAGAAAATAGTATTCTTTGAGAAAAAATTTGAATAATTACTTGATATTATATTACATCACTGTGATTGACCTGAAAAATTACCACTATTTTTAGAAGTTTTATTAAATTATAATTGATATATTTATTTATAAATACTTCTAAGTATCTAAAAATTCTTATTTTCTAGTTTTATAAATTTTAAATTTGTGTGATTTACTATACAACAACTAATTCACATCATGAGCCCATCTCTAATTTTATCAAGCAATAAATATAAGAAGAAATGTAACTTAAGTGCATCTTAAGGAATATTAGGAATATGAATAAGTCAATGTGGTTCCTTATTAGCTAATCCACGAAAATTAGGAAGCATTTGTAGAGTGTTATGACAAATATCAAAATGAATATTTGGCAAAATAGGAGGTCTAACCTACAAAGTAGGTCTATATAAATCGTGTGTAATAATCACACATAGGTTTATAAGGTTGAGTATTTTCAACATTCTCTCTTTCTTGGGTTGGATGATCCATCCTAGGTGATTCTACTTCTATAGAAGATGATTTTTTTCTGTTTTTATTGTTGGAGTCTCTAATATGAGTGGTAAATTTCATTTTTTTTGTGCCCCTAAATTCTTAGATTCGTTGATAGCTAGATTTTCTAAGATTGGTTGCAAGCTACATCGACCATTCATAAATCAGGTATTTCAGAATTTAAATCTAGCAATGATCATGACATGAAGATATGATTCTAATAAATATGTCAAAGAAAAATATATGAAAAATTAAAATACTCAAGTAAATAAATAGAAACTAAAGATTTAAAATTCTAACTTATGAAATAAATGTAAATAGAAATCAAATGAGCCTAATAAACTTTTAAAAAAAATTTATTTAAATAGAAATAAGAAAATAATGAAAACTATATTTATTTATTTTTATGTCACTAAAATATGAAAAACTAAATCAATTAACACCAACTAAAAAAAATCTCCCTATCAACCGTACCAAAAAGATAATGTGCACTTGTTGTTGTGCTTAAATGCATACTATCTCATAATATTTATAACTAAGACTTAATAAAATATTAGTATAAAAATAAGTATTAGGTCAAACACAAGGAGATTGATTAATCTATCGTGAAAACTAATTTAGTTTATATAAAAAATAATTTTAATATTTTATTAATATTTAATAAAAATAATAAAATAAAAAGGTGAGGTGAGAAGAATAAAGGAAGGGAAGTAGAGAAGAGGAAGGAGGAAAAGAGAGAGAGAAGAGAGAGCTCTCACGAGAGACAAAAGGGATGAGATCTCTTGTAAAAGAGAGAAGAAGAGAGGAGAGAAAGCTCTCACAAGAGAGAGAAGGGATGAGATCTCTCACAAAAGGGAGAGAAAGAGAGAGGAGGAGAGAAATCTCACATGAGATGGAGAGAGAAAAAAGTCTCATGAGAGAAAGAGAGAGGGAGAGAAAGGGAGAAGATCTAACAAGAGATGGAGAGAGAAGAGAGGTTTCACGAGAGAGGGAGAAAAAGAAATAAAACAAAAATGAAGAAAGAGGAAAATATGATCAACTTATTTTCTCAGAAGAATGTGTGCTTGAGGATTCACACATGATATGAGGTCAGCCATGAATATCTCTAGTTTATTTTAAATGTTGAACACTCATTAATCAATCTTTAATCTTGATGATTTTATATTCGAAAATAAAAAAATACTCATTATTCACAAAATGTCAAGAATAAAAATATATCGAGATTTGACTATTAAAATCAATAGAAAATAAGTTAAAAATGATCTTAACTTGATCTCAAATGAGTTTCGGAGGATTTAGAAGAAGAATGAAAATCATTTATTAAGTTTTGAATTAGTTGTACTTATTTCAATCAAAATGTGTATGATACAGAAATAACTTGCTATAAAATATAAATAAATGGTAGAAATAGGTAAGTAGATATTGAAAGCAGGAATCTTACTAAATCTTTAGTATATATTATATTATATTTATTTTATTATATTATATTAGTTATTTTTTAATTTATGGTTAAATATATCATATTATATATTTTTAACTATATTATCCATTATAATTTATCATATTACACTTGACATACACTTAGTAACGTTAGACATGTATGATTACACATGAATATAGATGATATTAGAAATACATGGTAAACTCTATGTTATATGTTGTATTTTATTTCTTATCTTTGTATAGGTAACTAGTATATAATGTGCATTAAAATTTTATTTAATTTATGAGTATATAAATTACATTTATGTAATCAGGGTCTACAAGTAGTATAATGAGTGTATAGAATTAGTGTCTATGTGAACAATTATTGATTACACTTTAGTTGCATCATAGCATTGTAAGATAGGACTATTTATTCAACAAATTTGATTGATTGATACGTGTTGATTCTGTTACGAGAATGAGATAATATCTAGTCCAATAGCTGCCAACGGTGCACATGTCATCTGCACCACTACATGTGCACCAATGCCATTTGCATGCGGCACCGTGCCTCGCACATACTTGTACGTAGTGTTGTGTTGCCATCTCATGCTCCCGGTGTCAGCAAGACCCCAAACTTATGGGAGACTACCATGATCCTCTTCATGTTGGCATAGTGTTCAGCATATGCCATGTATTCGCTCTCGTGCCATGTCTGACCACCACACACCCATTGAGTGAGGTTCCCCTTCCACGCTAAGGATTCCCGCTCCTTTGAGCGAGTAGTTTGACATGCAAGTCTACACATACCGTGAAGGACGAACCCACATCTGTGTCTGTGTGTGTGAGTGCGTGTGTGTGTGAGAGTGAGAGAGAGAGAGAGAGAGAGAGAGAGAGAGAGAGAGGCAAATTCACTGGAGTGCAAGTCTGGTCCAAGTATTTCATCACTGAGGGCCGCAAAGGTTCCGCGAAAATGGGCAGAAGAGGATAAAGAAGAGTACGGGTTATTCCTTGTAAAACCCGGCCCTATTTAAAGTAACAAAGGCAACCACAACCACAACCCCCCCGGGCGCCGCTGCTTTCTCGCCTGGTTCAGACCCTCTTGCATGGTCGTCTCAGAAACGACTACCCACGTCGCGAGAGCTGTCGAGCGCCTCTCCCTCCAGATTGAACGATGCATCGCCGGCCGACGGCTCCTGCGGGGGCGGCTCCTCCACGGCCATCTCATCAAGACCTCGCTTGCCGTCAACACCTTCCTCGCCAACCGCCTCGTCGAGATGTATGCCAAGTGCGGCCAAATCGCCGCCGCAGAGACGGCGTTCGCCGAGATCCCGTCCAAGAACGCCTACTCCTGGAACACCCTTCTCTCTTCCTACTGCACAGCCAGTTGCCTCGATTGCGCGAAGGCCCTGCTAGACGAAATGCCTGAACCAAATATTGTCAGCTACAACGCCGTCATCTCGGGGCTCACACACGAGGGGTGTCACCGCGAGGCATTGGAGGCCTTCCGGAAGATGCAGAGAGAGGGTAGCTCCAGACTCGCCGTCGACAAGTTCACGGTCGTGGGTGTCGCTGGTGCCTGCGGCGGCGCCGTCGATCTGCGCTCCCTACAACAGATTCATGGCGCCGTGGTGTCCGTGGGGCTGCAGTTGAATCTGATAATGAGCAACGCTATGATCGACGCATACGGCAAGTGTGGGGAGGCAAGCACAGCGTGGGTGCTATTCCAGAGGATGGAGACGAGGGACGTTTTCTCCTGGACTTCTATGGTCGGCGCATACGTCTCTGCGGGACGGCTTGAAGAGGCTCACCAATTGTTCGACAGAATGCCAACGCGGAATGCGGTCTCCTGGTCGGCACTGATCACTGGCTACGCTCAGCACGGGCGGGGGGACGCTGCTCTGAAGCTATTCATGGCCATGCTGGAGGGAGGCTTCGCCCCGACGGCCTTCGCACTGGTCTCTGCGTTGAGCGCTTGCACCTGCGCGGCGCTCGTCGGACGAGGGAGACAACTTCATGGCTACATATCCAGGAGATCTATCGGAGGAGACCATTCTGAGAACCTCTTCATCCAGAACGCTTTGATCGACATGTACGCCAAGTGTGGGGACATGGTTTGTGCGCTGAAACTGTTCGAGAGAATGCGCAAGCGGGACATTGTCTCCTGGAACTCCTTGGTGACAGGTTTTGCCCAGAACGGAGATGGAGACCGGTCACTGGCTCTCTTCCAAGAGATGATAAGCTTGGGACTGAAGCCGAATCATGTCACCTTCCTCAGCGCTCTCTCTGCCTGCAACCACGCGGGTCTGGTCGCCGAAGCTCGGCAGTTGCTGGCGCTGATGGGGGAGCACGGGGTGTGTCCTCAACAGGAGCACCACGCCGCCATGGTGGACCTTCTTGGACGGAGCCGCCGGTTGAAGGAAGCAGCACAGTTGACGATCTTTGCCGCGCCAGGCGACGGGAAACTAGACGGCGTGGGGTCGTGGGGCGCCATCCTCGGCGCGTGCCGAGTGCACGGGGATTTGGAGCTCGCGAGGAGGGCTGCTGAGACCCTTTTTGTCCTTGAGCCATCCAATGCCGGGAGGTACGTGATGCTCTCCAACATCTATGCAGCCGCAGGCCATTGGGAGGAGGCCAGGAAGTTGAGGAAGCTCATGAAGGAGAAGGGCTTCAAGAAGGAGCCCGCTCGTAGCTGGATTGAGGTGCAGAGCGTCAGGCACGATTTTGTCGCAGAGGATACTTCACACTGCCGAACAGAAGACATCTATCGCATACTCACCTTCCTCGCTGACCACATGAAGGAACCAGCTTCCTGCGACGAGTTGGTAGGTTCTCGACAACAGGAGGCGACTGCCGTCCTTCAATGTCGATAGCCAGAGTCCGTCTGTTTTCCATGGTTGCCGGCAACTCGCTGGAGGTCTCCTCTCTCTGTGTCGCTGATGAATGGAGAGTTGGCAAAGATTACAGAAGTACAATTGCGTGAAGTATACAAAACGAGACAAAAAGATATGAACGCTGTCATTTACTCGTCACCTGGAGGGAACTGCAGCCGGCGGCGATCCGGCTGAGCAATGGCGACCCATTCTGTCCTCCCCCGTTCTGGATTCATCAAACAGCAGGCAGTGCCCATGAAAACGGTGATGTGCATGATTCATGGTTGCATCTGGCGACAGTCTGAGATTCTCGCCCACATGGCGGCGGTGGGCTCGAACGGCATCTGACGAATGAAATCCTCGAGTTCGCCCGTCCGCCCGTGCTTGGCCAGTAGTTCGATCATGCACTCGTAGTGCTCCATCCATGGCATAAGGCAGTGGATCTCGCTCATGGATTTGTAGTACTCGCGCCCGGCGCCGACCGAGCCGCTGCTGGCGCATGCTTGGAGGACTCCAACGAATGTGATGCCGTCTGCTGAGATTCCCTCCGCCTGCATCGACTCGAAAAGGTGAGGGACGTCGCCACCGCGGCCATTGTAGGCGTACCCCAAGATCATGGAGTTCCATAGCACCACGTCCCTCGGACCCTTTTCGTCGAACACCTTTCTGGCGTACTCCAGGCGCCGGCATTTTGAGTACATGTCCACCAGAGCGCCTCTGACGACGACGTCGCTCTCGCAGCGGCGCCTGAGCAGGTAGCCATGGATCTGCTTCCCTTGCTCGAGGGAGGGTATGTCCGAGCATGCGGCCAGAGCGGCGCTCAGAGTGAACTTGCTCGGGGTCGTCTCTGCCTGCATCCTGCTGAGGATGCCCAGGGCCTCTTCGCTCCTTCCATGGCGGGCGTAGTTGGAGAGAAGAGCATTCCAGGAAATCACATCCCGAGAGGACGCCATGAGGCTGAACATGAGCTCGGCGCTCCTCAAGCACCCGCATTTTCCGTACATGTCCAGGAGGGAGTTCCCCACGAGATGGTTGGAGAAGAAACCGCGGCGATAAGCAAACCCATGGACTTCCCTGCCGAGATATGAATCAGAGAGGCCGGCACAGAGGTTAAGAGCCAGACCTGTGGTGACATGGTCCATCTCAATCACCCCGGCTTCTCTCACCATCCTCTTTGCGAGCTCCAAGGCTTTCTCCCAGGAAAGGGACCGGATATAGGCCACCATGAGCGCATTCCAGGAGACCGTGGTCCGCTCGTGCATTTCCTCAAAGAGATATTCTGCGTCCTGTACTCTCCCCAGCCTGGCGTACCCAGATACAAGCGATGTTTGCGTGAAGACGTTCCTCGGGCCATGGAGATGGAAGACGTGGCGGGCGTCGTCCAGAAGGCCGCATTTGGCGTACATCTCGAGCAACGAAGCGGAGACGACGTCGTCCTCGTCTAGAGCCCACTTCACGGCGACTACATGGATCTGTCGCCCCTCTTCCTGCGCCATGATTTTGCAGCAAGAAATTAGGGCATTGGAGAAGGTAAAGTTCATCGGCCTGAAACCTTCTCGGATCATCCTGGAGAACATTGTCAGTGCTTCCGATCCGTTTCCTGCCTCGAGGTACCGGCGGACGATGACGTTCCAGGAGACCAGGTTCGGGGACTTGATCTCATCGAAAACTCTCCTCGCATCGTCAATCAGGTGGCATTTCCCATAAACATCCACCAGCGAGCTCACTAAGATCACGTTGTGGTAGAAACCATGCTTCACGATGAGGCCGTGGATCTGTTTCGCGAGGAACGATTCCAGAGCGTTCCCGCAGGAACTCAGAACAACGGCGAAGGTGATCTCGTTCGCGCAAACCCCGGCACCGTTCATGATCGAAAACAACGAAATCACCTCGGCGGCACGTCCCGCCTGGGAATACGCCACGATCATGGCGTTCCATGAGCCGCCATCCCGGCGAGGCATCTCATCGAACAGCTCCCGCGCATCTCTGAGGCCGCCGCATTTAGCGTACGTCTCGATGGTACGGTTCAAGAGGAAGGTGGACGGGGAGGAATTGAAGATGACAAGATGTGACTCGACCTTCCGCGTCTCGACGAGGGCGGACTTGGCGGAACAGAGCTGCAAGAGGCGGAGGTAGAAGAAAGGGGGTAAGGCGATAGGGGAGGCGGCTAGAAGAGCCACAGACTTCTGGAGGTTGCCGGAGTCGATCTGGGAGAGGATTTCCGTGCTGTGAATGTGGGGATCTCTGCCGGCGGCGCCGCTGGCGCCGGCAGGGAGGTTCTTCGGCTTCTGGACAGCTCGGTAGCGGGAGGCGCTTTGGACAAGACGGTTGAGAAGCGCGGCAGCAGTGACGCCCATCAAAAGCTTCTCATAAACCAGCCCCTTCTTCCCTCCCACCGGTGTAGACGAGGCCTGGACCGCTATTGTCACCGCCGGTGAACTGAAGCTATCTGTGATGCGCAAGGGGTACCTCATGTGGGCCCCATGTGGGAGAACAGCTGGCTTAGAAGCGGTAACTCGATGCCATGTACTCAGTTCTGAGCCGTCAGATCGTTTGAGCCCAAAATGAGAGCCGTTGCAGCCTTGATCTTACGGTCAGCATTTAACCATGACTGAGCACTGGAACGAGACGGTGAGCCCTCCTCTCTCTCTCTCTCATTGTGAGTCTCTCACCCTTCTCTTTTCTCATTGCTTTTGGTGCTGTTGGATCTCTCGGGGTGGACGGAGGCGGAAGAGGCGTCGGGGGCATCAATCAATCCTTCTCTTTGGCTGAAACTCCCGAGCAGGTCAGCACGCGCTGCCCTACCGTGGTGTTGGATGGCGGATAGCTGTTCCGACGCGTGAACGGGCTCCGCCGGCGGCAGGAATCGCCATGGATCTTGTCGAAGTGAGGGCGGCAAAGAGAGCCTTGTGATCTGGAGGGAGCGCGGTTTAGAATCCAGACATGGGGGCGGAGAATGGCGGCGGGTGGGGATACAGAGGCATGTCGTCCGACAACATTAAGGGTTTGGTCTTGGCCCTGTCGTCCAGCGTCTTCATAGGCGCCAGCTTCATTGTCAAGAAGAAGGGGTTGAAGAAGGCGGGTGCCTCTGGTGTGAGGGCAGGTGTGGATCTATTTTTCATTGTGGTATTGTGTTCTTATTTGTTCCGAAACGCTCATGCAGAAGGGGTGGCAGTTGGTAAATTTGTTCCCTGGGGTTATTTAGGCCTTTCGCCTGTAATCTCCTTTGCCTTGTCATCGATTGAGTTAGCTTTGCATCGTCAGGCTTTGTTCACAACGAATCGTGAAATTCTTTGACTCCCAGGTTTAAACAACCGTGAAACTCAGGGAACCAATTCCAAATAATACTTTCTTTTCCTAGAGTTCGAGTAGAAAACCAGATCATGAACTCCATACACGTATAACGACTGGAAGGATCCTTACTGATGATGTTATCGTGGGCTTTTCGTCCGTGTGATTCTATTTTCTTAAAAGCTTTCCAGAGGTAGTCCATTCCTTTTCTTTGAAGGATTCATCGTTTTTTTGGCCCAGCTTGATAGATTTGTGTATGTCTATGTGCGATTAAAGGGGGTCGGGGTGGACGTGGTGGTATGCCACTACACATCTGTCAGCGTATTGTGATTGTTGTGAGTAGGAAAGTGCCATTGGTATCGAGGCGTTTCTCAAAGTGGGAAGCAGAGGACTAGGAGAGTCTAACAAGGGAGTTTTTTCTTTCTTTTTAGGGTTTATAGTCGCTGTGGCCGGAAATCTTTTTTTCCAATGATTCTAAGATGGAAAAATAAAATCTGTTTTATTGAAAATGTGAAGCTCTTTAAAATAATAAAACCCGTTATAGTCATTTTATGAAAATCAAGGGAAATGTTGGAAAACCGGTTATTTTCATTTTATGGATAAGCTTTTGTCTCTTTGATGTTAGAGGATTTGAGGTGATCCTTTTCATTATCGCCGATTTTTCCTTTTTCCTTGTTACCGAGGATTTGGTTGTTCTGCGTTTCACAAAGCCATGATACGCGATAGCTTCTCGTAAAATATGAGAAAATTAAATTGAGGTTGAATTATCAGTTGTGTGTGTCTTTGAATTCGTCATAGGTGTTTAACATGATTACCTTGTCATTTCCTATCTGTAAGTTGTTTCCCTTTTTATCACTTCTGCCCGTTGGTAGCCCGGTTCACCTTTTTATTAAGGTGATGTCACTCCAAGAAGATAGCATTTGGGTCGTCATCCAATATCCCGCACACGTCAAATTGGCCCATTCTGTGTGTATTCCTCGCTTTCAGCTTAACATATTCGTGCAGACAAGCATAGTTTGAGTACCCGTTGACATTGAGGTTTCATTTTATCGATTTGTTTTTTAAATGAGCAGGTGCTGGTGGTTATTCTTACTTATATGAGCCTCTATGGTGGGCAGGCATGATAACAAGTAAGCTGGCTTATCTGAGCTTCTTTGGTAGACGCTTTTTTCTTTTTACCACGAAAAAAAGATGAATACTGATTATTGTGGTTTTGAATTTTTATAGTGATTGTTGGGGAAGTTGCTAATTTTGCTGCATATGCGTTTGCTCCAGCAATCCTTGTCACACCGCTTGGTGCTCTTAGCATAATCATCAGGCACGAATTTGAATCAAATGTCATCTTGTGCTTCTGTGTTCTGCTGGTTTTGATATTTTACATTGTCCATTTTATGTTACAGCGCTGCACTTGCTCATGTCATCTTACAGGAAAGACTAAATGTCTTTGGTATTCTCGGTTGTGTTCTGTGCATTGTTGGTTCCACTACAATTGTTCTTCATGCACCTCAAGAACGTGAAATTGAATCTGTGAAGGAAGTATGGAATCTTGCTACTGAGCCAGGTACCATGATTCATTTTATTCATGCCCTTTTTATCTGTCATTTCTTTGAAATGACATTATCAGTCCTTGGTCAACAGGCCAACGTAGTGATTAGTTCTCTAATTATTTCTACGTGTTGTCTGCAGTCTTTCTCTTGTATGCCATGGCTGTAGTTGCAACTGTCTTCATACTAATATTCCGCTACATTCCACAATATGGGCAGACACATATCATGGTATATATCGGTGTGTGTTCCCTTGTGGGTTCTCTGTCGGTATGTACATACTAAATGTTTACCTTATTAATGTAATGCGTTTCAATTACTCATTTTCTGACGTAATAATATTCTCTCACAGGTCATGAGTGTCAAAGCTCTAGGGATTGCCCTAAAACTCACTTTTTCAGGAATGAACCAGTTAATATATCCAGAAACATGGGCATTTACCATAGTTGTGGGTATCTGTGTCATTACCCAAATGAATTATCTCAACAAGGTGACTTGGTGTGCTTCTATTGCAAGAGAACTGCTTTCGGCTTTTTGCTTGTTTCAGAAAACTTGTCCAGTTTCCTCCCCATGCTACATCGCTGGATCGACTGCCATTTCATAGAATTTACTGATTGCTAAGTGGGATTCGCCCGCCAATCCGCATCATCCTTGTAAAAATAGAGTGACATTTGCTTAGTACTTCAGAAGATGATTTTCCAAGTATATAGAGTGCATCCATCTTTGTAATTCCTCTCTTCAATTATTGATCCCATGTACTTGATGTGGCTGTTTCGAGTTAGTGGCTGTTTGATTGATTGGATTGGGCTTTTATTTGAATTCGTTCTTATAATTTCTAGGTTTCACTATCGACCATATAAATGTGCTCATCTTTCATCAGTGCAGGCATTTTTATCAAATGCATGGTGGATGATGGGATGAAATGATACCATTTTAGGGGTTTATAATTCATAAAAAAACGCTCTGAGATTTGTAACATGTTTACTCTCGTTTCAGGCCCTTGACACATTCAACACAGCAGTTGTTTCACCTATATACTACGTGATGTTTACCTCATTCACCATTTTAGCTAGTGTGATCATGTTCAAGGTTAGTGCCCCTGCCCTTGGAATTGGTTGCTGCGTTGCATCATAATCCTCCCGTTTCCAATGTTGTTTAGGTTTTCATAATTATTTGCTCTTCAACTGTGAGAACAAATATTTCACTCCATCCTGATAATATATATTTGCCAGATTTAAAGATCGAAACTGTGATGTGAATGAATCCCCGAAAATCCCATTTGAATAATTTACGGGAAATAGCTGTTAATTGGCGTTTGCATCACAAGGAATTGAAATCTATAACGCACCCTCTGGGCCTTGGCAGGCTGTTCTCGATTGGTCTCCACCATTGATAGAAAGCTTCTTAGTCTAGATCAGTCCTGTTTCTTGGTCAGATGATGCCCAACAGGGGATCCTCATTTTTAGGGTTGCTACTTAAAGGATTGCCCCCCTCTCCCGTTTCAGCCTTGTAGTTAGACAGACTGAGTGTACTGCGGCTGAATAACAGTAGACAGATGCCTAATCCGTCCACACCGTGGCCATCATTCTATGGAGCGTGTTCATGTGAGGCTCTTTTAGAGAAGAGGAATACTTGCTTGCATGCTACCTCTGAAGCTTAGTTAGTTCAAGGAATCCGAAGTACTGAGGTTTCTCTGCCCCTGGAGATTTTGAAAATGTTGGTTCGCGATGATGCTGTATTGGGGTAAATGGGAGGTGAAACCCAATCCTGGCGAGAGATTGATGATAATATTTTCATCATCAATCCTGGTTGAAAAAGATTATGTGGATGATGAACTGATGATACGGCATTTATCTGCAATAAAAGCTCCTCTCATGGGGAGGATGCAGACTTGAGGAGAGGGGAATTCTCTCTCGTCCTCTTCCTACTGCTGAGGGAGCCGCTCTGTCTGAACCATTCATGCAATTATTTCTTCCTCAGGACTGGGACCGGCAGAACCCGACCCAGATTGTCACTGAAATGTGCGGCTTCGTGACGATTCTCTCCGGGACATTCCTCCTCCACAAGACCAAGGACATGCCCGACGGTGTGCCCCCCTCCCTCCTCCCTCCCCTCTCCTCCATGTATCTTCTACCCTGAAGAATCTGACCTGGTTTCTCCCTTCCTTTGCAGGGCTCTCGCCTTCTTTCTCGATGCGGTTCCCGAAGCACTCGGACGACGATGGCTTCCCCGCCGAGGGCATCCCCCTGAGAAACCAGGAGTCACTGCGGCTGATGCCTCCGTAGGCTGTGGGCTTCCTCCTCGCTCTAACTCACTCAGGCACGCCCTCCGCATCGTCCTGTCTCTGCGCTGCGGGAGAGGAGGCCCAGAGTTTTGCTCCTCAGAGGGGCGGAGCAGCCGATGGTGCTTTCCTTGGCTTCGGCTGCGGCCAGCCCCTCTCGCTGCTCTTGCATGAGAAATACGTAAGAGGGTGGGAGGGGGGCATTTCTGTAAAATCAGGACCGGTAAAAAGTCAGAAAATATTCATTTTGAAGGAAGAGGGATCTATCCTACGGGCATTGAATGGAAATTTATTTTCCTTTTTTTTCTTCTTTTAGAGTATGCGAGGATCGTTATTTATTACAAAATAACGATGATTTTTTTCTTTAAAAGGTATTATTTTTTCGGTCAGACTTCTTTTTACAGGAAATATGAGAGATGTCCTGCCTACCCACTGTTTTTTTTAATTCAAAATAATTTTTTTTAACTGAAAAAGATAAAGGGGAGAAAGGAATTCAGGGTTCATCCCCATGGGCCTTATTTCTCAGGCCTATGTATTTTAATGGGCCTGCATAAGTGGGCCCATTAAGGGCCGTATCCTTCGGTTGGCGAGGAGGGGCGGTGGCAGTTTTAGGGGTGACTGGATGGGCCACCTCCCGTCGCCATGACCTCAGCCGCCCTCTCCCCACCACCTCCACCAGAAGAAGCACAGGCAGAAGAAGAAGAAGCAGAAGCACAGGCAGAAGAAGAAGCAGAAGCAGAGGAAGAACAAGAACAAGAAGAACAGGAAGAACAAGAAGAACAAGAAGAGGAAGAAGAAGCAGAAGCAGAAGCAGAGGAAGAGCAAGAATAAGAACAAGAACAAGAACAGGAGGAAGAAGAAGAAGGGGGCAAGAGGAGGATTACATGGCGCCGGGGGAGGGGAGGGGAGGGGACTTGTGTGTCTACCTCGTCTCCTGCGTGCTCCTCTTGGCGATTGTCAGCGGTGGCGCCTTCCTGGCGGTGTACATCGCCCTTCCGGCCTCCGACGCGACGGCGTGGTTCCTGGTGGCCGGGATGGTGCTCGTGTCGACACCGTGGGTCTTCTGGACCGCCACTTGCCTGTACAGAGCCCTGTCGATGAGGAGAGCCACGCGAGGGGGCGGAGCGGACCGGCCGCCGGCGGGGAGGCCCGCCGGAGGCGGCGGACGCGCCACGGTGGCGATGGTCGCCCAGGAGGACGCGGCGGTTGATTACCCCGGCGGGGCTCGGCGTGTTCGTTTCGGCGGCGCCATCGTTTTGGGAGGGTCGCAGGAAGCTCCGCCGGGAGTGGCACCGCCGGAGGACGAAGGTGGCTCCGCCGCCGCCGCTGCCGCTGCCGACGGGTCCTCCCACACCTCTCACGAGAGCGAACTGCCTCTCTTCATGTCGTCTTGAACAGGAAGTCATTCATTCATTCGAAGATCTCAAATCCCTCCCCCCTCATCTCTCTTCCTCCCTCTCTGCATCTCCGCCATGAGGAAGAAGACGGAGACATGGAAACCAGGAGCCCAAGATTTCCCTTCTTCATGTCTCCGTCGTCCTGGTCTAGATCTCCCATGGAAAACCTAAACCTGCGAGGAACAGCAAGATGGCGACGCTCCTTTCTCCGTCGTGCAGAGGGATCAAATGGGTCTCAGAAACCCTGATCTTCCTATTCCGATCCGGTGAAGAATATCTTCCTCTCCTCCGAAAGCTCTTCTTTCCTCAAAAAGATTCCCATCTTTGTCGCATCAGATCCCGACGAGGAAACAAAAATTCCATGTACCCGTGTAAGACTCGATTCTTTGAACATGAAGAACCAATGAAGGATGTCGTCTTTCTGAAGTAGGCTCACTGGGCCGGAATGTATTACCTCTCTCTCTCTTTCTCTCTCTCTAGAATCATCATCATCATCAACTGGGATCCGTAGACTGAGTTCGGGTTCAGAAGAGAGCGGCAGCATCATCATCCTGCTCATCAGAAAACAACAGGGAGAGTTCCTCTTCCGTCCACTGAGCAGCAGCAACCTTGGCGGCCATCCCTTTTCCGGGGCTCGCCGCCGGGCCGCTGCCGCCGCCCACCGTCCTCTTGGAAGTCGGGCTTCGAGTGGCTCGCTCCCCACGTGCGCCACCCGACCCGGCAGTCTCCTCGGAAGCTTGGCCATCGGCGGTTCTTCTCGAGGTCTCCCAGTTGAGGATTTGGGAGGAGCTCTTTGGAGGACCTGGAATGGCCCTTCGGGGGTCAACTGCTGGGTGAAAATCTGGAGCTCGGGTGAGGGAGGGGGATCATACCAGAAGAGAGAGCAGGAACGATCATACCAGATGCAGGAGATCTGATGCCTGAAAGGGGCAGGACTCGTCTACCGGGAGGCCCACTGTCCTTGCCAAACACCTGTTCATGGAGGAAGGACACTCGTCACGATCTGAACAGAGAAGAAGCTATGATTCTCATGTGATAATGACTGAAACCTCAATCACCGAGAGTTTGATCGAAAGGGGAAGAGCTCTGCGTACCTTGACCACATTGTTCAAGGTAATATTCACATAACGTGTTGATCGCGAAGGGGAGAAGACAGCCACCTGAAAGAACTGCCTCATTAGCGTCATTCGATCAGATGCTGTGGATGGTTGGTTGAGATCTGGGGAGAGCGAGAAACCTGCTTCAGAATGACGACACAGCCGACTGAGAGATCCCCGCCGAGGTTGCCATCAGTAAGGACCTTCCGATGGACTGAAGCACCGATGGTTCCTGTGGGATCCTGAAGAGGACACTTGATTACGAGGGAATCCACAGCAAGATGCGGAGAGACGGAGCTGAAGAGTTACCTTGAGAGTGACGAAGAGATCGCCCAGACCGTTCGGTTTGAAGGACTTCACGATCCCCACGAGCTATCCAGCAAAATAGAAGAAGCTCAGAGCAGGAAATCCTAAAGATTGAGCAGAGCAAGACGGTTGGAAGAGAACATTTCTCTACCTTCGCTGCTCTGTCGGTGCTGCCGAGAGCCTCGATAGAGCATTTGGAGTGTTCTAAAGGGCTGCCATCCTCGACTGCATCACGGCTTCCGTCAGAGGTGAGTACAGGATGCTATTATCGGAGAGGATAAATGAGAAACAGATCAAGCAGGGTTCAATTTGTTTCTCCTTACCAAGAAAATCCAGGGCACAGAGCCAAGGGTTCTGCACGAAGTCCTCGTCCGCCTCCTCGCCATCATCTCCGAAGGCTCTCCTCTCCCTCTCCTCCTCCAACAGCAAACCACCACGATCCTGCGCGACGGCGGCTTGCCGGTGCATGGCCGCCTGCACTGCTCCCGCGGGCCCGGGGATGCGGCGCCGCGGAGGAAACGCGGCAGCCTCGGCGGGCTCAACCGCCTCCGCTTCTGGATCTGCCGCCGGCGGAGGCCGTGGAGGAGGATCTGGTGAGCGAGTAGGGGAGGTGAGCGGGACCTGCGAGCAGCGCCGAAAGGGAGAGATATTGGCGAGAGCGATGGAGGAGTGGACGAGGCCGGGGGCATGGGAGGGTCGTAGGGAGGGGAGATCAGAGTCATCCACATCGAGGTCTTCCTCCCATCCTTCCATTCCTCCCTTAGAACCCTAACGATCCCCTCCTTGGGGGCTCTTCCAGGCAAGACCGCAGTTGGATCGCGCGGGAAACCAAGGACGTCCTTCTGGGCTTGGGCCTCGAAGGCGATAACCTAATGGGCCCTCTCTCTCTCTCTCTCTCTCTCTCTCTCTCTCTACGGCCCCGCAAGTTTCGCCTGCATATTTAGGAGTTATGAGACCTCGTTGACTTCGGTGGCCTGAGCCTTCAGAGTTTTTCTTCAAGAACATATTTGAGTCTGTATGTTTAGGAATTATGACTCTTCGTTGACTTCGTTGGCCTGAGCCTTCAGGGTGTTCTTGGGAGCGCTTATCCAGGGGCTGTCGGCAGCGGCGAACCTCCAGGGCGCAGCCACGTGTTCTGGGGAGGCGTAGTCAATGCCCACCCGCGGACCCACCAGGATCCCCTCCGGCGCGGGCCCGTCAAGCAGCTCCAGACCACCTGAGAGGAACCCGTGTTACCAAGAGATAACGAAACAAATGAGCAGGAGGATGAGATGAGATGAGAAAGTGTGCGTTGGTCTACCAGGTACGTAGAGGGGGTGATTCGACCATGATGTTGAAAGTCCCAGGGCTTGACCAATCTGACCATGTTCGAGATGGAAACAAAGTCAACGGAAAAAGATGCATCTAAATGGAAACTGTCACTGTCTTGGTAAGTCGATATGATCCAAAAGTCAACGTAAGTTCGGCAATTCAGGAGAGTTGGTAATGGCAACTTATCATAAGATTGCTTGGATCATGTGTATTAATTGCCAGACGTGGCAGATACAATAATCTTTCATCATTGAATGAAAGTCAAAGAGAAATCGCAGGCAGATCATTTGGCTGGATGGTCGAAAGGAATGCAACAAGTATGAAGATATTATCTGATCAGAAATATTAACGAAGCTACATATTATCCAATGAGGCTGAAGATATCACAGGTACGAACCTTTCCGGGGCCAGTGAGAAGGATTGGTTTATCAGTTCTCTGCTTCCGCCGTTGCTGGATAGTCGCCAGTCCTGTAGTCAAACAGAATCAACCACTGGTATTGGCGTTGACTGACGTTGAAAGAATGCCAAATCGGTGGTTTTCTGAGTGTTGGAAGGTAATAGAATGAAAATAAACATAAAGGGAAAAAAACCCTGATAAGCTGTTATTCTGGCAAAAAAAAACATCATCACGCAAAGTCAAACACTTAAATTGATGAGTATAATGTTTAATATTTACTGTTTCATTTTTTTTTACCTAATTAAGTGGGTAATTTATGCATCCAAGGCTTCTAAATCTCACAAGGAGAACAAAAAAATGTCATTAGGAAAAGATTATTTCATCGGTATTCATGCAAAAAATAGTGTTGACGTTTGACAGATTGACCATGCTACCTGAATCAGTCACTTTTCTTCCAACCAGCTACTGAGAAATGGCACTAACATCATTCATATCAAAACCAATAGATGCCCATTCATTGGTTCCTGACAAGGAATCAAGAAAAGTCATATTCTATATGGAGATATAAGGTGCCCGGAAGCAGTATGCCATCAATCACATATGACAGAAGCACAAGCTTGAAACAATAGAAACCTCCGTCATGCACCTCAGATTCACATATTTTTAGGCATGAACGTCATCGGGCGCCGCTATGTTATTAACATCGGACACCGACTGGAAGCTAAACCAGGCGTCATACACAGAGATTAAAAAAAAATGTAGTGATCAAATGTATATTGGTGCAGGAAGGGAGAGAGGGGGAGGTTTTTCACCGCTGACGGGAGCACAGGAGCGTATCAGGACAGCAGCACCTACTCCTTCCTTGTCTGCGACGACGTTGAGCATCATGTGGATGCCATAGCACATGTAGACGTAGGTGTGCCCTCCCGGCCCGAACTGAAGAAACATCAATGGGATCAGTTTCAGATATTTTTATTCACAGATCATCGCGTGCAGAGAGGATACGGTCAATGTTGAGATACTGGGAAGAGTTGGGGATAGTACTGCGAGGATGGGGCAATAGATGATTTACCATGGGGGCGGTTCTCGACGTGACGCCAAAACGGCCATGGCAGGCAGTGTCATTCGCCCTGTATGCCTCCACCTGCAAGATCAAGCGAAATCAGATCGTATCTAACAAGTATTGGCGGAAAAAGCATCGCTCCTCGGTGCAGAGGACGGGAGGGAATGGGGCTTGAGTTCCATCTTCCACCTCGGTGATCCGGAGAACGACGTCGTCCCGTCGGAGAAGCTTCCCTAGAAGACGGGGTGCGAGATCCAAGGAGTCCACGAGGAAGAAGCTCGGCGGCGGGAGGATCGCCGACTCGGACAGCGGCCGATGAACAACCACCGCGGCGGACGCCTCCTCCTCTTCCGCGGTTCGCTTTCCCCTCTGCGAGAGCGTGATCCTACATGGCGTCGTCTCCCTTCGCGCCCCCCTCCGTTTGAAGCGTGGCGGCGTCGCACTCTTCACCGTCGCCATCTCCGCTAGCGGCGCCCGTCAGGGGAAGAGGGCTCCACCTCCATGGCACCTTACTGTGGGCGAATTCCCCGTTTGGCCAGCAGGAAGAGGAAAATTAAGTCCAACCTCATGGCAAATCTCCCATACTTGAACGAATTTTATTATATAAAATATTAAGTATATTATTGAAAAACAAATCAGCGGCATTCCTGAGTGCCGGGCACGTTACAACTAGGCCATTGGGCGGTTTAGGTGGGAATTTATTGATATTTTAGCTCGTATTTTATGGCGAGACATTCTTGAACGCTGTGGAAAAGTCCAATGGCCACGCACGTGCATCACAAGGATTAGGCAATACTCTCGTGGGCCCCACAGTGCATCACAAGGATTTTAACTATTCTCCTGTGTCTGCTGGGCACGCAATTGCTGCTGACGTGTCGAGAAACTTCGTTATTATTGGGCCCACTTGATGCGGGGAAGGAAGAGACAGCCCACCGGGTGGGAGAAGCTGGATAGTTTTGACGAAATTCCCACGTGTCGGTCAGTCGTTGGGAATGGTCTCCACGCTACCCAAGGAAGCAATAAACGAGGATTCCTCCGAGAGTTGACTGAACGCATGTGGTCAACTCAGGGCGCCTGTAATACCCGGAGTGAACGTGGTGAATTTGAGGATGTAACTCTGCACGGTGGAGATTTGCAACGGCTACTCGGCGGGCAGGAAGTTTTTCTACCGACTGTTATCTTTCAAACCCCCCCTCCCCCCCTCTTCTTCAGAGGGGGAGGGTAGAGACGGGGAGGAGAGGAGCGTCTGACCTCACGCAAGGTGAAGAAAAGGAGGTCGGAGAGGCGGGGAGGAGGGAGATATTAACTGCCGCCCACCCCGCTCCTCCTCTGCCACCTTACTCGCCCATTTACTCGTGTGCTCGGCATGAGCAAACGGTCGACTGGTTCTCCGCCCTCGCCGTTCTCGTAACTCGGGCTGGAAGGGAGATGAGGATCACGGCGGCACAGGCGGAGAAGACGAAGGACGAGCCGAGAGGTGAGGAGCAGGCGGGATACGGCGGCGGCGGCGATGACGGCAGCGGGAGGGAGGAGAAGGGGAAGACGGTGGTGGTGGGGGTGCGAATGGACGCTCAGAGTAGAGAGCTACTGACCTGGGCGCTCGTGAAGGTGGCGGAGCCTGGGGATCTTGTCGTCGCCGTCCATGTCCTCCCCTACGACTCCTCTGGCGGTATAAATTGCCCCTTCTTCTTCTTCTTCTTTCTCTGATCTTGCTTTCTCTTTCCCTTGATCCACTGCACATGGCGACTGCAGGCCGAACCCATCCCAGCGAGGACCTCGCCGACTGCTCATCACTCATTTCGATCATCAGGTCCTTTGACTCGGTGCTCGCCGCCTACGAGGGCTTCTGCAACTTGAAGCAGGTGGGTGATCTTCTCCTCCGCCTCACGATATGACATCGGCCCGCTTGCAGACGATAAGCTCTTCGCCTGGTTTCAGATCGATCTGAAGCTGAAGATCTGCCGGGGGTCGCCTCTGCGCAAGATTCTGGTTCGTGAGGTCCACAACTTCGCCGCCACCAGGCTTGTTCTCGGGGCCGCCAAGAACGACCGCGTCATCGGGTCAGATCATCTGTCCCCTTCCTCTGTTAGATTATCAGCCGGGGAGCTCCTTCTCAATTCTTCTGTAAATTCTTTCTCAGGTCCTTGACCTCCGTCGCCAGGCACTGCGCCAAGAGGGTTCACCGCGAATGCTCGGTGCTGGCGGTGAAGAACGGCAAGATTCTGTTCCGGAGAGAAGCACCGCCGTCCACCGGCGATAATTCCCCGGCGACGGGGAGTAGCGATGTCCTCCCGGCATCTTCGTCGGTTCTCACATGCGTGGGAGCAGAGAAGGGCGGCAGCTCCTCGAGCCTGCCGTATGATACAGACATCTCCGACGGTGGGGATGGCGGCAGGTCGCCATTTACATCATCAGAACCCGTCGGCGAGATTGAGGAATCCATGGCCACGGCCCTTACTCCCCGGAGCTTCAGCTTCTCCTTCCCCAAGGATCCTCTACTAGAGGGATCGGCTGGTTCGGAAGATTCAAAAGCCTCGGTGGCGCCGGAGGCGATCCAAGTTCCCGCCCGTTTCCCAGCGCTGGCTGCGGCCCGTCGCCGTCGGAAACCTTCGAAGCGGCCGGCAAGTGGTGGAGAAATTTCCTGTGTAAACAACGCCGGCGGAGCAGCATTAGTTCCTGAGGGAGATGGTAAAAACAATCGAGAAAAGTTGGAGAGCTTTCCGAGGGAATTGCAGTCGCTCCTTCTGAGATGTTCGTCGACCTGCAGATTGTTCAGTTACCAGGAACTCGTGGACATCACATCCAATTTCTCCCTTGGTTCGTCTCTTCTTCTCAACTGGTTCGAATTCATCTCGTCTGTTTTTTGTTCATCTGAAGAAATTCGGCGAACATCACGCAGGCAATCTGATCGGAAAGGGCGGCGGCAGCAGGGTTTACAGAGGTTTCCTTCCCGACGGCGGGGAACTGGCCGTGAAGCTCCTTCAGCGATCCGAGCACGTCCTCAAGGATTTTGTTTCAGAGGTCGAGATCCTCACAGCTCTGCACCACAGGAGCGTCATCGCCCTCCTCGGATTCTGCTTTGAAGATGAAAACTACGCTCTGGTCTACGATTATTTGCCGCGAGGAAGCCTGGAAGAGAACATCCACGGTGCGAAGTCTTCGCTCAGATGGATCGAGAGATACGATGTCGCAGTGGGCGTGGCGGAGGCGCTGGATTACCTCCACGGTGCTTCTCGAAGTTCTGAACCTGTAATCCATGGCGATGTGAAGTCGTCAAACATCCTCCTCTCGGACGATCTCGAGCCTCGGCTGTCCGACTTCGGCCTTGCCAGATGGAGGTCATCAACTTCATCGCATCTCTCCTGCAGTGACATCGCCGGGACCTTCGGGTTCGTAGCTCTCTTATCCCCGATGGATCGATCGGATTTCTGCGCTGTTCGGCATTTGCAGGTCTTCTTCCGACTGAGACGTGTGGCCTTGCTCTGTTGCAGGTACCTGGCTCCTGAATACCTCATATGCGGGAAGGTGAACGAAGAGGTCGATGTCTATGCCTTCGGCGTGGTGCTTCTGGAGCTCCTCACGGGGAGGAAGCCAATCGACACCGAGAATCCAGGCGGCCATGAGAGCCTGGTACTGTGGGTAAGATTTCCATCTATATTGACGAGATCCATGGAATTCTGCTCTGGATTTAAGGGATTTGAGTGAGAAATTGAAGTAGGGAACTCACTGGCTCGATCATGATGCAGGCGAAGCCGATCTTGCAGAGAGGGAAGGTGACGCAGATGCTGGATCCACGCCTGGGAGATGAGTACAATGTCGATCAGGTAGAAAGAATGGCTCTAGCTGCTGCTCTCTGCATCAAGAGAGCCCCCCGATCGCGGCCGAGGATGGACTTCGTAAGTCGTCCGATCATCTCCCCCACGGGCCTGCTCCAGAGCTTCAGAAAGCTCTCTCTCTCTTCTCTCTCTCTCTCTCTCTCTCTCTCTCTCTCTCTCTCTCTCTCTCTCTCTCTCTCTCTCTCTCTCTCTCTCTCTCTCTCTCTCTCTCGCTCCCTCCCGGTCTCCTGAATCTGTTTTTAATCTCCCGGTCGGTAGGTCTTGAAGCTGCTGCAAGGAGATGAAGATGAGGTAGAGCGGGCGAGGACGCTCCAGATCGACGCGACGGAGGAGCTGGCCGGGCTGGACGAGGACGACGAGGTTGCAGATCCTGCGGCTAACATCCAGTCCTATCTCAGCCTCGCGTTGCTCGATGTGGAGGACGACACCTTCTCTGTCACCAGCTCAGAGCATACTTCAGACTTCATCATGTCCCACAGCTCCCTGGAGGAGTACCTTCGCGGGAGGTGGAGCCTTCATTCCAGCTTCGGCTGAGCTCCTCTCTCTCTCTCTCTCTCTCTCTCTCTCTCTCTCTGTGGCGAGGAAGCTCTGGTGAGAGGTGGTCTGTGGAAGGAATTCCCTCCTCCAAGCTCCCCAATGACTGTAAAAAATTCACTGAACGACGTTCGGCGTCCTCGAGAAACACCAATGCAGAGAAATAGAAAGCGTTGATTCCATCTGAGTGACGATCAACGAGAAAATTTCTGGTGTCATTCAGAGAGAGGGAATCAGAAGAATCTACGGACCTCGAGATCATGGCGACTGGTTAGAAGAATTGCAGAATGAAGACCTTCGTTCCTCCTAATGGAGAATCCACTCCAAGTAGAGCGCCCCACTGACTGAGCTTGCAGTCCTCAGAGGCAGGCAGAAGTCAGACGAACAGATCAAGGAGACAAGGATGGACACTTAACAAGATTCAAGAGCTCATAGGATGAGAATACATGGATGAACGTCCGAAGAACAGTAGCCTGCAGCGGCGTTGAATCCACGAGAGGAACAGCAAGATCTCGGATAGGATCCTCGTCATCCAAAGCATCGATTCACCCACCGAGAAGAACTCCTCCAGATGTAGATCGCTCGCTCTTGGCGACGACGACGGAAATGGAGACGGACGGCGGCGGGTGTTCGCGGAGTAGTTCTCAGCGGCGCCGTTGATCTTCCCCCCGATTTACCTTCCAAATGCCCACTCTGGGGGAGGACGATCTCTTACTTATTTTTTCCGTCTGGTTTCTCTCTCTCCTCAAACCAGGGACCGGTAGTGGGCTTCCAGTGTTGTCGTTCGGGCCCAATAAACTGCACGACCATGGGATTAGGTGGCTATTTGATGACGTGTTCCAATTAAAACTCTGAGTTCCCCGTCAAGGATGAAAATTGGCCTACGTGGACTGACGTGGAATCGAGAACGAGCCTATACAGCTTTTTCGTTCCGGGTGAACTCTCTGGAACGGAAGTTGTATCGTCGTCCAGCCTCCATGGCCTGCCTTCGAGCTTCCCTCGCCGCCGCCGCTGCCGCATCGAGGACGACGGCGACGCCTTACACTATGCCTTTCCTTTCTTCCGCTTGTTCCAGCCTCAGGTCGTACTCCCCCTCCGCCTCCCGCATCTCCCTGAGGTTCTTCGCCGCCTCCCCTCTACGCCCACACATGTATCTGGTAAATACCTTGCTGCTTGCTGTGGATTCAATGCGAACCTCTTTGAAGTTGAGAATAGCGATTTTTTAATGGCATTGCTCGCCGGTGTGCCTTCCTGTGCTGTTTTTTGGTGGCAGAATCTGCAAACCGGAGTGGGGTTGGTGCGCGCCTTTTCCGGGAAACCTTCTGCAACGTCCTCCGCGTCTGATCCTAGCCAGTTGAAAAGCGCGAGAAAAGATATCGAGGAGCTCCTTCGAACTACGTTCTGCCACCCGATCATGGTTTAGGATATAGCAACCTGCTGTTCTTCGAACTTTCTTCTTCCTCTATTCTCGCTTCTTTTTATGAGCGTTTATGGTTGATATGAGAATAGGTTGCATTTGGTTGATGACCTCTGGTACATCACTACTTTGGGATTTAGAAGCTGGAGGCTCTTGGTCCTGTTCCCCCGTCTGTTGATTTCACTTGTATCGGTGATTCTTCTGATTGCAAACTGCACTTTATTGGCTGTTCGGCCTGGTAAACTACCAGTTTTAATCCCACTCTGGTACTGTCAATTGATTCGTTGATCGACGATTAAAGTGCAGGACGTTTTAGTGCTCATTGTGGGAATTATTTGGTCTTATGTTCTGAAGCAATCAAACTGTGTTTGCATCGGTGCTGTAGATATTTGGTTTTTGATTATTTCGTTTTAGGGAGCTGGTAAAGTTTCCAAAGGGTTTATTCGATACAAGGGAGGAATGAATCGTTTAGAAAATTGAAATATTGTAAATTTATTTCCCTTTTAGGGAGTGTGAATGATCCCAATATTGACAACATTTGGCCCAGCTTCCATTTGGAAAATTCTGGGGACTTCTGAGGTCATGATAGTGGAGCCTTTCCAATTTTGGTGGAAGAAAAGAAGTGATAAATTCTGTAGTCTGGTTAGATGAAGGGCAATCATTCTCTAATTTTCACTGGAAGGTTAAGCCGAAGATGAAGCACAGGGAGCCCTTTGCTGCATACAGGAAAAACGGCAAATATTTTAATATCATTAGCTTCAATCAAACTTATTTGTGTGCAATGTTCTAGTTGTGACCTAGTGTTTTTTCCTAAATTTTGTCTTTTTGAGATTTTATATCGCAATGTTTGGAGTCGATTTCAACGAGTAACTCATTTTCTGGGTTCCTATTTTAGATTCGGTTGGGATGGCATGATGCTGGTACCTATGATAAGAATATCAAAGAGTGGCCTAGAAGAGGAGGCGCAAATGGAAGCCTGAGATTTGAAGGAGAGCTGAAACATGCAGCCAATGCCGGTTCGTGACTGTTCTGGACCATCTCATTCAAAGATTCTTGATGTTTCTGTCCATTGACATGATTCTGCAGGCCTTGTCAATGCCTTGGCGCTACTTCAACCCATTAAGGACAGATATCCTGGCATTACATATGCCGATCTATTTCAGTTAGCTAGTGCTACAGCAGTGGAGGTTTGCATTTGTTTCAATCCTCTCTTTCTCTGATATGGTTCATTAGTGATGAGGAAGAGGGAATTCAAAACGTTGAATTTGGTGTAAATCGATAAAAAATGGTCACATCTTCTTCTTTTCTTCTTCTTTTTCAACCATCAGGCTGCTGGAGGCCCCAAAATTCGAATGAAGTATGGTCGTAAAGATGTCACTGAACCCGAGCAATGCCCAGAAGAGGGCAGGCTTCCTGGTATGGCCATTTCACGGAGCTGATTTGCTATTCAAATTTCAATGAAGATTCAATGTACATCTTTTTGTGGGCTTGGGATTTCCAGTTAAATCTGTAGAGCAAACCAAGACCCTGCAAAGTGTCACCCGTGCATCTGTTAGATATCATTTTACATGCCATACAGAATCATTGCTTATCTATAGCTTTTCTAACATTGCGAGAATATTTCGGTCTTCATCCACTTGCTCCATGTTATATCTTTTGGCTACTTAAGGTGATGCCACGTGTTATATCTTTTGGATGTTGTTCATTGCCGTTTATTGCAATACAATGCACCTAATTTCCCTCTTCCCTTAAAAAATTGTTGGATTTGTTAGCATAATCGCTCGGTATGATTTTCATTTAGGTGAAGCAATGACAAATGTATGACACTGTATCCATTCTGGTGATGGAAAATTTTCCTTCTGAACTTGTCTTTTCTTTTTTCTCAATTTCGTGCTTATATGGCTCACAATGATCAATACAGTTCTCAGGGGACTTCCCCTTTGTATTGCTTTAAGGAATTTTATTCTATGACTGTTGACAATGAAACCCGCACATAGCATTGACGGGGCTACCTTTGATTCATTGGTGTTCTTCTCTGGTTGCCATTCCTGCGCACACTCTTCAGCTACTGATTGACACTAACAGAGGCCTTACACTTGTTTTAAATGCCTAGACGCCGGCCCACCCTCCCCTGCTGGACATCTGCGGGCTGTGTTCTACAGAATGGGCCTTGATGATAAGGTTTGCATTACAGGATATGTTCTTGATGATCCACTTTTGCATCGCTCATTTCTACTCATCGCTTCTCTGTTTAGGAAATTGTTGCATTATCAGGTGCTCATACACTAGGAAGGGCCAGACCTGATCGCAGCGGTTGGGGCAAGGCAGAGACCAAGTATACGGTATGGATACCCCGTCCACTACAACAGTTGCTATCGCAGCATGCTGATTATTTTCCCTCCTAGGAGAGCTAGGAACCTTCTCTTAGAGAGCATGTGTCATGGAGATGAGCGCAAGAACAGTACTCTAGCCATATATCAAAATCCCTTGCCCGTTTCCCCCTATATTATACATTTCTTTTTCTTTTTTCGTTAAAACTTTCTAATAATGTAAACCATAACATTCACTGGAAAGTATTTGCATCCAGATTCATCGGTTATTATCACATTTATTTCCAGTTGATTAAAGCTGTTGCATCTCCAATCCCATGCATTGATTACCAAGCTTAGTTTTTCAAATATAATATATATATATATCCCATATGCATGGCTTGTTTACAGTTAGTCTAGTAGATAATATCCTTAAATCTTGCTATATATGGCTCAATGAAGATGCTTTATCTGACCTAATTATCTGTAAAATGATTGACAGAAAGATGGGCCTGGGGCACCCGGTGGCCATTCATGGACCGTTCAGTGGTTGCAGTTCGATAACAGCTACTTTCAGGTAAGAAAAGAAAGCTACATTTAGCCTTAGAACATGTTATAACCCTGCGAGTTACTTTTCCCAGGATATCAAAGAACGAAGAGACAAAGATCTGCTCGTTCTGCCCACTGACGCTGCCCTCTTTGAAGACCCCTCCTTCAAGGCAAAGCACATGAATTCCAGATGCGCCTTCTCTCTACAAAGTCAGACCATGGTCGAGTTAATTTATCTGTCGGTGCTCGTTCAGGTGTATGCTGAGAGGTACGCCGAGGACCAGGACGCCTTCTTCGAGGACTACGCAGAAGCCCACGCCAAGCTCAGTAACCTGGGCGCTGAGTTCGACCCTCCTCAGGTGTGCCTCTGAGCCACCATCTTCTCTTCCCTGACAGCAAGTAATCTATAGCTTATGATGACTGCCCCCCCCCACCAGGGTTTCTCCATTGATGGCGTCCCCAACAGCCCCGAGGTCTGAGGAGGAACTTGTCGCCGCTGGAGTCCTTGGAGGAAGAACTCTCTCTCTCTCTATCTCTCCTTTCTCTCTCTATCTCTTCTTTCTCGTTTTAGCTGTACACGTTTATAATCGTAATTGTTACGGTTATTTGCTTTAAAAGGCGCAAACTTTGGGTCCGTTTAAGCTGGGGCGCACTCGCCGTTTCCGGGTTCAAAAAGGATCCGAGTCGGACCGACAGGTATGTTATCGGATCCAGAGGACAAGAATGAAGAGGGCAGCGAAGCACAGTGTGCGGTGGCATTTTTTCGATTACGTGGACAGTGGGCGAGCGGTGGGCCCCACAAGGCCCTGCTCTTCCCACCGCTCGAGCGTTTTCTTGGTTGGCTCTCTTTCCCCTCTTCCTTATTCCGGTGCCTTGGGCTGGCGCGGAAGAGGTGTGGCGGCTTGCGGCAGCCTCGACGGCGTTCCTACGGCGCGGGAGGCGGTGGTGAGAGGAGGAGAAAGTGGTGGCGGTCGCGCGGATAGAAATGGTGGCCCGTGCTCGGCTGAAGATGTTGCGGTAGGAAGAAAAGATAGAGCGCGTGAGTTTCTCCTTGTCCCCCTCGTTCAATTCATCTTCGCGGCTACTAGGTTTCTCGTTACCTCGTTTTGTTCCTTCCGTCGCGTTTTCCGGTCGTTCCGGAGATCAATTTTGGTAGCTTCACTGGCGGATTGAATTAGATCCGAATAGAATCATGGAGGAGTTTCTTCAGATGCTGCGCTGCACATATGGGAAGAGGGTCGTGGAGAAACCCCACCCTTTTTGTAACGGGAGTGTCAACATTGTTCATCTTTTTGATGTAATTATAGGATATGTAGTTCGTAAATGAACGAGTGGCAACGAAGGTCACTTTTCTGGAGATTTTTATGGAAAAATTAAATTATATCTGTGGACAGATCGACAGTTTACCCCTATCATGCTAAGGTCGCACGGCTGCACTCACCTCTGTAAATAGCGCTTTTTTTAGTTCACCGACTGAGATCGCACTATCTTACTATCTATATTTTTTCTACTTTACGGTGTGAAAGAGACTTTGAGTGCCACTTGTTCACCTCCACTAATCGATTTTCATTACAAATACGAACGCATTTGATGTAATGACTTATAATCAGGATTAATGCCATGGTAAAACCCTCCACATGCATATCTATATCCTGCAGCGCTGTGCAAGCAATATCGTTGCCGGACTTCTCCCTGGGCATCTTAATAGAATTCTAGCCTGTTCCCTTCTTCTTTTTTTGTCCCGATCAAGGTCACACACTTCTAGAAACTAATTATGCTTACAAACCTAGTCGAGTCTCATAGCTTGTGGCGTTTTGGCATACCTCATACTGAGTGCTGAATTACGTTTGGTCTTACGTCGATCACTATGCCGTTGATTTCATAATCAATTGCGTAGGGTTGATCCCTAAATGATAGCAATATCTCAAAGGCGATATTCTACTGCTGGGGATGTTTTAAAAGGTATCACACACTACTATGGACACGAAGTGGGAGTGTGATCTGATAACCCACGTTTCTCATGGTCTGTATTTATGACAGTTCTGAGAGAATATTCTATAACTTTGATGACTTGATTTGGTTTAACCCTTCTTGTGGTTTTTAAGTTCGTGCCTGGGCATGCTGTTAATGATCTCTTTCGTTATCTTGCTGTAATTTTTTTGTTTTTCTGAAACTTCGAAAAAGAGCCCATGCAAACAATAACTCCTGCCTCTCAGTTCCAAGTGCATTGGTTCAAAAGTAATGATAAGTGGAGATACCTGTTTCTGGCCATAATGATCTTGGTATGAAGAATGCTTACTACGTTTTTTATTCTCTTTCCCTTACCATTGCTTGCTATTTCCTATAACTCCTTGCCATTAGAAGCGTGCAGGTTCATGCCATAGGTTTGTAAATTGAGCCTTAAAGAATGTGCCTGCATTATTACAGGGCAAAAGAGTGTTTCTTCACCGATGATGGATTATTCCTGGACATCTTAGTCTGTGTAATGGAAGAAAAAGTGGAGCAAATCCAGCCTACCCACGGCAGGCTTAGTGATGCTAGTCAGTGCTCATCCAGTGATTGCAGTCAGGTGTTAGACACAAGCTCCATCGCTCACCGTGATGTGGAGGAGCTGGGCAGTTATGCACTCTGTCGCGTTTGCCACTGTGTGGAATCAGACAAAGGGGCCGATGCTGCCTTAGCTTACTTGAATATTGTTCCTCCAACATTGGACTCAAAAGTCGATGAGTGTGAGACGAACGGCAAAGAATATTCTGGATCTCTTGAGAAGGCTAGTTTTTCTAACAAGAATGGCACCAGAGATCCTGGAGTAATTGAGTTCGTGGGTCCTGATGGGAAGATATTTGTTTGCAGTGCTGACATAGAGGCAGGCTCCTGCTGCGAGAAAGATCCTCTAGTAGATCTTGGATGTTCATGCAAAAATGAGCTTGCTCTAGCACACTATGCCTGTGCATTAAAGTGGTTTATTAGCCATGGATCCACTGTCTGTGAAATTTGTGGAAGTGCAGCAAAAAATGTCAGGCCTGAGGATTTCAAAAAGATTGTCACATCTCTGAGGGATTATGAATCATTGAGGGAAAGGACTGATAATGGCATAGTTGACCATTTCCAAAGTGGGGCAGATTCAGGTTTAGATCCTGACGCCCTAGCTGCAGTCCGCAGACAAAGGCTCAGCGAGATTTCACTATGGTTTAATCCTCAAAATAATTTCAGAGCAGTTTCTGAAGAAACAGTATATCAACCCTCCACTATTTCAACAGAGACTGCTGTCACCACACAAAATCCCGCCACTAAATGGGCAGTGGAGGGCACTGGGATACTAATAGCAACTGGCTTGCTGACTGTCACTCTGGCATGGCTGATTGCTCCTCGTGTTGGAAAGGTATTCCTCAACTTAATATTTAACTGCGGTCTTCTCTTAGTTTACTTGTCTGTCCATAACTTTGCATTTGAGATTATTATCAGTTTGGAGGCATTTCTGACCTCATCAGTCTGGTGCTCGGACTTGTTTCCAGTCTTTACTAGAAAATTGAGTAAGATCGATGCCCATAAAATTGATTTATAGGATATTTTTAAAATAAGTTATAAAAAATGAGAAAACCTGAAATTTGAGTAGGATCAATGCCCATAAATTGATTTAAATAAATTATTCAAAAGATTTCAATAAGGAAGAAAAGAAGAAGACAATCAAGTACCTGTAAAGGTAAACTTCAGGTAATTGAGGGCATGCCCAGGAAGAAGTAGGAATCAAGAGGCAAGCTCGATTGTGTCATGGACAGGGGTTCATCTGTGGAGAGCCCTTTTAACAGAGGCAGATGCATTTCTAGACCAATCGGCATCACCTAGATAATTTAGTGTCCTCCGGAGAGGGCTTACACTCCAAACACTTCTCTTCAATATCCTTCTCTGCTTTGATAAAAAATTATCTGCTTTGAAAAAAAATAAAAACCAAACTGCTTTATTCCGACCATTTACTTCCCCCATTATCACAATTTTGCCTGTTGCTTCTTTTCTCTATGCAGAAGACGGCAAGGAACGGTCTCCACATTCTCCTCGGAGGCATGTGTGCTCTGACGGTGGTGATCTTCCTTCGATTTGTAAGTAGCGTCTGGCCACTCCTTTTCATTAGCAGCTCTTGGCTGCTGTTCTATAGCTGTTCAATAGCTCTTCATGTTTTCTCTGTTATAACATGATGAATGTGTTCAAGAGGATGCTGCTCTGGGGAATGGAGGGGAAGACAAGGAGACTGATTTATTAGTTACCACCACATGCATGCATGCATGCACGCTTGCTTCTATCAGGCCCTTATCATACACTGGTTTAAGCTTTGACTTGCGACGTTCATAAAAGTAACAGAGGGCCACTATTTTACTAAAAATGGAAAAAAATGGAATCGTCTTGGTGATCGGATTATATTCCTATAAATGTTATATCTCATTTCATGCTTATGATTTCCATCCTTTTTCTTTCCTTTTAAAAAAAAAAAAACGGAAAGAAGAAATTGGGGAGGTAAAAAAGAAGTCAACCGTCGCCTGAAAATTTCCACGGCTTTTTCTCCTCCAGGTGGTGCTCTCCAGGATCAGATATGGGCCTGCACGCTACTGGGCAATCCTATTTGTGTTCTGGTTTCTGGTCTTCGGCATCTGGGCCTCCAGGACTCACAGCACCCACACCACCTGACGGCCGCATTCCGGGTACCTTCTTACTCTCTCTCCTGCTTCTGCCTTCCCCATGAGCAACTGATGACCAATCGATTGAGGTGGCGCCGTTCGAAGACCTGATTTAGGTCAACGTCCGTCAACCCCTTACTGCGTAGTATCGGAAGGTGAAAGTTATGACCTGGATTGAAAGTCAACGACCATGAGGGGTAATTAGGAGGACAATTTGATCCCCAACAGCTGTCGGTATTAAGAAGAAGATAAGACTGGCGAATTGGGATTGAATGAACGTGATCGTGATCCGGAGTGACCTGATTTGATCCTCCGATTTAATCATCCCTAGTCAAGATATGCACTAGTGCACGCCAGCGCATCAGGGACAGTGGCCCATCACATGATCTCGTTGACTTATTCATCTAAGACTTCGCATGGACCTCATTAAATGACGGCGCTTATACGTAAATATATATATATGGAAAAAATATGATTGTTATTACCCACTAATCATAAGATATATATGTGCATATATTAAAATGCCTATAATACCCTAGTCATCACATTGTATAGGATATAAACGCAGGACCCATTGCGCGCGTCTGCAATTGGCGGCTGTGGTTCTTATGGCGCGGAAAGGGACGGTCTTTTTGCACTTGAAAAAAAAATCAGGGAGGATCACCTGCCCGTTGACTCTGGTGACCTAATCGCGGGGAATCGGTCAAAATAGGAAGCTTCTAGATTGCTCGGCTACTTCTGGCCGTCTGATTTGATCAACGGTCCTCCATTAGAGGGGGGGTTCGTTCACTCTGGACCCCGCATAATGGAGAGTAGTTTGTCCGCCGCCATCAGAGGCGTCAGCGACGGTGGTGGTCCACTCCGGTCCTCGGGGCCATAGATGACGGCTCAAGTCTCCGCCGACTTATTAACTAATAAAACGGAAGCAACAACTGCCAGGGAACTGTCGTTAGATGGCGACCACGTGTCCTTTATGGGATCGCCGCTTACCCAACTGCCTGCCACGCATTCCCTACTCCGATTCGGCTTGGAACACTTCCACGAGTTTACCTGGTTCACGTACTCATAAATTATCCTGGGTTCCAATCAATTTTTTAAATTAAATAAATATCTCATTATATCTGTCTCTACATAGATGTCATATATATACGCGTATATTAGTATGCGTTTGATGAAACTCGCGAGTGAAAAAAGCACCGATTGTAAAAATTAATTTGTCCGGGAGCAATTCCCGAAGAAATTGGAATTAATAGAGGGAATATTCTGTGGGGCCTGGACACTATGAAGAATCTCTTTGGAGGAGAAAGGGATGCCCATTTTTCTCGTAATTAAGAAATGCACGGTATCCAAAATTCACCCAAAATATCAAAAAATTGACCCGTAGAAATTATATATATAAATATATATATTTTAATTTTTCTGATTGGAACGAAGTTTCTCCGGCTCTACAGGACTTCCAGGGCGGCGGCCCCGACCCCAACCACGTGGCCTGGTGTTATCGAGTCCTGTACCCGCACTTCTAACGTGGACCCGCCCACAGTGGGCATTAACGGTTTCAGGTTACGGTTAACGCCGGCGCTCTTGCCGGGTTGCACCGGCGATGCGGCGGCTCCGCCACGAGCGCTAGACGACGCGCGGTGGTGGGGCTCCGAGTGGAGCCCGCGCCGCCGGAGAGCAGTCGCCGTCTGTTGATCGGGGCGGGGCAACCAATACGAACCGTTGGGGTGGGGCGAGGGGGGGGGCCACTGCCGCCAGTCAGTCCAAAGCTCGTGACGCAGGCAGTGACAGGAGCCGCTGCCACACCGGCCCAGCGAGCCCTCCCAACACGCCGTGATGCCCTCGCCACGTAACCGCCGCCGCCGGTCAACTTGCTCAGCGGTATCCGGCGCACATGCCGCTGCGCGATCTCGGCTCACAATACGACGCGTGTCCCCGCCGCCTATAATGTCCTCTCTCCCCTTCTCTTTAGCGAGAAGAAGAGAAGGAAAAGGAGCAGGAAAAGGAGGGGGAGCTGTGAAGGGTAATCCCCCGTCTTCTTCCCGCTCCGGTGAAGAGGAAGAAGAAGAAGAAGAAGAAGACGATGATGATGAGCTCGGGGGATCTGCAGCTGCCGCCGGGATTCAGGTTCCATCCGACGGACGAGGAGCTGGTGATGCACTACCTGTGTCGGAAGTGCGCAGGCCATCCTATCGCCGTGCCGATCATCGCGGACATCGATATCTACAAGTGCGACCCCTGGGAGCTTCCCGGTGAGTTTTCTCGCCTGTGATATTCCGGTGGGCTTCTTTCTCCTCGCAGAGGTGGGAGACGATAGATGCAATTCGCGAGAAACGAGCGTCTAACTCTTCTGTGATTTGCAGGCATGGCGCTGCACGGGGAGCGGGAGTGGTACTTCTTCTCGCCGAGGGACCGGAAGTACCCCAACGGGTCGAGGCCGAACCGGGCGGCGGGCTCGGGCTACTGGAAGGCCACCGGCGCTGACAAGCCCGTCGGCGCGCCGAGGCCGGTGGGCATCAAGAAGGCGCTGGTGTTCTACTGCGGCAAGGCTCCCAAAGGGGAGAAGACCAACTGGATTATGCACGAGTATCGCCTAGCCGACGTCGACCGCTCCATCCGCCGGAAGAACAGCCTACGGGTACGTCTCCTAATTCGATGGAGATATTGAGGATCGACTGCTTGGCTCCAGTTAGTGAGAGAAAGCTTCAGATTCCAACGGCGGTCATATAGTTTTTTGGGTATTTGATTCTTGCCTGCGGCGTTGCAGCTGGATGACTGGGTGCTGTGCCGGATCTACAGCAAGAAGGGCGCCGACGTGAACCAGATCAACGCCATCGCTAACAAGGGGGAGGCCACGGAGACGTCGAGAATCGACGGGCGCCGCCTGGAGCCTCCGCTGCTGGCACCGAAGGTGGAGCCACTGCTGCGGGCGGATTCTCCGCCGCCGCCAGCTCAACCCCCGCAGCAGCAGGTTTCCGAGTATGTGTATTTAGAAGCGGACTCCGTGCCGAGGCTGCGTGCAGAGTCCAGCTGCTCGGAGCAGGCGCTCTCCTCCTCGCCGGGGTTCGCGTGGGACGAGGTGCAGAGCCAGCCCCGATGGGGGAGCTGGCTGAGGGACACCCTCAACGCCCCCGCCGGAGGCGAGGAGCTCCCGACCGCCGCCGCGGCCGGCCTCGACGGGGACGGCGGCGCCGCCGTCGGCTTCTCCTCGCTCGGTCAGCTCTCCTCCCTCTTCCGGGACCCCCCGCTGCCGGACCTCCTCTCGTACCTCCAGAAGCCGTTCTAGAAACATGCGCCGTCGCGCCGGAGAGGGTCCGGCGTGGTCCGAGCCACAGGACCGTGTGTGGCCCAACTGTGCAGCTGTTCTGTAAATATAGACTGTACATCAATCCCATAGTTGTATATATTTTCAGATATATTAAATTATTTTATTTAAATTTATTCGATAAAAATATATATAGAGGAGAGAACCAAGGGGGGAGAAAAAATCCTGGTGTAATTAAAAAAATGAAAAAAAAAATCTTTAAAGAAGGTTTAACCGTGGTCGTTGGGTCATGTGTCACAGATGACAAGTGGGCTTAAATATGGGGAGGGGGTAGTAACTGGGCCTAGCCCAGCCCAGGTCCCCCCACGGTTTATAGAAGCCCATAAATTTAATGGGCCGATATTCCCATATTGGGCTTCCTCTGTATGGAGGCAACTTTTTTAATTATTTCCCAGGGAGAGGAGGAGGAGGAGGAGGAGGGGGGGCGGGGGGGGATTTGCCCTATCAACGGTCGACTGGAGGTCGTCTGGGAAAAAAGAGGCGTTGGGGGCTACGTGGCATCACGGAGAGGCGCCGCTGGAGGGGAATGAAGGCGCCACCGTCGACCCACCTCCGGCGAGCGCCTCCGCCGGCCGCTGTCCCAATCAAGCGGAGGAAGCTGAAGCCACCGCCGCCGCCGGCCGCCTCTCCCTGCTCCACCCCCCCCCCGCCGCCGTCTCCGCTCCTCGCCGGAAAAGCTGATCCCTCCGCCCCCTGGGAATCCCCCACCAGATCCCCAACAACCAGGAGATCCCTTGCCGCCTCCTTCTGCTCCTCCTCCTCCGCGGCATCGCCGCCGGTGGGAGACGGCAGATGGGAGCCCCTCGGCATTCCTCGGTCGGAGCTGTCCCTCTCCCTCACTCTGCCGACCGGCCAGACCTTCCGGTGGAGGAAGACTGGACCAGACCAGTTCACCGGCGTCGTCGGTCCCCATCTCCTCTCCCTCCGGCACGACGCCGGCGATGAGCAGGGCGGCGTCGCCTTCCTCCTCCACTGCGGCGGCGGCGGCGGCGCCAACGCGGCGGATCCCGCCCGCGCCGCGCTGCGCGACTACCTCAACCTCGGCGTGTCGCTAGCCGGCATGTGGCGGAGCTTCGCCTCCGCCGACGCCCGCTTCGCCGAGCTGGCGCGGCGTCTGGCCGGCGGGGTGCGCGTCCTCCGGCAGGATCCCGTGGAGTGCCTCTTCCAGTTCCTCTGCTCCTCCAATAACAACATCGCGAGGATCGAGCGGATGGTGGCGGCCGTCTCCGCCTTCGGCGAGCATCTGGGGACCGTCGAGGGCGTTGACTTCCACCGTTTCCCCTCCATCGATCGCCTCGCCGAAGTCTCCGAGGAGCAGCTCCGCAAGGCCGGATTTGGCTACAGGTCGGTCATCTTCTGCCTCTCCTTTAGCAGATGTCGGATTCTTTCCGTCGGTGAGGGCCTGATCGATCATCATCTCGGTTGACATCGACCCAGAAATCCCAAAAGTTCAAACGCTCCGATCGCGTGTCTTCTGTGCGTTGACTTTCGTCCGTTCTTGGGATTGACGAGCAGAGCTAAGTTCATCGTCAACACGGTGAAGGCCCTGCGAGCGAAGCCCGGGGGAGGCGCGGAGTGGCTCCATTCCCTGCGCGGCTTGGAGCTCACGACGGTGACAGAGGCTCTTTGTACCTTGCCCGGCGTCGGCCCGAAGGTGGCGGCCTGCGTCGCCCTCTTCTCCCTCGATCAGCACCACGCCATTCCCGTGGATACCCACGTCTGGCAGGTCCGCCCTCTCCTCCCCTCTACATCCACCACCTACTTTTAGAGAGAGAAAGAGAAAGAAAGAGGGAGATGGTAATTGATTGATCGATTGATGGATTAACTGACTACTTTCTGGTGCAGATTGCGACGAGGGAATTAACTCCTGAGTTTGCTGGGTGCCGGCTCTCGCCGAAGCACTTCGGCAGGGTCTCGGAGGCCTTCGTGGACAGGTTCGGGAGGTACGCCGGCTGGGCCCAGACAGCCCTGTTCGTCGGCGAATTGCCCCCTCAGAAGGCGCTGCTGCCGCCACCGCCGGCTAACGTGAAGAAGGCGACGAAGCCCCGAAAGGAGAAACTCGAGAGAGGACGGCGGCCGGAATCTCCGTCCTCTCCGGGAAGCTGGTGAATCTTTCTGGGCTGATCTTGCCGCCCATTTCTGCTTACTTTGATTTATAAATATATATATCCTCCCACTTTGGTAAATTTAGGAACTTAAATGAGGAAATGAACAATGTAGCGGAAAGTACCAAGAACTCTGCTGAGGATGGGTTTGTTAGCTGCATGCCGCCTCTACGGCTAGAGCTTTGACTGCGCCGGGGCATTGGTCCTCGCCGAAGCTCCCCCTCGACAAGGTGATGGAGCACTCTCTCTTGCTTAGACATGCCTGTAGCAGAGAGCACGAGATCAAGTTCCCGAGAAACAGGAGCTAATAAATGTACACAAAGATATATAGATAGATAGATAGATAGATAGAGAGCTTCTGCAAATTACCTTCTGCACCACGGAAATGGAGTTGGCGTAGTGGCAGCTTCCGTATAGGAAAGAACCGCAGACGCCGCTGGGGGTACCGAAGCTGGCGAACCGGATGGCGGAGATGGCTGCCTTCCCGGGGCAGGCCAACCGGAGAGACGCTTCAGGGTCGCCGCCATCGCCAGCGCCGCCGGTCTTCTGCTGCGATTCCAGGGCCATTACGGGGTGGTCCTCCCGAACGAAGTTGCAGATGCCGGTCACCACCCGCCTCGAGAAGGAGATCCCTGTCGGGTCTCCCCCCTCTTCCTCAAATGCCACCAGAGTATTTCCCGACGGCTGAAACCACGACCTTGGTACATGGTACCTGCCCAAAAGGGCAAGCCCATCAATATCAGTAAGATCACAGAGAGAGCGAGAGAGAGAGAGAGTTTTACCATCTCTGAGTCGGCTCGCCGCATCCAGTGTTGCATTTATCTGGGTAAAACTTCCCCCTGTAGTCACAAGTGCCTGGGCATCCATCGGATGATAAGCTTTTCCTCGGCCAGTATCTCCCTATGGCCTTTCCATTCAACCACAATCGCCCCTTGCCCATGGATGCCATATCCAGCCCAACCGGGTCACTTCCGTCGGGTGGATTGATGGTCGCCTGCCAAGTCATCAGAATAAACTTTTCTGTTTTATGAATTGAAATAGGATAATTAACGAAATCATAACAAGGGTGCGGAAGATCTTGGTGGTCTCGTAAGAGAGATGGCAGGAGAATAAAGGGCCCACTTATCATGAGCTTGATGCTGGGAGGAGAGAAGTCAATCATGACCCATATCATCGGGAGGCCCATGATCGACGACTTTCTTCCTACTGATTATGATTCCAAATGGATATTGAAAACAAGGGTATATTGATTAAGATTAGAAAGGGTTGGGGAAAAGAGTACCTTGTACCAAGTCAGGGGCTGGTTCTTTGGCAACACTGACGTTGATGTCCAGCCGAAGTTGTTCATAGGGCTGTAAATCTGTTGATTCTCACCTTGTAGTCCAATCTACCAGAAATAAGATGAGCATCATACTAGGCGACATCAATAAATTTTCCAATAAATATGTAAGGACTTTTTCTAGAAAAATTACTTCACAGAAAATTCTAGAAGATATTTTAAATGTGCGAAGAATTTATGGAATTTACCTTATACACCCAACTCTTCGAAGACAGATCCACTGTTCCGTTTCTCAACCCATTTATCTTGACACTGGTTAGCCCTGCCCCCGTCCATTCAAACAATGGCCCAGCATTCTGAAGGAACCATTGAAAATAAAATCTCAGAAAAACTGATCCACCAGACTTGATACTAGAAGATGTCCCATTGGATTCTTCATAGGGAATTCGAATTTCACGCGGATGGTAAGTGACGTAATTTCCCTGGATATCCTTCTTGAGTAAACAAATTATTTACAGGTTTCAAGTATGATAAATTAATTGCAGATCACTGAAGAACATCAAAATATTTTCCATTTCTATGAATATCACCCATGGGAAATAGAAAATTGATCATGAAGAGGGCATACACTTTTTTTATTTTTAAATGAGCTGTGTGCCCAGGAATCGTTACATTAAGATGTTACAAGTAGCATAAGTCACGTATGAAGCTTACCTGTAAACCAACTGTCATGCTCAGAAAAGCAATCTCATTGTTCCCTGGTTTCAGATGAATGGGAGTCTCAATCTTGAAAGATGAATTTCCCCCGTTTCCAAATGCACTTACTACATAAGGAAGAAAAATGAAGCAATGACAACTTGGAAGACATCTGTTTGGATGACGGCATAAGATGAATTTCGATATTAAAGCAAGTTTTAACGAAAAAATGATCTCCGAAAGATTAGATGTTGTTTCTACCACATGTGAAAAAATAATGCATAATGAATGATACCACAGTGCATCATGCAGCTTCATGATATTACACTATGGAACTGACTATGCTGACACCCAAGCCAGCTTCTCTTCTTCAGTAATGGAAGGAACACTAATCCCGCACTACTTAAAGTTGAATCTTTAAGACGGAAACACCATAGCTTGTCACATATTCAATATTTTACTCAGTTATTCCCAGGGAAAAATAATCAGATAAAATTACCTTGGAGCTGTTGGTTTAAGAACGCATGGACGCCATGACCCTTCGACTCAACAACAAGAACTTCATAGGTTCCATTTCCTAAGAGTTCGCTTTCATCAACATGCAAGCTGCCATTTAGTCAGGCAAGAAGTACATCAGTTTCTGGGAACGCGAATCGTTTTCTATTTTAAAAAAATCAATCTTCTCAAAATCGTTGCGTTCCTTCTAAATTTTCCATCCCTAAGAGTAAAAAGTTTTTTTTAAAAAAGACATGCTATTGTAACAAGTGAACGCCAAGAAAGTTGTTGGGGATTTTCATTATAAAAACCACCGTGGAGTGTTATTGCCTGAACTTTTTTGCCCAGTTTCACCGTAGAGTTGTTGGGGAATTTCATTATAAAGACCACCATAAAATGTACCATCCTGCAGTGTAGAGAGTATTCCGAGCAACCACATAATCTTCAATCTTTCCCCTTTGTTAATGCCGAGGAAAAAGTAAATTATTATGGACAACGTTGAAGTACGACCCTTCGTTGAAAATAATTCAGATGTAGAAGATGATACCTTGTCGTGTACCAAAGATAATCAGTAGAATCGCGTGTGGTGTTAATATGATCCACAAATCCTTGGTTGGAGAAATCAGCCTTTCCCCAAATCCCTGCCTTCTCGACAAAGATATCCCATCCAGAAATTTTGATATTTTCAGGTATCATTTCTGTAATAGCAGTCTGGGACCCAACCTGGAAATAACATTTAAAAAAGAGTTCGTCATATGAAACAGTGGTGCGTTAATTATTGGCAGAAATTATTAAATGGTAACTTAGAGTTCATCAATAACATTTCTTGCTAACCAGTAATTAACTACTCAAAAGGCCATTGAGTTCGAACATAAAATTTCGTCAAGCTACATCCAAGGGGCCGACATTTAATATCAATAACAAGGATGTTGACTCCACCGTATAAAAGTTCGAAAAGAAAAAATAATAAATCACCTTTGCAGTATTGAATCCCACATTCTTGCACTCTGGTAGAATACTGACAGACCAAGCGGGAATAAGATATGATCTGTTCCTTAAAATCACGTATTTGTCATTTTCTGCGTCCATGTTAGAAATGAATGCAGCACATCTTCCATATAAATCTGTAAAAACATCAGCCTGTGAAAACGTTAAGATTAGAATTTGTTTAGTATCGTAAGTTAAAAAATTGTGATGTGCATAGATAATGATAGGCATTCTACAAATCCAACAAAAGGTTGTAAAACGATGATTGTACTGTAAATCACAAGCTGGAAGCTGATCCACAGCAAGGCTTGATTAGATGTAGAAGAAGGTCCCAAAGTGAAAGATGCAGGCATAGTGAATTAGTTCATATATACAGACGTTGCATTAAAGTGAGAATAGATTTTCAAATTTTCCATTTACTAACTACTTTTTATTTTTATTTTTTTACTGGGAAGGGTGTATTCAGGGGAGACGTTGACGAACTGACTACGAGATCAAGTTGTTTCGAAAACGAAAATAGAAAACAGGCCGGATCAAAACAATGAAAACCCTCTGGAAATACAGATTTCCTTTATTAAAGTTTTAACACTCTTGTAACAACAGATTTCCTCTAGATAATTTTGAACCCTATTTTAAGTCTTAACACAGCCCACTTGATCCTAATTTATACTGGAGTTGGAGGTATGAGGAAATAGTTCAATGCGAATGAGTGGAATTGAGCAGGACCGACCTCGTAATCCATAATTGGCATTAGGGTTTCTCGCAACGCAGCATCGTTCCCCGTACTCATTTACGATATGGAACCCAGTTTGGAAATGGTGGATGTCATACGATCTACAATGTTCATAAGCAATATGGTATGCTGTGGGTGTTCTTTTTCGTCCATATCTTGTATGATTGAGCTTGGTGTCAAGCTTTTACACAAAAAGAAGATGAAAATTGAAGCATAAATAACATATCACTTAAACCCCGGAATAAGATCATCTAATATAAACCATATTCAATTGAAAAGCACTTTGCGGGCTTACTTCATTCTCTCGCTAACAGAAAGCTGTGATATACGGCATGATCATAATCACCATACCAGGACAGATGGCAGAAGATCATACCTCTTGCAGAGGACCGAGGGAGAGAAACGTTGGTTCGCCATACAGCAATACCTGCTCACACAGTTTTATAGCTTTATGTAGATCTCTGAGGTGTCCCCACTTTGGAAGCCTCACCAATCCTAGAAATTCACGTTACAGCAAATTATGCACACAAATCTGAGTTCTTTCAGTCAAAACATCTCTAAACTCCAATATGTTACGTAAACGATTAACTACTCACCATACTCATCAATTGGGGCATCATAATCGTAGCTAGTTGTAATAAATGGACCCCCAGAAGTGCGATCAAAGTTCGTTCCACCATGGTACTGAATATATCCAATCAAAATATTCAAAAGAATTAGAAAATCTAAAATCCACTTTAAAAGGTCGAACTACAGTGGAAACATAAGTATATGCAACGCCATTGGTTAATAAAGGTCATCATCTTCAAGGCATGGAATACCATGTAATAATTTTGAAGACTACCGCCTTTCTGGAAAAACCGAGCTACAGAAAATGCAATATCTTCAGGAGGTCTGTGAGGATTTCTTGCCCCAAAGGTTTTAAACCTGACAAGATTAAGAATAAGGTTAAGTAGTTATACCACAAGAGAATTGGGAAGCATACTGTGGACCAATGCGCTCTTGTTTATGACAATATCTACAGAAAGCCTGTCTATGTATGCCTAGAAACAAAAATGCATTTCAAACCACAAGCTCTGGTAATCGTATAGATCATTACCATCCAGGCCAATTCTCAGTCCAAAATTTTGGCTTGTTGACAGAATTAGGAGAGAATTGATCGCAATAAAAGGAGTTGCAAGTGTTAATCTGAAAGGAGACAATGAGAAACAGGTCATAACCAATGCCTGAAAATATACAACCAAACCTGTCGTAGAGAAAACTAACTCAAACACGAAGACAGTGAATTTAATTCGGAAACTACAGATATAAATACCCTAAAATATGAGTCCGTATTCATGCACAATATATTGACAGATTCACTACTTCTAAATCTGTAGATTTTCCCAAGCACAAACTTCCTGGAAAACACTACAGTTACATAAATTGATCATATAAAATAAAAGCACAAATTGTAGCATGGCATGAATTGTACACATAATATATACAAGTCAACAAATCCTAACCACATTATCAGGGGCGTCATATTGTTGGCACATTATCCAAGGGACACCAATGTTCTGAGAAAGAGCCATAGCTGCAGCCCACATTGCATATCGTTTCCCTCCATCTCCATAAACCGCTTCAGTGTCACCATATTCATTTTCGATCTGTAAAATGGTTGGTTAGAAATCCAAATAGACATCGCAGTTCAATGGGTGATAAAACCTGAGCCCTTTTAGTGATCAGAGGAAAGTAATAGTAAATTAAATATACCATAAAAAAGAAAGCATGTCATCACAACCACTGTACCTTTAGTTAGTGCTCATTCAAATGGTGAAGATAAATATCAGGATAAGTTTTGTCTGTAAATAATTACTTTAGGATGCTCTGTTCCTCAAATAATGGTTAAAACTTATAAGAAGAAAACGGGAAAGAATCGTAATTAGGAACATGGTGATTTTGAAAAAGACTCGATCTAAAGGAAAGTTAGATACCCAAGAAAATCTACCTATCCATCCGAAAACCTCATAATTTTCCTGTTCTGTGAAGGAAAAATCTTATATCGAAAACTCTTCAGATGCTTGAAAATATCCAGCACCATTTTCTTCAAACTATCCTATCGATAGCAGAGTTGAGGCAGATTTCGGCTAATATGCTGTCCACAACTACTGTTGGCAGCATGATTTTCTATGCTAATCTTTGTTTAGTCTTTGAGCTACATGTGGTCTCAATTTGTTCCTATCTATTTAAATTAACAGAAAAATAATGACAGGTGTAGTCTTTGTAAAGTAGGAAACAAAGGCTATACACGTTCAATGCACCTGATAAATCTAGCTCTATACCCTTTTATTTTATTTCTTTTCATGTCGCATTATTGATGAAACATTAGTCACACATGGCCTCGAGTAGAAACTATTTCAATTTCTTTATTGTTTCATCAGTAATGTGTGACTCATCAGAAATGGAAATAGTTAAAAAGTCAACACGACTCATCAAGGGAATTAGCAAGAAAAGTTGGATGGCATGGAAAAATATAAAATTATGATGATTTCGGGGAGCATACTATTTGTAGATTATTATCCAACTTGTGAGCTGCTACGTTAAAACTCTTTAACGAGCAGATAGGACCATAGTTTTACAGCTTTACAGTCAGAATATAGGCACTTCGAGTTGCTCATCTAGGAAGAGGTCGAAACGTGCCTGCGCCAGGATGATAGGACCCCCCTGTGGAGCGAAAAGCTTCTCCTTCTTCATCATGTTCACGATGACGGTCGTGAAGCTCTTCATGTGAGTCTGCGATGAAGATGCGTGATGTCATCTCTCTTCATCCGCCATTATTTCATTAAACAATTACTTATAAAAAAGTTCCCTCAAGCACATTTACAAATGATCAGAGACGGATAGACGACGAAGCACCTTCCAAGGCTCACTGTCGGTTCTGAAGATCGTCCCGGGTATATAATGCAGCCAAGCAGGCACTCCGCTGTATTCCACAGTATTTATTTCGTCAGAAAGCTATGAGAGAGTCGAGAGGGAATCTTGTTGTGAATGTACAAACCCGAAGTTCCACTCGGCTGCCACGAACGGACCGATGCGCAGGATCATGTACATCCCCGCCTCCTGGACGATTCTCGCGAACTTAACCAGGTTGAATCGTTCCCCGAAGTAGTACTACATTCCCGGGTTGAGAGGGTAAGAACATCGTCAAAGTTTCCACTCGCAAACCAAGCGCTCTTCTCAGACAATACGAAAAGGATAATACTCGCCTTGCCAGGAGAAGGTTCGTGGCCATTCCAGAAGACGTACGACTCGATCACGTCGGCGCCTCCTTCTTTGGCTGCCGCGACAAGCCCTGGCCACATCTGCTCGTCATCCACATTCAAAAGCATTCAATCCGTCTATAAACCACGCCGTAGAACTTAAAAGAAGAAGAAGAAGATGACGACGACTAACACGGAGCGCGGAGAGAACTCACAGCGGGGACACTGCGAGGATAGTGTATGGAAGCGGAGATGAGGAGCTTCCTCTGGCCATCGATGATGAGCGACCGGCGGTCGTAGGTAACGTTGACAGACAATGCCGCCGGGAAGAAGCAGCACAAGTAGAGCAAAAAAACTCCGACAGCAGAGGCGGATGAGAGAACAGGAAGGATCCTCCTCTCCGCCATTGCGGAGGCGACCCGGAGGCGGGAGCTGTGCTTTGTCGAGGGCCTCTATAGGACACAGAAGACGCGAGAGAGAACTGCAGAAGTGATCAGCCAATCCTGGAACACGAAGTAAGATTAGCCTGAAGCCATTGCATTGGCTCCCTTAAACTGAGAGAAAGAGAGAGAGAGCGCCAGAGAGAGAGGGGGGGGGCTGGATTCCTGATAGTTGCCAGGCTTTTGCGCGTGGAGTTGCAGAAGCGGTGACAGGTTTGAGCACCGGACAACTGGGCGTTGTCGTTTCTGCGGTGAGCAGATGGAGAGAGTGAGAGAGAGAGGAATTCTTGCGGCAAACAAGAGACGTGACTCTTCGGGTACGGCTGGGGCCCAGCGTTCCACTTCGGCAGCTACGTCCTCTAATCGACGTCCTGTCAAGTCACCCCCAAATTCTCTCCATTTTGCGAATTTATACGTGTTTTATTTAACTGAATATATCATTTTATATAGAAAAAGTGGGAAACGGTTTGGATTTTGTCATCCCTCGCTGTTTCCAATAAAAAAATAGCTAAAATATTTCTAAAAAGCTAATCTTTCTTATCGGGTCCGGATCCCCAGATGCCCCCTTCGAGACGCCGCCAGGTAATTAAGGCGCTTTGTCGAATTGCCCGTGCAACACGGCATGGCAGAGGATGCCCTCTTCGGCACGCAGATCGGAAGGCCAGTGCCCGGCGGCGGAGGGCTGTGAGATCTCCCTCTCCCCCACCTGCGCCGAACATGGATGGTGGCACCATTTTTCGCTTGTGAAGCAGGAGAAACTATCATCGCTTAGTTATCGCCATATCGGAAATATATTGGCCGATGAATTAGTTGTTATTGTTTCTTTAGTACCTTCAGTACCCCTTATGTTTCTTGGATTATTCAAGCTATTATTTTTCCAACTTTGGCTTATGGGTGAGTCCATGGGGGGGTCACCATTGACTAGCGTTTGATTTTTTCTTTTCAATCTTATCCCAGTTTATATAGAGTTGTTTTCTATAAAATCGATTTATCTTGGAAATAGGATAGATAAAAAGTTAAATATTACCATATTATTTAAATTAAAATATTTGGAAAAGATATAAACGATCTCTTTTCTTTTAAAAAATTATTTCTAGATTATAGATTATATTCCTATTTTTATTTTTTAAAAATAAAATATTATATAATTTAATTTCAATATATTTTTTTATCTTTTCTGACATAAGCTAAATAAAAAAAGAAACTTATCTAAGAAAAATGAAAATTTGTATAATTGTTATAACTTTGTCTTGCCCTTGTCTATGGTGTTCAGGAAAATGATTCTAGAATCATTTTCAATAAACGATATACATTATAGGAGAAATAAATGTATATTTGATACTGTAAATTCACTAGTTATAGTCACTTTCTTCTATCTTATAGTTACCTTGCCGCTCACTACACTTAGATCAGAGTGTAGAAGAAAGTCCTTCAACTTTGTCGACGATTAAGGATTCAACGAATAAATTGATGACCTATGAACTTTGGAGAAAGTAGAAGAGCAAAGAGTGAATGAATTGAATCATAATTGGGTTTAAATGAAAGAAATGTAATAATTATAACTACATTAGAACTTTCTCCTAGAGCTGTTATTAATACGAACAACATAAACTATATTATAGCAAGGTTTGTAGATTTAATGTACTCCACAGATAGATGAATACCTAAAGTTGATATAGTAAAATAAGAAATTGAAAGATTTCGTCAAAGTTGTTTGTTAGTAAATTTTCCAAATACCTAATCATAGATTCTTCTCTCCATTGAAACAATAGGGCTGTTATTCTCATTACTAGACTTGTTGAAGATATGAAATGTAACCAAGGTAAATGAGAATGAAAACTTCCATTGAAAAGAAACTCATTCATAAGAAATCTCATAGAATCGAGAATGAAAACTTCATTCTATGCATGCCAGATCATGAATCAATAATTGCATCCAATCACTATGCCATAGTAGATCCAAACACTTGCCCAGAATCAACTTCAATATCATAATTGCACTAGTGATTAAGTAAGAATAAATAAATGGATAGATGGTAAGTAACAAAGTAGAGAACTGATCATAGATATCGAATTCTCAGGGGTTCACTTTAACTATTGGAAGATCTCTTTATATGTTTTGTCTGGAAAGGGGACTCAATGATTACTAGTTCGCCAGAACCAGAAGATAAAACTTTGGTGGGTAGGAATCCCATACAAACATCTATTGAGCAATGGCCCAAACTCTCCCATTTCTCAAGAACAATAGCTAAGGCCCTGATACCACCACTTGGATCTGAAACCTGCATGCTGATGCTCTCACAATTTTGATAATCTCACCAATGATTTGGAGGAGATCTCTTGGAAAGTATCTACTGCTCATTTCTTAATGCTGGAGAAGATCCTATGGAGGAGATTCCGCTTCTTCATGAATTTATCTTGAATTGGGATCTTCTGGCTCAGCTTTATCCCGTTTGTTTACCTTGAATTGGTCAAGATACTCGGATTAGATCCAAGAACTGGGGGTCTATGGCTATATATGTATATATATATATATATATATATATATATAGCTGTAGCACACCATCATTCAGTCATTGCTATTCTTTCCTGAGAGCTGGTCCAACTGGGGGTATTGGTCATGGCCAGAAAGACATTTTAGATGCTCATAAAGGACTCTATAACACGTTCAAACAGCGTCATGGCATGCTCAATTATCTCTTAGCCTGGGTATGTTAGGCTCTTTAACCATTACTGTAGCTCACCACATGTACGCCATGCTACAGACTATTATGGTACACAACTTACACATTGTTCACACATCATATGTGTGGATTTTGGTGGATTTCTCATAGCTGGGGGAGCTGCTGCGCATGCAGCTATTTTTATGGTAAGAGTAACTGGGTATCTCCCATACAGCGTCATGACAGTCCTTTAGGGCGTCCTCAAAGATATATGCTTTCAGATCCCGCTACATAATTACAAACCATCATCTTTGCCCAATATAGCACCTGGTCCGACATTGATACCAATACTAATACTCCATTTCATTTTGAATACATTCGCGGAGATGGGGGCATAAAAATGGAGACATTCCAGCAGAGCCAAGGGAGAATTCCACAGGGTTTTAACATCTGAAGGAGCTTGAGCAGAACTCCAACCTCAGCAACTCCAAGGCGAATCAGGAGAGAGATGAGGAGCGGCGGAGGGAAGAAGGGTACGAGACGCCATTGCCAGACCCATGTGTCTAGGAACTGCGCAAGCTCGTGGCTACCGGAACGACGACGACGAGGATGAGGATCAGGAGCAGCAGCAGGCCGATGAACAGCCACTTCCTGCTGCTCCTCTGGTGCTGCTTCGCCGTAGCCAGTTGCTTGACCCCGCCCTTGACGTAGTCAGCTGCGTGGGTGACGTGATGCTCGATATCGTCCATCTGCTCACCCTGCGCCTCCACCATCAACGCCATGTCCAAGAATACCTGATGCAGCTCCAGGAGGCTTCTCTCGATCTCCTTAGCGGCGTCGTGGCGGTCCTGGATCTCGTGCACCGTCGCCAGAACCTTACCCCTCCCGTGCTCCTCGATCGCCTTCTTGAGGAGATCCTCGCTCTCCCCGTGGGATATGATCTTCTCGATCATCTCCTCCTCCGGCATCTGTCCCGTCACCGTGAAGTATCGGCGCTCCACCGTCTCCTTGTACTCCGCCATCATCTTCTGCCGCAGCGTCTGGAAGTCCATCATCAGATCTTTGAGCTTCTTGCGCAGGCCGTTGGTGATGGAGGTCCTCGTGCGGTCGACCGGCGTGCCCTCCCGGCAGCCGGAGAGCCGCCTGTTGACGGCGTTCTCCCGATCCATCCCCTCGAGGACGTTCCGGATGTCCCGCGCCTTCTTGAGCACATTCACGACGTCGCCATTGATCCGAGCACGGAGGGATTTGAGGGATTCAGGCTTGTGGAGGGATCTTCCCTCCTCGTTGGCCTCCTGGAGGCGGACGAGGAGCTCTCGGATCTCGTCCATCTCGTCCCTCACGCGGCCGGCCTCCTCGAAGAAGCTCCGTAGGTTGCCGTCGGCGGTGGCGGCGCTCCACATCTCCACATCGCCGAAGTCTTCGCCGCCGCCGGCTTCGAGATCCTTCAAGGCCTCCTTCTTGAGATCCACATAGCTCATGAAGGATTTGGTCATCAGATCGTTCATCTTGCCACTGCCTAACAAGAAACTGAGGAGGGTTCCCCGAAAGGTCCGAGAAGAGAGGGAGAGAGGGAGAGAGGGAGAGAGAGAGAGAGAGAACTCAGGAGGATCTGATCAGGGGATGTGGGAGAGTGACGAGAAGGGAGGGTTATAAAACGGTCGACGAGCGGCCGGCGCAACGGCTATTTCCCTGTAACGGCTAGATTTCAAATTTATTTCGTAGCCCACTGGGCTTTATTATGGGCCCATATATATTATGGGCATAATGAAAGATAAATAGTGGGTTCCGATTCGGCGGGGCCCATTTCCATCCCCAATGGGCACTCCGGCTAGCACTTTTAATGGGCCGCACCGGGCCAGACTTTCGCTTCTCTTTGCTGTACTCAAACACCCACCCATAATCGGTCGGGCTAAGCCCATTTACCCACTTCCTCCCAGCCCCAGACGGTAACAGCGGGTCATAAGCTCACAATACCTTATTAGGACAAAGATGGGATCTTAATAGGTGGTTTCCTTCACACATAATGGGCCTATCCGGGCCGGCCCATTGGGCCACTACTATAGATTCTACTAATACTACAGCCTTAAGAGGATACAATAAAGTCGGCAGCCATTATTTAACTAGAGGATCGAAGGCGACGGCGCGATGCATCAACTACCGTACACGTACTCTGGATCAATCTCGCAGTATTCTTCTCCCGTCGTGCCAAGGCCAGAAGGCCTTCTGCCACCGGGCGCTGACCAGGTAGCCCTCGCTCCGCCGCCGCCGGGGAAGAAGCTGCGGGTTAAGGGGAGCGCTGTGAGTCGGATATCAAAGGGGGAATCCCTCCGCTCAGTCCGCTAAGAGATAAGTTTCTGCAAATCAGATATGATATCAGTCTGCGAGCTCATATCCCCACAAACATGCTGCTGGCTCAGAATCATTTGGAAATTACCATTTTTGGTAGAATTCACAGAGAAATGATCCTCGAATAATTAGTGGCATTGATGCGGCATTCCATGACATTCCAGGTGTTGTTCTTCGGAATGGATGGATCGCTAGGTCGCCTATCTAATTCCTCTCCACCTGGAACCATTTTGTGATCTCTGAGACGGCACCAGGAGTCAGAATATACACACGCAGAGAAGTATTCGCTTCTTTGTAAGGACGGGTTCATAAGAAGAATAGCGCATATTAGAGGCCCGGCTGATTAGCTTCAATATACTTGCTTTTATACCAGCTAATTGTCGGGTAGAGATCAATGTGCATTTTCTATTTCTATTTCTGGATGTTAATCTATGGCTGCCCGGATCTCTCTTGCAGAGTTTGACAGGGCCGGGCTCTCGCAGAATGCTGGAGAATGGGCATATACTACTGGACGTTATTGCTTGGAGATCTATATTATTGGGAGAGAGAGAGAGAGAGATCTTACAAACTAGTACGTGATGTGTCAGGGAAGCATTTAAATGGATGTTGGCTGGGGGTCGAACGCCACTTCCTCTCTACCTTGAGGTACTCCGCTGGTAGGGACCGGCGGCCAAAACTTCGTCGGCGTAGACGTTGAACTCCCTTGTCTTGTTGGCTGCGAGCTGCTGGAGCTCGGGCAAACTGCAGGATCACAAGGATCTCCTCCTTTGGCGGCCAGGCGACGCTGAAGTTTATGCCATCGGTGTTGGACGCCGCTGTCACCACGGTTCTCAGCACCGCAGACGGCACCTGAAACTCGTGGCCGGCCTCCGTCTTCCCTTCCAGTCGAGGAACCAGGTCCGATAGTAGGGGTCATCTAGATACATGCACTAACATTTGAAAGAGATATATATATTATATTTGATCTCAATGTGGGTATATATATGTGAATTTATATTATGAGGCTATTATTAAGTTTAATACATATTAAATTGATTCATTTAGAATTAGATGTTTATGATTAAGTCACCTTATATAAGTATGATTTATATATTACTAGAGATCGTCCTAATTCTAATTTTTATGATGGGTAAAATTAGAAAAGGACACCAAGATAGGATAACCACCTCTTTACTTTTAGAGCATCCCATCACTCCAAGAGAAGAAGTCACTGTGTGGACAACTATCTTATGCAGACTAAAGACCCCACACCTCATATTTAAGTCGGAATGAACTCATGTATGTATCCCTCTCTCTTATCATTCTTCATTAGTCAACACGAACTAAAATTTTCATTAAGAGAGAGAGGGAGAATTTGAGAACCTGATCTGATTTCTCCAGCAATAGTCCTCCCAGTTTCCCAGCATGAGATGTGACTGTGACTCGCTCGCCAAATGGTACATGTACATGGAATCGAGGAGGGGCCGGAGAAGCTCCAAGATCGACATGGAAGGCATCCAATAGTCCGGCCGCTGGTGTCCACTCTTGGCGGGGGTGACAGTGCTGTGCTCCAATAGTAGAACTGCCCCGCTGTGACGATGGCAGCAAGGTTAACACCCACATAGACGTCTAAGCTCGGGGGCTGATCCAGGCCTTTGTAGTTCATGTGCATAGGCTTCCTCTTCCCTTTGCTAGTGAAATGTGTGTGTGTCTTCCTCTTCCTTTGTCCAATCTTGGACTTGGCCACCAGTGGCCCCAGCTCTAGAGCTTCTAACACGACGTGAATCATCTATTATGTTAGAACCTCTCTGATCGAAGCTTGTCAACAAAGACGCTGCTGGCAAGGAGAGAACTGTTGGCTCATGAAAAAGGAGAGAGGGAAAGAAAATGGTGGAACTAAAATTAGGTTAAAAAAAAAGGTTCAGGTACACATTTATATCGACCCAATACGAGCGTATCAGATCCAGTTTCAGCATAAGTGAAACCAATTGAGTAGATCTAATCTGCTCATGAACAAGGGGGTCTTAAGTATTATACTAATATGACATATTTACAAATAATATTATAGTTTAGTATAATTATAATTTCATTCCTTAACATTCTCCCTCAAGTTGGTGAATGTATATCATACAATCCCAACTTAGATATGAATATTTGGTAGATTGGTCGGCTTAATCCTTTGGTGAGAATATCAACAATTGTTCATGTGTGAGAATATAAGGTGTGCATATGTTGTCACTATCTAATTTTTCTTTTAATGAAGTGCTAGCCAATCTCAATGTGCTTGGTTCAATCATGTTGCATCAGATTGTGAACAATGTTAATAGCTGATTTGTTTCATAATAGATCTTGATTGAGCTTTGTCTATCAATCTTGAGATCTTCTAAGATGCCTTTTACCCACCCATAATACTTCACATATGCTGTGTGACATAGCTCTAAATTCAGATTTTGTATTTGACCGTGCCACAACTTCTTGTTTTTTACTCCTCTAATTGATAAGATTACCTCCAAGAAATGTGCAAGAACATGAGGTCAATCTTTGATTGACAATTTAATCTACATAATCAACATCATATAAATTTCTAAATTCATTTGATTATTTTTTCTTAAACAAAATACTTCTACCAAGTGTCTTTTTTAAATATTGTAAAACTCTACCTACATCTACTAAATGAACTTCTTTAGGTATATGCATAAATTGACTAAGGATGTATGCTATGTTCGGTCTAGTATGGGAAAGGTAGATCAATTTTCTACAAGATGTTGATATCTTAATACATCTATAGGTCTACTCTCTTCCACTTCTCCAAGCTTATGGTTTGGATCTATAGGAGTATTTAGTAGTTTACATCTTAACTTCCGAACTTCTTTAAGAAGGTCAATGATGTATTTCTGTTGGGATATAAATATCTATTGTTTCAAGTGAGCAACTTTGATGCTTAAGAAATATTTTATTTTTCCTAGAATCCTCATATCAAATTCTTTTAAGAAACACTTACTCAAGTGTTCTTTTTCTTTTTCATCATTTCCTGTCACTATTATGTTATCAACATAAACTAAGAGGATTCTTGTTCTCCCAAAAGGTGAATGTTTAATAAACAATATATGATCTCCATTATTAAGTTTAGATCTAATGTTTGTCATCACCTTTGAGCATTTGTCAAACCATGTTCTTGGTGATTGTTTGAGCCCATATATCACCTTTTTCAATCTACATACAACATCCTTGTTAGGGTTAATATGATATCTTTGGAGAATATCTATGTAGATCTCTTCATCAAATTCTACATGAAGGAAAGTATTTTTCACATCAAACTGTTGTATGTCTCAATCATAATTAGTAGCTAAAAAGAGAAGAATTCTAACCATATTTATTTTTACAACTGATTGATCAGAAATCATTGTTATTAAAATCATCAATCTTACATTAATAAACTGATTTTAGAGGTTAGTTTTCTTAAAAAATTAGTGGAAAACCAGGTCGAACTCAGGAAGGATTTGAAATCATAACATCTGCAGTAATACTTCGTTAATTCCAATGGTGATGTTCACTATGAGGACTTGAAAGGCAAACATGATAATTGAAGGTTCATAGAGAAATGTCATTTTCTCATATGTGAACGACATTATGTGAAAGAACCTGAGAGGTGATCTGTGAGGGAACCTTGAGGCACGAATTCATAGACCAGTGCTAGCATATCTTTACAATATCCTAACAATGATACTAGACGTTTATGATGCACTCTCGTCAACAGTTGAGCCTGAAATTTCAAGATAACTATTATTTTTAAGGCATAAAATAACTCACAAAAAAATAACCACTAGGCCATGCCTTTGTTCTAGTAGAACGTAATTGATTACCATTGAGATTTCATTTTTATGTTACTATACTTACCTCAGCTCAAACTCCTTCGCTCCTTAACCTGATGATTTAGAAAGTACTTTCACTGCAACTTGAGTTTCATCTTTTAAAAAGCCATAGTAGACGACACTAAAACCTCCTTTTCTAATTGGTCATTCAAATTTATTGGCGATATTGATAATATCATATACTGAAAATTTGTCATGTTCATAATGGAGTCTCTTTTCCTTCTCTACTATTTGGCGGTTATCATTCCCTCCTATTGCAACAAAATAAGGTTGAAATAGCAATATGAGCAGCCTTCCAACTAGTGTGGATGCACGACTCGATGACATTAAAAAGTAAGTGAAGTTAAAGATATGTACCTTGTGCCCTTCTTCTTTTCATGATACATATTATGATGCTGGTCAGAAGTAGTAGAAAGGATGCCGAACTAGCTATTTAAATTAGAATGATATTCTTTTTTTTCTCTATTGTTGCTTTACAGAGATTCACTGTACTACATAGAAGTGTATTGTTGTCCATCCTAAATTTTTAATATAATAGATGTTAGAATAGGGTGAAGATAACATCCGTACTCGAATTTACTATTTTCTAGGTATTATAAAACTATTTACATGAATTTAGACAATGATCAAGTGTTCAGTGAGGGCTAATCTTTTTTTCTACATGATGTATGTAGCACAGTCATGCTCTATGTCCTGATGCAAAACCTGGCACCATTTTTCTTTCAGTTCTGGGGAAAAATCAATAATTAATGTTTTGCATGTTTGTAATGACTACATTTGGGAAAATAAAAAAATAGATAATATCCCATCTATCTTATCTAAATTAATCTTTTGAAATGAAAGCATAGAAACCTAGTTATAAGAAATAATATTACCAAGTGCTTATGTACTAGTGATAAGTCTTCATTATCATAAGTTAATAATTAGTAAATAATATAGTTTTAGCCTTAACTCATGATAAATAGACTTATATTTGTATTAAAGTGTGAAAAGTAGTTTTCAGTTGAGTAACGTGAATTTTTAGGTAATTATGTGATTTTATATGATTTTTACAATCTTACTTTTGAGATAAATGAAGGAAAAGAAATTAAAATAAAAATAGCAAAATGGGGTGGACCCGCCAGCCAGCTGGACCTACAAGGGGGTCGGAAGCGCAGTCGGACAGGAGCCATGAGTAGGGGCTCTAGCAACTTGAACCAATGGGGGCACGTGTGCGTCACTCCCCTTCCACGTCACCGGTGGCTAGCCGGTTGTGGAGCAAGGAGTGGTCATACACGCGCGAAAAAGGGACTTGATCAGGAATGTAATATTACTTTATATTCGTCAGAAACTTCGGCGTACAACCGATGTGGAACTAAACCCGCGTCACCTTCCCCAGAAAGGGCAAGCAACCGACGTGGATTCGAATCCTCCTAGAGCCAAAATTCATATTTTTTATCTGATTATCGCATCTTTTCTGTAGATCGTCGGTGAAGGATTAAGCAACTAGAATCGTTGAATCATCGACGAAAATCTCGTCAACACGATTAGCGGAGCATTGTTACTAAAATTGTTGAATGATTCGCGATAAAAGGATTGTAAATCCATCGAGTAAAGCATCTCCGATTGATCGACAAACAATCCGTCATCAAAAAGAAGACGATCCGCCAGGAGACGAGTCGCCACTTCCTAAGAGCGTACCAGATGCGATGAAGAGCCTCCTCTTTCTGCGCATACACTTGAGGATGAAGTTCCCTGACACGCGCCCCACCTCCATCCAGCTCTTCTCCGTCGGGTGACAGCCGCCGAAGAGCTGCAAAGTTGCCGTTTTTCCGCTCCGCCGGGTGACAACCGCCGGAGACGATTTGACGACCCATTTCATTGATCTCTAGACTTCGCAAGGAGATCTAGAGATTGCCCACGTCATCTTTGATGTTATGTACGTACGTATCCATAGTATACCTAGAGAGAGAGAGAGAGAGAGAGAGAGAGAGAGAGAGAGAGAGAGAGAGAGAGAGAGGACCAAATAGCATGGGGACACAGAGGTCTTGTCCCCGTACCTCGGGGTCCATCTGTGGATGACTGTGAAAGCGGGAATTTTCAAACGGGCGGAGATCATCGCCGTCGCCGCTGCTGTGAGCATGCAGGTTTGCCTGGTGAACACGGGAAATGGGACCCCCATCATATCGGAGCTGGACCTGCGTCCCCTTCCCGATTCCATGTACGCCCTGGCCGACTCGTCGCATTCTATCGTCTTGCTCGAGAACCGGATGAACTTCGGAGGGGAAAACCAGATCAGGTTCTCTCTCTCTCTCTCTAGCCGGATATCTCTCTACCCATACACCTGCCTCTCTCTAAAACTCTGGTGCAGTTACCCGGATGACCCCTACGGCCGCTTGTGGCTCCCCTTGACACTCGGGAGAAGGATAAGCACTAAGCCACGGTGAAACCGCTGAAGGCATATTATGGGTTTCCGATGCCGCAGGCCGTCCTGAGGACGGCGACGACAGCGGCGTCCCTCTCGGAGACCTTGAACATCACCATTCCCGGAAGTGTCAATGAGACCACCTACCTCTTCATGTACTTCGCGGAGCTCCGGCGGCTGAAGACCAACGAGACCAGGGAGTTCATCATCTACGCCGGCGACGGCCTGTTCTACGGCCCGTACACACCGCGCTTCCTGAAGACGGAGGTTATCCGCACGCTCCCACCGGGCCGGGCGGGGGGGCTGACCTACTACCTTCAGGCCACGGGAAACTCCACTCTGCCCCCCATGATCAACGCCCTCGAGGCGTTCACCGTGCGACGGCTAACCTTGATGCCGACCAACGTTAGTGAAGGTGAGCACGTCTGTCTTCTTCCCTCAGGAACATCCTCAGCCCAAACAGCTATCTTCAAGCTTCCATAGATCCCAGTTTCATTCCTGTCATCCCTCATATATTATGATACACTCCGATTACAATCGCCATGGGAGGAGTAAGCAAAGGGAGCACAATCATGTCTGCTGTATGGAACTGCAACTATATCAGTTTCTGCATTCTTACGTACTCCTGCTCACCCGCCTGAATGACAGTGGAGGCCATCACAAAAATCAAGGCCTTGTATCAAGTGAAAAGAAACTGGGAGGGCGATCCGTGTGTTCCGCAGCAATTCACCTGGGAGGGTCTGGAATGCAGCGTCAATGCCTCTAATCACTCGAGGATAACCTCTCTGTGAGTTCTGACAGTATGGCCGACTGAAATTTTTTCTAAGCCACCAGGCTTGAGATAACACGGCACCAAAGACTGAAATTATCTTGGCTTGCAGAAACCTGTCTCACAGCGGATTGGGCGGCGGAATTCCTCCTTTTATAGCAAACCTCACAAACTTAATATCCTTGTAAGTTCGTCTAAAATTCTTGGATGTGCTTTACCTATCCCGTTTTGACGAATGCACTATGGAACACCAAAAGAAGGCAATTTTAACTAATTTCATGGATCGTTTTAGATCAAAAATCTTTCATGATCAATTATTTATGATTATTTTTTCATGGAAAAATTGAAGTTTGTGTTTCTCTGATGTTGCTGAGAATAGAAAGTCGCTCTCAAAGCTTTCAATCAAGAAATCAGACAATTTTATACTTTACAGTCATCTCCTCCTTTCAGGGATCTATCATGTAACAACTTTACAGGTGAAATACCAACTTACATAGATAAACTACAAGCTCTCAAAGTCCTGTAAGTTTTGAAATTTTGAACTCTCCAGTTTGGTTCTACATCCAGGGAGTATCTGATGGTTCAATGTTCCCTGTTTGCAGAAACTTGGAAAACAATGATTTGAATGGGACTATTCCGAAAACTCTATACAAAAGATCACAAGATGGATCACTACTATTAAGGTTAGCTTCGCATTTATAATCATTAGATAATGCACTTCTATATAAGTAATTTCAAATAAAAAGTTATGTCAACAAAGGGAAAAAATAATATAAAACATGAGAAAATAAATCCAAATTGAGTTGAGTTGCTCCAAACTTCAAGTTTCTTATCCACCAAGCCCCAGAAAAAGATGGTTGAGAAAACTCCATGATATAAGGTCTTAACAATATGATAGAATAAAGTCAAACATTTCTAGTTGACATGACTTAGTCGTTGTATATTAAATCACGTAAATTTAAAATTTATAAAACTAGAAAATATGAATTTTTGGATATTTAGAAGTATTTCTGAACAAATATATCAAGTATAATTTAATAAAACTTCTAAAAATAACCGTAATTTTCTAGGTTGATCACAAGGATGTAATATAATATATGGTAATTATTAAGCATTTTCTTCAAATAATACTATTTTTTATGAATTTTATACTAGGAAATGAAAAGGAAATATATTTAAAATTCACGAAAAAGGAAAATAAGGGTGCGGACGTCAGGATGACGTCAATGCCCGACGAATGCAAATGGGACGGAAATAGAGTTCCACTCGACGATTCTTACGTAAGTGATTATAGATGATTTAATTGATCAAATTAAGATATGTAAAAGTCGAAAGAATCGTAATGAAATGAAGTATATCTGGGTAAATTAAAATCAACAAATTATCACTAAATGAAACGAAAATTAAGTTGAAAGCAGGAAAACAAAGTTCACTAACGGAATACCGGATAAATGATCCACTAACGGATACCGGGTCAACTAACGGATACTGGGTCAACTGCGGCTGTCGTCAAAAGGATTTGAGCGGATAAATGAGGCCAGCAGCTTGTCAATCTAATACAGCGAGAGACTGGCCCACTAGTGGGGAGAGACAGTGACACACAGACAGAGATAGGCATCGTGTACCCAAGAAAAATTACCCACCCACTCATAATTTCCATGTACTGTGAAGGAAAAGTTTTATAGCTAAAATTCTTCATATGCTGGAAGATATCCAGGATTATTTCGTTCGAATTGTCCCATCCATAACATAGTTGTGACAGATTTCAACTAATATATCATGTCCACAACTACTGTTCGCAGCAAGATTTCCTATGCTAATCTTCGTTTTGTCGTTGAGCTACATGTGGTCTCAAATTGTTCCTATCTATTTAAAATAACAGAGATATAATGACATCTATAGTCTTTCTAAAGTAGGAAACAAAGTTTCTACACATTCAATGTGCTGGAAAAATCTAGCTCTATACCCTTTTATTATATTTCTTTTCATGTCACATTACCAAGGAAACATTAGTTACACATGGCCTCAAGTTAACCCATAAAGTAGAGAGAGAGAGAGAGAGAGAGAGAATACTGCAAAAACGAAAATAGTCTATAAGTCAACACAACTCATCAAGAGAATTAGAAAGAAAATTCGATGGTATGGAAAATAAAAAATTATGATGATCTCTAGTAAGGGGTGTAGTTACAATTTGCCTCAAGGATAAAGCAAATCAGATGATCCAACCTTGAAACTATTTGTAGATTTTATCCAACAATATGGTTAGAATATAGGCCCTCGGACTTACCCATATAGAAAGATTACCAAAGTGTGCCTACCACAGCCTCTAGGGAGTTATGGGTCCAGCTGAAAAGATGATGAGTGCACCCATAATTATAGTTGTTTATTAGGGGGATACAAAAAATTAAACCCTTACATTTTTTAACAATTATATCAATGAAAATACCTTAAAGATCTCATCCTTGTCAATAAGATTTTTGCTATCCAATGCCAATAATGAAATTGACTCCATTACAAGGCTCACTAGCACAATAAACCAGATCAGTTATAGTCTTGCATAGATAAACATGACATAATTTGATTATCACATATCAAGATATTGCAGAACGCAATGCACTATTTAATATGAGTTATTGCGTAGCTCATATAAATGCATCCATAGAAGAAGGGCATAATAATACTGACTAGGGAAATTTGAGATAAGGAAACTTAGCTTTCAAGAGGAGATAGTGATCCCAACATTTATTCCTCAAAACAAGGAACCAAGTCCAAAATAAGAATCAAGTTTTTCTAGACAATGGTGGTTTACTATTAATGCATCATCTTTATATGATAATTATGGTCAAATGTGGATAAGTAATACTTTACTTAATAATAAATAAAATAAAATAAAATAAAATTCATAAAATATATTTTATTATGCATGTTATGAATTTATGTCAATCTATGCATTAGTCATAAGAAATGACCATTTAATGATTTAATTTGTACTAACATGTGTACCCAAGTTCAATACCTTGAACTATTTTAATTGGCCAGAGAAGTTCAAAAGGATAAGAAGAAGGAAAATTATATTTTTTATGGATTTATTATAATTTTCTGAAAAAAAATTGGCTTGATTGTGGGCTGTTTACATCAGGCCCAATGCTTGCCCATTATGATGAGGGGTTTTTAAGAGAAGAGAGAAAGAGAAAGAGTTGGGGGACCTTGAGAGTTAAGGCATAAGTGTAGGTTCAATTGAGGTTAGGTAAAACACCAAGAGGGCAGGTGAATTAGGTTTCTATGAAATTTTTTAGTTCTCAGTTTTTGTCTCCTAATAGATATGTTGACATAGGTTCTCTCACAACTCTCTCTTTCTCTATTCATATTCTCTTAAAACTATCTATCTTTCAATGTAAGTTATTTCATAATTCTCTTTTTATCACTAAAGACACTACAATTTTTTATACTAGTTTGTCCCTCATTTGACTACTTATAATCTTAGAGGATCTTTCTTACCAAAGTTTACTATTTTCACTCAAAAATACATACTGATTTTAACAGGATTAGCAACCTAACCACATTGGTCCAGTCTTCTCACGAACCTCACCTTTCAAGGGCACAATCAAACTATCAACACCACATGTTTTAGCCAAAATGATGGATAGCATATGATGGAGAATATCAACATTTGAGATGAATATTGCTTTGCATGGTGGCCGAACCTTAATGGAAGTAGGATATTTGTTGGAGCATAGATCGACATTGGAGTTCTTGATGTAACTTTTGATATTTCTCATATATATATTCAACTTTATCTAATATTTTTCTATCTTGAAAAATGGTCATATAATTTTAAAATTCTTCATATTGCCCAGAATGTGTGGCAATGAGCTTTTCTTGTTTAGTACTTTGACTCACTATTCTCTTTTTTATTTAATTTGAAGCTTGAAGTGTCTATTTTTTTCTTGTCTACGAACATCTTTGTTGTTGAGGTCTAGTATAAATGAGCACATTCAGTTTTCCATTATCTCTATGTAATCTATCAAAGAGTCATCATCTAGAATGTGCAGCAACAACCTCTTAATTTTATAATTTTTCAAATATCTTCTCACCAAAGGTTCCAACTTGTCGTCATATGGATTATAGGTTCAAGACTTGCACCTGACTTGATATTTCATGATTTTCTAAGAGTTTCTTCACTGAGTCTTCCAACATATCATTGTCCAAGTTTTGAATTCAAATCTTGCAAGTGACTTTGTTACTTTGAGATTTTTCAAATATTTATTCATTGAAACTTCTTATTTATCATTGTCTAGGTTTCAAGTTTGAATCTAACAAGTGACTTGTTACTTTGTGATTTTTTAGGTATTTCTTCATTGAACCTTCTAACTTGTTGCCAGACAGATTTAAATTTGAGACTTGCATCTTACTTGATATTTTGTGAATTTTCAAGTGTTTCTTCACTAAGGGTTTTGATGTATTGTTGTCCAAGTTCTAAGTTCTAATCTTGCAAATAACTCTAATATTGTAAGATGTTTTAGATATTTTAACACTTGTATTGATACTAAAGTTTATGTACTTATATACAAAGTGCATGATGTTGTATTAGTTCCAACATATAAAGATCTCAAGGATCAACCATTGTTTTTTTTTGTTAGTCATAGAATCAGAGAGTAATAACATTATATATATTGAATAATTCTTAAAAATATTAAATCTTTAACATAAGCTCTCATGAACATTATTGAATATTCAGTGAGTTCTACAATAAATAAATTTTAACATTATAATATCAAAACCAAAGGCATCAACAACAAGAGTACCAACCGACCTCTCTCCATATGACAGGCAGAGATAGTAGCAATAATGGCGGCATTGGTGGACAGCAACAATAGTGCAACAGCAGCATTAGATGATGATGGCGCCATAGTAACACAACAATGGTGATGACAACTGCAAGCTCCCCTCTTACATGATAGGAAGAGTAGGAGTCAAGCATGACAGTGATGATAGTGGCTGTGAGCTCCCCCTCCTGCATGACAAGTAGAGGAGGAGCCAAGCATGATGATAGCAGTGCTCTCAACAGCAATGGCAACATTGGCTAAGTGCTTCCCTGCTCCATGACAAGTAGAGGAGGAGCCAAGCATGATAACAGCAGCACTCTCGACAGCAACGGCAACAGCAGCTGAGTAATTCCCTACTCCATGACAAGTAGAGGAGCCAAGCATGATGACAACAACAGTAGCTATAGTGTTCATGGAGGCAATGACAATGATCTGACCTTCCTTTTCCCCCATCATAAATCTCTCATGTGTGACAAATGGAGAGTGGTGAGAAGGTTGTAGATTAAGGCCTTTTCTACTATTTTCTATGGTTATTTTCTACGATTTGATTTAGCATACATTCTTCCTCTTTAAATCTCTAAGTGACATATGGATCAAAAGGAGATTTTATTTCATCTATTATTGCTTTCATTTATTACTTTAATTTACTGCACCATCCCTCTTTAAATTTCTAAGTGGCATGAATCTAAAGAGGGTTAATCTATGTTTTTATTGTTTAATTGATTTGATCAGTAGATGATGATTTTTCACCTCTTTTTCGGTTTTCATTTCATCGTTATTTGTCTCCAAGTTCTTCTATAACAAGTGGGTGACGCACTATATAGAGTAACTAAATTTATTTCTATTTCTTTTAATTTTATTCACCGTAGCAAGTCGCATAGTTCCTTTTGCCAACTTGATTTAACGAGTATTTGAAAACAAAATTTGATATTATATTTGAGAATCATCCATGAGGATCAACCTAAACTCACTAGAATTTTAAAGTTAATTTCCAATATCTAAGTTTAGTATAAATATTAAGTTTGGCATGTTTAAATTCAACAACTAAAACATGATCATTTACCCTGATAAAAGATTCTTAGATCGATTTAGAAATATTTTTTTAGTATAATTTAAAAGAAGGAAAGAAGATTTAAGCATGCACTTCCATTTATCTAAAAATAATCAAGCATCCAAACCCTAAAACTCACTCCCTAAGTAGGAATGTCACAAAGCATTTACTATAGTGGAATAATTAAATTAATGTTAGAATTATTTTATTATTATCTCATTTAAAGCATTTTGGTGAAGAAAACATTCTTGTCATGAGCTGAGATGCAGGGACTAGCTCATGTGAATGCTGAGCTGGCACCTTCATGTCCAGTAGTAGGGTTCTTGACAGCCAAGAAGGTTAGATCACGAACAAGATGGTGGTGTGGGTGATTGCTAGTGGTCTGTTCAATCGCTGCTAACTCTCCCTAGAAGGAGCCAAGAAACAGGCTCTCATCCCCAGCCCTCCGCTGGCTGAGAAGGTGTGATTGCTGGCGATTTACCTCTTTTTTCGTCGTAACGGCCACTTTCTTGAAATTTAGTTGGTGCCGTTGAAATTTGAAAATTCTCATCGTCGTCGGTATATATCCATCTACCGGTCGGAAATTGCGCGGGGAGGAAGATATTTGGAGATGACGTGGCAAGTTCGTCAATCGTCTTTCTTCAACCTATGTTCGTGCTGTTGCTGTTGCCCGGCAAGGGTCTCAACAATGGGTAATGGTTAGAGGGGGCGCCGCCGGCAGTGCCGGAGCCGCTGGCCATCGCATTCGCCGCCACCACCGGCGACGGTGACGAGGAGGACGGCGAGGGGTGGATAGCAGAGAGCGGCACGCGAGGCCCGAAGGGGAATGCCGGGTGCTGGCGCGGCAAGAACGGCGGAACCTGCGGATGGCTCGCCGGATTGCCGCCGTAGAAGGAGACGCCCGGCTGCGCGATGACCGGCTGGCGCGCGCTCGGGTTGCCGGGCGGCGCCCCCGCCGCCGGATCTGGAGCAGCGTGGCCCGCCGCCGCCGGGGAGAACCTCGCCGACGACATCCTGACGCGCTCCGCTGCGAACCGCTGCTTCGTCCTCTCCGCCTGCTCGCACTCCTTCATCAGCAGCGCCTCCACCTCCGCGAACTGCTTCAGCTTCATCTCGAGCCTCTTCAACTGCACAGAATGGGAGCGTGAACGATCTGCCGAGAGGGATCCAGAGACTTCCGAGAAAACGAAGTATGTTCGGAAACGCAGACCTGGTGGTGAACGATCGCCGCGACTAATCTCTGGATCTCCCTCTCCTCCTGATCCGCGAATAGCTTCGCCTTCGTAGCCGCAGCAGATAGACCGGACATGGCAGCGGCTTTGACCTTGTCGATAGAAAGAGCAGAGGAAGCTCCACCATCCTCTGTACCCTGACCTCCTCCTCCCACAGCGTTCTCTGAAACCGATCGTCCACTGAAACATCTTACAAACAGATCGACAAAGAGTCCCGGACAATCACGAAAAACGATCGTCACCAAACCTCTGTGATGCGCCGAATTTGAGTTCTCCGCGTGGAATCTGCCATTAATTCGTCAAATCATCCGTTAGCTTCTCTTCCCATCGATCAGAGAATTAATCAGTTACTGCCATACACGATTGAGAGATGATGATCACCTGTCTGCCCTCGTCTCCTCTTTGGTCAACACAGATAATGCTGCACCAGCGCAAGCTGCACCGACTCTCGGCCCCACTGCTGCGGCCAGAAAGGCAACCTGGAGCGCCTCAACCAAAGGTTAGGAACCAAATATGGTTAAATAACACACCATCTGCTGCCATCGCAGCGCGGAGAATCGACAAAATGGAAATTTTTTTGTTGAAAAGCTGATGATCAGAGAAGATTATTCAGGCCCAATCATGTTCTTCAAGCTCGTTTAATCCTCTCCGCAAACCAAAGCTCCCCAGATCTCACACCTTCGGATCATTTTGAACACAACCCCCATTAACATATGAATGAATCCCATTCCGCCTCACCTTCATCTACACACTGGTTTTATTTAAACAATGATCAGGTAAGATTATTGGGGTGCAACAAAGTTCATTAAACTCGCATGATCACAGAGACCTTCAGATCAACAATGATATCTGAATCAGGTTCATCAAAATTGGAAAGTTTTTGGAAATCACAAGGCTGAAGGCCAGGCATGCTTGCTCACTCTCCAGAGAGCCTTTATTTACCTTCAATTATGTAAGTATTCTTTCAACAATGAAAGGAGCAAAGAAGCTGTGATCATTTACCAGAGACATAAGAGGGTTCCCGGAATCGCCAAATGGCAGCCGAGCACTGGCACCAGCATCTGCTAGACAAACACCTGGAACAGGCAGGGAATTTTGGGTGAACCCAAGAAGAAAAAAATCAGATAAAAATTACCCAGAAAATGAGATGAATGATTACCATTTGCATCCTTGTTTATGCCTTCGGCTGAGTCCGATGAATTTGTGCCTGGGACATGGATGCTCTCCAGCAGACCGTCCTCCATTGGAAGGCGCAGGAAGTGCAGTATGCACTGTGCCTTTGACTTTGTGCCGACATGGTCTGCAATCTCATTCCAGTTATCGTTGAAGACTTCGAGAGCTTCCAGCAGCAGGAGGGTCTCTTGGTCGGACCAGTGATCCCCATTGAGGTCACATGACTGGTTCAGGGACTCGACCCTAGAGAAGCTGGCACTTGAGTGGCCGACAATGAATCTCCCTTCGTGGAAGCAATCAGAGCAAAGGGATAAATCGGCCTGCGAACAAGATGGAATAGAAATAGAGTTAACCAGTGTGTCCCCGAGAAGCTACCATCCACCATAATATCTACATTCGTAGAAGGATCATCATTGAGCTCTACGATGCATTGTTAGTTTGTTGATCAATGAGGTCAGAAGTTCCTTGATATGCACGATTAATGGCGCCATTCTATAGTTTGCTGAAGACAATGGACACAATAAACTGATCCTGTCAACCTTGCCTACCCTGCATAATCATCAAGAAATTAATTATCTGCTTCAACAGCGTATTAGCTTTTTGGGAGACTATTATTTGGAGTTTTCTTAATTGATGGTGAAAAGACCATAACACCCTTCCGTTTAAAAGCATCCAGATCGGGTATCCAGATCAGTATGCACAATGAACATCACTAAATTTGATTACTGCATCTCAAGAGATTACAGAAAGCAATGCTCCATTTAATATCAGTCCTTGTGTATATCATCTGAATGCATCCCCAGCAAAAGGGCACAATGACAATGACGTAGAAATTTGAGATGAGGAAACGTCATTTTCAGGAGATGGTGATCCCAGAATTTATTACTCAAAACAGGAAACGATATCCAAAATAAGAATCAGATTTATTTATTTTTAGCTTCAAAAGTACCTCCTACGACTAGACTCCAATGGTGGTTCACCCCAATACGAGAGTCTTAGATGGATTCAGCAGTGTTTATTTAGTATAATTAAGAGGAAGGAAAGAAGATTTAAACATGCACCTTCCATTATATGAAAAATCAAGTATCCAAACCCTAAAGCTCACTGCCTAAGCAAGAATGTCAGAAAGCATTAATTACAAGGGAAGAGTTAAATAATTTAGCGCTCCTAGACAACTGTTAAACTCTTTTTTTTTTTTTAATTTATAGTCTCTTCTATTGTGGACTTCCACAGAAATCTTTTTAAAGCAGTTGGTGAAGAAAACCTGGAGTTTATGTCCGAGGGAACTCAAACATTCTTGTCACGAGCTGAGATACAAAGTTTGACGTTTATCAGGTAAAATGACGCACATGTAAATGCGAGCTAGCACCTTCATGTCTAGTAGTAGGGTTATTGGCAACCAAGAAGAGCTCAATAGACTGGAGTACAGGAGGTTTAACCACTAACAAGATGGTGATGTAAGTGACTGCTAGTGATTTTTGTTCAATCGTTGCTAACTCTCTAAAAGAAGACCAAAATCAAGTTCTCATCCCCAACCTCAGTTGGCTAAGACAAGGGACCAACAATGATTGAAAATAAAAGGTGTGATCGCTGACAATCGGTATAGTCAGAGAGCATACACACTTTTTCATAGGGGAAAAAGAAGAGTGACCTTAAACTTCACAGGCTCTGACGCAAATGAAGACAGATTATTCAAGGATTGAGCACCCAAAGGATTCTATTCAACTCCAATGATCACTTAAATGTATTTTTTTGTGGCCAAGAATACTAATGTGAACAGAGAGTAGGATGTAGCAAAATTCAAGGCTCTTTGAAACAACCTAACGAGCCTAGAATGATTTCGACAATGTGTCAATGACATCACAAGCTTGCTTCATTTATGATGCGTAAAGGAAAGAAAATATTTCTGAAAATGGCTCAGAGCACCATTAAATCTTAGAGAATAAATTACTTTCATAATAAGTCACAGAACACCTTGAAAACTGGACCACAATGTGGCATATCTTATCATACATACTAAAAACCAAACAAGACCATATAATTGGAGAACAGAACCTTCAGCGTTGATCACTACAAATACCTGAAACATTATAAGGCCTATCGATTTTTCCACTTTCCTGCGACTTCAGGAATGCATTCAACTTGAATTTCCACCATAAAAATCAAATATTGATCTCTTTCTGGCCAGAAAAATAAAATAACTATTCTTTAAATGAAGTGATGCGGAAGAATTACCGGAATCCACGTGACAACATATTATCCGTTTTATTCAAATAGTAAACTAGGAAGAAGCACCCTTTAAAACAAGAGGCTGAGACACTTCACTGATGTCCCATCTTGGTATCCCATCTCCCTTCCAGCCTAAAGGTAAGCTTATGGCCACCCACACTTTGGAATAGACTGTAGACAAATACACTAAAAGATATAATAACTTTGGGCCATATGCCACGAAAATCCCAGCCAACAGAATATCCAATCTATCAATGTTTAGGCCGTTTCGTGAAGCCAATTCCAGAGACCAAGCTCCCCTCACCTCTCCCGCCATTAGGTTCCGCACATCCATTCTTATTTCCTGAACTTCAAGGCATAATTTCTTGCATGTCTCACCATTTGCTACAATCTTTCGCTGAACACAACTTCCCACTCTCTTAAGCCCTAACCCCTTGCGCTACTGCCTAACTAATTGCCTATATTAAGCAAGCATCCAACTCTAAGTGGAAGTTTGTCATTCTCGTCGGTAAGCACCATTCTGTTCCCCTTCCTTGCTTCGCCCTCTCTATCCCAGAGATATTCATCTGCTGCAACTTCATGTCAATTGGTCTCTCCTTTATCCCAGTTCATCTATCTCAATCTGCCTTTGTCCCCATATTTCTTCACTCTCCTTGCATCAGTCCTCTACGTCTATAGTTTACCCTTCCCCTGACCCCACCATCAAAATGGGAATGTCAAACTATTATAGTTCTAACACGAAAACGAAATTATAAACTAGGAGTGGTCGAAGAGGGAAATACCTCTTTCTGAGACTGATAATGTATCTGCGTCAAAGGGCGTGAACAGTAGTTACAACCATGTTCTGAAAGTCTTTCCCTTATCTGGTGATCTAAATCATGACTTTCACCACTGGAGCCCCCCAGACCCGAGGAAGAAGAGAGAACAGTAAGATCTTCTGGTCTGTAACTGCTCCTCGGCCTATCAAACTGCACCAAGCTATCAATAGATTTCAGTGCAGCTACATGCACAAGGAGCTCCCCGTCGTTTTCCTCCCGGAGAACAGCATCACCAGTCTTAGGCTCACGACGACCCAACAAAGCCAAGTAATTGATGATTCCCCAATGGTCCAGGAACCTTACTATACGGCTTAGGTCATATAGATCACTTCCATTGCTGGGAGCTAGACCCTGACAATCTGCTAGCGACAACTTCCTCGCTGGATTTTCCAAGTACTTGGCCACTATCTTGTTTCGGAGAAGCATATACCTTTCCGGGGTATGATCATTAGATTTCCCAGAAAAGAAATGTGGCACTACCTGCCGCTCCATCCTGTGCACTGTGGACGGATTGAACCAATCTGCACGCAGTGGCAACAAAGAACAAGGAGATCAGGAAACATCGATAAAAAACATTAAAAAAAGAGAAAAAATGATTGACTTACCAGAGTGCACAGGCACAAGGAGACACTCATTTCCGAATTGCTTCGATATCCCCTTTCCCTCCATCAGAGCCGGGGGAGTACACACGTATGCAGGCGGCTTATCCGGTTCCACTAATGCAAGAGAGGGGTGGTCGGGAAGGATCGCCGAAAGAACCTGAAGCTGGCCGTGCGAGATATTCTCGAGTTGGATAGGGAGTCCCGAGTAGGCGTTACCAGAGGCAACTGACCGCTCAGCGGAGACAATTGCGAGGACGGTAGGATGGGGACGATTAACCAAGTGTCGGACAACCAAAGGGAAGTCAGAGATACGTCGTCCCCTCTCCGCAACGACCTCGCCCTCGCGGAGATCCAGGACCGTCTCGGCATTGGGATTGGTAACCAGATCCTGGTCCTCGTCTTCTTCCTCCGGCGCCGCCGGCGTGGCACTAGCCGTGCCGGTTTCCTCCTCATCCTCATCCTCCTCCTCGTCCTGTTTGGTGATCGGGGGTTGCTTCTGCTTCTTGGTGCTGCTCCCCAGATTGCTCTCCCCCTTCCGTTTCTTCCACCTGAGGCGGGGATCTGACCAAAAGGCACCCGAGCATTTTGTTGCGATGCGATTTGGGGACGAAAAAATTACAAAACATCCGGATGCAACCAAAATATCAGCAAAAACAACAAACGAATTGAAAAACCCTAGGAGAGATAAACCAGCCGAAATTGACGACTGCAGAGGAGGAGATGCTTTCGCCAAGCGGGTTTTAGTACATACCTCCAGCGCCCAAAGAAGGGGGCGCTGCTGGTGACATCGTTGGAGATTTTTGGTCCTTTTGGTCTACACAGAGCGAGACAGATAGAGAGAGAAAGAGAGAGAGAGAGAGAGAGAGTAGGGGCGAGGGGGGTTTGGCTTTGCCTTCGATTTTTTCACAGGGGGCTTGTAGTACGAGGTGAACACCGGCATAACGGAGCTTGTGGTGGAGGCGCGAGGCACCGGACCGTACGGTCAACCCATCGCTGGTGACGCACGCCCAGACCCGGCCAGTCCCCGGTTCCCACGAACCGCCCGGTCCTGTAACACTCGAGTCTGGCTTATTGGGCCGATTATAGGACGTCATTGCGATCACAGACCCAATAAACAGTCAGAAATTTTGTACGTAATATTAGGCCGGCCCATTATGCCTCATGACAGAGCCCTCCGAGCATGGCCGCCCGACATTTCCTCCTCCCACCCCCCGTGTCGCTAGTGTTGACTATGCCTTATGGGCCCGGTCTATTGACTCTACATGTGGGTCCCACATGGGAACAACAATCGCCATCTTAGCCATAACGCCCTCCAAATTGCTTGTATGCCCCTCTTCCACAGAAATTCGACAAAAGATGGAGGGGGCAGGAGAAGAGAAGAGGAGACTAGGAAGGAGCCATTGCTCTGAGAGTCACCACCATCACAGACGCTGAGTTTTAAGGACCGGTGGGACCCCTTGTCCCAGCCAAAGTCAACCCTCCCCACCCTCCCTGATAGTCTCTATGTACAGTTAAGAGTCAGCTGGGATTCAAAAGAATAGGACAGTTGGCTCTCCTCAGGTCAAACCATGGTGGCCGCTATTGATCGCCGAGGGTGGGCCCCTGCTGAAGTACCCACTTGCTCCACTCGCCCCTCCTCCTCATCTTGTTCGCCTGAAGATCACAGGCAGGGAATTCAGATCTTTCTGGATGAAAATGGGGGCTCTCCTTGTTCATGTCGTGGCCAGGGAGGAGCCTTACAGAGACTTCCACGGTGGCCGAGGTCTGCATGGCCTCCATGATAAGATCCACATCTCCGGTCAAAATCTGAACCTGCAAGGGAGGAAGATCATCTAACCGCTGTAAGAAGGTTTTGAGGATCGCATGGTAGTCAACGAGGGCAAAGTCAACCCAGGGATTGGATTGGGCATACACGATGATAATCATTCACAGAAGAGGCGCAAAGCAAGAACAGTAAGCATCCCATTTGCAGGAGACAAGTTAAAAGAGGATATGATGGGCATCGAGTTCAATGAATATATGTAATTAGATTAGGAGAAATATTCCATTCCCCATATGTTTTCCCATGAACATACAGACACATGAAACGAATAAAATATTAAAGAAGGAACTTTGTTCGACTGACAGAGTACAGAGAGGAGATCATCTAGGTTTCAGGCGGAAGAAAATAATCAAAACTAAATCCAGCAGCCAGAATAAGGAGAGTTCCAACTACTAACGACTCGAATTGGAAATTATTGCCATTACATAATTGAAGAATTCGTGTTTCTACAACGAAATGATTGGCCAACTCAACAGGAAGACTGCGTCTCCAAATGGATTGGGTACAGACTGAACACATCTTTTTACCATATCAAGAAAAATCTGAAATTCATATGTGCCAATCACATAAAATTAGGAAAATATGGATTTGGCAAGTCATCCGGACACGGCACAGGTTTCTAACTTCCTAAACAAAAGGAGAAGTCTCCGTGTAAGAAAATCGTATGGGGATGTAGGATGGGGGCCAGAACTCATTTGTTCCTAAAATATAACGCAAAGGCTTGTAAAATTGTTGCCATCTCACCATTAGCATCTAGAGAGAGAGAGAGAGAGAGAGAGAGAAAGATGATGCGCACAAAATTCTTTTCCTCATACAAAAAAATATGAAATCATCACCAATAAACAATTAATGATGAATGGTGGCCACGGCTTCCTTAACTCTCATATGAAAAAATAACACAATTTGTATCTGTTTCCCATTTCAATGAATATAGTGTAAAAAATCAACAACCAAATTAGTATACAGAGTGAGCACTTCTCAACTGCACGCAGCGACCCAGAAATATATTGCCTATGAAAGGCGCCACACTAACAGTTTTCAAACAATCCAAACACTTCCCTCGGATTTCGCCGTCATGGTGGGGGGAAATTACATACCATTCTTCGTCCTCATCACAGAACGGTCACTCCTAATATACATAACGAAGGTGATAAAACAGCACCGGCAATCTGTCGTCGTAATCTGAAATCAAAGTTATAACACAACACAATCTTCCTGTGATATATAGCTCACAGAGGTTTCCTGATAGACAAAAGTAGATTCCCTCAAAGCGGTCAATAAAGTTTTGTCTCTTTTTTGGTCCTTCTCTGCACTTGTTTTACAAAGGAGTACATCAAGATGTACCCACCATGCATATCATTTTTCTATCATCCAAGAAACCCAGGCTCTCTAATTAAGGAGAGTTTATAGATCAATCAGGCGAAAAAAAAAAAAAGCAGTTTATTAATGAATGCGCTCTGCAAGCTAAGAATGATCTTAATAAGAATGGCACAGACTTTTACTGTTAATTAATACCTGGAAACTCACAAAAACAAAAAATTTCAACCCGTCCACCAGACAATGGATGCTATTGATAAAAACAACCTTTCGCAGATAAAAATATTATTATATTCTCGTTCAATGCAATAGCTCACCCTTGGAAACTTCGCAATGGTGCCAACACTAATCCAGCCATGGCTGTCCATACATTTCTTTAAGTATCCATCTTTCATCAAATTCTCGTCACTGCACAGCAGGTACAAACCAAAACGTAGAACAAAGGGATAAAACTAGCAATATGATTTCATAAACTCGTCAAAAGATAAAACCATTTTGAGGAGCAAACCACCTGAAGTAATATTCAATCTGTTTGCGCAGTCTGACATCAACGCCCTGAATCTCTTGCCCAGTAACGTCGGTGGGAGGATGGTAGAGATCTGGAGGCAGAGGTTGATAAGGAGGTTGGTCCTGAAATGCTGCCTTGCCGGTAGGATGAAGAGGATTCACGAAATATGGCTGATTCCAAACCGGAGGTGGCGGCATGATGGGAGAAAAGGGAGGAGCAGAATACGGGAACCCTTCTGCAACCAAAGAAAAATGCAACCAAATGCAACATCCAGTCAGAAACCATCAGAAGAACGAAGATCCTAAAGAGACATCAGAAACCGTCTCACCGGCGTAGTGCGGTCCGGGAAGATACCCATAAAGAAACATGCTCTCCGGAGATGGGGCAGGACTGATGTAGTATGAAGTGGAGGGGAGTGGATTCGTTCCCCATTGTGCATTCGGCACCGTATTGAAGACCCAATCTGGAGCAAGACTGGGGATGCCCATCATCGATTGTTCCATGGGATGATAAAAGCTGCTATTGACGACATGATTTGGCTGCTGGTGGGAAGGAAAGTGAGTTTTGGAGGGATGACGAGGTCGCTGCTGCTGGTGATTGCGGCTGTTATCGTTATTATTATAGCCACTATTATTGGGATGGTGGAGGAAGTGCTGATGATTCCTTCCCCTACGAGCATTCCGCGTCGGAGGCCTCTCCCGATGCTGCCGGGGTGCAGGAAGAAGAGGAGGATGGGCCGCTCTGGGAATGTTGGTCATGGGAAGAGGCAGGTCCTCGCGCGGAGAAGAGACCACGGCCAAGTCTGAGGCACGCCGTTCCTCCCCCGATGTCTCATTGCACTCGTGCTCTTTTTCCTGAAGATCAACAGGTAGGCTGATCGCGAGGGAACGTATAGCATGATCCCCATTGAATGCCGATTCCGGCGAAGAAGATGATCCCGCCACCGTGATCTCTTCCGCGGAAGGAGTCCGGACCAGAGCGGCCTCCTAAAACAATTTTCGACAAATAATGACCACGACGAAAATAAAAAATACGAGCCGCAATGAACGAAACCCTAGAAAGAAAAGAGCGTAGACGCGGGCTGATGAGCAGAGCCAAACCAGACGAAGGCCCTGCGGTTGCTTCTTCTTGTTTGCGCCGTCGCACGAGGGAACAGGCCAAGAGGAGCGGGGTTCCTCCATGAAGACTACCTCACCGTGCCCAGGGGGACACCTAGCGGGGCACTTCCAAGACTTTCCCGCCGATGAGGCCTCCCCGGCAGCGATCCCTTGCGGACCTTCGCCATTGTTCTTCCCCGAGATCTCCCCCAGGGAAGGGGACGGCCAAGACGAGGAGAGGGCGGTGGCACCATCTTGGTTGTGCTTGGTGGCGATGGAGATGGCAGACAACTGAGTAGAGATGGAAGTATACTCTCCAGTCACCGTCGTCATTGTGGGCTCTGTGGCGTCACCTTCGTCAGCACCACCTTCCCCCCCCAACCCGCGACAGACCGCGCGCGCGCGCGAGAGAGAGAGAGAGAGAGAGAGAGAGAGAGAGAGACACTCACACAAACATACACAGAAGGCGGGGGGGGGGGGGAAGAGAGAGGAGAGAGAGAACTGAGGAGAGTATTTTTTTACTGAACCGCTCTTTCTTTTATGTATCTTAGAGGTTCTATCTGGCCAGGAGATCGATGAGTTAAAGGATATTATTTAATGGTAACCGATGTGACATCATTAAGGGCATACTCTTTGGGATTATTGTGATATCTCCCTCCCATATCATGGAAATATTAATGGTAAAGGATACAAATAAAATAAAATACACAGGTGAATGATCATTTCGCTAATTTAGAAGCTTTAATAGGACAGCTATCTCTCCGAGTCAAGATGGGCTTTATTATGGGCCCATCTTTCGTATGGGCCCTGTATAAGGCTTACAAGTGGGCTATGATTCGGATGGCCCATTTTCATCCTCCGGCTAGCACCTTTAATGGGCCTACCGGGCCAGACTTTCGCTTCCCACACAAAATGGACCGGGATGAGCCCATTTCCCCCACTTATTTCCTCCCAGCCACAGACGGAGTAACAGCGGCTCATAATATCACAATACCTTTATTAGTACACAGATGGGCTGTTAATGGGTAGTTTCATTACACACTTAATGGGCCGGCCCATTTGATCCCTTCCTAGATATCCTAACTATACCACAGTCGGCGGCCATTATTATCAGGAAGATCGGAGGAGACGGCGCTGATGCACCATCCACCGTACACGTACACTTGATCGATCTCGCGGTATTCTCCTCCCGTCATGCCAAGAGCCAGAAGTTCTTCTGCCACCGGGTGCTGACCAGGTAGCCGCCGACTCCGCCGCCGCGCTTCCTCACCGCCATGGCCAAGCAGTCCGCCTCGTCGATGCACCGCTCCACGAAGTCCTCGCCGGCGGCGGCGCCACCGGGGAAGAAGCTGGGGACGAGAAGCGGGGGGGTTGAGGGGACGGCGGCGCTGAATCTGTGAAACGAGATGAGGGTTACCTTACCAGCAGAAAGGAGAGGTCTTGTTCTGGCTGAGCACGACGACGGAGGCTTCGAGCTTCTTGATCTGGCTGAGGACTGTGGGCAGCTTGGGGCCATGGACGACCAAAGCTTCCACCTCCACCTGCCGGAGGAGGAGGTCAAGAACCAGGCATGATAATGGTAGGTGAGTCCTATCTTCTGTGGGAGTACCTCTGGTTTGGAGGCCTTGCAGAGGGCGGCGAGGGAGTCGGCGAGGAGAGAAGAGGTCCTCGCGGCCGCCGCGGTGGAGGAGGCGGCGGCGCCGGGAGGGTGGAGGACGTGAAGGAGGGTGACGGTGTCCCCGGCGCCGGCGACGTGGTTGAGCGCCCACATCATGGCGTGCTTGGTGCCGGAGCTGTGGTCGATCACCACCACCACCCGCTTCCTCGCCACCATTGTCGCCAACTCTCTCTCTCTCTCTTTCTGAACCAGATGAAGGGAGGGTGGGCTTCTACAGCGCCGCCAAATAGAGGGGGGAAGACGGGATGAGAGGCGGGAGGAGAAGAGAGGGACAAAAATGGAGCTACCAACGAAGCCGGAAACAATCGGCTCACTAATTGCACTGCCCACTGCTCAAGGAATCAGTGCGCCGCGAAGCAGAAAGATAGCCACTCAATCAGAGATAGAAAGGAGAGAGAGAGAGAGAGAGAGTTCTCCTCTCATCAGTGACCGTTGCCCTTTTTATTTATGTTCTGAACGGGGGCATTTACGCCGCTGGGGCCCTGTTTATTTAGCTCAGACACATCATCACTCAGAATGGCTCAAAACAGTCTCCCCTCACCCCCCACCCCGAATGACCCGGCATGTAGAGAGAGAGAGAGAGAGAGAGAGAGAGGGCCGCTGGAGACAAGACTTGGTGTTCCCACGTGATGGGGTCCGTCCATATAACTGTTGGCAGTTATCGAGACGAGGAACGAAGCACAGAAGCACAGAAGAATGTATCCATCTACCTGCCAGAGCATCCCCCCCCGGTCATCGCGGCCCGTACTTATAATTAATAAATAATTTAAATGGTAAATCACCATTAACCGATTCTTATCAAATCCATCCGTTACTGATTATCCGGTCGTGATTCATTTTAAGGGCTTTGTGATGAGAGCCTTCTGTTCTGTCCGCCTAACGCGTCGGCTGCTTGTCGTCTTCTCACGTGCGACAAAAGATTCCGTGCGTGTCACGGACCGGATTCTGTTCCCGGAGACAGGACGTCGCCCACGTGTGCATACGCCGACTGCCATGCCTCTCGGGGCTCTCTCTCTCTCGCTAGACATACCTAACCGTACAAAACATGACAATGGCCCACTAACAGGAAAAGCATTTTCTGGGTGGCCCATTGAAAGGATTAAGGCGGATTCATTGGGCCTACAGCGGATCCATCAACTGAAGAGGGGGGGAGGGGGGGGTTAAAAGGAGCCCATTTATAGTCCCACGTGGATACAGTCTCCGTGGGGTCCCCACCATTGGGGAGAGACAGTGACACAGAGAGAGAGGGGGGGAATACAATTACTTATTAATTAAATAAAATGTGAATAATACAATTTTCTTGGGAATAAATAACAGATATCATTGACCGACATAACTTCTTTACATCACTGTGAAACAAATCTGGGGTGGGGGGGGGGCTAGTAAATAAAAAAATAATGATAAACATCTGCGTGGAGCGATCTCGCGTATGCTGACTACACTTTGACCAACAAATTTGCTAAAAAGCCGCAAATTTTTGGGACGACAAGAGAAAAAAAGGGAGAAGTAAAAATATTTGAACGGCCGAAAAAACGGGGGTGGAAAAATAACGTACCGGGCCCCGTCCTCCGTCGAGCTCCAGCGTGGGGCTAGCCCGCCGCCGCCGCCGCCGTCTGCGGCGGAGGAGACGCTTCGGAGAGCGTCCGCAGGCCCTCGCCGGCGGCGCAGGGCCGGCAAGACTGCGAGCAGGGCTCGGCGACGCTGTCGTCCGGGACGGTGAGGAAGTGCTTGGACATGAACTTCCTGAATCTCTTCTTGTAATCTTTGGGGGAGATGACGGTGGGCGAGGTGTTCTTGGGCACCACCAGGGAGGACTTCACCCAGGTCTCCAGCTGCTTGTCCCAGGTGTACTGTCTCAGGTAGTCGATGATTCCGAACACGAGCTCTTGCTTCTGCTTGTCCACCCCCACCAGCAGCGAGTAATCCATGACGTTAATCGACTGAAAAAAGCACCAGCTACAGCGGATGAGAGAGAAAGAACGAAAGAGAGAGAGAGATGAGAGAGGGAATGGATGCTCACAGTGAGGAAGGAGGTGTCGTTCCAGATGGCCCGCTGGAAGAGGTGCTTGGTCTTCCCGGCGAGGAACAGGGGAGAGGAGCCCATGTCCTCGACGAAGTTCTGGTCCAGGAGGACCGCGTTGGGCTTGGAGGCGTCGGAGACGTACCGGGAGAAGACAGCACCCTTGAGGTCGTACACTCGGGAGATCTCCCTGCCGTAGAGGAGGTTTTCCATGACCATCAGATCAATCTTCAACTCCTTGCCATTCGTAACCTGCTTCACCTGCGCAGAGGAGGAGAGATGAATCAGAGAGGAAGACGAAAGAATCTTTGCGGAGGAGGAGGCGCCGCCGAACGTACCCGGTAGATGCCGAGGATCTTGGCGAGGCAGGTCTGGTTTCCGGTGGAGAGGGAGTGGGAGATGTGCTTGAAGTACTCGGGGGCGAACCTCAGAAAGGACTCGAGCTCCCTCTTCTTGATCTGCTTGATGATGAACCTGTCGTCGAGGGTCTTGGCGAAGAAGGCCTTGCTCTTCCCCCCCTGCGCGTCCCACTTCCTGCACCGGCGGATGGAGGAGAGATACGCCGCCTCCGAAGGGCAGCAGCGCCGCCGCAGGGCATGGAACTGCCTCGCGTGGACGCAGTATACGGAGCACTCGCCAACCACGATCTCCGGGTGCAGAATCCCCGGCGGGATGTAGTCGCCGGCGAGCTCGGGTGCCGACGCCGTCGTCTCCTCCGACGAGAAGGAAGAGAAGCTCCCCGTTGACCGAAGCCCCTCCAAGTCCAGCGAGTTGAAGGAAGGCAAGTAGAAGGAAGCCTCTGATCTGAGGCCGCTGTGGAAGCTCTCCGGTGGGCTCGATCTGGGTTCCCTCTCATCGGAACTCTGCTGATCCTGCGACGAAGCCAGCGCATAGGCGATGAGGCTGGAGATCTCATCCTCGCAGATGGACATCACGTTGCCGTCCACTCCCACGGGGAAGTGCACCCATTCTCTGTCCTGCTTGACCAGGTGATCCACTGAAGAGAGATGAAGCGGGGAATAGTGCCTGACGAAGTCAAACCTCTGAGAATGGCCTCCTCTGGACAGCTCCTGCCTGTACGCCTTCCGGATTCCTGAGGCGTCCCAGATCCATGTATCTGGGTCTCTCAGTCTACGGCGAGTCTGAGATGGGTCCTGACCCCATTGAATCTCAGGCTTCTCGGACTTCTCGGACTGGTCGGAAACATCGACGTTGACCACCTCATCATCTCGCGGGTCTTCGCTCGGGGAGTAAGCGCCGTTTTCTTGAGCTGGATGGGAGGCGGCGCCGCTCGGCAGGTCCTCCTCGTCGTCTGGCAACGGAGGCTCGATGGAGGGGACATCTAATACAGAATAGCCCAAATCTGGAGAATCAGAGGTGACGGCGGCATCTGGGGAGCCGTCGAGTCCGCTGCTCTGATCTGCGCCTGCTCCGTTCGCATTCGTCGTCTCTTCCATTTCCGTGCCGCTGAAACCTCCATCTAAATGCCCATTATCAGGAGATTCCGAGGACTCCACTGCCGGACGATCGCCGACGACACCGTCAGCCTCCTCCAGGCGTTCGTTGGGCATGGCGTCGTGACCCGAAGAGAGAAGGGCATCGATCCGTCGGTCCCAGGCGTAGAGCTCAAGAAGCAGTTCCCACTCTAGAAAGGGAAAATCAAGCATATCGTGAACAGATTCTGCCGGTTGCCCATCACTACTCATGATCTTCATCAAAGGATCCTGCAGGTCGAGAGGCAGGATGAGTTCATTAAACAAGCAAGAAGGAAATCTGATGAAAAATACGGCGATTTCCCACCTCGAGCTCGGATTTCTCTTGCCGCCACATCTCTTCAACCTGCCGGAATTCTTTCAACGGGCCAGGGTACTTCTTATTCTGCCGCAAAAAGTCGGGCTTTATCTTCTCCAGCATGCGCCCAACCTCTGAGAACAGGAGCTCCACCTTGCGCAGAGCCTTCAGAAGAGAAAGCAGGATTTCTGGTGAAACAACTAAAAAAAAATCATATAATAACAGAAATCGAAGCTAGATTTCTGGTTGCATACATTTCTTGCTTCGGTCTTGAGCCAATCATCTCCATTGAGGGTATTAAACTCCACAACGGGCGGAGGCTCACAAGCTGCGTAGATATCAACCGGCGAGTAGGTAAACATGGCAACCAGCGGCCCTAACCTGTACATAATCCGTAAAATGATAAAGAAATATTTTTGGTGATGAAAATTGTGAGAAATTTGATGAAGAGGTGTTCTGCATCCGCACCCGAAGAACTTGAGGCAATCCCTCTGCAGCGAATGGCCGCATCTGGAAATCCTCCTTGATGCAGAATGGCTGGAGAAACTGAGCTCCAGGAACTTCCCAAATGAGAGACCATGTGCAGCATTAGACATCACCACCCTTCTCGTAGGCTCTGGGATGCCAGATTTGTGCTCGCATTTTAAGCAGCGAGTCCACATCCAAATCTTACCCTCCACTTCACCAGACAAGCGAGACTCAGGAGGAAGCCTTTGGACCAGAGCAGTCAGCCTCCCATTCTGGTGAGTGTAGCTATAGGTGTGGACTTCTGACGGTTCATTACACACAGAGCAACTATGTTTCTGTATATTAATTACAGCAATTAATCGCCCATCAGTACGGATAAATCATAAAGAATGCTGACTCCACATGAAATCAATATAAGATGAAATCAAGACAGTAAAATAATGAACCTGGTTGAGCAAAATATCTTGGAGGAATCGCCCAAGCGACACATCAAAGTTCCCGTAATATTTTATACGGGAAAGGTGGCTTTGCTCACATATTGTCCCTTTGGATTTGCAGAGGCTGGACATCAAAACCAAAATGCTCTTGGAATCAAACACGCTCCCAGTATTGTTGTCGTCTGGTAGCTTGTGTCTGCCGTTGACAGCATTGCAATCCACACCAATATGTAGCCCTTGCTCCATCTTCCTATAAGCAGGAGTGCCATCATCCGAGTCTACTAGATCAGTACCCACCTTTGGTTTGATCTCAGCATCGAGAGTCTCTGATGATAGAGAAACATGCAGTACTTCACCGCTCTGGGTATCGACATCCTTTACCTTTGAACTGATGGATGAAGAATCAGACCCATCAGAAATAGAGTCGGTGAGTATCAGCGGGTCTTCACCTTTGCTGTCAGAGACCGATGACAACGAGATAAACTGTCCAGGTGGAAGTGATGAAGTCGGTGGGTCATACGGTTCCTCCTCTTGGCAGTTCTCAGTGACCCCAATTTGCCCATCAGACAGGCCTCCTGGCGCAATTCCGTTCTCACGAGGCATCAGGTCAGAATCAAGTCTAGAGAAATCATAAATGCCAGAAGTTGGTTCATCATCAACACGCATACTGACGAAATCCCGAACACGAGATGACTTATTCAGAGATTCATCAGAAATTGGAATGTCGACACCAGCAGCTGATGGAGCAATAAATTCCTGGTTATGACTTGCTGAATTTGAGGAAGTATCGAAGTTGATGACTGATGGGCTTTCGTTAGATGAGCAGAATCCTTCACAATTTTGAGCGTTAGTGACTACTGCCCTCTGATCAGCGAAAAATGAAGTTTCAAGAATTAAATGATAAGCAGCAAATACTGTGTAATGCACGACACGTTTCAACCTCTTCAACTCATCACTATGGGCTCCTTTCAACAGAATCTGCAACGAGAAATAAATTAATCATGGATGGATTGATGTTGTATCGTGAAGAATAATAAACTTATTACATCTTAAAAAGTTAATGAGATTACATACCGTGCATCCGAGAGGCTTTGGACAGCCCTCAAGGAACATCAAAGTTTTACTCGGCACCTTCCCACCTTCACTGGGAAGGTTGTGATCCTCTACAAACTTTTCGATATGAAAAGAATCACACTGCCTCAATTGTGAATACACTGGAACTCCGGAGGGAGAAAGAATGGGAGACCCGGTACAGCGTGCAATCCTTTCCAGACGATGAAGCTTCATATCAAAGACCAATGTGATTCCCTTTTTAAGTAGGGATTCTTGTATATCCCGGGAGACCGTCTTCTCCACCAGAACCACGTTAGGGTTGCATGCGTTGATCATCTCAGAGGTCGACTTCAGATAATCCATCTCCTGATTTTATCACCACGATAATTAAACCAATGTTTTTCTAAATTAGCTATCAAATTAGACAACACTATTAGAGACCTACCTGTTCCATCGAACTAAATGATGATAAACCAGCCGCATGCTGTCCAAGAACACCCCGAAGGAGTAACAATCTAGGATTTGTAAGCTTGGTTGGCATGTGTTTGTGTGCAGCGTTCTTCTTAAACACCAAGCCCTTAATCACTACACTGTCAAACGCAAGGAACAACCATGTCAGAGACCTTTTGTCATAAACTGGCATGAAATAAGCAATAATTGTAGGTAAAGACCGTTTGGCATCAAAAGCGACTGACACCGTGTTCATTTTTTGTTACCTTTGACTGGGGGAGCCGCAAGCAATACACTTAACTTTGACATAGGACCCAGGATCCATAGCTTTCCCTTCATTAACATCCGGCCTAACAAGCATTGCAGCTTCCCATGATATCGAAGAAATAATATCCAACCAGCTCTCACCAAGTTCCTCTGTGGACAAAGGAATCCCCTCTGAGGCCAAGAACCGGGCAACAAGGGACTTAAATTGGCCATTCATTGCCTCCATCATCGCTTTCTGGCGCTCTTCTTTGTAATTATTATTGATACCAATTCCCTCATCAGAACTGCCCAGCGAACTTGGTTGAGACCACTTTGTACCGCCATAGTACTCATCATCGTCGTCATCATTATTAGCCACACTCAACTCCAGATCATCCCCCATATCTTCCGGTTTAGGAGGCAACCAGATGTTAGGAATTGCCTCAATATCGACAAGAGATGATTGATTAGCAGCGCCTGCTACATTCTCAATTCCATCTAAATCATCATTAGCAGTTGTAATTCGGTCATCTTCTGACAGGTTACCAGTAGCTGACAGTCTCTCGCGATCATTCTGTCCTGTTATGGAAGGGCCTTGAATAGGTATGTTCAAGTCATCCACATTACTGGTAGAACCAGAAATCAGAGTACCGTTACTTTTCAAGAGATCCGCATCAGTCTTCACCTCCAGATAATTTAAAGGCTTTACTCCGTGATTCTCTTGAAAATCATTTGAAGCTTCACCTCCGTTCACCCTGCCCAATTGACATAAATTTAGAAAATATTATTCCCCAGCGTTAGAAAGAAAATAAATTTAAAATGATCCCCGTTTTGTTTTCATCAGGACTCAAGCATCCATCGGATTTTATAATTAGGTCTTGTTAACTCCTAGTGGAATCACCATGGCAACTCCCTTGCCCGCCATCCTCCTCTCGCTTCAAAACTTAACAAATACTCAACAAATGGAGGCCATGGCTTACCCGGTGTCTGCATCTGAATCGTCTGAATCCCCTAGAAAGACCTAAAACAAACAGTCGAATTAGTTCAGGATGTGAAAGATGAAAAAGAACCGACCAAAATCATCATGCAGAAGAACGTATCTCGCCCTCCAAGGAGAAAGGACGAGGACGAGTTATACCTTCGAAACCATGATCTATCGTTTCCTCCTCTCCAAGTAAATATGGCATGTTATGCTCCTCTCAGCAATTCATGTCCCAAGTGCATCTTCGGTTGTTTTGACCCTGGGGAAACAATTAGCATCCCAGTGATTTTCTGAGTAGTCCCAAGTGAAATGGATCCAGGAATTAAACATACCTGATCGAAGAGAGATTCAAGACAAGAGGACGGATAAATTATTGACTACATATGTAAATCAGTGAAAATTCTTAGAGATCCTTCAATCGAACAGAAAATTTTGCCGGTTATAAAAATCCAAAAGATCTCTTACAAATCACTACGTCCAGAAGATATAGAAAGAGAGAGAGAGAGAGGAAAGAAACGGAGACAGAGACAGATAAAAGGAAGAGAGAGAAAGAAAGGGGAGGTGGGGGAGAGAGAGAGAGAGAGAGCATCATAAAGCAGAATAAATTAACTGGAATCGGATATTACGCGACTGTGTCGTGAAATATGCCTCCTGAGATGCATACATGTTTTGGAAACGAGAATTCTCCAGATCGACCTTGGAAACCACCGACACAGTAGAAGGCCGAAATTCGAGAGGGAGGGTTAGAGAGAATAAAGGGAAGGGGTAGGGACTCTGCAGCATCTGCTGGGAAGACTTGTCCTCATAACCATATTGGCCGTTGCAATCGACAACAGAAACACAATAAAAATAAGAAACCACGTTCAGACGATAAGCCCGGATGTGTTCGCACAAGCTGTACATGCAATGAAAATAATCGACAACCAAAATCATTTAAAAAATGATCCAATCACCCGGATACAGAACGCCAAGATCCAAGTCCTGCATCCACTGACTCGGGAAAAAAAGAAAAGAAGAACCCTCGCATCCAGCCCTAATGTACGAGAATCCCCCCAAACTCACCACACTCTCGTCCAGGGAGACCACAAAATTCCCCAATTCCTCAAACCACCACATAAAACCCGGGAGAGAACATCAGAAACGAAGCGATTCAAAACCTCCGACGGGTGACGATCCACACCCACCAGGCCACCCCGGCGTTCAGATTCAAAATTTCGAAAACATGGACCAATCCTTACCAGTGAAGATATCCGAGCGGAAGTCCAAATCCTGGGGACTATCCCTCTGTTTCAGCAAGCGACCATCGGTTGAAACATTTCCACGGACAGAGAGATCTTCCGGGCCCTCCGATCACGCAGAATGTGCAGCAAAATCCTCCTCCTACGCTTCTCCGGAAATAATGAAGAAACTGGTCTTGACGAAGGGAGAAGGAAGTAGACACCAAGTGGAGCCCACCGCGGCTTAAGTGTACGAAAGCCTGTTAAGACTACGTGAACCAAAACTTTATAGAAACATCCTTAAAGTACCTGATTAACATTTTCATGGCACAAATTGTTATTTACCTATCAATATACTCTTTAGTCCTTGGATATATGCCCGCCTTGTCTCGCCTGGGTAAGTTATTGAGGGTATTGAAACAATTTTTACCTAAATTAGGATTTATCATAAATGGAAATAAAAGTATAGAAAAGCGTGGAAGTTTCTACTGTTTAACGCACGCTTCCGGGGGTACGAGAGAGAGAAAATCCTCCCCAGAATCTGAGCGATCGGAGCCGTTGAATATGCGGTTGATGGGTAGATTCGCCAGACAGTTGAAACTCCTTTTGGCAACGGTTACTAGAAACAAATAAAATAAAATAAAAATCTGCGAATGGGATGGACCTGGATGTCCACTCCCCCCCTTCAGCCGAGTGAGCCGTTGAGCTAATGGCTCCGATCGGCTCGATTGGTGGGGATCATACAAATGGACGGTTGAGATACGTTACTCGGCTTTGCCATCGGAGCAGAGCCACGAGGTCTGCTGGTTCGAGTCGGTAGCGGAGAGGGGTGGGCCCGGGCCCATTACGTGGTCCAATAACGCGTGGGCAGATTGGTCGTTGGTCTGGCCGACGTGAAGCCCCATAGTGATCTTCTTCTGTACATGCAAGGATAGCTTACATCCGTCGGATGGTGATGACTTCGTATGGTTCCCATTATCTGAAATAAATTGACGGCGGAGATTCTCTCCAACCAGACGACGGACCAATTAATTAACCGCCGGGAATAAAACAGCAAGAGAGAGGATTTTCCCATTAATTAATTATCAATAATGCGTGTAGACATAATTATAATATTTTCCGGCGCCGATAGTTAATACAAATAAAAGTCCAATTTTCCGACGTGGAGGATAAGTCGGTGGCCTGCCTGCCCCAGATATGTCCGGATCCGATGAATAAACGGAAATAAATTATTTCAGAAAAAAAAGTCAAATATTGCGGAGGTTCATCTGGACGGTCCAGATGCTCCGCGATCGTATCTTCTCTTTCACACGCGCCGCCTAATCGCCGGCCCGACTTGACGGGGGAGATTTCATGAACCGCGGGGCACGATGGGGTTGACTTGGACTCCAGCGGGAAACGGAAGAAGTCGCCGAGAGGCATCCGGTCAACGCACGAACCTTTCCCCCCCCCCATTGACACGTGGGAGCCATCGTGATGACGTCGACGACTTGATCTTTCAAACATAATCCCCCCCATCCGTTGACTTCCTTCGGCAGAAAGTAACCGACGCAATGCGCCGCCATCCATCCGCGACTGATGTCCCCGGTTAGTTAACGAGCATCCGGGTCAAAATCGTTGGCTACGCGACGTTACACGTGGCAAAGCGCAAGGAGCCCGGCCCGTATGTAACCACTCGTTATGGATAATATTTGGATCAGGGAAGTCCTTGGAGGACGAGGCGCCACGTCTCTAGCTCCGTCCGCATCTCGGCACCTTAAGCTCTCGCCGCGGCCGCCGGAGACGTAGCCGGCCAACGGCAGCCTCCGCAGATTTTATTTAATCTTTTACGAGTTAATGAAAATAATTTAAATCCACTGGAAGCCCCCCCCCTCACAACTCTCCTAATGCTGATAAATAAGATGGGCCGATAGGCCCAATATATCGGCCCACGTTGGATATTCGTCGGCCCAAACTAGAAAGTCTACGACTTCTCTCACACATGTTAGTGGGCTGAGCTCTAAAGAAGAAGGGCGAGGTCCGGCCTGGGCGTTGATAAGCCACTGAGAAGGAAGAAGAGTACACGACGGATGGAACTCATTCTCATCTCAACTCCGGGAAGGGTTTCTGGGGAGTACAGTCAGGGGAGTTGTGCTTCCCACGCGGTGAAAGTTAATGTCTTTTATGTCTAAGTAATGGAGGATTCAACGTACAGCGAGGACGAACTGCTAGAATGTACGGAGAGGTTCAACAGAGTAGTCAACCACGAACACACCGTCACAAACCCACAGGTCAGAGATACAGCCAAAAAAGGAAAAGAGCGATAGTCAGCGGGATAAGCCCATAGCGGTGCATTCAGAGACGGTTAATGTGCTCCGACAGCTTCGCAGCTACCCTGCATGCCCCGGGCGAGGTGTACGAGGTGCCACGTGAGGCCCATTAGCGAGAGAACGTTGAGGAAGGAAGAGTAGGTGTTCAGGGCCTTCAGCTTCCTGTCGAGCTTCAGGATCCGGTTCTTCGCCGCTTCCTTGTCTGTCAACGGTTCCTGGGTCACCGTTGTCCTGGTCACCCCGAAGGTCGCCGTGGTAGGGGTCGCCGTCGCCGTCGCCGTCGTGGAAGTCGTCGTCTCCATCCCCAGGTCCGCCATGTCCCGCCCCCTCCCTTCTTCCTTCTCCATCTTCATCTTCTCGAACATCACCTGCAGGGAGAACTCGGTCACTCGCAGGCCTTAAAAGAGAGCAGGAGAAAGGGGAAGAGGGATGGTGGGTAGCCGACCTTTGTGGCTTTGGGCTCCAGGAATAGCATATTGACGAGGACGAGAACCAGGGATCCGAGAAGGAGGTAGCGCTGAGATCTCCCCGCCGCCGTCAGGGCGGCGCCGCCGACGGCGTACGCCATGGCCCTGAAGTAGACGGGGTACAGCTTGCTCTGCAAGATCCCGAACTGGTGCCGCGAGAGAGCTCCGGCGAGCACGTGGCTCGAGACGAAGGTCACCCACACGCAGGCCCCGTACGCCGTCGCAAATGCCAGAAGATGCGCCACCGCCGCAGCGACGGCGGCGGTCTCCGCCGTGCAGACGTACGCCGCGGCGTCGTAGACCACCTCGTGGGCCCTGTGGACTATGTCCGTGAGATTCTTCTTCACCTCCACGGCTCTCTCGGTCACGTTTCTCCGCAGTTCCTTCGCCTTCTCCTCCGCCTTCGTCCCCACCTGCCGGACCTTCTCCACAGCCTCCTCCGCCGTCTCGAAGACTTTCCCGGCGAAACCCTCCTCCGCCTCCTTCACCTTCTCGGCGGCGCCGCCGACGGCCTCTTGCACTCGGGCCGCCTTCTCCTTGGACTTGCCGAAGATCCCCGCGAGCTTCTCCTTGCAGACGCCGTAGGCGTCGCAGATCATCTCCTTGGTCCCGTGGCCGGAGGCCATGGCGGCTTCCCCCTTCGCCGCTTCGCCGGCGAGAGGAGTGGAGATGCCCTGGCCGAGGTTGGGCAGGACGGAAACCGCCTCCGCCAGCTTCTCCTTCGCCTCCTCGACGGCGCCGCTCAGGCCGCCGCCAGGAGGGGCATCGAGCGGCGGCGGGCGGCGCTGCGGAGCCTCGCGCTCGTACTCGAGGATGATCAGACGGTGACCTTCCCTCACGGTGTTCTCGCCGCCGCCCTGCGGAGGGCGGTGCTCTCCGGCAATGACCCCCGGCTTGGGCGGCTCCGGCGACCAGACGCCGGCGCCGGCGAGGGAGAAGACCACCAGAATCAACGCCACACCATTCATCATCTCTCTCTCTCTCTCACTCTCTCTCTCTCTCCACTCAGGCAAAGCAGTGAGCAAGAAGAAGATCCAGTGCCTCGGGCATCGTTGCCTTCTGGAACCTCGGGCGCAATCGATCGTTGGGCACGTGTCCAAAATCGCCACGTGTACGAGCCGCGTGTCTCACTCAGAGCCTAGGCTCGCGTGGCGGTTCCTCGAGTCCATCCGTCTGGACTCGCACGATCCATTTAGGCCCAAAATACCATCAGTCGTGGTCTTCAAAGTCGGGCGGGAGCCGACGACCCAGTCAACGTAATGCCGGGCGGGGCCCGAACGGGTCTGGCCCGAGCCCGTAGGACCCCGGTCTGGCTATGATTAGGAGGGCGTATTTTTCTTCTAAATACCGTAAAAAATAAGAAACGTACTGTTCAGGCGAGGAAAATAGAGAAAGAGACGAAGAGCGAGGTGAGCACTGTCGCCGTATTAATGATATATTTTTGACAACTACGTTAATATTATTATTATTATTTTAAAAAATATTTTTCATCGTTCTCGTCTCGCCTTACTGTAGCGGAAAATGATGTGTACCCATCGACTCACCCCCGTCTGACGTGATATGTACCCATATTATCCACGCGAATTTGTGCACTTAAATAGTCCAGCGGGACGCGCCGCTTGGATCTACCTAGGTCAACAGGCACAGATATATATATATAGAGAGAGAGAGATCTTTATCTTTGTAGTGAAGAAATCCGCGGCTCAGTACGTATGATCTGATCCGAAACGAGGGAGTTTAGAGGCTCCGACACGACAGTTTCTTACGCTTGCCGGCCGCTGGTTTTGGCGAAGCAGCGGCGACAAAGAGGGCCAGCCTTCCCCACCATGGAAGGCCGGGTGGGGCCGCATGCTCCAGAGGGGGGGGGGGAAGAGGGGGGTGGAGCGACCTGGCCAGCTGGCTCGGCCATCTTACCCAGACCGAAAGAGACACCTCGCCGCCTTGGGATCGGCGAGCGGCCCCGAGCCTCAAATGCTGTATTCTTCTGATCACACGGCGTGAGAAAAAGAGAGAGAGAGGTAGTTTCTCTCACTAGTTCATATCGGCAGTCAAGTGGGAGATGATGCACAGGACGATGAAGGAAGAAGATGACGATGACATTCACAAAAAGAAGGAACCCATTTATGCGAGGGGATTTACAGGGCGATTGATGCAGGGAAGAAGAGAGAGGAAGGACGAACTCCCGCAAGCCCACACGCCAAAAGAATTCCCACGAGACTCTCCCCAATGGACTGTACTGACTAATAATGATAAGATATGGACTGATTCAACAGGACAGAAAAATCAAACATCTCTCGGAAAAAATATAGTTTTAGTGTTTCTGGAGAAAACCCAGAGGCGCAGGTCGCCGGCTCGATGCAGGAGGAGGACCCTTGGTGCGGGATCAGTCGGAGGAATGGCTGATCTTGGACCTGTAGAGGATCTTCTTCTTCCTGGAGCTGGCGTTGTCCACTGTGAGCAGAACCTTGCCCGGTTCCCCGATCTTGAAGCTGTTCTTCACCAAGGGTTCGTCCGCGGGGGAGTACTTCCTGGGCTTCTGGATGATCACTGTGTAGGCGTCTTCTGCGCTGGGGACGAATTCTCCGCCATAGGTGACGTCCCAACCGAGGACGCGCAGCTCCCAGGTGAGAAGAGAGCCCACCTGTTGGAGGATCATCGGCATGGTTTTTCAGAGCCCGAAGCTTTTACAGCGGCGAGAAGGGAGAAGAAGGAGATGCCCGACCCACCTCAGACACGGGAATCTCGATGGAATGCTTGGAGGAAGGTTTGACGGTGATCTCGGTGGTAGGATCGGAGGTACCGAAGTCAGAGTCGTTATCCTTGCTGAGACCTCCGAATTGGACCGGAACTTGCTCAGGAGCGATGTATCTGAGATGAGTAGAGAGAGAAGCTTAAAAAGGGGTATCAGCTTAAGCCGAGGAAGAAGAAGACGAGGCGCAGAGGTGCTCCACAGACTTGAAGAGGGCATCTGCGGATTTGGACGGCCCGGCGAAGACGAACTTGCTCTTGGTCCTCTGGGTCAGGAAGGGGCTGATCATCCGGTTGTAAGCCAGGTACCACCACGGCACGTTGATGAACACCTGGTGAGAGCATTCACCACCCAATGACACAGCTCCGAATTAGGTTTTCTTCGAGAAGCAGGAAGACGAAGAAGATGACTGGAAGTAGAAGTACCTTCTTGGCGACGAACTCGGGGTAATTGTCTTGGAGGAGGTGGAGTGCCTGCTTGGTGGCCAGGCGGATCTCCCTCTTCAAGAGCGTGGGGGAGTTCTTCAGATCCGTGACCTGAACCATGGAACTGACGCCGCTGGGGCTGAAGTCCAGCAGCTGACGGATCCCCTTCTCCAGGAAGAGGATTCTCCACTGCAAGAATTTCTTCCTCTTCTCCTCGTCGGAGAACACCTTCTGGTAAAGATCTTTGTCCAGGAACTCCCCATAAACGTTGTAGCAGACGGGGTGGCCTTCCTTGTCGATCCCGTTCATGAAGACGACCTTCTCCAGCTCCGGCAAACCAAGGTCCTCCTCCAGGAGCTTCTCGATCCCGAACTCCTTCCTCCATATCACGGTGCTCCTGATCATCTCAAGCGCGTCCTTCACCTTGAAATCGCGCGCGCGGAGGAACTTGAGGAGGATCGTGTCGCTCTTCTCATCCCCGAGCAGAGGGACTCCCCATAGGCTAATCTCCTCGGGAGTAGTAACTGGAGCAACCTCCTCCGCCTCGGCAGGAGGGGGAGTCGCATCTGCCGGCGGCGGCGGCGGCGGCGGAGCGGCGTCCTCCGCCACCGGCACCGCCGTCGCCTCTACGTTCGTCTCAGCGACGGCGGCGATCGGCTCAACCTCAGCAGGGGGAGTAGATTCCTCAGTCTTCGGGGTTACCTCTTCCTTGTTCTCCTCCTTGGGGGTTTCCTCCGCCGTCTTCTCCGGTGGCTCTGCAGAGGGCTCCTCAGACTTCGCAGGCGGATCTGCAGGGGGATCTTCAGCCTTGGGGGGATCGGCGACGGCTGCCTCTGCTTTCTCGGCAGGTTTCTCCTCTTCCTTAGGAGGCGGCGGCGGCGGGGGCTTCGAGAACTCGTTCTTGGCCAGAGCGGCCTCTACCAACTTCTTCAGGTCCTCGAGCGCCGTCTTCTGGGGATCCACCAGGTCGGCCACGACGTTGCTCTCCTCCTTGAAGGAAGCGGACGAACCGATCGCCGCATCCTCCACCTTCTTAGGCTCCTCCTCCGTCTTCTCCTTGGCGTCCTCCTCCTCCTCTACGCTCGCGGGCGCTACCGGCTTCTCCTCCTCGACGGCGGTGGCGGCGGCGACGACGACGACCTCAGTCACGGTGGCGGCGGCGGTTGCCGGCGCGGGGCTATCCTCGGCCATCGGTGGAGCGGGGAAGAAGGGACAGAAATCTACAGAGCCTGGCGACGGCGAGGGAGGTGAGAGAGAGAGAGAGAGAGAACCAGGGTGGAGAGAACTGAGAGACAGAGGTGTAAGAGGGACCAGCCTGGAGTCTATATAGCTAAAAGAGTAACGGTAATCCTTTAGGTGGGGCCCTCCACTGCATGCCGAGGCCCGGCATAGCCTGTCAGGTCAGATGACCAGCTCGGCTCTCCGCTGGCGGGACCCACCACCGGCCAATCATATAGCCGCCAGTTCCTCCAATTTTAGGATATTATTTACCTGCCAAGTTTGGCTCAATCCCCTGGCCCACACCCCCCGGCCAACAATCATCCCACAGGTCCCGGGGCAAGGCCCGGATCGAACAATCCGCTCTTGCCAACGTGCCGATCTCTCCGGCGAGAAACTTCTCCGAGGTTCGAGCCCATAATTCCCCACACGGGCCCTTTTTTTCCCGGTCACTTCCCGGTTCCTCCGGTCGACCCCGCCAGCCAGGCTCCAGGCTTGTCCCCGCCCCCCCCCCCTCCCCCTTCCACTACACGCCAAGCGCCACGCTAATAATTCCTCCCTCAGCTCCCTCTGAGAGAGAGAGAGAGAGAACGGCGGACGGCTGTCGGAAGGAAGAAAGGAGCTGCAGGTGAGTGAGTGAGGACGGCGGGCGCTCGTGGCTGTCTCGTTCCAGATTCGATCCCGCCGCCACAGAGGGCCGCCTAACGAGGGAAACACCACGTTCCCCGCCTGAGGGGCTGACAGAATCCGTTACTGTCAACTCCGGAAACGGGAGGAATGTCGTCTCTCCCTCGCCGCGCCATTTAAGAAAAGTCCGCCGCGAAACCCGGCGGCGGAATTCTCGGAGTCTTCCCCTTCACTCTCTCTCTCTCTCCCCTCTCTTTCGGTGGATTTCTCTGAACTACTTGGCAGATGGTCCACAGAGAGAGAGAGAGAGAGAGAGAGAGAGAGAGAGTCTGGTCTTCTCTGGTTGAACGGTGTTGGTCAACGGTGCCAGCGGTGGCAGGGGGGCGGTTGTCGGGCGCAAAGGAGATGGGCTTCTTCGTTTGGCTGCTTTCCACCGGAGGCCAATTGGAAACAGGAGGGGTTGCGCCGTTTTGCCGGTCCTTGCGGACAATTCAGCAAACAGGTGGTGGGCATCTTCTGCTGGGCCCCGAGACATGTCACGTCTGGACAGCGGACGTGACTCCTTGATAGGCGGGCCGATGTCTCCTCTCTCCGGTGAGCCGTTTTATAGAAATTTAAGTGCTGGGTCGGTATAGGGGAGATAATGGGCCTATTGGGCTGATTTTTAGCGGGCCGATCTCATAACGGGCCATCCAGACGGGAATCATCGGCCAGCTTGCACGTGCGTATGTCACGTGTCGTCATCTTCTCAAAAAGCCCGCGCTGCGGTGTCTGGTGCTCTGGAAACCAGAAGGCTGGTGTCCGGCGTGACGGAGCTGCGAGAGCCTTGCTGTTGCCGGCGGATGGAATCTGCCGAGAGGGGAACATCGATCCTCGAGTCCTCAATGATACCGCACTCTGTGGAAGCAGGTACTCGATCACTCTGCCTCGTTTCTTCGGATAGAATATTTGGTGTCGGTCACTTCCACGAGTTGGATTCGAGTGATTTTCCCCGTTCTCTCCGGATTTTGCTTTTTCTTCTTCTATGTCTCTCTGCTTTCGATTTAAGAATGCACGTACCATTAACGAAACCCGTCAAATGCTTGGATAGCCAGGCAAGTGTTCCTGCTACTCCACTCCATTCCTTTAGAAGCAGCGGATGCTTACAAATAGCTACTACATTATTTTTTCACTCAGACGTCGGGGCGCTGCGCCTCTTCTTTCAGAAGGCAGATGATCCGCGGTGATCTTCCTCATCTTGAATCGATAAGATACCGGTTGCTGGATTGAGCCACCCCTGGGACTGAAGCAGGAATCTTCTGTTGAATTAACCGAGTGAAATGATTACAGAAGACCTCGAGGCATTACAATCGTAATCAGACTCAGACTCTTGAAGAATGAATAGATAGAATATGATGAAGAGTTGAGAGGGAGGATCCAAGGGAAGATTTCAGGAAATTAACTTAGAGGAGATTTGAGGAATGGAATTCAGTAGAGAAATCACGTGAAAAATCTCAGAGGAAAATTCTGGAGAGGTTCTCATCCAAGAATTCAAAGAAGGAATTAAGAATAATACAGAGACAGGATCAGAAGAACAAAAAATAAGAGAAAGATTTAGGGAAGGAAGATGTACTCCTGTCTCTCTTCATTGCCAAGGTTAGTTTAAGGCCCCTCACCCGTGCTCTCTACTCCATGCGATCTGGAAGCCCATAATTAGCCCATTACCGCAATCTGCCCCAACGAACAACCCGACGGGCTCTATTTTGCCACCTGTCATGGGTGTTGGGACATTAACGGGAACAAATGTGTAGCCGCTCAGGTTTGGATAGTCGGGGGAGTTGGGATCTGGGGAGCCTTATAATATTTCCCCTGCTTTCAATAGCTCAACTTGATCGTACTTTCACAGCTTTCATTCTACGTGTGGCATGTTTTACTTCAATTATGGTTCTATTTGCAGTCGCAGCTGGTGATGCTGGATGGGGAAATTCTGCCTGCAGTCTTCCATGGATGGGTTTTTCGAGGATGCATGTGGTTGATCACACATGTCGACTCAATGTTTACAGATGCTTGAAATTTTTTGAAGATAAAAGATAAAATGACTAGTGTAGTGGTTGCTATTTTCCATTATATTCCACTGCTTGAATTAGAATCCAATTTCCATTGCAGTAGATTGTTATGCGGGTCATCAGATTCCGAGAAAGTGCGGACATCAAGTGGGTGTTTTGGGGAGCCCTAGTGTCCAACTTGAAGGAGAAGAAGAGGTCTCGATCCAGTACTGAATAAACATCTCTGGATATAATCTTTATGGTCGAGAACAAATATTGAATGTGGAAAACGAGTCTCTTCTTAGGTATGTAGTGGATAAGTTGTCACTCGAAGCTTCGTATTTGAACGGCTGACGTTTCATGACCTTAGCTGAAAAATGTTTCGAGCTGCACGGTTGGCCATGTGGCTCAGCTTCTGGCTTTGTCTCCTTGCCATGTTCGGTTGGGTTGTTCATGGTAAACTGACTGATCTTTGGCGGAACCGAAATCACCAAAGCATTACTTTTTAATGGGACACGAATTGTGTTTTGAGTTGCACGGTTGGGCATGTGGCTCAGCTTCTGGTTTTTTCTCCTTGCCATGCCCGGTTGGGTTGTTCATGATAAACTGACTGAGAATCGAAAGCACCAAACCAATAAAAATAGTGAGTTGAGAAATACTGGGGCCTTATAGCACATCCAATCCTAGATTAGAGCATAAGATATGTTCTTAATTCTTTGTAATGTAGATTTGAAATCATGGCTTGCCTAAGGAACAAGCACAAAAAATATTCTTTATTCTTTATCCATGTCAGAGATTCCACTGGGTCGAGGCGGCAAGTATGCATTTTGGAACAGTTCGCGTTCCCATGATATTCAAACTGGTACAGCATAGCCAGCCCACGATATAGCAGGTTTGCAATGGTTAATTTTTTAGATATTTTACATGCTGAAACTTTGGTATGAAGGTTTTTGTCGTTTCTCAATTAAGAAAGCTAGCCATGGATTTTAGACTGTCATGGATTCCCTACATCGAAGAATCCAATGCCCTCTTTATCTAGTCTTCATTTCTGAGGCTTGAGAGAAAAGTTTGATGGCGTTTCCTGGTCAGGAGGGCTCAGACTCTTCATACTCCTGGTTTCTTGGGACGTTTTTCAGATTCATATGAGAGAAATTTTTCATCAGTTCCTCTTAGGGCAGCTCCCTTGATAACTTCTACCCACGAATTTTCTGTTGGCTCAAGCCAAGCACATACCTTTGTTGATGGCAGGAAGTGATACTAACGATTTTCTCTCCCGTTGAGTTCGTCTTCTCAGCGTTGAACATCCGCTGTCTATTTATTTTACTTCATTTTATTTCAAAATTTCTCAAACTTTGACGCTTTTCTGACTTCAGGCACACCGATCTCTACTCTTCATATCTTCTTCAGTTCACCGAGTGGGAAGCTCGGATCCTTTGTCACACTCATTTGTATTATCACAAGCATAGTAAATTAAACCCCACGAAGCATAGCAAAATTAAGTTAGAGTTAAGCCCAATAAAATCGAATACGTTTACATTTATAGGTTGAATTGTACTAATTTATTTCATCACAGAATTTAACTCATCCCTTGTTCTGGGTCATCACCACTTTCTTTTCTTTTTCTCCTGTCATAAATAGCACTTGCCGCTTAGGAGCCTGCGGTGGTGTAAATCCTTAAGGTGACAGGCGATATTGCTGCGTAATTCGTCGCAAAGAATGCAACAGAGGACTGTAGAGGAGTCCAGATGGCGCAACAGAGTGATCTCAAGGTATCAGCTGATCCTGGACAAGCGTTGCATTTTCACATCTTTATTACAAGCAAGAGAGAGAGAGAGAGAGAGAGAGAGAGAGAGAGAGAGAGGGAATATCATACATCGTCAAAGAGGACGAGGTTCTCTGCCAGCCTTCTCCCAGCCCGCAGAGCAGTTGAGGAACTCCCCCATCGAGGTACGAGGTAACGAGCCGACCTCTTTCCCCCCATCCGATTCCTACATCTCCGCTCATGCCGCCGCTGGCCTTGTCTGGTGGCTGTATCTTTACAGGAGGCTCTCGGGTGCTGCTTGCTGCTCAGAAAAGCATGTCGGACTTGGGGGGCAGGCGGCGGTAGAAGTTGAAGGGCACAGACGGCATCCTGCTCCGGAACCTCGGGTGGCGCAGCACGTATATCCCGGCGATGAAGACGACCACCTGGAATGGCGTCACGTACAGGAACAGCGCCAGGAAGAGCGAGAGGATGATGGCGATGGCGGTGGCGCGCGGATCCCTCCAGCTGAGTATCGCGAGCGCCCTCTCCCCCTGCGTCGCCAGGTCCCCTACCACCGTCTGCACCCTCCCCGCCACGCTCCTCAGCCGGTCGTACCGCTGCCGCACCAGTTCCGGTGCCCGCGCCGACGGGAAGCTGTCGAACTCCTCGTCCAGCTCCTCCGAGTTGGTGCGGTCCGCGCAGGACAGCACAGTGTCCATGTGCGGCGGCGTCCGCGGCCGCGACCGGTAGTTCCACAGCCCGATGAGGAACAGGTACAGGAAGACGGTGGAGAGGATCAGCTCCGGGTAGCAGACCAGGACGGTGAAGAGGACATGGACGAGGATGGTGGTGGCCGGGTTCTTCCAGCTGCAGATCCCCCCGAACCACCGGGCGACGTTCATGGCACCAGAGAGGAGGGACACCACGCGGTGGAAGTTGGCCTTGCTCCGGCGGAGGCTGAACATGTGGGAGTCCACGTCGAGCATGTACTGCACCGCCTCCTTGCGCAGCGGCGGCTCGGCACGGGCCAGGCGGGAGGCGACGATCTGCATCGCTTGGTGGCGCAGGTGGTCCAGCTGCACCACCGGCATGGGCAGCACGTAGTGCATCTTTGGCAGCGGGGGCCGCGCGTAGAGCGCCACCATGTTGACCCACGCCGTGCAGGTGAAGCGGATGGCCAGGTGGAGCTCGCCGGCCTTCTTGAGGCCCGACGGCTGCAGCACCAGCAGCGGGTGGTAGTGGGTGTACACCCGGTTCGCCTCCAGGGTGGACAGCCGGATACGGACTTTCCCGATGCGCTGGTCGTCGCCCTCCTTGCCGTCCTTGCCGTCCTTGCCGCCGTCGACGTGGCAGTTGTCGAATACCCCCACGGTGATGACGGTGCAGGGATCGTAGACCTCCCACGTGTACTGCTCGTTCCAGCGCGGCGTCACTGTGTCCAGTAGGGTGCGGGTGCGGACCCACTTGGGCCCGTACTTGGCGACGCAGTAGGCGTCGGTGGTGCTGCTGCTTCCGTTCTTGGCCTTCATGGGCGCGAGGTTGCGAGCGTCGATAATGCCCAGCTCCAGGACCCCCACGGAGTGCTTCCACAGGTTCCGGTTGTACGGCCGGAAGTCGCTGCTGTAGTGGGTCGACTCGTCCAGCACATGGTACCCCATGTCCAGGCACAGCCGGAGCAGGAGCTTGCTGGCGAACTTGCTTTCGTCCTTCTCCCCCTCGCCGCCGGAGGGCTTGTCGAGGCTGAACCACTTGGGCTCGACGACCTTGTTGTCGAACCGCTTCTGGGCGAGCTCCACCGGCACCACCAGCTTCCCGATGCTCTCCTCCTTGCCGCCGGGGAGCCGGTCTTCCACGGTGATCATCAGCGGCTCGTCGAAGGGCTCGGCGGCGACGAACATGTGCTCCTCGTTCCAGGTGGCGTTGACGGAGCGCGCCGGCGAGGGGCGGGTGCGGCGGAACTGGTTCCCCAGCTGCAGCTTCAGGTAGGGCTCCGGCGGGCGGCTCTTGTCGGCAGGGACGAGGTCCTGGGCCTGGATGATGTGCACCCTCAGATAGCAGAGCCGCGGGGAGAAGTATACCTTGGAGCGGGTGCTGACCATCCCCTCGGCATTGACTGAGTGGGCGTCCGAGTGCCACGCGTCGGGAAAAGCCTCGTCAGCCTGAGTGCCGATCCACACGGCCAGCATGACCTCCCCCTTCTCGAGCTTCTCCCCCTTCTGGTTCTGCAGGTGGTACCACTCTGGCGCCAGCGGGCTCTCCGGCGGCACGCGCTGGGGGACCTCCGAGATGTCGAAGATCACGCGCCCCAGGAGGTCGTCCTTGATGAGGTCCTTGTCCTTGACCGACACCTCCAGGGTGTTGCTCTGCAGCCGCTCCTTGGAGAAGGCGAAGACCTGCCCCCACGACGGGCTTTGGGTCTTCTCCCGGTGCTTGGTCAACCCCCGGTAGTTCCCCAGCTTCACCTCCACGTAGGGGTCCCCCGTCGGCAGGTTCCTCGCCTTCACCACGCTCACGTACAGGTAGTGCATCTGCTCCACCAGGTCGAAGGTGCTGGAGATCCGGTCGCCGCTGCTGCCGCCGCCGCCGCCGCGGCGGCCCCGCCGCGCCGCCACCGAGGGTTTCGTCTCCACCAGCCCGAACCCCGGCACCTGCATCAACCGCGGCACCGCCATCGGCCCTGCGCGCGAGTAGTCGGCCCGCCTATCCGCTACCACTGTGGTCTCCGCCGGGCTCATCGCCGCCGCTGCCACCGTCGCCTTCATCTGCCCAAGCTCGAACCTCACCCCCCCGCCGCCGGGGGGCATCGAGTAGAACGACCGCGCGTTGCCGTCGGCGGGCTTCTTCTCCGCAGTCGTCGCCTTCGAATCATCCTTCTTCTTCTCCTCATCCTTCTTCCCGTCTACGGCGGCGGGGGCGTCTCCCTTCTTGTCGGCGGCGCCGCTGCCGCCGGAGGCGACGGGGAGGGAGGGATCGAGGAAGGGGAGGGGAGGAGAGAGGGGATCGGGGAGGGCGTAGATGCGCAGGGCGATATCCCCGCGGATGTGGGAGAAGATCCCACGCTTGTCGAGGGGGCACCGGCTGGCGGCGGCGTCCTCGGCGGACGGTGCGATGGAGGTCCCCGAGATGCGAACCCGGCCGAGAAATTTCCTGCCGGCGCCGCCGTCGTTGTAGACGGTCACCTCGATGGTGCGGTTGGGGAGCTCCGTTGGGTCGGCGACGTTGAAAACCAGCGTCTCGTTCCAGGTGGGGTTGAGGTCCTTGACCTTCGTCTGGGTCCGGTGGCGCTGCCCCTCGAACTCCACCTCCACGTACGCGCTCGCCGATCCCTGCCCATCCTTGGGGATCAGATCGCACGCGTCCAAAACCTCCACCGCCAATTTCATCTTTCCCCACCTCCGATCTACACAAATCTTCAAGATTCACCGGCGGCCAAGCAGAGCGACGGAGACGGTGGCGGAAAGGCGGAGGAGCATCACCGGAGAGGAAAGAAGAGATCTCGGGAAGGTGGAGGGCGGTGGGTTAAAAGAGGACCATGTGGGGAGGAGGCGCTGGCGGTGGGAGGACGGAGAGTGACGTCTTGTATGACCATGTGTCTCCGCCTCACATCTTGTTGAATTTTTTATCGTCCGAGACCAGGAGGGCCGGGTCCGCGGGCCGTAAAGCCCGCAGTTTTACACAGCCCACAGGCTCCTCCTCCTCCTGCGAGAATTTCCCCTTCTGGTTCGGGTTAAACCCTAGACAGGCATCTACCTGCCGGTTCAGGCACTTCATCGAGCGAGCTGAAGGGCGGAGCTTCCACGACCCTTTTGGGAAGCGGTGGGGGAGGGACAGCGAGGTAAAGGTGTTTTCAATCCACTCTCCGGGCCATCAGTCGTTGGCCCGGAGGTTGGCCTGGCGCATCATGAGAGAGAGAGAAAGAGTGATTGATGGGTGCCTCTGGGGTCGGTGGGTGGAGGAAGCCAGAGGGGACGTAGATCTTTGGAACTGAGCTTGATCAGGCGGTGGAAGAGGACTCTGTGGGCCCCAGAGGGCGCGGCACGCGCTAAAAGAGAGGGGAATCCAAAGAGGCCCAAGAATTTCCACCACACCCCAACGTATTTGGGGGGGTTTTTTGGACTTTGGTCCCTCTAAAATTCTTTCATTTGTAATATAAACTCATATATCAAAGTTATTGCTTTTCCGCTGTTGTCGACCATCATCCGCTCGCTTATTGTTGCGTCCCTCTAAAGTATTCTTCCAAAAAAAAGAAGAAATCCTCTGACACGTTCTTGGACTTGCCTGGTTTGGCCGAATTACTATTATTAGGTTAATATTAAGTGGCATTAATCCCCCACTGAATGGGAATAGAAAACGTCAGCTTCAACCGCGTCAGTGAGTTGTTGGTGGCGCAGTGGACCTGTTCACGGGTCCGATGAGACGCTTGTCGGTAGCTTTTTCAGCGAGAGATCCACTGCACTCCCGCGTCACCCGCCGGCCCTTGTCACAGAGAAAGAGAGAGACAAGCTGTCTAACAGTATCCAAAAGAACTCGATTTTTATGAGGTCGCTGGTGGGTGAGACAGGAGAACAGCCGTGCTGGATCAGGATTCAGAGGCCGTCGGCAGAACCGACATCAGATAAATAGATAGATAGATGTCCTAAGTAGGCCTAAGTCAGCAGGGTTTCTACTGCGTCCGGGGAAAGAAAAAAGGGCATAGTCCCCCTATGGTCAACGCCTAGTCACACTTGATGTTCCTGTAGATTCTCCTGACGAACAGGGAAGAACCCAGATAGCCCACAGCACCTGAGCCATGGAAGGTATCTTCGATCAGGTCTATTTTAGAGAGAGAGAGAGAGAGAGAGGACGGCGCCCATTAATGGTAACTCACCGCAGAGGATTCCCAGGCCGAGGCAGAGCATCAGGGTGTAGCCGAAGTAGAAGCTGATCTGGAAGAGGCCGGACATCTTGGTCTTCACTTGGTAGTAGTAGATGGAGTAGAGGAAGACGTAGATGGCCGTGGAGGCGGCGGAGAAGAAGGAGGTCCACTGCCAGTTGTAGTTCTCGGCGTTCAGCAGGAAGTAAGTGCCCACGATTGTCACACAGATGGTGACGATGACGAGGATGAGGAAGACCAGCAGCATGAACCCATACACATAATACACCTGAAACATCATAACTAGCATCACCCTCACCACGCCCACTGCACATGCATATTATTTCATATGGTTTCTGAAGCGGGCACCTTGTAGTTCCAGAAGGAGTAGAAGACGAAGTACATCTCGATGAAGATGCTGCCGAAGGGGAGGAGGCCGCCCATGAGGGAGATCACCGAGGGAGCGAGGTACCATTTCTTCAGGGGGATGGGCCGGGGGATGGCCTTCACGCGGCAGGGGTTGCTCGGCGCGCCGCTCCAGTTTCTGCCCACGACGGTGCCGAGGAGCGCCAGCGGGAAGGAGACGAAAGCCCAGATGACGAACACCACCACCATCGTTCCGAAGGGAATGGCAGCGAGGGACCCGTAGAAGATGGCGATGGTGTTCAGGACGAATCCGATGCCGAAGCACGTGAAAGGGAAGAGCGAGGCCGTCAGGGCCATCGTCCTGATCCAGTTCGTTCCTGAAGGGGGGGGGGGGAGGAAGAGAAGCTCGTAGAGTGCAAGAACAAGGACAGAGAACGGAGAGCCGCGCGCAGCGAGGTGCATACCGCCGTTCCGTGAATGCAGCCCGCCGCTGACGTACCCCGAGATGAATGAAGTGAGGGCGTAGCAGACGATGAAGGCCGTGATGATCGCTCCTCGGCTGAGAGCCGCACAAAATGGCGTGAGACCCATCAGTGCATGATTGGTGTGCATCATATATATTTTGTGGTCAAGTAGAGCTACCAAGAACCTCCGCCGATGAAAATTAGAACATCAAGTGTTTGGAAAAATGTGTTAATATCATGAATGAGATGAATAAAAGAATAAATCACTTGACATCTTATCTCGTGGTCTTCTGTGAGTTGCATCTAATCTGAGTGAAAAATGCATTACTTGCCACATTTGTATTACATTCTTTCTTCTATGGGCGTAATCTAATGTGAATGAGAGAATCTACCATTCAACATCTAATATGAGTAACAGGACAGACAATAGGAAGATTGAACGAACAAGGGGAAGGATTGAATGCAGGTAGGAGTAGAAAACCAGGTGATCGACATACCCAACATATAGCATCCCGATGATGGCCAGCAGAATGACAAGGAGAACGAGCATGGTAAGCTGAGCGCCTGTGCCGACGACAGCGGAAAGAAGAGCCAAATTCTGTGGAGGCCGGAAGACATCCCCGTGTATGAGCTTCCATCCAGACTCTTCACTCACATCCCTCTCCTGAAGAGCGGAAAACAGGTAAAAGCGTAACTCAACTAGGAGCGTAGCAGGATACATCTTGGTTTTTAGTAGAAGAGAAGATGTTGAGATGATCACCAGGCTGGTCTCAAGATCATCGTCTTCACGAGCATACTTTGCATAGTCATTTCTCAGGGTTCGCATCAATATCATTGACACCAAGCCAGTGAGAAAGAGAACCATCATAAAGGAATTGAAAATGGAGAACCAGTGGATCTGCCCATGGGATGGATTTTTTAAAACAACGAGAGTTAAAATAGACTTTAAGATGAACCGACACAACAAAATTATGAAAAATAAATGAATCATATGTGGTCTTAGCATCAAACCAATCCAACCACTGCAATCCAGAACTAGAATCATTCTCTTAATACTACTGAGTCATCAGTCTGTCCCCTATAATTGAGAAGTTATAGCAAGAAAAGTGCAAAGCAAACACATGGGTTCCTGGAAAAAACCGCACAACAGCATTGGCATTTAAACCACTAAGATCATTACCTGGTGCTCAAAAAAAGGGTAGTCCAGGTAAACATCAAAGCGCTTTGCAAATGTTATGTTCGTCTTTACCCACTTGACAGAATACGTCATGTCTAGTGTTCTACCGACTTCCAAAGGTTTTGCACCATCTTGAGTGAGATTCACATGAATAATCTGAAATCAAAGAAGGATATTAAGACATTGATCACAAAATCACACAAAAAATAAGAAAACATCAGTCCAAAGTTAATTCTAAAAATTGCAAACACCGAACCTGATCGCCATTGTATTTTACAACAATGTCCTTGTGAGTGAATAGATAATACTTATCTTCATTGTTTTTATGAAATCGCGCCTCCCCAACGAACCCTAGCAAAAAAATTCGGATTTTAGGTGGTGTGGTCCACATGAAAATGAAAGGGGCGAAACAGGGCCCGGACCACAAAAAAATAGCAAAATCAAACTAGAAGCAAATGGATGACATCTCATACCACATAAAGGCAAGTCATCTGGGTCAGGGAAACCATGCAGGCCACCATAACAAAAGAAAGAAAACAGTTATAGGTGAAGAAGAAAAGGACGCAAAAACGATAGAGAAATAGAAGCTGAGTTCCGTGCTGATTCTCAAAGAGCCAACATAGCTGAATCATAGACATCAACTATACCAATAAATAATTCTAGCCAATATAAGTTCTGGATTGCATCCTGGAATTGCTTCACCTTTGTATCATCAAGTTCAAGGGAACAAACAAAACCCTTATCAATATTTCCTGAAAAAAAATATCATATAAATATTAGCAGAAATTGGATTCCCAATGTTATATTAGGCAACTACGGTCTCACTGAAAAGGTTTGTGAGTCAAAAAAACTAGGGCCATAAAAATCAGGTCGACATACTACGAAATTTTATTTCAATCTGGCTGTCGATAAGTTCATTGCCACCCAGAACCTCCCCGAGCCCACCCCACCTCTGGGCAGCGATTCCAGCTTGCCGGCAGAAAGGAAGGCTGTAGTAGTTATACGTTTCTTGCGGGTTATCGTATGGGCCAACCTTGTTCACCCACAGTGTCACAGGATCACCTAATTGGTACTGCAATAAATGAACTCAAATCAAGAAAATCATCCACTTACTAGGCGAGGTATAGAAAAAAAAAAACAGTATTGAGGAGAAAAAAATTGCGAATATATATAGATGCATTAACGCTGATAATATTCACGAAGAAGGATTAGTTTGAATCTGCTAATAGATAAATAAAAAAATAATCAAATAGCACACATAATATCTTCGAAATAAGTTGCCCAAACATCCAAGAAAAACTTTCTCAAAGGTTTGTGCAAAATATAATGCACATGAAGATCCAAGTGTGCGTCCATGAATTAACATCTTCCAGAACTAAATCTAGTGACAGAAAAATTAAAGATTATTAAAATTGGAAGGCGATAAGTCGTCACTGCAGCATGCGAAGTAAAACCTTTTACAGAAGCCAGAGGAAACAGCGACAAGATACAACGGCAAATAGAGAACCTAGACTCGTCGTCAGTGACTACGCCCACCAGCGCAGACCCTGTCGGCGAGAAATCCAACTCATGGGAAAAGAGGTTCTTCTGCCTAGTGAGCCACGATTATCTACTAATTCACAGTGGCTACTTCACGGCGGCCAAACTCGAAACGACTTTGGCAGCAACTAACCCAAAATTTCGCAGCTACGGTCAGGCAACTTCGTAGATCTGAGCAGAAGTGCACACAAATTGATAATTCCAAATGCGGATACCGCATGAAGTCTTACGATCTCTTGAAGCGGCTTCGAGAGCAAACGGGATACGAGAACAGCCAAGAAACCCCGAAGCCCAAGGACCAACTCGCATACCTTGTGATACTCGGACGCGGAGACCGCTGCGAAGCAAAGAGGAAGTAGGATTGTCAGGAGATGGGAGGATCGGGTGGTGGGACGCATGGCGGCCGGACCTACGAGATCCAATCCAGCCCCAGAGCTCCCCTGCCGGTGCTTCGCCGTCCTCACTCCGACTCTCAGTGAAGCTGAGATGATGTCGCTGTCTGAGTAGAGAGAGACCTCGCAGTAGTCATTCAGTTTTCTTCTCTTTGACTCAGTGGTCGCTGCAGGTCTACAAGCACAGCACGTCCCCCGAATTTGGGCCCATCGGCCCAACGAAAACAGGCCCATTTATAGAGGAGATAGAGTAATGGGCTCAGCGTGTTTTCTCGGTCCAGCCCGGGCTAACGAGACTAGGCCCAAGTGGGTCATATTAATTGGGCCCCACTAATGACCCATTACTGAAATCCAATCGTGTGGGAAGCTGCCTAGAAAAGGACATAGGGTTCTGCCATGCGCTCCATGTGGGCTTGGCCCAAAAAACACTGGCCCATTTTCATACAGGATAAATATTAATGGGCCTGAAGTATTTGCTCCGATCCAGTCCCATAATAACAAGACGGGTACCAGAGGACCCCTGGGGTCCAATAATGACCAATGGACCAGATAAGAAGCTGCCTAGAAGGTAGGAATCTGTGCCACGTGGCGCCTTCTGCTGCGTCCCCAAGAAAGGAGAGGAGAGAGAGAGAGGGCACATGCTTCCAGCAATGAGTGAGTTCCGCACCTACCCCCTCCTCATGCACTCCTCTTCTTCTACTTCTCTCTCTCTCGCTATCTATCTCTCTCTGCCTAATGACGGCGAAGAGTTCGGCTGGTGAGCTAAACAAGGTTTTCCGGATTTCTCGGAAAAGCAGAAGCCGAAAACACAGACGACGGCCGCCGGAGAGGGGGGGGAGAGAGAGAGAGAGAGTGACACTAAACTCCTCGATACCCGATCCCGTCGTTGCCTAAGTGGCGGTGCTGCTTCTAGAACCCAGGAGGGAAGGTGGGTAGGGGAGGAGGAGGGTGGGCTCGCTGTGAGATACTGGACGACGATGAACAGCCGGTCCGATGAGTGAGAGAGAGAGAAACAGACAGACGGACAAACGGACAAACGGACAGACGGACAGGGATAGAGAGAGATGGGTAAAGAGAGAGAGAGGGAGAGAAAACGGGAGAGGCGAGAAAAGCAGAGCTACCTACCCAAATCCAGCCCTCCCTCTCTGTAACCACTCACCAACCTGGTCAAATGGCCATCGCGGATCGAGTCAATAGGCCCTATCAAACCTATCTCTCTCTTTCTCTCTCTCGCTGCGTATAAATCGCCATTGCCGGTCCGATCTCAGTGAACTTCCGGATAAACCGCAACAGGCCGGAAGGGGCAGAAACCCAAATTCCGAAGACCGCAGCCGGCAGGAGCGGCGAGGCCGCCGGAGTTTGGGCGGCGGCGGAGGAATGGGGCGCTCTCCGTGCTGCGAGAAGGCCCACACCAACAAGGGCGCGTGGACGAAGGAGGAGGACCAACGCCTCATTGCATATATCAGGGCCCACGGCGAGGGCAGTTGGAGATCTCTCCCCAAAACCGCAGGTGGAGCTTCTTCTTCTTCTTCCTCTTCTTCTCCTTCTGCGCCACCGGATGGGCTCTCCGACCCCATCAATTTCGCCCGCGTCCTCGCTCTCACAGGGCTGCTCCGGTGCGGGAAGAGCTGCCGGCTCCGGTGGATAAACTACCTCCGGCCGGACCTCAAGCGGGGGAACTTCACCGAGGAAGAGGACGACCTCATCATCAAGCTCCACGAAATGCTGGGAAACAAGTGGGTGGAGCTTTTCCTCAGCCATTTCCTCGAACAGATTCGGCGCGCTTTCCACTGTCTAATCCTCTGCGATATCTTCTTCTTCTCCTCTTTGACTGTGGCTGCTCAGGTGGTCTCTGATCGCCGGACGCCTGCCGGGGAGGACCGACAATGAGATAAAGAACTACTGGAACACCCACATCAAGCGCAAGCTCTTGAGCAGCGGCCTCGATCCTCAGACTCACCGGCCCATCGACGGCGCCGCCAAGCCCCAAGTTTCCATCTTGGAGACGACCGAGGAGGCGAGCAACAGTGCCACCAACCCGGAAGTCAACCTCGACCTCTCCATCAGGCTCCCTTTCTACCCATCCGCCCCCGCCCAGTCGTCTTCTTCCAACGAGGCCTCTGACACCATGGCGACGTCAGCCTCTGCGGCGGCGGCGGCGGCGGAGGAAGTTCACCAGCCCTTTAGGCCGGCGGTGTGCCTCCGCCACCATCTCGGATTCCACAGAGACGAAACCTGCGTCTGCCAGACTGTGGCCAACTCACACACCATTGGGAGGTGAAGAAGAGCCACTGAACTAGCCGCCGTCATGTAGAGGAAGAAGAATAAGAAGGAAAAGAGGAGCGAAGTCCTTCCGCTGCAACTCCGCCGCCATGACAGAAGGACACGAAGTTCTGTGGTCTGTCTCATCTTCTTCATTCTCCCACCAGAACTCGGGTTTCACCATAGAATTATCTTAACGGAGAGATAACCCTAGATAGGAGGGTTCGTTGGAAGGTTCCCATCGAGGGTCACTTCACTAGCGGCGACGTCCAAGGTGACGACTTGCCACATCCCCCCGCCGCGGAAATCTGCCAGCCACCGTAAGCATAAGCTCCAGCATGCCTATCAGCTGCTCGGCCAATACCCTCACTCGACCCCCTCACGGAATCTCGAAGCTCGTGTGAAAAAAACCAGTCGCACTGGAGATTCCCCACATGTCGAGAAATTTCCGTCATGTGATCGCAAACTGGGTTCTTCTAGAGAGAGAGAGAGAGAGAGAGAGAGTCTCCTCTCTGCGAAGAGGGTCCCGGGGGTCGCTCCACCAACTTCGGGGGGTGGTGTCGATGGTACTGTTCTGTAATTTAATCCAGAGGAATAAAAAGAACGCGAGGAAGAAGATGCCCGGAAACGGATGGCTGTGGTAGTTGGTGGTTGGTAGCCGGACCACGTAGGGGAAGACACCTCTCTCTCTTTCCCACCCCCCACATGAATTTCCTGTTGTCGTCGTCTTCGAATTATTTCTATTCCTTTGTCCCTTCCTCTCTCTCTCTCTTCGGCGTAGTGCGGGAGGGGTGAGGAGTCTTCTAGAAGGGCAGGGTTCGCCGGAGAGACAGCCACTTACTGACATCCTTTTCAAGATTAGGGTTCTGTGATTAGCGGAGAGAAGGTGACATAAGACGGGCATCTGTTATTGGACCTGGGCCAGAGAGAGGACTAGCAATGGGCCCCACCCCATGGTATAGAGACAGTGCCGGGTCAATTGCACATGGCCCGACCATCTCAAGGATTAATCTTTAAAAATAAATAAATTAGGGATATAATTGTCCTCGATTCCAGTCAACTTAGGGTGGGCCCCGAATCTATCTCGCGGTCTACTAGCAGGTGAGGGCTTTTTGTCTGGTCAGTGAGAAGAGACGAGACAAGCGTGCTAACTGCTTCGACTCGAGCGGACAGAGCCCGTCCGTCACACAGCGTACGCGACAAAACAATAAATTCACCTCCCCGTCGGCGGGAGAGAGAGAGAGAGGCGATTTGATATATGAGAACGTGGACTTAAGCAGGGCGTGAGGTGGTACTGACTTGTCAAGCCGACGCAGAATTTCAACGGCACTCGTGGAAAGCAGCGTAAGGAAGACGTTCTAGAAGGTTAGAAGTTTCCTTCTGGAAGGTCGTAAGTGCGCAGGACGTGCCAAAAGCCCCCCCTGGAGATTCAAAATATGGGCCAGTCTCAGTCAAATGAAATATGGGCCCAATACGGGGCCCCATATGTGGCATTGGGCCCCACCTGCACGACCGAATGCCCGATCAAGCAACATAGATGGGCCATATTATACAATGGGCCGATGAGAGGCCCAACCACTGACCGGATGTGCCATTTGGGCCAAGACTAATGCCACTTGGGACAATATCCGGCAACCTGTTCTCTGCTAATAAACCCTCTAAAGGAAGAGAGAGAAAGAGAGAGAGAGAGAGAGAGAGAGAGAGAGAGAGAGAGAGGGTTAATCCTCATCCTCGGTTTCCTCGTCGTCCGCATTGGTAGTCCCTTGGTACCTCCATGCGTCCTCCTCGGGGTTCTCGCAGTCCTCTTCTGTTTCCTCGCTATCCTCGTAGACCCCCTTGGCTGTCACAGTAGGCCACGGCTTCTTGCTCGAGCTCGCCGGAGTCAACGCCGGAGCCTTCCGGGAGATCTTCGACGGCGGCGGCGGTGGGGGCGGCGCCGCCTGCTGCTGCTGCTGCTGGAGCTTCGCGCTCAGCGAAGAAGACCTGCTCCTCTTCGAACCCTTTCCCGCAGAGGCCTTTCCCTCTGCGTCGAGCTTGCCGTTGTCTTGGCCATGGCCGGGGTGCTCCCTCCTCAGGTGGAGCTTCAGCTTGTACTCGTGGATGTACGACTTACCGCAGCCTTCGTAGGGGCAGGCGTAGGGGCGGTCCGAAAAGAGCGCCGCCGCCGGCTTCGGGGCGGCGGCGGCCCTCTCCTCCGGCGGCGCTGACTTCGCCATGCTCGTCCCAGCGGCCTGCAGCGGCGCTGCCCAAAAGTCAGACCGACGTCGAAGGGAGAAGAAGGGGCAAAAGGTGGCACCTTTTCGTGGTGGGACTTGATGTGGCCCTGCAGCTTGTAGGAATGGGCGAACCTTTTCTGGCAGTCTTCGTAGGGGCAGACGTGGTAGTTCTCCTGCGAGTGTGTTCGCATGTGTGCCCTCAGGTTAAAATCCAAGGAGAAGGCCTGCGAGTCAACCACACGTGCCAAACACATTGACCCAGATCATTGACCAGCGCGAGCGAACACAAGAATCTCTCAGAAGAGTCAGTCAACTCCTGCAGACCTTGCCCACTCCCTAAAAAACTGCCTTGGGCTCGGACGTTTCTATGCTGAAACTGGCAACACTAAGAACACATACCGGCACAGATCGAACAGGAAACAGCAAGAGATGGCGAAAAATGGTAACTCCTTCATTACTAAACTAAAAAAAATAAAAATAAAAAAAGGAAGAAGAAGAAGAAGGAAAAGATCTCCACTCGTTGACCACTGATTCCAACATATGACGAATGGGATTAAAACCTGGGTAAAGATTGAGCTGATAATAGATCAGCTACATACGTGGCAGAGGATAAGACTAGTTCTTTATAACTCTCGAAGGGGTATCAACCAAAAGACGGTGCCAGGTAAGCTCCATGAAGAGCTTGACCTCCAACATCTTTGGGGTGCCAATGAGGGTTGACTTTGGAATATCAAGGAAGGAAAAAAAGGTGCAACTAGCACACAGGGATATGGGATTTCGTCCAAGACGGTCATTAGCACAGGAAGAACAATAAGATGATAAAAAAAGACAGAAAATAATGAATTAGACTTTAAACAAGGGGTACATGTTTTTTACAAGGTCATTACCAAATGGGATCAAGGAGACGGAACCACCACACAGTAACCAAATGATTAGATGAGGCCTTTTAAAAAAAATAATTCGATACAAATATAATATTTTAACAAATAAAATGAACATTTCTACGTGTACATGACTTATCAGTTAAAAATATTGATATATCATTTTATGACAGTTTTCATAATTATTTACTATGCAGTAATATACTGTATATCCATTTTATTATTTAACGTAGGTTTGAACCTTGTTTTTCCCATTATGCCAGAAATTCAGCTGAGGCATTGTTCTATGCACGAACAAGTGTTCACCACGACAGACTGGATGCCTGAATGCAAGGCTCATGTAGAAGTAATTGACTAAACATGATTAAAGAAAATAAGAAACGGAGAAAAGAAAGCCAAGAAAGATTCACAATGCGGAGCTCTGAGGTTGCCCTCCCAGAAAAAGGCAACAAATTCCCAGTTCCAGACATAGACATTATTACTGTCTTGGTGGTCCAAAAATGGAAGCATTTTCGAATATTTCTCAGGGAAAAATGATTAGAGCCACATCTAAAAGATCGTAAGCCCAATTTATTGACAAAATTACAGCAATCTGCTTTTCAGATAAAGCCAGATTCTTCGTCTCATGACGAAGATTTCACGAAGTCGATAGATATAATAAGAAATATCATCCAAGGTATTTTTAGAAAATAACCCATTAATATTTTATTCTACAATCAAAGGCTCATGTTAATGAGTGCACTAGGGAACAATCAGTTGATATTGAAGTATATTTCTGAACCATGCTTCGCTATGACATCTGATGAGAAAGAACGGAACTAATCCCAAAAATAGCAATCCAAGTGTTATCTTCGCACCATAAAAAAAACACAAAGGATGTGGTTGAATATGACCAATGACAGCCCAGCGTTATCAAATTCAACACCCAACTCTGTTATAGTATAATATGAGATATTTTTTCAAAACCAATTTTAAGAAATAATTAAAAGATAATTAATCTAGTACAGAGAGAGTTTTACCTTGCCACAACCTTCATAGGTACACATGTAAGCCTTTTCACCGGTGTGTATAAGGAAATGCCGTTTAAGCTTGGAGCTGTCCAAGAATTTCTATAACAGTAGAATATGAGCATTTCAGAACCATTAAAGTTTTTTCCCAGAATAATACTCAGAAGAAGTTTTAGAACATGAGCGTAATCATTGTAACAACCAAGTGAATCCAAACACATTAAAAACAGATTATGAAAAACTCAGCCACATGATTTTATACTTAGAAGGAAAAGAAAAATTGGGGATCAAATAGATGACGAATTTCTTAGGAAGAAACCAGTTAGGTACATAAAATGAAAGAGCAGAAAGTAACTATGCATGGGTATATTGAAGCGTGCCCATCTGGTATAATAATCTACGGATTTACAAAGCTCAATAGAACATCCTACGTCGGCGCCAAATATATCACAGCAATCTTCACTGGCACTTCTTTCCCTATCCTAGAGTCCGAAGAAAAGGATAAAGCTTGCTCACTAGGAAATTGAATTGATAAGCGGAAATGCTAACCATAGTTATGGACAATGGTGTTTTAAATAACCGCTACTAACGAAACCCTTTCTATTAGAAAAAATAATTTCACATGGTTACAGACTACAATCGTTTTTTTCTCCTTCCTCTTAGAATTTGAATGTGTGATGTATCTAGCAACGTCTAAATCTGGAGTAAAATAACACTTAGAAAGGATGATACCTTTCCACATCCTTCGTAATGGCAAATATACTGCTTCTCCCCGTGGACATGGGAGTGCTTCCTCAAGGCGGCCACGTCAATGAATGTCTTTCCACAACCCTCAAAGCTGCAAAGGAATAGAATTTCTGTGGTCGGTTCAGGTTCTCGTTCTTCTTGTTCGGGTTCTTCGAGTTTTTCGTTCATGGCTTGAAGAACGTCCTCTGAAATATGAGAAAAAAAAGAATAACGCGACTGTATGAGCATTTTCTCTGTCTCACGTCATGTAACAAAGCAATTGGTATCAACAGCCCAAATACTCCCACTGAATACAAGAGAGAGGTACCTCTGACCCATTTCAAAGCCATGCCCTTGCCTCCGGTCGCAAGAAGATCCTGGGGAACCCTAGAATGCCATCATCATCACCCCCATCAAAAAATACGAAATGATACACTGGGAGCATGACGGCTGGAAAAATCACAAAAAACACCACGAAATACGAAAAACAAATCGAAAACATCCCGCGTCCACATCCGGCACTTATCACAGCGAAGAATCAGAGACAAAACTATCCCCCATTTCCCATCGGATGCAGCGCGAAGAAACCCCGCGGTCAATCGAATGCCTAAAAAAAAAAAGTGAACGACAGAGATCGGCGACGGCGTACCACGTCTTCAGCCATCGGGCGGCAGGCACCACTTCCCTCCTCATCCGGCCCTCGTACGCCCCCATCGAGTAATTCTCCGGCATGAAAGGGGAAATCGCCTGCATCTCCATCCCTCTACCCTTCCCCGCCTATGCCGGCCCCGCTTTAAGCAGAGACCGCGCCATTAAACTAGCCAACTGACTCTCCTCCTGCAGGGTGTCGCGACCTCCTCGCTACCGACGTACGGACGATCTAGGCCGTCCGTGGTGATCACCATCGCACCTGATGGCAACGGACGGCGGCTGATGACTCGTGAGGAGAGAATCTCCACCCCTCGCACGATCTGGGCCTGGAAATGAAGTTTCGGTGATGCCGGCCTAAATGTTTAATGGGCCGGGCCCAACGGAGAGGATAAAAAACCGTCGGGTCCACCACGGTCCACAGAGGGTGCCACGTGGAGGAGAGTAGACAGCCCCGCCCATCCCCTACAGGGCGGCAGAGTGAGCGAAAAACCCTAATTCCCGCCGCTGTTACTTCCTCGGTCCGAGGAGTCACAGAAATCTCCAGGCGGATTAAAAAAGGGGCAGTCGAGGAGAAGGAAGAGGAAGAGCATTGCAGAGAGGATAAGGGCGAGGGCATCCTCCTCGGGGCTTCGATGCTTCGCCGGCCTCATCTCCTCCATTTGAAGAAGCCTGTGAATCCCCACGGCAAGCGGCGGAGCAGGCAGGTCTAGTTATGCAAAAGACGTGGTGGCGACTGAGCCTCCGCCCGAGCCCAGGGCCGGTGCTCTGCACCGGCGGCTGGCTTGACCGTGCTTCTGCTTCCAGTGTAACCACGAGGTACTCGCCTTCTCCGATGGCGGCCATGCGACTCCGTCCTTCTCCTCCCTCTCCCTCTTCAGCAGCCTGCACTGCCTTGGCTTCCTCCGGAAGCACCACCGCTCCTCACCGGAGGAGCAGCAGTCTCCCCAACGTTCGCCGCCCGTACCTTCTATTCTCCTGCAGTTGCGTTTATTCCGATGGCGGCAGCGGCGGCAGCGGGAGGGGACGGGCTTGGGTTGCCCTAAAGCGAGCGCGGCTTCCTTCTTCAGCGGCCATTGTTTGGTCCCATGGAAGTGTGGCCGGCGGCAGGAGGGGTTTTAGGGCTACGGAGCCATCGATAGACCAGGAGAAGCATGAGAACTTGGACGGTGGGGATGAGGAGGCGGATGAAAGGGAAACCGTGGACTCGGAGCAGAAGCCCCAGGTGAGTACGAGCCAGAGAGTCGCTCTCAGGAGGCAGAGGGCGGCACTTTCAGGCGGCCTTCCGGTGGGGAATGTGGACCTGCTCAGCATCCCCGGCGTCGGTCCCCGCAACCTGAGGAAGCTGGTGGACAAGGGCATCGGAGACGTTGCCGACCTTAAGCAGCTTTACAAGGACAAGGTTCGCCTTCTCACTGACTCTTCTTCTGCCCTAAGGAGCCGCATTCCTCTCCAAGTCATCATGTCTTTAGACCTTCATGAAGCTTCTTCTGCGCGCAGTTTTTCGGGGAGTCTAGTCAGAAGATGATAGACTTCTTGCAGAGCTCTGTGGGAATCATCCACAAGAACCACGCCGAAAGCATCACCACCTTCATCAAGGAGAGAGTCGACGAGGAGCTGGAGGAGGACCCTCACTCCGGCGCAAAGCCTTCGCTGAAGAAGAGGCTCACTTTCTGCGTCGAGGGTAACATCAGTGTCGGGAAGACCACCTTCCTCCAAAGAATAGCCAACGAGACGCTTGAGCTGAGGGACCTCGTAGAGGTGGTTCCTGAGCCCATCTCTAAGTGGCAAGACATCGGTCCAGATCACTTCAACATCCTCGACGCCTTCTACGCCGAGCCCCAGAGATACGCCTATACCTTCCAGAACTATGTCTTTGTGACCAGGGTCATGCAGGAGAGAGAGTCTGCTGGCGGAATCAAGCCCCTCAGATTGATGGAAAGAAGCGTTTTCAGTGACAGGATGGTTCGGACATGAAACCTTCGTCGATTCCTCAAGATCCATCGATGACCTCCCCCCCCAGTGTGACAGGATCTTCTTCTCGCCATTTTTTGCAGGTGTTTGTCAGAGCTGTACATGAAGCAAACTGGATGAACGAGATGGAGATCAGCATCTACGACTCTTGGTTCGACCCGGTGGTCTCATGTCTTCCCGGTCTCATTCCAGATGGGTTCATCTACCTCAGAGCCAGCCCTGATACCTGCCACAAGAGGATGTTGTTGCGCAAGAGGGCAGAGGAGGGTGGTGTGACTCTCAATTATCTGCGAGACCTGCATGAGAAGCACGAGAGCTGGCTCTTCCCCTTCCAGAGTGGGAACCACGGGGTGTTGTCTCTCAGTCAGCTACCGACCCACATGGACAGCTCCTTGCATCCTGACATCAGAGATCGAGTCTTCTACCTCGAAGGGGCCCATATGCATTCCAGCATCCAGAAGGTGACATTCTTTTTCTCGGGACTTGGATTCTTTCTCATCTGGGTCAGTCGAGGTTTCTAAATGGGTCTTTGTTTTTTCCTTCTTGTGGCAAGGTTCCCGCCTTAGTGTTGGACTGTGAGCCCAACATTGACTTTAACAAGGACATTGAGGCGAAACGACAGTAAGTGTGCATCCTCTGCGTCTATTACTCATCATCATTGGTGCACCCTCTTGGCTTAGAGTTATTTGGTGCATTTTCTTTGGTGCCCAATACCCTCTCTGTGAAGTTTTCCAACTACTGGTTCCTGTCAGCTAGAATAGCATCGGAATTAGTCTTTGGCGTTCGTTCTTCATCTACCATCTGCTAATTATAGTGGGTCATCCCCAGATGCTTGCTTTAGTGGAAGCTCTGATCTTTCAACCGTCTTCTCTTGGATGCCAACCCTCCTCATTATCTCGTTGCATCCGCATCATTTGATCACAAGCGCAGATGAGCCTCAGCATTTCTAGTCCAGGGCTGTTCACTGAGTGCTCCTCCTTGTCTTCCGAAGGTATGCTCGCCAGGTCGCCGAGTTCTTCGAGTTTGTGAAGAAGAAGAAGGAGACTTTGCCAGCAGAGAGCGAAGGCTCGGCCAAGGCAAGCCCAATGCAGCAGTTGGTTCTCCCCCAGGAGGGCGGCCTCTGGGTCCCCAACAACAGCCATTTCCCCGAAGCTGCCCTCAAGTCTCTGGACTTCAGGAGGGCCATGTCCTTCCTCTCTGGGTAGCCCGCCCTCCTCCATTACCCCTGCCCTTTATTTTGTGCAGCTCCGAGAATCTCCTTCTGGAGCAAGTTTTGCCTGGGAGCAGATGGATGACGGGCCATGAGCATCCCCCTCCTCCCCAGCAGAGGATCTTGCCGCTGCGAGCCTTCTCACAGATCCTCTGCCTGTTGAATTGCCCTAATGTAGTGGTCGCTCATTCAGGTTGCTTGTAAAAATTTCCCTAGGAGCTTCCAGTGGTCAGAAGGTGTATTCTCTTGTGTGGACAGATGTTCTTCTTACTCAAATTGGCCCCGAAGGCAGGCCTGTTCTTACTCAAATCTGTGGCTTTTCTCTGCCAGAACTGTTTCCGACGAACAGGGTTAAAAAAAAATATAAAGTAAATTCAATGCAGAGGAGGCATCATAAATGAAGTAAATTCATTGTTTTTTACAGGCATGCGGCGCATATATACATACTATATTTGTGCATATGTTGGATAATTACAGGGTATTGTCCCATCAGTGGCTTGCGTACCTTGGGAAAATCTTCATTACAGTGTTCTCTGCCGATGATCCGTGGGAACAGGGCAGCTCTTCTCCACTTTATGTGGAGGACCAAGTTCACGAGCTCTGACAGAGTTAATGGGCCAATCTCCCTGCTTCGATCTTCTGGAGGGAGACCTTTGGAGCTTCCATTGGGAGCTTAGGTCACCTTCTTTTCTTCTCCTCTGAGGAGGATCGAGCTAGCTAGCTCTGCCAGTCTCTTTGATTCTGAGCACTGTTACTGTTCTGGGTCTAGACGTTTCTGGAGATTTCTGGAACTTCTCTGCAGGATCGAGCTAGCTAGCTCTCCCAGAATTCTTGTGAGGTAATATCCGCTAGTCTCTGTGGTCTGAAAATCTCCTGGAGGATGTTGGAGCTTCCGAGGAGGATCAAGTCAACTAGCTGCTCTGGTCTTCTGTGGAGGGCCACGTTGACAATCTCTTCTTCTCCGCTGTGAATGATCTAGAGACTCCTGGAGGATGTTGGAGCTTCCGAGGAGGATCAAGTCAACTAGCTGCTCTGGTCTTCTGTGGAGGACCACGTTGACAATCTCTTCTTCTCCGCTGTGAATGATCTAGAGACTCCTGGAGGATGTTGGAGCTTCCGAGGAGGATCAAGTCAACTAGCTACTCTGGTCTTCTGTGGAGGACCACGTTGACAATCTCTTCTTCTCCGCTGTGAATGATTCTCTGAGAAGTGGAAAACAATCAACCGAGTTGAATCCCAAGGTCAAACGATGGAGAAGCCGCAAAATCTTCATCAGGGTGTTCGTCAATCTTATCGGTGGGACCCACTGGCATCTCGGGCTTGCACCTCAGGAGCTCAGCCGCATGTGCCTCCACAGCATCAAGATCCAGGCCCTCGTAGAAGTCATCGTCCGATAGCGTGACAATAGCCAAGTCAGCATGGGGAGGTTGACCTTGAGCTGACTCTGGGTCAGTAGGATGCTCTAGCCGGAGATTTGGCGCAGGATCCAGGTCAACATGCGGGAAACTTAGCTTCTTCTTCCTGACCTCTGTCATCTTACTCTTCTTCCCTTCTCTGGTTCGACTGGTTTCTCCATTTTCGCATAAGTTGAGAGTTCTTGAGCGTGCTGGGTAGGTAATGGAGTTCGGCGCAGGAGACTCATTTCCGCGCCTTGAGACATTTCCAGGGGTCTGAAGAGAATTGGTGATCCTTCCTGAAGAACAGCTTCCAGTTTCGGCCGGCAAGGGGGAGAGAGATTCATCGGGCGAATTTGCCGGAAATAATGGGCTTCTTCTCATAGCTGTTGGTGACTGGGTGAGCAGAGAACGCCTGTAACATGAACTCAAACAATGCCAATGCATCTGCGTCAAGAGTAATACGACGAAGAAGCAAACGAGGTAAAAATCATATATCCACAAACAGCAAGAACACTAAGAAGCGAACACATAAAATTATAGTTATATCATATTATTATATAATAATAATATGGTATAACTAAAATTGTTCTAATTGGATTTTGTTATTTTTCTAATCAAATAAAAACAAATTCAATTCATAAATTCATATTGTGTTCAAGCATTTTGATACCTATTTAACAGTTCGATGGTGGAGAAAATCTAAAATAACGGTGAATTTTGAAATTTTCAGTGATCAATTATCGAAGAATGATAGTTATATGGATATTTATTGCATGGCGATACTGAAATGGTAGAAATCACTGAGTGGAAGTGCACCAATCATCCTGTGGTCAATTCACGTCCAGATTATGCAGCTGATGATTGGTAAAAATAATGCCGAGTTTCCAGTGGGGGGAGCTCCGTGAATCAATAAGGGCCTCCCCATTTCCCATGCTCTATCTGATTGGACCAACCCAACAGAGAATCTCTGGCGAGTCAACGCAAAGCTTTAGGATCACCTTCTTTAAATCTATGGGCGTCTTATTTGCTATTCAAATAAATATCAAGAGACTACATTCATAATAATCGAATATAATATTATATATGATGATCCGCAATGCTATGTGGATCATCATATTGAGAATTCTCAGTATTTGGGGATAGCAAGGTATGAAAATGAGCATAAATGTCATGAAGCGTCGGATTCCCTTACCTGTAAAATGCCATCATGTCACTCCCACTATTCTCTGGTCGAGCACTAGCTTCTGCAGAATTGGTTCCATCATTGATGAAACTATCATCATATCCACTCTCATCTGAGTCATCATCTTCGTCCTCTGATGCTCTTGCATCTGAAGACACCCTGAAGAGAATGGATAACAGGGGAAAAAACCCAATGAAATTGTAATCAAGATTAAAACTCAATTAAATGAGATGATATTATCTGTCTTTGCTATCTAATAAACTAATTCATTGTATTATTTCACTTTCTTGTCGTAGATTTCATTTGTGGCAATTAAGAAAAGACTATCTCATCAATATGATGATGCTGACAAGATGGTCTAAAGGTTGTCTTACTCCGCTTCATCTTCAACGAAATTGTTGGGATTGGATTTGGCCTTCCCTTTGCCTGAATGCAGAGAAAAGAATGGTCAGGCACGACAAGAGAACTGATGTACATTATCTGACTGATCAGTTTGTACCCTTGGAGGATCAACCTAGTTTGGCCTAGCTTCACATGAAAATGCATTGAATAAGTCAAAGCCCAGTTTACCTCTGAACCTCTTTGCTTGCTTCATATTCCTCCTGCTTGTGCGCTCGCAGAACTGTTTGACAGATGAACAAAAATTTTCTTCCAAGAGCTTGCAAGAAAGATTTCGGACAACATCACGATGCCTGCGCAACCTTTTATATTTTGGAGTTTGATGAACAGATTTTAAGGCTTCGGCAGAACCCGATTTCCATCCTTCACTGGAGCCTTTCTTTGTGTGACTAGCCACTGGAGTCTTTTCAATAAGCTGGACTGAGCTGTGACATTTTATACCAGCTTCATGTACAGAAGTTTCCACCTTTTCAACACCATGTTCATTTTGTCTTGGTACCTTTGCGGAAGATGGAGAGCCAGGTGACACGAGAATGGAAGGCAAATCATCAGCTATGGCCGGAGAAATTATCTCTTCTGGAGCTTCTTCAGGAATTGATGAACTTGGTATTGTGTTTTCTATTTTGCTTTCAAAGATCCTTCCGGCAACATAATGTGACCCCTGATATCCAGGAGCGTCTATGATGCCCGTAGGTGCTGAGCACGCCACTTTTGGAGGATAATCATTACTCTTGAAAGTAGGCGACTCGGGGACGATACCCTTCTCAATGAAATGAGTCAACCGTGGGCTTAATTCGATATCATCAATAATATGGGTTGTCTTGCTTGTTTGTGAAACTGACGGGGGCTTTCTAGCTTCTGCAGGTACCTCCTCCTCAACAAAGTCTTGTAAACGTGTTGGATTTTCTGCGGCGATTGGTATCTGGAGCAAAGTCTCATAATCTCCATGGAGTGACTGTTCATTTGAATCCAAGTTTTCCTGCAGAGAAGTAGCCACTTGATCAGGATTTGTACATTTTGGCCCCATAGCATCTGCTTGTTCTTATGCAGGAGCCAAATTTTTCTTTGATGACCTGCATATTTCTGGTGAGAAACTAACCTTAGAGCAAGGAGATTCACTAATAAATGGGAGGACAGGAACTGACGTTATTGAAACACCTCCGCACACATTCACTGTCACAAATTCCTCACTAAAGAGGAAACGGTGAAGAACAGAGGTCTTCTGAGAAGAAAGATCAGGTTTGAGCATGACACGTCCATCTTTCCCCTCCGAGATTGCATTTGGTGACCTCTCAGATTCTGGATCCTCTGCTTGCAGCGGTCCTTGAGCACCATCTATTTCATGACACAGTAACTGGTTTTCAAATGATAGGAATGTTACACTGAAAATGTAGTTTACACCGACTACATAGCGTCAATTGTGCAAACAGTCATCTTCTGCAAATTATTATGAGTACCTTGTGTTACAGGTTGCATCACTGTGAGTTAAAGGGCTAAGAAAAGCTACCATTTTAATGAACACGGCTGGTAAGTAAACATGGGAATATTCTACACGATTTGATTACTTTTCCTTCTATGGTAGCCTTCTTCGCTAATCTGGTTACCCATTGCGGAAAATTCAAGTTTAGCCGCTATTCAGGCTGATAATCAACGTCCCTTGGTGCTTAATGATGCTAGCAGACATCAGAAAAGAAGAGTATTTGGTGAGTATTAAACATCGGTGATTTTCACCTATTATCATAGAGATTCCCCTATGACATCTCTCAGGAGAAGGTAGCTTTCAACAAGAAATGAAATGACCTGTTGGAAATCGTGGATGCCGAGAAATCAGGAAGAAGTTAGAACGCTATCTTCTTCTGGTTGCTCACACAATGAAGTACCAATTGATAGGATTAGAACAGAAGAATAGAGAAAGGCAAGTATGATAGGGCTATGAAAACTTCCCTTTAGATATTACTAGAAAGAGATTTAAGGAATACGTCGGCCGCATAGTACAAAAAACAAAGAAATTGGATTTTTTATCTATTTATTTAAGACCTGGACAGAATAAACTGATATAATCAAAGAATAAAAGGGATTATACAATCGAGATACGCAAATTGAAGAGCATAATAATGTAACTTAAATGCATTTTCACCATAGCCAACTGAAAAAGTTAGCTCGCACGAAATCCAAGCCAGTACTGCATTCCAAGTTTAAGGACAAATAAAGTTCAAAGAAGTTGATCATCAGCTGCTGCATGCAATATAGACAATGATTTAAAGCTATTCTTAATACGGAGAAGAATAAGGTTCGGACGCTGATCTCAATAAGGCAAGACAACATGAACCTATGTTACTTCTGATAAAATTCAGAAGTAAATATGTTCACTGGATTTAATAGACTGGCCTACTTTTATAATAAACACTTCACTGTTTTACTTTTCAAAAGATCAAATCTGAATGAAACGGGACATTCTGCGATAAGGTAGCAAGAAGTAAGTCTTTTAACGTAGAAAGTATTGCAATCCTAAAAGATCAATTAGGATCACTTTACCTTTTTCATAGTTATCACCGTGTGTTACAATTTCCATGACCTGATCTGAGGGAAGATTAATCTGAAAAGGTATAGGACATTAGGTAAACTTGAGTTTTCTTCAGATTTTTATAGGAAACACTACTGCGAAATATTTCAATACCTCATAGGAATGATTATCATTGGCCTTAAATGACGAGAACCCTTGGAGACGCTGCATAGCATCAATCAGCATCCCTGTTGTTTTATATGAATGCCTTACTCTATGTATCCTAGAGGCGAAAGCCTGAAAGCGGGGGAAGGCAATGAGAGATGGCTTCCATATATCTTCCTCGGAAGAACGGAAATACCTAGCAATCAAGCATTTCTCTTCCTTTGATATTTCCTTTGCAAATGGAGATCTGCATGTTAGACCATCTCCCATTTTCCGTCCACGAGGAACAAACTGTTCAATTGACAATTCCACAAACTGTGCCTGGGGTCTGCACGTATGAGGGACCTGGAGAAAAGTATATAATAGAAAGACACTAGATGAATTATTTCATAGAAACAAAGGGCACCCAATTGCACAATACAATGATATTCCTAACCATTCTAGGACTTGGGTGAAAATCAAAGCTCCTGATTCCTCCATTATGCATGTGCTTTCTCACGACCTTGCTGTTCGCTTGTTTTTTCAAATACCCCTTTAATTCAGATCCTTCGCATGCTAAAACCAGTGCAAAAAGTCAAGGAAGACGGGGTAGTTTTCGGATTGCGACTGGTTAAAGGAGGTGGATTGAAATCTAGGAAGCTTGGAATCATTCATCATAAAATATAATTATATATTTTTTTTTTGAAAGATTCGTACCAGACTCGAGGTTATCAAGAATGTGGGTCGTTTAAACCAAGTATTTTACAGATCATCTATGTTGGTGCATTTATCTAATGACATTGACAACATTAAATGAGAGTAAATCCTGGTTTCATAACATTTATTTCAGTAGACATGATTTGCTAATTGTGGGAATCTGAAACACCATTGTAAGGATATCAACTCGCCCATCATGCTTCCTTCCTGTTCTTCCCATGCGTTGGATCATTCTCAAAGGAGAGATATTAGCGTCAAAGCAGATTACAAGGTCAACTTCCATGATGTCTAGGCCTTCTTCACCAATTGATGTTGCTACAATGACATTGTATCCGCCAGCACGAAATCTCTGTTACGAAAATGATAAGAAAAAATCATAGCTTGGAACGAAGAAAGTCTATAAGAAATATCAAATATCAGCTGTCTCCGATTTGTGCTATATTGAGGGTGATATGCTTACTAATGAACTATGGTTCGATTACAATCATTATAAACAGAGTACTGCTCGTGAATTTGGCAAATGGCAAAACCTTGTCTAGTTTTCATCATATTATGACGAAACAAGAGTTCTTTGATCTCTACGTTAAAAGAAAACAGTAAAAAACAAAAGGTGGGAACCACAACGCCACCTGTAAGACAGCTTGTTGAACTTTCTGTGTTTGCCCTTTCAAAGCTTTTCCTATAAAAGTCATCGTAAGGCAAAAAAATTATTAGAAATATAGGGAGGAATATAATAAAAAACCAGTTGCCCAAAAGAGAGATCACCCTATGCATATTAAATTATTCAATGAAATAATGTCATCACTTAATGACGTTCTCAAGAAATTGAAAATGAAAACAAAAGTTGATCTTGCAAAACTGAATACAAGACGATGAAATGTCCCCAAGATGAGACAAGAAAATAAAAAAGATATATTATACTTTCACATAAATGCCTACATAAAAAATTTGAAGCGAAATTTTATTTGTTGTGCTACACGAAAATTTGATATATGAAACTTCAATTCATGAACTAGTTTCCTAAAAAAAACCGTTTCTTTTGCTTTTTCTAGGCACGAATTGTTGAGGCAGGAATCATCCCTTTTTAAATAAAGCCAGCGCATATGTTAAAGCCTCACAAATGGGCGGAGAAAAATTTGTTTGCCCTTCCAATTGTTAAGATTTATTTGACATATTTTATTCGACATATAAACTTAATAATGTTAATGTGGTGTGTGAAGGATAATTGTGGTAATGTATGGTGAAATGTCAGCGTAGAGATTACGTCTAACAGAACACTCATGGTGTGCGTGTGAAGGACATTTGTGACATAACATCCCCAGGTGTGTGACGCTAAGCTGTAAAAGACTGAGGGAAAAATGGTGACTAACCTGGAATAAAATGATACTTCTCAATTTCTCTCTTGTTATTGACTTGTTAATCATAGGAATACATCTGAATTACAGACAGTTAAAAAAGTAGGCGAAGAATCAAAGTTACATAGCCCCCAAAGTAAGATTTGGGCTGATCAGAAGACACTCTTTTTCATTGCCATGTTGCAGCTTATTCTACAAACATGGGCTCATCTTTAGGCTCAAGATTCCCAAAGGACTGGATAGCGTGTTTAGACCATCTGCTAGCCATACACCATCCTCCCACTTATACATGAACTTAATAAATATCAATTTAGAAGGGACAGAGGGAAAACGTTCTGGAAGATGATAAATGCCTAGTACTACTAGGATGCTTAACAAAGATAGTCAAAGATGGTCTTAGTAATGAATTTATAATATTTACTATGCCATGAGTCATAGATAGTCTTAACAAGAGCAAACGTTGAAAACAATGTGGAAGAAGTTCGAAGTAACAGACCTACGTCTACCATTCAATCTAAGTGCTCACCACTTATGTTTAAGTCCCATTAACATTAGTCCACTATTTTTCCATTTATATCAAAGTTAACCTACGGTAATAGAGGGCTTTCCTTCCATTGGATCGATCAGTCCTTATAGACTACTTCCAGGGGAATATTGGAAAGCCAGTAAACCAAAAAAAAATGTTGAAACAACAAGGACACTAATTCATAAATGTCACAAATTAATGCCAGAGCTAAAAAGGTGTTGTGCTATAATCCATAGATAACTGGCGAAAGTAACTTTTAAGTAAAGAATGTTGTCTCCAAAAAGTCATCATGAAATAGAAGAAAGCAAACCTGAGCTTTGACCAATAAACTCGGTAGCATTAACAACCTCTCCCATATCAGATAATGAGTTCATTATGTCTCTGAACATATTTGATAACTGTCAACATTAGTCCATGCATAATCTTATTAAGTATTAAAAAAATCAAACAACGAACTAGATCATAAATTAAAACAAGAAGCTTAGAAAATAAAAATGCATTAAGTTACGAGGAAAATAACTGATCCCATAAATTTATGTTCATGTCTGGCAAAACAGAAAACATCACACAAGGATTTTAGTTGCAATGTCAGACGAAAAAAAAAGTTCAAATTATCAAGGTTAGAAAAAAAAACATAATTCAAAAGGAAGTTTAGAGTCAGAATAAATCTGTTTTACAAAATTCTCTGATTTCTTACAATGCCTGCATCTGAACTTTGCTGGACTAATTCATGTAAATGGGGATATCTCGCAGGAGCTAGGGCTTAGCCTCATCTGATGATTAGGCTCAAGTTTGGCCAGACCCAGACTAAACTAAAGGGGGAGAGGGTGGAGGTAGACTGAAGAAGAGAGAGTACGGGAGAGGCAGATAATACTTTCTAGATGGGTTAACCTTAAGAGGAAGGAAGAAGAGAGGATGGGGAGGATAGGGTTAGGAAGTGGTTCAAAAGGATGTCAGAGCTGGGGTGAAGGATGAGAATGTGTTTAGAGGAAGGATACAGAGAATGGGCGGAGGATGTGGGAAGGAGAATCCTGCGAGAAGGTGCATCAAAGAGGAAAGGAGATCATTAGAAGCCACATTTAAGATCAGGCCAATTCAATATTTAGTCAATCCGATTCGTGTGCATTCTGACCTTAGGGTCCTTATTCTACAGATCAGATGACTGACTTTTACAGTCTTCTTGGGTTAGACTGATAAAGTCAAAAATTAAAGCCGACTCACACAAGTCAGTCTAGGCTGGCAACCCACGGGCTTAGTTCATATTTCCAAAAAACATAAGGCTGAGTCCAAGCCTAATCTCGTCAAACAAGGACAGTGGAAAGTGATACGAGCATAATTAAACTATCTTAACAACCAAATGAAGATCCAGACACCGAAAAGTGATAAATATGACATAATAGAGCCCATAGCCAAAATAACAAACATCACCGCTTGAAAATAATTCTCATGAAAATGACAAAAATTTCCTTACTTGACACTGCCTCTAAAATTTGAAAAGATGATTGCCCTTGACTGCTTAGGATCCTTCGTTTCTACAATAGAAAGAAACAAGTTATTGCAAAATGATACAATTTCTTTTAACTAGTAAAAGGGAGCCACGATGGATTTGATGTAGATGTATCTACATTACATCAAAAAGTTAATATGGACATTAGTACGGAGTACAAAGCAGCACAAATTTCCCAATACACGCATCTTTTATCAATCAATAACCACGAATGACTTTCTGGCTCAAAAAACTGGCATGTGTGAGATTCACAAATAGAAAACACATTATTCCGATGAAAAGATACAAAATATCATCTGAAGGTACTTGAAAATATATGCTTGAACAGCCTGTTCCCAGTAAGATCAATTTCTATCATTCGATATCCACGAAAAATTTCATGATTCCAACAAGAGACATGCATGGATATAAAATAGGCTGCACTCTATCAGTGCCTCAGAGTAAGATAAACATTTTTGAACAAGAAAATGTCAAACAGGACAGAAGCACAGTTTGATTTAATCTATCTGACGAGGTCTAACTGGCAAACACAAAATCTATCCGACAAGAATCACTCTGTGATCGTTAAACCAACCTATTAGACATTTTGATTGGATCCTCTCGTCACTAGAACACTGGTCATGTGGACAACGATTTCAAATTCTTGATGCGTTCATAAAAGTTTAATGAAATCGGATCAGGTTCAGCTGGAAGAGATAAAACTGTGGATTCAATAACAACTGTTTTACATCATTTTAGGAGGCACCATCCACGGAACTAACGGAAAGGAAAATTTCTCTTAAAAGCATCTCTGACTCTTTCTGGAATGGATCACATTGCCTTTTATTTATTCCTAGTGCAAGTTAACCACGATAAGAAGCAATTACAAACCATGACTGTAACCTAAACTTATCACGCATGACTAAGACATCACTTCACTATATGATTCTCTAACACAAAACCATAGGATCTGAAAATGGACGACAAATTTGTTGGCATCGTCAGGCAAAACAGTGCTATTGCCAATCTGAACAAGCAACAATTCTTATATTCCACAACAAGCTGGACATCACTGTCATCACTATAAAAAAGCTCTAATTTTCAGAATTCTATCATAAGGGCGTCATGTTTGTCTCCATGGTGTCGGATATATCAAGATACTCGTAAAAAAGTAATATTCCAAAGAATAAAGACAGTTGCTCTCGTGTTTTGCAATCTCTTATCATTGGGGAGGCAGAGAGTTAATACTAGAACTAAAGCATATCAGCATAGGATACCTAAGAAGAGGAAGACTGCACATGCATGAGGATGAAATACAGTAAGTAACATACTAAAATGATCGATCAAAACTTCTTTCATTTTCTCAAGTTTAGGATTGGGAGCCCCATGTGACAAGCTTTGCTGCATTAGACGTTTTGCATCCCAAATGATTTCATTCCTTGACATAAGTCTTGCAAATGATCTGCAGAAATGGCAAACCATAAACATCATGAATCTAAATGGCATAGGAAGGATCATAGTGGAATATGAAGATATTTCATGTCAAAATAGGAAAGATATGTAGGATTTAAACAAGGTAAAACTTTAAAAAAAGAAATAATACGGCATTTTTGTGAAAGAAGTTTCGCAATGGATCGACAATGTGATGGTTCAAGAACCAATTCGAACACAGATTGTGACAGCCATATGAAAAAATGGAACAAGTCAGGCATGAAGACAAAATACTTAAATTGGAAAATGTCCATCATGAAGACAGCAAAGTAACCCGATAAATCATTAATTTGGTAAAGCTCACATTAGTTCGAAGCATAATTGCGATGGACTAATCAAAATGTTATAACTAATTCCCAAAGAGACAAATAAAAAGTCTGTTTTGATATATAAATTCAACAGAAACCAAGAGAAAGCAAGACTATCCCTTAGCAATTGCAAAAAATGAGGATTAGGCCAAAAGAGTGAAATTGCATCATAACATAAAATTAACCCGAGACTAATACACCGACCAATAGGAAACATGACATTTCCAGCCTGAAAGAAGAGAATATAGGCTTAATTACGTGCAAAAAATCATAAACAATGTAGCAAGAGAAATCTATGACAAAACAACCATTCAAAAGAAAACCGTCGGAGTATACCCCTGCTTCAACTTGTCTTCAAGCATGTCATATGCTGGCCTTATACCATGACTCGAGAGTAACTTTCTGATATGATAAAGTGTAATCAGAACTCCGAAATATCCTTCCACTTCACCATACTTTGGAAGTGGAAGATTTGATGGAGGTGCTTGCCGGAACTTATCCCTCGAATTAAGCAATTCACATGGGCTCAACTGATAAAAAAAAATTAGATGAGAACATGAGCCAGAAAAACTCTACAAAAGAAGAGATCAAAATAAAGAAAAATGGCTTACTCTCTATTGAACACTATAGATAAAACTTGAACGCATTATGGAATGTGTCCCTTCATAGCATTGAAATGAACAAGTAAATCATTATTTACCCATAGACACGAAAGTGCTGTACTATTAGAGGTGAAAGTCAAGAGTCTCTGACTGCCATGGAAAGTCCCTATAACGTAATGCAGCAATGTATTGACTTTAAGCGAGCCAACCCAAGCTAATGTACTACGGGAATAAAAACGAAAGTACTGACGTCAAACTCAAACCTAACCCGTTCCAGATACTACTGCAATGACTTGAACTAGACATTTATGTTGATAAATGCCTTTACTACATAATAACTCCAGTAGAAGATACCAGCAATCTATTTAATACCTTTTCCACAATATCAACCCTAGCATAAAGATAAATATACAATAAAAATGATCCATATGTCAAATAATATAAAAATTCCAAACGTAATAGACAAAAGAACATACAGCGGCAAAGTCTCTACACCAAAGCACCCCCAAATTACAAAGCCTTGATGCAAATGGCCGTATAGTTTCCAATAAGAAATTATTGATCGCGACAGCTTGCTTGCACATGGAAACCTAGCAAAGTGACAAAAGGTATTATTCAAAATACATTGGTATACATGTGCATGACAATAAAATGGATAAACATTGATAAGAGATACCTCTATTAATTCAAGTTTCCTGCTATGAATATATGGGCTGACATCATTGTCATTTTCATTCCGATATTCAAGAGTCGATATGTGAAGATTATCAATAACATTCTGAATAGTCTTCTGCTTTGCTGTTGGTGATAGATAGCACCAGACATAACGACTCATAGATGTAAGTTTATGCATGCATAATAAGTATGTATTCTTTTCTATATTTTACCACAGAAAAACTTACATCCTGGCGTTGCTGTCAAAGCTAAAACCCTTAGTTGCACTGGCAAAGTCATCAACTGCAAATCCAAAGAAAAGACAAGGGAGGAGTCATTATTTATTTTAAATATTGTGGGCCATAGAGAGGGGGGGAGGGAATTGAAGCATAGATCTCCCTTCAAAAATATGAGATTATGATCTATGGTTTTTTCCAATAATGAGAAACGTAAGCATCTGTATTACCTATGTTCCTCAGAGGATGAGAGACACTAGTATATAAGGAAAAAATATTTTTTATTAAAAAATAGTATTAAGAAGAAATATGTACATATACATATACACATCCATATATTCATATATGCTGACGTAACCACAGCAAAGAAAAATTGGCGAAGTCACGAGACATGCCTCACGGACTGCAACACAATATGAATAGTTCCCCATAGCTCGATGTGCTTCGTCAATAACCAAACAAATTAGCTGCTTCACTGGACAGATGCCTAAAGCAGACCATGAAATTAGAGAAAATATCATTTCAAATAATTAGGAGTTTCTCCAATCAAGCATAATCACCAGATAGAATGTCCTTCTCAAGAACTTGGGGAGTAACAAAAAAGACTCTCTTTGATTTCCAAAATTGTGAGCGTTTTTGGGGATTCGTCTGACCTGTCATATCGATTGTCCATTCCTACAATCGGTTTGATTGCAATCTCTTCAGAATATGCATCAAGACAAAATAAAGTAATATTATGAAGCTCCCAGTTTTTACCTGTGGAATGCCAACAGTATTATGGCAAGCCTCAATCTGTTGCATAACAAGAGGCCGTGATGGAGCAGCAAAGACAATTTTTCCTGAAATAGCTCATTGGAAATCAAAGGAATGAGAAAGGAGAGAGAACCAACTGACATTAACAAGTAAATTGTCCAGGTGTCTGGCATTCGCTAAATCCAACTATCTAGTAGATGACACAGGAAATGTCTTGGAAGACATTAACTGACATTGATATCTCTGCACTTAGAGCAACACAGGATGGATACGGTTATAGCAGAAATAGCAAGGAACACGGGGCCACTCAAGCCAATGATAATGTTAAGAAAACAAATATAGTACGAGGTGCCAGCCTTTCAAGAACTTCTACTAAAACTCAGGGCACAATAAATACAAAATATAACACGCTTAAAAATGTTCATTCATATATGGGGTCGTTATGAAACAGTAACTCAGGCGAGGGTAGGGAAGTAGGAGAAGAAAAGTGGAGGAAATTGTGCTGTTTAATTATGGAGCGAGTCTAGCTTTAATTATCAGTTAATGGTTTTAAAACGTGCCCAAATTTGAATAATACAAAAAGCAAGACCAGAGTCTAGGGCTGCAGGGATTCAGAAGAAAAAGACAAAATAGCTCATTTTTCTCTGCATGATCAATGTATTTGATACTCGTATGGTAAACTATGGAAAACTTTACCTCTTTAATGTAACACGAGGAGAGGGTAATAAACCTCTCTAACTGTATGTTCAAGAAATTTGAAAGTAGTTGGCTGCATTAGACGTAGTAAAATGACGTTTAACTTGTACATTGATACACAACCCATATAAAGCTCTTAGATCATACTAGTGGACACTGGAACAGGATCTGAGGCCTTGAAAGAGAACGAGAGACACCTGCATCAAAACTTGGAACAAACAAAAAAAATTCAAGGCAGCATTACCTCCTGGAAACCATCTGAAGTAGTTGTACATCACAACAGCTGCTATAAGAGTTTTTCCAAGTCCAGTAGGTAAAGCAACCAGTGTATTTGAAAATAGAGCAGTCTTCGTTATGGAAAACTGGTAGTCACGAAGAGGGACATTGACTGACAAAAAAAAGAAGCAATAATGGAGTTTTGGACCCAAAAAAGAAAAGGTAAATTTCACATTCGTAACCAAACTATTTATGATAGAATTTTAGCTACAATAAAGGCAGAGATCTTTGAATGGAACCATAAGATGAAATTTATTGAATATAAAATAATGGATTTGATCATGTTCTCTGAATGACATTTTTAGCAAAGTAACGGTTGAAATCATAATGCACTGCACATTAAATCCACAAAATTTTCTGGGGCCTTGGGCAGTACGGTGGGAAAGCTTGAGATCTTCAAACAAGACACTGAATCTGTATGATTCCGGAACCTTCATAGCACAAGTTAGTTTAGTGCAAGATTACACTGCACCGCCAAGCATCAACGATTGAATTACGAAAGCTAATGAATCCGCCTTTCTTTTATGCAAGTTGTTTGTCCATCGATTCTGTGGAGCAACTGTGACTTTTTTTTTCTCCTTCTTCTTTTGGGAGTTAGGTTGTTCTTATGGATAGTTGCCTTCTCTCCTTTTTCTGGATAAATTTGTGGATGCTCTCCATTATCATCCTGCTCAAGTTGTTTAGGCATTGAACCATTGGGAGGGAGTCAATGGTCGCAAGCTAAAATGACAATGAGGGGAAAAGAAAGACTGGATTGGGTCGCCAACCTGGGTAAATCCACGTTTTGGCGGCGTCCAGATCGATCCTAACCGCAGCCATTTGATCATCGCCATGGTGGTTGCCACCATCAGCGTCTGTCTTAGGGGGGCAATGTCCAGATCCGTAAACCACGTCCCTAGGTTTCCTGCACGCTCCCAGAAAGCTATCAAGGGTGGACTGCCGGTGCCCGCATGCAGGCCCTCCCGGCTTGGAGGAGCGAGACCACCGCGCCGTCTGATCGGGGACTGAGGTTGCCGCGCCCACCCGGCCAGAAGTGGAAGCAGACGCCCCCTGGCACGCGGAGTCTATCTCCCTGACAGCGGCCTCCCAGTCGAACTCCTCCTGCACGGAAATAGCCGATCATCAAAGAAGCCGATCTTTCTGTGGAAATTACGATGTGGAGAAGAACATTCAGGTCCCACTGAAATCTCACGTTGTCCTCGTCATCGAATGCTGCACCGGGAAAGAGTGACGATTCCATCGTGCTTCCTTCTCGTTTCTGTCGTCGTCGTCGGCGGCGGCGGCGGTGGCGGTGGCGGCGACCCCGGAGCACAAAGAAACTCGGGAGAAAGGCTTTGGCGGCAACGCTTCAAAGGCCGGGGCAAGCTCCTCCTCTTCAGGGCCTGCGGGCCGGGCTTTTCTGAAATCCCGTTAAGCCTGGCCCCGTACATTCCAAGCCCGATATTGGTCTCAACGGGTTTCCACCTCGGTAGTTTACGTGGCAACCCAGTCACTGCCACGTGCGAATCCAATCAAAGGGATGCTTTTCTGTACAGTATTCACGTCGTACATTTTTTTTTGTGTCAAAAAGCGACAATTACGCGCCATATTTAATCATAAAAAGATAGTATGTGAGAGAGTATCGGGTGTCGATTCGGATCGGATCAAAACCGGTTCGGGCCCCCCCACCGGGCCGGGGGGCGCCTGGGAAGAGAAAGAGGTAGGGAGAGAAAGGGGTACAGAGAGAGAGAGAGAGAGAGAGAGCTATCCTTTAGCGCTGGCCTAATCCACACAGAACAAACAGAGGGGCAGCAGAAGGCGAGTGAGAAGCTCTTCTTATCTATCGCTCCGCCATTTCAGTCGTCCTTCTTCTTCTTCTTCTTCTTCTTCTTCTTCTTCTTCAGCCATGTTCCCGACGAGCTCGCTCCTGCAACTTCCGAGCACCACCCCGAAACTCCACGCTTCTCCATTCCTGAATGGCTCCCAGTCAGGAAGACCCTCTCTCTTCTCCTCCCCGAAGCCCTGCTCCTTGGCTTCTCCCCGCTGGGCGCCGACATCCCTCCCGCTAACTGTCCGGGCCATGAGGACCCTCCAAGGTAGGGTGGTCTCCGACGCCAACGATAAGACGGTGGCGGTGGAGGTGACAAGGTTGGCGCCTCACCCCAAGTACAAGAGGCGGATCAGGAAGAAGAAGACGTACCAGGCCCACGACCCCGAGAACAAGTTCAAGATCGGCGACTTCGTCCAGCTCGAGAAGTCCCGCCCCATCAGCAAGACCAAGACCTTCCTCGCCATCCCCGTCGCCGCCAGGAACGCCCCCAAGCCTGTTGAGGACGTTCCTCAGGATCTCGGTCTTCCCCTGGAATCTCAAACATAGTGGCTGAAACGTAATGCTTCCGTATTCGATTTTCCCCCTGGAAAATTTTCTGTCGTCAATTTCCATGCTCTTCCTCTCGAATTAAACAACAATATTGTAGCTCTACATGGTTGGTTTCATACCAAAGTCGCCGTTCATTTACATCTTATTCAGATCTGTACAACGACGAGACAGCGGCCATGGATGTGGTAGATGGCATTTATATGCATTGGATACTCCCAAGTCTCTTTTGGTTTGCTCCTCATTAGATTGACTGATCCATTAGGGCATCCCCCACTGGTTATTACTGATGCTTATGCGTAGTCTCCTATGATTTTGACTCTGGGAATTGACCAATTTTCCATTTGAGGGAGTCAGAAACCCCTTGCAGCTCAAGACAAATGTGGTGTTCTTCGATTGAGGAGCATTTTCTCTCCTTTGTCCCTGCTCTCTGATCTTGGCAAGTCTAGCATATGGCTGCTAGGGCTACGACTTACTTGTTCTCTGGTTCATATCCCTTCAATTTGACTGGAATGCTATACTATTGAGCAACTATTGAGAAATAAACGGAGGAAGAAGAAGAAGAAGAAGAGAAGGTTATGGTGGTCTCTAATGTCTGTAGCTGAATCATCATGATTTCTAATTCTATTTACTGTCCAATGGAAATACCCAGAAAATGAATAGAAATCCCTGCAATATTGGCTGCCATTTCTCCAACCTGCAAGAGTTGGGGGAAGAAGGAAACGCTGCGGATTCTTCAAGGGTGGATTTTCTTATGGTTATATTAATTTTTCTCTGATAATCCGACCCATCTTCATTATTCTTATACTTTGAGCAGGCATAAGAAGTACAGGTTTCTAATATCAGCAGATAACTTTGGATCAATAGGCATTTTCTCAATGATATGTGACCATGTTTAAGATTCATTCGCAGAAGCAACACCCTCATGGATGATAGAGATATTCCATGGGATAGATTAGGATCTGGATATGAACAGCGTATAGACTGCTCTTGTGAAGTAAACAAGGAAGGCATCACAGAGATGTAGGATTATAGAGAACATATGAAGATGGGCCATTCCATAGCCCATCTGTTGTCAACCTCGTTCTTGCTTCCATTGCCATCAGTACATGGGCTCGTTCTTAAACTATGGAGCTCAACCTGATTAGCTTATGCGCGTGCATTGGTTTATATAACTATTTGATCGGCTCAGTGCATAACATCCTTATGATCATGGGCTTGATTACTTGTTATAGCTACAAAAATGGCAGAAATTAACCTCAATTTTATTGATTTCTCTCTGAATCTATCCTTCTTTTTAGATAACCCATCAATCAAGTGAAGCTTTTTCTTTTTCTACTGGTTTATGAAGTGCAGACATTCTTGGTGAATACTTAGCGTTAATGCCCTCGTCATGGTTTCTCTCAGTCACCTGATTTTGGCTAGTGTTTTAAGGATCAAGCTCCAGGGATGTGTTCCCTGTTACAGATATTCAGCCTGATCTGAGCGAGCATGCCATTGTCAAGTACATATGTTATTTAGTTTCTTTCATGAGTATATTAATATAGTGTTCATAAATGAGAACTTATATCGTATATTTCAAATGATATAAAAAGCCATATAGATGAAAAATTGTAAGGCTTTCTCAAGAATTTCATGCATGGTAAACATAAGAAATAAGATAGTAAGATCGATGCAGGTGAGCTGATTGTTATCAGAAAATGTATCAGAAAAAAGACTTATAGGGTGCACTTTGGGTTGGTTGAATATGATATCAGCTGGGTAATTAGAGATTTTTTGCACAGAATCCCGGTTGTCCCGAGAGTAGTTGACTTTCTCGTTTGAGTATTCTGAACAGGCTTGTGCGCATCATGGTTCTACCATCAGCTGAGATCCCCGTCTTATCTTCGTTGACTTTGATTGGACGAGTCTCTTTCAGCAGAAGCTGCAAAAAAAAAAAATGCAAGGAAAAAGCATGACCATGGACACAGTTGTGATAGCTTTGCATGACCTGGAAATAATCTCTTCCCTTGTTTATTGCATTTTTTTCCCGCTGCTCCATGCATCTTTAGAGTTGACTTTGTTTTTCTTTGTATTTAAGGATTAATGTATTTACCGATGGATAAATCAGCAGAAAAAATGTAGATTTCCTCATCCCCGATTATCACTACATTCAAACTGCTCTTGGTGAGTGTTCTATGCATTTTCCCGCCTAAAAATATCATAAATTTTATTTTAATATGCCATTTCCTCGTTTTGCAACATATATATATATAATATTGCAATTTTAAAAAATATTTTCGTAAAAATATTTTTATTTATAACAAAGTGGGAACCAAGAGATCAATCATAGTATGTTTTTATAGCCCAAGAAATTGAGAAGCAATAATCAGTATAATTGCCAATCTCTCCATTAAATGAGAGCATAGATATGTGATTAATCCCCCACCAATGGTATTCATATCTCATTGAATCTGCAGAAAGAATCCCTGGAGGAAAGAAGGCTGTTGCTACAGCCATAGAAGATGTATGGGTGGGTAGTCTCTGATGTTATGTTCCTAAAATAAGAAGTATATCCGTTTTTTAATTAAATATTTCATTATTTTTTTCTTGAATTATTATTACCTTTCAATAAGGTGAGTACCTTATTTCTGGGCCATCTCATGGTGACCATGGCATATTACTATTATTAGCATTGTTGTATTGACAATGGGGGTATTAATGGGCTTGGTTCTGAATAATTTCTATTTACCCAAAAAAAAAATGTTTGAGAAAATAATGACAGGTCATTAGCATGTGAGTGGTAGATGATTTAATATTATTTTTTATATAAATAAATATATTATGTCTTATAATTGTGCGATTTACTTAAGAAGGAAGCATGTTGATTTACGTGGTAGTAATTGGGAATATCAGTGGCGAATGACATAATTTAAATAATATTTTAGATTAATGATGCGTGTGTTACGTTGTGTAGTCGTGGGCGTGGGAGGATGCGTGGTGTTAACGATAGTTGACCAGGAATCAGAGAGAGAGAGAGAGAGAGAGAGGGGTGGGGGGGCCCTCTTCGTCTTTTCCTGTCTCTCGCGGTCGAGGTCCCTGGAAGGGGGAGATCGACGGTCCAGATGAGGTCGGTAATTATGGTCTCCTGGTGTTTGATGGGCTTCTGATATGTGGGTCCAGATCGACGGTTTGGACGTTCCCGATCCTTCTTCTTTTTTCCCCCCACCTCATTTAACCCCCTGATCCTCCCCCCCCCCCTTCTCTTCCCCGGCCGTCTTACCAGTTTAGAGAGAGAGGGAAAGAGAGAGAGGAGGGAGGGAGAATAGACGGAGAGGAGGGAGTCGTTTGTGCTGGTGAGACAGCGAGATAAGCAGAGTTCGCAAGGGGGATGGCCTGCGAGTCTGTACATCGGTTCGTCAGTGGCAGCGGAGGGGATGAGGGAAGCAGGTAGGAATCAGGCGCAGCCCCTGGCGCCGCGGGAATCCTGAAAATTTCAGCCATGTCCTCGTCTTCCTCCATCAACCCCCAATCACCGGGCCTGAAGATCTACTTCAAGACTCCCGAGGGGCGATACAAGCTGCAATACGAGAAGAGTCATCCCTCGGGGCTCCTCCACTACTCGCATGGCAGAACCCCATCTCAGGTTGTTGGAAAGAGAAATGAAAGCAGTTTGACTCATAAATTGAGCCGCGATAAGGCTGGCGATTAGGATTGCTTTCTTGCTCATGCATCTGATTCTTGATAAAATCGGCGATTTTTTCAGGTGACACTCGCTCATCTCAAGGAGAAACCGGCCGCCCAGACACCTGCCACGCCGTCGACCCCGAGCTCTAGCGCTGGAGTGAGGTCAGCGGCCGTGAGGTGGCTTGGAGGTGGAAATGGCACCCGGGCTCTTGGCTTTGTTGGGGGCAATGGTGCCGGAAAAGTGGTAACGGGGGGCAGCAGGATCGGGGGCACCCTAGGGTCGTCGACTGCAGGATCTAACAGCTCCCCTTCCACATCGAATTACGATGGTAAGGGGACATATCTGATCTTCAATGTCGGGGATACACTCTTCATCAGCGACTTCAATTCCCAGGATAAGGTATTGCCTCCTGTCAGTGAACTTTTTTTTTTTTTTTTTTTTTTTGAGACTGAGGTATTCTTCGGGTAATTGATCTTTGCTCTCTTTTTTTCGTTTCACCAATTTAGGATCCTATTAAGTCGGTACATTTCAGCAACTCGAACCCAGTGTGTCATACTTTTGACAACGAAGCTAAGGATGGGCACGATTTACTCATTGGGTTGGCCTCTGGAGATAGTGAGATCTGGTTCTTAGTTTCTTGTCTTCTGAGTTCCCAAGTCTCACATATTTTCTTATATATTGCTGTTTCGTGCATATGATGTGTCAGTCTACTCAGTGTCGCTGAGACAGCAATTGCAAGATGTTGGAAAGAAGCTCGTGGGAGCTCACCATTACAACAAGGATGGCTCCACCAATAACAGGCAAGTCTGAATTTCTGTATGGGTACTGATTTATTCTTTTGTATTTTACGTTTCTTTGTCACGGAATCTGCACTTGGCTGAAAACAACAATTCCCTGCGATCTGCATGTAAAGTCATGGACTAATAAATGGAAATGCGTCCTATTTACTGTATTATGCACCCTCTCCTCTGGTGGACTGGTTAGTATTGATCACAACAATAGGCAGGTATTGCAGTGTGTTGTCTCTTCTAAAATGTGTACTCTGGTTTTGTGTCTTAAATGATATCAAGCGGGTTGAGTCCTATTCCTTTCCTAGCCCTTTTGTAGAGAATTAGACTAAATGCACATCTCATTGGTTTTTCTTCTGCACGTCTCAAATATTTTGTTCAGAAGATAGTACTGTTACTCCATATTAAAAAAAAAAAAACTTTTGAAGATTGTATGCTAAAAATTGCCACATAATGAGCTATCACTGGGTCTGAAAGAATAGGGTTATCAACTAATCTGAAAGAACTAAAAGCAGCAAATAATACACTTGATTTCAAGTTTATATTTTCTCAGCATTTGTCTACGTTATTGGTCGTTCAGATCTTTTACGCTAATATTTAGAAAGGATGGGATATGGGGCCAGTCAGGAAGCATATTATAGAAAAACCTGGACTACTAGGTATTCATTGTTTTCATTATGACTTCGTGCTCTGCTTTTCAAGTGTTGTTATGATTTCCTAGTTTTCTGTTCAATGTTTTCTGAAAAATTCATTTTATATACACGTAATGGATTATTGCGACCTTATATATTATATACCCCATAATTACAAGTTCCGGGTTATTGCGTCATTCAATCTTCCATAGGCACGCAATTTTGGTCAAATCTCAAAAAGGAATTCCAACTGAGTATTGATCACGTAAAAGCATGTAGATCAGAGTTTATGATTCTGTAAAACTGTTGGGTTTTTCACGTATGTATTCTTTTAGGTGATTGGGGGAGGCCGAGGGCATATCATAATTGTAATCGGAAAATATAATTTTGTTCCTTGACAAGTTGTTTTTAACATAGAGTTGATTTTGTTTTTTCAGAACTCATAGTTTAATCCATTTTATGCCTTTTATCATATTGCATTATTAAATGAGGCACGACCATCCGCTAACTTGTATCCAAAAGGTATGGTACTTTCTGACTTGGAGTTGACCTTTACTTCTTTTCCTGCAGCCGATGCATGTGTCTCTCCTGGGTGCCTGAAGGTGACGGTGCATTCGTTGTTGCTCATGTTGATGGAAATCTATATATTTATGAAAAAGTGAGCCAAATAGTTTTTTTTAATCAATTCTCTCTTTAAGCATTTGTCTTGACTTGGAACTAAGAAAAGATATGCTTCTTGTCTAGTCAAAAGATGGCACTGCGGACTCCTCATTTCCAGCTGTCAAAGATCAAACTCAGTTTTCTGTTGCACATGCTCGATCAAGTAAGGTAATGACCTTCCACTTTTCACTTTAATTTCATTTTTTTGCCAAACAGCTCCTATGAGAACATGCTCGGAGATTTTATTTATTTTCTTTTTTGGTAAAACTTGTGCACATTCAATTTTTTCTTCAATAAATTTACCCATCACTTTACAAAGTAGGCAATAATAAAGGTTTTGAGGACTTAACCATAAAAAATGAAAGAAACCAAGCAATCTTATGCCTGGATCTTAATTCATATGGATACGTGTCTTTATTTTGTGAATCTCCTTTTGCTTTTAAAAAAATTGATAATATGGGCAGGTACATGCCGCACGTGCGATTCAAATAATTTTCTTGGGAGTTTGATTCTTCCTGTTGTTACTGTAGAGTTTAAATTAAATTTTGACATCTTTCTTACGTGAGAATAGGCCAGTTAATAGCAAGAGTTAACTAATGCTGATCATTTTCTTTTAATATATTATCATGACCTGGTATACTGTCTATTTTCACCAGCCAAATGTTGACTCAGATACTCGTATTTTTGCTCTCTACTGTCTTAGGCTGGACCTGCATAAGAAAATGCATTGAAAAATGCTGGTTTTCTCTTCCCCCACAGATTTCCTACATCGATTTTATTTCTCAGATATTTGTGTCCATCTTCTATAATACTCACCGTGGTAGCCATTTTATCCAATATCACTTGTCTATATTTATTACCTGAAATTGCTTCAGAATTATCCTGATATGTCTATTTTCCATGTTCCTTTATTTTTTTTGAGAATGAATCCTATTTCAGATACTATTTGAAAGAAATATTATTCCTGATACGACGAAAGTGTGTAGGAAAAAAAACTTGAGGATTTAAATAAAATGATTTTGGGTACTAGTCACAGCTGATAACAACAGCAAGAGGGACGAATTCTGGTTTACTACAATATCTGGCTATCTACTCAGCAACCTGGGGATTGTGTCAAAGCCTGGTCTAGATTAGTGCAGACTGTAAACAGATAGTAGTTTCCCCTCACATATTTTCATCATGTAATTCTTCATTTGCTCATGCAACCTGAAAAACTTCACAGATAGTAGTTTCCGCTCACATATTTTCATCATGTAATTCTTCGTTTGCTCATGCAACCTGAAAAACTTCATTGACTTTCTTCTCTATGTCTAATAAGCACGATTGTAAATTTATTTTCGAGCAACAAATGGAAAAGCAGGCTAATCTTTTTTAAAAAAATGTTTCCCAATTTTGATTGACCTTTCCTAACTTTTGGTGCCTCTGAACATTATCTCATCCCATTGAGTCTTGTTTTTTACATTAACTGAACAGGAATTATTCCTTTATTTGGCAAATGTATCTAGGTTTAGACTATGAATTTGACGGCTGCTAGTTGGGATGCCAATATATTTCTGCTCGAGTAATTACTTTATCATTCTATAAATGAAATCTCGTTCAGAGTCTATATACTTGAGATTTTTTTTTGAAAATTTGGCTGCAGCTGTGCTATCTCTTGACTTCTCATGCTTCACTTGCAGAGCAATCCTATTGCTAGGTGGCATATTTGTCAAGGTTCGATCAATAGCATCTCATTCTCAGTGGATGGAGCATATTTGGCCACTGTGGGGAGAGATGGTAATTTGATTTGAAATAATGGGAAATTGATCGATATTATATATTACATACTGTTTCTGTAATAGCAGTGCCGTTTTTGCAGGTTTCTTGAGAGTATTTGAGTATCCAAAGGAGCAACTAATATTCGGTGGAAAAAGTTATTACGGTGCACTTTTATGTTGTGCATGGAGGTAATGAAACTTTTTAGCTCGAAATGTCAGTTTCGTACTATTTTTATCAAATACCTAACAGGGGATTCGTCATCATAATCTATCCTCAAGGAGCTTTGTAGCCCAGTTTTTGCTCTCATCTGACAGTCATTCATTTTATGTTATTGATTTATTTTTTTAAAAATTGTGCAAATGACCCGCAGTCTGGGGGAATAAAGCTTTATTTTAAATTACTGAATATAAAAGCTGATTCTCAGCTCGGATGGAAAATACATCTTGACTGGGGGTGAAGATGATCTGGTACAAGTTTGGAGCCTGGAGGATCGGAAGGTTATCGCATGGGGTGAGGGACACAATTCATGGGTATGTGTTATGTTACGCTCCGCACTGTACTTGATTCCTGTCTTATAGTGACTACTCAGAGGGCATCATCCGTTTTCCAGGTCAGTGGCGTTGCGTTTGACCCTCACTGGACTCCGCCATCTTCGGATGGCACGGGAGAAAATGTTATGTATCGATTTGGATCTGTTGGTCAGGTACAGCCTTCTTCTTTGCTATGTTTATCCCTTGATTATTGGCCTGTGGATTAGATGCATGAGACACGGGACAGGCACTAGCAAGTGGGAGGAAATGAGAAATGAGTGAGAAGAGATGAGACCACTGGCCCTGAAGCTGTCACATTCTTCTTCTTCTTCTTCTTCTATGATCATCATTTATCTTCAATAGTTCTCTTCTGCACCGCACCCTTGTAGAGGATTTTCAGGTGCTAGACCTAGACCAGCACACCACTTGATCTGAAAGGGAAGGTAGTTCGACAGATTCACCACAAATAAATCGTTGACTTTATGTCTGCCATAAATGAGTTGCATAAGTGAGGAATGGCTGCCAGACTCTCCTCATATTTATCTTCTGAACACAAGGACGATCAATTTATTCTTCAACCCTTGTAGAGGAGTTTCAGGTGCTAGACCTAGACTAGCTTTATAAGAATGATTTCAATCACACCATTTCATCTGCAAGGAAAGGTGGTCGGACAAATTCACAACAAATAAATCGTTGACTTTATGTCTTCCATAAATGAGTTGCATAAGTGAGGAATGGCCGCCAGACTCTCTTCATATTTATCCTCTGAACGCAAGGATGATCAGTCAGTTCTTCAACCCTTGTAGAGGAGTTTCAGGTGCTAGACCTAGACTAGCTTTATAAGAATGATTTCAATCACACCATTTCATCTGCTAGGAAAGGTAGTCCGACAGATTCACCACAAATAAATCGTTGACTTTATATCTGCCATAAATGAGTTGCATAAGTGAGGAATGGCCGCCAGACTCTGCTCATATTTATCCTCTGAACGCAAGGATCATCAGTCAGTTCTTCAACCTTTGCTTGCTGGGTCTTAAGCACCACCAAGAATGGGCGCAAATCATTTTCCAACACTGGTTGAGAAGCTTTAATCGGTTTTCAAATACTATTTCTGTACACAATAAGCAGATTTAAATACTTGCATCAGATATATCCATATTTCTTGAGAGGAAACCTTGTTAATTTAATCGATATTTCATAAATCCTAGATCATGACAACCACAAATAATCAAAACTGGATGATTTTTTTAATCGGTGATTTACTTCCCATGAACTCGAGGAGAATCTTTTGTTTCATTATTATTATTATTATTATTATTATTTTCCAGGATACGCAGCTGCTTCTGTGGGACCTGGAGATGGACGAGATCGTCGTGCCCATCAGGCGTCCCCCCGGCGGATCCCCCACGCTGAGCAGCGGAAGCCACTCGACCCACTGGGACAACGCCTGCCCTGTGGGCACCCTCCAGCCGGCCCCGAGCATGAGAGACGTGCCAAAGCTGTCTCCTTTAGTTGCCCACCGTGCACACGTGGAGCCTCTCTCGGGCCTGATATTCACAGGCGAATCAGTGCTCACCATCTGCCGAGAAGGGCACCTGAAGATCTGGGCCCGGCCCGAGAGAGCCGAAGTCAACCCTCCCCCGACCAGTGCCGAGGCCGTCTTGGCCACTTCCATCCCCAAGGAGAAGCCGCTGACGCCGTCAGCTCTCAAGGCAAGTGGCGGTTCGAGTTTCAAGCAGCCGCCGGCCATTCTGACTCAGGACTGATGCTGGTTGCGCCGCCACCGGGAGCACCGTCCATTGCCGTTGGTTGAAGGAGAAGAGGGTCTGGCAGCTCGGCTCCCCAAGAATAATCTCCCCGCCCCTCCCTTTTCTCTCTCCCCCGAGAGAACAGAGTATGTGTTCCTCCTGCTGCAGGTGGCCATGAGCATTTGAGAGTCCCTCATGTTTGACTTTCCATTAGCGGCAAAAAATAACAGCTCATTGATGGGATCATTTGGTTGACTTGGCCGGGGAACGAAGAAATAGCATGGTTAGCTGGAATTAGGTCGAGTTGCAGAGCGAGAGGAAGCCTTTAGAGGCATCCCTTCTGATATTGTATGCGATAGGATGCCCCGGAAGGTGGCAGAGATTGTGATTTGGTCTGATTTATTATTTTATTTTATTTTATAATTTTTTTGGCGGATATGAAGTTGGGTTCAGGCGCCCGAAGTGGTTGGTGCGCTGGGGTTTTGGGAAATTCTTGGTTGAAATTCGTTTTTGCTTGGGAAATTGGTGTTGAAGCAGCGTGTTAAGGTTTTAGTCGGGCCTTTTTCGGCTCTAGAGAGAGAGAGAGAGAGAGAGAGAGAGAGATCAACACGTGCCATCATCTCTTATGCAATGCTGTGATACAACTCAGAGTCTCCCATAATCTCCCAAGTTGTTTTGTGTTATTCGATTAGTAGATTTACCCATCCTCCCATATGGCTTTCTAGAGAGAGAGAGAGAGAGAGAGAGAGTCACACACGATCCATTGCACTACCCAAGGAATGATATGCTGTCAACAAAATTTCTGAGACTTTACAAAAATAGTATCCAACGAGCAGCAACCACAGGAACTTGAAAAGAAGCCAATCAGTGAGTCGCAACCATGGTGGGTTACAAAACCAGGGGGGAAGGGTCGAAAAGTGGCAGTCAGAGAGACCAGCAAGTCCAAGGAGAGCTCCTGCCTCCACCTGTTCATCTCGCTCTCCACCATCTCCTTCCTGTTCAGCTCCTCTGCACCAAACCCAACAAACCAAGGGAGGAATCACCAGTCGCCGATGATCCCATGGAAAATACACAGCGGAGGGAGGAGCTGCGGCCAGCTGCTCCGTTCCCCTTCTGGCAAAGATGCGCCGCCGGCAGCTGGAGATGATCGGAGGAGTGCTTTCTGTGAGATTTGAGAGCTCCTGCGTTAGATACTGTAGATGTTGGTCAACGGGCGTGGGGGGTCACTGGGCCTGGAAACCCTCAATGGCCTTCTTCCACTGCCACGCCCTCTGCTTGGCATCCTCGAAGGACATCACCTTCTTCGGCTGGAAGCATTTCAGGAAATGTCTGAGATCTTAAGCTGCACTGATTCAGAGGCTTTTTCTGGCGTGGGGATCTTGGGACTTACAGTGGAGATCTTAAAATGGGAAGAGTTTGTGACCTGGATGCTGAGGTCTTTTGGGTTGTCAGACCAGATCACGCTCGCTTTGACCATCAGCTTCGAAGGATCGACGCAGATCAGCTTGGGCCTGTTGGTGAGGATCAGCTGAACCTTCTTCTTTGTCAGCTTCTGCAGTCTCTTCACCTTGGAGATCATCACCACGGACTCCCCGGGCTCAAGAAACTCTTGCCTGAAGAAAGTCAACCAAAAGGGGAGAAAATGAAGATTTCTGAAATATTTTTCTAAAAAGGGAATGAAATATTCTACGAAAATACCATTTAGAGTCAAAGGAATCGATGGAAGCAAGCGCCGAAATGTGCGGATGAGTCTCAGAGGATGTGGCGCCGCTGCTCCCATCCTGTGCTCCATGTGGGCCCATGGGAACATCTTCAACATGGGTTAAGTTCCACGATGCATCTTGAAGATCATCCTCCCCATCGACCTGGAGCCACAAATCTCTTTGTCAGAAATGAAGTATGGGAATGGGTTCTAGATAAATTTTTGATGGAAGTATTAAAATTATACATTCAAATCGAGAGCAAGCTCCGGGGCCGTAGATTCTCTCAGATTATTCCAATTAATTCCTCTAAAAAAGGGATGCAGTTTGAGGGCAGCATAGCCACCAGGGCCAGAACCGGGTCTCTTGCTAGGATCTGTGTCCTGCAAGAAACGATTGTCAGGATGGCATCTGGGGAGATATCTTCGATCGATATGATTTATTTAGTTTTTTTAATTTTTTTTATCGTCAGTAAAATAGATGCGAAGATTGGGAACGGTTGAAGGAACTTACCAGAAGTTTATCGACGAGATCTCTCGCTTCTAGTGAAAAATGATCTGAGAACTTCACGTCTCTAGTCATAATTCGCTGAAAGATTAGCCATTCACTTGCATCTTTGAAAGGAGATGTTCCAGTTAGCATCTGATATATGGTGCATCCAAGTGCCCAGAGATCATTTCTGTTTTGTTAAATAAAGGAAAATTAGGTGAATATGCAAAAAAAAAACTTGAATCAGATGGAAAATTAGCAGCATTTTTCGATAAATTGTGATGAAAAATATTCTCTTATTTCAGTCAGAGAGAGAGAGAGAGAGAGAGAGAGATCAGTAAGAAGGCTGCATGATCCAATAAAAGCTCATAAAATATGAGAACGATCAGTAATTTAAAGCTGGTAAAAGGACGGGATGAGCATGATTACTTTTCAAAGTTACAAGCACATTTACTTACTTTGAAGAGCATGTGTTCAATCTGATCATGAGCTTTACACTGAATCATTATCTTCAAAAAAAAAAAAAAAAAAAATCTTCATTCTTTCCTTTTCTGTAGAAAGCAAGTTCGGAATAAGATTACATTCACAGGGAAAGGGAAAGAGACAAAGAAGTTCAGAATATGAACATTATCCTACAATGAAATTTTGGCATGATGCTATTCATCCTCTGCACCACCACTCACTGTGGTGGTACTGCTATTCCCTGGATATTGCTCTTCCGCTGCTTTGTGGTTAACACGTCTACTTTGACCTAGAAATCCCTCCCTCAATCTCCTCTGAACCATCATCATCTTCCCCACTCATCTTATCGATCATCGTCAGCTTCTCATTTTATCAATTCGAGCTTGATAACGGTTGCAATTCCAGATCCATGCAGAAGAGGTGTTAGCATCTTAGAATTTTATTTCTTACATACTAGATTACGAAAATTATGTCAGATGAACTAATTGGCTCTTACAGAATTTCCGTCATCTGTCAGTTTTGTTATGAAATATAATCAGCTTTTCCTCGAGATAGAAAGCACTCATGTTTCGGATCACATGGATTTGACCTAACTTCTCCTCGTCCAGCTCTAACAGTTGTGATGACTATGAAGGTTTTGGAAGGGACATTGTATGTTATCAAGAATGACATGGAGTTGATGCATCCAATCCGGTCATACACGCTTTAGGTTCGTAATTCTTCCACATTCTCTTTTTTTATATAATTTCCACCAGAAGAGTAACCCTTATCAGAATAACTCCAAAGAGTATCAAACATATCTTTTACATAAGCGAAAGATCAAAATAAAGCAAAAAAATGTACTTCAGATATAAATGGAGTCACCACACATTTTATTAGAGAGAAAGGTGGAATACTAAACTTTCCAATATGAGTTACCATTTATGCTTCTTATCGAATTATAGTCAAATGCCTGTGCAGAATATAAACGTTTTCCATCAGAGTAGTCATTCAATTTCCATTGATGTTCTCTACAGGACTGGGCGAATAGCATGCACAAATTTCTCGGGGATTCTCCATGATTCATTGAAGATGAATCTTTATGACTGAACTTAATTAAGGGTTGCTATAAGGGTTGACCTCAAGATCTTTAAGCTTCTCTTCCAGCAAGCTAGCACAAGAACGTAGGTTTCATTAGTAGGCAGCGAATGGCATTAAAGTAGAGCCTGCTGTCCGTTTGTTACCTCACAATCTGATAAGCAAGGCACATACGAGGTTTTAAAGTTCATGGTGCCTTTGTCTATGGTCAATTGCAACCTAATTAATTTTCTTTTAAAGTTCAAACTTCGATGCTACATGAATCTAAAAAATATCATTGGAACAGAGACACTCTCAGAAAATTGATATTGATGCATAATATCATTGGATTTTTTGTTTAATCGGCCAGTACCATGTAGAGAAATTGTTAGCATAACGCAAGGTTCCACTTAAGGGTGGGTGATTCTAGAAATAATGGGACATGAGATATTTATGTATGTAATTTCCATAGATACAGAATCTTTTGGACGTATACTACAGCTATCACAAAAAACATCAGGCTTAGAAAGCAGTTGAACTCATTCCAACCAAGGTATGAACATAAAAATACATTATCAAATACCACGTCTTTGGAATTCGACAAGCACCTCAAATGCAAACTTCCATCAAGCAATGCCTTACCCAAAGGTTGCCGGAGAAGAATTGAGAACTTCAGGAGGAATATAGGCAGCAGTTCCCACAAAAGTGCATGCTTTTTCATCTGAAATTATTAACCTTAAGAAACTATAAAGCCACCATTCGACCATTGCAAATAGAAATATACTCAGAAGAGCAAAATAATCTTACTAGCCGCGTTGGGGAGGACAGTGATTTGGCTGTTCTTTGTTGGTTTTACGGCACCAAAGTCAGCAATTTTTATATGTCCATCTGAAGTAAGTAGCAAGTTCTCTGGCTGACATATTCAAGATTATCAGCTTTGTGTCATTCTGGTATATAAAAAAAAAATCATCACATCACTTCCCAGTAAATACCTTAATATCTCGATGTATTAACCCTACACCATGTATGTATTCAAGAGCATCAACAACCTCTGCGGCATAGAAGCGAGTTTCGTCCTCTGACAAGCGACCTTTCTGCATCCAGAAGAGTGAGTAAAAATAAAAATAAAATCGAAATATCATATCATGTAAAAAAACTACAACTGACGTTTTACCCTTGTGATTTGATCAAACAACTCTCCTCCGTCACAGGATTCCAGTGCCATATCTACAAAATATGACAAATATGATCATGGCAGATTATCAACCTGCCTTGGGTAACTATTGAAAACTGCCAAAGGACATATCAATATTCACTTCTGTGGATGGGTCAATGAGCAGAAAGTTATCATTTGAAATTTTGGGTTAAGGAGATATTGACAGCAGAACATGAGACACTTACAAAGAGAATAGGTATCTTGAAAGGTGAAAAACAGGCGAATAACACCAGGATGGTCTAGTTGATCAAGCACAATGCGCTCCAACTTGACATATGCTATCTTATTTTCTTTGGTTATGAATTTTTTGTCCATGATCTTCAAAGCATATACCTTTCCCGTGTCTTTCTTCTTTGCTCTCACAACCTGATAGAAAACAATGGCAATTAGAGTTGAAGAAAAGATCAAAGTATTGCGATAGGCCAGCCAATACGGTAGAATAGACATGAAGCAACGAACATACGATCAAAATTCAGTCCAACCGATGCATCATGAGAGCTTTGCTCATCACCCCCCGTCATTCCTTTAACGCAAATTCAATATCTGCCATGATGAAAATCATTTATTTTTGTTTGAAGTATTTCTAGACAGTGTTTTAAGATATTCAAATTATAGGACGGGCAGACCTGATTAATGTGGTGAAGTTGCATATTTTTCTACAGTTTGTTTAAATGGGTGCTTGAAAAATGAAATAAAAGAATGCTTCAGACGATACATCTGTCGTCCATTCAATTACTTTCAAACAGGAAAACTTCCATAAACTATGGGACCCAAGATTTTATTAATCTGAAATGCTTAACTTGGTTAAAAAGCAGAAAAAAAAGCTTCTTATTGAAACATAAGCTCTCTTCTTACCAAGTTCTCACAAATGCTGGAGATTGAACTACACTGGATCATCAGCTGGAAAAAAAATCCACCTACCTATATTGTTCAGTAACTTCACATTTGAACTAAGATGTAAGATGGTCTATGAAGCAATTTGATTTCCCTATTCAAAGCTTTCTCCCAGGATTGTGATCATTAAACTAAAAAAAAACATGCGGGAATGTCAGCAAAATCTAATGAAAAAGATTCGATGATTCCCGCACTTTTAGACCTCAAACACGCTCTCTTAATCAATTCAGTTTCCATGCTGACCTTCTTTTATTCGATTACCTTATGTTCAATCAATGCCTGAACACACGTCCAGCTGTCATCCACAATGGTTGGATACTGGATACGGATTTGAAGTCTAACATCCTACAGACATCTGTTTCTGTATTCGTATGTGTTGAACGGTAGAAATGAATGCAAGTGAGTGAACTGTCAGTTTCCAGAGCTTTACGTGATATCCATTTTTTCTATATTTCCACAATATTTTGATTGCTAAGGAGTATATTTCCCTCTAATTCATTGTGCAAACTCCTTAAAATGTATGTCAGACAGAAGAGGTAAGCCTTAGAGATTTATGATTATGGCAAACCTCTAACTAGGTAACAGATACTGGAGATGACATTAGTTTCCACAGAACTGCCGCGAATGACACTTGAAACTTACAAAGATTCTTCGTAAGAAGCACGTCCAAACGAATAACCCAAGTTTTCAAGTGTTAAATATGAGCGACTTCCTCGTGAAACTCGGAGCATGCACCTGGAATTATTTCGAGAAGTGGGGGGCTAATCTCCATTTTCAACTTCTTGCCGTCGCGAGTGATCAAGAATTACTCTCGGAGCCAGCACATTTTTATCGCTTTTCGACATTCCCTGTCAAGCACGATGCAGTCTGAAGTCTCGGTCCCACGTTTCCCTTTCCTCGATTAAAATGGCTTTAACAGATTGGGAAAACACGAACGCGGCGAAGAGCAGTAGAAGAAATCCCCGACCCGTGGACAAAATATCGATGGCGGAGAGACGGAGATCCGGCGCACCTTCGAGTACGAACCGACACCATAGATCTTTCCAAGCTCGAAATCCTGGACGGTGAACTGCTCCTGCGGCGCCCTGAACGAAATGCTGTTCGTCCTCTGCACCGCCGCTCCCCCCCCGGTCCCGCTGCCGGCACCGTTGCTATTCTCCTGATGCTCCTGCGGCGTCTGGTGCAGCTGCAGCTTGGCCTCGAAATCTCTTTCCATCTCCTCCCCGGCACCGTCCCTCGCCACCATCATCTCCCCCGCTCCCTTCCAATACCTCCTCTCCCTCCCCTTCTCCAAATTCGAGCTACAGATACACACACAGAGGAGAGAGAGAAAGAAAGAGAGAGAGAGAGAGAGAGAGAGAGAGAGAGAGAGAGAATGAGGAAAGGGTGGAAGGTGGGAGAGAGCGCCCCCCCTTCACGGCCTTCGAAGTAGACCCCGGTCAACGCAACGGGGGCCAGCGAATCATCAGATTCCTCTCTCCTCCCTCGGGAGTGTTTTCTGATAAAAGCACTTGAGGACAACTCTGTAAAAAAAAGGATGGGAGCGCAAGGAGGGGGAGAAAAAAATATAAAAGAAAACGTAGCTGCTTTTCTGGTACTAATATATAATTTTCCGCCCACCGCAAGGGCAGATTTCCTCTTTATTTTTATTAATACTTTTAAATTATTATTACCTGTATTCCCACTGTCGGTCGTCCTTTCTCATAGCTCGAAAAGCGCAGCCGTCGGCCCCACATCCCCACGCCGCGCCCACCCTTGGATGAAGCCCCGCGAGAGATTGGACGGTCAAGATCTTCTGGACCAAATTGGGGCCGATTTCTCTGAACCCGGTCGCGCTGGAAACCTGGTCGGACCAGCTCGGGAGCCGACCAAGGATCCGAGCATTGCGGGCCCACAATTGATGTGGGGTCCACAATCGCTTCACTCTCTCGGGGGCATTTCGTTGGTTGGGCCCAATAAGCCCAGAGAGAAAATCATTCAGGCCCATAATCCCAATATATAATTAAAACACGCGTTTTTAGACGTGCATTCTTATAAAATATTTCGATTTCGAAATAAGGCCAATTTTTTTATTCAATAACCCCACGTACGTATTTTCATTATAAAAAATCCATTCGTTGAATATTAAATTATGTATTGTAATATGCCAATAAATATGTATTTTTCAGGGAAAGTAAAAATATATACCGCTGGAAATTACCTCAATGCCCGAGGCTTTAGCAAGACCAGTATGTGCCTAAAAGACTATAACTGTCAGATGATATTTACAGTAAATATTACTTATTAGGGATATCTTTTTAGGGGCTTAAAACGGTATAAAATTTGCTGATATTTTTCTCTGATAAATACGACATTTTTATCATTTTGAAAACAATAAGAATGGATTAAAATAATCATATATATTAGAAAATGTAGCCAGTGAAGTCTCATTCCTACCCCGCATGTGTAATATTTTACTGAGCTTTTATTGGGAAGTCAGTCTACATAATGGACCTTTGAACCGAAATATTATTAATTTATTATTTTAAATTTATAAAACTAAAAAATATATATTTTATCTATGTTCGTCCGTCGAATTAGTCAACATGTACGTAGTGTCCACACCGGAGACGTGAGATGTGACGGGTGACTCGGGGTTAACGGCGGGCCTGGCTCGGGGCTTGCGGGCCCGGTCTAAATCCCCCGCCCAGTTCTGGGCTTCGAAGGGCTGCGGTTTAGAAGTCAAGACGAGGAGGGCTATGAGCGTTCGGGCCGGGTCATGTTTCGGGCTTCCAGCCCGTTTACATCGCTACTGACTGCTCGCCCATTCGGCCTCAGTTTATACTTGCATGGAGGAGAACGCGGTCTCCCTCTCGTCCTCTTAAGTTTCTTCTCGGTCGGTCGAAGGGGGGTCGGTAACTAAGCTGGGAAAGAAGGAAGGAAAGGGGGTGGGCTGGGGGGGGAGGGAGAGGGGAGCTGAGTCGTGGAGAGAGGAAGCATGGATGCACCGCCGGTCGACGACTGCTGCTCTGTGTGCCACGACAGATTTACGCTGCCTTGCCAGGCCAACTGCTCCCACTGGTTCTGCGGTGAGGCCTCTCTTGCCCTTCTGATCCTTGCCGATGAAAAATGCCATCGAGCATCTTGTGCCCGGGCCTTGCGATTCGCGATCCTCTGGACCGTGGGGTGGTTCGCGGCTGTGTTTATCTTGCAACCCGCCAGTGGGATCTGGAGATCGAGGAAACATGAAGCGACTCGCTGTTGCTCCACTTTGTTCCTTAATCTCTGTTTTTTTTTTCTTTCCATGCCTCTATTTGACAACGGTGAAAGGAGAATTTTCCTGGGAACGAAAATTATTTTATTTTCTAGTCTCAAGATTTCTGAATTCGGAGACTTGGTTCGATGATACTCTAATATATCTAACCAATGGTAATCACATAAGAACACGATGTACCAAATTTAAGAGTAAATGAGCTTTTAGTTCGGGACTAACGAACTAATTGCCTTGTATAAATTTTTAATAAATTAATTATCTTTTCTCTTGTACCTTTTTGAGGAAAAAAATGACAAGAAAGCACGCCTGTTTCCACGTAGTCTGACCATAATTTTCAACCCGGATTACTCTTCTCTTTCCAGACGGAAGGACCGACTGCAGATAGAACATCTGATTGTACTTATACCAAGGCCGAAGTTTTGGACTAGGAAACCTTTGTTCCCGGTAGAATCCAAGATTTCCGCCAGTTGTAACATTATTGTGAAATAGATATCCTAATTAATAATTATGACCTGAGAAAGTATGCATCTTACTATATTGGAATATGGTTTTCACGTGAATCTTTGTTTCAGGACAGAGTTGTTTTTGTGGATTTTCGCTGAGAATGTAACAAGAGGCATTCTCTAGCTTGGCGGATATCATACCCAGTATTTTATTTTACTGTAATTTTTATCGTCACCTAATTTTAATTTTAAAATATATTATATCAAGAATCGGAAACCATCCACTGACGCCTGTTTGATCCCCATGTTGCTTCTAAATGGGGTGTTATGTGTCAATACGAACTGTCGTGTTCCATGAAAATTATTTCATGTGAATGGATATGAGCGTTTCCCATGGCATATCTTATATCAAATCATATCAATTCAATCTAGAACTGGTTCAGATTTTTAGTGGTCGATTTCGAGATGACTGGATGGGATTCGTCCCAGTTTATTTCATCAAAACTTTAGGCTGATGTTTCCATGCACGCTTTATATGTTTTATCAATCATCATTCCAAGTTAGGAAATCCATCCAATGCCTGCATCGTATCAGTGATAACTGTCCATAAATAGCTGTGAAAGTCTGTCATTGGAGCGTTAGCTCTCAGGAATTACGTTTAGTTTGGGAACCTGCTATATTTTTTAATCATTTTGAACTATGTAACTATGCAGAAACTTCATGTTCGAGATAATTAGAGTGCCATGTTGAGGTTGCCAACATCCAAGCCGTCTCCAATTGATAGGAAAGAGAAAACATCTAAATATCCTCAACATGAATGGAAGATAACGATTAAAGAAGTAGTTAGAGCTGTAGTTTTTATAGAAATTAAAGGAAATGGTTGAGAATGATTTTTCTTTTTTCCTTTTTCTTTTTCTGTAGAATTGCCAAGCTAGTCAGTCCGTTAAAATTCCCTAATAAATCATTAACTAACTCAAAACCATGGGAACTAGGTCGTGTACAGTTTTTTTTTCTTCTACTGGTTTTAAGCGCAGGTAAAGGTTTTTACATCAAGAAAACATATGATCATGATAAAATTTTCTGTTACTCTACCCATGTAGTTCAGTGTTTATTGCTATTTCAGAACAGTCGAAGGTCACATGTAATCTTCTTGGCAGTAACCCAAGTGTAGTAGACAACATGGATATGAAGATGGTTATGCTTGTAATAGGCTACGTGATAAGAAAAAGGTCATTATTTAGGGAAAGAAATAGTTCACAGAATTAATTCCCATTCACCACAGGAGGTTTCATAATTCATTTTTAGGTGGAGATGCGTGCAAAAATGTATATTGTTAAAATCACCAAATGCCGGCCAATTTTTTATTGGTGTTTACCATAACGGGCATGCAAGTGCTGATAGAAATGTATTCGAACAAGTGCATGATAAGCATGGGTGTGATGTGAGAAACGATTCTGAAAAGTTAGCATACAACTGGTGTGTATCAGAGAATCTTTTTGAGAACGACTAAAAAATTCTGAAAACAAGTGATGTAAATATTCCTGTCACGTTCTCTCTCTCTCTCTCTCTCTCTCTCTCTCTCTCTCTCTCTCTCTCTCTCTCACCTCAGATGGTTGGAAAAGCCAAAGATAGCAAGCCCATGTTGCAGAAGTTGTTAAGGCTTCATTCTAAATTTAATGTACTGGGATATGAAATTTTCATATTTGGGAGTATGTGAAGTAGACATGTTATCAGGCAATGACGATTTTTTTTCCAAATTCCAAAATTGTATGCATTGGATTTTCCATTCGATGGCTTATCTACTTTTATCAACTTTATTTTTAGTTTTTAGAAGGATCCTTATTCGCTCGTCTGTGTATGCTGTGTATCCCATCATAGGTGAATGCATTCTCCGGGTTTGGCACCATGGATTTACACTCCAACCATGCAAATGCCCCATCTGTCGGCGCTCGATTACTCTGCTGATACCCTGTCAAACTATACGATACCAACGCCGAGAACCAGAAGTCAGCCGGGTTCTGGATGAAGTTCAACGATATAACCGTCTTTTTGGTGATACTGCACCAGACCTCATTCAGGTAGTTCCTGGGCACGATAATAATTGGAGCGCTAACATAGCCTGTTGTATATAGTTCATTATTTTCCCTGTCAAACTGTATCTGCTAAGTCTTCCCATCCCTTTGTTCGCCTTCCCTTGTGATTCCTGGCCTGAAGGTCCTGCTGCGGAGGAACTACTTGAACTTGCGTCCCATTTTCGTTGTTATTGCTATATGCTGCCACTGTTCTTGCCATGGCAGGAATTTGCTTCTGATGCTTCTGCAGTTGATATCCATTTTAAGTAAGGTTTTTATTATCTCTTTTATGTATTTACAAGATCATCGGCCTCAGAGTGACAAAATTGAGGAAGTAGCCTCCATAAAGAGGTTCTGATGATATGAAAAAGTGAGTGAGATGGCATGAAAACAGTGCAAGTGATGAGAAAGGAAAGGTTTTGGGTTTTTGTGATCTTACCACGGCGAACCCACATAAATACCCCCTTTATCAAAGATAGATTGGTCCTATGCCTTCACGGCATTGTACTAACTGAACTATATATATATATATATATATAAATATGCCATGGTCTGGATGTCTGAAGTCTCTCTCTCTCTCTCTCTCTCCCCTTCTTCCTGCAGAGGTTCCGGGATGTTCCATTCTTCCTTCGAAGACTGGTGGGGGAGCTGATGGATCCTCATCGATCTCTTCCTGTTGTTATCAGGACCCGGATGATTATTGAGGTAAGTTCGTCTCACAGATGCCACAGAAATCTGTGAAGCTCGAGGCTGATGAAACTCCAACTGGGTCTCCTCATAAATACCATAATATATAAGAATATTCACCACCCTGGTAATGTCTCTCATTTAGCATGGTGACTGCTGCAGGTGCTGCTGAGTTTTCTCTACCTTGTGAGCCCCATGGACCTTCTTCCAGAAGGTACTCACTCCATCCACAGCTAGACCATTCTCTTTGAATCAGCCTAACCCTCTTCCTCTTCCCATGTCGTCTGCAGGAGTGCTGGGCTTCGTCGGTTTCATTGATGATATCTTCGTCCTGCTCGTCGCCTTCCTCCACCTGTCTGTTCTCTACCGGTCGGTGCTCGTCTCCCGCCACAGTGGCCGTTGAAGGCCGCCCTCGATGAGCATGGATCATCTTCCATCTGAAGCAGAGAAGGCGACTGACCAGTGGAGGTGGAGCTTTCAAGCCGCAGATTTCCTCTATGGGCGGTGGCGGCGATTCAGTGGGCACGCTGCCGTCGATTATGTTCCAAGTGGGCTGAAGTTTGTTTGATGGAGTCAACGCCCTGTAGCATATTCTTCTTCAAAGGCCAGGTTTTTCGCCAGTTTTGTGGTCAACTCATGTGGAGATGGTGTATAATGGTCGATACTCCGGTTGGGACTCTTCTTAGTGTTTGCTTCAACTGTGTGAGCCAAAATCTTCTATTAAATCCTCATTAATTATCGTGTTCTTATTTTTTTAAGTCCCTTAAAAGTACATATTTTCCAAAAAAGTGCATATTCTTCCCTCTCTCTCTGTCTCACACTCTCTCTCCCCCCCTCTCACTCTCACCCCCTCTCACTCTCTCTCTCTCTCTCTCTCTCTCGCTGACTCTCACTCTTTCCCTCTCTGACTGTCTCTTGTCTCTGTCTCTATCTCTCTCTACTGGCTAGCAGCAACAGGGTGGAGATATGGCTGTCATGTGTCCACCATCAATTCATGTGGACGAAAAAAAGGAAGGCCCACCTCATCAAGAACTTACCAAAAGTTCGGAGCTTCCCAATATATCAGAAGCATGGTAATAATATAAACTGCGGGATGATGGAAATGGAGAGTGGGCATGATTCTCTCTACTTCTTCTTCTTCTTCTTCTGCTTGGCCTTCACAGCGTCCCTCAGAGTCCTCGGTGGGCTCTGAGTTTCCTGCTTCAAGCTAGGAGTTTTGAGGGTCAGAGGTTTGACTTCTGGATCTTCAGTTGACTCGACAGCATCGCCAGAGGGAGCTTCTTCTCCCTTGGTCACCATCGGCGATCCTGTGGGCCCCAGGATGTGAACAGTAAGCAAAATAAATGCTATGCCCATCAATATATACAAAAGGTTTTATCTATTCCTATAAATGGGATGCTGTTCTAGAATGAATAACAAAATTTCCATAAATGGAATAAAAAAACAAATCCATCAATATACACAAAAGGTTTTATCTATTCCTATAAATGGGATGCTGTTCTAGAATGAGTAACAACATTTCCATAAATGGAATAAAAAAAAAACAAATCCATGCTAATAGAATCTGCAAAGAGCATGGAGATCTTCATACAGCAACTTATTGGTAAGATATCATACCAGGCAAGGCTGCAGGACTCCCAATAGAATCCAAGGACGAGCCCATAGATGGGGGATCCCTGAAAATAAGATCATAAAAAGAAAATAATTAAGAAACCAGATGCATCCACTAAGTAAAATTTACTAAATCGGGAAAAGAATTGCATACCACTTTGGAGGTTTAGCATCTTCACCTCCTGCTTCTGAACTACTCAGTTTGGAGAAATCAGTGGCAACACCACCAGTCTCATTGCCCTCTGTTCCACGCTCAGGCACACGAACCTCCACTGGAGCTGATTTCAGGTGTCTTTTGATATGCCTCAATGATCTGTTCTCATTGTACACATCCACCTGCACGAGCTTGTGATTAACCAACAAATGGGTAGCAAAAAACAAAAAAAATCGAAACAAATCTGCTCAATGAGTGCCATTTTTTTAAAATAAAATAAAATAAAATCTGTTCAAACTCATTGTACGTATCCACCTGCACAAGCTTGTGATTAAGAAACAAATGGGTAGCCAAAAAAAAAAACCCTAAACAAATCTGCTCAATCAGTGCCATTTTTTTAAAATAAAATAAAATAAAATAAAATCTGTTAAAACTCATTGTACACCTCCATCTGCACAAGCTTGTGATTAAGAAACAAATGGGTAGCAAAAAAAAATAAAATCTGCTCAATGAGTGCCATTTTTCTGGCATGAATGAGCTGATACGTAAGCAGTTCTTCAGTAGCTTGACAAAACTACTCCTGGAGTGGCTTTTCCAACCAATAAGTATTCCTATTCTTGGTACTTTTCTTCCAATCAGCCCATGAAAACTTCAGGAAATGAAAGAGCGAGTGACAGAAAATATCGATGCTTGTTGGAAAGAAAAAAGAATGAAAGCCCGCATCGTGAGCAAGATCAAAAGCCATTCCAATGTCCTAGTCTTCCGCAATATTGGTTGCAAAAGGGGAAACCCACAGAAAGAGGGAGATATCGGAGATGTGCTCACAGACTCCTTAATGGTTTGCGTGATTTCAGCAGCTTTGACGGAGGCAACGCGCAAGCACCGCATGATCTCACTCGGCATGACGCCCTCGCCGCCTGCCTTTTGGATGGCACACACATCGCCATTGGAGTTCACCGTGGTGGTCATTCTCCCCCCCATGACGGCTTCTTCATGGTGAGTCGGGTCTACCACCTGCACGGAGCCCCCCCCCCCCACCTAACACTGTCAGAACAGAGAAAGAACATCGGAAGTGAAGCCCCAGAACTCCACAAATCGATAGAGATATGCAGAACTAATGATACTAATACCAAACTTTTATCTTCACCGAATATTCCAAAAGTCACTGCCACGGGAAGATGATGGATGATCAGACCAAGAGGCTCTCTGACCTATTAATATGAATAATGAGAAAAGAGGTCAGATTGAGGTGGGCAAACAAAAAGAAAAAAAGAAAAAAAAAGAAGAGAATAATCTCAGGACAGCATCTTCCGAGGCAAACAGAACCTCTGGTGGGTGTATGGTGATCTCTTGACCATCTTCTCCTCCTATGGTGCATTCAGGCCTTCTAAAAGTCAACAGGGCAGCTAATGCGGCTATGTTTGCAGCGTCAATGAGATTCCTGAAACAGTAGCAATTCGGATCAGCTAGTCAAGAACACCCACTATTGTTTAACCCTGTTTTTCAACCTACCCTCCGTTGTCAACGATGTGAAGGTCCACCCGAACAGCCCATACAAATCTCCCAGCGACCACACAAAGGGATTCCATGTCCACCGCTCTGCTTTCCCTGTAACACATTTTCTCAGAGTTTGCAACACAGGATGGCTTAGGATCCACGTCTTTCCTTCTAATCCGGGGATGATTTTCCCATATTAACCTGCCTGGTTGGTATTTATACGATCTACATGAATCACATAATGATACTTACCTCAGACCACGATCTATGACGCGTCCAAGCTCAATGGCGAGTTCTCCAGGACGACCAACTTCGAATGATGGATCAGCCATGGGTGACAACTCTGTAAATATGGACAGCGTCCCTTCATTAGGCCGATCTCGATATGGTTGGACCAGCTGCGAGGTCACATAGGCCATGACATGAGTGTGACCGAGCTGAACCTCTGATTGACCATCCTCCCTGTGAATCACATCGGAAGAACACATTCTTATGCAATTGCTCATCACCAGAAAAGCCCACCAAGTATCCATAGCGAAAGGATAAATAAAAATCTATATATATATATATATAGATGTTCATATCCACGACGACCATAAGATAACTTTGCTTCTACTACTTTTATCTACTCTACCTTGGGAAATTCTCGGTTGGGGACCCACAAAAGTTCTCAATTAGCAGTATATATTTAACCATTAGATCAGCTCTCAAGAAAAATATTTATATGGCATTTACTTTGCAAATTGAACCTAAGAACATAGATGATGCACTTAATGATGTTGATTGGATGAATGCTATGCATGAGGAATTAGAATAAGTTGATATACATGATGTTTGGTACTTAGTTCCAACAGCTGATCATCAAAAAACGGCAGTCACTTCCCCAAATCATTGAAGGCCATGTCCAAAAGGTCGTTTCCAAGAGTAACAAAGATGCAAGAGGAGAGGATCATACGCCATCAATCCACCAGAAGGTGCAAGAAGATTGCTTCGCATGAGTGGGCATCGATCGTAGTTACAATGCCAAGATGAGATAAAGCAGTCTAGCTACGTATTAATCAGCTTCATGTTGGTGCTTCAAACATGTTCTACAATAATTGTTACGACTCAGATTTATCTAGGAAAATGTTTCCCTGGCATGGTGCATGGTAAGTGAATGAAGAACATCCACAAGGTACAGGAGGATAAGCAGACACTGGGTAGAGATAGAAAATCAAGATGAATGGCGGAGAAACATGGAAAGAAGAACACGCACTTGCCGAACTTAATGGTCAAGCGCCGATACTCAAAAGGGCCACGGCCATCGATTCTGATGTCTGAGAGCAGAGCCTCCTCTATGAACTTCTTGTCGTTAACAGACATTCGCCAGCTGTTTGCTAGCCTCTGCTCCATTGTTCTCCCACGCTATCCCCCAGAATCCGCGGTGCAGCGATGGAACACGCAACTGAGGCAGAACCCAAACAAGTGAAGGGGTTTAAGGACGGAATCTCCTCGCAACGTGAAACCCAAGGGCAGAATCACATCAACGCAGACGCAGGAGAAGGAAAAAGAAGAAAGGATTGAGGGTGGCGTTCATCGAGAAGATGGACCCGGAACAGAACATCCGATTCGGTCGGTCGAGTGACGTCCTGAGACCCCCAAAAACCGTCTCATCTGAATGTGCCGGTGATCACGCCTGTGGAGTAGAGAAGGAAGAAGACGAGGAAACCGCGAGAGAGATGCCATGAAGGCATTTACTACGTCTCCGCGAAGAACAAAAGCCAGCCCAGTCCTCCCCACAAAAACCCTCGCGAAGAAAGCTCCGGTACCTGTTGCGCAGGGAGAGAAGGCACAAAACCCTCGCGAGAAGTGCACTGCGGCGGCGCGAACAGCTGCTTGCCGCCGCTCCAACGTTGGGTTGTGGTCAATTGAATGTGCCATTTGTAAATAGGTATTAATAAAAAATGCCGTCAGAAATGGTCCCATGGTCTAGTGGTTAGGACATTGGACTCTGAATCCAGTAACCCGAGTTCAAATCTCGGTGGGACCTTAGCTTTTTATTTTAGCAATCAATTTTTTCCCTTCAGTTTTACTATTTATTTATTTTATTCGACGTATAAATTTCCTTCATTTCCTTGAATTCTCCAACGTTTACTCCCACATTCCACTTACATACTTCCTTTTTTATTTTTCCAAACTATATATTTAATGACTTAAATAACTTTATTCCTGTGAACTCGGTCATCGCCCTCGCACGTGCGCAATAATTCGCTCGCGTGAAGATTCGCTGGTAATTTGCCATAGATATCGCCTTCGCACGTTCGGCCGCATGATGCCCACCGGGCTACTACACGAAGAAGCCCGAGGGGTTTAGTGGGCCAAATCCAAAATTGGTTTTTTTTCTCCCGGCCCGGCCCACCAGACGCCCAATCTAAAATATGGGCTTTGATGACTTTTTCTCATTGGGCGGACTCGAATGGCTGATATTTTGCGAATTATCCCCGATTTTTTCGAAATACGGGCGTTGACAACGGTTGACGATGGGCTTCCTGATCGCAGAGGCGTCCAATCGTTGAGAAAATGCGAAGAAGGGCAGATTAATATTGCCCCATTTTTCAATTTTTTTATTAATATTCTGCGACCGTAAATCTTAAAAATAGGATGCAGAAACAATGCACGTGTTTAGTTAGTACATATACGCACGTGTGTACATGTGTGTGAACATTCATTTATTTATTTATTTTCTCCCATAAACATACCGGGCCCTGCGCTTGATATTCCCCCCCTCCGGGCCCGGCGACGAGTCCGCACGTGCCGTTTCTCTCTCTCTCCCCCTCTCCATCTCCCTGCGTGGCATCTACGCCGTCGGATCCAGGATCCGTCCGACGTGATGACCAGCCAATCCCATCACGCGAGTATCGAATCCCGCTTCAATTCTCCCCGTATTTCCCCGTCTCTTGACGGCCGTTAGCTCGTACGGGCTCTCTATCTCTCTGTCTCCTTGGGGTACGGACTGCACTGTTCAGCCCGCACTCCCAAGTCTTCCTCGGGAAATGTTCCGTGGGACCCGCACGTACAACTCGGCCAATCCGATCCGGACAGAGATCTAAATCGGTTGACTACCATCGAGGGGGGCAGAATAAAAATTTACAACAGTTTCCTCTTGATTTGTTAATATCCAACTTTCCTCAGGAGTATAAATAATTTTTCAATTGGTGAATATATGAAGTCAACGGTTTTTCTACAGCAAGAAAAGGGTAATTTCCCGATTTTCCGAGAGTGGGGTCAATTTTTTTGGCATTTTTGTCGGCGGAGGATGTCGTGGGCGGCGCACTTTTTTTTTAGGGGATTAAAATAATACCCGACATACAGCCGCCGATAAAGCGGGTGATGTAAGAACAGTTAATAATGATGCCGTCGGTGGCAGCCCCAGCGAATCAGTGCCCTTATTTTATTTCCCACCAACTCGGGACGATTCCGCAAGTCGACCCGGCTACGGATCGGTAGATACCCGGGACTCGGTGGCGGCGCTCGGACGTGTACGGTGATTTGAATATGTCTAGACACGTGCCCAATAGTGAAAAGACGGATGCGACCGCGTCAAATTGCGGCGGAATTGAGGGCTGAAGTGTCTTTTCTCCGTGGCGCCGTTAGTGACGGCGTCTGCCTCGCTCGCGTCTACGTGAAGTGGCGTCTGTCGGCTGTCATGAGCTGTCCTCGGCATTGGATGCTTCCCTCTGACGCTCGCCTGCGCTGTCCTCTGCAGCAGCCCGTGTTCCGGGGGAAAGAGAGAGCGAGATGTTGCATCGTCAAAAGAGAGGGCTTTGATTTTGGATCGTTAACGGCGGCTGGTTTTACAGGGAGAGAGAGAGAGAGGGGCTTGACTGGTTGGGGCTTTTAATTCAGTGCAGGTGTACTCCTGGAATCTCTCTCTCTCTCTTTCTCTGTGCTCCCTTTCGGCCCTGGCTGGCTTCATCATTCCTTACGAGGACCCACGAGTGGGATAGCGCCGGACCCCGTCTGCCCAGATTGGGGAAAAAAGGCCCGAGAGAGAGTGAAGAGAGAGAGAGAGAGAGAGAGAGAGAGAGATACGATTTTAGGGTTTGGGCCTGTAGCTGCCCCCTCCTGCCGTCCTTTTTCCCTCTCGCCCCGCATCGCTCCAGGGCGAAACAACCCCCCCCCCTCCATCCTCTCGCTCTCATTCGGACAGGAGTCAACCGCCGGAAGCAGCCCCACGCAGGGCGGGCAGCCCTTTCCCCGCCGCCTCTGCTACTTCCCCGTTGATTCTCCTCTTGTTTATGGTTCACCAGGTGCTCCACAGATCGGATGAGCTTGGAGTCGGTCGGATAAATCCGTAAAAAGGAAGGTTAGAGATAGAGAGAGAGAGAGAGAGAGATGGAACCTGCAGATCAGGGGGGTAGAGGAGGAGGGGTGGCGTCCAACAGCAGCAGCGACGACAGCAGCAGGAGCAATTCTGAGCAGTACCAGCGTCGCCGCCACCACCAGCAAGGCGGCGGCGGCGACGGCAGCAGCGGCGGGGGCTCTGCGTTGAGGATGGTCCCTTTCGAGGGGCGAACCCTACATGGTGGTGAACCGTCCTCCAACAACAACAATAGCAACAGCAAGCAGACTCCCTCCGGGTTCATGGGCGGCGCCGCCCTCCCCGGCGGTGCCGCCGCCGCCCCGAAGCGGTCCTCCAAGGACCGCCACACGAAGGTGGACGGGCGTGGGCGGCGGATCCGCATGCCCGCCCCCTGCGCCGCCAGAGTCTTCCAGTTGACCCGCGAGCTGGGCCACAAGTCAGACGGGGAGACCATCGAGTGGCTCCTCCAGCAGGCCGAGCCCGCCATCGTGGCCGCCACCGGCTCCGGAACCATCCCCGCCAACTTCTCCTCCCTCAACGTCTCCGTCCGCAGCGGCGGCGGCTCCTCCATCTCCGCCCCCTCCTCCCACCGTCTGGCACTCCACCACCACCACCAGCAGGCCGCCGCCGCCGCCCAGATGGCGGAGACCCTCCACGGCGGCGGCGGCGAGCCGTCAGCGGAGACCCACATGAGGAAACGCTACAGAGAGGACCTGTTCAAGGAAGATCCGCAGCAGGACCGGGGAGGCGGCGCCGCCAAGTCACCGTCGTCGCCGCCGCCGCAGCAGAGCTCGCGGCAGCAAGAGGCGGCGGAGCTCAGGTCGTCCCCTGGCGTCGTCCCAGCGGCGGCGATGTGGGCGGTGGCGGCGCCGGCGCCGGCCAGCGGCGGGGGAGCTTTCTGGATGCTCCCGGTCAACGCGCCGGGATCCAGCGCCGCCACCGTGGCGGCCCCCGTTTCCTCTGAGTCCTCGTTCTGGACGCTGCCGACGACGGCGGGGAGGTTCCGGACGGCAGCGCAGATCCAGACGCCGCTCCACTTCATCTCCGGCGGGATGGACCGCCCGATGGGGGCGGTACCGGTGGGATCGATGCTTCTGCAGCAGCAGCAGCCGGCGGCGGCGGCGCAGCATCTGGGGATAGGCTTATCGGAGACCAACATGGGCATGCTGGCGGCGCTCAATGCTTACAACCGCGCCGGGATGAGCTCGGCGGCGGAGCAGAATCGCCACCAGGTGCAACCGCCGCCTCCTTCGCAGGCGTCGGAGAGAGGCGATGAGCATCGCCGTGGCTCTCATCAGTAAGTGGGAGACGTCCAGCCCGTGCTGGTTTGCTCTCTCTCTCTCTCTTCTCTCTCTCTAACTAATCTCTGCCGACGTGAAACTCCACAATTCTTTCGATTATTCCGGACACCAGAGTGAAGACTAGCTCTTCAATTCCTTCCTGTAATCTCTCCTTACCTCCATGAGATCACTCCCCCACCCAACAACCCTCTCTCTCTCTCTCTCTCTCTCTCTCTCTCTCTCGCTCATCTGTTTGTGTTCTCAGGCCGCAGACCATCTGCGTTGCACAGACGCCGCCGTTGATCCCAAGGCGGGTTCCCCAGTCTTGTCTCCTTTCCGACAAAGGCATCCTTGTAGGCTAGTGAGAGAGAGAGAGAGAGAGAGAGAGAGAGAGAGATGAGGCTTCCATAACCGACCCGGCATCCTGGTCACGGAGACGGTTGGCGCGGGGAAAGGAAGGCTCCAGCTGGGCGAAGAGTTCTGTGATCTCTTAATGAGAAGAATTATCGTATTTTTTATTCTTACTTATGTTATAATAAAACTTACTTTTCATTGTAATAAATCTTAATATGATTTATAATAAAAATATCCCGGAGGAGTCCCCATTGTTGACGGTCAATGAGCGAGTCAACCCGACCGGTCAAAGATCGTGTTTACGAGAGGGACCCTCGTTGGGCAGATCAAGTAACGGGGACGAATCAGCGCCCGACACCTGGCGAATTCTGCACGCACGCCCTTCGTTCTCGCTTTGACCATGTGGTCCCCACCCGTTGGAACGGCTCTCTCCGCCATGTCAGCGCTGTTGGGTAGCGCTCTTGCTTTCGTGGCGGTAGAAGATGGCGGTTGTGGGCCCCGCGGTCGTGATCTCCTCGCGTGGACGGGCGTTAGTGTGTAGGGCCTCGTCAAGCAGCAGGCCGGGTGGATAGAGATAGCATAAGGTCTCCCCAAGGCCTCTCTCTCTCTCTCTGTCTCTCTCTCTCTGCACTGCGAGCGCATTCGACGTGGAGTGGGCTTCAGCCATCGTAGGTTGGTCTTCGATTCCCTCTTCTTTCCCCCTTTTTCCTGTTCTTACTTGTTCTCGATTGGTCGATCGTCGGGATTGGGAGGGATTCGCGTTGAGGGATGCCGATGTTCTTGTGGCCGGAAATCTCCGGTGCAGCGGAGTTCAGTGATCGCTGTGCCTGCCAGAAATTCGAATTTCCTTCGATCTGATTTCTACTCGAGTTGCGCGCTGAAGCACGCTGGATGATCGTATCCCGTCCTCTTTTCTACGCTGTTTGAATCGGAGCCGGCCGGAAGGAATCGTCTCTCCGGCGGTGATAGTTTTGATGTGGTTCGATCACAGCGCGAAGGTCGGTAACAAAAGCGCTACCTCCGTCCTTGGATCCCGGACAGAAGTCAGATGATTCTTAACCGACCGAGTGTTCCTCCCTTTTAAGAACCTCTAGTGTTTGTCAGTATGCGGAAGTTCAGTGTAATTCACTTTGATAGCATCCTCTAGGGCAACTCTTCCACCTTGAATGAATAACCTGCATAAGGAAGAGATATCATTTTTACAGACACGAGAAAGTATCCGGGCCTCGATGATTGTTTTTTTCGTCTGTTCTTCTCGGAATCCTCCCTGTTCATATCAAATTTCGACGATCTGCGATCTTGTTTCCGGCTTCTCGGCGAGTGCGCGATCGTTTCGGCCGCCTTCATTTCCGTAGGGTTTACGGTTCTGAGGCATGATTACTCCCGGAGTTATAAGGATGCAGCAAGAACATCATCTCCGCTGTGATAACAGCGCGAACCGAGGAGATCGATTCCTTTGATGCAACTGCAGCGGAGATCTCTCGTCAACACTTCTTCCCTCGCCGTCATCTGATTGATCCAGCGTTTACGCCATGCTTTCCTGCATATTTCTTCTCGCGGAACTAAATCCCCGATCCTACTCAAATCATGCATAGAGTTCATCAGATCAGATTTCGCCATCATTTTCTTCCTTCAATCCTCTCCATTTTCTCCCACCCAAATCTCTGCAAGATGATGATGCTCGTGAAGGGAATCGATCTTCTGGTTAGAGCGAGCTCTCCATCTTCCTCATTACTCCCCCACTCTCATCTGCAAGCGGCTCCTGTTTCTGTTGCAGCAGGGGGCGTCACTCAGAATCACATCCTTCGTTTCAGGTTGCTCTAAGATAGGAGACACGTCTTGCCGTGATGTGGGTTTTATACGCTATTTATTTATTTATTTATTGCGCTGATTTAATATAATATTCTTCAATAACTTTGCTATGTAGGTTTGCGAAATTTCTGGATCCTCCCCAGTTGACCGGCGGGAGTCGCTGAATGAGGGTTTGACTAGGTGCTGAATCCCATGGCGCATTTATCCGTGTATTCCCTTTTTGTTTATTGTACTAACATAAGTCAATTTATTATTCCCTGATGATTTTATGGTTATTATTATTTAAGCCGCCGGACGCCTCAATCCGTTGACTAAAATCTTAGTCTTCGCCGGCAAAAATCATCGTCGTCTTCCTTCTATGGCTCTGGCCTGCCTCGTCTGCCACGTCAAGGATAGACCCTCGCGCTCGTTGAGCGGCGGCGAGACCAGGTGCCCTCCAGCCATCGACTGCTTTACCAGGAGGAAGATGCCCCCCTCCTCCTCCAAGGTGGCCCCTCACTCTCCCCAGCCGGTGCGCCACCAGGGTCCGCCCGGTGGTCCGCGGCTGGTCCGGAGCCTAGCCGTCTCGAGAGACCTCGTCAGGGACTGGAAGTTCGACGAGAACACTCCGGCGGAGGGTTGAGAGCAAGCCCGATGAGCGATTCCTCCTTTTCCGGCAGCATTTTCTAGCAGATGATATGTATTGACCGCCTGATCCTCCTCATATGGGCTTCACAGATGAAGAACTCGTATGAGCCGTATTTTACAGAGTATTCCGTGCATTCGGGTCAAACACGAGGCAATCTTGCTTTAAAAGGAAAATTCACCCTAATGCGGCCATTTTCGGACAATCTGACCTACCGCCGAGAGAGCTTTGAGGAGTACCTGTTGAAGCTTTGAGGATGCAGGCGACCAGAAGGCTCGCCTCGCCCCCTCAGGAACCAGCGGCGAGAATTTCCCGTGGTGGGGAGTGGCATTCAGTCGGAGATCAAGAACACACCTCAGACTGGCCACCACTGCCGCCGCCGCCGAGCATCAATCACCTTTGCGGGATCCCTCTGTGCCGCAGAAGGCATCGTCGAATCCATAGATTGCTAGTGTTACCTCGGCCATCACCGGAAGCGCCAGATCGAGGATCCTCTCGTTCCGCCTCGCTTCTCCCAGTTGGAGTGGCATCCAGTCGGAGATCAAGAGCAGGCATCAGACTCGTCGCCACTGCCCCCACCGCCGAGCATCAATCACCTTTGCGGGATTCATCTGTGCCTCAGAAGCCATCGTCGAATCCATAGATTGCTGGTGTTACCTCGGCCATCACCGGAAGCGCCAGATCGAGGATCCTCTCGTTCCTCCTCGCTTCTTCCAGTCCGAGGTTAAGAACAGACCTCGGACTCGCCGCCACTGTGGCGGCCGCCGCCGAGCATCACTCACCTTTGCAGGATCCGTCTGTGCTGCTGAAGGCACCATCAGATCCATAGATTGCTGGTGTTACCTCGGCGACCACTGGAAGCGCCAGATCGAGGGTCCCGGGAGATGTCTGGCCAGACTTGCGACGGGAAAAGGCGGGAATGACCGTCTAGAATATCCCCCGCTCCAGTTCTTTATAAATGGCGGGGGAAAGCTTCTGATACCGAATCGGATGGGTGAGATGGGGGCGTCTTCATCGTACGGTGGAGATGCCTCGACCCTTGAATGACCAGAAATAGCCGTTGTGAAGCATAACGTTCCGTTTTTTGAAATCCACTCTCCTCTTTTTAGGCTCCCTCGCTCGACTGAAGACCAGGCTCTGTGTGTGTGTGTATGAGAGAGAGGATGGGAATCAACGATGAAATGGAGGAAATCGGGGGAGTAGAGGAGGGGATGATGCCCGTCTTCACCGTCTTGAAGGACGGAAGGGTCCTGAAGAACATCTTCCTGAACGAGCCCCCGCCGGAGCAGGAGCAAGGGTCGCCGATGAGGCCCCGAGGAGAGGAGAAGATCCTCGTCGGGAGGCACCCGGAGTGCCACATCGTCGTCGATCACCCGAGCATCAGCCGTTTCCACCTCGAGATCCGCGTGCAGGCGTCTTCCCGGAGGATCTCCGTGGTTGATCTCTCTTCCGGTAGGGAATCCCCGATCGTTCGAATTCGTTTCCCTTTCTGCTGCTGCTGCTCTTGACCTAAAATCTGATCTCGTTATGTTCTTCCCGATCTATTCGTCCAATGTTTCCTCATCCTATTCGATTCCTTCCTTTGACCTTCTTCTCCATTATGTTCTTCCGGTAGGGAAGCCTCGGTCCTTCGAATTCGTTTCCCTTTCTGCTGCTGCTGCTCTTCGCTGACCTAAAATCTGATTTCGTTATGTTCTTCCCGATCTATTCGTCCGATGTTTCCTCATCCGATTCGATTCCTTCCTTGCTGACCATCTTCTCCATTATATTCTTCCGGTAGGGAAAACCTGATCCTTCAAATCAGTTTCCCTTTCTGCTGCTCCTCTTCGTTGACCTAAAATCTGAACTCGTTATGTTCTCCCCGATATATTTGTGATCTCCAATCCTTTCCTCGTCCGATGCTTCCTCAACCGATTCGATTCCCTTTTTTTTTGGCTGACCTTCTTCTCTATTCGTCTCCCGGCAGTTCATGGGACTTGGATCTCAGGGAACAGGCTCCAACCACAGGTCGCCATGGACCTCGCCGAAGGTGACACGATGAGGATCGGCGCGTCCTCGAGGATCTACGAACTCCACTGGATTCCTCAGAGGACCGCTTTCGAGCTGGATAATCACCTGGTGGCCCTGCCGGAGGCGCGCTCACTGAATCACCAGGCAAGATATTCTGTAGTGAACGAGCTTTCTTGTGTTCTTCTATATGCCTTTTGATCTGATCTTGATTCGTCCTCCTCTGTAGGACGAGAATAGCATCATCCCTGAAGTAGGTTATACTGCGTACGGAACCAGGGGAGCTCAGATCCCTTCGGCGCCTCCGATGCCCCAGTCCATGATCTCTCCCTCTCCTTCTACCTCGGTTTCCACTGGGGAAAACCAGATCCAGGAGCTTGAATCGTCGGAAGAACCAGTCCTAGAACCTCTGATCGCTTCGGAAATCGGACATGTTAAAGCTAAGGCGGTCGCAGAAGGAAGGAACCCTAGCTCAACAGCATCTGAAGATCCCAGCTCTCCGTCGACCATAGAAGAAAGGAAGGAGAACACGGCTCGAGAGGGGATCCCCTCTCCGATCAGCCCCCCCAGATCTGAAAACCGGGTGACATCCTCGAGCCTTCTGTCGAGAAGAAGCAAATCCATCAGCATTCTTCGAGTTCACACGGGGAGGAGCAGGGAAAGAACCTGTGTTTCTCAGGCAATCGAGGAAGTGAGGACGGAGGAGACTCTCTGTAGGACTCTGTTCACAGGTTTGGACATGGGGGAGGGAGATGCTGTCCGCGAAGAGACATTCCTCTCGGACAAGGAGAACATGACGCCAGAGGCTTTTCGAAGCAATGCAACGAAGAAGAAGAAGCAGACGACAGGGTTGCAGCAGAGATCCTCTCTGAACAGCGAGGTCGCCCTAGATGAGAAAGAAGAGGACGATGGATTCCCCTCGGACAAGGAGAACTGCACGCCGCATGTTCCCGGAAGACAAGAAGAAGGACGATCAGAGAAGTCATCGAAGAGCGATCTGTCTGGAAGTCGCCGGAGAATGGAAGAGGAGATCGTCCAGAGACGGGTCGGGAGGATCCCTTTCCAGTCTCTGATGGAGAATCCTTCCAGCATGATCTCTCGCTCTGTCGGAAAGATCCCCATTACTCAGCATCTGAGTGAGAAGAATCCTCCTGCCTCCGCCGCCGCAGATTTCTCAGGCCACAGCACTTCGAATTGCGATCATCAACAGAAACCCATTGGCGATGGGAACAGCTTCTCTGAGGCAAGCTCTGGTTCATCCATTGTCGTAGTTTTTTTTTGTTTTTTGCAGAACGTTGACCAGAGATTCTCCCAAGAACAGCCTGCCGCGGATCGACCGAACCCGACGAGATCAGAAGGTACAACAAGGAGGTGGCATATGGTGGCGGACACGAGCTGCTTCCTCGACGAAGAATCGAGGAGGGCCCTGCAGCTGCTGGAAGGCGTCCGGGGAACCCATCTCATCGTCCCCAGGATGGGTGAGTAGTAGTCATCCCTCCTCCGCCCATTATCATCGTCGTTCCGCTCTGAGCCAGCTTCTACTTGCTTCCCTTTCTCTTTCAGTAATCAGGGAGCTGGACTGCCTGCGGCGACGCGAGGGCCTGTTCAGGAAGACGCCCAGAGTGTCGCCTGTGTTGCAGTGGATAGAAGAGTGCATGGTGAAGACGAGCTGGTGGATCCACGTCCAGAGCTCCATGGAGAGCATGCCGGCGGCGCCGACTCCACCGGCGACGCCCCAAGCACCGCCGCCCCCGGCGCTGGGCCTCACGGAGATCCTCTCTCCCACTGCCGACGATCACATCCTCGATTGCGCCTTTCTCTTCAGAGGGATCAAGAACGACGGACAGCTCGTCCTCCTCACCAACGAAGTCTCTCTCAAGATCAAAGCTATGGCGGAGGTAAGCATTCATTCCGGTCATGCCAGATGAGAGGGAGAGAGAGAGAGAGAGAGAGAGAGAGAGAGAGAGAGAGAGAGAGTGGATGATGGTTCTAGAATCAAAATTTCCGACCCATTGAAACTACCCAGTTATAAATAAGGAAAAACTGATTTTATTTAATATTATTCATCGCAGGGATTGCTGTGCGAGTCGCCGAGGGAGTTCAGGGAGAGCCTGGTGAGCCCTTGGTCGGAGAGGTTCTTGTGGGCGGAGAGCAGCCCGAGGGGCCCCACCTGGTCCTCGGCCGATTCGGTGGCGCCCATCGACGGCCGCCACCACCACCGCTGCTGCCCCGCCACGAGGAGGCCGGCAAAGGAGGCGGCGGAGGGGGCCCGAGGCCTGAAGCTCATCCTGCTCCACAACTCTCACTATGCTCAAGCCAACTTGATCAAATAAGAACCGCCCCTAATTTACTATAATAATCTAATACTTTTGAGCTTTATGCCCCTACAAAGTTGTTCTACGGTCTTCGCACCAACACCCACGGCTCTCCGGAATCCGAGTCAATCATCGTAGGGTTGACCCTTGACCAGATGTGGCGTGAAAAAGTACCTTTATACCCTCGTATAAAATGTCTGGATTTTTAATAGAAAATTAAAAACATCATTTAATACTACTCCCTCTGTTAATGGGCCCGTCTCCTACTTGGGCCGGATTTAATATGCTGGGCCTAATATCTCCACGAAGGTTCCGAAGCACGCTAAATAATCAACTTAAATTGAAAAAATATATAGACAGTAAGAAATCGAGCTGAATTCAATTCAAGCACAACACTGAAAAAGTAAATATATTAGAAATTTCCGTAAATATATTTACAATGGATTGAATCACGAGCGCACCCAAAGAAGCACCGACTCACTGATTATTATAAAACGGATATACGAAACTGAGGGCGGCGCGGGGCGTCCCTTATTGGTCAGAAGGGATTATTTATTCATACAGACGGAGTGGGAGGGGAAGTATTACGTAGAAAACAAGGAGGGGGTGGCTCGTCTCCTCCAGATGAGGGAGCTACCTACATACGGTGGGGTCTACCAGTTCCTGGGTGAAGCTGGAGCGTCCTGCTGGGCGCAACATGAAGAACACCGGGTTGCTCTGGAGAAGAAGAAAGAACAAGGAAGAAGACAGAGAGAAAGCTTGTGATTGGACAGCTTGCTTCGAAAAAAAAATCAACCATGAGAGAGAGAGAGAGAGAGAGAGAGAGAGAGAGAGAGAAAGAGAGAGCGGGGGGAATGATTATTTATTTACTGGAGAGATAATTGAAGTTGGGTATGCTGTTCATGATATAAATTTCATGGCCAAGATGTATGGGTATGGGCTTATGAATCCGAACTGAATGAAATTATTTGGAAACTGATTACAGATGACACTCGCGGTTGAGTAAGTCGGAAATCTGGAGCAACAGTCGAAAGGACACCTCTTGCTCTGGGTGAACAAGATTTATTCCTACCTAACAAGCTTGCTCTTGCAAAATGATATTGGAAAAAATGGAAAATAAGGATGATTATTCCAGGAATTCAGTGATCAATATACGAGGTAGATCATAAGATAGGCAAACATTAACTTAATTAACGAAGATAATGCATTAGGACGATATTATTCAGTTCAGCATCAAAGCATCTGTAGAAGAAAATAAACAGATTTCGACAGCTAGCTGATCTTTTCAGATGGCAGACGCCTAACCTAATCTTGTCAAAGCATAAAATTGACCCAGAAAGTTTCTGACAAAGTTTCTGCCATGAGAATGACGATGGAATAAACCTAATATGCTTTTCATCAGGAAGGATTCAGAGGGATCAACTGTCAATCCGACTCTGCGCTGCCACAATAGAAGTCAAATGATTTCTTAAAGGCTTCAGAAAATGATCTGAAACCTCATAACCTTGGAATAAGGTCAAGATTTCCTCCAAAAGTGGCAAGAATGACGAACATTTGTAGTCAAATAGAGGATTGAAGAATCATACGAGTGGATTATGATCTAAATTATCAAGAAAAAAGGGGTTTGGTGGAAATAAATGAAATATTAACGTAGCCATGCATTTTAAATGAAATAGCCACTGCCTAGGTCAAAGGTTTTAGAGATTTAACAACACAACGACGCTTCCTATTTTCCTATCTACTCGTAAATCTCATTTACCTTCCTAAAGTAACTGATCTGAACGACTTGTGCGACATAATTTTCTGTCCAAATAAGCAAGTTCTGGATCCACATGGGATTTATCAAAGTTTCATAGCTAAAGCCGTTTAAAGAGAATATGACAATTAGGGACTGAATAAAAACTACCAACCATTAGATAGCCTTTTCTATGATGTTATCTCTAAATACGTGACCCCGAAGATCTAATACAGATATAGTAGTAAATTGAGGTTTCTATATTTTTCATCTCTCAGAAAATTGACCAAATCCATGGGCATGCAAAGCTTGCACCGATGAGGCACATTTCTTTCACAAATAGAGAGACAATAAGAGATAGGAACCAGGTGGAAAATGTTAGCAATCATACTATTAAAAATCTAAAATAATGATCTCTACACTAAACTCCTAACACAATAGACAACTCGGAGAGCGTTGCTCTACGTTGAATCCTAAGGCTTCATTTTTTTTATAAAAAAAGGCAATGATTAACAGACGATATGATCAACATTTTTGATACAACAAATTCTTGTGTGAAGAACTAAGAAAATAAAGCCCTAAAGCTGTAAAAAGACTCAGCATTATCACCAATTAAAGGGAACTCGATAAATAGAGGACGAATAGAATTGATTTGAATGGCCCAATCGTTCCAAAGATAAAATAAAAATACGCATGATGATGAGAAGGAAAGGTAACCCTACTCGAAATCTCGGCGACTTGCTGGGGGGTAAGCTTAGCGGAGAAACCACTGACTGCAGTCTTGTAACTATAGACGAGGGCCTCTCTAGCCGCTTCCTCACTGCTCACACAAACGAAATCGGGCAATCATTAAGAAATTCATAAGCTAGAAGGGAGAAACAAAGAAGAGGCGAGGATCGGATCAAATTGATCGCCTGAAGACACGATCGGACCTTCCGAGGACAGAAGTGAGGGTTTTGACATGGTAGGCCTCTGGATCATCATCCTCCGGCCTCTCGGTGTACACGATGTGGATCGCAGCCACCTCGGTAGGCACGGCAATCTTTTCGCCCTCCGTCTCCGCCATCAGCGTCGACGTCGCAGACGCCCCCGCCAACGCCAAGCAGCAGCAGACAAAGAAGAAAATAGAACGCATCTCTCTCCCTTCTCTCTCTCTCTCCCCCGCGCCTTCAAATAGATTGTCTCAACGACACGACTCCAATTTATTGTGTCCGGAATGTTGAACTAAAAACCTTCTAAAACTATGTTATTTTAAAAAAACCTTTAATTAATTTCCCGTCGCTATTTATCCCAAAACTCTGACAGGACAGGGCTTGAAAGCAACAAATATACTTTAGAAGTTTATTTATAATTAAAAACTTGAGACGAGTAGTGTGTAAACTTTCCCCACTGTTCACGTTAAATTTAGACAGTAGAGAGAACCAGTCTTCTCCTTCCCCCGTCCGCTCACCTGCTCCGACTCTCTTCTTCCCCGATGCTCACGCCGACGCCGGCCCCAGCCGTCCGATCATCTCCTCTGGGCGGCAACCATGTTCCTTTCTATAAAGGGAAACTTCCCGGAGGCCGCTCCACCGCTGGCTTCTATGGGCATAGCAGACCCGAGAGAGAGAGAGAGAGAGCTGGTCTCTGTTGGAGGGGGGGAGTCGTAGGGTTTTATTTGATCAACGGAGACACAATGGGGATACAGCTTACAGAAACTTACAGGCTCTTCTCGTCAATCCAGAGAAAGAAGAAGAAGAGGAAGAGGAAGACAGAGAAGAGGAACGACGGTGGCCGCCATGGCGGGCTAACCACTCCCCCCGGGACTTGGGTATCTGTACATAAGCCAAGCCAGAAGAAGGTTTCCTTCCTCAGAAGGAGATGTTCATGATCTCCGTGACGAGGCTCTCCATCATCCTGTTCCCCACCTCGGCGGCGCACCGGAAGGTGGCGAGCTCCTTGAGATAGAGGGCGGCGACTGGGTCGCCGCCGCCGGCCATGAGGTTCTGGAGAAGCGGCAATGGAAGGCGGTTGGACTGAGAAAGAGGGCAAATGGGGAGGACCTGGCAGTTGCAGACCTCCACCATGTAGCCATCGGGGTCGTGGAAGAAGAGCTGGTCGACGAAGACGCCGCCTTCCTCGACGACGGCGGTGATGTATTCAATGCCCATCTCGTCGAGCTTCTTGGCCACCATTCGCATGTCGAAGGTCTGGAAGGAGATATGGTTGTCCTTGGGGTTGATCGCCGCCTTCTTCTTCGGTGCCTCCTCTGGGGTGCTGCTCTCCAGAAGGTGGATCCCCACGCCGTAGTTGAAAAGCCTGCAAGATCCACCCCCCGATAAGGAACGAACTGACTGGGTTGATTGGTTTTGGGGGGATTTCGATCGACGATGTGAAATATTGAATGAACTTAAGATGGAGAAGATCGTGTTCTTGAGCTGCTTACCAGGCGCCCTCAAACTTGAAGGACGAGGGTCTCTTGATGGAGACGAAGCCGAGGACCTCTTCGTAGAACTCCACGGAGCGGCTCACCGACCGCACCACGAAGGAGATGTGGTTCAGCCCCATCAATGGTAGCGGCGGAACTTCCTCTATGATCTCTAGCCCCATCTCTCCCTCCCTCACTCTCTCTCTCTCTCTCTCCCTCCCCCCCTCTCTCTCTCGCCGGCGTAGTGTGTATGTGGTGTAGCAAGGGAGAGCATTTATAGAGGTGACGGAGGATGCCGGAGAGAAAGAACTCGCCGCTCTGGTTACGTTCCATACACCTCGATTCTTTCTCTCTTTCTCTCTCTCTCTTCCGTGTGTACCAGAGCGGGGAGAGTGAGAGAGCGACGAGAAGCCGACGGCGACCGGTGCAGTTTCCGGGAAGGACGCCGGAGCTTCCACGCCTTTGGCTACTACAACGTGTTAAAATCTCGCCACGGAGAAGCGAATCGCCGCCTGTTACATCCCATCGCCACCCTCTGCGCCCCTTCTCCCGCACTAGGTTGCCCGATGGAGCACAGCCTCTACGGAGATGGCGACTTCCCACCTCTCTCTCTCTCTCTCTCTCTCTCTCTCTCTCCGTCCTAGTCTGGCCCACGCCGGAAGAAACTTCGCTCTGCCCCCCGGCGAGCCCTCCCTCCGCCGAAGAAGACGACGGAGAGGACACTCTCACGTTACAATGATGCGTAACGTGTCAGTCATCCGCCCATGATTATAAGATCTTAATATGGATTCATCACCTTGATCAAGTGCATATAATTAAGATTTACGCACTGGAAACGCAGAATAATCCCATGTTGATAAGAAAAAGATTGTCTTGAATGGTCGTTCATGGGTTTCTTTCAGCAAGAATCGCAGATCTCAATCCGAATCATCTGTTGATGGTCTCACAGCGCTCAGGGAGGGTTGCCAAGAATAGGGAAGAACACTCAGTGGATGTACACGTTTCGAATGGAGACTCTTTGTTGGCTCCTCTCCGGTTTCTGAAACCCTAAATAATACGGAGCTCACCACTGGTATGGACTTGCTTGACCCTCTGATCGTACCCATCTTCTTCGTCCTCCTCCACTTCCTCCTCTTCCTCGGCGGTCCACCCGAAGCCCGGCGAAATCCTCGACGCAGGCCTCCTCGCCTCCTCGACTATCCTCATGATCTCTTCCACGCTCTGGAGGGAGTAGCTGGAGGCCCTGTCGTTCCTCTGGTAGTATATTCCCTGCGCTCCCTCCGAGAGCTCCCTCGGCAGATTCTTCAAGAACCAACGGTGGTTCTTGATCTCTCCCACTGTTATCCTCTGCGAAGAACACAGGAGAAATCATATCACCGCCGATCCCAGACAAAGGGAAGAAGATAAAAAGTGAAAAATCTCATACTTTGGATGGGTTGGCCACGAAAATCCGCTGGAGGAGAGCCCTGCAGTCCATGGAAATATGGACGTAGTCTGGTATGGTGTACTGGACTGACATTATCCGCTGCAACCAGGAAGGCCATTCAGACCTAGCTCGCTAGAGAGAGAGAGAGAGAGAGAGAGAGAGGGGTAGCTGCTGCGTACTGCGATGGTTCTTCTAAAGTTCTTCGGATCGTTTGGGTCTTCGAAAGGGTAGGCCCCGACGAGCATCACGTAAAGAGTGACTCCGCATGACCAGACATCTGCGAGCTGTTCTTGGGAGGAAACAGAGAGGTCAACGGCAGAACATCCGCCGAGCGTAGAAACGAGGAGCATGAAATAGTGCTTCTCACGTGGCGGGAATGTATAGATCGCAGAAAGAAAGAATGTAGCGAGTAAATGCGCACCTTGCCGTCGTACTCTCGCCGGGAAAGGACCTCCGGCGCGATGTAGGCGGGCGTCCCGACCGTCGACTTGGGCCGCGAGTGGAGCAGAGATGACTGTTCGAATCAATCAGAAAAGAAAAACTCGGGAGATGAATGTTTTTTTCTGATGAAAGTTTTCATCAGAAGGTTTTTTGCAGAAGATCTTTTCAAGAGCCTTGGTTTCAGAACTCTTGATCGAAGTGAGAAGTCTTTCGAACTGAGTTTGGCAGGTTGTTGCAGAGGGGGATCGCACCTTCGAGGAGCCGAAGTCGCAGATCTTGACGCGGGGAGCGGGGTTGCCATCCAGCAGGGTGTTCTCCAGCTTCAGATCCCGGTGGCAGATTTGCTGCAGAGGACGGGTAGCGAGGTACACGGTGACCGCCGAGATCTAGATGATCGTGCTTTCGGAGCTTTACCGACTCTTCTGGGGTCGCGTAAACGTACCAGATGATGGCAGTAGCTAACACCGCTGATGAGCTGTTGGAAGAAGTACCTCGCCTGGAATTTCCAGTAGAATCAAGGTTTCAGGCATCGGAAGCTGGACGCGGATGAGATTTTCCCGGGGAAAGATAGCCTCGAAAGAGATGAATTAGGAGAGACCTCATCCTCGCTGAACCGTCCGGCGCTGCAGATTCGCTCGAAGAGCTCGCCGCCGGCGGCGTATTCCATCACGATCGCCAGATGCGTCGGCGTGAGCACGACCTAAAGAGCAAACCGGAGGTAAAAGCTGTGACATATTCGTTCTCTGATTTGCTAGGATATAATGGAGACGACAGTGGAAGGAGGAAGCCGATTCCGCAAGCCTCTGCTCAATTCCTTACCTCCTTGAAGCGAATGATGTTGGGATGCCGCAGAGACCGATGATTGATGATCTCCCTCGCCACGTTCTCGTCGATCTGTGGAGGAAAGCTACGACAGCGATTAGCTAGAATCCAGAGATTGGGAGGAAGAGATGGGGGCGAAACGGATGAAGAGATCCGGGGGAGAACCATGCTCGACCTTACGTCCCCTCTCGATGTACTTCATGGCCACAAGCTCCTTGGTCACCCTGTGCCGCATCAGCCTCGCCACGCCGATGTTCCCCGATCCGATGTCTCTCAGTACCTCGTACTTGTCCATCTCTTCCTGCCTTCCCCTGCTCCTCCCCGGTGACAGAAAATATCCTTTTGAAAACCTTCCGGAGCAAGGAGATCTACTCCTAATCTCAGAATTCGGAATGATCTCACAGATCGGGAGCTTTGTCGAAGGAAGAACTTCAAGACGACCTTCCGATCATGCCATGAGAGACGCAGATCGAACACCGCGGAGCCACCCTACCTCCTCTTGATTATACAAACAGCGGAAGAATTCCTTTATTGGATGGAACAGGTGAGAGGATCACTGGAAGGTATAGAATCCCTCATCCTCCTCAGATCCGAGACGCAGCAGACCAATACTTTGAGTAACCTTCTCCGCGCTTTTCTCCTCGACTACCTCACTTTCTTTTCTATGTACTTTCCCCTTGTTCTCCACTCGCCTTTTCTTCCACCTCCGACGACGGTTCTCCCTGGGCCCGCGGTGGCGCCGCGCCGCCGCCGTCGCCACCGCGAAAGTTCGAGGCCCCCCGGCACCGGCGGGGAAGAGGAAGCAGTTCCGAAGACGGTCGATTTTGCTTGATTGAGCCGGTAGAACCTCCTTTTCAAACGGAAAAAAAGGCAGGATTTTTTTTATATATATAATTCAATCATCCGTATTATGCCACGTTGTCGAATGAATGAGAACCGTTCGATCTTTGCTTCTCGATTGGGATCTTCTTAACCCAGTCATCATTCCTCGTTCCCCACCTGGTCGGCGGCACGAACGTCACCTGGTCGCCGCCTCTCGCTTTGACGGCGCCGTCCAATTATACATTTGAAAACTAATTTCGAATATATATATATATATCTATATATGTATCTAAAATTAGAACGAGACAGGGGCCTCCACGGTGGCATAACGGCACGGCCTGGGACCCACTTCCATCGGACAAATCCAGGTCATAACCCAACGTAATGGCCTCAGCCGGTCCCCGTCGGATTTGACACGTAAGCTCCCACGCCGCCGCCAACTCGCGGGAGATTGATGCCAGAATTTCAGTCCACGTGGCAGCCACCTCAGCATTCACATAAACAGGTCTTCTTCTCGCGCGGCGGCCTGGCTGTGCACGGTTTTCACACGTGCAGGAGAAACAGGGCAACAAAGTCGATACTTTATGATTTTTTCTCTAAATAATTGTTTTTATTGTGTTAACTGACGGGCCCATGCAGCCTTTTCCGCGGAAATTGGGCCTAGATAGATTAGGCCCAAATGGATGGGAACAAAATAGTACATATGTAATTATATATCTTCAGCGGTATAAAAACGTGGATATTTCAAGAATCTCCGAAGTGACGTGGGTGCCGTTTGGTCAATATGGCAGTCACATGAGATTGGTCCACGTTAGGACGCTTGCCCGCTGTGGAGCTTTGAACTGCCGGAAGACAGTTGCCGGCTGGCAAATGGTGGGATATTAATGTGTTCCGGCGGATCAGTGGATCGCTTGGAAGGTTCAGAGGACCCACGAGAGATTTTGAATAGAAACAGATGCTGATTTGAAGTCGCTTTCAGCTGGGAGTTGACCGGGAAGAAGAAGAGGGAATAAAGACGGAAAGGCGGAAGGAGGGAGAGGGAGGGGGCGGAAGGGGGGGCCGTGGGATGCGCCGTCGCGTCGTCCTCTTCCTTCTCTAGCCGTGGAGTGGTCGGCGTAACCCTAGCTTCCGGGGATGAGCTCGCAGACCGTTCCTCGGACAAGGAGGAGCGGATTGTTCTCCCTGAGGCGCCCGTCGGCGGTGAAGAAATTGGCACCTTCCGACAGCGGCGTCGGCGTTGACAACGGGACTTCCACGAAGCCCTCCTCTCCAGATCATCCAGTGTGAGGAATTGGCCTAGCTTAGATCGTGGTTTCTCATCGGAGCTTCATGTTCTGACTTTCGTTTTTGCTGGAAACGAAAATGAGCAGGGCAAACGGCGGTGAGAGGACAGTGAAGAAGCTAAGGCTGTCAAAAGCTGTAACCATCCCGGAAGCAACAAAGGTTTCTGATGCCTGCAGAAGGATGGCCACCCGCCGGGTGGATGCCGTGCTTCTCACGGATGCAACTGGCTTGCTCTCTGGGATTATTACGGATAAGGTTCTCTTTCCTCTTGGTGCACGAGTTCGTTATCCTAGTTTTCCTTTAAAATCAAAAGTATGATGACCGACGTTTGTATGGTTTTGGGACATTCTGTTGGCTCAGGATATTGCTATTAGGGTGATAGCGGAGGGATTAAGGCCAGAGCAAACAGTCGCCTCGAGGATCATGACGAGGAATCCAATTTTTGTCTCATCGGGGACTCTAGCAATTGAGGCTTTGCAGAAGATGATCCAAGGTTACTGTTTTCCTCTCTTCGGGCAGCGATAATCTTTTAAATTCTTGTGTTCTTTTACTTTATCAATACTGTTTTAGATGTTAGTAGTATTTATCCCTTCTTAGTATAAAATTCACATGGAGAAGGAAATGATGGGTGTTAACTAACTAGACGGAAAAAATCCTTATCTCCAACTCTAGACGGAAAAGTAGCGTGCGTTTTGCCTCATTAATTACGACAGGAAAATATTTGACTTAGCGTATCTGAAGAATCATAACTGAAATTCGTGAGCTCTTGAAACATCATGGAGATGGACATTGTGGAATTTCGGGAAGACCAAAATGCAAGTCCATTCATCTGGAAATGTATACATTGACGTGAGGCTGATTGGGAACGTGTACATTGTTTGATAACACTGATAGATACACCATGTAGTATCATCACCTATTTAATTATATTTATCTGGTTCTGCCTTATCTTTCCCCCGATTAGAGGATACTTATTTTGATTACGAGTGATCTCAATCAATGTATTATTTAATGTAATGCTTGCTCAATGGTTCTGTGCTTTGCATTGGGAGAATGAACATGAGGGTTTATGAAATGGAGAGGTTTAGGTTGTTATCGATGTTTGCTAACTTTTCTAGATTGATGATTATTCTGAGGATTTTATTCTGAGATGGAAATTTACTTCCAGGGGTTCTGTTTAGATTTGATTCAAGTTCGTATCGCTGTGCCTATATCTAACTCTAGTGTCCCCAGTCAGAGAAGTTATTTTCTGGCTCTGCTGTGTAGCGCATGGATCGAGCACATTGGAATAACCCATATGAAGAGCATAAATCTAGAAAGTATGTTTGCGTTCTTGATCATTTTGTGTCCGTCATGGAAGCTATCAGCATTAACGCGGACAGTGGAGGTTCTCTGAGGGTGGAGATATGTTGAAAAACTAACATTTTGTGCATAAATGGTGATTTTTCTTTATGGTGAGAAACTGTGAATTCTTTTTGGATGATTTTAAGACTTTATTAGTTGCTTTTATGTTGAATAGAGAGTACGGCGGATATCCCAAACTAAGGCCTCTCGTAAATTTGTTTCAGTTCTACTCTGTTTTTATTGGGACATTGATTCTATTGTCTCATGACACGGTGAATGCGGTACCATCTCGAAAACTAGTCATTATATCTTGAAACTACAGTCTGCTTAAAAAGTTCGTGCCTTTTCGTGCGAAATCTATTATCTAATCTTTATCGGTCCTTTTTTTAGAGTTAAAATGTGATAGCATTTTTTATGTTATTTTCCTTAAAGAAGTGTTGATAAAAAAATGCTTATTATTGTGCCCTTCGACTCTTTTATGTTATTTTATTGTAGGGAAATTTAGGCACCTTCCAGTTGTGGAAAATGGGGAGGTTATTGCCTTGTTAGACATTACAAAATGTCTATATGATGCTATATCGCGGATGGAAAAGGCAGCAGAGCAAGGGAGTGCTATTGCAGCTGCGGTAGAAGGGGTGGAGCGTCAGTGGGGAAGCGACTTTTCTGGTCAATAACTATCTGCTTATGGATTTCCTAGACTGTACCTAATGTTGATTGAATTTCTACAGTTCCTTTTGTATTTGCTGTCGCAAATAGTTTACATGAACGCAATTTCATTCGAACAGTGTTACTTTTGTGCTGTAATATATTATTTTCTTTGTAGACTCTTTTCTCCCTGGAGCAAGTTTTTTTATAATATTAATGACTTTTTATCCTGTTTTATTATGGTATTGTGTTATTCTTGCATTCAACGACATTTTCTCAAAACCCACGCTTTACTTTGTTACACTTGACTGGAAGAATTAATACATAGATATCAGCTACATAAAACATAGGAAGATTAGCTTGGCTGACACTCATATTTCTTTTGACGTTCTTGAGTTTTCGTTGCTATTTATGGCTGCAGCTCAGTATGCTTTCATTGAAACACTTCGGGAGAGAATGTTTAAGCCTTCTTTGTCGACCATCATCTCTGAGAGCCCCAAGTAATATTTTTACAGAGTATTGCTAATTTAGTTCTATTCTAATCCTAGTTTCATGGATTGATACAGTTTTCTTGTCTTTGTAAAGAGCTGCCATAGTATCCCTATCAGATCCGGTATATGTTGCTGCCAAAAGGATGCGTGATCTTCGAGCTAGTTCAGTGATTATTGTGTCAGGGGGCAAGCCTCAGGGAATTCTCACGTATGCTTTTTGCTTGATTGCCTTCCATTTTCTCTAGCTGTGTGGATGTTTTTGTAGTCATGTGTGATCAGCCTCCAGCTCAGACTTTCACAATTTTTTTGTATATTTTCAGTTCAAAAGATATCCTTATGAGGGTAGTTGCCCAGCGTCTTTCACCAGAGCTCACTCTTGTTGAGAAGGTTCCTGTCAGCATAACTTTGTCCTCGTTGCTTTTTAAACGCCGTTTTTTCTGTTTGAAGTATTCTGTTAATCCATAGATGTCTGGAGGTTCCCATAACATGATGATGGTGCAGAATGACAAGTATGTACTGTCAAAGATAAGCACTTGCTTTAATGTACAATCATGTCTTCCGTAATTAATTCAGAAAGATAGATCCTCAATATCAATCTGTGATCCAAACTTATCTGATAATTAGTGTATTATTTTCAAAGCCAAATTGTCTCAGATTTTCTATGTTCGAAAACTTAGATCATAAGAACTTGTCAGCACTATGCTTTTGCCGCCCATAAAATTCAAATAAATTTATTGATGCTTTGTAGTGATTAAGAACTAAACTTCTAGTTCTCAATTGATGTGGATTTCAGTCATACATATAGAACATACGATGAATCATAAATGATTCACCAACTCATTATACGAATAATATCCAAATTCCAAATAGGCTCTCTATATAACTTGTGTAAAGGATAAGAAGTTCTTGGTAAGATTAAAGAAATAACTTTTTCTTCTTCCATATAAAAACTCAGCAACGGACCGTTAATCACATTAAAAACATTCATTCTAGCTTATTGCTGAGTCTAAGACGAGAGAACCTTCCCTCTAAATTAATGGTGGGGTTCACACATATTCCTCAAAATTCATAGGATTTTTGAACATATTTTCAAAATTTAGATGATTGATTTGCGCGAAGAACATCTGAAACAACATGACATCTATCTTCGTCACCCAGACTTTCTGCCTTGTGTTTCTACATCCTTTCAATACTATGTTTTTACGGAATTTTTTTAATGCTCAAATCGAATTTTATTGCGCACACTACCGGTGGTTGCATCCAATTTCTTTTTTAAGTTTAGCATGCAAGGATTTATAAGCTTCATTAAATGATACTCCGTTGCTAATTTTTCTGCTATCTCATTTTTCCAACGATTTATTTGCTGAAGGTTATGACAGCAAATCCTGAGTGTGCAACTGTAGACACCACTATTCTCGATGCTCTTCATATGCTCCACGATGGAAAGTTTCTGCATATTCCTGTTCTTGACAAGGGTGAGCGAACTCTTCTTTTGCCTTCAATGATTCGATGCCCTTTATGGGTTCTGTATGCTAATCTGTTGCAGTTTCTGTCCAGAGGGATCTGTTGTCGCCTGTGTGGATGTTTTGCAGCTAACCCATGCAGCAATTTCTTCCGTAAGAAAAATAAATATGACTCTTCGATTTTCCAAACTTGTTCTTCTATATGTTTTCATAATTTTTAATTTTCCCCGAATTTCCCATCTCCAGGTGAGTGGTGATGGCGCCATTAATGGCGCTGCAGACACTATGATGCATAAGTTCTGGGATTCTGTTCTCACTCTGGATCCCCCGGACAATGTATCAGAAACCAACAGGTACTCTCCTCCTCAGAACAATACCAAATTTGAAATTATACAGAAAAATAATAATTATGTGATCATATAGGTTATGTATATAAATAAATAAATAAATAAATTGGCTTAAGCTTCTCTCTGTCGTTTGGCTTTGAGTAGAATGACTCAGTAATCGCCACCAATGGCGACCTCTGTTCATCTTCTTGCCTCTTGTAGTGAAGCCTCTGGGTTCATGGCATCTGAAGGGCCTGCGTATCCCTCTCTCGCCCTGGGGAGCTCCTTCGCCTTCAAGTTTGAGGACCACAAGGGCCGAGTGCACAGATTCAACTGCGGTAAATCCAATCTCTGCCTGCCAGATCCATGAAATCGTGACGACACACTCTTGGTCAACGTCGCCTCATTGCAGGTTCAGAGCACTTGGGCGAGCTAGTTTCGGCCATTGCCCAAAGAACTGGAGTTGACTTTTGTCAAGATGCTCCCCAGCTCCTGGTCAGCGATGCCTCCTCCTTCTCCCCCTGAATCATGCCATCATGTTGTTGCCGTCTGAAATCTGCTACTCGGTGTGTTTTCTTTCTCGCAGTACGAAGATGATGAAGGCGACCGGGTTCTGTTATCCACAGATGCCGACCTCAGGGGTGCTGTGAATCATGCGAGAATCTCTGGGTGGAAGGTGATTTTTTATATATATATTTTATTAACGGAAATATGTTCACCTTTTTTTAATATATTTTATACTCATTTTATTAGACTTGATCATGGGCCCATTTAATGGCCGGCCCATTGGCCATCTGCCCCTGCCCTGCACGTCCCCCTTCTTCTGACTGTTCTCCCTCCTTCCGGGCTTCTCTTCAGGTCGTAAGACTGTACATTGATTCTTCAGACGGGAAGACACAGCCCTCTGATGTCTCCGCCGCCGGAGAAGCCCGGCCGCCGCTGCCGCCGCCGCCGCCGCCGCCGCCGTTCAGGAAGGGCGTTTTAGCTGGCGTCATCCTGCTGACTGGCATCGCCGTGACAGTCGTCTACCTGAGGCGATCCAAGCGGTGAACCCATCCCTTCAAGCCGGCGGATAACTCGTGGTAGGTATACTTTGTCTGTAAATAAATTGACACTCTTTGCCCCATTTCTCCCTCTTCGCCTCTGCTTAGAGAGAGAGAGAGAGAAGGTTAGATGGGTGGAGAGAGAAGCTAAGCTGTTAACCTCTCTCTATCTCTCTATCATTACATATTTTTATACGCGTTTCTTTCTGCACCTGGTCTATTTATAAGAGTTCTATATAGAGAATCACGGTGGCAGAAGCAGAGGGAAGAGACTGGACAGAGCTTATAACAAGTCATCTGCATCTGGCATCAACTGGTGACTCTGAGAGAGAGAGAGAGAGAGAGAGAGAGAGAGAGAGAGAGAGAGAGAGAGTACGCAAATATTAAACGATAGGTTCCACCTCATCACCTACTTCCTTCCCGCTCTCTCTCTCTCTCTATCTCACTCGTGGTCTCCATCGCCGATGGTAAAGGCCTCTATTCCGGGACGCCAACAGGTTCGAGAGGAGACTGCTGGCGTAAGAAGACGACAAAGATGAAATTTTATAAGGGTATATCTACGATTATTATGATGCTAGTTGACAATTACAAATAAATGATGGGTGCGACACGTAGATCAGCTCGGATAAGCTGCCATATCTCCACCGGCCGAGCTGGCAAGGTACTTGGCACACGTGGAGGGGTGCCCCAGAGAACGCGCCCCCGGCAAAGAAAGTGTGTGGGGAGGCGGCCCTCCACATGTGCGCGGGAGGGCCAGGTGGTTGTCCACGTGTCAGGTTGTGGACGGCCAGAGGAGATCGCACGCGACTCTCACCTCTTATTATCAAGGCCCCCCAAACTCCCTTCGAAAAACGGGTCGTTTTCTATTTTTTGTGATCTTCCTTCTCTTGTCGCCGCCGGCTTTCCCCGCCGCCGCCTCCCTCGCCGAAGCCCCCATGACTGCAGCCTCCGCTCTCTCGCTCTTCCCCATCTCCCCCTCCCGCTCCAGATCCAAGTTCTACACCAAGAAGGTTTGTCCTCGCCTCTCTCTCTCTCCATCCATCGATCCGCTTCTCTCTCTTCTCCCTGATGACGACTGGTGGCCCGTGTGTTGTAGAGCGCGAGCGGGAGGGATGGATTCAGAGTGCTGGCTGTGTTCGGGGAAGACAGGGGGAGAGGAGATTCCGGGGGTAGGAGCGCCTGGGAGGCGATCCTCCATGTGGAGGACCCCGGGCCGAGGCTGCCCCTGCCCAGGGGGAAGTTCCTCGACGCGAACCAGGCGCTGGAGGTGGCCAGATTCGACATCCAGTACTGCGACTGGAGGGCGCGCCACGATCTGCTTGCCATAATGCTTCTCCACGACAAGGTGAGGACGACTGCCCTAGTTTCTAGAGCTTCCGTTTTCTCCGTGCACCCCCTTGTCGCGGATCCGCTTCAACCTTGAACCCTAGGTGCCGTGCCTCCCGTGTCTTCTCCCAATGGACGGTGCGCGGCTATATTACGATCCGCCGATCAAAGAATTGGGGCGAACAGAGGGATTATTCCTCAGTCCGGCATTATTTGGCAGACAGACTTATCTGATCACTCGACATTTAGTTTCAACCGGAGGTTTCAAGCATCAGCGCCTTCTTTCTGCCCTAATTCGAAAGCGCTCTGGAAGTAGCCATGACTCTGTTTTCTTTTCAACATGAAATCTCAAAAACCTTGGTGATGGGATTCATCGATTCCCAATTCCTCCATACTTGGTTATAAGATCCCCACCGAATCTGGTGCAGGTAGTACAGGTCCTGAATCCTTTAGCAAGAGAATACAAGTCGATCGGAACCATGAAGAAGGAGCTGGCAGAGTTGCAGGGAGAACTGGCGCAAGCTCATCAGCAGGTCTGGAGACCGTCTAACCCTAGCATCTGAATTCTTGCAGATCCTTTAATCGGCGAAATCCGCGTATCTGATGTTTCTTCGTTGTCTGAAGGTTCACATATCTGAGGCGAGGATATCCTCTGCACTGGACAAGCTGGCGTACATGGAGACCTTGGTCAACGACAAGCTAATACCAGAGAGGAATACCAGTGCTACGAGTTCTTCAGAGTGTTCATCTCTCGCGCCAAGTGTGCCTTCTTCTTCTGGAAACTCCATGGCGAAGAAGAAGCCTCCCAGAAGAACCTTGAATGTGTCTGGTCCAGTCCAGCCATATCACCCCAACCTGAAGAACTTTTGGTACCCTGTTGCCTTTTCCAGTGCTCTAAAAGATGATACTATGGTGAGTACGAACTCATCACATTATGAGAGAGAGAGAGAGAGGCATGTAAATGTATATTCTTACGATCTATGTTTGATTTTCAGGTACCTCTAGATTGTTTTGAGGAGCCATGGGTCATATTTCGTGGGAAGAATGGGAGGCCAGGCTGCGTCCAGAACACCTGCGCTCACAGAGCATGTCCTCTTCACCTTGGCACGGTGAATGAAGGGAGAATCCAATGCCCGTACCATGGTAAGACTGTTGCTCAACCTACAAGCCTCTGCATGTTCTTGGTTCCCAAACATACCCATTTATGACATAATCAAAATGCATAATTTTTCAGGTTGGGAGTACTCCACAGATGGAAAATGCGAGAAGATGCCATCCACCAAGATGCTCAGCGTGAGGATCCGGTCATTGCCATGTTTTGAGCATGAAGGGATGATCTGGATCTGGCCAGGTGACGCGCCCCCAACAGCTACCCTTCCTTCTCTGCTCCCCCCTCCAGGATTCAAGATTCACGCCGAGGTAGGACTACTTGTGAATGGAGACCATGGATCGATAAACCCTTGACATACCCCTTTTTCCTCTGTTGGAAATCTCATCTCCAAGAAGTTTTGTTGAACAGCTTGTGATGGAGCTGCCCGTGGAGCATGGCCTCCTCCTGGACAATCTCCTAGACCTTGCTCATGCTCCTTTCACACATACTTCCACGTTCGCAAAGGGCTGGAGCGTACCAAGGTTGGCGCACAATTTCTCATGATTAGGGAAATAATGACCCCAACAATATGAAAAAGCTCACCTTGCGGATGGCCCATGTCGAGCTATGCTGCGATTATTGATCTTCTAGGTTTAGTGGCAGTTGGGTTTTGTTTTCACACATTCTCACAATCTGCAGCTTGGTGAAGTTCCTCACGCCTGCGTCAGGCCTTCAGGGGTACTGGGATCCGTACCCTATTGACATGGAGTTCAGACCGCCCTGCATTGTCCTTTCTACGATTGGGATCTCGAAGCCTGGGAAGTTGGAGGGACAGAGCACCAGGGAGTGCTCGACGCATCTGCATCAACTTCATGTGTGCTTGCCTTCATCCACGGGGAAGACCAGGCTATTATACAGGATGTCTCTCGATTTCGCTCCTCTGCTGAAGCACATCCCTTTCATGCACATTCTGTGGAGGTACTTCGCTGAGAAGGTGAGCAAAACATGTCGACAACATGGTTTTATACGAGCATCAGAATCTATACTCAGCGCACCATAATTTCTTGGAGACATCCGCCTCAAGCATTATGCTTTTAATAAATCCGGGCTCTGCGTTTTTTTTTTTTTTTTTTTGTCGTGTAAATTTTCGGTTTCTATGAACATATATCGATCATACACTCTTGTACATGCATCGAAATCTCTGCTCATTATTGACCACATGAAATTTTTGTAATGTTTTTCCCCCCAATATTATGCTTTTGTTCCATATACGCTATGATTATTTTCTTGGGTCGCATGAAATATTTCAGTTTCAAAAAAAATAAATAAATTGATGACATGCATGAGAACATATATTCAATAAAGTCTACGGGGAACCTGGCTCATATGTTCAGCATAACATACCTTTTCATATATTCTATGAGGAACCCTGAGATCATTCTTCTGTTACACAGGTGCTAAATGAGGACCTGCGGCTGGTGGTTGGCCAGCAGGATCGGATGATCAATGGAGCAAATATCTGGAACTGGCCCGTGTCGTATGACAAGCTCGGAGTAAGATACCGGCAATGGAGAGAGGAACTGGAGAGGGGAGCCGAGCAATTACCTTTCACCAGATGAGCACCGGAGATCAAGACATGAAATCGTTTCTCCCAGATGGTGTCATTTAGATCGACGCTTTAACAGGTGGAGGCTACAAGCCAACCCAAGGGAGAACATAAGGGTTTGGATCTACCAGTCAATCCGATGCTCTTGAGGAGGAGTAGATCCGATTCAGAAGGAGATATCCGGTCGAGGTTATGCCTTTGATTACATTTTTCTAGTGGCCAGAGACGATTGATTGTTCACCCTCCTTTCTTCCCATGATCTTCCCACTTCTCTGGAACCCACAACACCCACACCCCTGTGCAAGGCTTGCTCAGATTCTGTCAGACGCCATTGCAGCAGGGAGTGCTGGTTTTGTTGAGCAGGCCGAGAGCCCCATGTATATTACTGTACCACAGCATTCCGTGCTCAGGAAATATAAGAGCAAGTGTACATTTCTCTTTGATTCTGCGGAAGTGAAGAAAACCCTAGATCACAGACTAGGAAGAAAAGCTTCTGCGGAAGATTATGCAAAAAAAAATTCAGAGGAAGAAGTTTGCGATTAGTTGCTCTGCACACATGAAAATAAAAACCATGTTTAACGGGGGAATCCTCCGTATTATTCACCTGATCGACAGGGCTACAGTATGAGTATCTACATTAGATAGTAAGTCGCAACTCTTCTTCTCCGAACCCTAGTCCCTTCCGAGCCCCTCTCGGGGGGGGGAGAGAGATACAGTTTCTACAGGGCGGTGCCGCAGAAGGGGCAGAAACGGAAGCCGCGCTCCACCGGGCGGTCGCAGGAGTAGCACTTGAGCAACGGCGACAGGCCAGAAGAGGCTGCGGCGGCGGAGGACTCCTCGCCGGTGGCGCCGGCGGGCGGCAGGGAGAAGGAGGAGGGGAAAATTGAGCGGCAGTTTTCGCACCTCATTGCGGGATCCTTCCCCGGCCACCGCCAAACGGGGACGAAGAACAGCTTCAGGACCTTCTCGACCTCCACCAGATCAGCCTGAGATCCACAGGCGAAGCATCTCCCGGCGCCCTCCTTCAGCACCCGGGCCACCTGCTGCTCGACGCCTCCCACGAAGAAGAAGAACATCTTCCTTCGCCACCGTCGGGGAGAACACGTGATACGAGGGGGGATATATATATATATATCACAGCTGTGCAGTGTTGGGGGAACTTTCTACGTATTATCGATAACAACAGAGGGTCTAAAATTACTATTAACTATTCACAGGGGTTTAATAATAAAAAATGTTTTAAAATATTATGCCAGACCACCGAGCCAGCAACTGTGACGATCTACGGCCACTTCTTGAGGGTATGATCCGTAAATTTGATTAGATTCAGGGGATGTTTTGAAATCAGCTCTATGATCTGCACCAAACGCGGACCTCTCTCTCTCTCTCTACACGGATTCCCTTCACACACCTTCCGTTCATCTTCCTCGCCCGTCGGAGACAGGGAAGGAGCTGGGGGTGAGGTAAGGGAGGTATCCGGAAGAGGTAGAGGTGAGGTTGTTTGCCTCTCCACGGTTAGAGCTTGGAGAAGATGTCGAGCTTCAGCGGCGATGTGACGGCCCCGTTCTATGGCTTCCTCGGCGCCGCTGCGGCCCTGGTGTTTTCCTGTGAGATATCATCTCCTCCTCGCTAAGATTTAGGTTGATGGCCGCGGAGGTTTTGATTTGGGGACTTCGTTTCTGTAGGTATGGGGGCGGCGTACGGTACCGCGAAGAGCGGAGTTGGTGTCGCGTCGATGGGTGTGATGCGGCCAGAGCTCGTGATGAAGTCCATTGTTCCCGTCGTCATGGCTGGAGTCCTCGGGATCTACGGATTGATCATCGCTGTGATCATTAGCACAGGAATAAATCCCAAGGCGAAGTCGTACTACCTGTTCGACGGGTACGCTCACCTCTCATCTGGTCTAGCTTGTGGTCTGGCCGGCCTCTCTGCGGGGATGGCGATCGGGATTGTCGGGGACGCCGGAGTAAGGTGATTCTTTATGTGGACCCTCCATCTTCTCGCTTGTCCATTCAGATCCTGCGATACGGACTAGATCGATCGACATCTGTTGTTTCGTTTAAATTGGTTCAATCTGATCTTGTCTCTCAACATCTCCATTTATTTTTCATGGTCATCATCCTTCCTTGGGGAACCTTCAATCGTTAGTTATGCAGTGGCGTTGTGACGGAGACTTCTGAATTGGTAGCTGGGTTAATATTTGATGGGGGCTCATCTGGATTTACAGTCTTTTTGCCGATTTCATAATTCTTTGAAGATCACTCGTAAACTATTTCACTGAAATGTTGCTTCAATCTATTCGAAGATCTTAGCCGTCTTTCTCAGGTAGCTATTACAAGTCGTTTATGCTTTCAGCTATTTTTTCTGAGATTTTTATTATCTATAACTTATCCATACACATTGGAATAATGAACGGATTATTTGTAAATTTTCCCACTTGCTTTTGAATTGATGTCAATCTTCTTAGACCAGTAGCCTGAGGCTTTCCTTTTTGATAATAGGTTCCCAGATCCTTACATGATCCTAACTAGGAGTCGTGGGTCTACGAGGACATATTTACTGATGCAGATAAAGCTCTGAAAATAAAGTGTAAATTTGAAGAAAAAAATCTGGAAGGAAAGAAATTGAAAAGGGCAAAAAGGCATCTTAAGCATATTTGTCCATTGAAAGTTACTATAACGAATACTAAAAATCGAATCATGTCGCTGAAAGAGTCTTTGGATGTTTATATGCGACCATCTCAGATCGTAAACCATAAGGCTTTTAAATATCTAAGTTAGGATTATCTTCTTCGGATTATGATTTTTCTGAGGCTTTCTCTAACAACTACTACCCTTTTTTTTTTAGTTCTTTGAATTTTTCCCTGGACATCTAACTTGTTCAGCTACCTGAGATAGATCTATGTGGATGAATCCTTGTGAACATTTAGCTTCGACCATGAATTGTTTTCAAGCAACCTTGAATATTTCGTTTATTGTCATACCCCATTAGGTTTTCCCGTCACTATTTCCATTTTTTTACTTAATGGATGTCTAAAAAATTTATTTTCTTTTGGGCATCATTACCTTAGATCTTTTGAAACTATAGTGGTTTTAGCGTATGAGACAATTTACCAAGTTCTAGCGCATTGCGTGGCATATTCACTTCTAATAGGACAGGACAGTGTTTAGCTTTCTTATCACTGTTTGTCGTCCAAAGGGAATCTTACATCACATACAGAGTCTGGGATTGATCACTAGTATTGATAGTGCAATAACAGACACAAGCTTATGCTAACTACAATCTTGGTCACCTCCCGTGCCACCCCGTAAATAGTGGACAAAATATGGGGAATTAGACTTCCAATTTGCGACTATCTGATCAACAAGAGGATTGAAATGGACGAGACGGGTGCTTTATGGGGTGAATGAAATCCAGTGAAAGTCAGTCCTTTCTTTCTTATTCTCATCAGGTTTCTGAACAGAGTTTGGAAGTCATTAGAATTTTTGGGACCCTTTAAATCGATCGTGTAGTTCATTTCAGGAAGTTCCTATCCAAACCAGGTTTAGAAAAAAAGAAATATATATATAGAGAAAAGGTCACCACGTAAGATTATTGGGTTGGCTCAGGGTTTTAGCACACTAAATATTTGGTACAGGAGATCACTTAGAAGAAACATTAAGATAATATGGTTGATATTAATCAAATGATGGTCACTTGATTCTTGAGGATGGGCTCTGGACACTCACAAAATATCGTCTATACTCTTCTATGAAGGTGTATGTGCCATCACATTTTCCCAAATGCTGTTAGCTATATATACGTTTATTTCTGTATTTCTCCTTTTCTTCTTCAATTCGTCGTTTTTCATTCTCTTCAGAAAATACTGCGTTCCCTGGTTCTCTTGTACATGCTTTAATGGCTGCACAAACCTCGCATTATTCACAGAACTGAATCAATTGATGCCAGTCGCTAAGTCCATTAAAAACACCAGCTTTTTGGGTCCAAAGAAATATATAAGAACCCTAAATCTGAACCCACAGGAGAAGACTCGAACCCATGGATTCTACTGGATTCGATGCGGCTTGGCTCTGTTCTTTCAAGACGAGGGTATTGGGGATAGGATTCATGTGGCACATATATTGTGTACCCAGATCATTTCCTCATGAAAAATGTCAGCTTTCGGCTAGATGATTGGGTATTGTTGATATTTTATTTTCTGTTTGATATATCTCACATTTTATCCGAAAGATTCACCAGATAGATCCATGGTTGATTCCACTGATATATTAAGTAATATCCATTATATATATATTTAATTTTTTTTCCCGGACCCATCTGATTATGTCCACCCGAATTGGCTGGTGGAATAATGTCCATCCCTCTGAGTGGTCGGTTTTCATGTCTTTCCAGGGCGAACGCGCAGCAGCCGAAGCTCTTCGTGGGGATGATCCTCATCCTCATCTTCGCCGAAGCTCTCGCCCTCTACGGCCTCATCGTCGGCATCATCCTCTCCTCTCGCGCCGGCCAGTCTCGAGCAGAGTAGGGCATTCTGTGGATCGATCGATTGATCAGTCAGCAGACGCTTCTCTCTCTCTCTCTCTCTCTCTCTCTCTCTCTCTCTCTTATTTGTACTACGGATAATCCGAATCATCGTGCTATAAGCTTGTGGCCCTGGTGATCTGATCATCTGGCGAACTCTCCACAGATCCAGGTTTTTATGAGTCCTCTTCTCCCTGGCAGCCAAGCGGGTCAGATTTTCTCGCTCTTCCACGTCGAGGACTGAGAAAATGTGGAAGGTCGTGTGATCTCATTCTGAAGGTGGGATTATCACGTGCAGAGTGCCTTTCCCATCTGGCACGTGTCCGGTTAGGAGCCCATGAACCCTCTAGCCATGTGATGATTGCTCGTCGTAATCTCGACTTATGGACGGATGTGGGCCTCGATAGTCTCCTATAGGCCCAGTCAACGCTCGTCTTCTACCCCATTGGGGTCACACACAAGGGCCTGGGAGATTTGTGATGGACCGGTAGGCCCATTGCTGACTTCAGGGCCCACCCTCGGACTCACCACCTAGCCCTAGCCCATAAGCAGAGGCTCGTCCAGAGCTTTAAAAGCCCAAGGCTCGCTATCCAGGCCAAGCCCACTAATCAGGACCTGGGATATTTACTCGGGGACTTAGAGGCCCATTAATAACTTCATGGCCCACATCGGACTCACCACCGAGCCCGGGCCCATAAATAGAGGCTCGTCCGTAGCTTTAGAGGCCTAGGCTTGCCTATCTAGCGCAAGCCCACTAATAAGGGACTGGAAGAATTATTTGGAGGGACCTATAGGCCCATTAATGACTTCAGGGCCCACTTAGGCCTCATCACCTAGCCCAAGCCCATATACAAGTAGAGTGGGAGACGTGCTTCGGGGGGAATCGAGTCGTTGGGGGACGACCAGTGGAGAGAGAGAGAGGCGATGGCCGGAGCAAACCCATCGGCCGGGGCCACTACGCCTGGGATCGTGTGGAACGAGAAGGCCAGCCGGTTCGAGACGGAGGACGGCGAGGCCTTCCTGCAGTATCGCCTCCGGGAGGTGGCGGGCGGCGGCGGCAAAGGAGCGGCGGTGGTGGTGATGGACATGGTGCACACCTTCGTGCCGAGGAGCAAGAGGGGGCAGGGCACGGCGGCGCAGCTCTGCGCCGCCGCCTTCAACCACGCCAGGGAGCGCTCCCTCCCAGTCCTCCCCACCTGTTCCTACATCTCGGTAATCCCCTTCCCTTTCAGCAGATCGCGATTAGGTTTCCTTCCCCTCGCAATTAAACCGGCTCATCCCCGCCGGCCGCAGGACACGTTTCTCCCGCGGAACCCGGCCTGGAACGCGCTGGTCTACGGCGGCGAGGACCCCAAACCATCCATGTGAGCGGCGGCGGCGGCCGGGAGGGACCTTCGTGCGCCTGTAAGTTCCTTCCCAAAGTGGAAATCCGCGAACCATGCAGATCTCCGCTTCATGGAGGCGGCGAAGGGGACGACCGTCGCCGAATGAGCAGATCTCCGTTTCTGTAAGTGGGGGATCAGATTTACAGGAACCCAGCTTCAAAGATCATCCTCGAATGAGCAGCCCAATACATACCAATCGTGTTTCACTCCCAAACTATAACAATAAAAGAAACCCTAAAAGAGCTCGAAGCTTTCAGAATGAGAAGCACACTGGTTCTGCAAACGGGGGCTATATCGATAGATACAAGGGGGGGATGATATGTACAGGGCTCTTGGTGTGGTCTGAGGAAGAGCCCCCCGCTCATCCGGGGACGTAGTAGTCCATCTTGTCCACCGGGAGATTCAAAACCGACGTCTCCACCTGGGACAGAAGCACGGATGAGGATCAGAGAAGCCCCAATGGCCGACCTTTTTTTTTTTCGAAGATGGAAGAACAAAGGGTTCTTCCCCTGCTATATAAACCCAGCTGTCTCTGTCTCTGTGAACCAGTCATGGGCGGGGGTGAACAGATGATAAGAGTGGGTGGAAGAAGCGAAGGAAAAGGCGGAGTGGGTTGGGGGGGGGGTGTACCTCTTCGAAGGGAACAAAGACGAAGGGGGCCATGCCCCGGCGGTGCGAGACGGCGGGCACGTCGGGGTTGTGAGTCTCGTTCTCTTCCCAAGACTCCACCACGCCGAGGATGTCGTCTTCGCCGTGGCTCAGCTCGTTGTATTCCACGCCGGTCGTCACCAGTGTCAGCAGATCCAGCCGGTTGTTCGCTCCTCTCGTCGTCCCTCTCATCCTGCCACGTTTGTTTGTTCAAAATCATTCCCGCCGAGTAGAGAGAGAGAGAGAGAGAGAGACCTGAGTTTCATCCTCAGAAGAGTGGGACGGAGACCGGGATACAAGAGAGCGCCGTCAATCTGCAAAGACCGAAGAAGTCAACTTCATGGAGGAGAGCACAGAAGGGCCATAGAATTGAAGACCAACCATGTCGTGGGTCATGGCGAAGTCGCCCCTGAAGACGCAGTCCACCTTGGAGGCGCGGAAACTCATACACTTGGCGACCTCTTTGACCTTTTGGGATGAATTCTGATCATCAAACGGAGTCAAACGTCAGAAGATTCATGCGAAGAGGAACTCAGCGGGATTCCCACGTTGACCTTGTCCAGGATAAGCACCTTATAGAGGAATTTTCCGCTGGGGAAAAACCGGATATAACGGTAGTAGCAAACCTGAAGAAACAGAGGTATCGAATCATAATCACATAATTTTTTTTGATAAATTTGGTATTTACCCAGATGAACATGTAGATACATCGCGCAAAATCTGGGCGAAGAAAGTAGCATACCACATGAACAGGATTTGTGACATTCCACTCCCTTATTCCAGCCCGGATGTAAGTATTCCTGCTCACATAAAGACCTAGAGGCATGGAGAAAGAACAGACGTTATGGGAAGGCTCTACTCTAGGAATATGATTAAAATAAATAAATGAAGAAATAAGATTAAGAAATGCATTGACCTACATGATTATCTAATCATGTAAGTCAATGCATACTTCCCGTCATCTGGGAGTGTTGTATATAAAAAGATGGGGTCAAGAGAGGTCAACGGTGGAGCAGTGAAACAAAATAAGCCAATGAAAAAGTCAACGTAGTAAACTACCTTGGAATAATATTCAATTGAGAATAATAAATGGATCTCCTGCGATTTTTAGAGATGAATTGGAGTAACGCCATTGAAGAGTCCAGGAGGGATAAAACGAAATTCGTGACATAAATAACGCAGAAATTAATCGTTTTTCACTGCATTTTTGAACTCTAGGTAGCTAGCCAATGATGACATGTAGATCATAGAGGCATAATCTAAGTAAAGTCAATGGAAGATACGACTTCTTCTTGAGAGACTGGCATCAATAGATTTCAAGAGAGAGAATGCTACCATCTGTTCGAACTCTTGGTCTCTGAAGCCACATTTTTCTCCAAGAACCATCGTATACAGACTGAAGTATTCTATAATTCTCCAATGCCCCAGACGCCTTCAAAAAAATAACCAGTACTCCGTTGTTGAAACGAACGTTGAAGATCCATCCACAACAAAAGAAAGAACAATGAACGAGCTAGAACCTGCCAGGCTTTTAGGCATGCAGCACGCCACAGTGTCGGATTACGAATCGTGTACCTCCACTTCCGACATACACATGCTGCCTTTCCTAAGGCATAAGGGGGCATCCGTGAAAAAATCTGTCCATGAAGAAAGAAGGCTTTAGAGTGAGAACAGCTATCTAAAGGGTTACAGCGTCCACAGGTCGATTAGCAGCCTTATGACAACGTAAAGAAATGTTTATTCATATATATTCCGATTATGTTACTGCAACTCCATTTCCATCTAATTCTTTCAATATTTGACACAATATTAGAAACAGTATATACTTCAGATTATGAGTTTGTTTATTCGGCATTGAACAAGTGATACATGGCCAAGAAGTGCACGTCAGGATGTCGCATGGAATCCTAGTACAAATATTCATATGTAAACCCTAAAGCTGCTCGTGTGTATCACTCAAAATCATATGGGATACCTGATTCTGATCAGCCAGTTCTTCATAAAATATATATTTTTTGCGTGCCAGGGAACAAACAGATATCAACTATAGTTTGCAACGTGCATGTTCCAATCCTAATAATCCACTGGCTTCATGATTGAAAGATAAGGGAAAAATCCTCAAAGACCATTGCACCCACATCTAAAAAACTGAAAATGGAAATGAAACATTGTCTTTTTTGGCGTTGTGAAAGTGAGGGCTTCGAATCATTGACTTTACTTTCTGAGACAATAACAGAGACAAAATATCCTTCAACAAGGCATGACCCTGCGCTTTCTAATGAAATTATTGACGACACACGGAAATTAAAAAACCAATACCTCAAAAAGCAGCTCATCAGGTAAACAGCGGTGCATGAGTGATGATTCGGCAAACTCCTTGCTGCTTGTGCTTCCAAACGGAGCAATTGGTCGAATTCTATTTCCATAGAGATCTGAAAAATAGGCACATGCATCGACATAATTAACAGTCTGAATCCTTTTACATTCATTGTGTACTAACAGGATATAACTTCACTGGCTAAAGAAGATGTCATTAATAGATGCGAATACCAGTGTAAAATAACAAAAATATCTAGTCTATCACGTCCACATTACGGTTTAAAGTAACTTACCCTCTGAGCTGAAATCAACAACTAACTAGCCCTGTCCTCGCATTCAACGTGACATAAAATTAGACTGAAATTACTGGACACATTTTTTCCATAATTCATCTACATTTATTTTAAAAATGCATATTTGTGAAGATATACAACTGCTTCATCACGTTTCCTAATTTTTCCACCTAATAGAATAATTTAGAAGCACTCTCTACCAACTGGAATTTCAACCTAGAAGTGAAGGTTCAAAATTTTTAAATATCTTGTTAAAGGAGAGCTACTCTGTTAAGTCGTTCTCTTGTAGAGGTTTGTTACTCGTTTTCTACCTCGCACATTGGATAGTTGCAAAGAGCACCTCTCCACGTGAAGTATAAGTAAAAATATCAGATCCTACGGAGTGAATCCGTGGAACCGGGTAGATCACGCACAGCCACAATGAATAAAAGCTTTCGAGTGCTAGCTGAACATACAGACGAGGAGGTCTCCAAGTGGGCTCAATGCAATACTTTTAGTTTAATTTTAGATTATCAAGTTCAAATCATCCATTTTAAAGCATTTGTCACCATAGGTTAAGGGATATTATAGCAGAATCCTATTCTTCCATAAGAAATGCGAAGAGATAAAATTCGTCATCTATGGAAACCCTTCCATGTTTATGGAAAAGGAATTTTCTTTTCGGGGCAGACGTGATTTCTCTTAAAAGTTAGAACTCGCAAAAGATTGTCTGAACCTCAAACGACATACGTATTTGCTTTGTATTGCTCAAACGTCTTCCTTTTGTTTTTTTTTTTAATTATCTGTGGTGTTTGTGATCTCTACTTTGTCACTGCATCAAAAGGCATTATTGAGCCATCCACCTCAAAACCAATTCTCAATTTATAGAACAGTCATCTTTACAGTCACATATTTACTTTAATAGCCACTAATACATGCTATTTAAACAAAAAATATCCTTCTCCAGTCTTCTTGTTCACTATTATTTTCAATAGAAGATATCATCAATTTTCACTTTTTTTTTCTCTCAATATGATATCTAATTAATATTTTCTGATGTCTATCTTCAAAAAAGGAAAAATGAGGACACTGCTAATGTGATTGAGAAAGCCCTTTTTTTTTTGTGAGATACGTGAATGGGTACCAGAGGAAAAAATAAATTGAAAGTGAATAGAATTATATGCTTTTAAAAGTTTTGAAAATTCGTAGACATACTCAGCCAGGGTCTTTTTGTTCCAATGAACTGCATCATTCTGAAACCCGAACTCGCGCTAGCCTCATTTGGGATTGGAAGAGCTATGTCTGCAAACAGAAAATAAGCCAACATCGATCTATTAATCTCTCAGAATCAAATCTCCAAATGAAATCCGCAAAAGTTCCGGAATGAGTGTTGTGAAAAAATCCTGCGACTAAGCCTGCAGATTACACTCTCGCAGGCCCGTCACCTATACACCAGAAATTCACAACAGGCTTACAAGAAAAACAATCGAATTCGTGAATCAAGCAATGTAAAGAGCTATATAAGCTAAAGAAGAGCATGCTCCCTGAAGAGACGTCGAAAACCCGATAACATCAAGGTAAGCTCATTAATGAGGAAAAAAATACTGATCCATCCATTCACGCTAAATACGACCTAGGTGCTGAAATCAATCACGCCGATAATTAATCGTTCTCGGCAAGAATCATTTCGTTTCAACAGATAGTAGGGAAAAAAAAGGCCCTTAACGAGGATTTCTGCGGAAATATGAGATCACCTGAAGCCATGAGAAACCGATATCAAAGATTGCCCCTCCTCGCAGGATCGGGAGTGGAAGAATGACACGATAATCTTCCTCTTCGTCCTTCCCCGCCTCCAATTCGCCCCACGATGGCTGACGAGGCGAGGGCAAGGTCCAGATTCTACGAATCTCCGACTAGTCTCGTTCTACCCAGACATTCTGCCTCTTTCAACCCGGGAACCGCCTCAGAGAAGCAACTAGCCAACATATGCGCGTGCATTCCTAGCCGTACGATCGTTAGGCCGTTGGGTCCACTCACTGCCACGCAAGCAATTCTGCGCCAAGACTTTTTGGGCCGTGGACCGCGACGGCGTGTGAACAAAGCGGCCCGTTTCGGATGGACAGGCCCAATATAGAACTCTGGCCAATCCTACTCCACTGTTGCTGGACTCGGCTTCTTGGGCCTCATGATTCTTTAACCAAGGAAGCCCAGACTTCGATATCTTTAATTGCCGCATAGTGACCCAATCTCGCTCTCTCTCTCTCTCTCTCTAGCTTCCCGGTGGGATCGGGTTCGGCGAGCCTGTTTAGCCCCGCTGACACGCCATAGAAAAATAATGGTTTTTAAAATATATTTATTTAACTCTTTTTTTAATAAAAAGTTAATAATAACTTAACCAGGAGATTAGATGCATTATCCATTTATTTAAGTTCCCAACCGCGCCGGCCTTATGCAATTATTTTTTAAAAAACGTTCGCCCCGTCCCCCATGCCCAAATGTTTGACTTCTGATACAGTTTTCAGCCGCAGCTTAAAGGTCAAAATTTATATCCTTTTTTGGAAGCCGCTACCTTAGGGAAGAACCGATCCCCGTCAACGTACGCCCGGCGTGTGCCGTTCGGAACGCATAGCGTGGATACTAGCTGCCGACATTTCTCGGTAGGCCCGGTACATAACTTCACGCCACGTGGCAAAAAAATCCTGTCGGCGGTGATGTACGGCGGGGCTCATCGGGACTACAGTGTGCCTACTTGGATGGAACTTTGACTAAAAAGGCCCCGCAAAGAAGAGTTCTGTAATGGCTGCCATCATTACTCCAATAAATATCCGCTTGGCGGAGACGACGACGTAAGGGCTCTTAGGATTAATCTACGACCACCCTCGGCCCGCCTACGTCAGCATTCGCAACGAATTAAAACGTACCCCGCCTTCGTCCAATCAAATAAATTTAAATTAATCCGATCCATCCAGCCAAATAATAACATATAGTCAAAAGATTAATTTTTTAGCGTGTTTTCAGGGATTTTTAATATATGTTGTAAGAAAATATGAATTTAAATGAATCGACGATGTTGGCCTCTGCTTAACTAAATTGCGAATGCGTCCCTACTTTATTGTCGGACGCGATCCGTGTTGTGCAACAGATAACTGCCGCTGTCCGGGGGCCCAGGGAAGGACACGTGTCTCGCGGTCGCGAATCAGAAATTTTATTTGTTCAGGGAGTTATTCTTAATTTTACAGACACGTAGGGGGAGTCTTAAATAAATAAGGCGATGGTCGTATATATTATCACTACTTCCGTGATCCATGCTTATTTATATTCGATTCTTCCGCGGACTCGGCCAGGCGCCGAGTCGCCGGGTCGTCCGTGTGCGGGTTTCCGGCTCCGTACAGGGTGCGGGAAGAGTCCAAGAGAGGGGGGGCTAAGACGTGATTTCCGCTTCCCGGGAGTCCGACATCCACGCGACAAGGCGGTGGATCAGCTTCCCCACGCACGCATGCGCACGAATGAACAGTGCAGCGGGCTCCACATTCCAACTCACCGAAGATCGAGTCGTGACAGCATCGGTGCGTTTAGCTTATGGGCACCTCACGTGAATCTACCGCGGTCAAAGACATGTGGGCTTCGAGAGACGGGGAGGGAGGAAATTATTCCCGAGAGCAGGGAGGGGGGAAAGGCGTTTGGTTGTCAGGATTCGGTTTTACCGCGAGCTGCCGGCGTCTTTTCCGCCGACTTACCAGCGAGAGCTGTGTTCCCCAGTCAGCGACGCGGGGCTCACCTTTCCCGTTTTGACTCACTGCATCTCCGCCGTGGCGAAATGGCTACCGTCGATTGGCGGTCGAAAGATGCCTTTCCTTTTATGTGGTCGGCGAGCGGCGGGATCCAGATGGCGGTGTCGTTCCTGATGTGTGCGGCGACAGACCGAATGAAGGACGACAGCGTGACCAAGACCCATCCGACTACCGTCTTCCGTTAGTAACTAACCGTCAGGATTTACCGAACTGGGGGAGCGGTTTCATCGTCCGAGGTTAGTTGGAGTGGCCACGCCCTGGATCTAGAGAGTTCGCAACGAGCTGTTGTTTCAGCTGCCTGTAACGGCGTCGAGGAATATCCCGACAAATACGGGACGGAGGAGCGAACGCGCGTTTTTCCAGGCGTAGGATGTGGCAAGGAAGGTAATTATTGTTTGGTTGGGGGGTAAAGGATGGAGGGGGGAAGCTTTTGTTTCCGTGAGAGGGCGTCCCAGACCCCCAAGACGGCAGTGTCTACTCCTCTGGTTGCCTCTGGTCGGATGGGCGTCCGCCACCACCGCTCCCGCCGCTTCATCTCTTCCGCCGGCGTCTGGTTCTCGCCTGCGTCGCTCGGCCGAGGTTGGTGCAGTCGCTCGTCCCACTCGATTCTAGCGTAGGAGGCCGCCGCTGGGAGCGGAGGAGCAACGAATCGGATAAATCCTGTTCCTCTAATGGCGGCTGCAGCGGAGAGGAGGGGAGGTCTGGATCAGTCCGTGTGGGAGGCCTGCGCGGGGAACTCCGCGAAGATCCCGGCCGTCGGGGCTCTGGTGTACTACTTCCCCCAGGGCCATGGCGAGCAGGCGTACGCCGCGCCGGACTTCTCTTCACTGTCCTGCGAGAGGGCCGAGTATCTCTGCAAGGTCAAGGAGATCCAGTTGCTCGCTAGCGAGGAGACAGACGAGGTGTATAGCGTGGTTGGCCTCGATCCGTGGATCTCCCGCTCGGCGCCGTCCCCGGATGATTTTTCGTTGACGGAGGATACCGGCGCGGAGAAGAGCCGCGCTCTGTCTTTCGCGAAAATCTTGACTCCTAGCGACGCCAACAACGGCGGAGGGTTCTCAGTTCCGAGATTCTGTGCGGACTCGATCTTCCCGCAGCTGGACTTCAGTGTCGAGCCGCCGGCGCAGATGCTCAATGTCCGCGACGTGCACGGCAAGGCGTGGGAGTTCAGGCACATCTACCGCGGGACGCCGCGCCGCCACCTCCTGACTACGGGTTGGAGTAAGTTCGTCAACTCCAAGAAGCTGGTTGCCGGGGACTCCGTGGTCTTCATAAAGAACAAGGCCGGCGAGCTGTTTATTGGGTTGCGCCGAACTGCTCGGTCTTTCGGATCTTCCGGTTCGTCGCACGCCCCAAGCCATGTTGGTTCTCCTTCTGCGTTTTTCGCCACAAGACTCGGAGGGAATTTCGGTAGTCAAGCAGGATTATCGAGGAATTTCAGGGGCAAGGTCAGCCCGGAGGATGTCGTTGAGGCTGTCAGGCTAGCAGAGCTGGGACATCCTTTTAAGATTGTCTACTATCCGAGAGTAGGTTCCTCTAATTTTGTCGTGGAGAAAGGAGCGGTGGACGCAGCTCTTCAGGTCCCATGGTCGGAAGGAATGAGAGTGAAGATGTCAGTGGAGACAGAAGACTCATCCAAGACGACGTGGTTTCAGGGGACATTGTCCTGTCTCCTCAGGCATCCCGCTCCATTCATCTATTCGTCCTGGCGCTCTCTTGAGGTTGAACTTGACTCTTTTTCCCGCGTTCTCTCTCCTTCAGTGGTAGATTATTTTTCTCGTTCTTGCTTGTTCCTTCTTATGTATAATTATGCGCTTTATTTTTTAGATTGCTAATCTATTATTTTCATGCTGACATTTCTCCTCTCCAGTTTGATATTAACACATAGAATCAGTCAGTGTTGTTGGAGTTAAAAAGCCTCCAGGCCTTTTGTTTTTGTGCATGATGGATTAGGTACCCCCAGCGTTCGAGCAAAACCATATTCAGGGATCTCTGTGAAGATCCCTTGGGCAATTACGTGTATAGTGAGGGCTGTAGCTTTCCATATTGGCACTTTATTCTTTCCTAGCGCTTTTTTCAAATCCAAAACTCACTCGTCTGTCTATGGGTGCGCATCCCAGACCACCACAAAAATTGCAGATTAAAAGGACACCTGCAAATCTCTCCCAGACCAATCAAGCCTCTTCACAGAGGTTTCTTGTCCATAAATTTGATAGGACTTCACGTAGACAATGCCTTGAGGTTGGTCAAGAAACCTCTGTAAAGAGGTTTGATTGGTCTGGGAGAGAAACGAGTTTCAACTTTGCAGGTATCCTTTTAATCTGCAATTTTTGTGGTGGTCTGGGATGCGTACCCCTTAGCAAATCATTATTATCTGTTTGTGAGAATGATGAGAGATTCCCCAATCTGAGTAGAATCTTCACAACAGTGTCGCTTTCTTTCCTCTCTGAGCAGGGCCCAGAAACCCTGTCCTATTTAATCAGTAGCCTATATTATTGTCACCACCATAGATGTCATGGAAGCAACCCGACAAGCAGGTTCTTCCACTCGAGGGTCTCACTAGATGTGGGTAATGGATTAGAACTCGTAACTGTAAAGATAACAAGTTGGCAACTATTTGCCCAACTCAGTGTAGATAATAATGATTTGCCTAGGGGGTGCAGATCCCAGACCCCCACAACAGAATGAATCTTATGCTTTACCGAGGTCCCTATGCCATTCATCCTAGATTGTATATTTTTGATATCTATCATGGGTTATAAAGTGTAGGATCCTATTCTTAACAACGATTGTACCTCGATTTGCTTGAAAGGTACCTATATTTTTTTACACGCCTTGATCAATATGAAAAGTATACAAACCAGGACTGATGGTTCAGGGAGATCAGGAAGGTGGGTATTTATGTTTATGCTCTGCAGCCCTTTGCACCTGAGCTTCCCTTCCCTTATTTCTCCGGGGAACTCGTCATCATACGACTGTTCGACGGAGAATTCACTCTTTAATATGAAGAAAATATGTTCATCTAGCGATCATTCTTTTCTCAGCTTGCCTTTCCGACTCACTCTTTGAATTCCCATTCTCTGGACCAGGTCACCTGGGACGAGCCCGACGTATTCTATAATGTGAAGAGGGTGAGCCCCTGGCAGGTGGAGTTAGTCCCAGGCTCTCCCCTTCTTGCGGCTTCTCCCTATCCCGTCCTCAAGAGGCCGAGGGCCGGACAGAGCCAGAGCCAGGACTCGCTCCCTGACGGCTCGGAGAAGAACACGCTTTTCCCATTTCCGGAGCTTCCCAATGCAGCGATGCGGAGCACAGAGGCCTGTGTCTTCATCGACAACGTTTCTCCTGCGGGCATGCAGGGAGCCAGGCATGATCAGATACACAACTTCCTGCCCGCCGGCATCTATTCGGTGAGCCACAATGTGAAGCCAAGAACCGGAAACTCGGGGCCGAAGGCCAACTCCATGCCTTCTGAATTGAACTGTGCTTGTGCTCTGCAGTCGGAAACCTCGTCCCCTCCGAGCCAGGACAACTTCCACTCGCGTTTCCCGGATCTTCTCGACGGGCCACCCGGGGGCGCCGCTCCGAGAGCGAGCAGCGGCTCTTTTCAGCTGTTCGGGAAGACCATCCGAACCGGGCATCTGGCCGCGGCCGAAGCTCCGGAAACCGGCGACGACCATCGAGTGGACGCCGTCGCCTCTTACGGCTTCTCTCTGTCTAAACCCGCAGAAGCAGTTCCACGATGAGTAGAACAACCCGACGCAGAGGGTCCCAGCGTTGGAATCTTGATCCGCTGGTGGCTCCCTTTGCGACTGCAAGGACTGCTTCTTGTACAGGTACGCCTGCTAGTTTTGTTTGCATATGATTTATTTTTTTATAAAAAAATACGTTCTGAATTTACTGGTAGATTTTTATAATTTCCGGCTCACCAGAATGATCGGAATCCTTCAATCCATCCATTCACCCAATGCCATTACAGAATCGAGATCCGTTGTCTAAGCCTTTTCGGATTTCCATTCGTTGAGAGAGAACACAGATCCTGACGCGGAGCCTCGTGTTTTTTTCCACATCTCTCTCTCTCTCTCTACCTCTTCTTTGTCTCTCACTCTTCTCTCTCTCTCTCTCTCTCCCTCCTCTCCCTCTCTCCCTCTCCCTCTCCCTCTCCCTCTCCCTCTCCCTCTCTTCCTCTTCTCTCTCTCTCTACCTCTTCTTTGTCTCTCACTCTTCTCTCTCTCTCTTCTCCCTCTTCTCTCACTCTCTAGGTATGGGCTTGGATTTTGTCTCGTAAAAGAGGCTCGTGCTATATTTGGGCTTGGCATGGCATATGAGGACGACCTGGGCCGTGGAACCCGGCGTGGAGTATCTTGGGCTGTTGTGATTTTTTTATCACCATTTCTATCCAACACTGACATAAGCTGGATTCTTCCCTGCCAGACTGCAGGTACAGCCCAACGACGACTGCATGACAGTTGACTCTTCTTGTCCGGGTAGACCCGGACGTTGACTATGAATGGAGCCAGCGTGACCCGTCAAGCTAAAGATTCTTCGGTCACATCTCCGACGGGCGGTTTCCCTATCGATTGAATCTCGATTCTCGAATTCCCTCACCCTCGTCACCGAGTTTTGCCGGACCCCGACTTTATTCTTTCTTCCATGGGCTAATTTTCTTCCTGACTTCCCACCTCTATTTCTCTCTCTCTCCCTCCCTCTCTCTCTATCTCTACTGGAGGACGGGCCTGAAACAGGCAGAGCCCTCTACCACGTCTCTCTCTCTCTCTCTCTCTCTCTTTCATTCTCTTTCTCTATCCTCTATCTCTCTCTGTCTGCGTATGGTTCCAGCATGGATGCAGAGGGATTGTTGGTGTCTACTAAAGGACGAACCTAAAACATGCAGAGCCCTCTACTCTCTCTCTCTCTCTTTCTCTCGATGAGAGATTCCAAGGATGAGCACAAAGCGAAAGGAGAAGAAATAGAGGATGCTGATCGCTTCCTCAATCAACAAACAGATGATCGTTCCCCGTGGTCTCGATGATCTGGGGGCCGCCGACATCGAGAGGACCGCAATCCCAATAGGCGACTTATTCCCATTGCCCGGCGGCAATAATAACACCTTGCGGGTAAACAGAAAGGAGGGGAGTGGCGGGCGTCAAATCCAAAATGACGGCGACGAAGAACGCGGCGGGGGGTGGTCAGTCAAGAGCGGCGATCACGGCGTCGGTGACCTCCTGGGTGCTGCTGCCGCCCCCGAGGTCGTGGGTCCGGGTCCTCCCCTCCGCCATCACCCGCTTGACGGCCGTCTCCAGGCGGTCGGCGAAGGAGGGGAACTGCAGGTGGCGGAGCATCATCGCCGACGACAGCATTAGCGCCACCGGGTTGGCCTTGTTCTGCGCCACCTGCTTCTCCGTCCCCACGTTGCCCGCCGAAGCCCCCTGCTCAAATATCGCGTGGCCCTGCCCCACATTCCCTGCCATGAACGCCACACACACACACACAAACCAGTCACAACACAACACCTCATAGTCGCTCGTCTGATCTTTCAGCCTGCCGTTTGCCTCGGAGAGGAAGGAGGGTGGGTTTTTGTTCTATGCTGTTTGGGGCTGAAGCAAGCATAGGTTCATGGGGCGTCACAAATAAAATAAATTGAGAAGGATTCAGCAGGGGATAAAATACCTCCGGGCATGATGCCGGTGCCGCCGGCGATGCCAGCGGCTGTGTTGGCCACCAGGTTTCCATATAGATTTGGAGTCACCTGCCCGGGAAGAGCAAAGATTGGGTGAACAAGTGCATTTTTCGTGAATCCGAGGGCACTATAACACTGTAAGAAGAGACCGCCCGATCCCTCAGGTCGACCATGTTCGTCGCCCCAACTCTGAAGCAGAGTTTTGAGGGTAAGCATGCAAACAAGAGAGTCCTTGCGATCAGAAGATCACGGGCCTGCCGGGCGTCACACTTCTTCGTTTTCTCGCCTGTTCAATCCTTCACATATCATATCAGCATGCTCTTGGATAGGGACGATCGTATTTCTCTGCCGGCTCACCATGCCAGCAGCTCCTCAGACGAGGATAAAAGCAATCGAGCACTGCAACCCGAGCTCCTCTGACCAATTCACAGATATCGAGTGTGGGAAAGATTGGACCAGTTCAAGCCGCGATGCATAAAAACCAAGCCCAGACGAGCCAAACCGACTATTTCAGCTCCTCGAACCATTTCATAAATACGGGGTATCGGTTTTGGGTGTGGGAACTAATCAGAGCACAGAGAATGGATCGGACAAAGAAATACAGTCACATTCAATGGTTAAATTATTGCAGTGATCTACAGCGAAAATGGGCGCCCTTTTTCTAAAAATCTCGGATTAGAAGCACGCAAATTTGAGCTCGAGGTGAGGCAAATACATAAAACTCGAGAAATATGAACAGCGTACCATGACATCGAACTGCTCAGGTTTGGAAACGAGTTGCATGCAGCAGTTGTCCACGATTATTTCGTTGTACTTGATTCCAGGGTACTTTGTGGCGATGTTGCGACAGGACTCCAAGAACAACCCATCTGCCAGCTTCATGATATTAGCTTTGTGCACAGCGGTGACCTTCTTGCGATTGTTGAGGTAGGCATACTCGAATGCATACTTGGCGATGCGTTCTGAACAGAACTTTGTAATGACCTAGCAGGTTTGTCAAATGAGAAGCAAAACCAACCATCTCAAGAAATTGAATGCAATACAACCCGAGACTGAAAAAAGATTACAAGATTGAATGTCCTCCTTTCCCACCCAAGAAATTTGGCATACAATATTTTTTAATAAATCCACGAGTCTTTCACAACGGCCAATTTGGCAGGTGATCAAGAAGAAAGATATGGTTGACTTTTTATTCCCTGATAAATTTGGCAAGTTATCTTCACTTTACTCCCATATCCAAGCCTCTCATTTCAGGCAATTATTGCGGGAAAAAAGAAAAAAAATAGAAGAGTGTTCTAGGAGCTTGAACATCTCCGGTGGAAGGTATCAATAAGACTAACCATATGTATTAATGTCGGAGATGATGGTATCACAATGGTACATGTGGGCGCAATTAACACCAAATGGGTCTCATTTCTCAACTACATTGAATAAATCCCGCTCTTCTGATCGCTAAAAACTTTAGAGAAGCGAGGATATTGTGGTGGGGGTTCTAACATCCAATCAGATCTTCCAGATGTTCTCTGCACAAGGAGTCGTAACTAGTAGAACATAATTCTTCAGACATCATGTCAGCTATTTAACTAAATCAAAATTTTCCACCGTCCGGGTGTCCAGAGACTTCCACTCGTGTTCATACAGCTCTTTTTGTCAAAAAAAAAAATTCGAGCTGCAAGTGCGATGGAGAAACTTCAACGGGAACCATCGAAGAAGAAATGGATACAACAAGAAGAATTCCAAGGAAATATACCTTGAGGCTCTCAACGACGCCAGGAACCACCTCGTGTTCCAATCCCGCGTACTCCCCCTCCGTGTTCTCCCTGATCACCACAATGTCCACGTTCTCGTGTCTCGTCGGCACCCCCACCATGTTGAAGCAGTTGACCAACGAAGCGTAGAGATCCAGTTCCTTCCTCAGTTGCACATTGAGCGAGCTCACACCGCCTCCCACCGGCGTGCGCAGCCCGCCCTTGAGGCACACCTTGTTCCGCCGGATTGACTCCAATACCTCTGCGGGCACTGTGGTCATATCCCCGTGGACATCATACTTCTCGAAGTAGACCGGGGCGTGCATCGCCTCCATCACCTGCTCCACCGCTCCCGTCACCAGCGGCCCAATTCCGTCGCCAGGGAGCAGGGTCACCGCCCTCGGCGCACCATCCCCAGGGCGAGGCATGTAGGTCACGGTCCGCCGGCTCTCGGAAGACCCCAATCCTAGCCCTAGAAACGGATTCTCGCATGCTCTCGTCGTCCGCAGGAGCTGCTTCAGGAGCGGCGCCGATCGTCTCGCCATCGGAGTCTTCGGGGGTTGCAGAATACCGGGATCTCAGCGAGCAAAGAAGGAGAACCCAAGATTCCACCTCCACAGAGCTAGGATCGGATGGATCCCGAGAGGTCGAAGGCGAAGACGGGGAAGCTCCGCTTCATCAGAGCAGGGCTCGCCGGAGAAGGAGAGAGAGAGGGACGGCGGCCCGCCTCCCACGACCCTTTTGCTCTCCCGAAGGTAAACGGTCAACGTTCCAAACATCCTATCTGAACCGTCAGATCTATGTTCCTGAGCATCAAGAACGTTGAATTGAGGCACTCAAATCGGACGGTTATATGAGGTGGGGGAATCTGCTGTCTCTTCTAGTACTTTCGAGGACAGACTGGGGATTTTCTTGGAAGAGGCAACCAAATCTCCCCGATAGCTGCCGCAGTCTCAGAGGAGAGGCCGCCGAGAAGCCACCGGAGAGGGCGAGCTTGGTGGCTGCATCGGGTTGGGAGCCTCGCCCTCAGCGTCGAGCTGCGAGATGGCGGCCAGCTTTCCGAATCACATCGTCTCGTCCTTCGCTGGCACTCGAAGTTGCGTAGCGCAGGCTCCAGCCGTAAGGTCTCTGGGAGCATCAGTTAGCTTCCCTCGAAGCCCTAGCTGCTGGTTCCTGCGGCGGCAATTTCCGGGCCTCTCTTCGGATCGCCGTTTCCCCAAGGCCTCCCTAAAAGTTTCAGAATCCAATGCGAGGGTGCGTCTCTCTCATTCCTTGCTTTTTTGCTGTATTTTGTAGTTTAGTATATGGGGAAGAGACGGAAGGGCACTCCCCCTGAATCGTGTGTCACATAACTATCCACCCGGAAGAAGTGGAGTGGTGCAGAGTATAGGCTTTTTTTTTTGGTGTTTCGTGCAGTAAGTCTATGAGATACACCGTTGCTACCAATTTGGCTGTGGAAATTACATGTCGCGATTTTTATGAACTTCGTCAGACGTTTTCCCCCGTCCTGTTGTTTAATTAGCATTTTATTTCTTTTTTTAATGGTTTGGAATCAGATGTGTGGGGTATTGCTTGAAGATTTCATACAATAGATCCAGTCTCCAACGACCAAGCAATATACCTTGATTTTTATAGGATAATATAGGATAATTGAGGACATGAAATCGTGATTATAAGCAAGTATTTGACATTGAATCCTTTTTTCAGCCGTCGCGTAACCTGCTATTTGATTGGGACTGGTAAATAGAGTGGAATCCTCAAACATGTTAGTTTCTGACTTCTTTGCTGCCCTTCAGACAGTCAGTATAGATGAAGACAATCTGGTACAGGGAGGCGATTCTTCTAAAAAACGGGACCAGAAAGGTGAAGCTACTCTCAAGTTCCTCATTCAGGCTTACAGGGAAGCGATCCTGAGTGGTGACATGGAGAGCATAACCAGCATAGAGCTTGAAATTCAGGCTTTGGAAAAGAAGCGGGACGAATTGGCTGGCCAGGTCAAAGAAATGACAACAGAGATTACAACGGGAAAGGAGAAGTTTCTTCGTTTGAATGCTGATTTTGAGAATTTCAGGAAGCGTTCTGAGAAAGATCGACTCAGTTTCACATCTAATATCCAGAGAGATGTAATCGAGAGTCTCTTGCCGATAGTTGACAGTTTTGAAAGAGCAAGACAGCAGCTGAAACCAGAAACGGAGAAGGAGAAAAAAATAGATACTAGTTACCAGGGAATCTACAAGCAATTCGTGGAGATTTTGCGAAGCTTGCGTGTAGCTGTTGTACAGACTGTGGGCAGCCAATTCGATCCATCGGTAAGCAAAAGTACATTTTATAGTTTATTTTTATTTGCCTCTCTTCTTCTCCTTTTTTTTTTTTTTTTTTTTTGGCCCGGTTCTCCTCTTGTTAATTTTCAGCCATGTTAATGTCTCTGTTTTCCAGCATATGTTTACCTGTTTTTTTAGGCGACTAGACTCGTTTAATGGAGGAATTCCATCAACCCCATAAGTCTGCAACCCGTTGATTGAGGTTTCAAAAATTTATTTCCTAGCCCTCTGGTTGTTCAAATCTTGATCCTGTGACAAATACCCTCATCCAAATCCTCCGTTCCTGATGCGTGGAGCCCTTTTCTATATATGCGCATGCATGCACGCACCACATTCGCACATCATACAGTTCCCCGTCACCAAGTGCATAAAGCAATAAAGTGATCCGGAATAATGCATCTGCTATAAACAAGATTTGACCGGTGGTATGTTGTTTTTATTATTATTATTACAGCAATTTCCTTTACCTGATTCTTCGACAATGAAGATCCCTTCATTCTTTTCTTTTTTTATCTCCTGTTTTGGCCTTGTTTCCTTCTTGTTACGTCCAAAGATCTCTAAGTTCAGCAGGTTGATCAGTCTGTGGGCGAGCATTTTGATCAGTCTGTCTGGCATTTATAATGCTTCTCATGAAAAAAAAGTCAAGGTAGGAAACAAGGGAGAGGATTTTCAGTATCTCCCATAAAGAATATGCGTACAGAGTTGAGATACGCATCAAGAAAGTGAAGCAAAGGTTCATTGGGAGGGGAGGGGGGTGGTGAATGCCTTCTCTAAAGCGGTATGGGACTATAATTCCTCTCAAATGGGGCCGGCAAGCGTCCCCATTATCTACATCTCTATCGGTGTCTGTATGTTAAATGCAAAAATATAGGCATTAATTATGTTATCGCGAAAGTTTTAATTCTCCTTTTTTTTTTCTTTTTTTTTCTTTTCTTTTTTTTTTTTTTTTTGGCTTACCTTGTTCTGATCGGTGGTATAATCCCCATCCGGCTGACGCCCGTTTGTGTGATTTTGGTGGCGAAGATCCACGAGGCGGTAGGAAGAGTGGAGTCCCAGAAGTTCAAGGAGGGCGTCGTCGTGGAGGAGATATCTCGGGGGTTCGTCCTCGGCGACCGGGTCTTGAGGCCGGCCAAAGTCAGAGTCTCCGCCGGCGCTGGCACCGTTGCCGCTAACGATGCCAACCCCGACGCCGAGGGCCCGACCGCAGAAGCCGCCTGGCCTGGTGAGGATTCGCTCCCGGCCCAATAGAAAACCACCTTCATGGGAACCGTTTCTGGTTTCCGTGCCCAGTTTTGCCCTTTTCTGATGCTCGATTATGGCATCTCAATTATTCTCCTCTCTCTCTCTCTCACATTGTTTCTCTCTCTAATGCTGGGCGTGTAATGCTAGAATTCGGTCATGAAGTCAGGGAGGATTCGTTCTCATGGGAAGAAGTATGAGATAGAGATTCACCCTGGCTTCCTTCCAACCACTGTCTCTATTATTGTGTAGGTGAGATGATAAGCGAAAGCTTGGGGGGGGCCGTCTCGTCCTGGCTGTAGCTTGGGGACGAAGGATAAGTCAGATGCGGTAGAGAGAGAGAGAGAGAGAGCCCACCAGCTACAGAAGACAAGATACGGAGATTTTTATGTTCTTTTAGAAACCGCGAGTCTTCCTCTTCTTGAGTTGGGTCGACGAGAATCCGGTTCGACTGAGAGACAGGAGTACTCCAGGAGTCTAGGTCCGTGTCGCCATGGTCGACCTCCGCCGCCGGTGGGGCCGCGGGGGGCCCGCTCGATGTAGATGGCGATGTTCCACCTACAGGCTGGAGGCGACACCCACCCTCCCGCATTCTGCCCCCCATTTCCCAAGCCCCCCCATGTGGGTGTCGTCCCCTCCCCACCCTCCCCCCAGCGATCCAGAGAGAGAAAGCAAGAGAGATAGAGAAAGAGAGAGAGAGAGATGATGCACGGCTTTAGAAGTGAGAGAAAGCTCTCCTTCCGTCAGTCGACTGGTCGACGAACAGCTCGGCCATCGCAAACGGAGTATCTAGACAGTGGTCCCATGCAGACTCCTGCATCTCCTTCCTTGCTCCCCACCGCCAAAACGCAACCTTTATTCTGTCGTAGTCCTCCTCGTCAGGCTCCGTATCCAGCCCATCCTCTCAACGCTGCCCACTCTGCCGGCCCGGCCTGCGCGGTGGCACGCGCCGCCGCCCGCCTTGGCCGGCCGCTTCCACCGCACGAGATGAAGCAGCCGCCGCACCCGCTTCCTCCACCGGACGGCGCCCCGTGATACGTCGGCTCCCCCCGCCGGCACGGCCTGTCCACCCCATCGCTCGCCGGCCGCCGCCATCTTGTCCCAGGAGACCTGCCCGTTGTCTTCGAACTTGATGGATATGAACGAGTCTGCATGGAGAGTCCCACAAATGTTACACCCTCTCTTCCGACCATCCGGCGGATCTATCATATTCTATCCCCAGTGGAATATAAACCAGCGATGAACATCATCCTAAACAGATCGATAATCCCATAATATATCACCCGAACGCGTCCTGAATTCACCAAACCCAGAATAGCCTATATCATCTCTCGATGATTTCTCCACCGGAGGAACCCTCCAATCGCCTAGACGGAGAATGGGAATGAATGGAGAAAAAATGAGTGTATTTCTCCGCCCCTTGGTTCTGCTAGCAGACGTTACCGTCGGCGCTGGCGATGGAATCGCCGTCGGAGTCCTCGCCGGGCTTTTGGTGCCGGGACTCGAGGCGGTGGAGGAGGGAGGAACCCAAGGCGAAGACCTTCGGCATGGCGACAGAAGGCTTCAAGCTGGGGATTCGGCTGAAGGCCCCCTGGCCCTTACCCGCCGGCGACAGCCGGCCCTGCTTGGAGGCCAGAACGATGAGCTTCTCCTTCAAGCAGGCGGCGCAGACGCCGATCACCGCCTCCCTCGGGTGGAAGTAGCAGAAGAGCCCACACGGGTGGTCCTCCATGAGGTTGTTCATGGCTCCGTGTGGTGGGGAACCGGGGAGGAGGGGGGAGGGAGAACCGGCGGGGAAGGAGAGAGAGGACGAGGAAGAGGAGGAGGCGTTGGGGAGCGGCAGCAAGAGCCGCGGAGTTCTGATTTGTACCGTTGCGGTTTTTGCCTTTCTGGGACGAAAGCTGGCCGTTTTGAAAAGGGTGGACAACATTTTATTAAACGCCCAAAATTATTCAATAAAGTACCTATTTGCCACTCATCACCAGTACCTGGGTGATGGGCTTTTTTATATGGGCCTATTTAGTGGCCCAATGGTTCACCCGATGGGTCGCGGCGAATGGTCTACGGACACGTTGCAAAGCCTATGGGCCTTCTGAAGCCAATTTGGCCTCCGTCGTTTGACGGGCCAATGTGGAAGCGACACGATCCTCGTCCGTACGCACGTGTGCAGATCGCTGGCGGATCTTCTTCTTCCTGACGGGCGTTGGACTCTTGTTGCTGGAGGGTGTGGTCCAAGTAATGGGCCACACATATTTGGGCCAGTTCAATAATGGGCTATGGTGGGCCCTGACTTGGATCTGAAAAAAGCTGAAAAACGGCGACGGGAAATGGACAAGCTCACCCCCTCCCTCACATGGGCGCCTAGCCCTATTTAGTCAGCCTCCTCTCTGTCTCTCTATTGTTCTCTCAACGATAGAAGGCGATGTGGATTGAGACAGGCGCCATCCGCCTCCCGATCTCATATCTGAGCACGAAGATTGCGATCGATCTGGACCCAGATCCAGATCGGATCTCCCGCGTCCGATCTCGCTGTTGACCAAAGTATGGTTACCACAAGGGGATTATTTATTTATTTATTAATACGTTAAAATTGGCACAATTATGAATTATCTATCATTTATTTTACAAATATTTTAAGAGAGAGAGGGGACGCTCTCTCTCTCTCTCCTCAGCGAATATGCGGTTTTGATAGCTCTCGAGTCCAGAGAGAGGAGCAATTGCTATCGGAGAAACCGCTTTCTGAACCTGCAGCTCCACCGATGGGCGGTTTTCCGAACTCGACACGTCACCAACCAAACGCAGAGCAAGGAAAATTAATTAAAAAAAAGTATACTATATAATTATGTTTCATTGGTGCATAACATGGGCCGAGCCCATACTGAAATGGATATCGGCCCACTATAATGGGCCAAATAGGCCCATTATAGGCCCAAAAGGCAGGGAATGGGCCCACCGTCATTCCACCCAGTTGATGTCTAGCTCCTTAAGCTTCATGAGCCACTTCTGGGTGTCCTGGGAGACGAAGGGCCGGCCCGCATTCTCCTGGCGATCGGCTTCCTCCGACGCCGCGGCGGCGCCGCGACTCCTCTCCGCTGACGGGTCCGGCAGTCGGCGGGGGTTCCTCAGCTCCAGCGACAGCAGCCGAGAGACCTCCTGCAACCCTCCCCACTTCTCCAACGCCCTGGCGATGTCGTAACGTCCTACGAGACAAGAGGCTTCAACTCTGAGAGAGAGAGAGAGAGAGAGAGAGAGAGAGAGCGCGAGAGAGAGAGAGAGAGGAGTTTTGATGAAGACAGCAATCAGTACCTGCGCGTTCAAAAGATTTTCTACTGGGCATGAAAGCGGGGTCCATTCCCCAGCTCCTCTGGAAACGGCTGATCTGCAAGAGGAACGTACGATTATTAATCCGAGGAATCGAGAGAGAGAGAGAGAGAGATAGAGATAGAGAGGGAGAGAGGGAGAGAGGAAGAGAGGGATATGTACATATATATAGAGAGAGAGAGAGGGAGAGAGGGATTGTATTATCTGTTGATGGGATACTTTTACCTCTTCGCGGAGGTTTTCGAGGTCGTCCCAATAGCCCTTGGGCTTGCGGAGCTTGTAGGCGAGGGAGAGGTTCATCAGGGTGGCGATTTTTCTGAATCCTCCCATGCGGGTGATCGCCTTCTCGATGTCGACCCTCCCGTGGAGCCGCAGCTGCTTCCGCATCGGCATGAAACCCTCCTGCCCGTGCTGCGCGATGAAGGAGAGGAGCTCCGCTTTGAGGATCTCGGCGTCCCTCTGCAGGCCCGGCACTTTGGGCCTCTGCCTCGGGGGATCCTCGCCGCCGCCGGCGGTGGCGGCGGCGGCTTCCTCGGGCTTCCTACCTTCGGCGTCCGTTGCAGACGCAGAAGAGAGAGTTGGCCTGTTCGGGTAATCCGTGGAGCTGAGATGTGCGCTGTTCTTTTGTCCGACGTTGACCCTCTTCTCGACGTAGTCCCGAATAGCACACAGATTTGCAGGTAGATCCTCGTAGATAACCTGAAATGGCAGTTAAGAAAAGAAAAAATCTCCGACATCTGAGTACATGCAGAGAGGGACAGCCAAGTCAGCTGCCAAATTAGCCATGGGGGTGGGTTTCCCTGTACCTCTTCTAGAATGGCGTCTGAGAGGAATGAGTCTCTGCGCAGCTTTGACTCCACAGAGTACTTGAGCAGCGTATGGTCGTTTCCGAGCTGCTCCAGAAGCCATTTTCCACGAAAGGAGTCAAAGTCTCCTTCAACTTGCTCGAAGCTGACTTCTTCCTCAAGGGTCTCACAAAGATCCAGTATAACACGGGCATGGAGCACCATGTAAAGCAGTCCTTTGCACCCTTCCTGAAAGTCAAAGACCCAAATCAGCATCATCTTCTCGGCCCATCCACATCGAAAACCATAAGAATATCACAAGCCCGCGTTTGGATGAGCACGCTGGGGCTTGGATACAAAGCAATTCGCATGAAAAGATGGAACAGCATGTGGGATTCCACTGGCATGCAGCTGGCGTAGGAATTGGTCAAAGCATCCCTAGAGTTTCAGGGGATTTAATCTTTTTTTAATATTTTTTAATCATTTCTTTCTGGCGTTGACAGTGGCATTTGGACATTCCATATTTCTATTTTCATAAAAAATATTATTATCGTGGGTGAAAAAAATAATTTCACAGAAATTTTGTGTCAGCTTGTGAGTGTGTATGTGTGTGTATATGGATCATCAGACCAAATCATAGGCTTCCTAAATTCTCTTTATACAGCAACATAGGAGCACACAAAGTACCTGAAGAATGCGAACTTTGTTATTTTCTCGCAGCAAAATTTTGCTGATCGCCAAATTTGGAACAATCCTGCGGAAAAAAATAACTGTGAAAAAAAAACTCTAGAGAGAGAGAGAGAGAGAGAGAGAGAGAGGGTGCAGAACAACTACTGGGTCATGATATGATATCAACAAACCAAGAAGATGCCGTGCATAGAGATTTTGGGATGCACCACCAGGTTGCTTGTCCAATTAACTCAGCGAGATATAATAATAAAGCAGAGTAAATCATTTAATAATTAAAAGAAACTTGGGGGTTGGTAAAAATGGTGGGCTTTTCAGGTTCCATTGAGATGATGTAGAAACATACATGCGAAAAAATTGACCACTTATCTATGGGCCCATCATATCCTACTTTCTTTGGAGATTTAACATGAATAATACGCACAAAACTATTGAGAAAAAGTCTCATGATCACTAGAACGAAGTCAACGGCTGTCATGTGAGCAATGGCAGGAGCTTGGCTAATAAATGGGGGTTAAAGGATGCATACTCAGGTAGCGACTCGTATGCAGTCAAGACATTCCATACTTCACGAACAGGCGCCTTGACGGTGATACTAGCCACGACGCATCGATGAGCTCCACCATTTTCCTTCAGAGAAACCATGTTATCAGAGGACTAAGATTAAGACGTTTTTTCTGCGCAAGAAAGAATGTCAGGGACTACCAGAATCAATGAGTTACCAATAGGCCATTAAATTTACGAAGATGAACTTCATCTACTGTGCAAGGCCTATTGAGACTGCAGGCTTTTCCAAACCCCCCCAAGTTGCTGGTCAGCTCACTGGGAGGTGACTTGGCTGCGGTGCTGAAGGTAGGTCCAAGGTAGTTCTCCTCTGATTCATGGGAGAGGAGGCTTCCTGCCTGAAGACCGCCGCATGAAGGACTGGTGCCCTCAGAGAGATGTTTCTTTTGGGATCCTTCAAATTTTCTCTCAGCTCTCCAGGCCAAGGCTTGCAGATTCACAGGAAGATCAGATCTTATGATCCTCTCGATAAAAATGGCCGGAAAATTGAATCGCGGTATGACATTCACTTCATAAAATAAAGTTGCGGTTGAAGACCTGATGAGTTAGCAAGAACACGAGTAAGCTGTAAACCTTTGAGGAGGGGGGGGGGAAGGCGAACATAACGTAAACTATTATTTCCATGGTCTCAACCGCATTTGGGCAATGAATAAAAAATCGGAACATATGAAAATGAAGGTGCATCGTTGCTGTTTATAATTTGATGCACGGATGATGAGACTAGAGTACACAGCAAATGGCGGTAAGCTGAACTCAATGCTTCTTCCTGGGGTTGGATTTCCTCCAGACCCAAATTCTTGAGTTTAAGCAAATGCTGCTACGGAAATTTAAAATTTTAATCGAAACTCAAGATCCAAATAACGGTGATGATCCTTAGAAACAGTTATAAACAATGCATCACGGAAAGGGCTGATGGCGTTCACTGTAAGAAGTAAACGGGTCATTCATGGCATGCACTCATCTCAGCAGCCAAAGGAGACCAGCATAGTATGACTGTCAATGAGTCAGGAAGGTCTCTAGCAAGTCCCTACCTGGGGCCAGCTTTGACGGACCATTTCCCTTCAAACTTCTTGAAGTCTCCATCAACCATAGCGAAGAGAAGTTCACGGCCATCGCCCTGGTGCATGAGAGGATCAAATGGAATCTTTCACGACAGTGTAGAAGAAAAACTACATGAAATGAGAGAGTACCCGACGAATTGTCGACGAACAGGACTACATCGGAGACAATCGATGCAATAGGTCAACAAATGAAGAAAGCTCCAGGATAAATCATGTCAAGAATCCGAGAGGGAAAATGGCCATTGCTTCGAACGCACAGCGAGACATAAGAGCTAGCATGAAGGGGTTGGGGTTTATCTAGAACAAGGAGATCGAAATAGCTCTGCCACCCGAAGAAAAAAGTGCTTTGAATCTCAAAGCAAGGTGAAGCGGCTGATCCGAGAAAATAACACCCGGAAATCGCCCGCTCCATAATGGATCCAGAGTGGGTGCAGAGTTCCCTTGATCACGGTTAGAGCTACATAATAATGCTTGGAAACTCGAAGAGCGCACCGAAGTAGGGAGTTCTCGCAGTTCCAGGATAACCCGAGCTTCGATGTACCAGTAGAGAGCCCGTTGCAATCCCCTCTGCTCCAACCACACCCTCCCCTGGTCCGGGCAAGGGATTGTTCTACTGCAATACAGAAAGCATCGAGGATTCAGAACAAAATCGAAATAAACCTTTCGACGAGCAATAGGACTCGAATCAAACTGAGAAAGAAACCAACCGACCTGTAGATGAGATTGGGGATGAAGTTCGCGAGCCTCTCGTAGTCGGTGAGCACGCTCCAGACTGACTCGACGTCAGCGGCGACGGGAACGCGCGCCTTGATCCTCCTCTCCCGCCAGGACACCACGTCCACCTCGCACTGCTCCTCCCCTCTCTCAATCTGGTGCCGCCCTTCTCTCGGCTTCTTCCTATCGGCCCCGCTGCCACTGCTCGGATCCGCGCTACTGGCCTGGGCGGCGCGGAGAGCCCCGGAGGCGGAGAGAGGAGAGGGGAGGAGCCACCCGGTGCCTCGCCCGAGGCGTCCGGGGGCGGGTAGTGACAGTAGACGGTACGAGGTGGCGCCGCCGCCGCCGATGGTGACGAGGCTGGCGGCGCCGCCGCAGCAGAGCGTCATGGAGAAGAGGGTCCGCCACGGCGAGACCGCCCGTATCAGGATTTTCAACACGCGGGAGACCAAGCAGATGTCGCCAAGTGGATGACCAGTCATCAGCCGCGGCTCGGATCATTCGAAACGAGATCTACCGAGTTGAATCGTGCCCTCCAGACCACGATCGAATCGGCGGGGCCCACGCGACCGAAGGGCCGAGAAAAAAACCAAAAAAAAAATCCCATCTGATTATCTATCACTTGAGAATATTATTATATTTTACATATCCTCAGAATTTCTGCACTAAATAATTAACTCCAAACCCAGAGAAAAAAAGGTAATTCAGACAAAGAAAACCCAATGACGATCCTCGCGGGGTCGACCAGTGATCCAACGGTCCACAACGAGTCTTGATCGCCCGGAATCAGATTCTGGAGCAGCCGCCAATCAGGTAATGGCTTCAGGTTCAACCCCAATCGTCTGCGGCTCCCTGTACATCGCGCCCTGGATCTGCAAGTAGACGACGGCCGGCGAAGAAGAGGAAGAAGAATCGACAGGCTGAAGAGGAGCCCCAGGAATCCGCTCAATCTGTAATCATTGAGAGGACAGTCAAGAACCCTAAGGTCGATCGGAAACCAGTGGAGCTGGAGGAGAAGAGGAGCGGACCCCGGGGAGCACTCTCTTGCTCCGGGTGCTGCGAGAACATGAACATCACCGATCTCAGCATGGCGGGGAGATCTAAAGCTTCGGCGGCGGCGGGAGCCTGGTCCCGAGCTTCATGGCCGGAAACGGCGGAGGCCATGTTCGTGAACATGCCTGCGATATCTGCAGGGAGAGAAGCATTGAAGCGGATGTGGGCGTGGGAACTCCCCTGCTGGCCATCACTGCTGGATGCTGAGCTCTGTATGAACAGGAAATGGGTAAAAATAAAATAAAATAAAATAATTGCGGCAATAATTAAGCAACGAGGTTTGATTCATCAGACACACGAATGAAGAGGGTCCACCTGGCCAGCCTCCGCTCGCTGTTGTTCTTCCTTCCATCTCTGCTCAGCCGCCTGGAGAGAGAAACGAATTCACTCTAGAGGAGAAGCATGAATTCACGTCTGGAGATCGAGGCCACCATTACCCAGTACAGAAAAAGATGCTATCCATCTGTCTACCTCTACGCCTCCACCTGGTGTCCGAGCATACCTGGATGTTTGCCTGGACGAAGCTATTATCTGGGTCCAGCTGCAAGGCTGCAAGGATTTTGAAGGAAGGAAGTCAAACACTGAGTAATGACCGTACAAGATATGAACAAAGCTAATGAGTATCCATCTCCATGCACGTAGAACAAAACTTGTACCTCTCCGAAAACTGTCATAATTTTTTTATTTTTTTATTTTTTGTAGTTCATCGATCTAAATAAGTATATTTAATGATTCATTAATGAAGGAGAGTAAATTACCCGCAAGCTTTTTTCAGTTTATTACTTGTGGGGTCCCCAGAGCTTTTCGATCTCATTGAGTATATTTAACGTATAAATTTATGCCAAAAGATTATGCTATCTACTGAAGTAAATTCTAAATTCGATCGAATTCCTAAGTTCTGGGCTAACTGACTATATTTAACATGTAATTTCATGCAAAAATCTACAATGCGATAATGAGGGATTAGAAAGAGTAAAATCAAGAGCGTACTTTAGCCTTTTGCATAAAGTATGTGAAAAATATAAATATTAGACCGAATAACTAAAATGAAAGAATTTGACAGTTTTAAGGGACCAAGAAGTCGAACTGAAAAACAGAGGATCGATAATTATGCCCGATAAAGAAGGTCGTAATCTTTTAGTCCCATAAAGATGTATGACGAGTTAACCAATGTGGGTTGGGCTCAAAACTATATGATTATGGCCAAATACTACTGAGGGCCAGAGATAATGAAGATAAGAGCTTGGTTGGAACCATCCTAACCTTTGTGAAGGGCTGACAGTGCTTCCAGGTACTTCCCCTGCCCATAAAAAGCCAGCCCCAGACGACTATAACCTTTTGAATATGCTGGCTCAAGCTCGATGGACTTCATACAGTCTGCAATCGCTTCGGTATATTTATTAAGCTGAGTGTAAGCAGCCGCCCTGAATATTTAAGCTCAGAAGGTAATCATGGAGAGCGAATTTATGCTCAAAAGAGAAAAAGGCATTAAAACTACAGAAATCGATATTAGTATTCAGCGCAAATCTTTCTTCTCTTAGGGTGGTTGCTTAAAATAGCACCACATGTGAAACAGCGCAGACAAATGCAGAGAAAAGAGAGACGAAAAAAAAAAAAAAAAAAAAACCCATTACAAGATATGAAAGAAACAGAGGAAGAATCTACCCTCCACGAATAGGATTGAAGATTAGGACAATATACCTTTTCTGTTCATGACCAGATGACAACACGCATGAGCCTCATGTTATGTTTCCTACTATTGGTCATATTCAATTGCTCGACTGGATCTGTTCTCCTATTTTCATGTTTCTTGACTAGCAAACTATGCAGAAGCATTCGTTGGAGATGAATATAGTCACCAATTTTATCAAGATACCAAAGCATACCGAAAGGAGGAATCACCTTACAGGAAGCAAAATTAACTCTTGAAAAGTTCAAAAAAAGGAGTTAGAAAAATCTACTAAAAAGATTATCAGTAGCTTTAGAGTCTATAGCATAGTAACACTGAGAAAAATGAAAGAATTGAAAATAAAATAAAATAGAACTAGATATTCTAGATCAATGAAGACACCCGCTGCACGTTTTACCCTCCCTAATTCTCCGGATGTTGGGAAACAGATGATAAATGTACTTGTTAAACGGTATAACCACCTGACGCGATTTTGGTGAAAAACTTATTCACTGCGCTCAAATCATTCCAAAGATCACAGAAACGTAATGATAGTGATACACCAGAATACCTCAGAATCCGTCACTGAACATGATGCATACCCCAGAGCCTTGTGCGATCACCTCTGTGCTCTCTCCAACCGTTAAATTTATACAATAACATGCCATATATGGATATCTAATATCTCATTACCCAATGTTGCATGCCATGTACGGATAAAGCTTAGTTTTCTTTCACAACTAAAATAACTTCGCATAGTCCCTTTTCAAGTAAGCATGATTCCATGTACTGAAATGCTTAATTTCCCAAGAAGGCAGGAAACAGTTCAAACTAGCGTCAAACTGATCTCCAGACAAATTCATATCCATGATAGGACGATCTTGCAACTGTTCGTCTATTTCTATTTGGGTGTAACACCTCAGTTGTAAATGTTGTTTCTTACCTGTTACAGTAAAAAATGGCATTATCCTGAAGTGCTATAGCACAGGTATACAGTTCAACAGCTTCAGGGTACAACTTTGACTGCATTGCTTGATTGCCTGAGAGCAAAACACATTGAAAAAATCGCATGTTAACCGATTTTTGACTGTTCTCCCTTTCCATGAGTGAAAAATGCGTGTGTGTGTATGTGCAAATAAACGTAATATATTTTTGGAACTAACTCTTGAACTTTAAACAGCAAGAGGACTACTTTCCTACTGAAATTTATATTAATCAACACAAAGAGGCACGAACTGAAGTCATGCATCTGTTTAAGATTTATATGCTCAAAAATCCAACAAGAAGTCTCATCGTGAAAACTCGGCCAATTTATCCAGTCATAGTTTCATAATGTCAACTCAACCCGCAGGGAATTCAAAAAAAAAATAAGAACATTAGATATGACAACTATAGAGCGTAGCCTGACAAATTTGAACGTACCTTTTGTTTTAAATGATGAAGCCAAGCCGTCCCTGCTTATCTTCTGGGCACCTGAATTCTCCATATCCTAAAAAAAAAAAGATGTGAACAAAAATTGACCTTTGATGCTGAACCACAATATCAAAATAATATGAAATAAATCCCTCTAAAATAAGCAACCACTCCACGAAAAGATACATTAATGAAATCTGCGAGGACGTCTCCTTGCACTTATGTCAAACAAAGAAATAACCGATTTCTTAACAAAATACTCAAATTTTGAAAAGAAAACCCTTAATAGGTCACCTTCAGGTACATATTTTTACTTTAAAAGAAAACCTAGAGCAAACCATATTTCAGAGGCATAAGCATTTTTATGGTAACAGGATCCCGTACCTTCCTGTTTTACATTCAACATAACATCACTTCGAACTATATCCCCGTACTGCTATCCAATACCCTAGAATACTTGAATTACTCCCTAGAATACTTGAATTACTCCAATACCATCATATCAACAGGGTATCAGAGAAAAACTCATCTTCTCCCCTGCCTCGAGCCAAAACATGACACATTTTCTCTCCCTTCAAAAGGAGAAAGAATCATCAATCATAATCCTCCCAACTGTTTTCAGTCTCCACATGGATTATATTGTTATGAGATACAGCGGAAGCAGTAAAGGGAAAACTGACTTAGCCCTTCTCAGGGCAGTACGCCAGTATCTATATTGGCATCTAATGAACCTTTTTGGTATTACGGAAAGATCTAATAATAGAAACACAGAAAAGGAAAATACATCTAATAAGAGGACAGAAAGGTAAAATAGAAGAAAATCCTAATATAGAAGACTTATTTTACATAACACTCCCCCTCAAGCTGGTGATGGATATCGTTCATGCCCAACTTGTTCCTTTGTTTGCAGAACTATGTTGCAGAAGTACCCTTAGTTAATATATCAGCCAATTGATTCGTAGATGAGACATACTCTGTGCAAAACATCACTGATTCAAGTTTCTCTTTAATAAAAATGTTTGTCTACTTCCATGTGTTTGGTCCTATAATGCTGAACAGGATCATGTGCAATACTTTTTGCGGTTTGATTGTCACAGAACAAGATAATCGAACCTTCCATGGGTATTTGTAAGTCATTTAGTATACTCTTTATCCAAATATTTTCACAAGTTCTAAGAGCCATAGCCCTAAATTCAGCTTTAGCACTTGATCGAGCCACGATTCTTTGTTTTTGGCTTTGCCAAGTGACCAAATTTTCTCCAATGAGACGACAATGCCTAATAGTATAGCGCTTATCATCAACTGAACCAACATAATCAACATCGATATAGATGCCTACTGTAAGAGAATCTTTCCTTTTAAATAGGATTCTCATGCCAATTGTTCTTTTAAGATAGGCTAGGACTCGTTGAGCAGCTTGATGATGTACCTCCCTAGGTCATGCATATATTGGCTTAGCACTCCAATTGAGTAACCAATATCCAGTTGCAATTATTCATGTCTGCATATTTGAGTAAATTAGTAATATACTTTTTTTGAGATAAAAATAAATTTTCATGAGAGTAGGCTACCTCAATTCCCAAGAAGTAATTTAGTTGTCCCAACACTTTGATATCAAAAACATATGTTAGTTGTTTTTGAAGATAAGTGATTTTTTGCATATCATCTCTAGTAGCAATCATGTCGTCGACATATACTAGTAAGATCGCTATTTTTTTTAACTCAACTGTTTATAAAATAAAGTATGATCTCCATTGGCTTACTTGAACCCTAAAGCTCTCATTGTTTTGGTTAAGTGACCAAATTAGACTCTTGGTGATTGTTTTAAGCCATATAATGCCTTCTTAAGTTGACATACTTTTACAGTATCATTTGGGTCTTCCTACCCTGGTGAAAGATTCATATATATTTCTTCTAAGATTTCTCCATGCAATAATGCATTTTCCACATCAATTGTAATAAAGACCATCCATAATGCACAGCCAAGGATATTAGTATCTGAACTGTTCTCATCTCACAATTGGAGCAAAGGTTTCCACATAATCAATACTATAACATTGGGTGAAACCTTTTGCCACCAGCCAAGCTTTAAATGCTCACAGTCCCATCAGATTTATACTTAATAGCATATACCTATTTGTAACCCACAATTTTCTTCCCTTTAAGAAGCAACACTAGTTCTCAAGTTTGATTTTTTTGTAAAGTTAGCATCTCTCCATCCATTGCTTTTTTCCATAGGGGGCTTTTTAAAACTTCATCATTTTGAGAAATATTGTGTTTATCAATAGTTAACAAATATGACATGTATTACGGAGACAAGCGATGACAGGATACATAATTGCAGGATGGATATACCTTCTTTGTCTATTCTCTAGTTCATTTGCAAAGAGCAATAAGGCAGATTTCATCTCCCTGAATAATGAGAAGGTTATGTTGATCAATCAATGATCTGTCACATTCAATAATAGAATCATGGACATCTACTGTATCAGGCAGACCCTATTCATGGGCATCTACTACATCAAGCAGATCATGTTCACGAGCATCTACCACATCAAGTAGATCATGTTCATGTACATCTACTGCATCAAGTAGATCCTATTCATGGTTCCTTCTTATTGTCTTTGGCTTTCTTTGATAATAATTTTGACTAAATCAATTTGGTAGAGGTGGAGGTGCTGGTATCATTTTAGGAGCTTCATTCTTTTTGAGAATCTCAATGTGTAAATCATATTTTTTTGGCACAGAAATATCGTAATTAGATACTTGAGTTGTTGTCTACTAGAAGTACATACTACTTTCATCAAATATGACATTAATTGTCAGAATAATTTTTCCAGATCTTGGGTCATAAAATTTATACCCTTTCTATGTATTGGAATAGCCCACAAAGACTACCTTTATAGCTCTATGAGAAAATTTAGATAATCCATTATGAGATTAGTGGATGTACGCAATACTCCCAAAACACTCAAAGAGGTAAATCTAGTCCATATTGCACAGTCAAATAATGACCATGCAATAAGGCTTTGGGGGTCTTAAATAATAATACTTCTGATGGGAGAAGATTAACAAAATGAGTGGACGCTAGTACTACCTCACTCCATAAGTACTTTGGCACTTGGGTTTTAAATATGACAACCCTTGTTATTTCCAACAATTGCCAATCTTTCTTTTCGCTACCCCATTTTGCTAAGGTGTATAAAGGCAAGAAGATTCATAAACAATGCCCTCCTCAACAAAGAATTAGGGACAATAGAATTGAAGAAATCCTTAGCATTATCTGATTGAAATTTCTTAGGGGTGGTCATATTGAACTGAATTTGAGTTAACTTGATAAACCTCTAAATAACACTGATGGCTTCTGATTTTGTTTTCATTAGGTAAATCTATGTGATACAATCATCTACAAAGATGATAAATCATCTGAAGTCCCTAACACAACCGGATGAAGGCCCCCATATAGCAAAATGTATTTTGTAAAAAAGAGAGTCACTTTTATAGACAAAGGGAAATAAAAGTCGTTGCTACTTAACCATTTGATAGGGTTCAAATATAAAAGTACATTCACCAATTGCACGAGATAGTTTTGGAAACAAGTATCGGAGTACTTTTATGAATGGATGTCCTGAATGACAATACAACAACAACAATTTGTTCAAGCGACAAGCAGAAGCAAAAGTGGAAATGTTTGGACTAGAATTCGTCAACAATATCTTGTCCATATGCCCTGTGTAGTAGAGTCCATCTCGTGCTCTAATATGCCCAATCCTTCTACCCGAGGTCTTGTCATAGAAGAAACACAAATTGTCGTCAAATAATATCAGATAATTCAAGTCTTTACCCAATTTTCTCAATGACAATAGATGTGCATTCAATCTTGGAACATGAAGAACATATTTTAATGACCCTAATTTCTCAAGATGAAGTCATCCAATGCCAACTATAGGTAACAAATCACTACTTGCAGTAATAACCTTCCAATTATTAGTACATATCTTATATGTTACAAATAGTGATGCATATGGTGTCATATGATTATTAGCTCCAGAATCAATGGTCCATGACACTTTTAGGGGTGAAGGTGATGCCAATGATGATGTATTTAAACATAATAGAAAACGTTTAGGAAAATGCTTACTAACATGTGCGAGGGAAGTGGAGCTGATCATGCTCCTCAACTATTCATCTAGAGTATGAGACTCTAGTAAATCAGATCTTTGCTCAGGAAGCAATACTGGATATTGAAGAGGCAATTGCATTAACCAAACAAGAAGAAAATACTAAAAAATTGAGGAATGATTTGAAGATAAAAAATGCTGCATTTAGCACTCTCAAGAGTAAGACATCTCTAGATTTAAAAAGGGAGATGGTAAAGTATCATTCATCAAAGGAGATCCCAAGACTGATCCAAAGGCACACTTATTCTACACTTATTGTCAGAAAAATCGTCATGCTAGGGAGACATGCTGGAAGATCCATGACAAACCACTGAATTATGGTAAGTTACATTTGGTTAATGCTCAAAATGAAGATGGTGTTGAGCCCATGATACAAGGAGGAGCTAGTCAAGATGGATCTACTTCCTCTCAACCTTCAGAGATTGGAAAACTCAAAGACTTATACAGCATACTCAAAGACGTGATGATGTAATTTCTTTCTTCAGTATCAAGGTTCTTGATTGATCTATAGTGGTCGATTTCTCTCTAGATGAATTCTAATTCGCAAGCATGTTATAGAACAATTAATGTTCCTTGTACCAAAGTCAGAGATTTCTGTACCAATCTATAAATTTAGGATTCATCATGTTTAGTGGAGTGAACATGACGAACTTTGTCTCATCATTCCTTCACAAATTTAAAAATATATATAAATCACTTATCTTTGGTGAAATATTGTCCAACATCTAATATTGAATCAATGCTTCTTCTTCTTTCCATCGAGAATATCTTGAGCTGTCAATATTTGGCGAGGATTTCGTCAGGTGACGATCTAGATTCTTCTCACGTAGAATAAGTTCCACATACGATGTCCATTGGAACAAATTGATTCCGTCAAATCAAAATCTCTTAGTAATTTTAGATAGGTCTGAACATACCTTAATTACTTCAAATGAATGTCCTAGGCTAGAGGAGGAAGATTCACTGACCTTTGTCTCCATTTTTTGCAGCCGTGACCAAATAGCCAAAATAAATCTCAAACAAAGACTCCCTTATGTCGTACGAATAACAATTTCTGTTCAAGAAACTGAGGATGTCCGCCACCGTCAAGAAATGACGATGGTGTATTCGTAGACGTCCGCCACCATCAAGAAACGATGATGGTGTATTCATAGATGTCTGTCACCGTTAAGAAATGATGATGATGTAGTAAAGACTCTCCGAGGAATCCGTCGATCTACTTATGATCAAGAAACCTCACGATTTCAGGTACTGCAGGCAAGAAGAAGATCACCAGGTGACACTACCTTAGCCCTTCTCAAGGCAGTACGTCAGTATTTATATTGGCGTCTAATGAACCTTTCCGGTATTACGGAAAGGTCTAATAATGGAAGCACAAAAAAGGAAAATGCATCTAATAAGAGGACAGAAAGGTAAAATAGAGGGAAAGCCTAGTATAGAAGACTTGTTATGCGTAACATATATAAATGCCCATCAGTCATCTTCACAATCCATTCATAATGTGACACAGCTATAAGTACACAACGTCTTCATCCCCAGAATTGTAGAGGTGTAAATCCTATGCCTAATTAAGAAAGTAAAGAGAGCATACAATTGCATCAAACCGGAATAACAAAGAAATGCAAGATAGAAGAAAGATGCAACTAATTTTTGCAAGAAACATAACGCCTGTGGTTGGACAGGATAAACAAGAAAACATACAAGCACTGCATTTTCAAAGAAAGTAGTCGCTTTTGCCAGTTGGGCATGATCCTCATCTCCACCAGGTATAGTTGTGAAAAAATTCATGTTATCTAGAGCTGCATAGAACTGCCCAAATAGTTCATCTCTTGAAACCTCTGCTTCTGGAACAAATACAAAACAGGCATCAAAAACTTTGAAACTGTCGTTGACGTTTATAGTCCCATTTCAATAATATACAACAAAACGCCTGACCTTCAGTCAAAATAAGAGTTGTTAGTTGATGCAAGAAATAGAAACCAGAATGTAGGGAAAGTATCACAGCGGCAAGTCATCAATGTAAGAGGTGGACCATTATGACAAACTTAAACTCACATGCATCATATCAACACAACATATAACTGATTACAGACTAACAAGCCAGGACTTATGAAAAGGAGAACAAAGAAAATAAGCCTGGCAATGAATATGATTAATGACAAATAACCAGTTCTTTTAATCTAGGATTTTTGCCTCAGTAGCACTAAGCAAGATGCAAACTTTCGGTGCCTGCAGAAAAGAAGCAGAATGAACCGAACTTGATCCTCGGATCCTCAACTTTTTCTCAGAGATACACTACGAGGATAATGATTACTTTAATCATTTTTCATTTCCATTATAAAGATAAACTCCGTTAAACACTGTCGGATGATTTTGTGTCATCTTTTAAAAATTACAAGATGAGCAACATTTTGGAAGTTTTGCTCAATGAAATCATGTCTTAACTGGAATTTTGATTATTATGCAAGCTTTTGGACAGCAGGAAAATCGCAATAGGTGACTCTGAATCTGCATAGAAAGTCATAAAAAGCCATAAACAAACCATGCTCGCCGTTCACTGAGCAGGGAGCACGTTCCTGATCTTGAGCGTCCCATGAAAGATTCTGAGGACCCCAAAAGGCCAAATGCATAGGAGAAATAAGACTGAGGGAGATTTACTAAATGAAGAGACCTATGACTGTAAAGTAATCTACACCAGAAAAAAGAAAAAACACATACACTAACGTAAAAAATCTTTTTTGACTTTCATAAACAGAAACCCTAGTCCCTAAGATCATTGACAATCAAAAATATGTACTTGCAAGTATATGGTACTTTGCACATTATTTTCAACGTTTGATAACTGCAAAAAACATCTACTCGCTGTTTCCCACACACAACCATCGGCATGCTTCATCATGAAGAATAAACAGACTCTTTAGCAATAGAAAGTAAAAAAGTGAATAGTTAAGGACAGGCAAGGAAAAAACAAACCTACAGATTGGGCTTCCACACACTGATCCTTGCTCTGTCAAAGAAAGAAGACACGAGGATTAACTCCTAAGGTGAATAACATAGACCCTAATACAAGGTAATGAAAGACTTCAGAATAGTAACATAACAAAACCAGACACTGCAGTCTTCCGTGCACAACAGAAACATTTTTCTAATCATGGAATCGACTGTTCAGCACCAGGATGTCAAAGGCTTATTAAGATAAGGGAGCTGGTAGAAAAAAAACCGGTCCCTTGATTGTAACTTAAGCTCGTGTAACGTTAAAGCAAGCCATCAAAAATTTGCGTAGATTTTTTAAACGAACCTAAGCCAGAAAAGGTAAAAGTTAATGGCGGAAACAACCATATGAAATATTCCATAGGGCAACATATTTCAGTAGAGCAGTGGGGGTTCTGGACCGAGGTAAAAGGTTAAATGCAACAAATTATGAGAATGGCACAAAGCAAAACTTAAAACATTTAGGTCAGGTAAATAGTTGGCCTACTCCAGTCAAAATTTTAGATCTCTGCCAAGCCTTAAATGATTCTATATAAGGCTTAAGATCGAAGCATTAATGACCAAAGAAAACTCTGTCATCTACCAACAATGACTACTAATGGCTCTTCTCAAAACTGAAGCGCTAAGATCAGTTAGCATCCAGTTCCTTATTGCCAAAATTTTAGATCTGCACCATGCTTTACCTAACTCTATATTGGTTGCAGTACGGCTCATGAGTTACTAATTGATATGTGCAATTAGACAGGTTTCTGAAGCCCAAGTTGAATTTAAATCTCTCCATATTGGATCAGAGAAGATATTTAGCCTTAAATCCGGTTCTCAGTCTTCAAATAAATTGTGAGACGATGGCTTTGAATCGCATTCTATGCAAGGGATATCAGTTTATAGAACCCTCACTAATTCCAGCTCCATTATTTTAGTGGGGCATCGTTGGGAAAGGGAAAAAAATGGCAAGGTGTTTTCATGGCCCAGCGGAAATAGTTGGTATGTAAAAGGACAATTTTTTCTGTTAATTTAAGTAATGATGCGTTCTGGCATTATTATCGTTCAGCTATTATTTTCACTACATAACATCAAAAAACTTTCACAAATTTACATATTCCGTTCTTCCTCTAGATTTTTTCTAGGAACAGTTATATGAGCTTAAGCTCCTCTCAAAGGCCATACTAACCAGGTGTCGAGCACTCATAGACGATTGATACGAATTATACCAGAGAAAAATTTTCAAGGACTTTCGATCCTATTTTGAATTTAGTCAACCTTCAGGTTACATCCGATATAACAAAGAGAAAAGTATCAAGAAAGCAATATACTGGCCGGACTGCTTATTCTGCAGGAATTTGGTCCATGGAAGTATTGCACATACCTTTGTTCGAGCGATTATTATGGGTGGAACTCGAATTAACATTTTCCAGATATAATAAAAGGGTATGTACATATATATACATATATATAGCATTTACCAGTTCTGTAGCCGTACAATGAGTAAATAAGAAAAACGAACCTTGGATGTCTTCAAGAGGTCGTCATTTGAAGTGTTTCGCAGAGAAGTTGTTCCTTCTGTTTCAGGGTTCGGGGTTGGTGTGGATTCGCATTGTTTATCAAGTGAAAAATAGTTCTTGAACACGTCAGTCATCAAACCATGCGATATCTGATCATCAGTAGATGTTTGGTTTAGTTTAAAAGCTTCTTCCAAACATTCCCTAGCGACATGAAGACCTTCTGGATCAACATCGTCAGCAAGTTCAACTGTAAAAAGAGAAAAATCAGAACGTATAGAAAAAATAAATGGAAAAATGTGCATGCAACATTTAGGGAAATGAAAGATTGATTTTTCACTGTGACTTTAAAAATAGTTCACATTAGAGGTGGGAATGCGAAATTTGAATTATAAAATCTGTGAGTCTCGGCCATGATAACCTTCCAAGACATTTACCCACCTAATATTAACTTTTAGTGCAAACTTCCCTCACAAGGAGAAAAAGACTGCTTCTTCCAGAAGTCAAATATTGTATGTCTTTGACCACAATGTTGAGCAATATGTATATACTTCAGACTTGGACGTCAATATGAATATATCTGTTTATATTTTACAAAAAATCAATGGCATCCAAGGAAGGATTTTTTTTTCATTAGGGTAAAAGGAAAGAAGAAACAACCGATCTCCATCACACAGATATGATCATGTTCTCCCAAACAATGATAACTCATGAGACTTTGTTATGTACCTGAATATGGACAAATGTGGTTGGCTGATTTTCTTTCCACAGCTATTTATGCCAATAATCATGGAATTACTTCATTAATGAAATTGGGACCTCGCAGTATTAGACAACAGCTGGCAGAATTTAAACAAGATTTACATTAAAACAACCAGCAACAATGATCAACTGCAGATAAAAATTTTAAATTGGATGCAAACATCTTATTGATCGTGGGCTGGAATACTTCCTAGGATTTGCAGTCTGGTGGAGTTTTGATTTTTTTTTGGGGGGTTTCAAATTGATTTCATTCATGGAGACACCTTCGTTGTCATATTTACTACCTTGAAGAAAGAAAGATGATGAAGTGAGCATCAATTTCCACCCACTTTTATGAACCAGAATCCACGTCTATCTCTTTTGTGAACTAAGACGGACATAAGAAAAGGTGGAAGTCATGAACGGTGTCAATGACAAACCTTTGTCTCAAAATTAGTAACACCAAAACCCTATCAAGTTCACAAATGCTTCTACGTTTCCCCATCTAGAATTTTTTGGCCTTTCACTTTGGCACTAACAGCAAATACTCTTCGACAATTAATGAGAAACAGAAAAGTGGGTGCGCTGTTGTATGAGCTACTTATGTTACCATGTCAATTATGCAGTTTCCTGTTGCCTAGAGTTCTTATAAGATTTACAGAGTTAAGGAATTATATCATTATCCGAGACAAAACAGTTTAGAGCCCAAGGGCAATGGCAACTCAGCCGAACCACCCTTCTAATCATAAGTTGAATGTGAGAGGTTTTAATCGAAACACGGAATAAGTCCAAAGAATCATTTCTTTCTCTTATCTCCAATAATTCATTGGCTAAGAGGAGCGCAGTTTTAATTCCTACCATCCTGCAATAATCGTCAGTTTCGAATTTAACTACAATCAACAAAAGTAAGTATCATGCGGCTTCAAAATGGATGACGAAAATCTCTCCACATCTCCCTGCCTCGGGCTAAAATAAAAAGAAAGAGTTTCAGATCTTCCTCGTACATCGTTCGTGAAAGAATGAAGAGCATTTCGATAACAACAAATTTTGAAAAAAAAAAAAAAAGCGGGGAAAACATAAGATACATCAAACGCAGGCATCCCAAGCGAGGGAAGAAATTGTCGAAGAACAGGAAAGACAGTATGGGAGAGCAAATTAATAACTGAAATCGGAGTAAATGAGGAAGATGAAAAAGACTTCGGAGATGCAAAAGGAAACCTGTGCGGAGAAAATCTAAAAAGGCGAGGACGATGCGGCGGGATACGGGGGAGTCCGTTCGAAGTCTCTCCGCCATCTTTCCTTCGTGTTCAAATTCGACGCCTTCCTTCGGAGAGACAGAGACAGACGGACGACGCGGGGGCGGGGGTTGGTGCGACGCACAGACGGAGGCGCAGAGAGCGGGAGAGAGAGAGAGAGAGAACGGGGAGCGGGGGAACAGTCAACCCGCTCTCCAGGTGGCGTCGTCAGTAAAAACTGTTCCCACACCACTCCCCCCTCAATAAATTGGGCTTTCATTCTCTTCGGATCAACCCATTGGACGGACATGATTGCATCCAAGGAAGACTCACCGATAGAACTGTCCAGTCGGCTGACCAGTAGGCGGACTTGGCCATACAAGAACAAACCCCGAACAAGTCAAACTTTGTTAAGAACAGAACCCACCATTTCCAAAATAGAAAATTATGATAATAAAAAATCCACCTATATTTAATGTTTAATTAATATTTATAATTTATTTTAACATATATTATTAGAGAAGTACGAGATGACCATGCTTAGACCCTCTTTCGTGTCAACAAGTCGTCTTGCGTTGGGGTCCCAAAAGTCAAAGACTGTTGTCTACAAATAAAGTTGACTTTGCACACGTGTACGTGTTAAATCTCACTTCTTGGTGTTTAATGAGGTCAAATTTTCGTCCCTCTGAATCGACGTGGATGTGATTTCTGAGGCAGTGTGGGTAAAAAATGCAACCCCGGAAGAATCGTCGAGGACCCACGGGCCATAGTTAGTCAACGCCGAGGACCGTCGTCGTCCTCACCAGCTTGCGGCGAAGAAGAACAGCGCAGCAGCGGCCCATGCCAGAGAAGGCAACAACCTGGATCGCTCGGATCCGCTGCAGATGAGCTCGTTATCATGGTAGGTGCACACCGTCTGCTGCCTGTGAGTAACAATGGAAAACGGAGCGTAATGAGCAAGGAGGGAGTTCACAGAGCAGCTCTAGAGAGAGAGAGAGAGAGAGAGAGACCTGTCAGAGCAGAAGGTGACGATGTAATCGGCGCCGGAGCAAGTGAAGATGCTGGATGGGTCGTCGTAGGCGTAGCTGTAGGCTGCGGGGCAGGCCGCCTTAAATTTCCTCGAGTAGGACGTCGGCTGGCAGGTGACCGGGTTGCCGTAAACTCCCCGGCAGCAGAACTCGTCGGTTTCGAAGACCTCGCAGGCGCTGCGGCACCCGACGACGGCACCGCCGGCGAGGACCTGCAGCTCCGACGGGCAGTCGCGGAGCAGGTCGCCGTCACAGCCGGCAGTGCTGCAGTTGCCGCGGCCGTTGACGGGCCTGATGACCAACGGCAGGTTGAAGCCGTCGACGAGGCTGACGTCATAGAAGTCGGGGGACGCGAGGGTGAACTCGGCGAGGCTCGCCGGAGTCTCGCCGGAGGCGGTGCACTTGAGGGAGGTCCCGCAGCGCCCGGTGTTGCAGGTGCCGTTGCCGGAGGGGTCAAAGTCGCAGCCGGTGCGTGCCCAGATGCGGCCACTCCACCCGAAGGGGGCGTTGAAGATGGCCGACTGGCCGGGTTTGAGGGGGAAGCCCCCCCCGTCGAAGTTGTCCCCGGGGGTCACCGCCGGCCAAATGGTGGTCTTGCAGTAGTTGGCGATGGTGAAGACTCGGGTCGACTCCGCCGGTGCAACCACTGTAAACGCATGAGAATTCAGACCGAGAAGTCTGTACAGGTTCTTCCACGGATTAGACACAGAAACCCTACCTGATGTCGTCACGACGAGGATGAGGACGGCCGCCCCTAGACCCATCTCCCTCTATCTCTCTCTTTCCTCGGGCGGGGGAGCTGGAGAGAGGAAGCTGGGGAGCCTCAGGAGGGAGGGACAGACGCCGCAGTCTTCATTTGTATCGGCTCGGTCGTAGGAAGGAATACGTGGGGACGAATCAAACTCCGTCAATCAGGAGCCGCTCAATAAAGGGCTTCCTTTCTTGCGTGAACAGACGCCGGCGCGCATATACCTTCCTCTTTGTTAACCCTCTCTCTCTCTCTCCCCGGTTTCTCCAGCATTCTTGCATGGACGATGATCTTGTCAGCGGATGATGGAAGATGGCAGCGTTTAACCATGCACCTATGACGAATACATGATAAATTTTACGTAAAAACGCAGAGCGAGAACGAGAGAGAGAGAGAGAGAGCAATCTGGTTTCCCTTTCTCTCTCCTCTCTCTCGTGTCTCTCTGGTTCTTGTTTCTCTACTCCATATTCTTGGTTCAGGTGACCTTTTTAAATCCTCTTCCTTCCCCAAATAGATACTCAACGGAGGACGCCGAGCACATTCCGCCGGAGGACGGTGGGCCGGCGACTCTCCTCGGGCGTTGCCGGTGTAGATCCGCCGGTGAACAGGGATGCCGGCGATATCCCCCCTCCGGCCTCGGTCTCTTCCGTGTTCTAGTGAAGCTAACTGGAGAAGATTGGCCCATTATCTCGTCAAGCCGAAGTGAGCCCAGTTATCTTATTCGATGAGAGGCATTAATGGGCCACCCTTGCCTGAAATTATTATTGAGCCTTCCCACAAATCAACCACACGGCCCATAAAATTTTGGGCCCTCTGCTATCAGGTCAGTCCAAGAAGCCGGAGAGGGAGAGAGTCTTTACACTGACGCTCTCTTTTGTCTGGCAGATGACACGTGGCGAGAAAGTAACACGGCAGCGAAGCACTTGGATCTGCACGTGGGTCCGGATCGTTAAGTTCGCACCAGGGCCCAACAGTCTATTTAGCAAAGAGGAGAGGTGGGAGAAAGGCAAAGGAAAAAGATGGGCCAGTTGTCGCACGTGCGCGCCCAATCATGCGGGCCCCACCACGATCCACGCGATCTCAGTCGCAATCGTGGGCCGGTGATCCAATGGGAGAAGGTGGGCTTGTGGTGGGCCCTGATGGCTCCGTCGCACGTGGGTTGTCCAAGTTATTGGGCCCCACGGCGGAATCGTCGTCACCCCCATTTCCACCTCCTGGTTCCGCCTCGTGTCGACTGGACAAGATGCTTTTCTTCCTCTCTCTCTCCCGCTTCAGACCTTTTTTCCTGCCTTTCTTCTTCCTCGCCCTTCTCTTCGCAGTATTTTCTGAAAGCCTGTCTTTCGGGGACCAGTCTTCTCGGGGATCTGTTGGTCCACCCCCCCGTGCTCCCTTCTCAGATGTAGAGAGAGAGAGAGAGAGAGAGAGAGAGAGAGAGAGAGAGAGAGAGAGAGGTGGGGGGAACGGAAAGAAGACTTCCCACACTTTTATCTACCGAATAGAGAGCTCATATATCCCTTAAAAGACCTCTCTCTCTCTCCCTCCTTCTCTGTGGAGCTCTCTCTCTCAGCAAAGAGGGAGGGAGGAGCGAGGGAAAGCGGGGAACAATGGCCGCCGAGAGAGTGGAGACGGTCGTCGCCGGGAACTACGTCGAGATGGAGGTGGAGGGGAGCTCAAAGGGCGCGAAAGGGAAGCTGTCGAAGCTCCTCTGGCACGGGGGCTCCGTATACGACGCCTGGTTTAGCTGCGCTTCCAATCAGGTGAATTCCATCGAGGCCTGTCTCTTCTCCCTCCTCCGCGTGCTCGAAGGAATCCCCGACTCGACAGCCGTTTCGCTCCTGCAGGTGGCGCAGGTGCTGCTCACCCTGCCCTACTCTTTCTCTCAGCTGGGGATGACCTCCGGCATCGTCTTCCAGCTCTTCTACGGGTTGATGGGAAGCTGGACGGCCTACCTCATCAGCGTCCTCTACGTGGAGTACCGGACCAGGAAGGAGAGAGAGAAAGTGGACTTCAGAAACCACGTCATCCAGGTACTCAGCCCACCAGGAAGTGGCCGACTCTGAGAGAGAGAGCTTCCTAACTTACTTTCTCTCTCTTCTTCTTCAGTGGTTTGAAGTCCTCGACGGTCTCCTCGGAAGGCCATGGAGGAACGCCGGCCTCTTCTTCAACTGCACCTTCCTTCTCTTCGGATCCGTGATTCAGCTCATCGCATGCGCAAGGTGATCCGCGTGGAGAGGGAGAGGGTGGGGAGGTGAGGGGTGGGTGGGGGAGGGGAGAGAGGGAGAGAGAGTTCTCCTCTCTGACGCGTTTCGCACGCGCAGCAACATCTACTACATTAACGACAACTTCGACAAGAGGACGTGGACCTACATCTTCGGGGCCTGCTGCGCCACAACGGTCTTCATCCCCTCCTTCCACAACTACAGGGTTTGGTCGTTCCTGGGACTCCTCATGACAACCTACACAGCGTGGTACATGACTATTGCCTCCCTCATCCACGGCCAGGTACATTTCTCTCTAGCTCCGGCTACTTCCGCGGAGACCATAGAGATTGTTAGACCTAAAGCAGCTCCACTCTGGACCAGGCGGAGGGAATCAAGCACTCCGGCCCGACCAAGATGGTCTTATACTTCACTGGAGCCACCAATATTCTCTACACCTTCGGGGGCCATGCCGTCACAGTGTGAGCTCACGAGCCTCTCTCTCTCTCCTCAGCTTGGTGGGCTGTTTCTCCCTCTTCTTTAACCGGGTGTCCCGCAGAGAGATCATGCATGCGATGTGGAAGCCTCAGAAGTTCAAGGTGATATACCTAATGGCGACTCTGTATGTGCTGACCCTGACCCTGCCGTCGGCCATCTCCGTCTACTGGGCCTTTGGCGACGCGCTGTTGAACCACTCTAACGCCTTCTCGCTGCTGCCGCGGTCCCGCTTCAGAGACGCCGCCGTCGTCCTCATGCTCATCCACCAGGTCAGGCCCTGCTACAATAGACTACCCCTCCTCCGGCGGACTGGAACCAGTGGAGAGTGGTCGTCGGTCCTTCGCCGGAAACCTAACCACGAGGCGGTCGGTCTCGCTCGCAGTTCATCACCTTCGGGTTCGCCTGCACTCCGCTCTACTTTGTGTGGGAGAAGGCGATCGGCCTCCACGAGACGAAGAGCGCGTTCAAGAGGGCTCTGGCCAGGCTGCCGGTGGTGATCCCCATATGGTTCCTCGCCATCATCTTCCCCTTCTTCGGCCCCATCAACTCCACCGTCGGGTCCCTCCTCGTCAGCTTCACCGTCTACATCATCCCGGCCCTAGCCCACATGGTTGTCTTCTCCCCGGCTTCTGCAAGAGAGGTAAACCAAACCAGACCCATCCCATCGCTCAGGACGGCATTCCCTCATCTGAGCTTTTCAACCTCGACGGTGCAGAACGCGGTGGAGGCGCCGCCGCGGTTCATGGGCGGCTGGGCGGGCACGTACTGTCTTAACTGTTTCGTCGTAGGCTGGGTCTTCGTGGTGGGGTTCGGCTTCGGCGGGTGGGCCAGCATGGTCAACTTCATCCGCCAGGTCGACACCTTCGGCCTCTTCACCAAGTGCTACCAGTGCCCTCCCCGGAAGTAACCCTAAGAATTATCTGCAGATGATCGCAGAGTTCTTTTCTCGCATCCGAGCCTGTATTTCCTCGCTGTACTGGAGACAAGAGAAACCAGACAGATGAACTCGACCCATGGATGGGGCCTCTGCCCGCAGGAACCTTGAATTATTGGCAGGATTAACCTACTTGGTCGCAGCCGACGAAAGGCCAAGAGAAAGGGTTCGGGGAAGCCCAAAGCAGCTCCCACGGCCACCGCTCCCCTCACGCTGGTGCCGCTACCGCTATGTCCAGTGCGGTAGCGGGGACGAGAGGAGCTCCGGCTTTTCCCCCGTTTGTCGTCACCTATCTGGGAAGGGGCTGGTGTTTTCTCCGCCATTTCTACCGCCAGGAGCTGGTCAACCTGCCGGCGATGGCGACGGGCCCGAGGGTCGTCGCCGGAGGACACTCTTAGAGAGGGGCAGCTCCACCACGTTCTCTGAGAGACTCTGCCGCCCCCCTCCCCCGCCCTAAGTTTATAGGCACGGACGGGACCGCAGAAGATTCCAAGCATGCCAGCCACTGACTAGGATTGGACCCGGTCCGGTTCAAACCTCTGCGGGCCGGGCCCGGACAAGGAATCTTTATGGGGTTTGTCTCGGCCCAGGCCCGTTACCCCCCTCCCATCCATCTTCGTTCCTATCTTCTCTTCTTATGCTGATCCTTCCGCGGCCCATCGAACGGCTGAGAGACAACATGGGGAGAGAGAGATGAGATGTCTTCCACGTGTCATCGGCTCGTCGCGATGATCAACAAGGGAGATGGGACGTGCGGCGCCGCCCGTGCCGGCGTTCTCCGACGGCAGAAACCAAGGCGGATGGATCGATCTTCGTCCAGAAACATCCAGGGTGATCGCGCATTTGGGAAAAGTATAAAACATAGAGTATCCAGTCTGTAGACGAAGGGAAGAGACTGCACCAGGAGGAGGAGGAGAAGGAAGAAGAAGGCGTTCGTACTGCTATGACTACTGTTTCTACCCAACGTTAGGGCATTCCCTGGCGAAATGCCCGGGCCTGCCGCAGTGAAAGCAGCTTCCTCCACTGCCGCCGGAGAAGCCACCGGCGCCTCGTGCTGAGGTGCAGTCCCTGGCCAGATGACCAGTCTGGCCGCAGCTGTAGCAAGCCCCCACGCCGCCTCCCGCTCGGCCGCAGTCCCTGGCATGGTGGCCGATCTGCCCGCAGTTGTAGCAGGCGCCGCCACCACCTCCCACTCCTCCTCCTCCTCCTCCTCCTCCTCCTCCTCCGTGGGGGCAGTCCCTCGCCAGATGGCCGCTCTCCCCGCAGCTGTAGCATCCCCCGCCGGAGCTACTGAACCTGCCGCCGCCGCCGCTGCTCCTCCACCCGCCGCCGCCTCCGCCGTAGGCGTCCCCTCCTGCTCTCGCCCTCCCGCCGGCGCCGGAGCCGGAGGAGGTGACGTCGACGGCCTTGGCGCGGCCGTCGTCGCCACGCTCGACGTCAAACTCCACCGTTTCGCCTTCGCTTAGAACGCGGAAGCCCTCTGCGCGGATGGAGGTCTGGTGGACGAAGAGGTCCTCTCCGCCGTCATCGGGCTTGATGAAGCCGAAGCCCTTCTGAGGGCTGAACCAGCTCACCACCCCGCTCTGCCGGCGACCCTCCGCCATGGCCACCCTCGTGGAGGAAAAAGAACGAAAAAGAAAAACCCTAGACGGAGAGAATAAGGGGAGGAAGAACAGAATTTACCGATAAATTGATGGGTTGGGTCTACCAGCTGTCCGCCTCTACTTCCGGGGGAGCAGCTAGATCGACGGTCTGGGTTTTTGCCACGTCGTAATCCAGAAACCGTTTGTGCCAAGATCCCGAAGGAAAACGTCTCTTCCGCCCGCCTGGTGCACGATGCATGCTAACCTTCCACGTGCCCATCCCCACAGGCGCGATGGAAGCGGCTGGGATGGGGGGGGGGGGTAGATATTTTCAAATACTCCCTACAAGATTTAACTCTTTGCAGAATTGTTCTCGATGAGATATATTTACGTACATACTAGAGAGATTATTTATATGACGTCATAAAATAGCAGCACTACCCTAAAAAGTTTTCTGATTCCAAAGTTGGCTGCCAACGTGGCATGAGTGGGCGGAGGAGAGGTCACGTGGATGGGAGCGGCTTCTGACATATTAATGGGCCTACAACCCATTAATATTGCTTTGGCCCATTAAGGTGGAGACTTTTCCTGGATTATTAGGCTGACTAGGGTTAAGAAGCCCATGTAATTAAGGCCCGTTTTTCCGGGGAGCATGAGGGATGAAGGTGGTGGCGACGATGGGACTCCTGACGGTGTGCTTACCGTCGTCGTCTTCCCAAGTGAGCGCCCCGTGCAGCACCTGCTGCGGCTTCATGCCCACGCGGGCCTCCACGGTGAGCTCGAACCTCTGCATCTCGTCCTTCTCCTTGAACACCAGCACCTCGGGAGACACTCTAATGGCGAACCCTTTCACAGACGTCACCCTCGATCTGTAGGTCCACCCCCCGTCTGCAACGTTGGTCACCGTCCTCTTGAACTTCCGCACGGAGTTGGTCGTCTCCGCGTGCTTGAAGAAGGCGATGAAAGAGGGGTAGTTGAGGTCCGGCGACGAATCGGAGCAGTTTACTCCCCTGGACCTCGTTATCGTGAAGATCTGCTCCTCGGTGTGGTTCATGGCGCAGAGTAGGTTCACGTAGTCGGCGGGCCCAGCGTCGTAGACGAGCCCAGGGTCCATCGCCCTGGTGGGGTTGATCTGGCCGGATCCCATGGCCAGGGGCGTCGCCGGCTTGGACTTCTCCGCCAGGTCCTTGATGGGCTCCAGCGTGTTGTCCAGTGGGTCCGCTGTGGTCATCATCGCCGAGCGGATGGCCGCGGGGCTCCACTGGGGGTGCACCGCCTTGAGCAGCGCCGCCACGCCGGCGGCGTGGGGGCAGGCCATGGAGGAGCCGGAGAGGATGTTGAAGGGGCTGAACAGGGCCCGCGAGCTGACGACAGTGGCGAAGACGTTCTCCGGCCAGGAGGCGAGGACCAGCGAACCGGGGGCCACGAGGTCAGGCTTCAGGACCCCATGGCAGCTCAGCCCAGGGCCTCTGGAGGTGTAGGGGGGCACCGCCGGGGCCGGGGTCGTACCCAGCGAAGTCTTCTGGAATCTGAAGTTCGCCGTCGGGTTGGGGCTGCTGTTTATGTACGCCAGGACGGCCTGGCCTTCTTCTGGGCTCACGATGGTCGCCGGCAAGGAGAAGTGAAGGTTGTACTCGATGAAGGCACTGGCAGATATGAAGAGGCCTCCGGCCACTCCGGCGGCGGTGACTCTTTCAATGACGGAGTCAAGAGTTCCGTTGGCCTGGCAGACGACTATCTTGTCCCTGATCTGGTTTAGAAGGGAACTTTCCTTGCAGGCGCCCATGGAGACCAACGGCAGCCGCCGGAGCGGCGAGGTGCTCCAGGGGTAGAGGGAGGTGCCCGCGATGACGGCGCCGTTCCCCAGCGCCACCGTGCCGGAGAACACGCGGTCCACCGTGCTCGCCCCGACGGTCAGCAGCCAGGGGGCTCCGTTGTGGAGGAGCCCCAAGAAAGGGCCCCTGTTGCCCGCCGAAGTGGCCACGAAGACGCCCTTCTCGACGGCGGCGAAGGTGGCGATGGCGACCGGGTCATCGTACAGCGGGACGTCGTCGAGGCCCAGCGACAAGGAGATGACGTCCACCCCATCGGCTATAGCGCTGTCAACGCCGGCGATGATGTCCGAAGCGAAGGCACCCCGCTCCCACAGAACCTTGTAGACCGCGAGCCGGGCCCGCGGCGCCACCCCGCGGGAGGTGCCGGCGGCGTAGCCGAAGAAGGAGGCCCCCTCAGCGTAGTTGCCGGCAGCCGTCGACGAGGTGTGCGTCCCGTGCCCGTCCGTGTCTCGGGGTGAGTTGACCAGGATGGTCGCGTTAGGGTTTTCGGCCAGGAAGCCCTTGTTGAAGAAGCGGGCGCCGATGAGCTTCTTGTTGCAGGCGGAGTTGAAGGCGGTGCCTTCCTCGCAGGCCCCCCGCCACCTCGCCGGCACCGCGCCCATGCCGTCGTCCCGGAAGCTCTCGCTCTCCGGCCAGATGCCGCTGTCGACGACGCCGATGATGACGTCCTCCCCGTACCTAGCAGCCGGCCACAGCCCCCCTGCCTGGTTCAGGCGGAGGAACTCGAAAGTGTGGGTGGTGTCCGGTCTCAAGAGCACGTCTCTCCGGCAAGAGACGAAGCCCGGGAACCTCTTCAGCTCTCGCAGCTGAGCATCCGACAGCCGCGCGCTGAATCCGTGGATGGCGTGCTCGTAGACGTAGACGAGGTTCTCTGCGGCGGAGGCGCTCGTGGCGGCCGACAGCGCCGAGGCGTACCAGCTCCGGTGGCCGCCGAAGGCCCTCGGCATGGCGGACAAGTCCATCTGGACGATGTACGTCGACAGCTCTCCGGCCGAGGAAACGACATGCAGGGAGGCGGCGACGACGAGGAAGAAGAAGGCCGTCCATTTAGAGAGGATGACCTTCTCCTCCTCCATGGATTCGGGCATCTCCTCCGAGTGATGCAGGCCAAAGCTTCCGCCTCCCTACACGAACAGGTAAATAGCCAGCTCTCGGCGAAGTTCTACCCACCTGGGTAGTTTTCTACAGGGAGCCCCATCCGCCGTCGAAGTTCATCCGTTTACCAGACTGGAGAGATCTATCAGCTTTGGGGATGGAAGCCTGTGAGTCCCCTTTGTCCTTTCCTTTCCCCAGAGTGAGTCCGAAGGGGAGAGATGACCTCGCAGAACAGGGGAGCGGCGAAGAGGACAACCGCAGGTTCAGCGGCCTGGTCCATGGGTGGGCCCCAGGAGACCCGTGAGGCTACCCCACAATATCCCGGCTCAACCAAAGCGCCAACTAGGTTTCGAAACAATAAGATCCTTTATTTGAAAGTCAAATGAAGCAGAATACCGTTTCTGAGCTTCTATTAGTCAACGAGTCGGAAAAAGAAGAGAGCGGAATCGGATCGGAGCAGGGGCTGGAAGATGTCTCGGTGAGGCTATCCATCTTGACGAACAGCTGTCAGTCTCATTGGATTCAGCAAACAGTGGCCGAGCTCTGTACAATCACAAGGCAGAGGAGACATCTATCCCCGCCGCCCCCAGAAAAAAAATCTAGTAGTCCTTCTCCGATCAGAAGCTCTCAAAGCGAGAAGCCGCAGGGAGGGGACTGCGGCGACCCACCGCTCTCCAGCAAGAGGCTCCGGCTGCAGTAGGACCTCGAGGTGCTGGAAGACGACTGCAGGCACCGCCCGTCGCCGCTGTAGGGGATCACCTCGCTCCTCCCGCCGGCCACCTTGCCGCCCTGCCCGCCGGCGGCGCTTCTACCGCCGCCTTCGACGGCTCCAGCGAAGTCGCGGTGCACCGGATCGAGACCCTCGTAGAGCGCCACCAGCACCTGCTTGATAGAAGGCCTCGCCTTCCCCTCGCTGCGGGTGCACCACTCCGCGACGGCGGCGACCACCTGCAGCTCCTCTAGGTCGAACGAATCCCCCAGGGCCGGGTCGACCAGCTCCGGCAGCCCGGCGGCCACCGCAGTGCGCTGCCGAGACCACTCGACGAGGTTCTGGTTACCTTCGACGGCGTGCCTTCCGCTGACCAGCTCCAGAAGTAGAACGCCGTAGCTGTAGACGTCGCTCTTCTCTGTCAGCTCCCGGGTAACCACATACTCAGGATCCACGTAACCTGCATCCATTTCGGGAATCAGTTCACAGAGGGGAACAGTCCAACGCGAGGTGGCCCCACAACCGGGGTCCGAGTGGGGCCCTACCGTTGACCCACAGCGAAGGAACACAGCTGAGGACGGGAAAGAGAGGAACTTTTCTGTCATTTCCTACTTTGGAAGAGAACTAAGTCGCGCTATCATTATCAAACGCCTTCTTATCATCAGAAAGCAACGCGTGTAACCATGATCGAAAGTTGAAAAAAGTACAGGGACTCTTCTGCCCTTCCATTATTTAGCAGGGGCGTAAACCTAAAAAACCAATATATATGGTGATGCTATACTTGAGCTTCCCCACAGCCATCATCGTCATTTATTATTTTCACATATCAAAAGGACTGAAAACTAAGAGTTTGATGGTTTAGAGAGATTCTCTCCTGTCATTCCATTGTTTAGGAGGATATAAAGACAAAAAACCCAGCATAATAATGCTTGGAAAAAGCCCTCCCATCATCATCATCATCATCATCATCATCATAGGAGGGGATCATGGGGCTGGAAGGGAGTCATACCTGGGGTTCCATGGACATCTGCATGAACTTGATCGAAACCCGTTGAGCTGCCTCTCGAAACATCAGCAAGACCGAAGTCGGCAACCTACAGAAAACGAGGCCTCTGTGATTTGAAGCCCACAGGCTGCCCGAAAATTGTGAGGTCCGAGAGGTCGCCTACCTTGGCCCTGAAGTTAGCGTCCAGCAAGATGTTGCTAGGTTTGATATCTCTGTGGCAGAGCGGAGGATCACAGTAGAAATGAAGGTACTCCTGCCAGTTCAAAGAAGGGTCCCATAGAAAATTGAATGGGAGGCCAAAAATGGTAGTTCGACCCGAGGTTTTGGACCATGAATCTAGGGTTCATATGGAGCAAGAAGAGAAATGTCAATTATAAAGGAGAATACCAGCGCATTAGCCACATCTATGGCGATTTGGATTCTTCTCTGCCAACTCGGTGCTTTTCCCGAAGCTACGCAGAGAAAAGGAAGCTTAGAAAACGACTTCAAACGGCTTCAGAAGGAAATATCATGGATGGGTGTAGTACTACAGTGGAGATGATCTCTCAAGCTCCCGTTTTCCATGTATTCGTACATAAGGAACCTGGAAAATGAATGAATCAGGATAAAATAATGTCCATGTATTTGTCTACTTAGAGAGAGAAAGTGAGAACCTTCAGAGGTTATTAGTATTACCTCTCGTGCCTGGTAGTACAAAACCCTTTTAAAGAGACCAGATGACGATGATGAAGCCTTCCAAGAAGCTCCATCTCTCGGTAGAAATCGCTCTCTCCTTGCTCCAGAGATTTATGCATTCTCTTCACCGCGACGACTAAACCGTTGCTGAACTCTGCCTTGTATACGGTCCCGAATCCACCCTTCCCTATTTCCGAAGTGAAATTGTTGGTCGCTTTCTTTGTTTCCTTCCGCGTAAATCTCTGAAACATTGGTGGTGGACCTGCGATGTTCAAGATAGTCAACCGTATATTCACTTTCCAGTTCCTGGAATACTAATCCCGTAACCAAATCCTCATCCTGAAGAATTTTTCTCCTTTCAAAATACCAAAGAAAAAATAAATATAGCAATGGAATGTAAATTCATTTGGATATAACTTCCTGATCGGTTAAGATGTGCTGGGCTTTTTAATGCCTTGGACACAATGAAATCAGTATCGTAGTATTCGAAGGAGCAAATGCCAAGAGGGGATTATTTTTTGCTTAATCTGGCCCATATTTAATATTCTCTGAGATTTACTCAATAAATGATTTTCAAATGAAAAGAATGTAGAACCCACAGTTCGTAATGGATAATCAATTTCGCCTTGGGTCATACTTTGATTATAGAAAGTTAAAAGAAATATATAGCAAAGAAAGATCTGATCAGACTCACACAGAGGTCTCATTTGTCCGTATCATCTGAAATTAAAACTATGATCATTGATCAATACTCAATCATTGTATGTAATAGATATAACCAACATTGAAGCGATCTACAGTAAAAAAGAAAGGGAAAAAAGGTTCGTGCTGATTGACTAATAGCAAAACAACCATAAGAAAACGGTCAAACCTTCCTGAAACTTGCGGACAGTTAGAGGAAATGCATCCCAAGAAGAAGCCCTAGAAGGTGCCTTAGAACCCTTCAATTCTCTGCTCTTCCTCCGAATAAGTAGTATCATAACAACCAGGAGAAGAATTGCCATGGCAGCAATACCAATGCAGATAGTCGGAATCAATTTTAGATGGTACAGTTGATGGCGTTCCTTGGAAACCACAGCAGTAACATTTCGAGAAGGAGATTCTGCCAGAGGAGGACTTGGAGAGGTCACAGGTGTGGGCGGCTGGAGAGACAATCCTAAAAGGCATCAACAAGCCACAACTTCAATGAAGAATTTTTACAAAGAAATGAGACAAGCAGCCCCGCGTCATGGAGTCAACAGAATGCATCGAACTATCTATAAAGGCATAATACTCCAAGCACATGTATCTTCAAGCTGCGCATGAGTCATGTAAGGCTGGGGCCCAAAACCCAATCCCCAGATTTATCTCCAAGAAGGGAATGCACAAGTAGGTGAAGGAGTATCATGTATTCATGAAATGGATGGGTAAACGTGTGAGGGGGCTAAAGTTCCTCACTGTCCACCCAAAACAAATTCCACCAGCGTATTGTTTAATGAACTCCCCATATTACCATTCACAACTGATCATTCTTCCATTACATAGCCGCCTTTGAATCTGCTTTAGATAAAAAGGCACCTCATGCAACAATCAAACCATAAAATAAGTAAATAATCCGAGCATCATTCAGGGAAATCTGCAAAGACGGAAGAAAGATCTGTCCGGATATTTTTTTCATATAAGAAAAGCCTAGTTGGACTGAACCCATGAGTTTTGTAATGTACCTGACTGAACATTAAAGCCCTGAACACTGAAGAAACAGCTTGCTATGCCAATAGTTGACGTGCTATCTCCTTGATTGACAAGTGTAACAAAGGCAGCATTGCGGCAAGTACTTAAAGTAACATTGTCACGGACTCCATTGAGGTGGCGAAGGTATATAATCCCCCAGTTCACACATTTTCGGCAACTGCTTTCCATAGATAGCGGCGGCTTGCAATTCTCTGAAACATTGTTGAAGTTAGGTGACTGCAGCATTTCCAGCACAGTTGCCCGTCCTTCACATGGATAACTGACCAGAATTTTAGTCCCAAGTCCACAGAACACCATCGCATTGGAAGGGATTCCATAGAGTTGCAAGGTTTCTGAGATGGATAGGAGACAGATTTCTGAGAACGCTGCTGGGACCCCCAATTTGCCTGTTGAATTTGCATAACGGGCAACGGAGACTGCAATGAACGCATTAATGAGACGGCAGCACTTTGCTCTCTCATTCTCATTGGAACAAACTGACGCTGCGACAGAGAAGTTTGACCAACCCAAGTCCAGAGGGCAACCTGCATTGAACGAGAACGACATAGAACGTTTGACATGTTCATTAGGGGGATGATTAGGAACTAGATACAGTATTCATGTGATCAGAATTAAACAGGCAAATATAAACGCTAAAAAAAAAACTGTGTTCTACGGTGCAATGGCGCATTCCATGATCCGAGTTTCCATGAATCAGGTTTCCTGAAAAATTTTCAGAAAAATATGAAGTATTTTCTATTGAACAATATGACTAGCTTGTCACAGAAGAGACTGCAGGATTCAGAGGTGAAGTATGATATCCCTTCGTGGCCCGTTCTCTTTAGATATCCGCGGAGGTTCGTTTATAGACAATGAGATGGGGATGGCTCTGCCATTTTGAAATCCATAGGCTGCTTAGACAACGATACCGTCATAGTGGAACCAGAGGTAGGGGCAAGATTTGGGGCTACAGTTCCAGATCAAAGGTTCGGAGAAACCAGCCTCGGACTACATAAAAAGATTGGTTCAGAAATTTTAGAAAACAAAATACGGAATCCAAGCACAGTAGGTTACGAAGAAACGAGAATCGGACTGTAAGCCGCACAGTGGCGAAAATAATGGCGCTCGTATCCGGCATTTGAGCAGAAAACCAGACGATGCGAGAGGATTGGCGAAGTTGAGATCATCATTTACTAGCCGAAAATGCATATTTAAGGGGTAGATGAGGGAAGGAGAAGTGGCCAACCTGAGCCGATCGCTGGAGGCGGATGTGATCCAATGACGACCACCACGGCCCCCACCAGCAACCCTAGGAACAATCCCCGCATGACCAAGCAGGTATCGGCGGAGACTCTGAGGTCGTCCTCGGCGGGAGTACTCGACGAGAGTGTCTCGACCAGTTTCAAGCCAAAAACTCCGAGACTTCCCGAGGAAGACTCCGTATTCCGGTCATCCGCGGCGATGCTAACACCTACAGGTCTCTCCACCTGGCCTGCTATTTCCGCCAGATCAGGGATTCACAGAGTCCTTCAGCACTCACATGCCGAGAACCAGGCAGCTCGCCGGAGGATGGGACCCAAGCCATTAACAGGCCAGTGGCGAGCAGAGGAAAGGCATCCGCCCGATCGTTGCTCTCTCAGAGGGACCCACGCAGAGAGGAGAAGGTTAAATATTGACCCCCCCCTCTGTCTCTACACGTACACATCTCCCTCACTGTACTGCACCTCCCATCGACGGCTTTTGTTCTTCTTGCCAGCGCCAGCTAAGTTTCAGAGCGCACACAGCATGAGAGAGAGAGACAGGAGCGGCCGGGAGGAATGACTCCCTTAGCCCGACCATGGCTGCACGGACGACGGAGAAGCTCTCTGAAACTCGTCCTCTCTCTCTCTCTCTCTCTCTCTCTCTCTCTCTCTCTCTCTCTCTCTGCAGAAGATGCTACGGCGGTAGTTTCCGAGGGGGAAGGTGGACCCACCGGTAAGGAGAGTAACTCGCCCTAATAAAGGCGCCGCCGAGGAACGCCGGCGGGATCTTCTCGCTCCGGCGACGGCGGTCATAATGGCGCTACCATGTGTCCCTCCTGTTTCGTAGGATTCAGATATGGGAGGACGACGGGAGTTCCGTGCATCTTAGGAAGCGCTTGCAAACGTTTTTCATGCGAACTGGATTTCGCAATTTTTTTTCAAAAAAATAATAATACAGCCTTTTACCATTCCACCCACTGTAAAATCGCACTTTTTTTTTATAACCCAATATGCAGCTTGTCCTTGCATTCCCCCTAGATACCCAAATCTGATGGAAATAATTTCCATAGTTCAGAAATATATATATATATAATTTTAGAAATAAATACCTATATATATATATGAAAAAAATGAAAACTCTGATTAAGTTAGGATAAATTCTGAATATGGGATGGTTCGTGGGCAGTAACGAATAAAATCAAAATACGGTGGTGAAGACTGATAAAATCCCAAAACGCGATTTAATGGTGAATCTTTTATCATCTAAAAAATAATGCCGGTGAGGGTCTCTCCGGTCTCGGTGAATGGAAAAATGGGTTTCGAACCCAACTCAACATCAGCCTAAATATCATCCCGCGGCCCAGAAGCCCTGGTCAACGGGAGCGCGGCAGGGGCACGCCGAAGAGAGAAGATCACGCGGTGTTTGACCGGGATAACAATAGTATTCAAGAGCCATGAATAGCTGGAAGCTGAGAACCGGTCAAAATCTCCATCGCGCATCATAGGTCCCTCTCTCTCTCTCTCTCTCTCTCTCACTCTCTCTATCTCCTTCTCTCCCTCTCTCTCTCATAGGCAGGAGGATGACGAGGGGATATAGAGAGAGAGAGAGCAGCGTGGTCAAATCACGCGTCCCTCCGTCGATGTATCCGCCCCCCCCCCCCTCTCTCTCTCTCTCTCTCTCTAGTTTTTTATTTGACCAATAAGAAGATGTTAGGTACAGAAAGAGAGAGAGAGAGAGAGAGAGAGAGATTCCCAGCTGCTCTCCCGGATGACAGAACAGATTCATGCAGAAAGCCGACGGCGCAACTCTGCCCGGGTTTATGACGAAAAAATCCTTTAAAAGATATAGAAATGTGTTATAGCCCTTAGAGCAACTCTTCTCCCCTAAAGGAGTGCATATTTAAAATTATTATAAGAGTATGCTACAAAGAGTATATTTGCATGGGTTTTAAACGGAAAAGGTAAATCACGGCTTCCATATATTTGTTGAAAGTTTCTACTGTAGCCGCAGAAACGAACGCCGTTCCACATCTTCGCTGATCGGCCTCGGAGAAGCGGAGATGAAGGTGCATCCGAGATCCTCTCCCGGTTTACCTCCCAATGGCTCGCTGATTCCCCTTGTGCTCGCAGGAAGCTACCGCGGTTATGCTGCTTGTAGCGGCAACCAGTCTCATCTTCGTTTCCGGAATCTCCGCAGCCAAGGTCTCTTCGTCTTTGTCGTCGCCTTTTTTTTTTTTTTTTTTTTAATAGTCCGCAACTCGTCTCGTGTGCTCCTCGACGGTTGCGCGGATTCCGAGACTCAATTCGGTCTGATTCCTCTCTGCAGATCGGAGAAACATGCACGGAGGATCGGAACTGTGACGCGGGGCTGCATTGCGGCTCGTGCGTCGCCGACGGCAACCCCCGGCGGTGCACGCGGATCGAGCCCTCCGATCCCCAATCCAAGGTATTAACCGGCCCATCCGATTTCTATTTTCCTATTCTTCGTGTTATTTCTGCTCTCCGCTTTCTACTTTTGGTTTTTGGCACCTGAGATAAGGGCTCTAAGGCTGCCATGTCCCGCCCTCAACTGATTGTCCTTGTCATGGTGACGAATTTGGGGCATCCGGAAGGCGAAGGGACTGCCATTCAACAGGTACTCGTGGCTTACCACGCACAATTCCTTCGCCCTGGACGGCCAGAAATCCTCCACCGGCAGTAGCCTGATCGCCTCCACTAACCAAGAGGATTCCGTCACCGCTCAGCTCAACGTACGTACATCCCCATCTTTGCTCCATTTCTTGAGTTTTTCTGCCATTCGATACGTAGCCAGTGTATTGCTTCGCAAGAAACTTGCTTAGGCACTCATCTCCGGGGGTCACCGCTGCCATCGAGGAGAATGAAGCGTCTCCTCACGAGTGAATCTCGGCGGTGAACGAAGAAAAAATTATTTAGATCCGTAAAATAACTCATATTAAAACATCGACTTAAAACAGCTTCATCATCTTCAATTCCCCCCCAGTTGAGTTTTTTTCTGACGACTTTAAATGCCGCGGAACGAAAAATTCAAGATGTCCGAACAAATCTCTCGCCGTCTGATCCCAATTTTCGTGGAAGAAAAAACGAAGCTGCTCAAATCTTCTTCGGTTGAGCAGGCACGAGGCGCGGACTTTGCCGTGGTCAGTCAGGATGACTTCCTCACCTGCTTCGTGTCGGGTTGTTGCAGAATGGCGTCAGGGGATTGATGCTGGACTTCTACGACTTCCTTGGGGACATCTGGCTCTGCCACTCCTTCAGGGGCACTTGCTTCAACTTCACGGCATTTGTAAGTTCCACAGAGACTGATTGATTCTTCTGACCGACTTCAAACACGGACCTCCTTCAGACTCTCTCTGGTTCTTGGTCATCCAGCAACCCGCGGTCAACGTTCTCAGAGAGATTCAAGCCTTTCTAGAGGCAAATCCGGCGGAGATCGTCACCATCTTCATCGAAGACTACGTGAAGACCCCCCGGGGCCTGACCGGGGTCTTGGCAGCCGCCGGGTTGACCAAGTTCCTGCTCCCGATGGCTCGGATGCCCAAGGCCGGCGGAGACTGGCCACTGGTCGGCGACATGGTCCGCCGGAACGAGAGGCTGCTGGTCTTCACGTCGAACTCGACTAAGGAGGCCTCCGAGGGCATTGCCTACACGTGGCGCTACGTCGTGGAGAACCAGTGTAAGAGATTGGCTCTCCTTTGGCTCCGTCTTCCCTTCAGAGGTGGGCTCTTCTAGTTGAAACGTGGCATCCCTTGCAGATGGGGACAAAGGGATGGTGCCCGGGTCGTGCCCGAGTCGTGCCGAGTCACCGCCGATGAACTCGACGGCTCAGTCCCTCGTCCTGATGAATCACTTCCCCACCAACCCTAATACGTCGACGGTGTGCAGAGACAACTCGGCCCCACTCATTAGCAGCCTCCGCACGTGTCACAACGTGTCCGGGAATCGGTGGGCCAACTTCATATCAGTTGACTTCTACAAGGCAATCTCTCTCCCCTCCCCGCCGCCGAGCTTCAAAGCAGTTGACCATTGTTTATAGAAATCTTGACTGCCTCATCCGATCGCCTCTAATCTCAGAGAAGCGACGGCGGAGGAGCTCCGGAGGCGGTGGACATCGCGAACGGGCGCCTGACCTGCGGCTGCGACAACATAGCCTACTGCAAGGTAGGTGACAACTGCGGTTACACCTTCTTCACTGATACCCCATCTGCAACAGCTTGAGACCAATGACCCAGATCTCTCCTTAATCTCACAGGCCAATGCAACATTCGGCACGTGCGAGATCCCCACTGCGGCGGCGCCGTCAACGGAGCCTGGTGCGGTGCCGCCGCCTATGGTGCCTGGTGCGGCGCCTACCGGGAGGCTACTGGATTGGAGGTGGTCTTTCGTGGCTCTCTTGGCGGTTTCGGCCTTCGTGTCCGATGCGAGCGGTGGCGCTTATTGATGATTGTCTTCTTCTCCTATAGATGACTTAAACCCCGTCATCATGTCGATGGCGGGTAGAAAACAGGAGGAATACCATAGGAAATGGTAACATCAAAGTCTTAAGAACATATAATGGCGAATAATATAAGGATTTAAAATTTATAAAATTTTGTGCAGAGTAGAGGATGAAGAGTTACTTCACAATAAATAAATAAATACGAAAACAAAATAATGCTGCAGAGCTAATGGAAAAGTCAATTGCAAAGAGAGCAATATATTTAATCAAAGCACACAACCCTTGGGATCTAGCAACCAAAAATACTATAATCAATAGAGATACAGAATTTGATGAAATCCACATTTTAAACGCCGTTGATGAAGAACATGCATTACAACAAAAATATGAAAATTTTAATAGAAAAAGTATTTAGGTGGAGGTTGATGAGAAAATCAATCAACCATAAACAAATGAAATGATATAATCAATTCATAAAGATGGTAATATAATTATACTAGTAGAGGCAGACACATCATAAAATCGCCTATGAAATATGGTTTTGAGATCATTTTTCTTTTGATTTGAACTATAAGTGAAGGGGAGCCTACATCTACTAATTAGAGACTGAATTGTAAGAAAAAATGATGAATAGATGTAATATATGATAGAAAAAGACGAATCACTCCGTAAGATCATGTCATAGGATCTAGTGGAACCACCTAAGAAAAATAAAGCAGTCAACTGCAATTCCTTTTTCTTAAAAATTCAAGACTCTAAACAACTAGAATGTTATTGGTCATTATAGAAAAAAGAAAAATAAGAGTATAAAAAATTAGATGTGGACACCACATTCCTCCATTATGATTTAGAAGAAAACACTTATGTGGACCAACTTGAAGAGTTTGATTATTTATGGATAAAGTATTTTTTTTAAGGCTGAAGAAGTCACTTTATGGATTAAAACAATCTTTAAAGTGATGATACAATAAATTTGATTAATTCATGATTAGGATTGATTACAACTGATGTGAGGATGATTAATTTACTTATGTAAACTCTTTGGATATTGATTGTGATTTTTCTTAATGTTCTATGTGAACAATTGTTGATATCTACCAAGAATTTTAACCATCCTTTCATATTAATATTTTTTAAAATAAGAATTTTGAAATCATTGATCTAAATTTGACTAAGAAGATATTTATAATCAATTTTTTTAAAAACATAGGAAAATGACAACTACAAACATCTCAAAGGAATTACACTAAGGTGTTCAAATTACTTGGTATGAGAGATACTAAATAGACTAAAATACTTAGTAAATCACATCAAATTATATAAAAGTCAAAGCCCAAAAAAAGAGACAGATTTAAGAAGTGAGCAGAATACTCATACTATTGTAGCAGGTAATTTGATGTGTGTCATGATTTGCACTACAATAGGTAATGTAGTAAGTAATGTAATAGGTAATATAGTAGGTATGTATTAGATAATGTAGAACGTAATGTAGTATGTAAATTGACTTACTTTATACAGTCATAGGTAATGTATTATGTAATTTTACATAATTTATGCACTCCGTGCCACGAGTTGATTTATACCAAATCTAAAAAAAATAGAAAACATATAAGTAGATTTTAAGATATATTAAAATAAATCCACTAATATTGACATGATGTTTTAGATGTCTAATTCTAGTATCATTATAGGGATTTATTGATGGAAATTTAATAAGATTCGTAGATAATCAAATATCCACATTAAACTATGTTTACTATTGCAAAGGGTCTAGTTAGATGAAAATGTACAATACTTTTAACAATTATATTATCTACAAAAAATATTATGTAGAAGTATATAAGGCAATTAAAGAAGCCATGTGGATGAAAAAAATTATAAAAAAAAATGAAATTGATCAAGATAAAGTTTCTTTCTATTGTAATGGTAGGAGTTTTAGTTATTTGATAAGAAAAATTGTCTTATTTAAGGATTAACCACATCAACATAAGGTTTCATAGCATTATGATGTGTTGATTCCCTTGGTTTTTTATAATTACGAACAAAAAATTATTGATATGTGATTATCAAATATCAATACTTATTTATATGTGTTATTAGATGCTTTAGATATTTAATATATTCAAAAAATATATTTTATTGATTTTATATTAGAGATTGAGGTTATCACTAACGACAAGGTTTAAATCTTTGATCTTTGAGATTAAGTGATTGATCATCAACCTTTTGACTACTTGAGGATAAATGATTGTTAACTAAAGAATTATCTTGAAAATAAAGGTTAATCATATATTTTTAAGATATGACTTGATGCAAATTATATAAAGTATCTTATCTTTAATTATATGATGATATAATTATATTATTCAACATTTAACACTTTGAAATGTTGTTAAATAAATTTCTTAAATTATCCCATACATTAAGTTAGCAAGAAAATGAGAAAAATAGATATTTAAGTTTTGAATAAAGCATATAGATGGTGATATGTCAACTATTTATATGGATAAGAGTGAAAAACTTGATGATATGGATATGATGTTGAGACTTCATTGTCTTTCATTAAGTTAGAAATCTCATGTTCAAATGTAAATAAAAATAGCTGTAAAAATAAAAAAATCTAAATTTCAAAAGATCTGAATATTATTACTATATATTTTAAAAAATAGTAAATTTTTGAGATAAAATTTTAAATGTTGGAGATCTTATAAAATAGGAAAACTTGTACAAGAAAACTCTTCATGGTGCATACAGTAATGAAAAATAAGAATATTGCATTGACGTGACTCAGTCATTGTATATTAAATTACACAAATCTAAAATTTATAAAACTAGAAAATATGAATTTTTGAATATTTAGAAGTATTTCTAAATAAATATATCAATTATAATTCATTTAACTTCCAAAAATAACGGTAATTTTCCAAGTCGATCACAGGGATGTAATATAATATCGAGTAATTATTCAGAATTTTTCTCAATGAATATGATTTTATATGAATTTTATACTAAGAAATAAAAAGGAAATATATTTAAAATTCACGAAAAAGGGAAATAAGGGTGCAGATGTCATGATGACGTCAGCACCCAACAAATGTGAATCGAGCAGAAACAAAATTCTACCTGCCAATTCTTACATAAGTGATTACAAACAATTTAATTGATTAAATTAAGATTTGTAAAAGCCAAAAGAATCGTAACATAACAAAGTTTATTTTTGTAAATTAAAATCACAAAAAATATCACTAAATGAAGTGTAAAGTAAGTTGAAAGTAGAAAAATAGAGTTCCGACATCACGACAGCGATGCGTCGGTAATGCACCAGAATCTTGAGCGTTCAAAAGGATCGTCGTGTAATGTCCATAGCTTTGAAAGCTCTCCTTGGACAAAGACGATGTGGACAATCTCTAGATCTTCTCGCAAAGTCTAGAAATTAATGAAATGGGTCGTCGAGTCGTCTCTGGTGACTGTCACCCGGCGGAGCGGAAAAATGGCGACTTTGTGGCTCTCTGATAGTTGTCACCCGACGGAGAAGAGTTGGATGGAGGTAGGGGGCGTGTTAGAGAGCTTCATTATCAGGTCTGCGCAGCAAGAAGAGGCTCTTCATCGCATCCAGTACGCGCTCAGGAGGTGGCAACTCATCTCTTGGTGGATCGTCCTCTTCTTGATGACGGCTTGTTCGTCGATCAATCGAAGATGATTTACTCGATGGATTTGCGATCCTTTTATCACGAATCATTCAATAATTTTAGTAGCAATGTTTTGCGAATCGCGTTGATGAGATTTTCGCTGATGATCTAGCAATTCTCGTTGCTTAATCCTTCATCGACGATCTGTAGGAAAGTTGTGATAATCAGATAAAAATATATGAATTTTGACTCTAGGAAGATTCGAACCCGCGCCGGTCGTCCACTTCTTCTGAGAAAGGTGTGGCTGGGGTTTAGTCCCACATTGGTTGTGCGTTGATTTTTCAGATGAATATATAGTAATGTTAGCTTTCTAAGTAAAGTCCCTTCTCTCACGTGTACAACCACTCCTTGCCCTACAGCCAGTTAGCCACCGGTGACATGGAAGGGGAGTGGCGCACACGTGCCCCTATCGATCCAAGCCAAGCCGCTTGAGCCCCTGCTCACGGCTACTCCTTGACTGCACTTCTAACTCGCTTGTGAGCCCGACTAGTTAGCATGTCCCCCCATTTTGCAATATATTTATTTTTATTCCTTGTTCTTCATTTATCTCAAAAGTAAGACTGTAAAAATCATATAAAATCATATAATTACCTAAAAATTCACATTAATTAATTGAAAACTATTTTTTATACTTTAACACAAATATAAGTTTATTTATCATGAGTTAAGGCTAAAACTATATTATTTACTAATTATTAACTCATGATAATGAAGATTTATCATGCATCTTTGTCATCAACTTAATCCAGCAAATGATCAACTCAACTATTATAGTCTTTGCTCTCCATTGTGTCCTAAAATAATTGAGTGATTAGATGCGAGTATGTTGCGTTAAAATATTAAGTGACAATATTTGTATTTTTTCTTAAGAAGACAGTTTCTAAAGAGACTAATTTTGAGTGATTTAAGTGGTTGATAATATGAATATAAGTGTGCATTCTTGAAGAGAATAGATAAATAGTAGAGAGCAATAATATATAGATCTATAAATAGTTAAGTGAGGGAGAACTAATATAAAAATATCAATATTCTTGGTGGGAGACTATTGAATGGTCATCATATAACATATGTGTAAACACATCTATAAATCTGAAAAATAGAAAAAAATATATCGTAAATCTCAATTCACCTCCCCTTCTCCATGCTTCATCTAACATTATAGTTCTAACAATATGTTGGTAAATTCACGAGATATTTCATTTGAAAAAAATTATATAAGCATGTTGACAAAAATAGTCACACATATAAATTCAAATGATGTTTGAATTTAATCCATGTCAATTTGTTAAGAAGGGTAAGTTATTGGAACTATAATATTAGGTAAAACATTAAGATTGAGGGTAAAATTAGAATTACTAGAAATATCAATTATGGAGGTGAGATTCTCTAGTATTAGCTCTTCCTCTTAAGAATACTCATAAATTTTCATAGGATTAGTTGCACAAATAACATAAGTTCATGTTCATAGTGATCCAATATCTTTGAGTCAAATATAACTACAAACTCTTTGTAATTTCACCAAATATGTTTTTCTCTTACCACTTATCCTCAAGTCTTGATGGAAAGGAATGGTCATAATAGATGAGTTGATCAGTTATTGGATGGAACTGATGAAAGTATGAAGCTTTTTGTTGGTCATTGATGCAATACACATGAAGGGCTTGATGATGAATGTTGCTCTTTGTGTTTTCATTGTTCATTTAGTTAATTACTATTTTTTAAAAATTATGTTATTAAATTACAAATCTCAATGCATTTTATATAGATTACATCCTTATAGTCACACTTCTTATCAATATAATTATATCTCTACTGTTGAATAATAAAACTCTATGAATTATGACATAGTAAATATTTAATTATTCATATTTGTTTAACATTTTCTTCAACATAATCAAAATATCATATTAAAATTCATTCTCACACTATAGCATGTATTTATTAAATATTTATATGATATTAAAGGTATAGGCTTTTTATCATGTGGAGATAAAATAAATATTCATTTCGCATGATGTTATCTTTCAAGAGGACATGCTCTCTTTTTATTCTTTTTGTAGTTCTTGATAATCTATGTCATTTTTCAAATATGATTATCTTGTGTGTCATGTCTCATATTTATTCTTAATCACCACATAATATTTTGCACACCATGCCTCCAATTTTTTTTATCATATTTACCAATTCAATGATCCACTCATATTTTCAAACCACTATCTTACCTCCAAAAATTTGATTACAACATATTATCTCATATCCCATATGATTAAACCTACCTATGTTATAATCTATCTAATTTTCTCTCTTATGATTCTCTATATTCATCCTATAAAAATTTTGTTATGCTTATTTTATTTAACCTTGAACTTTGATTTTATCACCAAGTTGTTACCTCTCTATAATGGTGAGAAGTGCTGAAGATTAAGTTGGACAAGTCATTACTTCTCTATAATGGTGTGAGGCAATGAAGATTATGTTGACATATGATATTTTTGACAAGAAGATGTCAACTTCTTTGAAACATATTTTCTAATTGTCAAATCCATAACTATAAAACTCAAGTTAGTTTTTTTAGCTATTAATAATTAACATTCCATTCAATTAGATGTCAATAATAGTATCTTGTTTAATATACATATATTTTTTAAAAAATACAACTATCACTAGGATACTTACATAAGAGAGAACTTGTAACTCATCACAATAAACTTATTTGAAAATTATACATTTGTTTAGGGACTTTGATAAGTATATCTAAATTCTCTCATTCAGTTTGTATTTATTCAGTTGGAATTAAATTATTCATGATTAACTAAAGTCTATAATTTGTACTATGTTAGTTTACTTGTTTCTATGGATGACATTCTCATAATCATTTATTCACTTCAACTATCCATAACTTGAAAACTTTTTTGCATAAATATTCAAGCTTAATACCTTGACACATTAAAATATTTTTTAGGCATAGAAATTACAAATTTACACCACATATTATTTTATCTCAACATAATTATTATTTACATTCTCTAAAGATACATACTTCATTAGATCTGAACTTATTTTTTTTCCTATAGATATTTAATTGTAACTATTTAATACTAATAGATAATTACTTGAATAAGCCTCACGTTAAAGACATTATCCCATCCATACGTCATACATTACATCCATAACTTGAGTCAATTTATAACACAAACTTGCTTACAAGTACTACATCATTTACTCATCAATCTTCAATGAACCATTTGTTAATGATTACTCTTTCTTTCCTCATTTATCTAGATTCAAATATTTTTTCTATTAGTTGAGCTCCTTATCTTAATTCTCAAATTTTTCTTTTAAGATATTACATCTTTTTCACAATTTGTTCATTTTACAAAACATAAGAGATCAATCTCAAGGTCATCTAATGAAGTCAAGTGTCAAACATTAGCAACAACAACTGCAAAATCACATGATTACAATAATTACTACATGAGCTTTATCTTGAAGTCTCATCTAGTTATATTTACTTTGTGATAGTCTAATTATTCATATTGACTCTAATATTTCACAAACAAATAGATTATAGATTGATGGATTGATATTTTTTCATGAAAAACTTATTCACAAGTTATCCAACTCATTTAAAGTCACTATACATATAAGTTAGACAATATTTTTATTAAACCTCTTTTAGATATTCATTTTTTACTTTATTATCTAAGATAACTATTAAAAATAATCATAAATATCTGAAGGGGGAGTCTTTGTTGTGTTTTAGCCCTCACTTGGATCAAGAAAGGAGGTGAAGGGGGTTGAGTTGATCAATTTCTAAATATCTTTGGAATATAATCTATTTTAGTAACTCTACTTCCTCTTTATCTTTAAGATTTGTAATCTTTTATAACTTAACAAATGTAAAATTGAAGAATTTTTATAGTGATTCCGTGCATTGTCTATATCTACTCTCCAAGAATAACCTTGTTCTTGGGTTTTTCTAATTATGATAATTTGGTTATACACTATTGATTATATGATTTAGTTCTTATAAAATTTCATTCTAGAACTCTCTTTTAAATTCATTACTCTAAGTGGTTAATGATTCTTTAATAAGATATCTTCTACGAGTGATTAAATAATTAAGTCACAAGTTTACCCATAATAGATATGAAATGATTTCATTGTAGATAGTATTCTAGATATGATGTCTACTTTGAGTATTTCTAGAGTTCCAATGAAAAGTATAATATTTAGTAACTTAAAGTCATTGTCTTCTTTTTATCGGCTTGTTAGCTTTAGACTAAAGATTATTAAAGCTTCAAATGAGTTTAAGATGATCTTTTAATGCTTTAATAGTCATTTTATATTCAATTATTTTGACATAGATTAACTCATCACCATGATCTTCACTTTTTACTTAAATTTCCTATATGAGAAACTTAATATAAAGTTATAGGTTATTGAGAGGAAAGTAATAATTGTTTTATTAATGTAGCAATTGAAAGACAATATAATTTATAGACAAATCTCATATGAAAATTTTATGATTTTTTTATTTTTTTAATAATTATTTATCTAAAATATGATGAATTTTAATAGTTGGGAGATCAATAGAATATATCTTTTCAAATAGTTTAGATATCATCAAGTGAAACTAATTAATGATTCCTTTATCATTTAACATTTACATATGAATCATACCAATTCATACTAACTAATTAAGGATCTAATATCGTAAGAATATAATTAATAAAAAAATTGAATTAAGACATGAAAATAAATAATATATAACTAATATCATAATATGAAAAATATATAAAATATATATATATAGAATGATAGACATAAGATTCAAACTTAGGAAGTAAATTATGCAAAAGTAGAAAAATTACAACTAAATATTTAAACCAAAGTATGGGATGAATTGAAATTAAAAATACTATAACAACAATTTGAAAAATAAATAAAAATAAATTTAAAGCTAAGATATATGATAAGTAATTGAAGCAAGACTTGCACTCAAGCTTGCATCATAGTTGAGGTAGACTGTTCACATGAAGTAAAGAAGGAAGTAGTAAAATCTTCATCACGTAGTATACACTATGACATGCCATAAGTTTATGTTGAAAAAAAGTCACCAAAAATGACTAAAGTTCAACTTAATCTTAAGAACAAGATTATACATTGAAGAAATATGATTCTTTATGAAATAATATAGCAAGTTCAATGATATTATTGTAGCTCAAGCCTGAAAATAAGAACATCCATTGATCATTTGAAATTTTTCAAACACAATATCAAGGATGACATATTTTACAAATTAAAAGATCTAAGCTAAAGTATGACCAAATATCAAGAGTATAGATCTTGGATGATAATTCATCAACAAAAGAATGTAGATTAAAGATATGACAAATGATATCATTTGAAAAAAAACTTTTAAAGAATAAATAATCATCATTTGGTTATGACTCTCTAGATAAGATATTGTGAATAAAAATCATTATTGTAGAAAATTTATAAGTAAAAAGTAGTTATAGGTCACTAAAATACTAGTGAAGTAACAAAAAGATATTTAAATTAATATGACTATTTTTAGCTACTGAAATGACATGAATTTACTGAAGTATAAAAAAAATGAGATGAAAACAAACCAAAGTAAATGTTGAATAAAAACATCTCTATTAACACCACTCACACAAGTTTAAAAAGAAAATTACTCAATTCTTTGCAACAAAGAGACCACACAATTCAAAGTTTTATCTTACTAAATCATATATGGTAAGCTACAACTCAATTATAATGAAAGATGTCTTTTGTTCATCAAACATTAATATAACTTAAGTGATGAATGAAGATAGGATAAAACTAATACACAATGTGTTGAAAGCTGAATCTATTCGTTGAGGGTGTCATTATCTAAAACAAAATATATATTGACTTAGGCACGTGGTGTTGAAAGTCAAAACTATTGTGAGGGTGAGTTCTCTATTAAGATTGAATGATACTATTTAAGAGGGTTGAACACGTGAAGTCAACTATATTTTTAATAAAAAATAATAGAAATCTAGTAAGAAAATCTTCTAATATTATATGTAACATAATAAAAAGTGAATCATATAAAATCTATGTCTATTACCATTATAAGTGAGAGAGACATAGACTAGAGTGACAAAGTGATGAAAAGAAAAATCTCAAGTTAATTTATATATAGATTTCACATAGTGTATTAGAATGTGTCAATACATATACATAATTAAAAAGCTAAAATAAAATTAAACATAGAAAATTAATTCACCCCCACGTGCTTGATACTTCATTTAGTCACATTGAACTTGACATTTACTTCACAAAAACTCATTGATTTGAGTGTTTTACTGATTTAGTTTTGTACTATAGTAGTTTATATAAATATTATTAATATTTTCACTAATATAAAATAATAATTCTTTATATTGTATTAAGTTAATTTAATATTATAGGTCACAAATATACCTGATAAGTTTCTATCTAAAAAATTTATTAATATTATTTTAGATTATACTTGATATTTCATGTTCAATCTCTTATCATGTATATTATGAATTAGACATAATTTAATTTTTTTTTACTCTTTAAACTTATTGGTCATCATCAAAATATCATGTATTTCAATGTTCCAATAGTTTCAAGAATCTTCACATATCAATACTTATCTTGTAACATAAAACCTTAAATTTTGTAAAGGAAAAATATATTTTCAGTTTTATCCTATTTCTCACACTTCACAAGGTGACGTAGGACAACTACTCTCCATCTGGGCACCGTAATAAATTCGAAATGGTACAAATAGAATAAGAAATCCGCAAAAATCTGTGTACTTCGTTCGTCGAGCTGTCATGAGGTCTTTGTCGTACCCAGCACCAGGGTTATATTAATAAGAAGGATACATTTTTGTCGTCTTGGAGTTGTCAGTGATGGCCTGCTTAGAACTCTCTGCGTTTTGACACGTTACTTCGTTGACTCATCACGTGTCCGCCAGAGAAGATCGCTTATTGGGCCCTGGTCAGAGGGATAAATGGGCCTAACACCGAGTAGACTGATCCGACCACCTGACGGCGCTACTCGGGAAACTCGGGCAATTATGAGACTAACAGACGACGGCAAGTCCTCACGTGGCGACTGATCCGATCCGCCGTCCGAGATCGCCTGGTCGGAGCGGTCAACCAGTCAGCGGCACCAAATCCAGCACGTGACTCCCAGGGATCCCCTCCCCTCCATCCCTCGCCGCGGAAGTTGGACCGACACACCGCTCTCACCCCCGTGAACCACATTCCCCACCTCCACTCCCGCCGGCAGCGGGCGGCGCCGGCAGCTCCTCGCCAACAGCTGGCGGCGATTTGATTCCAAGGGGCGCGAAAGCCCAGAGCCCCCCGCCCACAAGCTGGCCAGAGCCATTAATGGGTCGACTCGAGGCTCTACAGCGTCGGCATAAACACGGGGCTGCTGCGCTACCAGGTGGGAAGTAAATTGGCCGGCTCGTAGCGGTGCTAGCGGTCAAAGAATGGCCCGCCCCACGAGGAGCGGCGGCGCCGGGAGGCGTGCGGCGGTCGCCCGCCGGAAGCGCGCCCCGAGGAACCTCGTCGTCGCCGGCGGGTCCGGTCAGGTTGGGTCGCGGAAGACTCGGCCTTCGTCTTGTGGAACGCGGAAGTGACGGATCCTGGGGCGTTAATGTGGTCCGACGGGTACGGTCAGACCCAGCGCGTCCACGTCATTAATCACACGAGTAGTCGGAGTTAAATTATCGTGTTCCAAAAAGGTAATTGTTAGTTTATGGTCGAGTCACGTCGGGGTTCTGGTACGTGATAGGAGGCGATATGGAGACCCGCGGAGTAACATACCATTCATTGAGCGAGGGGGAAGAAAATCAACGTTAGTTGACGACGAGATGGGTACGGCCATCGTACATCCAAATCCAACGCAGAAATGCGGACCCCCCCAGGCACGTGAACCTCCCTCCTTCCCCGGGGGGCGCCCGCCTGTACCCCCTACAGAATACGGCGGACCGCACGTGCGGACGGACAGAATAAAGCCGGAGCTTCCTAAGAGAAAGAGACGTCTTCAAAGATCCTGCCTTTCCCTCTTCAGCTCGCAGAGGGAGAGAGAGAGAAGGGGGGGGGGGTTTGAATGATGATGGCTCGAGTGGAGCTGGGCGGTGTTGATATCCCGTACCACTTCCGGTGCCCCATCTCCCTGGAGATGATGAGGGATCCGGTCACCGTGTCCACAGGGCAGACCTACGACCGCGCTAGCATCGAGTCGTGGGTGGCCACAGGCAACCTCACCTGCCCCGTTACGCGGACCCCGCTCACCGACTTCACCTTCATCCCCAACCACACCCTCCGCCGGCTCATCCACGACTGGTGCGCCGCTCACGGCGGCACCGCCGCCCCGAAGCAGCAGCGGCAGCCCCCCGCCGACGCCGCCCTCGTCCGCTCCCTCCTCGCGCAGGCCGAGTCCGCCGACTCGGTGGAGTCCTCCCGCGTCGCCGCTCTCCGCCGCCTCCGCACGCTGGCGCGGGACTCAGACAAGAACCGCCGAGTCATCTCCTCCGTGCTCGAAAACCGCACTTCCCTCCTGTCCCTCGCCTTCGCCGGCGCTGGGGAAATGAGAGGAGGAGGCAACGAGTCCATCGCCGGCGCGTTGGCTCTGGAGTCTCTCTCCTTGGCGGCGATGCTGCCGCTGTCGGACCAGGAGAGCGCGTCCATCGCCTCACGGCCGGAGTGTCTGTCGTGGCTGGCGGCCCTGCTCTGCCGCCACCCGTCGGCCGAGACACGGACCGACGCTGCAGCTGTGATCGAGGCGGTCTCTGCGGCGGCGAGGTCGCAGGATCTCCGAGTGACCGTCGGAAGCACTGCCGGCGTGGTGGAGGGGCTCGTCCGGCTGGTGGAGCTCCATTGCCGCCACCAGCGGGCAGGTAACGTGGCTATCAGGGCGCTGTTTTCGCTCTGCCTGGCTAAGGAGAACAGGGAACTTGCCGTGTCGGCTGGGGCGGCCGGCTCATTGATGAGCTGCGTTGCGGCGGGGGACCTCCAGCACGCCTACCTGGAGCGGGCACTGGCGACGGTTGAGCTGCTCTGCCGGGCGGAGGGCGGCGTCGAGGTGGTGGTGGGGCACGGGGGAGCGGTGGCGGCGCTCGTCAAGGTGATGGCCGGAAAGGTATCGGACCGCGCGGCGGAGCACGCAGTGGGGGCGCTCGTGGCGGTATGCGCCGCGTCGGAGGAGTTGCAGAGGGAGGCGGTGGAGAACGGCGTTCTGGGGTGGCTCCTCCTGATGGTGCAGAGCAACTGCACCGAGCGGGCCAAGCGGAAGGCGCAGATGCTGCTGAAGCTCCTCCGCGCTGCTTGGCCCCGCTACGACTCACTCACCAACTCCGACGACTTCCAATTCCAGACGCCGCCGCGGGCCGTCTCCCTGAGATAGTCGAAGGAAAAACCTTTCCTCGCTCCCTTTAAATCTCAACCATTCTATCCAAAAAGGTATGATCGAATGCCATGCACCATAATCCATCATTCTCCTCTCTCTGTCTCTCTCTCTCTCTCTCCCTCTCTCTCTCTGTCTCTCTCTCTCTCTCTTTCCCTCTACCTCTCTCTCTCTCTCTCTCTCTCTCTCTCTCTCTCTCTCTCTCTCTCTCTCTCTACCCTCCCTCTCTCTCTCTCTTTCCCTCTACCTCTCTCTCTCTCTCTCTCCTCTACCCTCCCTCTCTCTCTCTCTTTCCCTCTACCTCTCTCTCTCTCTCTCTCCCTCTACCCCTCCCTCTCTCTCTCTCTTTCCCTCTACCTCTCTCTCTCTCTCTCTCTCTCTCTCTCTCTCTCTCCCTTTACCTCTCCCTCTCTCTCTCTCTCTCTCTCCAGACCAAGCTCCGGCAACCCGGAGGCAAGCAGCCGAATCTAGCGGAGAGCCATCTCGCCGCCGTTCGAGCTTCGTACCCGCGCTGAGAAGCCCTCGTCGTGAAAGGCTCGTCAAAGTCTTACCATTTTTGTGCATGCGAAATCTTTTCCAGTTGTGCCTTCGCCCACTGCCACGCGTTAAGCTGGGCAGCCGCGACAGTGGTCTGCAGTAAGAAGCCCATCATTTGTTCGGATTCCTACGAAGTCAACTCCAGGTGCTGTCGGTCACCAACCGAATCCCTTGTTAGCTCCGGCCCAAAATGTTCGGCGGGGAAGGCCTACATATGGGCTATTAGGCCCATTAATATGCCACCATGGGGCCCAAAATATTCGGTTTTACGGATGTGATAATAGGTGTATCAGAATAGTGGGCCGTGATCCGCTCTTAATGGGCCTGTCAACGATGGGGCCGATTTCCCTCTTTCTGGGTGACCCCAAAAACTATTTGTCATTGCCCGATTTCCCTTCCTCCCTCTCCCTCTCTCTCTCTCTCTCTCTCTCTCTCTCTCACTCTCTCTCTCTCACTCACTCACTCTCGCTCTCGCTCTCTCTTAAATGAGCCAGTGCAAGACTAACTTTCTGATTCCTTCCTAGGCCGTTGACTCTGAGATGAATGATACCCGGGTCTGATTTTCACCAATTTTGGATAAGATAAAAAATAATTTTCCTATTAGCGAAGAGAGAGATTAGAGAGAGAGAGAGTGAAACGGATGAATGAGTTCATCTTTGGATTCCATTTCGTGTTTCCTGCACTGCGGATCAATCGTCGCTGTTAGTGGGCACAGTCGATTTCTCCGGAGAAAGAGGAGCGGTAAGGGGGAGGAGGAAGACGAGGGGCATCAGAGCTGGTCAAGGAGGTTGAGGACCTCCCCCATGGAGGGCCGGGCCCTGGAGGCGTTGGAGGTGCAGCGGTGCGCAACCGTGAGGAATCCTTTTACCTGCTCCTCCTCTGCCGCTGGCGGCGCCGCCCCTTCGCCGCCCATCAGAGCCGGGTCGAGCAGCTCCAGCCCAGATCCCCCCTCCACGAGGCCCCGCGCCCAGCGCACGAGCGCCACCTCCTTTCCCTTCACAAGCACCGGCCAGTTGGGGCGGCGCCCGCTGGCGACCTCGAACATGAGGATCCCGAAGCTGTAGACGTCCGCTTTCACCGTCGCGGCGGTGAGCCCATCTCGATACTCCGGCGGCATGTACCCCATCGTGCCGGCGACCTGCGTGGAGACGTGGGATCGTGAGGAGTCCACCCGCCGTGCGAGCCCAAAATCGGTGATCCTCGCCTCGAAGCCGCCGTCCAGCAGCACGTTGCTGGCCTTGATATCGCGGTGGATGATGGGGGGCTTGCAGTCGGCGTGCAGGAAGGCGAGCCCTGCGGCGACGCCGCGAATCACCCCCAGGCGCGCCGCCCACGGCAACGGCGGCCGCGAAGAGGAGGTCTCGTGGAGCCACTGGTCTAAGCTGCCCTGCTCGAGGAACTCGTAGATGAGGAGGCGGTCGCTGCCGGAGACGCAGTAGCCCAAAATCCGAGCGAGGTTCTGGTGCCGGATCCTCCCCAGGGTCTCCACCTCCGCGCGGAACTCGCGGAAGCCGTGGAAGGCGTCTGGGGAGAGCTTCTTCACGGCGACAGTCCTCCCGTCGGGCATCTCCGCCCTGTACACGAACCCAAAGCTGCCGTCGCCGACGATGCGGTCGGCGGCGAAATTCCCCGTCGCCGCCGCGAGCCTCGCCATGGAGATCCGGTCGAGGGAGGGGTCGAAGGTGACGCTCTCGTTGATGGAGGCTCCCGCCCTGGGGCGCTCGCCGCCGCGGGAAGGAAGGTTGAGCACGCGGGAACTTCGGTTCCTGAAGGCGTGGAGGCAGAGGATGGCCACCCCGAAGAGGAGGGATACCAAGAAGAAGCTCCCGCAGGCGGCGAGCAGGGCCTGGATCACGGGTTCCATGGCCGCCGCCGGCGAGGAAGACCGGCAAAGTAGCCCGTCGGAGATTTGCTAGAGGAGAGAGGAAGAGGAGGGGAGGAGGACGGATAGGAGACCTCCAGCCGGCTGCGGAGTGGGTGGGGGCTGCAGCACCTCTTCCGGCTTTGACTCGTCCCCTTTGGGTGGAATCGGTGGAGAGGAGGAAGATGACGGGGAAGAAGAGAACGAGTCCCCTACGGGATTTCGGATCTCCGTTGAGATGCTTATTATCCTTTACCGGTAACTATCCGGATTCCCATCTTTGACCAGCCGCAAAGACGATCCCACCCGACGATTTCCACGGCTCCACTCTTTGCACCACGCTTAAATACGCCCGCAGCATACTCCGTTGACTTTTGGGCGTCCGACACGAAAAAAAGGAGAAGTCGTCGTCCCTCCATTTATGGCCGGTCAACCAGAAGAGCGCGTCCCCTTTTTCAGAGCGAATCGGCGAAAATTCCCTCAACTCTGACCCTTTTTTTACCCTCTTCCTGAAAAAGATGCAATTTTTCGAGCCAGGGTTAGAGAGAGAGAGAGAGAGAGAGAGAGAGAGAGAGAGATGAATCAAAGGTGGAGTTTTGTATAGCTGAAGTCAGGTCGGGCAGTCCAAGTCAACGGGAGAGGACCCACACGGCAGGCCGCACTGCCGTCTACGGTGTTTCATTGACTACTACTCATCTCCAAGTACTTGATCTCCCCGTTGTCCTCGCCCTCGGTCACGGGCGGCACCGCCCGTCCCCGGCGGAGTGGCCGGGGGTTCCCGGTGACGCCCTTCACGACGGCGGCGTAGAGGTCGAACTCCGCCTTCAGCTTCCGGCAGCTCGCCTCGATCCACTTCTCCGCCACGCTCGTCGAGACGCTGTCCTGGGTGTCCCTCTCGTGCTCCTCGATCGCCGGCCGTATCTCGTCGTACAGCGCCTCCAGTGCCGCCGCCGCCTCCTCCTTCGCCTCCTGCAAGGCAAAAAGCAAGCAAGCAGCGCCCTCGTCATCGTCCTTCTCTTTCTTCTTCCACAAGCGGAGAGAAAAACCCTAAATCGCAGTAGAAAATACCTCCAAGGCCAGGAGCTCCTGGGAGGTCCCCGCGGAGGCGAAGCTCTCGGCGAGGAGCTTCACGTTCACCTGCTTCTTCACGACGGTCTTCGTCTTCCCGTTGGCGAGGCGGGGGAATTTGCTAGGCCCCGGCTCGATGTGGTACTTCCGGCAACCCGCGTTGCTCTGGATGCGGGATATCATCGCATTCTGCGCGAACTGGTGGTGGGCCTCCGGCGAGTACAGCGTCTGCTCCCCCGCCGCCGCCGCCTCGCCGTCGCCGCTGCCAATCCGCACGGAGTTCAGCGGCTCGATGACCATCGGCGAAGTGAGGGAGCCACTGACGCCGTCCTCGGCGGCAGTCCCCGTCGCCGGAGCCGGCGGCTTGGGGAGCTTCAGCGACGGGTCGTCCTCCCCGGAATCGTACAGCGGGATGTTGTCGACGGAGTACCTGCCGGCGGCGAGCGAGGTGGTGGGTAATTGCGGGAAGAAGAAGCTCACAAATAGCGGAGAAAAAGAGGACACGAAGAAGAAACAGGGTCGTCACCTGGTGTCGTCGTCTTCCCACAGATAGAAGGCTTCCTGCAAAAGCACGCTGTCCCATCAAATGCCGCCATTTTGAAGAGCAGAAGTGGACAGCCAACGAGGAGGAGGTGGGATCTTCTGACCTGGAAGCCACGAGATTTAGCTCCGAGAAATCCGGAGCAGGAGGGTGCGCCGCAGAGGCAGCGGACCTTCGCACCGCCGTACCATTCGAAGTTATAATCATACGATAATTCTGTTCCAGCGGGGATATCCTGCTTTGCAAATATTCCGACCCTTATCTCGCCCGAGACTGTCCACTTCCTCGTCTCGCAGTTGGGCTGGCTGCATCCCCAGTGAGGAAACGGATCAGGATGCCATGGCAGAAGGTCAACGCTAGAACAGCGAGCGAGCAGCTTCTCACCATGAATGGTTGATGAACCTCGCCAGGCTCCCCTTCCTGGTGGCGTCAATGGACTCATTGCCATTGAGGGAGATGATGTAAGCGTCTCTCAGACCTGCGCGATCCATCCGACGGTGATTAACCGGCGTTGAAGTCAGCGGGGCATCTCATCCAGCAGCTGAGTCGTCCTGTACCTTTAGACTCGTAAAGCTGAGACCTTTGCTCGGCTTCCTTCCAGGAGATCACCTCCCCACAGTACTCGATGACGAACTGCCCTGCCTGAGTCGAGCCCATGTGGTTGGTTATTCAGGCAAAATGCTTGTCCAAACAGATCATTGGAAGTGATTATGCAGGCAAGTAAACATGTCTGGAGAGCTGTTCTGGGGCGAGATAAGATATGAAAGCACAATCTAACCGCAACACAATAATAATAATAATAATAATAATAATAATAATAATAATAATTATTATTATTATTATTATTATTATTATTATTAAAAGAAGAAACTAATAAACAAAAAATGGGCACAGGTTAAAGAGAGGACGCCGATGTATTACCTCGATGTTCTGAGCGGCAAGAAGACCCCAACCACGGTCTTCAGTTTTAAATAACCTTAATATTGGATATTCACATTTCTGGAATTTCTGTGAAGATAAGAAGAGGGAGAGAGCAAGATGAAATGAACAAATGCTCCGCCTGAAGATATTACTGTGTTGAACATATTTACCAGTTTAGCTACAAAATTTACCGAAAGCAGGATATTATTTAAATTCTATATTATAAAAATGAACCCTGAAATCTTAAGTTTACTTAATTTTGAAATCCAATAGCAGACATAAGACTAGGATGCATAGTAATTCTATAAACGCATATATCTATAGCGAGAGCAAGAGCGAGAGAGAGAGAGAGAGAGAGCCATTTCTCAACGTTAACCATCACCTAAATGTTGACCAGCCAATGGCAGGGAAGCGGCTACGGGTTGGCTTGCAAGAAAAATATCATATACATTTCGGTAAACTAAGCCGTTGATGTTGACGTTAGTATAAAGAAACTGATGTTATACTTTAGCCATTATGAACGATGCTAACCACTGATGTCAGAAGCTTGACAACTAAAGAGCTCTACGAGGCAGCTGAAAGAGTCAGAGAGGACCCTTCTATAAAAGGTGGATTCTGAGGGGGGCAAGAAGGTCAACGGGAGGGCAAGGAATACCCAGATTGTATGCGCATTAACGAAAGATGTGTGAATCTACAGCCTACTTACACTCTTAAGTTGTGTTGGAGCACATGGAAATCTGTATTTTGAGAAGCCCGGTGCATTTTTTTTTAGAGCACAATTTTTTTTTATCACGATTCGGATGTAAGAATTGCTCTACCTCAGCATGCAAGATATGATTTCAACGTAGAGCTAGATCTTTCATTACTGAGCATTCATTCCAGAATGATTCTAAAATATAGCATATATAATTTCATTGAGGACAGATGGTTGACTCACCTGATTTTTACAATACACACCGCAAGGACAATAGCCAGGTGTGCACTCGGTGCTGGTCAGCACATTCAAACACCTCTCCCCACATGCACTGTCAGGATCATTCGCATCAAATTGACATACACATACGACAATATCCTCCTCTTCCTGCTTCACATGTCTAAGCAGGGGAAAACGATATGCAGTAAAAACATGAGAAAGAACAAGAAAAATCATAAGAAAATGTCTTGCATGAAACATGTCACTCAACATACATATAGCAATTATTAAACAATTACCCATGTTTTATGTCTTGAAGATCAATAACTTAAGAAGCTGAAATTGGAAGTACCAAAGTCGGACATTAATATATGATTTGATTACTCCACCTTATAACGTTTTTTCAAAAATGACTACTCCAAATTAATGAATTAAATGCGCCTAAACCATATATTGTTCAAAATAAAAAAAATATTGAATATAAATCAAGACCCACCTCTTATCTTTCTATGAGAGTACTTACTTTCGATATACGAACTCATTCATGTAAATATGCTCGTAGAGTGGTGGACCCTCACCCTGTTGATCCTGAAAATAAAAGTTCATTTCGTTAGTTTTCACCTTACCTCCGGACAAATACCATAGAATCCCTAAACATAGGAGAAGTCAACAGCAGTAAGCGAAAACAAATATGGGGAAGGTAAGATATGTGAGTAAACCACTGAACCATTCACCAAAAACACGAAACATATCATCAGTTGGAATTAAAAGGAGCACTGCAATAACTATGCATGACCAACGAATCAAACTGTTTGCAAGAATACGCCTTCTGGGAGATGGTTTCTCGCAGAAGCAGAAAAAGGGATCCTATTTTATCACAGATCTCTTGAACTCGGAATCAAATTTTTCGCTTTTCATCTCAAACCCAAGAATGTGCATGATAGAGGCCTGAAAAATGACAAAGAACGAATCTAAGAACTTATTTTCATTTGTAAAAGTAAAACTCAAATGATCTCATTTATTGTAGAGAGATCATGTCTAATATGGGATCAACTTTTCATAGATACCTCTGCAAATTTTAAATTAAATTCTTTATCCTTACCTATTATTTTCACAAAATTAAATGCTGATATTTCTATTTTAGCTGTTACCTAGCCAACTCAGATAAAATGTATTCTTGACTATTATCTCAATATCTTTGATTTTCTTTCCTTGCATTCCTGCTTATTACGCTTTTGTAAACTTAAACGCAATGTCTGTATTTTAAATGCTGCTTAAGTAACTTAAGTTAAATATATTTATCCTAAACTACTACTCTGCAAGCTTATACAATAAATCTCCATTTTCTTAACTGTAACCTCCATAATAGTCCTAAACTAGTCCTAGATATCTGATTGAGGAAGATCTTGAAAGCAAGAATGATGAACGAATTAGCTAATAACAGTCCCCAATTCCGACTCGTATTGAAAGCCAAAATAAAAATTCAAACCGTACATTTGTAGTCCAACGTTAACATCATTCTGTAATTGAGTCCTTCATAATAGAAAAATGGCTTCGAGATTCACATGCTGAAAAAGGTAAACTTCATTTATTAGTTTTTATTTCATTTTTTTATATATATTTAATGATCATTGTATAGCTGTTTTTTCCATTTTTTCGTGCTCTGACAGATTTCTTCCTCTAGTTGCTGCCATATGTCGTATCCTAAGAGTCCAATTAAAATTTGAAATATTCGTCAACGTGGGTGGCACGAAGCAATGGGTGACCTTACTAGGCCCAGCAATTTTTCTCTGTTTGTTAGTTCAAAAGTGATTCAAACGTATTTCTTGCTCCCTTTACATCCATGATTTCCATGAGCTTTTGTTCACATGAATTTCCCCAAGCCCACTTGCCCTGGTTCAGCCATGAGTTTGCTACTCCATGTTAAACTATCCAATAAGTTTAGAAAGCAGTGCATAAGGATCTGTAGAATTTAATTTGAATTTATGGGTGCAATTCAAATTGAATTTCATGGAAAATTAGTCAACAATACAGGCTTTTATTTAGCTCTGCAAGGTAACGACTAAAACACAACAATCTCCAGTAATGTTCGTAGAAGTAATAAGCTATAACAGATTAAGTAAAGTTATATTTTCAAGTAATATCCACTATTCAACCTTAAATCACATAGGATAACTCCACAATAAATGGGCTATTTAGAATCATTCTTCTAAACTTCAAGGCCTGAAAATGGGAAAAAATTCAATTATTTGAATTCATTCAAAAAAAAAAATTGAGCTCCCATCAAACAAAAGTTTCATTATCTTATACCATATGTACATGGATACACTTACCTACTTTTGCAAACATTTCTACAGGATTCTAACATGTTCGACTCTGATATGGTTTAGTCTTGGTCCATTTTTTCTAGGTGATCGCTTTCACCTGATTCCATGTTTACCCTTAACATCTTGTTTCTTTTCCGTTAAGTAGTTGGGACACGATAGCATCTATGATCCTTGTTGTTTGAACGTTCCCTCCGCTTGCAAGAGATGGGGCTTTCTTCGGAGTTAGGGTACTGAAAAGTATTCGACACCATGCTTCCAGCAGTTTATAAAATTATAAAATGTATTTGCATTCATAATGTGATCATGAAATCGGCAGATGAAAGAAGCTAGTATTCTGTTTACATGGAGTAAAAAACGTGCCCTGTAATGCTGTAAAAGAGATACTAGGCTTAGCTATCATAACGAATCAGGAGTAATATTCTTAAATGGAAAAAAAATCACAGGAAAGTTTCCAACATGGCTTGACTGTGAATGAAAACCCAACCAGATTGCCGGGTACAATTTTAAATGCACGACCAATAACCTTGCGTGCACATGTAGAAAAGTGTTATCTATGCATGCGTATTCGAGAGAACGCCCTTTTATTTTTATGCTAAACCAAAGGTAGGTAGTGTTGCACCTGACACCCAAGTGGAGAGAGGAGAGAGGAGAGAGGAGAGAGGAGAGAGGAGGAATCCATATGCACGTCTCCAACCCTAGGGAGAGATATGACGGAGGAAAATAGCGAGTGGATGACAATACATATACTGTAATTTGTTGATGTCAAGAGGGCAAAGAGCTAGAAGTTGATTTGTTCAATCCATCCGAAAAAGAGGGAGGGAGAAAAATGCGATTTTTATCTCTTAGTTATAAGATTAGAGTAATAATCCCATTCATTTGAAATGGATGGTAAAGGCAAAATGAGCATAAGAACAAATAAATATCACAAAATTCATTGAGAAACATAAGATACAACCATGACCTAATCCATCCTCTGAAAAACTTTGGAATAATCCCGTCCTAACCTTCTTATTGGTTGAAAAAATAACACGAAAAAAGAAACTGCATATATTCCCTTAGATCTCCCATAAATTGCAGGCCTGAAACTTTATATGTGGTTAATAAGATAAACATACTGAACAACTACGATCCCTATTTTTTCCGATCGTTTTTTCTTGCTATCCATCTTGGCACTGACACTGCGAGCAGCCTCATTTTCCTCCGAAAGCTAGATCGACAATTTCCCAATCTAAGCGATGATTTTCCCCCAAGCAAGGTGCGAGTTCGGAGGAATGCAATCACACTGTTGACAATCGCAAAACCACTGGCACCGTGTCTGGACCGCATAAAAAAACATTCAACTTCTCCCACGGGGGAAAATCATCATCGAAGAGCTAATCAGCATCTACTGACAGCTACACCCCAACTTCCAGAAGGAGCTTCAGATCATGGAGCATAAATAAAATCAGAGGAACAAAAAACCAGGACCAGCTTCGATTACCTACCTCCACCTCCTTCCCTTTGAATATATCCCAATTTTGCAGAGATAAATCGTCGGGATGGGCACCATCAACGTCACCAAACTCCGGCAGAGAAAAGAACCCTCCCTCCATCTGTTTTCACCCCCCGTTCACCTGCAATCCACTAGATGCTACCGCGACCAGAGCTAATTCCTCAGGAAAGAAATCGATCGCGCCCCTTACCCCGCCAACCCTAGAATATCCCGGGCCCATTTCAGTGATCGGCCCATTTGGCCCAATTGTCTCGAGCGAGCCATAGAAAATAGTGGGCTGACCACACCGCTGAGGCTCAAGGCCCATGTGAGGTTTGATAGGCTGTTTGATCCATGTAGGCCCATTAAAGAAAGCTGCTGGAGGACTTCTGTGAAGTGGACCGAGTCTGGGGGCCCTCCTCGTGCTCACGCGTTTTACCGGTGTCTGACCACAATATACCCGTTGACTTTTTCATTTTCAACGAAACGAGATCAGAGAGAGAGAGAGAGAGAGAGAGATGGAAATAAAAATATAGCCAACTTTATTCAAATCCTCTTCGACCGTAGAATCGATTCTTTTCAGATTTCGGGGCCGCAAAGAAGTTCTCAAGGTTCTTGTGAGCCTTTTGACTTCTGACCTGCATGTCCACGTCCAACCGCTCATTACGCTCACCGGTTATTCTAATTTTCTCACGTGCAAAGTGTCGTGGCCACCAATTGCGGCGGGTGAAATTCCACGTGCGGCACACGGAGAGGAGGCCCACGGGAGCCGTCGGCGGGCGCTCCACCAGCTCCTTTTCTATACCTGCTCCCACGTACCACTGGTTTCAATATTCGGCCCAATAAACGGTTACAGGCCCAAAAACATACAGAGGTAGGGCTATGGACGTCGTATCGGCAAGCGAGAGAGAACGCCCATCACAAACGGCATTGGACCCACCTACTACTATCTGAAGTGGTCAGCCATTTGTGAACAACTGACCTCCGGGTACTGGGCCTGCGTTTATGGATAAATTAGTTGTCACATCAGGGCAACAGACGGACAGATACACGACACATCGCTTCGCAATTTATGGTCAAACTCAACCTCCTAGCCGTTATGGTTATATATATATATATATATATATATATATATATATATATATGCATATTAATTCGTGGAGAGCCCAAATAAACGGGTCTCCTTCAAAAATATTTTAAGATGGTATTATTTATTTATTCTTACGGGGGGGGGTCGTGGAAAATATTTTTCAGGAAATTAAAAATCCTAGCGAGATAGGAAAGTAATCAATTAATATTATTTTAAATATTATTTTTTGGAATTGAAAAAAGAAATGGGATGATGAATAGTTTTTGGCGCTTTTTGGGCCATTTAAAGCGAGGATTTTTATAATTTTACGTACTCCACCTCGTGGACGGCACCGGGATCGGCCTCGTGCTTTTTTAGGATACAGTCCAGGAGGGACTAAACTGTAAATAGTTTCCCGCACGTTTCCAACACGTGGTCTTGCGGCCTATAATTGACGCAAAAACTTCGTCTAGATTCCGAAAGTTGGCGGAGTGAGGGAACCCCGCGGAACTCTCCTCCGCATGTGCTTCACGGTGGCGAACCGAGGCGGCGGCGAAAGCGGCGGCGAAAGCGGTAGCGGCGGCGGCGGCGGCGGCGGAGAGTTCCTCTTCTCGCCGGTGTGGGAGTTGGTAGAGAAGGGTACGACGGCGGCGGCAGCAGCGACCTTCGCGGGGTACTGCCAGGCGAAGGAGACGGAGGCGATGGTGTCGGCGTTGACCGCCGTGGTCGCCGGCGAGAAGACAGCAGACGTGCTATTCAACTCCCTGTCTTCTCCGGCTCCGGCAGCTTACGCCGTCTACAGCGGCGGCGCGATCAAGAGAGGGAGGGACGGTGGGCCGGCGGAGCAGGCCTCCCCGAGGATCTACCGAGGTTCCGGCGAGTTCCTTGGGGTTTCAACCTCCGCCATACCAGGTAGAAAAGATACTCGATAACCGATCACCATTCGCAAACCTTCAACGCAGTTTCGATCTTCACTGGTGCGGGCAAGAGAGAAAGAGAGAGAGAGAGAGAGAGAGAGAGAGAGAGAGAGAGAGAGAGAGCTTCTGTTTCCAGCTGACAAATCGTAGTAGTGGATTTTCGCAGTGATGAAGTTGAAGCAAGACTGCAAGGTGAGCGAAGGGCCGGCGGTGGAAGCGGCATCTTCGGCGGCGGGGGAGGGGCGGCGCCGACATGGAGGAACCCGGCGGAGGTTCAGAGGGGTCCGGCAGCGGCCGTGGGGGAAGTGGGCGGCGGAGATAAGAGACCCCCACAGAGCCGCCCGCGTCTGGCTCGGCACCTTCGACACGGCCGAGTCCGCAGCCCTAGCCTACGACCGCGCCGCCCTCCACTACCGCGGGTGCAAGGCCAAGCTCAACTTCCCCGAGAATGTGTCCCTCTCCACTCAACTCCCCGCCGCCGCAGCCCAGCCGGTCAACTCCCCGTCCGTCGTTCCGGACATGAGGGACTACTCGCTGTATTCCAGTCTTCTGCAGAACGCCGGCGACCAGCAGAGCGGGTTCAACCAGCTCTGCCAGTCCTCTCCGTCGCCACTCTGGGATTACTTCTACGCCATGGAGCGACCAGAGCACCAAGAACAGCGGCATCAGACTCATGTGGGTCCACTCGAAAGCCCATGCTTTCGCGGCGAGGACTGGTTGGAACCCGGCGGCTGCCCGCCGCATTAGCCTGTCTTCTTCTTCTTCTTCTTCTTCGTCTTCCTCCCTGTGGTTCTCCTCCTTCTGTAACAGTTTCCGACGCCGTTTCTCTTCATCTTTTCTTCATTGGAATTTCTCCCACCATGTTGATCGGGATCCGTTCTTCCGAACGAGGAAAGCTAAAAACGCTCCAACTTTGCTAATTCGGTTCCCATAGATTTCTTGGCTCCTCCCATCAACATCTATGGCTCCACCCAGATTACACGAAGCCGACTGGTGCCCACATAAATAAATTCAATATTATGGTCATATTTTGACCAGCTATCAGTTCCCCAGGCCGAGTCAGCGTCGCCAAAAGGCCTTTGAAACCAGCGAGCGGGCGAGAGAGACAGAGAGAGAGAGACTGGGTGTTACCATCTTGCTCGGTATCCGGAGGGTGTGGGCATAGTGGAGGTCGGTCAGCTGAACCCACTGGGTCACCCTCTGTTTTCTGCATTCACACGTGCGGCAGCTAACCCTGGTGGGGTTGGCCATAATGCCGTAGGATGACACCACTCTGGGCTTATCTTTATCTCAAATGCGATTTAGCCACGTTTAGTTCGTGAGATCAATGAATACTTTATGAAACCCCACCAGTCTACTACTTAGACAGAATACTTAGTCCCTCATGTCCGCTAGCTAGTTCAGAAGAAGACAACGGAGGCAACCCGGAGGAAGCACGCTTCCACCGCCAGTCATCATCGCACGAGAGAGAGAGAGAGAGAAATTAAGTGGAAAGGAGAATAGTTCGAAGGAGATTGCTGGAGCAAACAACAGGCAACAGAGGAAGCCAGTAGAGAGAGAGCGAGAGGGAGAGAGAGAGAGAGTACTGCTGCTCCACAGCACGCGGAGCAGAACAAGAAAGAAGCAAGCGGTCTACCCTAAGAGGAAGAAGAAGAAGAAGAAGAAGAAGCTTGGCGATTGGTTAAATAAGAAGAAGAGTCCTTCCCTTCCTTCCTTGCTCGAGACCCGGAGAAGGAAAGGAACGGCTGCTAGATGCTCTGCAACTGTGAGAAGGAGATCCGGACGGTGGCGCCGTCGATGGCGGAGGCGTGCTTGCAGACGAGGGCCTCCGTGGCCTGCTCCTCGGTCTCGAAGAGGACCAGCGCCTGCTTCTTGCCGCTGACCTCGAAGAGCTTCGTGCCGAGGATGGTGCCGTGTTCTTCCAGGTGGGTCACGATCTCGTCCTCCACAATGTCCTGCGGGAGGGACGACAGGTGGATCATCTTCGTCGGCGCGCAGCAGTAGCGGTAGTTCTTCACGGCGTTCCGGTTGAACCGGTTCAGGCTCGACCCCGAATACTCGTGCGTGTCCTGCGCCGCCGTGATGTTCGGATGCTTGGAGAAGTTCACCTCAAGCCTCTTCCCGAACAGCATTGCCCCCTGCAACCAACCAACCATATTCAAATAATTCAATCCCCCTCACCAACCATACATACATACACACATACACACACACACACACACATATATATATATATATATATATATATCTATATATATATATATATAATCACCTTCAGGAAGTGGACGGCCAGTTCGGCCTGGAACCCGTCGCCCATTTGAATGAGAGCATGATCGGGCTTGTTGCGCAGGAGCTTGATTCTTATGATGTTGCCGTAGATGGAGAAGAGGTTGAAGAGTCTGTCCTCGTCTGTTTTCTAGAGATTGAGGAGAGCGAAGAAGAAGGAAGATCATATCGGATTTAATAAACCTGAGTTAATAAATAAATAAAAGGGGTAATATTGTCTCACTTCTGGGTTTAGATTGGAGACGAGGATGGTGCAGCGGTCGTTGGTGCCGGTAACGCCGGGAGGGAGACCTCCGCCGAATGCGGCGGCAATGGCTGCAGGGTTGCCCATCTAACAGCACAGGAGAGTATATGAGGGAGAGCAGTAGAAGGATGATGGGCTGGAGAGCAGATGGGGGATGTTGGGCGATTTAGGTGAAGCCATTTTTGGGAACCGCGCTAGAGAGAGAATAGAGGGAAAAAAAAGGTTTTGTGGTACAGACCTCTCACTAGAAAGTATTGAGTAGAAAAATTGAGGAAAAAAATTAACAACCTGAGCGAAGCCCAGTCCCATTGGCTGAGCAAGACCCACCTGTGGAAATGGAACTGAAGCGACAAACATAAAGGAAAAAGAAACGCAGACGTCAGCGATCATGTGGGAAATGTTTTCAAATTATGAGAGAGAGAGAGAGAGTTACCTCCTCTAGCTCCTGGCGGCTGAAGGCCATAAATGCCAGCGGCATCACCATAACCCGACTGTTAAAAGCATAAAATTGGTATCATCAAGAAAAAATATTTAGTAGAACAATCAAAAGATAGAAATCGGCGAGCTGATGTTCAGAATAATAATGCTCGATGAAATCAATTCAGATCGTTGACGGGGAAGAAGCCACACTTACCTGCGAGGCTCTGGTCTTGTTTTCAGAAGGCAAGGAGGGATTTGTGAAATCTCTGGAAGCAGATAGGAAAATCGCTGGGTTACCCCATGCTAACATGGAAAGTTCAATCTGTACAGTGACTCTATACTCACCTGGATCTCTCATTGTTGTAATTCACTTGTAACTCGTTGAGGCTGAACAAAAGATGCAGACCAGTAAACCAGTTAAAAAACAGGATAGTTGGACTAGTGAGACGATGAAGAGTGCGGTCTTCAAAGCATACTTGGAGAACTGGATATCAAGCTGGCAGCAGCCATCATAAATGTTACGCCCCTATGGAGAGAATGAAACCCACCAGTCAATTAATTTGCCCACGTTGAAGAGATGGCGCTGTGTTCATACCCCCCCCCCCCCCAAAGAAAAAGGATAAATGGAAAAGTGGTATACGCACTTGTAAGGTGTCTCTTCCTTGAACTGCACTATGACGTGACTGATACTGTATAAGAGCTTGAAATCCTGCAAAAGCAGAAAAAAAATTTCAAAACAACTATGGCTTTGTTCTGTGAGATAGGCAGATATAGATAACCAAATGATACACAGGAGATGAATGTTTCCCACTCTCCACTAAAAAATGGAAGATATCTTAAGAGAGAAATGTAATACAAACATGATATAAAAAGCCAAGGGAATAAGGAAAGGGAGAAATCGATCCATCGAATTCTAAAACTAATAGACTAATTAATTGAGAAGTGTAGAGAGAGAAGACTTGAAGGTGCTGACCAGCGGACTTCTGAAATGTGACGATCTTCTCCACAAATCCATGAGGAGAAAAAACTTGATGCAGCACTTCCACGGTTATAGGATAGAGCATGTGATGAATGGTAACTAAGAGGATTCGGTTGGGTTGCGAATCCTGAATGCCGAACAGCAGACCAGCATAGAGACAGAAGGAAGAGAGAGAATAAATAGAGAAGAATGAATATTGAAAGATGAAGAAAGAGCTACAGAACGAGGGAGAATTCATAAACACCACTGGTACATAACTATAAAAGAAGAAAATGGAAAAAAGAGATGCAGATTCCACAGCATGCTAAGTGAACAATCATCAGGTATAAATAGCATAAACGAAAAATTATTTATTTACAACCTAAGTTTGTCAGATCTCTCTTATCAATCTGCAATTCTATTTGAGTTTTTTTTCCTAAAATAGCCCTCTTCTATGAGCTATTCATTTTAAGCCGTGTTCTAGTGTACGCAGAAATATAAGCAAATTTACGATTAACAAAAAAGAAGAAGAGATTATTAAACATTAACTACAGACACATATAAATATAGTTAATCTTACTGATTTCCAATAAGTCACGACTTGTCTAAACCTCTTAAAAAAACCTTGCAAAACTGCAAACCAACCACGTAATTACAAGGACTTGATCATAGTCGGAGTAACAGGGTGTAACGGAAGCCTACACTACTGATTGATGTAACACAAAGGCGTCCATTTATGTTAACCAGCACGAGAACTCTTTCGTGGCCTCTCTCTCTCTCTGCCTCACATAAATGTGCAGCGCATTAACTCCATAAACTACTTCTCTATGTACAACCATTTTCAAAGAGAAAGTTCACGTGTGATGTTACGAATCTCACAGTGAAAATAATATTGCCAAGAGTGGAGCAAAAGACGGAACCATCATTTACAGCTATCTGTGGAAAGAACACAATAGGCACCAAAGATAACGTTCTTGACAAAAAGTAAAGAGTCGTGACATCAAACACTTTCATTCAAACCTCTCTCTTTCTTCTTACTTTCTTTCTTCCCTCTATTCCCCAAAGCTTATGAATGTCATGTTTGAGAAATAGTCAGAGGTCCAAAAGTTTCCCATGTCTGGTCAAGTCCATTGGCAGAACCTCCTCGGAAGGTCCGACTACAAAACTTAGCAAGGAGATGGAAGCCTGCTCCTAACACTCTCATGCTTTCTGCCATTGTTCATGCAAGACCCCATAGAAAAAAGGAAAACAAGAGGTCGGGATTCTCCAAAGACCATTCGACGTAAAATGTAAGAAAAAAAGAAAAACGGTGATTGCTTCAGCACTTTGCATATTTTAGATAGGTAACGAAGAATACAATGTTCATCTCTCGCTCAGTCATCGAGCTTGACATCTCAAATTCATATCATAAGAAAAATTCTCCGTGACGACAATAATACTATGTCTTCTGTAAACAGGAAAGCTAACAAAGTGTTTTTCTAGCAACCTAAATACCGACCATTCAAAAATTGTAAGAAATTTCTAAATATGCATAAATTCGAATCGTCTACACAACATTCTTCAAATAAAATCCGAGCTTTGTTAGACATGAAGCTTAATTGTGGCACAAAAAAAACTAGCAAATTGTGAACATATTTTCTGAGGCAGGAAGAATGATAGAATTAATGAGATACCAACCTGGTCTTTGCTTCCTTGTGAGTTCTGATCAATTGTTGTCAGTTCTTGATGAGAAGAGAATTGCATGTACACATTTCGTCCCCTGTAAAGACAGCAAAGTGAGTTTACTCATAAAATACCGAAAAATTTTGGACATGATGCAACCCGGATGATTACAGCGTGCTTCTAATACTCAGTCACTTCCTCAGCATATTTACGACTTTGAAAATTACCCATTTATGAAAAAATGACACCAAAATAATGGGATGGGGACACGCCATAGTTTTTGGGGGTGTGAGAATATCGTAAAAGGGAACATTAAGAGAATGTAGGTAACCTTATTCGTTTTTTCACAGAATCAAACTGGAAAACCATCATTCATGTAGTCTCAACAAGGTCAGGCTCCTTGACCATTGATGATAACGAAAGCTTTCTGAAGGGAGAACCAAAATGATGAAAATTACAAGTGAAATTACTAGAAGCTATAAGCTAGGTCCTGATTTATTTTTTTTGATATCCACTGTGGCGCATAACAACGAAGGGAGGGAAATTAAATGCAAACAATGGATTCTTCCCTCGAGTATATAACTGTTCCCTTTAAGAGGATTCCATGATATGAAAACAAATGGAGGCAATAGATAAGCACGTAAAGCATGCTATTGCCAGAGGAACGTGACATACCTAATATTGGGCTGCAAGTTTGTGTAATATTGCAGCGCTGTCGCAGCAGAGGCTACATCATGCATCTGTAGAAGAGCCTGTGTTGGTTGGAAGCTATTCGGGTCAGCTGAGAGAAAGTATACCGCAAGACCACGTATATCAGAAAGTCAGAATCGTAGAAATGAGCGACAGAATGGTTAACCTGATTCTTAGCCCGCAGCATCACTAGCTTCGTAACAACGCCAAAAGGCTGAACCAGCTGGAGCAGATCATTCTAACACAAGAGAAGGATGTGGGAAACACAACGACGTTACAAACTCGTCAGGTAGTCGAGTGAAACAATGAAAAGGGGAAGAAAGCACTCACCTCGGAGATCTCGTGCCCGACGTTGCGAACGTGGATAACTTTTGACGGCTCAGACATCGTCACGCAGCCTTACAAATAAATCTCCCGCTCGGAGAGGGTACAGTCTCTGAAAACCTACAACAAGGACGACAAATGTCCAGAAAAAGTGATTGACAAAACCGCACAGCCGAATGCTTCATTTACGCCAACATAACAACACGCAGGAGAAGAAGTAATAAGATCAAGACGAATTAGGGTTCCGACGCCACTTACCCTGATCTTCCCTACGGTGCCCTAATATTCCGGTAGCAGGGACTGGGAGAAGATCTTGAAACAGAAAGGAGAGGAGAGGAGAGGAGGGAGGAGAGGAGGGAGGAGAGGAGAAGTGGCTGGGGGAAGATCGGGGGGGGAGGGGGAGGAGAGAGAGAGAGAGAGAGAGACGGGGTGGGAAGGAGGAGAAGGTGAAGGAGAGAACCCGCCTGCTTGATCTTCACCTGCGGAATCCACCGTCCACTTCAATCGCGGCTTTTTGTACAAAACCTTTGACAAACGGAGAACGGCCGGCATAACTGGGCTGAACTTCATTTCGGACAGTGTTAAATGGGCCCAAACATGTATGTCCGACCCTGGCCCATTTATCTCGGCGGCTCAATAAAACAGGTGCGTAAAACAGCCGAAACCAGTTCGGCTAATTAAAATAAATTGAGGTTCGGAAAATAAATCGCGTACGCCTCAATAAGGGATCCCAAGGTCGACCCGGCATGACTCGGGCCGAGTGCAGCCCGCGTCCGTTGCGTTCTGGAGTCATGCGGAACATCCGCGTAACTTGTTCCGGCGGAGAAGGAGACGCGCAAGCTCTTCACGGCAGTGTTATGCCCCGTTCTGACAATTGTACTTCATTTCTGGGTATTAGATAATTAAAATAAATTGAGGTTCTATTGCAGGAGATTTCTGTTTGCGAATATTTTTATGAGGACTCAATGACACGGTCTGATTTGTGGACTTGGTTTTTATATACCAATGTATCTCTCTCTCTCTCTCTCCCTCTCTCTCTCTCTCTCTCTCTCTCTCTCTCTCTCTCTCTCTCTCTTTATATATTTGGCTGCAAGCAGTCATTCTTTCTACGAGTTTGAAACATATTTTCTTGCGCTCTACGGTCTCTATCACTCTCTCTCTTCCCCCGAGTTTGAAACAGATGTCTTCGTTCTCCGCCAGTCATTCTTTCCACCAGTTTGTAACATACTTTCGTGTGCTCCAAGTCTCTCTCTCTCTCTCCAAGGGGGAGCTTCTAACGCCAGTCCATCTCTAATTATCCAGTCCTCGCCCGGGTCCATATAAACCCCGGCCGGACACAGAAGGTCCTCCACTGCAAGCTCCTCCAATGGCGGAAACCAGAGAGCTGAAGCTCTACGGGCTGTGGGCGAGTCCCCTCTCCATGGCGGTGGAAATCGCCCTCAAGCTCAAGGGACTGGACTACGAATACATCCAAGAAGACCTCGCCCACAAGAGCGAGGCCCTCCTCAGGTACAACCCCATACACAAGAAGATCCCCGTCCTCGTCCACAACGGCAAACCTCTCGCCGAGACCGTCGTCATCCTCCAGTACATCGAAGAGTCCTGGGAGGACGAAGGACCTCGTCTTCTCCCCCTCGACTCCTTCCGCAGATCAAGGATCCGCTTCTGGATCGATTTCATACACAACAAGGTAACAAGTACCCCCACTCTCTCTCCCGATCATCCTGCGCTATTTTCTGAACCAGATTCGTCTCCAAAGTTGGCTCCCATCAGCAGGACAATCTTCTTGTCCGAAGGAGAGAGGAGGCTAAAGGCGGTGGAGGAACTGGCGGAGAGGATCAACGCCATGGATGAAGGGACCCGCGAGGATCTCCACGCAGAGGAGAGGCCCCTCGACCTTCTCGACATCGCCATGGGGACCTTCTGCTTCTGGCTGAGGGCCCTCGGAGACATCGCCGGAGAGCAGCTCGTGGTGGCGGAGAAAACCGGCGGGTCACTCTTGGCGGCCCTCGCGAAGCTCGAAGCCGTCGCCGGCGTCAGAGAACTGCTCCCTGAACACGGCGAGTTGGTGGAGTACGCGATGGCCGTGAGAGACGGGTTGAAGGTGTTCCATGGGCCGTGAGAGACGGGTTCATCCACACGTGTGTGGATTACACGACCGTTGTTTACTATTTTCTGAGTGTAGTAGCTCGTGAATAAATAAATAAAATATATATACATGTTTTGATCTTCGTAACTAAGTCATATGGAGTGAGGGGCGAATGTTAAGGTTGTAATTAATTAGGGTTATAATTCATTAAATAATAGTTACGTAGCCTTTTTTAATAAATTCATATAAGAATGAACGCCAGATACTGACCGAGGAGAGGGGCAAATATTAAATATTAAATATAAAACAGTTTTATTTATTTTAGCTTGTTAAATTATAGTTATTCAGAGGGTTTTTTATAAATTCATATGACGAGTGGGCGGGTCCAACGTAAAGCTTAGAAATGAGATTTATTTAGTCGAGGAGGGTATTTTTATCTAAATAAACATAATAGTTAAAAAATAAATATAAATATATAATTTAATACTCTTTTAAGGATTTTTAAACTAATATATGAAGTTTTAAAATATTTTGATTTTACTTCCGGTTCGAGTTGTCGGTTTGCGTGCCGGACCGGTTACCGGTCTTGTAAAACCCTGCTGCCGGTTTAAAACCCTGGCGCGGTGGCGCTGGCTGAACGGCTCCGGCAACTGCTGCTGCTCTGGTTCGGGGTGAGGAAGGGGAGGCGTCGCCAAGGAGGGGCGCCATGGCTGTCGGCAAGGCCGCGTCTGTGCCTTCCGAAGCCGTGCTCTCCCGATTCCACAAGATCGTTCTCGGCTGGGACTACCTTCGCCTCCTCCGAGAATCCTCCGTCGAACACTCTCATCCACTTCCCACGTTTTCCTTCCTTCTCATGGCTCCGACATAATGCTTTACCTTACCGATCTTTTGCTCTCTCCGCTGCAGAGTAAGGCGTCTCGGGATGCTTCGGCTTCGGTTTTGAAGAGAATCAAGGGGACTTACTGTGATGTTGATGACTACCTGGGGATTTTTGAGCCCCTGCTTTTTGAAGAGGTGAAAGCTCACATCGTCCAAGTCAAAGACGAGGAAGGTGATGACATGGTTCTCGTTTCCGTTGGTATGGTCTTTTTTCTTTTCACAGAATTGATGCCGATAGCTATTTCCATGCGTGCGCGTGGCAGTGACGGAATGGCAGAAGGGCGCTATTGTTTCGTGCGAGGAGGCCAATGGTTTTCACATGGTTTCAGTGGCAATACTTGACGAATTCCGTGAAGAGGTGTCAGAGAACGACCTCTTGATTCTTTCCAAGGAAAAGGTGATATTTTCCTCTGGTCTAAGATATCAATCAGTAAAGATGTCTTTGTTTAACTTTCCACTCGAATTGACATGTTACTTGTCCATATTATTGTGATATTTTTGAAAAATCGGGTATTATGCGGTCATTTCATGAATGGAAGTTATCTTATAATCAGAATTCATAAAAACAGCAATCTTTTTCGTGTGGAAACCACTTAGATCTGACGATTCTTACGATTTCATTTTTTTTTTCCGCTTTAAAAACTTCGTTGTAGTTCTTATCGTTACTGCCCATCGCTTAGCTTCTGTAGTCGTCTCATGATATCAGCTGTTGCGTCTCGTGTTCCAATTTATTCATGCTACCCGGAAAAAGTACTGATGTTCGCTTCAGACGATGTGCAGTTCACGTGAACTCATGCTTTGACAATTTTCTACAGTTTGAGGAGGGGGCGACACCAAGTACATATGCCTTTGCACTGGTGGAACACCGTGGCGGCAGGGAAACTCTGATGCTGCGAATGTTTCTGTCTGGGGAGATTAAGCAGATTGACAAATTTGACATTGAATCCAGCCCTAGGCTATCGAAGATTCTGCCTATTCTTAAAACGAAAGAGACCTTCATGTGGATTCTAAAAGTGAGTTCTATATCTGCTACTGAGACCATGCTGCCTATCTGCCTCTATGATTCACTTAAACTCACGCATATGCATGGCATACTTCATTTCTATTACTGATGAAAATTAAATGTTAGTTTGTAGTCCGTAGGTCGTCTCTTGGGATCCACTTGTTTACTATTTTGCTTTTATCCACCCATTTGTTTTAGTTATTTGATGAATAGTTCCTTTACCATTGACCATGAAGCCAAAGATTAGAGATTTGGTGGGATTGACGTTTAGTTGATTATAGTCAATCACTTTGTATGCTCATGGTGATTGTTCAACTCCGAAATTGATCTCTGTGTATTCTTAAGAGATGTGTGGCATATCTATCACGAATAAACATCTTGTGTTCGCTATATATTATAACCATTTCACTGGCCGTGAATTTACTTGAAGATTGTGTAGTCTGTCTTACAATTCTGTGCTTCTTGTTGACTTTTATTTTATTTTCAGATTAGTAGTTTATCCACCATAATGCGAGAATATGTTGCTCTCCGCTCTATCAGCCATCTCCCTTTCAAGAATTTGATATTATCAGCAACAGATAAGTCAAGGGAAGCTAATTTGCAAGACCAGGTCTGGACTGTTCCAAGGTCACTCATGGAGTTTCTGGAAAGCAACCATAATGAATCACAAATGGAAGCCATTCGTGTAGGTTATTTTATTATTATCACAAAACTATTTTTTTGTGGTCATTATAGTCTGCTATTTTCCTGCCTTTCTGTTCTTTCAGGTATTTTACATTTTTATAAACATACTTAATGATTTTTTATTCTATCTTCAAGTTTTAACGGTGTAATCTATTTCAGGCTGGGCTTTCACGTAAACCGTTCGTCTTGATACAGGTTTGATTACTCTTTGCTTTATGCCTTTTCTTTTGAAACAAGAGTCTTCTCGTAGTCACAGAACCATGTTGTTGAATGAATAGCCTATTTGCTATGTAGCTCATGGATTTAGGGACTTGTGCGTATTTCTTTCACTGATGTTGTGGTACTAACCACCTCTAAAAACGAATCTCGCTAATTATATCATCCAAGGCTTTCATTCAATCTTTGATAAGCAGTAAAGACAAACATTAATCCTTTAGCAAAGCTCAGAACTTGCATAATATTACTGCTCCAGAAAAAAAATCGCATATTTGTGGTGGTTAAATTCAGTAATTCATGGTTCTTGCCCAATGGTAATATTCTTAATACGACTGAGGATTTCTAGTGACTGGCGATCTTCTACATCGAAGGTTTTTGGCCGAAGTCTTAGAAACATATCACAACTGGATTATAGACCAGTGTTAGTGATTGTCATTTTTACTCGGTGCATGGAAAAGACTCAGACTTCTTTCTTGTCCTTTCCTTCTTTGCTTTCTTCTCCTTCCCCTTTTCTCTTTCCTTCTCATTTTCCAAGAGAGCCTGCTATTGTTGAGTCAGGGTCTCTTCGAAGGACTCATATCTCATTTCCTTGTCCTTTGCCTTTTTTGTTCTTTTTTGACGAACTCGGAAGAGGAGCCAATCATTGAATCAGGGGAGCATTGCGGAAAACTTGTCATCTACGCTTATGTTACTTGGTGTTGTTATGTTTCCCTTTTTTGAGCAGCAAAATAGTCTTTTATAGTGGGTTACTGAACGGAGACAGTATTTGAAATCTACTAACTTCCGGTCTCTGAGAAGATGGTGCAATAACATGCTTTTGTTTCAATCTAACGAGTTTATCAAATAACATGCTTTTATAATGGCATTTGCCTTATGAATACAGTTGAGTTTATTCAAAAATTGACCTACACTTTAGATAGGTTTCATTTGCTTATCTTTTGTGCGTGTTGAATTTTAGGCCATGTTAAAGGTGCATTTTTTGGTCGTGTAATCTCTTTATGAATACTTGGAGTGACTTTTGGGCGGAATAATATCTGGGCTGAGATGGGGATATCTGTGGACCTTATCAAGAAGTTTGGGGAGGGCACTTATTTTTATGACTGGAAGTTAAGAATTAGCATGTGAGTTCTTGGTCTCTTAATATTTTTTTCCTTATCTAGGGCCCCCCTGGAACTGGGAAAACACAGACCATTCTTGGGCTGCTGAGTTCTGTTCTTCATTCAGCTCCTAAAAGAGTACAATCTAGGTACTTTTGATTTTTCCAAAAGTATATTTTATGATTAGGTAAGCTTGCCAATTCATGGTTGGTAGGCACCAGATAGTGTTATTTAGATGCTAATATTTTGGCGTGCACTGTTTTAATACAGGGGTGGGTTATCTGTTCTGAGGCATAAGGAAGAAATACCTCTTCAGGACAAGTATGCTTTGATTATAAATTTTTCTTCTCGACTTGTAATTGTGGCATTGATGTTTACGTAAATTATGACTGGGAGTTTATTATGGATCTTGTGACCTTCTTACGCGTGATCTGCACCATATGTTCTGGCATAGACTGCTGTCGATTCTTGCCTAAGGCTCGTTATTAGCTAACATTTCAGCAACGTCTTTTGTGATTGGTTATTTTCATGATCTGACTTATTCAAGTTTGCCAGTTTATGCTATGTTTTCATCTTACCCAAATGTGATTTTCATATACATGCGGCAAAATGCTGCAGAGAATCTACAACACTTATTTTTTCGATTCATTATGCCCTTCCCTTGTAAAAAAGAAGTCAAAATTGAGGACTCTGAGTTATAGGGCTCAAAAGCTTGTTGATGAAGTTATCAATTTCAATGGTTGTGCACGAGAAGTATTATTTCTTGTTATTCTTATCATACGGTTTAAATGTTTGCTACAGTTAACAGCCTAGTATGATACTTGATGAAAGCAGCTGTCCATTGTCAAATAAGTATTAAGGAACTGGTCCTGATTCGTTTCAATACGCCTAGGGTCAAAATTGGATGCTTCCATACTGATGAATATGTCATGGTGCTCCTTGATGCTGAATAACAATCCGGTTCATTGATTTCACCTCATTATTATTGCTTAGTTTTCCTTTCATCGACAGTGTTGTGTTGAAACTATTTTCCTAGAAAGAGGATATTGAAGACTATTACTGGGATAAATATTTGTCACAAAATCTTAAAAAAAGAATCACCAACAGCCATTTTTTTCCTTGCATGATTTTATGGGGTATATTGGAGGGAATGTGAATATTGGATTGGCTGGAGAAAATGAATCGACCAGCTCTTTCTACTACAGCTGTAAAGAATGCGACTGCAAATGGATCCAGGTTTTTATTTTTTCTCAAAAATATTTACCAAAAACGGAAATAAATCTGGGCTTCGCTGCCAGGATTCTCTGCTGCGTCTGTATTAATGGATGCCATTGATTTGTGTTCTTCATGCTATTTTGGGTTGTTATTCTTTTGAAAATTTACCTGTATCTACCGTGGCTTGTAGATTTCATCACTGGACAAGAGCATCACCTTGGTTGAGTGGTGTAAATCCTAGGGACCTGATTTTTCCTGTTGATGGTGATGATGGTTTTTTTCCAACAACAGGAAATGAACTCGTATGTCCATGCATTTTCATTATTTTCTATTCTTTGTGATTTTACTCTATGATCTTATTCTTCATTTTAATTTTCGTGTACAGAAACCTGAAATTGTCAGTTCCAATCGGAAATATCGCGTCCATGTTCTTGTTTGTGCTCCTTCGAATTCTGCCCTTGATGAGATTGTGTTGAGGCTTCTACAAACAGGTCAGAGGTTATTATACCATGGACATACATTATGTTTTATCATATGCAAATTCAATTAATCTCATCAGTTTTGGGTTTAGTTGCCTCAGGGTTTGTCTGAATCGCCTCTCTTTTTCCCTTGAGAAGTAGACAAGATTATTTTCCCGAAAGGAATTCATCTCTTGACGTCCATCATATTCGAACCATGTGGGTAAAATAAAATGGTTTAAACCATCGTAAAATGGGTTTATTTCATTATAAGTCGGGAAACCTGGAAACATTTCTTGGCGAATCTGGAAAAAGGGGGAATTTTTGAAGTGGATTTGTTTCCACTGGTGAAGTGAAACACAATATTTTTTTCTGACATGATTTAGGAACAAACCTGTATGGCTTCATTCGTTGATACCAAACTTTTCTGATTGGTTGCATGGTAATTTTCAAATCCTAAGCACAATGTATTATAAGTTTCTCTCTAGAGTTTATGATGAAAATGCCAAAAGCCGTGCTAAATTATAACAGGTAGACAGAATGCATGGAAGATGTGGAGTGGTGGACCTGCATCAAATTTACATAAAGCTAGGCTGATGTAATTTATCCTGTTTGAATTCGCTCCAGATGTTCGTCTAAGGAAAAAAAAAAAGGCAAAATTTTGAAAGACCGGCGGATCTCCATTGTAAACATTTGCACTGGATCATTTGCCTCAGTCATTATCCCTGAAACGAAACTTCTTTGTATCATTCCTCCTGAATAAGCTTTCATATTTTCCTGGCACCGAATCCAAATGAATAATGATGTTGAAAGGGTAGGCCTTCTTGGTACTACCTGTCCTTGATTTTTTTTCAGTTGTCCGGGTTCCAGAAGTCATTCAATCCAGTCCTTTTTGTGCATCCTCTGTCTTTAATTATAATCTTATTTATTGGTTAAGAAATTATTATTCTGCAACTTAGAAATGGAAACCAATATCCATTTACTGCCCCAGCATTAATGTTCATATTTTTACGTTATCCTTTTTTTTTTTCTAATTGAATACTAAATCTGTTAATATCATGTTTAGGTATTCACGATGAAAATGATCATGTGTATAATCCTAAAATTGTACGGATTGGTTTGAAGCCTCATCATTCTGTACAAGCTGTTTCCATGGATTACCTTGTAAGTGTCCACTATAAATTATGTTGCACGTTCAATTTCTCCTGCTTTCTGTTTGTCTGAAAAATGTATCGTTTTCAGGTGGAACAGAAGCTTTCCTCTGTGAACCGTTCGTTGTCTGGTGACGGCAGGAATGCCATCACTGGGCAAATGGATCGTGATCAGATTCGGGCCTCAATCCTTGACGAGTCGGCTATTGTACTGTGCTTTCTTCTGTGTTGGCACAGATTACTATTATCCTTTGAATTTTTATTTATTTTTCTTAACGTCATTCAAATTGGCAGGTTTTCTCCACGCTGAGTTTCAGTGGTTCAACTCTTTTTGGTCGAATGAATCGTGCCTTTGATGTTGTGATAATAGATGAAGCTGCTCAGGCAGTAAGTATTCTCATTCTTTGAAGATACTGAGTATTGAATGCCTTTATTCACAATGTTACAAACGTTTCATGTTTAATTATTCACTCGTGATTTCTGTGAAGTAGATTTTAGTGGTGTTTAGTGTTCTGTGTTTTTATTCATCTCAGGGAAGCATTGAATCTTTTTTTTTTCCCTTCTCTGGGTTTAGGTAAGAGCATTGGTCGTCTTTGTTGCAGGATTCTCTCCTTTCACTACCATTTTTGGAATTTCCTACCTTTTTTTTTTCATGACTTCGTGCATCAGGATTGAAAAACCCTAAAATATATTCTAATTCCTATTCAGACCAAACAGCTTGTTCATTGTTTTCTTCACTTTCACTCAGCTCCTGATTTGTGGTTTATCCCTTTCATGTGTAACTCATCATTTTTTTGATATTTCTCAGCCCGGTTTGAACTGTTTTTTTTCCCCTAATTTCTAGAAAAATGGAATGGATTTCCGAAAACTCTGTTTCCTATGATATTACTCTTCTGGGCGTGTTAGCAAGATACAGCTGAATAGGATCGCTATGCCAATTCAAGGTAGGGGTATGCTTATGCCAATTCAGAGTTTCCTCTGAGGGAAGAACAGAACAGCTCATGCAAATGTGAATTGGCCCGGATGGAAAACTCCTCAGAAGATCATGCCTCCCAATCTCGATAAGATCAGAGCTGACTTTTACCGTTTCCTGATACATTGACGTTGACTTTTCCCCCCAGGTTGAGCCGGCCACACTGGTTCCATTAGCTCATGGATGCAAGCAAGTATTCCTTGTACGTTTCTCATGCTGATCCTTGTTACACAGTAGAGACCGTGACTACCAACCCTAATCAGCTGCGATTCTCATGACCCTACAACTCTTTATTGAGTTCATCGATCACCACTGAAACTCATGCTATTTCCTCAGGTCGGTGATCCAGTTCAACTGCCTGCTACGGTACTCTCTCCGACAGCAGAGAAGTTTGGGTAAGATTCCTTGTCAAGCTCATTGCATCTGTTGCAAGGCTTGAATCTCTTGTGTCAGCAACCATGGACATTCTTTCTGCAACCTCTAGGTACGGAACAAGCTTGTTCAAGAGATTCCAGATGGCTGGCTACCCGGTTCAGATGCTCAAAACACAGTACCGTATGCATCCAGAGGTCCAACAGAGTCAAAGACCCATCTGGCTGAGCTCTTTTTCTTCGCCTCCCCTTCTCATGGGCATCGATCAATTAACGGAAAGATCGATCTTTTTCCTCAGATTAGAAGCTTTCCATCAAAGGAATTCTACGCTGACTCTCTGGAGGACGGGGAGCTGGTGGAGAGACAGACGAAACGCTCCTGGCATGGCTACCGCTGCTTTGGGCCCTTTTCCTTCTTGGACGTTGCCGGGGTCGAGTCGCAGCCGTCAGGGAGTGGCTCGTGGGTGAATGAAGATGAGGTTGACTTCATTCTCCTCTTATATCACAAGCTGGTCAACGAGTACCCGGAGCTGCAGTCCAGCTCCCAGCTAGCCGTCATATCCCCGTACAGGCACCAGGTGAAGCTTCTGCAGGATCGATTCAGAGTCGCCTTTGGGAAGCTGGCGCATCAATTTGTTGATATAAATACCGTCGATGGTTTCCAGGTGAGAAATAAGAGAGGTCGGGCTCAGAAACCATGGGATAATATGAATCACCCTCGAGATATTTCAATATTTTTGGTTTTTTTTTTTTTTTTTTTTTTACAGGGGCGAGAGAAAGATGTCGTCATCTTTTCATGCGTGAGGTCAAACAGCGGAAAAGGCATCGGATTTGTGTCGGATTTCCGGCGGATGAACGTCGGGATCACCCGGGCGAGATCTTCTGTTCTGGTGAGAATTGATATAATTCCCGGCTCGTTCTTAGTTGGGAGAATTATCATCATCAGCAGCAATGTTCGTGCAGGTGGTGGGATCCGGGTCAACGCTGGTGCAAGATGAGCACTGGAGCAACCTGGTCAACAGTGCGAAAAACAGGGACTGTTACTTCAAGGTAGCTTTTATGACCCACCCGCAATGGACCCACAGGATTTGGGCCAGAACTCCATGAAGCAAGAGAGATTTTAGAGAGAGAAAGGAAGGGGGTAAGGGGTTTTCTAGGGCGTTAGTAACCCTTTGCTTGCGAATTCCAGGTTTCAAAGCCGTACGTATCGTTCTTCAGCGAGGAAAACATGGAGTCGCTGAGGAAGAAGAGCCCTGCAGAGATGCACGTGGACAGAATGGAGCAGGGGCTTGCTGCCGTGGAGGGAGCGGCGGCGGTGATGGAGGTTGTTGACTCTGTCAACGAGGGCGATCATGAGGCCCAACTCCTGGACGTCGAGATGGACGGTGATGATGGGGGCTACGATGAGTAGGGATCATCAAGACCATCTCTCCTCGCCAGCCGGCCAACTGTACATTCACACAGAGAGCGAGAGAGAGAGATTATTCTTCAGACTTTTGACCTATTTAAGGGACGATATTGAGTCCTTTGACCGTCATCATAGCTCAAGAACTTGTATCGTGATCTCAAAACTGGAGGGGGAGAGAGAGAGAGAGAGAGAGAGAGAGAGAGAGAGAGAGAGAGAGAGAGAGAGAGAGAGAGAGAGAGAGAGAGAGATTATTCTTTAGTATCAGCCTCATTTCTCAGTGTGACCTATTTAAGGGATGATATTGAGTCCTTTGAAGGTCATCATTGCTCATAAATTGTGTACCATGATCTCAAAATTGGAGAGAGAGAGAGAGAGAGAGAGAGAGAGAGAGAGATTGGTGGTGGGCTGACAGGCGAATGACGAGGCTTCAGCTCTTCCAAACCTTAACGGTGCCATCAACAGAGGACGTCAGCATGCAGCTGTCCTTGGGATGGTAGGCGACGCTGGTCACCTGCCCAGAGAACATCTCCGTCAGCCGTTTCCCTGATCCCTCAAGAACAACAAACAAATCAAATCCCCCAAGAAAACTAGCCCCATATCACAATAACCCCCCAAGACCGAAACGATGAAGGAAGAATCACTAGGAATCCCAGCCCTAATATCATCTGAGCTCAGCAGATCGATAAAAGTTGTGAAGAACAGAGATGCACAGTTCGTCGTCGTTTGCTTACCACGGAGCCATGAGCTCGGAACTTCGACACCACAGATGCTTCCACCAGATCCCAGAAGAAGATGTAGCCGTCCTCCGACCCGCCGGCAACGTGCGCATCGGTGTTGGTTAGGCAGCAATCCATCTTATACGACTGCAAGATGATAACGGGCAATGAAAGCTTGGAACTTTGGGGCAGGGAATGATAACAATGCACTAAAAATAGAAAGAACGAGAAGGCGGGGAATGTGGACTGGTTTCATCGCATGGGTGGTGTTCATCGGATGCTGGGCTGCAGGTACAAAGACGGATATCTGAGAGGGGCCAAGAGCTCCTGGCCCATGAGCAAGTCTGGAGATGTTCTTCACTTGAAGTTGGCAAAAGCACAAGAAGGAGATGCTGTCTAAGATTATCTAGTGCTATGCATGATGGGTAAGAAATCTGAGCCGAGATTCAGGTGCTCGATCCAGAAACAGGATACTAGCACCACACTGCGTTGCCATCTGCATGTTCTTCTCTTGAAGGTGGCAAAAGCATAAGAAATATTATATAGTGCTATGCATGATGGTAAGAAATCTGAGCCGAGATTCAGGTGTTTGATCCAAAAACAGGATGCTAGCACACTGCGTTGCCATCTTTTTCTCATCTGCTTCTCTCAGATGGGATCTCAAACAGCTTCTGATGTGACTCCCCTGTTCCAGATACTCTACTTTTAGAAACTTTTTGTCTGAAATTCCTTGAAAATATGTTTTTCAAGATTATGTCAGAGTTTGCATGGCCTATGATGATGACGATGAGGATGGGGATGTGATCCGACTTATAGATACTAAATATTATTTCTTTCAGCGAATAGAAGGAGAGCATCAAGATGAGCACGATCCAAACTGCCAGCATACCTTGCAGGTGTGACCCTTGTACTCTTGCAAGAGCTCCCCAGTGGTCCTGCCATTAAAATTAAAAATAAATAGGCAGATGAACAAGGTTTGATGTAGATAGAGAAAATCAAGAGAAATTTACCGGTCTAGAAGACGTAAGGTGGAATCCAGACAGCCGGCTAACACACAATTGCCATCGTTCGACAACGAAATGCAGTTGACAGGCTGACCCAGGTCATCAACCAGTTCTCTAATCCGAAGAATCAAAATAATTGATTTTATTTTTATTTATTAAATAAGAAGACGCCCATTAAAAATGCTGCCATGAACAGCCAATATACCTTCCTATACGAATATCAAATGTGCGCACAGTTCCGTCAACGCTTCCAGCAATAATCTCAGTCTTTGTCAGCCATATGGACATCACGCTGTCTAAGAATGTATCCACAATCTGCAGTAAGAGAACTTTATGGAGAAATCACGATTAAGTCAATCAACTTAGGACTGATCACGATCAGAAAATTATAAAAAGCCCCCCACCTGGATCGGCTCCGTGCTTTGAGATCTACAGTCCCATGCACGCACTGAACGATCATACCCTGCTGATACTACCACTGATCCATACTCATTAAACTTTACAGAATTCACCTGCAATGCAATAAAATCTTCAACATGAGTGCGTACAGAAACCCACGTTAATAGCTAGGCAATTAATATGTAAATAGATTAAGGGATGCTTTTTAGAACCCGTTTCTAATAAATAAATTCGTTACTGAAAGAAATCCATTTTCCAGATATCTCTGATTGATGGTGGATGATTCTGTGTCTGTCATGAAATTTTCTGCAGGTAGCGGCTCCGCAGTGTAACTGAGGATTCGTTAGGGCTGATGGTTTGTAAAAAATAAATAAAAATACGACGTATCTTTCCACAAAATAAGAAAAAACATTCAATTAAAAATAAATAAATCACAAAGACAAAGAAATATCCTACCATAATCTACAAAAAAAAAAGTCACCATTTTAATGAGCAACAAAGTTTTCAAAAGCATCCCATTAGTTAAAATTAGAAGACGGAGACTAATATCCCAATCAGTGTTCAGGCAGGGAGCGAGGGAGGGATGTGGGAAGAGAGAGGGAGAGGGAGAGGCAGAGGGAGAAATCTCAAAGCTGAAGCCTTGAAGTTGCCGATACAGTCACCTCCCCATTTTGAATTCCACAGACGTTTGAATCCCCGACTATATCTCATGAGTAGGCCAACCATCTTGGGAGGTGGCCATCGAAAGAAGAAAATTGACAAGAATTTTTGGAGAAATTCCCGTCGTGGTAAAAGAGCCATAATCGGTGTACGACGATGATCATTTGTCAGATTCAACTACCGTCTCGGAAGCAGGAAGGTGAAGGAAGATGCCAATGCCCAAAAGCACAGATGCCCACGGCAGGAATGGATTACCTCGCTGTCGTGGCCGCGGAACTTCCGTATGACGCGCCCTGTGGAGACGTCCCAGTAGAAGATCTGCCGGTCGCCGCCGCAGGAACAGAGCTTCGCATTGTCGCTGCGAGGGAGGAACAGAGAGAAGATCGTGAATCAATGAGGAGAATCCCTTCCCCCTCCCCCTCCGGGAACCCTAGATGGGAGGATCCGGAGGGTGGTACGTACCTGGTGACGTGGACGTCGCGGACCTCGCGGCCGTGGGAGGTGTAGGTCTTGATGTGGATGCCTCGGTGGGGATTCCAGAGGCGGAGGGTTCGGTCCTTGCCGCAGGAGAGGCAGTAGTTGCCGTCTCCGTTGAAGCGCACCGCCAGCACTGCCCCCTCGTGCCCCTTCAGCACGTTCGCTTCCTTGGTCGGCAGCCCACTCGAGCTCCCCATTACAGATCAATCAATCAATCGACCGATCGATCCCCTGCCTCCTTCTAACGGTGAGAGAGAGAGAGAGAGAGGGAGAGCGAGACAGAGCGGGAGAGACAGACAGACAGAGACAAGGGGAGGGAGAGAGAGAGAGAGAGAGAGAGAAAGAGAATCAGGGAGACGGTGATGAGAGAGTCCGTCTCGGCCGCTTGATCAACAATTGGGCCGCTTATTTCAGCCCAATAATCTGTCGACGCCCGAGCGAGCTTCACTCTCTCAGTTAACACAGAGAGAGAGAGAGAGAGAGAGCCCATTAATGGGCCAAATGCCTCCCCAAAGCCCATTTTAATGGAAAACAAGCCCATTAATATGGGCAGGGCCCACGCTCCATCAAGCCCAGAACGCCCCATTTTCCTAACCCGCAGATCATCTTCTTCCCCGACAGAAACCCTAATTGACACTCGGCAGGGACGAACAGCGATGGCCGAAAACCCTGTTCTTTCTCACTAACAATAATATACATATTCACAAGCAGCCAATCAAGACGAACAACGAATGAAGAAATCAGAGGAAGGGAGGGGGAAACCTCACCACCTCCGCCAGCAGGAGACGGAAGAGGAGAGCATCTGACCCGTGCGTCGCATGCTAGGACACCCAGGGGAGGCAGCAACATCTCTGCAGAAGCGTGAGGAACCAGCGGAGCGGGTCCGCCGACTCCTCGTCCGCTGCCGCCCGCGGAATCGGCAGCTCCGGCGGTAAGTGGCGGTGGAAGGCCTCCACGGCGGCGCCGGCGCCGTCTTCGTCCTCAATCAGCTTCGAGAACTCCGCCGCCCGCCCCCTCACCTGGCGGACCGACGATCAATCAGCTCTCTCTCTCTCTCTATCTTTCTCTCTCTAAAGAGGTAGCAGAAGAGGAATCATGCGTACCTCGGGATCCAGCATGAACCTTATGGCATCGGAAAGGTTTTCCACACTGAGCTGGGAGATGGGAATCGGAGGGGGTCCCAGGCCCTTCTCGTGGATCCTCTCGGCCCAGAGGAACTGATCCCCGAAGAACGGCACCACCGCCGTGGGACACTGGCAGCATCACCGAGCCGCGAGTTAGGAAGGCACGAAATCAACCAGATCCCATCGCAACAATCCGACAAGAACTCAGGCAACGAGAAGGCCTACCCCTGCTCTCAGTCCCGTGGCTGTCGTCCCCGCTCCACCGTGATGAACCTGCAGATCGACATCGAAGATATTAGATCAGATCCAGATTCAGATCAGGATCAAAGCCGAAATTTGATCGCGAGGCTCCCGATCCTGGATCCATCGCAGACATCTCAGGATGCTTTCATCGCCATCATCCACCACCATTTCATAGCTCGCCGCAGAAGCTGTCCAAGAAATGGAGATTGAGAGAAGCGTGGAGGTGGGCTCACCACTGCAGCGCACTGAGGGAACAACCAGTCATGCGGGCATTCCTCAATGAGGAAGACTTCGTCGGGAATCCCCTGGACTACAAAGCAGAGGGAGATCTCAGTCAAAGCAAAGTTCTTCAGTGTTGAACCACATTAGGGTTAGAGAGGAGGGAGATACTAACTGGGTCCGAGATTTCCCCATCCCCGACCGATTATCCCCCTCTGTCCAGTCTGCTTCAGTGCCCCAATGATGGCCTCGAATGTCTTCCTCACATCTTCAAGAGGCTTCAGAAGCAATGAGAGGGATGGTCAGCATCTCAACAAAGGAAAGGTCAACGACAGCCGTCTTACCATGCTGCCGAAGCCCACGTAAATGGGTTTTGGCCCCCTCTGGAGCCAGTGCCCAAGCTCCTTCTGAGGGTGGTACTCCAAGCCGAGATCCAAGAAGCAGTTGCCGACGACATCCACCAGCGGACCCCAGTCTGCAAGTCAACGCATTCAGCCTCAAATTTCTATAATTGTTCCCGCCATCAAAGAAAGCATCACGGTCTTCAGTACAGAATCAGAAATCTTCAGGCGAAATGGGTTCAATTTGAAAACTCCACATGCTACAGAAAAAAAAGATATATTTTTTTAATGATCAGAGCACCGAGTTTTGCAGAGGATGGTTCTTTCCAGAGATGAATACTACTCGAATCAATCACAAACCACTTCTTGAAAAAAATGAAAAAATAAAGTTAGAATGTGCCAACTAAGTTGTTACTCGTATCAAATATGATTTAGAACACAGATGAGCCGATAATACAAGTTTTTTTATAAAAAAAAAAATCCTGACAAACTGAGCCATGAGACTCTGCAGATTTCCATTAAAAGGATTTAATTCCCATTAAATCGTGCAAGAAGAGTTGAATTAAGCAAGTTGGCGAAGAATACCACAGACTACGTTTGCAGGAACAAATATTATCCTCATGAACCAAGAAGAAGAGGAAATAATTAACTGAAAAAGAAAAAAAAAAAGAATTTTGTGCTATCGGTGAACGGCCACCTACCGTGAGGCTTTGGCAGAAGGTGTGGACTCCACATGTATCCAGTAGACAAATGAGATATAGATCCATGATAAGTGCTGAAGTATGCGATCGGAGATAGTTTCAGCTTCCTTTTTCTGAAGTCATTTATGAGATCCCTTATGACCCACCATATTACAAGGTCCACGAGAAGATAGGAAAGCTGAATTTATCAGATGAAAAATAAGTCAACCATGAGAAAGCCTCGAAGACATGAGTAAGGCCCGTCAGTCAAGAAACACCAGAACGTACCCGGTAACCAGCGCTCTGGGGAATTCGCGCAAATGGATGTGGAAACTCATTCGTTGGCCTGCCTATCGACTTTATGAGTGAGATGGTGCATGAGAAACGAAAGCCTTTCATATCAAGATTCTTACATAGATTGCACATACAAATTACTGTCAAAAGAAAAAGGGCGTGCATGCATTTCAAACATTGAAGTTCTTCTGTAGACAATTACGTTAGATCTCTATAAAATCCATCAGTAAACATGCAATTTCTTGATGCAGATGATTTGGAATTCTGGCATGGAGCAACGGGCAAAAGAAAATAGAACTTTTATTCTCTTTAAAGGAAAATTGAAGTAGAATAAAAATATGAGCGAATGTCTATTGTCAGCAAATCATGACAAATCTGATGAGATTCCAAATCATAGTCAACGCTATATCGAGATGAATAATCTGCCGATATGCATAGACAGCGTGAAATAGATTTCTATGTTATAATCATCGATATCAATGGGCATTGAGTTACGTCTTCTACCTAGGTAAGATTCGTCAGGTGATTAAAACGAGATGAGAAAAACACCAGCAAATAATGTGAAGCATCTCGTAAGTATACCAAGCATTGCTTGGAAAGAATGAATTCTAGAAAAAGATGGACAAAGAAGGTCTGTCCTAAATAAAAACATTGCCCATATTAAGTATTATGAATTGACATAAAATAAAGACAATTTTGACAACCTATTGGAATTCAAGAAATGACTTGCTTGCAAAACGTTCACTACGACTAGAAATTTGCAAATGACACTCACGTCCAAGGCATTGTGAAGAATATGTGGATAGGCACACCAAGCGCTTCAGCGATATGCGTGTGACCTGCATGACAATCATACGTTTGGAAATATTCAAATACCCATTTTAAAATACATTCTGGTTCTAAAAAATTGAAATAAAAAGATCCTCCACATCTAGTTTCAATCCTTATCTAACAGATCACTTCTCTGCTTACAAACATTATGTTTATGTTTCCTCAATATGAAAATTCAAAATGATTAATGCCTGACTGCGTAAGATGAAACTCATGAAGTAAACACATCTTCAAAAAAATATATATCAAGAACAGCAGAGTAAGTACTGCTGATGGCAGCATCCAGTTAAACCACGTTCCTAACACTGCTGCAGAAACATGGCTAGTAACAGCGAACCACAGACTGAAAGATATGGATAACTTCGTGGACTGCAGTAGATACAAAAACTAATCACACAAAAAAATAGTACACAAGATTTATTTGATCATGATAATATTTAGACGAGCCTAGATGGTCATCTCAATCGAGCCATACCATAAGCAGGAGGGTTGGCAACAATAGCCTGAGCTCTAAATGGAGTCCCTGAGTCCAGGTCAGGTTCAGTGCATGCCGGTAAAAGTGAATGAATAATTGCCTTCAACTCTTTCCTCTGTATGGATACTTCTGCTGGAGCAGATGTCATAAGACCTTTATTTCTGGCCATATCTGTGATCCAAAATAACAACCATCAGATATAAAGAAGCAAATAATACATTTCCCATCTCAAAAAAATATCAAAATTATACTAAATGATCACACAAAACAAGACGTCAGTTGATAGTGACCAGAAATTTATTTCACGTTTTTCATGCGTATTTGCTTCTCACCCGGTATTACATCGCTTTTTTGTATTTTTTCCTCTCAAAATATTTTTATTTTTTTAATGTGCTGAGTTTGAAGTGTTGGCTTTGATGAGCCAAACATTATCTTGTATCATTCTTCATAAATATTCACATTTTATGATTTGTGTTGAACTATAGATCGAAAGTGTTGATCCTCTAACTTAGGAGTCAACACTTTATTGCAAAATTGTGTGCAGGTCAATCAAGAATCGACTCGCATCAGCTGTGGGTCAGCCCTCAATTTGTGTTGTTTTTCAAATTCAGAAATACTGACACTTATCTCAATATGAAAAACATGAACCTACCTACGTAGAAGCCAGTTCTCAGGTCAACTCCTGTCTAAAAATAGAAATCTGCTCAACCCCACAAAGGCCAACAAAAAGTTTTCCATGTAAGCTACACTTCCCATTGCCTTGTAAGTTCTTTCCCACGTGTACATGTGGAGTTATGTGCCTGGTATTACTATCTCCGTCTCTAAGCTAGACAAATTTTTAATCGAGCAGGACTTGTGGATGTAAATTGTTTGATAGGACCCCGAGAATCCACCAAGTGTAAAATGTTTACGTGAAACATGGTAGAACTCCCCAGGAAAGAAAGGCTTGAGGGAGTGGAGTAAGTTAAAATTTAAACCAAACCAATATAATGTTATTGTGACTCTTATGTGACTGACTCTCTCGCAGATTTAATTCCAACATCTACTCTGAGTTGGCAATGCACCCCTCTCTTCCTACAATTCTACATGCCATTGACGTTTTAGAATGTACAAGTTGTATTCCATTGGCGGCTCAAAACCCTCTATGCATCACTTACCCAACACTAAGGTCGTGCAGGCCATGCTAGTAGCTCAATATTCCCAAAACCACAAAATTATTACCTTCCTTATTACAAAACAGTGTTAGCACTCCTTGGTTCTTTCACACACTAGAAGAAAAGCCCTAACATCTGAGAAGCTTTCTATTTCAGTAATAATTTTTTTGGGTCATTAACTGATTTATACAAGTGTACCAAAAGAAACCTATTTCTGGATCAAAAAGAGACCTGCACCCTGCCTATTCAAGTGGCCCCGAAACCCACAGTATGAAACCCAATTAAACAATCTCCAAACAAGTAAATGTTGGTTGAGAAGGACATATCTTACATATAGAGACCATCTGGCCACACGTGTACCATAACAATCTGTCTATAATATGAGGCCATATTTTTTACTGCTGTATATGAGAATTTTAGTTTGGCTCCTGCAAGAAGATTCCATGATATTTCCGGAGTGTAGCTCCTGCTAACCCTAGTGTTTTCACCTCTATGTTATAAAGGTTACATAATTCCATATCCTACACCTAACTCCAACTGCATCACAGAGTCAGTGGGAGCCCACGGTAGAAGCACTTCTGGTCATTGTTTTGTAAGCAAAAAGATAATTTCAAGACTTCAATAAATTTGAATATCAACTTCTGATGATGCAACAATATTCCTTTTTTATGTTCGAAACCTTTTTTTACTGGTGTAATATTTATGCAACAATATTCCTTTTTTTATGTTTGCATGGTTTACATAACCATCCCATTAATAAAGCCCTAGCTATCCAGATAAATCAGTGACGACCAGACTACTACGTCAAATAAAATGCAAGAGAGACCACGTAACAGGAAATGACTAAAAACAACATTTATGCAGAATAAATTAAAAAAAACAAAGAAATAAATGAAACGGTTATTGATTAAAGATGTGGGCAAACATATGCTAAGATTCCAAGAAGACATAGATTTGGTCTGGAAGTGCTTTAAGGAAAAGGATCCAAAGAGGATATTGATGAGAACTCCTTACATCCAGCCAGAATCCGAGGATCACCACCCAATGGATAAAACTCAACACCAGCGGACTTCACAAACGAGCGGAAATCAGTATGGGTAGCTAACCTAACACGATGACCAAACTCCTGTCCAAGAATTGTAAACAGCATTACAAAATATTAAAATACACAAAAATCAGAAAGAAATGACAAAGGAAAAGTAAAAAAAAACTATTTTTTAAAAAAGCTCCAACATTGTCACGAAGTTGGATTTTTAAAACCGAATTTGGAGGAAGAAAAATGGATGGCTAAAGAAGCATTATCCAAAGGACATAAAAAATTAACAGGGTGCCAGGCATTATCTTGTTAATGACTTTATTTCACCCAATATTCACGACCTTGCAGACAGCTATATTATGTTTTACTAGGACAGAGATCCCTCAGAATTTTTTTCCTCTGCCAAAAATTCCAACCCAGTAAAATGCCTCATGGATGGTATCATATTACTCGTAGAAAGATGCACAACGAGTGGACAATAATGAATGAGAGAGCATGTAGACAGAACAATAGCAATCTTTGAAACATAGTTAAACATGCCTGAAGTCTTCTTGCAAATGCCACAAATGGCTGAACATCTCCTCTTGTTCCAACAACAAGCATCACAATGCTCAACTTTGGAATGGACCTTGAGAAATCGGAACCATTAGTTGCAACACCCGCTGGAGCTGAATCAATAGTATCAAGCTCTAGAAGTTCTGATGCAACAGGAACACCTTGGGCAACATCAACCTCAACCGTACCATCCTTCTGGATTTTCACCAAGTTTTCGACTATATTTTTCTGGGGAAAAGAATAATGTCTTTCACTAGACGATGATAAAAAACATAGAAATTGGAAAGTGCGACGGTTTTTCTCAATTTGGACTTAAAAGGCATTCCATCGAAAAAGGAAGGGAATACAGCTAAAAATAAAAAGGTCAATTACCTCTCGTTACACTTGAACAGTGATAAGGAAAATTTACTCATCAGAAACATACCAGCTAGAATTATACGTAGTGTAGAAATCTATAAGACAAGTACATGGCGAAAAAATACGGTATGAGCAGATAAATGTAGAAAGAAATGAATTAAACCCATGATTCATGGATACACACCTTTTCACGTGCAGAGAGTCTGTCAAGTTTCCAGTCATGCCTTACAGTTTCCTTTTTCACGGTCTTGGATTGAGACACTTTAAAGTCCTGATTTTCAATTAGCCTGTCACTGCTATTAGAGCGCTTAGGTACAGTTTTCAAATCTTCCAAGCCTGAAAAAGGATCATAAAACACATTAGATACGAGATGATCGCCAAAGAAACATGCCAACATAAAGGTGAGCTCACAGGTTCACAGACTCACTATGCACCATCTCCCTTAAGTGAAGTGTAAAATTCTATAAATCAAAAAAGGAAAAAAATTGGAAAAAAAAGTCTGTGAACTCCAATCAAAGACACGATCACCACTTTGTAAACCATGTCAGGATTGATAAGGATATCAGAATGATTCTCGTCTAATAAACATTCCTTGTATGTACTTGTTTATCAGTTGGAATAAAAATCGAGGTAGAAGTCATATTCACTAACACATTGGATTACTTTTGCGAGACATACACGCTAAACTACGAAAGTTGAGTAGTCTCTCATAATCCAAGCGGCACAGATACAATTAATGAGGCCAATGCTCTGCAGAGAGGGTCTCATAAAGTTAACTTTATGCTGCTATTTGGATATCGTTGTGTCAGAAATTTCTGAACTATCACATCACATTTTTTAATAGATCATTTCCAAATGTGAATTCATCTTTCAGGTATTAACCGCAGATTTATATTTACGGTTTATATGTCACAAAATATTTATAGAATTTTTAATTTTAAATTGGATCCCTATATCTAGATCAATATCCTTAGAAGCATTTACATTTATGTAAGCACACTGCTGAAAATCATTCCCAACAGACACCATCATGAATATCATCAAAAACACCCCAAGCAACGTAGAATGTTTACCAAGTTGCTTAGGGACGATAATGGATGAGTTTGGATTCTTTAAGATCCTTGTTGCCATTTGGTTCGTTTATAGCCGAACAGAACCCATTCCTTCCTTTTAAACATCAACCAAGTCAGATCAATCTAATCCCAGCCAGAGAGTTTTATAGAAATAATGTGTGATACAGCAACGGCATAACTATTTCGGGCTAATCACCCTGGCAGCAAAGTTTTTTTAGCTAATACATGTGAACCGGTCCAATTTGATGACCACTCTTTATGATCCATTAACAGCGGTTCATGATCCTCGAGGAGATTACAACTAAATTTTTCAGGAGAACCGCGTAAAATGAAAAACAGGATAGAAATTCAATTCTCTTTAGTTTGGCGCACCACCATTTCATTCAGCTTTTGTGAAGGAGGTTGGGCAGAGATTCCAAAAGAGTTTGAGTTCATGCAGTTGACCTAGGACAGACTAACCCCTATTTATTGAGACAGATACCAAATTGTGGTTCTCGGATTAATTCCCTTTTTGGGCATGAAACTCGTGTGAAAGCGTGGTAAAAAAATGCACTCCATACTGACACTTGTTGACTGACGTTCTTCTAACTGTGCATGGACGTGGGAAGGGATGAAAAGTACCCTGATTCCAGCAACTTTATTTCAAAACTTTTAACTTATTTGAAAACGCGGTATCCATTAGTCTGCAAGTATAAGCTGCCAACAATCATCTATGCGTACAGTGTTTCTCGTCCTTCATAGAAAAAAAATCTGTAACGACTGAGATATATTAAAAAAAATAATATATATACACTTCTGTAAGGAATTCTCTGCGCACACTCTACACATCAGATCAAAATAAAGACCTCGTCTACTTAGGAAGACAATTTCGTCAAAAGCAGATAAACGCGTTAACAACAGAGAGAGTAGTCAACTGAGAGCATGCTCAAATCAGCCCCCGGGCGAAGAGAAGAGCGACAAGATGAAGAGTATGCCATATTTATTTTTTCCTACGCGTTTTTCTTGAATCAGAACATTGACCCAATATTACCTTCCCCCCTTGTTAACAATTTGAAACCCAGAGCATGTTCCTGAGAAGACGCCGGTAGTGGATATGGCTGGAAACCAGACGAAGTCCAAAATAACGAATCTGAGTGAGAACTAACCTCCAGAAGAAATCCCCAGATCAGAGGAGTATCTGGGGGCGGTCGATGTCTGCCCGAAACTAACAATAGAGCGGTCGTCTGGTTCCCCACCCTCCACATTCAAAACCCTTGAAATGCCACCAGCATCGTCGTGGGACTTGTCCGAAGCATCCTCTCCTAATTCACGCTCCGCGCTCCATGATCTAGTTTCATCATCCAAGATCGCAGCGCTGTTGCTTCCCATTTCGCCTGCAATGCGGCAATCAATCTGCGAAGAAGATTGTCCGAACATATTGAGTTACCTCGGAATTGGTGAACCGTGAGGGACTAGAAACGACTAGAGATTCCGCGGCAGAGACACCTGGACGCCGACGCGGAAGGAACGGCTTGGGCTACAACTTCTCGTCAACACTCCTACCGCCCCTTCCACCGGCCGGTCAACCAGAAAAAATTATTGAGGAGCTCGGATGAGCTGTTGCCTATAACGTACCACCCTGGAACTCCAGTAAAACCACGCCTCCATATCAGTCAACACGGACGGGAAGCGCAGGCGGAGGAGAACAAGGAGTGGAGACTCCCTTCAGACCACCAGAAAAATCCTGAAAAACCAGAAAGAATCCCTCATCTTAGAACACAGAACACCCCTGCAAGCCCTAGGAAGCGCCGCCGTCTTCTTCCTGGATCGTTCAGCAGTACGACTTCAAGCCCAGGCGTTGGAAGTGGCGGGAGCTCTCTCTGGTCCCTAGAGAGAGAGAGAGAGAGAGAAGGGACATAGGCGTTAATATTAGAAAGAGGAAGGTTCGAGGGAAGATCTGACGTGGGGGAGGAGCGAAAGCGACCGACAGCTGGCAGTTTCTCTCCCAGCTATCGAGTTTCACTTGCTATCTCATAATTTTAAACTTCGGGAATGCAACCGACACCTCAGCAACAAATATCCGGCCCCCGCGGTGGCCTTTGTTCCCGGCTATTTTATCCTAAAAACCCCAACGTATCATTAGTTGACTTTTGTGTCCACATTTTTTGTATATATATTAAATTTAAAATTATGATAATACTACCCAATACAGCGCACGTGATCAGTTTTATCAGCCGATCGGCGAAACTAATAAAATATTGGCTCCGTGTGCACAAAGCATTACAAAATGACCCCATATTTTTTTAAAAATGCATTAATATCTTCATCACGTGATGTTGCGTTTCCCTCGACTAAAAATATTTTCCACTTGACCACGCCATCAATTAAATACAATTTAGTAATAAAATTTCGGGTATTATTCATATTTGACTTCGTACCCCTTCAATGATTACAATAAGATCCTAAAAATGTATGAATTGCAATAAGATCCCTAAAAGAAGCGAGAAACGTGCCCGCGTGGAGATGGAATTAGAGAGAGACTTAAATTTCGTTCCACCACCGAAATCTCCAAAAGTCATGGATTATTGGGATTATGTACCTAAAAATATTACACTTAGACCATTCAATAATATAAAGTATCTCATAATATCCCCATTATCCGATTTTATTCAAAATAGTTTTACCGATTTTTACTGAACGTTCGGCAAAGGGGGATTTTTCCTTCGACTTCATAAAATCCGCAACATTTCAATATAAAGCCTTCAAATTTTAAAGATGTTCGCAATACCCCTGTTTTTTTGAAAAACCTCACGAAATGGATAATGGGCTCGAAATATCTTCTTGATAGCCTCCGGAGGTTATTAACAATTGCAATGGGATCCTTGTACTTAAACATTTGTCGCCATAACCCTGCACTTATACTTGCCAGAATTATGACGAATCGTTTCAGAAAAAGAAGGGCACAAACACAATGAGATTGTTATGGAAAAATGAACGTCAACTCTGCTTCTCTGACACGTGGGGCCCGTACATTGCGCCACGTGGTTGCGACAACGAGATCCGCCGATGCAGTGATGTCATCTGGCAATAAAATTTTCGAGCCCCCACGTTAGATCTGACCATGTTGCCGCCGTGGGGCCCATACGACAAATAAACGACCACTACGACGGCCGTGGGCCGTCCGATTCAGACATCTCTCTCTCTCTCTCTCTCTATGATAAATTAAACGGCGGACATTATCAAAGTAGACAGAGATAAATATGGGAAAGACGTGAGGTTGATTAAAGATATGTCACTCGCTGCCGCACCTGATTCTAATTGCGTGTCCTGATCAGGGACCGTCCACGACGGTGGGATCCGATCAACGGCCAGCCGATAGTGGGGCCAACGCGACAGCTACCATTTGCCGACTGACAGCCAAGGATCCCTCTAACTTTCGCACTACCTGTGCCCATCATAATGGGCCTCATGGGTGGGCGGTGGTCAAGGCGCAGGGCACCGCACAAAAGGCCCAATACCACTTCTCGGTCCATAAGGCTGTAATATTGGGCCGTGCTGAGATAATTCGAGCCGTCTACTATTAATTAATAATCACGTGGCATTTGGTACCAGCCATCGTGGGTTTAGCTCAACGGCATTCATCAGCTGTGGTATTTAAATTAATACAATAATTCAGAAATAAAAATTCCCTAATTTCCTGTCTACGCATCAATGACAAATATATATATATATATATATATATCCCACAAAAAAAAAACGTCTCTATACGTTGGGCAGTGGGCCGCCTCGCATTGGGTGACCTGAAGAGGAGAAGACACGACTGATCGGACATAAATTCGGCCGGCCAATTGATTACAGTATCAATTAGCGCAGGAAAAATAAATGGATGGTGATCTGACGGCCATCATTGACCGCCGGAATTAATGGGAAATGATAGCTGCAAGAAAATTGTGACAACAAGGACGAGATTGTGGAGAAGCAAGTTCCTGGCATCAATGGTCTGAAAATTTCTTCTTTTGGTAAAAAAAAGGTTCCCTAAAGACTAGAAATCAAGGTCTGAAAATGTTGCCCGGCATTCGTCAGGCAAAGCACAGACACATCGCATGTCTTGGCGTTGACTCCGCTGATGTGGGAACAAGGGAAGTCATAAACAGAGGAAAACGTAGTCAAAGGAAAGGGGGTTCTACGGCCCAGCAGAGTTGACTGAGGGATCATCCAAATCCCCTCTCTCTGTAACATAGAGCACGAATGAGGTTGGAGGTTGGGGGGTTAGGATGATCTCTGCTAAATTGGGCAAGTACCCGCCAGGGATAACACAGTTTGGTTCATTTTCAGCAAACAGACAGTTTTCTGTGGGAGATCTATTGGCAGAAGGTTACCAGAGAAGTACAGCACATGGGAATAGGTGCAAGGTCAACTCTCATAGTAGACATAAGTCAGATCTCCAGATTGCAATTCGACATCGGAATGAAAGCTGCGACCCATTCAGATAAATAAATAAATAAATAAACAGAAATATACAATCTCATCTGTGCTATACAGAACTCTCCAGTAGGGAAAAAAATTGTTTTGAAGGACGCAGGAAAGAAGATACATTCAGCCACACCTGAGGAAGGGTCTCATCTACTCAGAAAAAACCAAAGGGCCGCCGTGAGTAGTTGACTTTCCGATGCAGTGACCTTCTCTGAGGGATGTATGGTTTCATCTGTCATGCAGCTGTCATCACATTGCGCTCCTCTAGCACAGCAAGGGGGAAGGGGGGGGGGGGGGTCACAGCTCAGCAAGTCCATGGTGGAAACAGCATTGATCACTTGCAAAAAGAAATTTACAGAAGATGGTCCTTGATGCTTGCTCCTCAGGCTAAAGGTTGGTCCTGACAATCCGTCCGATTGCGGATGATCCTGTGAAACACCTCCCGGACTTGGCGTTCCAGCTGACCCAGTCCGTCCTTGAGAGAATTGCAAACTTCATACAGCTCATGCACAGACTGCCTCAATTCTGTCTCCCTGTCCTCCGCCAGTGGGAACTGGTTTGGGTCTGTCAGCTCGGCCAAGTGCCGGGAACACCTCTCCACGTCGTGAATCTCCTTCAACAGCCCGTTGGAGTTCCGGCGATCCTTCTTCTTGGATTCCTCCAGAATCCGATCGTGCAGTAATGTCATCGGCTCGGCCCAAGGGAAGTTCCTTGGCACCGAGAAGTGGATCTGCAGGCCACGATCCTGGCAGGGGATTGCTGCGACGAGCGCCCACATCACGAAGAGGAGAACTGCGTTCATAGTGTAAACAGCTATGGCGAGCCCTTCGGAGGCAATGATCTCGTTGTTGCGTGGAGGGGCGAGATTGTTGCCAATGGCCTGTAGCTGTCGGGCGGCAGACCACGAGCGAGAGACGCTCCAAGAGAGCGACCGGAAGTGGGACCCTGCGCTGTGATTCTTCCCGGAGTTGTTGGTCCGGCCGAAGGAACGGTTGCGCTGCGAGAGCACCGCTCCGGCGTCCTTCTCGTCGAGCATGGCGATAGTGAGGTCCGTCAGGGCCTTCTTCGCGCGGCGAAGCTGGCCCTCCCCGACGGTTCTCTGAGAGGGATTGAGGGCCACCAGCACAATCTCCAGGTGCTTCTGCCACTGCCGGACCTGCTCGATCCCGTCGCGGATGGCGTTGCAGACATCTAAAGCTTTGACGCTGCGCTCGAAAAATTCACCAACGAGGCGGTCGAGAGGGGACCGGGAGACGAGCTCCTTGTTGTTGAGCACGATGGCCTTGAAGGCCTCCTGGCACACGAGGAACGCCTCCAGGAGCTTCCGCATCCAAGACAGCGACAAGAGGCCCTCACCAGATTCCGCAGTGGAGCTGCAGGCAGCGGCGAGATCATGGAAAAGGTCGGCAACGTGCCTCTGGAACGACTCAATCTCCTGGTTCGGCCTCGATCCGCCGGCGACCTCCCGGGGGGCGTCCATGGAATGGAAGTGTTCTCGCCGGATGCTGAGGATGGAGCGGCCCAGCGAGGATCCTTGGTAGTCGCCTCCGCGCATCTTCACATAAGACGAACAAACCCTCTCCCGATCAACAAGAACACAGACGGCAGCAACCGAGAAATCTCCGAGAAATCAAGCAATCCGAAAACCAGCCGATGTTCCGTAGATCCGGAGACCTCACTAGTCCCTGCTGCAGGAGCCGAGAATGGGATCGCGAGGAGGAGAAAACCCTAATCGCGAGGAGGAGAATAGGAAAGCTGGAGTTTGGGAAAAACCTAGGAGGCCGGAGCCCTTTTACAGGGAAGGGGAACCGCGGCGGCGGGGGAGGGGGCAGGTTGACGATTCACTGGTGCGACCGGTTCGCAGTTGCCCGGTCCGGCAGGTTTGGCGGCGCTGAAGACGATCCTTCTAGAACGCCCGGCCCAAAAATCCATCTTATATTGGGCATTTAATAAAAAGGTTTTTAATAAAATTAGTTAGGACCGAGACCGCCCAAAAAATCATTTTATTAAATGCCTATTTAATTGTATCTCATCATCCATCTCGAGAAATCCGCTCCGACTACCGATTGACGCGACTGTGGAATCCGGGCCGGCGGTTTTAGCCCGTTAGGTCCATTCTCGGCTCCAAACAACGGTTGACTCGGTCTGAGGCGTGTAATCGGCCGGGTAACCGGGGGACACGGACTCGTTGACACGTCTCCCAAGATCGCCCGCGGACACGTTGACTTCCGCAAATTAAGGACCCGCGTAGGTCAAAGGGCGAATCAGCTTGGACCAGGTTAGACCATTTTCACGTGACAAAAAGTAGCGCCGCCACCTGGATAACAAGCCATCCTGTAATAAAGAAACAAGCCTTCCGTCCTGTTAGGTGTTCCGTGATGGGCCCGGACCTTTTGGGCCCAAAAAGGTCCACCCGGATCTCACAGGGCCCATTAAGATCTCTCTCTCTCCCTCTCTCTATGATCTTCATAGTCAAAACCGCGCAGTCATTGGGCGTGGACTTTGGCTTTGGAAGGTCAATACAACAAGGGAAGAGATACCAGTGATGTTGACTGGAGGCAGCAATAGACCTGGTGGGCCGGCCCATCGGTGGTTAATCATATGCAAGAAGGTCGTATTTATCTTGACTTTATCTGATGGATGCACCTGGAGGACAGGCAAGGCGTTGACTTTGATGATCTTCTCCGCTGTTCCTCTGCGCCGAAAATCTTTAAAACATGTCAGCTCAAGGAAAACATACAAGACTTGATTGACCATCTATGCAAAAAAGGAAAGAAATTAGCGCAAAGAATTGAGAATTCTGATTGTTTTCGATCTTCGGAAGAACCTGATTCAAAATGATGCACAAAATTGGAACCTGCGGAACGCGAAAAACCAGGAAAATTAGGCAAAAAACATCTTTCATGGAGAGGAGAAGAGTTGGCATCTGAGCAACACAATCCCCGGCGAAAGACGCGGAGGTCAACTACTCGATTTATGCGCCGCCCTCAGATCTCATAGCTTCATGTAATCACGGCCGTGTAAACGACAGTTTTCTTTCCAGAGCCTTTCCGCAGGTGGGGGATGCGATGGAGATGATGACGAGAGGAATGGAATGGTGGCGGTGGTGGTGGTGGCGGAGGCGGATGAAGACGAGTGAAGGCGGATGGTGGAAATGGAGCACCGCAAGAAGTCTCGGAGAGAAATACCATCACACTGCTCCTATAATGATTTTCCATCATCGGGCGGGCATATTGAGAGCTTCTCGTGACGAAAATTTTCGGAAACTCGATGCGATCATGGCGAGGGATGGAGGAACATCGAGAAAAAATAAGCATTAGAGATCAAACATATCAAATGAAGGTAAGAATGCGGGGAACGCGCGGGAAAACGAAAGATCGCGTTTGAGCTTAAACCCTAGACGTCGATGTTGTTACATTCTACCACGAGCACTACGCCAAAGCAAGAACATACAGATTCATGAAGTGAACGAGAAGGAAGGAGCCGAGAAGAGAAAAATATTCAATGATCCCATGGATCGGATGTCCGCCGCAGCGAGTTTCGCAAAAGAGTAGTCGCCGGTGCGGGGATGCTCGATTTCAGCGGCATCGGAAGCAGGAACAACTACGATCAACCGCAGATGAGATGAAAAGGCAAGGTCCAACGAGATCGGGGGCAGGTGAGCACGCAGCACGGACGAAGCACAGGGAGAAGCCGAAGGTGGGGGGACTGAGCGGCCGGGGGGGTGGGGGGGGGGGTGGGGGGGAAGATGTTCTGCTCCAAGGGTTATCGTTAGGGCAGCGATCGGTGTATGCCTTTTTTGTTGGCCCGTCTAGAAAGGCCGATGAATTGGGCCTCCAGTTTTGGGCTCTCAACTGGGCCTCCAAAGTAGGCAAATTGTACAGGATGCATAATTATTCCTAGATTACTCTGCAGAGTGCATAATCTATCATTTAATACATTTTCACCATAGGTTAAAAAAAAAGACTGATAGAGATAGATGGCGTTCACGTGTAGAGAGAGAGAGAGAGAGAGAGAGAGAGAGAGGTGGCTGTCACGTGCAGAAAGAGAGAGAGATGGTTGTCACGTGTAGCGAGAGAGAGAGAGAGAGAGAGAGAGAGAGAGAGAGATCTTGCAAAAGGGAAAGGAAACTAAATCATTATAATATGGTAACACAAAGGTCGATGAAATACTATCCATATATTTATCATTCTCTAACAAAGTTAAAAGTAATTACTTTTTTGAGGTTGAATTATATTAACTAAAATGAAAAATTGATGTCCATATGTTTCATTTTCCTCTATGAGTATGGATCATTGTGCAGCCTTCATGGAGATTTCCATGTGGATCCCAAGATCATGGAGAAGATTTCTTAGACATGATTTCTTTCTCAAACAAGGGGCCGTACTCATGTACCTTAGTTTTTTGTAATAAAAAATACCAAGAATAGTTTCCTCCCTTATTTTCTGCATCACTATTAAAAAAAAAAATCAATATCTAATCTCATGTAGTTGACTTTTTTGTTGATATGTAATCGCATGTAATTGACTTTTTGTTGAGGTGTAATCTCATGTAGTTGACTTTTTTCTTAAGGCATGCAGCCCGATTGAAATCTTCACACCTCTCAAGCTACATATCATTCATAATATATTGGACTTTCTTTTGTAATCCTCCTATGTGAATTTCTAGGTAGGTGAATCAACCTACTCACCGACAAGCCTTGTAGAATTTTTTTTCTCAACAATAGAATAAATAAGAGTTATTACAACCTTGACCCCTAATACTATTATTTCCTCTATTATATTAATTTCTTTTGTTAAATAACATAAATACTGATAAATACTCATTAGTGGCCCAAATATAAGATACAAAATTATTTGTGAATTTTTCTCTTCAGCTATATAATCAATTATTACTCTCATTTTTAATCACTATGGATGCCATCAACATGAAAAATTAACATGATTTTTTTTCTACATTTTACTTTTTGAAAATCGTGATTATTATAATCAAAAATTGATTGCACCTATCAAAACCATTTCTTATTAAAGATAAAACTTGCACATCTAGTTGATGTAGCTTCTAGAAAGTTATATGCTTGAAAGATAACTATGTCGATCATGAGTATAGTCCCTCAATAATAAATGTTTAATTTGTATGAACCTTTTTGCAATTAATATTAATTTAACTCTCTAGATAGTTTTCATCTGTTTTACTCCTGATTTGAAGATCAACTTGAACCAACTAATTTCAAGAGCTTTTGGAATTTACATATGTATATGCATATGTATGTATATATATATATATATATATATATATATATATATATAGACCATTGGTTTCTCATCATTTAATTATAAACTAATATTTTCTCATTCTTTTGGTTTTAAGACCAAAACTTAAAGCTTTATTATGGTTTCGTCATTTGTACTAACTCAAACGAGGGTTTAGGCAATGCAGTTGAACACTTGAGGGTCAACTTCTGCTTGAAGTATACGGCAGAGGGATATTTTTAACTATGGGAAATTAATGAATAGAGCACATGTTTGATTTCATATATTTAGGGGCTACTTCCCTCTCCTTGTCATTCGTTGGACAGATGGTCAGCATCTGCATGATGTGGCCAGCACTCATCTTCAGCAATAGTCGTCGCCCTTTCAAGTATGACACGCATTGTGCCTATCACATCATGCAGATGTGCTAGGCACACATACATGATGTGGTAGGCACACATACCATGCCCGGCCGAACTCATGTCCATAACGAAGGGGCTGCTTGACACAAATATCATGCCCGGCGCTTAAATTTCGTGCCCATAATTGGTGACGAACACGTGTATCATGCGTACATCCCTTCGTGCCCATTTAGCACGGACTGGTTTGCACCCCTTAAATCAAAGTCAAGTCGCAAAGCTCCCCACCCTCTCTCTCTCTCTCTCTCTCTCTCTCTCTCTCTCTCTCTCTCTCTCTCTCTCTCTCTCTCTCTCTCTCTCTCTCTCTCTTTTTCTCTCTATATCTATACTCTGAGCCTCTAGGCCTCGGTATGGTCTACAAAGTATGAAATCGGAACAAGGCCTGCTAAAGCCGATTCCTGTCCGTCAACAAGCACGAGGAGGGATTGATACAGCACGAGTATTCATTCCATTTGAGTATTATAGAAAGTTTCCTCTTGACCAGAGTTTCCTGGAGTGACTCACAAAGCCAAGCGCACATCAATCACTTGCTTTACACAACATGGCTCTTCTCCCGCTCCATATCTTTAAGGGATCCCCTCCCTTCTCCTCCAGCATGTATTGATCTCTCCCTCTCTCCCTCCGTTCCTCTCGCTCCAGAACTCCGGGAGATGGAAGAGAAGACGGCCTACCTGGTGGTGATGGTGGTGCAGTTCATTTACGCCGGAATGTACGTGCTGACCAAGGCCGCCTTCAATACGGGAGTGGACACCTTTGTCTTCGTCTTCTACAGGCAGGCTGCGGCCACTGTGTTCATCGCACCAGCCGCCATTATTTCCGGGAGGTGACTCCGATCAAGCCGCCTTCACCATGATGTCTAGATCTTCTTGTTCTTCTCTTCCAGGATGCTGATGTGTTCGTTCGACTGCAGGATAACAAATCCTCCCCTCGGTTTCACCATACTTTTAAAGATCTTCTTGTTGGTTTCGATTGGGTACATCGATCACCTGAACTCCGTCATCCTCCCCAAGATTAACCCTACTTTGTCTGATATCATAACTTCTTCAGGATCACCTTCAGCCTGAATCTGTATAGCGTTGCCCTAAGCTACACATCAGCCACAGTGGCATCTGCAGTCACCAATTCCGTTCCGGTCATCACCTTCTTCCTCGCAGTTGTGTTCAGGTAAGTCTTCTTTGTATGATGTTGGCTGATCTACAGTTTTTCATCTGATACTATGACCTGGTTTAGAATCAAAAGCATCAATAATAGCGCAAACCCTAACTTGACCCGCGAGATTGCAGGATGGAGAAGATGGAGATCAGGAGCCGCTCGGGCGTTGCCAAGTTCCTCGGGATTACCCTCTGTCTGGGCGGCGTGATGGCGATCGCCTTCTACACCGGAACCTACCTACCCTCCCCGATTCATAGCCACCCACTCCGCCATGGAATAAGCGGCTCTTTTGCAGAGGTCGGAGGAGGCAACTCGAGGGGAGAGTGGGTCAAGGGCACCTTCCTAATAATCCTCTCCTGCGGAGCCTGGTCCCTGTGGCTGGTTCTTCAAGTGGGACTATCCGTGAAAGGCCACCTTCCAACTCGGAGATCACCGTATCATCGTGAACCTAACATCTCCCGGTTTTGGGCAGGTGAAAGTCCTTCAAGAGTACCCCTCCAAGATTCTGTTCACGGCCATCCAGTGCCTCTTCAGCTCCCTCCAGTCCTTCCTCGTCGCCGTCTTCTTCCAGAGGGACCTCAACCGTTGGAAGCTCCGTTTTGACGTCGGGCTTCTCGCCGTCGCTTATTCTGTGAGTACTAAAACTCCACAAAACAGCCTCTCTCTCTCTCTCTCTCTCTCTCTCTCTCTCTCTAGAATATGTGACTGCACCATCACCTTTTCTTGTTGATGGCAGGGAGTCGTGGTGACGGGCGTCTCGTTCTACCTGCAGACGTGGTGCATAGAGAAGAGGGGGCCCGTCTTCCTGGCCGTGTTCACCCCTATGGCGCTCCTCATCACCGTCTTCGTCGAGTGGCTGGTTCTGGGCCAGCTCGTCGACTTGGGAAGGTATTCTTCTCCGCCCGTGTCTTCCGATAAAGCCACATCGAAAGTATCATTAACCATCCACCTGCAGTGTCTTAGGCGGCCTGCTCATGGTCGGCGGCCTCTACAGCGTCCTATGGGGCAAGCTGAGGGAGGAGCCGAAGGGAACGCCGCCCCCAGGAGGAGAACTCGTCGCCCTCGCCGTCCCTCCCTCGGTGACTCGGCCGGGTCCTCTGCCTCCCTCCTCCCTCCTCCACTTAGAGCCATAGAAAAGCCCCAAGCCGCAGCAGATGCATTCCAGATCATAAGCAACTCAGTGCCCGAGTGGCCCAGCTGGCGAGAATCCCATCGCCCCTCGGCTCGTGTGCCCCATAAACGTTCAGAAAGCCCGGTTTTTTAACAGATTTAAGTGGCGTGCGGCCAAACATAACGATGGGTCTTTGCCAACTAAGCAGGCCTCGGGATTCCCACATCCAAGTCAGCAATATCTTATAAACCCACATCTGAAAAATATTCCCTGAAGGACCCCGCAATGAGCTGCGGAATCTATTTTAAATATAAATGTACAAGAAATAAAAATAATTATATTTGAGAATAAATCAGACACTTGGCGGGGCTAGCCTGGCTAGCATTTCAGGCCCCAGGCAACGATTATGAGGCAGCCCATCGGGAGGAATAAATCCATTAGATGATAGATAGATAGATCGAAGCATCTATGACGTCATAAAAGAAATGAGGGGAGGGAGGGGTTGACCAGGCAAAATCATGAAAGATATTGCATAATTCCAAGGGGAAAAAATAGACAGCCCGACGAGGCCCGATCAAGATGGAAGTGAGTTGTTGTTCTTCAACTCTCTGTACTTGAGCTGCAGGGTCAGCTGCTCGTTCTCAAGCCTCATCTTCTCGTTCTCCACCCGGAGCCTGTCGACGTCCCTGTCCTTGCGCTTGCTCAGCTGCCTCCACCTGGCCCGCTGCCTCTCCAGCTCCGTCATCTGAGCCTGGATTTGTAGCTGCTGCTCCTGCAACTGGAGAGCCCGAGACCGCATCAGCTGGTCCTGCACTCTTGCGGCTTCAGATCCTTCAGGAAACATCTGGGTCAGATCGAAAGAAGCCGCCTGAGAATCGGGCCTGCTAGAGTAGTCCATTTCCTCTGCCTCCACATCACGCTTCACCCTCTTGGGGAAGAAGAATCCTGCTCCTCCTCCTCCCATGGCCAGCTCACCATGGAAGGCCTCGAGGTTCTCTCCCTCCTCGTCTCTGCCATCTGTATCCATTCCCCGATCGACTTCCTCTCCATCATCGTCGTGCGATCCTCGGGCAAGCTCATGGTCGTCGCCGCTCCTCAGAGCCAGCTGCAGTGATCGCTGGATCGAAGGGTCAGTTGGAAGGTGGAGCCGGTTGCCGTTGTGGTAGGAGCACATCTCCTCGTAGAAGAGATGCTTGGAGCTCAGTATCTTCCTGACGTCGTCCTTGGCCTTCTCGGACAGATGGTCCATCATGTCCAGCAACGCCGGCGACTCCACCACTCTGCAAGAGGTTCCCCTCCCGAGGATGTCCGTGAGACGCTTGTACCTCTTGTTCAGGTCATTGAACTTGTCCTCGCACTGCTGAGGCGACACGAAGAAGCCCCTCTCGGCCATGACCTTGGACACCGATTTCCACTTCCCCTTCTTCTGCAGCAGCGAGAGCTTCCTCCTCGCACCGCCGCCGCCGCCATAGTTTTCGCAAACAGCATCCTCGCCGATGTAGGAGACGATCGTTATCAGAAGCCTGACCATGGCGTCGGTCCACTTCATCCTGTGCCACGCCGTGGACGTCTTCCCCTGGCACCGATTATCGAGGGCGTTGGAGTGGTCCTCGCTGGGCTCCTCCTCGTCGCTTCCCTGGTTTCCGCCATGATCGCACCTGGGGTAATCCACCATCTGGGGAACTTGCGGCTGCTTGGGGCCGTGGAGCTGTTGCCCGCTGGAATGAGGGAGACCCCCGGGATCATGGTGCTGGGCCTGCTGATGGTGTTCTTGAGGCTTCTGAGGATACTGAAGGTGCTGAAAGGGGTGGGTCTGAAACTGTTGGTTATGCATCTGAATGGAGCCCCGTGGGTCTGAAGCTCCATAGGGGGCTCTGGGCATCATCCTTTCTGCGGGTAATCTCCCCTTCCCTTTCAGGCAGGCAGCAGATTTGCCCTCTTTCCTTCCCGGGAGGAGATCAGATTGGTTCCCTCCCTCCCCCTACAAGGTGACGGAGAAAGCCCTCTCAATTTGACAAACACTTGGAGCGCAAGAACATCCCATCCCCGATTAGAACCCTTTCTCAAAGTCAACCTGGGAACGAAACCGAGATCGACGATCTCTTAGGCTCGAAGTTCACGGGTTCCGCTGGAAGCTCGCCACATTCCGTTTCCACAAATCGCAGGAACTTAAGGTAAAACCGGCAACCTCCGAGGATGAAACCCTACGAGGCCCAGACTATGGAGGAAAAAACCCGTTCCCCCCATCCGCTGGATCCTCAGAGGCGGACATCAAAGACCCCAGCCGGCAAAACGCCCCAAATCACGACAATCCCAAGAAAAACAAAGCGACCCGACAGGCAGGGGGGTCGGCCGACTTACAGGAGGCGGCGGCGGAGTCGCCGGAGCGAAACCAGAGAGCATCAGGGAGAGGAAATCCCAAATTCCGTCGAGTGGGTCGTCTTCCCGGAGGAGTCGGCGGAGGAAGAGAAAGAAGGGGGGACGAACAGATACCTTGAAAGTGTGAATGGCGGCGGCGAAGGGGAAGGGTTCAGTGTATCGGAGAAGATCAGTGGGCCCCACCTGGCCAGCACCGCTCTTTCGTGGACCACTGCGCCGTCTTTAATCAATATTTGGATGAATCCCCCCATAGTATAAGAAATTTAATAATAGTCCTCAAAAGTTTTGATCTTCTAGTCAATGTTTGCGCCGTCTTTTGTCGATATTTTAAACTAACACCCCTGGAACTCGGATTTCTACAACAAAACCTGTTAAGTCATGACTTGTCTTGATGCTATCGCTGGGTCCAAGGGTAGTTTTACAAATGTGACTCATTAAGTGGCCGAATACAAAGTTTCAATAAACTAATCTACGCTGGATAATGTGCGTGTTGTCGGCCGTTGAGCCGACGATCCATCCGTCCACCCGATATTAATATTAACGAGATATGAGATTTGATATGTTTAGAGAGAGAGAGAGAGAGAGACAGAGACAGAGAGGCGTGTGGGGAGCACGCGAGGGTGAGAGTGGACGTAAAGATCGGCGGCTGAGGATGGTAAAATTGTTAAAAAACCATTGGACGTGTCGAGAGCATGGTGCCTGGGAAAAAGAGGTGGTCCCCATGGTATGATGACCTGTCGACATCTCATGAGATCAAAATCGCCACGTGGAAACGAGGAGATGCCATGCGGTGGATGACCGGCCCAAAGATCTGTCGCTACCGAGTTTTGTCCAGATAGGCGGGCCCACAAATAATCTGAGCCATTTCGTATTGGGCCAGTCAGTATGAGCCTATCCAAATATGTGGATGGAATAAATGTATCGGCCCATTAATTTCATAGTCCCGTTGTTTTAGGCCCATAACTATGGGTCGGCTCGGAGGCCCAGTTCTCCTGTGCATGGGATAATCGAGCGGGATTCTGCAATCCGTCAAACCAAACAGGGTTGTGTTAAGTGGTAGGAGGAAAAGCATACTTAGTTGGAGCAGAGGGAACAGAGCGAGGCTCCTACCAATGAAGCATATTTAGTGTGTTAAGTGGTAGGAGGAAAAGCTATTGCGGAGTGGACGGAAGAAGGGGGGGAGGTGGAAGGAAGATGGCGACGGAGGAGGACAGCACAGTGAAGGAGCCGCTTGATCTCATCAGGCTCAGCCTCGACGAGCGCATCTACGTCAAGCTCCGGTCCGATAGAGAGCTCCGCGGAAAGCTACACGTAAGCTTGCCCTAGATTATTTTTCTGGTCTCTCGGGAGTGTCACAGGTCTCGAAACCTTCCGAAGTCTGATTTCGAAGAGTGCTTATTCACTCTTTCCAGGGTACGCGCACTTTGATGATGCTTGAAGCCTAGAACCCTACAATCGATGCCTAGTCGTTGATTTTAATTACAAGTAGCACCTGTCCTCCGCCCACCGCCCTCACTCCCCATCATTCTGTCCACCTTTGTTTGACTAAAATCTAGGTTTAAATTTGGTGGTGGAGGAAGTACTGTGGCTGTTTCGAATGCTTCTGAACTACGCCGAGGATACCCCATTTTGTTTGTGACCATGGGACGAAGTTATTCGTCGAGATCCTGTAAGTTGTTACTGAATAATTTTCTGTCGTCATGTAGCCAACAGAGAAAATGAGTACTCATTCGTGGCTTTCTTTTGTCGATACTTTCTTCTAAGGGTTTATCGGGGACTATGGTAGAAGTACAACGAAAAGAAGCTGCATAATAAATAAAGCAATTTTCAATTTTCCTGTCGCATGCGGAATGCAGGTGTTCCGATGATATGGGAGAATTAAGTGGATAATTTTGTCACCCTTCACTTAGGAATCCACTTTTTAGTATGTGACATATGCAAGAAAATTCCTATCAAACGTCTAATTGGATAGAGGAGAAGAGCCGTGAGTCTACCAATTGTGTCATGAATTTTGATAACATGTTGTTCTGGAGCAATCTCTTCACAAAGATGGCTGCACATATATATGCCTGTCATTTTTAGAATTTTTTTAAGATACAGTATTTGTTTATTAACTCGGAAACGTTAATGGTTCCGATTCTTTATGCCCCTTTTCTAGTCAATTCTCTCTGAGTTTGAAGTTGTTTTGCGTGGTTGATGGCGTACATTTTATTTTGCAAGGTTTTCATTCTTAGCCGATTATTTTGCTCTTCCTTTCAGGCGTATGATCAGCATTTGAACATGATACTTGGAGATGTTGAAGAGACCATCACTACAGTAGAAATAGATGATGAAACATACGAAGAGATTGTCCGGGTACGCATTAAACTTCTTCTCTCTCCCTCTCAGAACTTGGCTAAGATCTAGATTAGCAAAGGTGGAAGATTTAAAATTAAAAAATATATATATCCTTAGACAAAAAAAGAAAAAAAAAAGCGCTCCGAAATATTCCCTTGACATTTCACCGTTTGACCATGTTTGTCATGTAGATCTCTTCTGAAATTGCGGTCTAAGGGGTTAAAAGAAAATTGAACAGTGTTTTGTCCGAGAATAAAAGCTCGATTATGCTCTGGACTTTCTCTAGCCAGAATTCAGCATAAAGCCAGTCTTTCGAAAATTTCCACTTGGGGAAGCTAAACCCATTTGGCGTTGCCCTAAAAATTGACGCCTAGGATCTTGTGATGAGTTAATTGTATGGGGTTCTCTCCAATTCAGCAGAAACGGGGATTATTTAATTATTTTAATTTGAGACAAACTGCATTCAAACGATAGTATAATGGAAGTCCTGCATGCAAACTTGTGTTTCTTTAGTCTCAATTTTATCGGCGTGCTTTCATTTATGAGAAAAACACTGTTTGGATGAACTTTGCATAGTTGATTCTTCTTGGATTTATACAACTCCCCTTTTTTTTAGAACACTTGGTATGAAGAAACTCCGATGCACCGACCTGTCTCAATAAGTCAGCTTGATAAGGTGGAATCATCCATATTAGGGAGTCAGAACTACAATACATCACTGGTCGTAATCCTAAAGACCAGTGAACCCTGTCAAAGATCCTCGACGCAGAACCTCTTAAATTTGACTCCTCTTAGGAAGAGAAAAACTTGTTCTTTAGCTTGTTCTCCTCATCTTTGTTAGCTGTATTCCTTGAGTAGCAGTCCCATGCGGGCACCCAGACTAATGGCGCTCCTGTGATCAAGATGGGAGAAAATCTGGTGCCAAGTTCATTCGTGAAATGATCATCTGGCCATATTTCTTTTTAGAATCGGATTCCCATGCCAGAACATTCATATTTCGAACCAAGTTTGGCATGGGATGAACCACCTGTTTTTTTTTTTTTTTTTCCTTATTCCGTAAAAACAGTGTGATGCTTGGCAGCAGACAGATGCTCAGTCTTCTTTTCTTTGATGGGGCAAATAAAATGAGCTATTTTCTATAGTTGAGGCCATGGATCTTAGTTTTATGTGGATCGCATTGCTGGAAGAACATGTAACATATTTGCCTTGTTTGCATGATTTTTGTGATCTTGCAGACCACGAAGCGCAACATGCCGTTCCTTTTTGTGCGAGGAGATGGAGTGATTTTGGTTTCCCCTCCACTGAGGACGGCTTAGTCTGTAGGAGATTACCGTCGATCATGTTGCTGTCGGTGGATTTCTTGGGAGTTTCCCGACGTTGATCTTCTCCTCTTCGAACTCTGTCTCCTGCCATTTTTGCTCTCTCTCTCTCTCTCTCTCTCTAATGTGTACGTAGGTGGTTGTTACACTGCGGATCCGAAGGACCTCGATCAGAAGTTCTGTTTTCAGACTTTTCCTTGGAATCAGGTGAAGGTTCCAAGGTGTGTGGGATATGGAGAGAGAAAGAGACCAAACAGCATTTGGTAAGTCAAAGTCAATCTCCATGTTGGCCAAGCTCAAGTTTCTGCAGGACCTACTCTCTCTCTCTCTCTCTCTCTCTCAAACCCACAAAACATAGGAGAGAGCGAGATTCAGAATCCATAACAGCTGGACCACCGATCCATTCACATGGCTCATCCCTTTACCAGGGCTCGCTCTGACCTTGACATTGCCTGAAATCCGACGCCCCAACCGAGTGAAGACCATACGATCGCCCAAAAAGTCAACCTTATTAAAAATGGCGGCATATACAGCAATAACAAAGTTGTCTCATACACACGGCCCCCTCCCTTCCTTTCTCCCTCCAAAAGACAGGTTACAAATCCCCCAGTTTCAGACAAACGCCCAGAGCATACGTGACGGCAATGGCCCGACAAAAGTCAGCGCAGCTCGCAATAGAGAGAGAGAGAGAGAGAGAGAGAGAGAGAGAGAGAGAGAGAGCAACACAGCAAGAAAACTGGAATTCTTCATCTCCGCCGTTGACGCGAGACCCCTGGCGAGGCAGCCGGCGGGTACTTTGGGGAGTTGACCGGCCCCCGAGAGAACGAGTTGACGGCTTTGGGCGGCGGCGCGCGGGCGAGGTTCGGCAGGAGAGAAGACTCCATGAAGCACGATATGTTCAGACGGGTCCTCTCCAGCTCCCCGTTGAGGAGATCGGCGCTGAATTGCTGTGCAAGGGCCTGCACATGGAGGCGATGAGCTCGGCATTACTAAATGAGGAAACAGGAACCAGAAAAAACGCCAAGAACACGATGTGATCTAGCGGCGAAATACGGCGACAGAAACCCCAGTTGACCCTGAATGAACATTCAATGATCTGAACAGAAGAAGTCAACTTAGGTACAGCATTACTACATGAGGAACTATGAACCGAGAACCATATGATGGGCGGCGGCATAACAACAGCAACTTAATGAATCAAAATTTCCAAAATAATCATCCATTGCATCGAAAATCATCTTCATAAATATCAACGCTCTGGAAGGAGTTTTTTTTTTCTTTTTTCTTTTTTTCTATATCCAACGTACTGCTCATTCAGTCAACATAAAAAGTCTTCAAGGTTCTTGTGCAATGTATTTTCAGTGTTTTCTTTCTTCTTCTGCCACATTATGAAGACAGGAGTGACAGACATTGAAATTCCCCATGGATTCAGCACATAAGCAGAACCCATGCTCTGAGAGGAGTTTTTTTTTTTTTTTCTATATTTAACCTACTGATCATTCTGTCAACGTAAAAAGTCTTCAAGGTTCTTGTGAATGTATTTTTTTTAGGGTTTTCTTTCTTCTTCTGCCACATTATGAAGAAACATCAAGCCTATAATTTGATAGACATTAAAATTCCCCATGGTTTCAGCACATAACATAGGCAAAATCCACAGCCGATAAGAACACACTAAATGAGGAAACAATGAACACGGCCTCAGTAGATAGTCAGAATATCATAAAAAAAAATCAGATGATAGAATATATTCCCCATGGCATCAGTAGATTGATAGAATACACGGTGGATTGGAATCGTCAGTGAAGCGAGTGGAGGAGATTGTTCTTCAAGGATCATGATCACTGATATATAATCTTGAGGGAGGAGGGGTTTAAGCTTGAGTCCTAACCCCCCCTCTCCTTTAACCCAATTTATCAATTCATTCGCAGCAAGATATTTATAATGATAAATGACTAAGCATGCTGATGAATCCTCTCCCCGCCTTAATCCAGAAAATAAAATAAAAAATTATGTAATTGACAGAAAAGTAGATATAATCTTACGATCAGATCGTCCGGAGAGACAGTTGATAGCTTGTCGTCCGCCATTGCATCTTCACTCCCACGAGTCAGCCGTCTATGATGCCCTGGGTTCTCAATGGCTTCGGCCACACTCTCGGTGGCCGTCTCCAGCAGAAATCCCTGTAGGGACTTTAGAGTCTCCTGCGCATCGGGAGTGATGTATGTGTGCAGAACAGTCTCGAAATATTCAAGCTGCAGGGTCGGAAAACACGGGTTATTTCTAGGGAGAAAAAGAGAACCAAGTAAATTGTGCAAATATTATACAAACACAAATGTTTCTGTATATAATGATAGATAGATAGATAGATAGATAGATACATAGATAGATAGAGAGAGAGAGAGAGATATAGAGATATATATAGAGAGAGAGAATCTCGCCTCAAGCATGAGCTGACAGAAACCATTTGCATCCAACGCCTTCAGATCCTTTTCTCTGTTCTCATGGAAAATATTGAGAAATGTGTCAAAGAGCCCCTCCACTAAAATGCCCAATGTCTTCTCCAGCAGCGGCTTATCACCACAAGAAACCTGCAGGGGAGGATTGCTTTAAATTGACCCTCCTTCATTTTTTTAAATTAAGATAAATCGGACTCATAGTGAAGTATGCAGTTAAGTCCACTTATAATTGATCTACGTAGTTCCATTCAAGTCACACTTTGATCCAAAAAACTCAACATATTAACTGATTCCCTAAAGCTCCACTCCACACACACACAGGATTACATATGAATCAGATTAACCCAAGATAAACCGCACATGATTTTGATGAGCGTCTGCAACATAAATTCAAACCTATATCTCAAACCTAAAGTCAAAGCCCGCGTCAGGGCCCCCCATCTCGGTTCCCTCGCAATTCATGAGCATTGAAAAGTTGCTTAATGGTCTCAACTAAGTTAGTAGCCTCAGAGGAGAGGAAAAAATCATGAGAAATACAGTGTGCTGGCACCGGAACCCAGTGGGAAATTTCTGTATGATGGAAGACGACTTCGGTGAATAAGACAATAAAAACCATCAAAATTTGAGAGATCAATGTGAACAAACATCTGGTACCTCTGCATGGACAGACACCAGGGAGCTCAACAGCTCAAGAGTTTTGTCTCGGACACCCTGGAGTGAAACATCAGTAAATCTTATTCAAGCAGAAGATAACTGAAAGAAATAATCCATCAATTTAACCCCATTTTAACCTTCACTGCAGGTGCTGTTCCCCATTGAATTCCAGAATCTAATAAATAGCCCAAAGCAGCATTTCTGATCAAGTTCGCCTGAAGAAATGAACAAAAGTATAGGATTAAGAGACCGGCAAAGACAGCGTGCGCAGGTTTTAAAAAAATAAAATGCAAAGCAATAGCAAAGTCCGTCTATGGAAATAAATTCTAACATTCAGCAATGTTAAAAGCGACCTAATCTTGGTATCCCCTTGCTTCTTGATGGTGATCACTATGGAAATATGCCAACTGCTGAACAGTCATGCTACTTCACTATGGAACTCTCTCCGACGTTTTCCAGAGAGTGTGAAGAAAGGATATTATTTCAAATATTTCTGAGCAGTATATCCATGCCACAGCGGAATAAATGATTGAGATTTTCCAAAAATTAAAATTAAAAATTTTATAGCCGATTAAAGTTCAACATAAAACAGATGGACTTCACCTTCTCCTGTTTCTCGCGATTTTTTTATTTTCCAATTTTGTTTACAATCAGGAATCATGGATGGACTTTGAAAGATAGTCAATTTACACGATGCATTCTCTAGTGACTAGTGGAAGCCAATGTCCATGTGTACATCAATATCAAGCGGACGAATCTGCCGCAACAAGTCGGAGAACATAAAATAATAATACCTTTGCATAAGTATATTGCTCAAGAACTTTCTCTTCTAGTGCTGAAAATGACATTACAAGATCCCGTACATCAGAATACTGTTCGTCGATTTCCCTGCAGTATCAACAGATTTCAGAAAATACAACAGAGAGCGAAAAAGAGACAATAAATAAAATATTTTTTGGAAGCCTGCATACTGATTCATCTCTCACCCCAATTAAACCACACTAACCAAAACCAATTCGAATAATGATAGAATGATGTTCGAAATAAAAAAAATCATCTGTCCTAATTAAATGCGACAGATGTCGTTAGATGGTTCATGAGAATATGCATCTAATAGGCCCACTATTAGATGTAACGAATCATTTCGAAGTTGGGCCCTATATGCCCATTTTAGGTCTCATAATGAACTCATTTTTCCACATATAAACAACTGAGAAGAGGGTTTTACGCACTGTGTCTAATTCTACCCCTTCTATTTCTGACATAACATTAAGTTTGAAAACGAGAACATTTTAAAGAATCAGGAAGTCATGTAATTTCAGGACCTGAATTTCTATATCCACATCATTACAATTACGCGTAACACCATAATTAACATAAACTAATCCAGTCTCATTTCCAATAGCTTAATTGACTACTATAAGAGGTGTATTTCCGAGAGTCTAAACTGAGTTTAAAACTGTTTTCAAACCATCCAAACAAAACTTAACAGTATGTTTGATTGTTTTTTAAATAGAAATTATTTACCACCTCTTTAGGTACAAGGACATAAGTAATAAATAACTAGAGGTTGCAATAATAACTGTCTAAGAAAAATAATTATTCGATTTAATGATAAAAAAATCAAGGAAGAAAAGATGCTAACATCTTCACAAACTGAAGAGAGAGTAACCTACCACGCATTTCAATGCATGTAGTTGTTCAACTGACAGTATGGAATGCATATAGAGAAACGAAAGATAATGAGGAATCCACAGATACCTTATACCGTGGAAATTATGGAGAACGTGAACAAGAGAGAAAACAGAGTTGACCTTAAACCATTTCTCAAAGTTTTAGTTTGCATTGCACAAGCCCTGTGCAACTAAGACAGAACAAGTTGACTTTTTTTCTTGGAATGAAACATTTACATGTAATCCCAAAAAACCAATAGTTACTTTCATGCATCAGTACAGACTTTGACAAAGGCATAGCATAGCAATCCATATTGTCGACATTTTGATACATAATATACTTCAGATACAAAAATAAATGAAAGTTGATAAACGTCAAATGGGTTCTGATTGTCTGAGCGAACTTATGAATCAGTCTCAAGCTCCAAAGAGTCAAACCAATTAAATTACAGCTTTCTCACATCGATTTTTAAAGCATTTTAAACTCTTAAACTGAGAAGTCAGTATTTTTGCGCATAGTTAATTCCAGATTCAAACGCAAGCGACAATGTTCCATCATAGAACCATACCTAGATTGCAGCCATATATGTTTGTACTTTCCATACAACTCGCCACAAAGTTCATCTTTGCAATAACCGACATTGCTCAAGATAATTAACAGCATTTTATACGGATCAGAGACAGAGTTTCCAGCATGACCTTCCGGTTCACACAGATATCTATCTTCCAGATGTAAAGTTTCTTTAATTGATGACCTGTCAGAAAGTTCAACTCCAATCTGCTCCAGATAGCCTGATTGGAGTACGTAAGTTCAAAAGCATATCAACTTAGCAGTTTAATGGAAAAATCCAATGCATGACATTAATGATGGGGGTTTTGAAAAGTGGTACCTGCAAAATCCACGAAACAACCTAAGAATTCACTTCTCACAGAGTCTTGAATGTCCTGAACCTCTGTGAACATCTCAAACGATTTTGTTGTCTCATTCCTTAGAATCTGAATCGTCCTACAGCAAAAGGGGAGAATCAAAACGAGAAGCAATGAACTCTTGGCTTCAAGATTCAGGAAGCAGAATGGTATACAAACAGGAATGTGATCCACAATATTACAAACAGAAAACAACTTCATAAGAATTTTAGGGTTGTAATACTTCTCTTGAACTAAATGAGAATAAATAATTACGCCAGCTACACCGAGGAGAAAAAGTTAGGCTATAAATAAGAGTCATACAGACAAAAAGAGAATTGATAACAGGAGAACATCTAGGCAGACATGTATTTTCTTGGACACAGAGACTTTTTGCCCTTCAAAAGTGAAAAACTAGCACATATGCATTAGTCAATCACCAACGAAATGCATCTTTCATTGCCACCTATTTGTATAGATCCATATTTGACATGGATGATACTAAGAATACCATATTTTTCACCTTAATGTTTTTACTTTTAGATTTTTTTAAAAAAACTAAAATTTCCAAAATTTCCTGGATCTATTTGGATCTCTTTCAAATTAACGGATCCAAGATGTCCAATCATTTAAAAATCATCTCCAACCATTTGACGTATTGCATGACGAAAAAAAACCCACAAATAGATTTTCTTGTCAAATATGAAGGATTCTTATGAGACAGAATACATCGGAAGAATCAGATCCAAAATCCCCTTTATATTGCAAAAATAATAATTAAATATTTCCAAGTTGTAGATCCACCATTTTTTTGTTAATATGTCTGTATCTAAACAAACTATAAAGGATTTTTCGGAGATTTATTAGTGTCCAGATATTGTTTGGTGCTTTTATGGCCCGGTAACATTTGAATCTACTATTCGGACTCGAATGAGCCTAACATAAACTAAACAGGATTGGCCCATGCTTCTGCAACTCATGTGAAACGGCACAGGGTGAATACGATTGACCAGATATTGGTAAAAGGGGACTGACTTGCGCAGTCCTCAGACAGTATGACTTTGAAACTCAAAAATCAAACCACGTTATACGATTCATCACAGATAAAATAGAGGCAGCAACCCATGATAACTATACATCCATGATGCATTTGATTTTCATTCCAAAGAAGTAGCATGATGGCTAACCTGGTTTTTCGATATATAGAATGAATATTACGTTACCATTTTAACAAGGTTCCAACCAAACATAACGAAAGCAAGCACTATAGAAGATATATTATAATGAATACCGACTAGCACAAATTTACAAAAATAATAAGCCTAATGAGCCCAATAAAAAACGTAAGGAGAGGAGAAAAGCATGTAGAGCTTACAAACTGATTTGATCCATAGCGGACACAACAATGCTACGGAAAGCCAAGGGCAAGCAAGAAATCATATATGGTGATTTGTTTCTCTCCAAAATAGACAAAGGAATCCATGTTTCATCCTTTGTTATCTCTTCAGTAGTTGCCCGCATCCATGAGCACAGCCTTGATACATAAATCTTCGCAATCTCAAAATGAAGGGCACGTACAGATTTAACTGCCAAAGTCAATAAATTGCATTGAGGATCGAGCTGATTGTCAGTCTTCACGCGATAAAGATACATAACTACCTGCATTTTGTGGAGCAGACTCTTTCACTTCGATAGATTGGCATGCTTTCGCTACTTCTTTTATAGCATTACTCATGTATGGACGAAGAACATTTGACTCTTGAAAATCTCTAAATGTAGTGTGCACCTGAGTCAAGAAAAGGAACTTAAACTGCTGTCACTATATGAAAAATATAGACCACGATATAAATAACGTTCAGATGCACAAGCCTCATATAATGTAAGCATACACGACTTAAGAGAAGAAATGCTGAAACAGGTTTAAAGACACCTGATATCCCAACGCATGGGAATGCCAAGAAGACATCTAATGCCTTGAACACGTAACAAAGATAAAAATCAAGTTCATGCATCATATCCAAACAAGTCAAACTTCTAATAAAAGGAAAATGAACTTGGTAGGTCCAAGTATCGCTTGTGGCTCGTAACAACCTTTTAACAGGACAAGGATATTCTGACCAGACTCCAACTTCAATTGGTTCTAAGCCTGGTTTTTGCCAGTTCTTGTGTTTCTGGGTTCAAAACCAGCAAAACTGAACATCCCGGGTAAACTCAACTCCCTGTTTCGTCCTAACTTTAATATTTATGACTTTACTGGGGCCTTGGGAGTGTTGCCTTAGCCTTCACATATTTAAAGGAATCCATCCTCTCTTGTTTCTTGTACTACTCATCTGGCATGGTAGGCTTAATGTGGTAATGGATGCAGGATATCCAAACTACATTAATTCAATGTTCACGTTTGTGATCGTCCTTCCTTTGTTTCACCTTGCTTAATCTATGTTCATATTTATCGCCTTCTTGGGGTCCTAGGAGGATCTAATTCAAAATAACATAGTCTGAAGTGGGTCAGACAACCAGGCTGAGCACGTCCAATTAGTTCCATACTATGATCAGATGGGCCAAGTTGGCCAGGGGGAAATGCTGAAATGGGCAAAAATGTTACAGGTACATTTAAAAGTTTAAAATATATGCCTAAGATTTTTAGTTAAGAAGGCCAAAATCAAGAGAATAGTACAATAAGTATCCAAAAAAAAACACAACTCCAATCCCCAAAGACTCCTGTAGTCTAAGCTTGATCTCGTCAGAGCAGGAAATTGGACCAGGGGAAACTTGTACCAAATGGATGTGCAGCAAGAAGTGAAACATTTATTTCCTTGTCTCCATCCACCTCTTTGACCCTCTTGCGCCACTCTTCGATATTTTTCATCCAAAAGTAGATACAGGCAGGAATTGGTCACTTTTTTTTCAATTGAAAAGAAGATTAGATTCGTTCGTTCTTAGAATGATGAAATAACTGATTCCAGTTAAATGTTGAAATAATCAGACAATATTGCACTAGACCCACAAGAAAATTTGTCAAGTAATGAGAAAAATTGTGAGCTAATGGATTAATATTTTGAGAAAAGAGCGTATATTAATAAAGTCAACAAAACCTTATTAAAATACTAGAGAACAACAAAAAGTAACATTTAAGTTTCTAAGAGTAGTCCCAAGCCCGGAGGTACTTTACCATATTCCGAATTTTACGTTTTTAATAAATACCCTAGACGAGGTTATCTTGGTCCAGATCTAGGACTACCCTCTACAGTTTGTGTAGCCACAAATACAGTTTTATTGGTTGAGATCTGTTAACTCTGTATACCATTCTGTATTAAAAGGACACACCCCAAGTACGAAAGCAACGAAGAAAGTTAAATACTACTAATTACGCAGTTAGGTTCTTAAAAGGAACGTTATCCTTATTATTTAGTCATTCCATTAAATACATTAGACGTAAAGATCAACCATAATGATCATGATTAGCAAGGAACTCAAGAAGAAAATGACTAAATTATCCTTATTTTAGAATGACCCTTTCGCTAGAGGATAGGCAAGAACGGATGGGTGGGCTAAAACGATATATCCATTAACTTCTCTATGGAAAACTTCACAATCCAATATGGTCAAAATCAAGCCTTTCAGCTAGAAGAGAATAAGCAAGGTTGTTCATTTGCCAAAGAGTTTGAATATGGTTCATTTCTTCAAGAATTTTAATCTATGAAAAGAGTAGACTCAGCGTTAAGATAGCATGATTCCTTTTATAAAACTAGAATATTTCAATACATCGTCTCACATGCAAAACCACTTTGTTGACTTTGCTACGTAGACATTTATAGGAACGTGTGCAACTCAAGATTAACCATCTAACTATGATATCAACCAAAGGTATTTTGTTCAAAGCTAATCTACTCAAAATCAATTGGTCATGTGCGTGATAAACATATTCTTGCAAATGTACGTTTACTTTTGCATTAATCAACATCAGATTATTCTAGAAAATAACAAGAAAAATGACAGGAAGCAAGAAAAATTAAGAGGACTAGAAAAAATAACCTTGCCCTCGTATGCAGACAGAGTACCATGGAACATTGCTGCAACTTCCTCAATAGAATGGTTTAAGTACTTCATTTCATTGGCTCTTTCCTCTGCCCTATTTATGGCCGTTTTGACACTTGTTTCTTGATCAAGGGCATTACCAACAGAAACCTGGCCATTACATCGAATAGAAAAATGAATAGTAGGCATCAGGTAAATCACGGGATTTATACACTTAAAAAATTCTTAAGTTCTTAGTTAGCTCAGATAGAAAGGAAATTGAAGGAATTGATTTTCCAATCAAAGACAATCTTAATATTGGCGTAGGTATATATTTTTTGTAGAAAAGATTATATGAGAGCATTGTACTGCCAGCATGTAAATAAATTCAGATATGCACCTCGAGCGAGATAAAACCCAAATATCTCAAGGTACAAAGCGTAAACAAAAAAGTAAATCGCATGCCCAAATATGTAGAAATAAGTAGCCAAAAACACTCATCAAAGTACACGTACTTTGAAAGTTAACACGTTAAGGAAAGATAAACTACCTTCGCAAATTTCCCATTGAAGACGGAAAGAGCCAGCTTCCAAAATGCTGGGAGATGGTGGATAAGTACTGCTGTTAACCTGCGGATATATCCTCCCCTCAGAGCATCAACTTCTTCATTAGTAAAGTCTAGAGAGGCATCTGATGGCGACTGGGCATCCCAGAAAAGGATGGGTCCACGTCAGACGGGGAGAATGAAGGTAAGGAATAAAGACAAGAACATTTAACATTGATAAGACATTCATTTGAAGGAATAATATGTTTTTGTCAAGGTAACAAGAAACATTTTCCAACACCAGTATGCCTAGGTATAACAACGAGCAAAAAGAGTATATAACAATATAACCCTGCCTGGAATCTAGTATGATATCCGAGCATCTTTTACTTGATCGAATTTTCTAGTAAATAGTTCTATAAGTTGATTTGCCGCATGGAGAGAAGGTTTGGAACATAATATGCATATGAATGATAAATTTGCCAAAGTGAGAATTCTAGAGAAAGATACCAAGGAATGTCAACGTTTCTACACTAGCGTGTGTGATTAGAGTATGGTTATTTATGTTAATGATACCACGAGGAAAGAGAGACTAGAAAAATGATTAAAAGTTACTGATACTGACTTGATATTAGAAGTAGCTGAGGGCCTGAAAATGTAGAAGAGTAAAACCAAGGCTGTTGACTTCAGAATAATAAATCAAGCATTCCTTTCATGCAATATGAATCTGTAACTTACAAACCAGAATTTTATTTTTTTCTTATGATTGTCTTACACTTTTGAGGACACATAGGTGCACATATACACTGTAGTAGACAGGTGCACATATATATTGTAGTAGACATCATATATTTGTTGTATCTATGTATATTCTAAAGCTTTTCTAGATGAAAATTTCCCCAACCAGATACCGAATTTGTGACTAAAGGGTCTTCCATTCAAGATGATTTCTTAGAAAGTGTGTATTCAGCGAAGTATGTAGGGTGACATAAGGCTGCACTTAGAAAAGTGTTCTCCAATACTTCTTTTCGACCCTTCTTACGATCTTTAATTTTTTGAACAATCTCAGACACGTAGAATAAGGCTTGTATTTGATTGATAGACCAATCTAACAAGAAATAAATAGTCCGCACATTAAGATAAACAGCATTAAACATTGCAATATAAAAACTGAAATTCATCAACTGTGAAGAACTTACCGTCTTCTTTGAATTTTGTTGAAGTTCTCTCCATCTCATATCAGCCTGCACTTTCTCCTTTATTTCATTCCGGAGCATTTCCATTCGTGTTTCATGATCTGAAGTACATTTCTCGAGAAGAACACGAATCCTACGATTCTGTAAAAAGAGACATCCAAAAAGATCGACCAAAAACTTTGAACTCAAAAAACATTAACGAGAAAAATATTAGAGAACCTGGGAAGTATTATGCATCAATAAGTTCGTGAACAGAAATAGAAATCAGCTCCCTAGCTAGAACCTGAATATTGAGAAAATGCCAGATAGGATCTGAGTCCGGTTCCAACTCCAACAGCAACCGGACAGTGTTTTCAAGCTGAAAGAATAAATGGTGATCGATAAGTAATAGTTGTTAAGAATTCTATTTTCCGAGAGAAATGAAAATCCTTAAGAAAAGGCTACATGAGCAAGCCTGAGAATCCAAGTAGAGCAATAAAAAGAAATACGATCTATGTATGATAATCTGGTTAATTTAACCAAAATATTTGCATAAAGAAGAGGAATCAGGGTCTAATTTCTGAATCCTAGTTTGAGGAACAAAGTTTTATTTTCAGAGATAACGTTAGAATTAGTGATAATCATAATAATTCTCTAAAATGACAATATAAGAATATTATTATCTATATGAGATCTTCGGATTATGCTCTCATGAATTGTAACAAAGATCCACGTTCCTCAGTCATCAAGCGTATGGTTGTCATCTTCATTAGCCATTATATTTGAGAACTTGTCTTCTGGTAGAGTATAAACCTCGGTCCACTGTCACAACACTTAGCACATGTTTAGGGAGCTGAAAATGTGCTAAAGAATATAAAATTCATGGCATAGGACATAATAACACTTGAAAAGTGAATTAACACTAAAACGCTTGACTAACTTGCATGATGAGCTTTACTTGGTTTGATACTTATAATAAAATGAAGCGACATACATCAGCAAGGTCAAGCTGTGGATCTTCCATTGATCTATAGAGCATTGCCTTAAACTCTTGCATCACCTTTTCAACCTCTTCAAGCACACGTTTTAGTATTCCCACCTGAATGCCAAAAAAAATATAGTTAGATATTGTTCTTACTACCTAGGCACTCAACAAACACAAAGAACAAAAATAATAAATTACTCAACAAAATAAATAAAACAATGTCGGAAAGTCAGAAACACATTCATCTGATAATTCCGGAATTCAACTGAGGATCAAAATTAAATATGTAATGCAACATTGCCAGAAAAATAAAAAAATTGTAAATCATTTAACGACGAAAGAAGTAACCAGCTAATAACCTCGTCTTGATGACAAGATAGAATAAAACGAGGCAAGTGTTCATAAGGCACAACAAAAAATAACCGTTGAAGATATAAATAACGCACCCAAAAGATGAATAAAGATAATCTGAAAAAAAAGTTAATGAAAAAGGGAAACTAACCAAGGAAAGAAAACTACACAGATCATTGGTGACATACATGAGAGGGGAGAACAATAGACTTCGCCTTCCTGTACTCTCTGACAGCCAAATCGTATTCACCCTTACTTATGTTCCCACGAATTGCACTAGGCAGATTGAAGAGAGTTCTAAATCTTTGAAGCATTCCTTGCACAGATCTGATTTTTTCAGCTTGAACCTGAATTTGTACAACGAGAACATGATGTCATATGAGACAATAGATAGTATCATAGGACTACAGGAAGAAAACGATTGTTTTGTCTTTATACCTGTCTCTCAAAAAGAGGCTGAAAAGCACGGTTTGCCAGCAAACTGGTATTTTGTATTGCAGTACAAAGGTGGGTGGTTCCTGAACCTTCGGGATCCTCCTCTATCTGTCTTAACTTTGACTCAATATCTGCAGAGGTTAACAAAGTACATGATTACAGGAACTGTGTGCGCATTAACAACAGAACCATGTGAATTTGTGCCTGAACATCTTGAAAAATCATTAAAATCTAAAAAATAAGCGGAAAACAGACAACATAATAAACTCACTTGTAATAATGTAGTTGGCGGCTATATAATGTTCAGGTAATAACATACCATCAATGGTGGTTTTGCAGGACACAAAACAGTCAAAGTTTTCCTTGACTAATTGCTTCCTTTGCTGTGTTCTTCCTTTGAGATCTGTTTTTAATGTGAGTGCACCAGACTCAAGGTCGGCAGAGCTTGTATCTTTGTGTACTCGAGACAAGAAGACCCTTGCATCAAAATTTTCAGAGTAGTACATAATTGTTTCTGCAAAAAATGAAATGTAGGACAAAAGGAGCATCAGGGACAACGAGAAACTAGGAGCAGACATTACTAATGACGTATTTAAGCTCATAAAGATGATTAAAATGATATAAGAAACTCACGCTTTAACTCTAGGTCACTTATATTCTTTCTTCATATATTAAACCAAAAAGCAGGCAAAAAAATTACATACCACGGATGCTTGGATCTAGAGTATCTCTGTCACCCTTGGCTTTAAGGCTAACTGGGGTGCTTTCTGAATCGTCAGTGATCAATGTCAATGTCCTGCTATCTATTATCCTGCCAATTCGCAGCAAAAATGCATAAGCATAGGAGATACTACTCAATGAAAAAAATATATATAATAGTATATCTATTATCCAACTTTAGAGCAGAGCCTATCTAATATGCTTTGAACCTCCTATCTCGAGAGCCTATTCATTTACTTCACGTAAAACTCGTTCACTTGATAAGAAGGGTAATATCACGATTTTCTTGTGGCTAATTTTTTGCCCACAAATTGTATACCCGCATCACCGTATCTAGAAAACTCATCGTACAAGATAGAGAGTTGAGAGCTTTAATGCAGTAACGTTAAAAAACGCTTTAGGGAGACGTCCACAGTGACACCAGGCTTAGACTCATTGACTCAAAGCAACATATCAATAATAAAGATTCAGCAAATATGTCCTAACAGTCTGCCAACATGATCTTCAGCTAGAGAATGGAAAATGTCAGGGATTTTCAGTAAGTCAATAAGTTATCTTATGTGTCCATCTCTACAACCGGCTTTTCCGGGTCTGTATTCTTTACCTTATCCCTCTGATCTCTTTTTCTTAACAGTCCTTTCTTTCTCTATTTCTCTGCAGTACATGTTCAGCTCAATTTTTCCATAAATTTTAATTTCAATGAAATATGCTCACTAGAGTTTTATGAAGATCAATCGCATCATTTGTGTAGAATCCTCATTCTTCATTTAAACCAACTTGGCAAAGGCAGTCTAAGATGTAACCAGTTTGACATTATGTCTGCAACTCTCATTAAATGGCAATGGAGACAAACAAGTTCATTCCTCTGGATGTGTGAAACAATGAATGAGAAACAATAAGACAGTTAAAAGAAAATACTACATTACAAGAGAGAGATCAAAAGACACCTCTATACAACACCTCAAACAGAAAATAATGGCATAAACAAGGTCACACCCAATAATTTTGGCATCTGCAACATACAAGCACCCAAACTGCATTCATGATCATCAAATGCAACATGCGAAATTAGCAAAGGTCCAGAAGCTCTACCCCAGTCCAAGGGGATCCAGAGCTTCTATTCCTCGAGGCATGGACTGTAAGCTGGCAAGCACTTTTGGACCCAATGTCGATGCTTTCTTTTCTAAAACTGAAACCACAGGTGCTACTCTTGTTTCTCTCATTTCACGGACTCTGCGAGCAAGCTTTAGGATAAAAAAGAAAAACGAATGTGAATCTCCCAATAAAGGTTCTCCATGTCTGTTACACAGCAGAAATTTTGATAATGCCATGGAAATGAAGAATATTAAAAAAATATTATGAATTGTGGATAATATACAGAAAAAACATATAAAATTGATATTATGAAGGTAAATTTTTATCTTAAATAAAAAAGAAGCAGAGAAAAAACCTATTTACTTACGTATAACATGAAAAGAGAGTGTGATATATAAATCAGGCTTTTCATATGAATAAAGGCTCAAATTTCTTGAGTTTCCAACTTTGATAGCTATTAATCGCATGGGGAATTGCCTTAGCAGCAACTCCACGATTGGATCATGTTCTAAAAAATTCCATCAGTTGCCCCTTCTTTTCTTGAAACCGTAAATATTTAATGCTTCAACATTGCCTCAGTTTCCTATGCATACATGTCATGGTTCCCACAAACGGATTGGAAGACTAACTGGGTCAACCAAGAATTGACAAGTTATGCCCAACAAATTTTAAAAATACGACAGAGGTTGCCTCCTTTGAACTAGATCAACAATCAGAATCAGCTAACACGACAGACAACTGATATGCGTACCAACATGCATGCATATGCCTTCTTAACATCATCTTCGGTCACTACTTCTCTGCATATGTTACTTAGAAAGTAACTGACTGATTATTTTCAAAGGAATAGCAGGGCGCTGAACATCGAAAGTTTTCAAAGTGAAGGATAGTAATACCCGTTAAATACTAAGTATCAGAGTTTTTTGTAGTCTTGGACCAAGAAACGCTAACACGAAGTCAATAATAAAGATTGAATTGCACAGTCGTCAACTAACCCGAAAATCCACTCAAATCGTGTCCAAAAGGCCATTAATCAAGACTCAGCAAAAGATACACTGTGACACAAACTGCATCTATTATTTTCCTGATTCAGCAAAATATTTTTTTTTAACTCCTCGATATACAAAATTTTGACGTAAAATGGGGAGTCAAAGACTATAGCCGGGAAATCTATACAGGAAAGAGAAGAAATGTTCTTATACATTAAAGAAATAATGAAAAAAAAGGCATTTCGTGTAAGAAAAGTGGTGCTGATCAGAATGGATGATATATGATAACACATTTGAATATTCGTACGATATTAACTGATTTTTAAAAGAGCTAATAACGATGATATAAAACCTGCATTAATAGAAAAAATACGTAGACTTGTTCCGACTGGTAGTTAAAATAAACAGTGGAAGGGAGAAAAATGTAACGATAGTTATAGAGATGCTGCATAAATGCAGAATAACGTTACCACTCGCGAGGCGCGAGCCAAATTATTGAATAAATCCGTGATGCAACAAAATATCCACGTAAAACAAGAAATACCTCTGCTTCGTCGACCCGTTTCCAATTGGCTGGCTCATCACCATCCCAAACGGGATAACCATTTCCGAGATCGCCTTTCCCACCTTTCTTTTCCCCAACAGCCCCTCGACTTTTCGGCGGAGGGCCCCTACCCCTGGTGTTGTCCTCGTCCCCGGATGAGATACTGAGAAGCTCGACCTCCGAGTCCTCGTCAGCCTCCGTACGGCCTCTCTGCGGCTTCTGCTGCGCCTTCCTGACAGCGGAATTCGACGTCGAATTGGCCTTCCTCTGGCTGCTGTTCGCCATGAAGGGGGGAGGCGGCGGGGGCTGGACGAGGTTGACGACTGGCCGCCCACCCTTGGACCGCTTGTTGTAACTCAGGTCTCTCTCCGCCTGCTCCCTCAGCGCGATCTGGAGCAGCTCGTCCTCGTCAAGGTCATCACTATCGGTCGACATCCCCCCCCCCTCTCCCTCTCCCTCTCCCTCTCCCTCCCTCCCTCCCTCGCTCTCTCTCTCTCTCTCTCTCTCTCCTTCCCCCCTTCTGGTTTTCCTCGTTAGTAGATGGTTTTTTCCAGATCTTGGGCCGGATTTGGGATCCACGGAGAGAGAGAGAGAGAGAGAGAGAGAGATCAGGTACTCCGCCAAACTTTCTCTCTTGCTTTACTTCGCCTAGGCTAAGGGGCAAAGCATGCTGGGAGGGTCGCCCAAGGAACGTGAAAATCACAGCCTTGTATCGAGATCCATTGGACTAATCCTCCGGACCGGAATAACTCGTCTCCACGTCAGCACGAATGACCGACGTGGCAAAACAGTGCAAATCCGTTCCACTGCAGCGCGGATCAATCGTTGTCCCACGCGATTTGCCCCTTCTGCTCTCGGATTGTCTGTCTGCCCTTACGAGAAGCATGTATTCCCGAGGGATAACGTACGCTGCCGATGATCTGGCTCAAAGATAAAGGGTGATTTACCTTTAAATTCTTATTTCTATTTTGAATTATGAAAATATCTCTTTTTTTAATAATATTCTTATTGAATGAGGTAATTAACAAAAACTTATTAGAAATGACGATATAGAGTTATATATTTAAAATAAAAGATACACTGATATTTATCTCTCTCTCTCTCTCTCTCTCTAGTCAGTTCGTATTTCACTAATACTTGGGGCTCGTTCAATAATAGACCACTATCCCGTTTTGTTCGAATATTGTGGGTAAAAAATTTATTGGTTAAGAATAACCTTATTGAAATGAGTATTTAATAAATACTCATTTGTTATAAATACGACATGCAATTATGTATATTTTTAAAATATAAAATAATACATATACTCTCTCTCTCTCTCTCTCTCTCTCTAGTTAGTTCGTACTTCATTATCCCCATTTTTCTTATAGTTTTTTAGGGAGCGTTCGAAATTAAACCATTGGCCCGTTTTATTTGAAATTTGTGGGTAATTTTAAAATTAATTTTCTTATTGAGCGAATTAATTAAAAAACACATTATTACAAATATCGATATACGATTATATATATTAAAAATATACACTAATATTTTTCTTCTCTCTCTTACTCTCTCTAGAGCTAATACTTCATTATCCCCATTTTTTTGAAGGGAACGGGTTGTCTTATGCTATAGTTTTTTTGGGGGAGCATTCGAAATTAGACCATTTCCCTGTTTTATTTGCGTATTGTTGTTACCTTTTATTTCTCAATAATATTTTTACCGAATGAAATAATTAACAAAAACCCATTATTACAAATAACGTTATATAGTTATATATTTAAAATATATACAATCATATTTATCTACTCTGTCCCTCTCTCTCTCTCTCTCTCTCTCTCTCTGGTTAGTTCATACTACATATCCCAATCTTTTTTGCGGGGGATGAGTTGTGTTTTCTTATAGTTTTTTTTGGGGAGCTTTCGAAATTGAACTGATGAATTTCCGATAGTTAATTAATTTTAAATCAGGTTTTATATCGCGTTAATTCCCCCCCCTACACGGCCGGTCGGAGTTTCGTTTGCTTGGGACGGCCTTCTAAGAATGAGTTGAGGAAATGCGTTCTTTCTCAAAGTAACGCAAGATGGCTTCCGGAATGGATTCTAGAGGGATCTGGATAGTCGCAGAGCGCAGCGACCGTGGGCGATGCTCCTTCCCCTTTCGCGGCCTTTCGATGGCCGTAAAGGGGACCTGGACCTCCATCGTCCGCCTCATCGTTCTTCCCTGCCGCCGCCCCCAAAACCCTAACCCTAGCCTCCTTGGCCCTGGCCCTAGCTGTGCTCCACCCTTCTGCCTCCAATGGAGACGTTCCGTATGGTCGATGAAGAAGGACCCCGCGCTGGAGAAGGCGCTCTCCCGCAACCGCCGCTGGATCGTGAACAACCAGATCAAGAACGTCCTGCTCCGGAGCCCTGGCCGTGTCGCCACAGTGCAGTCCCTCCAGAAGAGATTCAAGACGCTCGATCTACAGGGGCGGGCGCTCAACTGGCTCCACAAGTATCCCTGCTGCTTTGAGACCTTCGTCGATCCCGCCGGGAGCGGGGAGACGCTCTACGGTTTCTCCAAGCGCATGGCCGCCCTCGTCGACGAGGAGGAGGTCACCAGAGAGGCGGCGGAGATGGACATGGCGCGGCGGCTCGCGAAGGTCCTGATGCTCGTCCGCGATCACCGGCTGAACGTGGTCAAGCTCAACGAGCTGAAGCGGAGCTTCGGACTGCCGGACGACTACGTCTTGAGGATCGTTCTCAAGTACTCGGACGTCTTCCGGATCGTGAATGGAAGCGGGAGGAGGAACTCGATGGAGATCGAGCTCCTCCGGTGGGACGCCGATCTGGCGGTCTCCGCCGTGGAGGCCATGGCCGCGGAGCGGAAGACCCCGCCCCTCTTCCTCTGCTCGCTGCCGTCGACCTGGATCAAATCTCGAGCGAGTTTCGACGCCTTCAACGAAGGTACGCCCTACGCATCGCCCTACTCGGCGGAGCAGATGGAATCGGAGAAGCGAGCTGTCGGAATGGTCCACGAGCTGCTATCCCTTACCCTGTGGAAGAAGCTGTCGATCGTCAAGTTGGGGCACTTCAGGAGGGAGTTCTCCCTGCCGGAGAGGCTGGGGAGCCTGCTTCTCCGGCATCCCTGCATCTTCTACGTCTCCAACCGGTACAAGATCTACACCGCGCTCCTCAGGGAAGGATACGACGGATCGGAGCTCGTGGACAAGCATCCCCTGGTGGTCGCCAAGGAGAAGCTGGGGGAGCTGATGCAGGAAGGGCTGCACGAGTACAACAGGAGACGGCACCTGGCGAATCTGGAGAAGAAGAGGAACAAGGGGGATATCGCCCCGCTGAGGGTGGGGAAGGGGACCTCACGAGACGGGGAGGAAACCGTGGAGCCCTCTAGGGTTTACCAGTCGGAAGAAAGACGGAGGTTCTACAAGGCTCTGTTCGATGACCCCCCCTGAGCCCATCAATGGTAACCGTGTTTCTTCTCCACGAGGATCAGGCTTCCTTCTCCACAGAAGCAGCGTAGAGGGTCTTGATCTCCTCAACGTCGTCGTAGCTCCCCAGGAAAATTGGAGACCTCTCGTGGATCTTCGTGGGAACCAGTTCGAGCGCCTGCCAGAAACCAGTTCGGAGATCCTCCTCGATTTCAGTTCTCGAAGGCAATCGATAGAGAGGAGAAGTGAGAGATCAAGGGTGGTTTGCTAGTATTTACCCGTCCTTTGCCAGTGAAAGCCTGCCCTCCGGCTTGCTCCATGAGGAACGACATTGGGAAGACTTCGTAGAGGACTCTGCGCCGCTCAAAATGGCCATCGTCGTAAGTCCCAGAAGCCAGGCAAGTCAGTCGGGTGGAGAAGTTTAGACATACCGGAGCTTCCCATTGGGGCTCTTCTTATCCGCAGGGTACAGGAAGATGCCTCCGTAGAGCAGAGTCCGATGAACGTCGGCAACCATGCTGCGGCCCTCGAAGAACGACGGCGACCGTCAAGAACAAGCAAGAGATGGGGAGAAGTATCTGAGGGGAGGGAGGGAGGGAGGAAAGACCTTCCGACGTATCTGAGGGACTTGGGAGACGATCCGTCCTGGGGGAACTTGCACCTCTCGACGTACCTGTTTGACCGAAACGTATCAAGTCAACGAGTCCCGACACCAGTAACGGGGAGTCAACGGTGTTCATCTACCTCGCTGTGGGTTCGTCCCAGTTCTTGGCGTTGCCCTCGTTCACCGAGTATATACTTCCTTTCTTCGGAATCTACAGAGAGGGACTGCAACATGATAACTCTGAAAAAAAAAAGCTGATATATTGATTATGTTTCTTTCGTCTTTCAGGTTACCTTGATATTTGGGTGCGTGAGTATGAACTCCCCGAGAGATGGGTCGAGGGTGAAGCCATTGACGCCTCTTCCGGTGCTCAACACGAGCTGCAACGTAGAGACCCTTGGGGATCACGATTACGTAGAAAGAAAGAAAGAAGAAAAAAGCCCGGGATTTTGATTGCAGCACAGGGGGAAATTTGATCATCTTGTGCATGATTGGCTTACCATGCAAGAGCTCCCGTACATGCAGTACCCTGCGGCGACCATTTTCTTCCCCGGTTGCAGCACATCCTCCACCGTCACCTTGTTCTTGTCCTTTATCATGTAGATCCCAAAAATCTGCAGAGAGATAGAAAGATAGCTGGGTTTGAAGACTGAGAAAGAGAAGTATCCTCTGTGGGGAGGAGGGGAGGGGACGGGGGGGGGGGGGGATGTGAAGGCCAGAAAATGGAAGAGAGGGAACCCACTGTTCCAATGGAGACGCCGCAGTCGATGTTGGAGGAGCCATCAAGAGGGTCGAAGACGACGCAGTACCTGCGGTACTAGGAAAGAAGATCTTGTCACAGGCTGCAGGAGCAAGTTGCCCAGGGAGGAAAGGGGACGAGCGGGTGGAGACCTTCCGCGCAGCGCTGGGTCCACGAAGGTGGCCTCTTCGTCTTCCTCGGAAACGAGAATGCACTGTCGATAATTCCATGGATGTCGTCAGGCTGCTCCTGGTGCGACAAAGCGGAGTTCTCTCCGACGCGATGAGTAATGGAATTAGCTGCGGAGACTCACCGTCCTCCCGCTGCTGGTCAGGGCCTTGATGAAGACCTCGTTCGAGAGCACGTCGAGCTTCTTCTGCTCCTCGCCCTGAATCACACGGAGTCAGCATAGCTATATTCTCAGAGAAGAAATTAAGCTCCCGCCAGTGATCGGATCTATGACCTAACGCAATTCCTTCACTGTGATTTGCGCGAGATGAAGATACTAATCGCATTTTCTGGTAAGAAAAATCCAGATGACAGACGATCCCTCTTGTCGAGGACAGATGAGGAAGAGAGCTCTACCTGGACGTTCGTATCTCCAGCAAGTCCGATGAGCTTCGCGAGGCCAGCCTGCGAGAAGAAACCGTCCTTATATGACGAGGAAGGGGAGGGCAGAAACCACAGCCGAAAGAATCCAAGGCTATCTCCCCAGACCGAGTCGCAACGGACAAGATTATTGTGAGGTCTTTGGAGCGGAATCATCGAGCTTCTCGATGGACCGGAGATCTTGATCGATTCGAGAAACTTGATAAAGGAATCACGAAATCAAATCGGACCTTCGACCACAGAAAAGCGCGGTGGCATCATTCGCAGAGGGAATGGAATGACCGACTCGGGATCATCATCAGAAAGTGAGCGCGGCGGCGAAGGATCACACCTTGTTCACGGCGGAGCAGACGAACTTGCAGCCGAGGACGATGTGGCTGAGGAGGATGGTGAAGTCGCCCTTGGACTCCGGGTGCTTCGACTGCTCGTTCAGGACGTGCCTCGTCAGCGTCATCAGGTCGGTCCGGTGCGCCTCCGCCGCGTGGTCCATGGCGCCTAAAAGAGAGAGAGAGAGAGAGCGCCGCCGTCGCCGCCGCCGTCGGCACCACCGCCACCGGGAGCTCCCAGCCGGGGGAAGAGAGAGGAAGGAGGGGAAGCCGAGGATGACGGGGACGGTGGCGCCTTGTGCATACGGCGCTGCGTGCGGATAGAGCTGGTGCGCGGGAATGGATAGGGATACGGAGACTGAAGCTTTTTCGACACGTGGCACGCCCACTCTATAGGCATGTCCTAGGGACATGTGACCGTTCAACTTCCCTCTCTCTCTCTCCACTTCCGTGCCCCTCTTTCGCTAACTTATTTGATGTTCTTTTGACCAATAACCCCCCTCAAATTGTCGATAAACTATCGGGCCTTTCTTCAAGGACACGTGGCGGGTCCTGGATAGCGAATCCTAAGGAGATGTGACCGTCCAACTTCCCTCTCTCTTTCTACTTCCGTGGGCCCTCTCGCGCCAAGTTATGTACTTTTTGCCAATAACCCCCTCTAATTGTAAATAAACTATCAGGCCTTTTTCCCTATCCCTCTGTCGTAGAATGGCTGTCCGCAAAAGTCAAGCCTAACGGGTCAAGATGGGCAGCTCGAAGCCAAGGAGTCAACGGACGCGACAAAGGGAGCATGCCATTCCTGTTCACATCTTTTAAATCACCAATTAGCTCTTGCTTCTCTATCCCTCGCCCTACAAAAGTCAAGATGAGCTGTTCCCAGCCAAAAAGTCAATGGAAGTGGGTGGTGTACCCACCGCAGCATTGAAGGAAGAGGGTTGACCAGCAATAAGTCTCAGCACTGGTTCGTCTTCTTGGCTTGCTTGAAGAACAGCCGAAATCGGGGATCCGACGGTCACAATAAACAAAAGATTTAATGAGAACAAGATATATATATATATATATATATAAATAAATATTGGAAGAAAAATATAATGCGAGAGATGGGCCTATAGGATGAACTGGGCCCGATTTATCTGAATCAGACCGGAATCATATACTGGTTACGGCCCGGCCAGGTGCTTATGTTGATCAAGGTGGTCCACTCCTGTGCCAACGTGGCAAACCCCCCCTCCCCTGAACCCAAAAAAAAAAGGATGCCACGGCTAATGATCCCAGCTTCTCTGATGGTGCAACAGCGGTGGATAATACCAAGGAGAAAACAGATAATACGATATTAACAGCTCTCAACGGAACATTTTGCAAAACATTGAACCGAATATCTCTGTGTTTATATATTTATAGAGAGAGAGAGAGAGAGAGAGAGAGAGAGAGAGAGAGAGAGATGGCGTAGGGTTTCGGGTATAATAATTGAACACAAAAACTTCATTTGGTAAGAATGCACCTTGTACTCTGCAAATTAGACCCATATAAATCGAGTATAAAATTTCCGATTTTTTCCCTGAAAAATATATTTGAGATCAAGGTTTCTCCAATTACAAAAGTTGCACGGCAAGGAATTCTGATTTTTTTTTAAAAGAAGAGTTTTCGGCATATCCAAGAACAATTGGTCAGAGTAAATGTCTTAAAATGCTAAATTTTAAGCATCATCTCCTTCAACTGATATCATCACATCAGATTTTTCTCCATAGCAAAATAATTTTTTTTGCATGGCCAATCAAAATAGCTTGCCGACAACCAGAGTACACAATTGGGCCTCACGCAGGAATCATCTACAGGATCATCAGAAATCTATGGCATCATCTCGGTAGCAAAACCGACTTGGGCCATTGTCACTCTCTGTCATTAACTCAGAGTCTATTCAGGGAAGGTCACTGATGGTGCTCTTGAAATGGTTGTGTATAAAGGGAGAGGAGTTGCCGTGAAATTGCTTGGTCTGGTTCGCATATATACAACATTCTACCCAGAAGCAAAGATCAGATAGAGATGAGCACATTTACGCCGAGAAGAAACCACACGATGTTATCATACCAACTACGTTAATTCTGGGCTCACACAGGCTGAAAACAAGTTCACATTGAATTGGGGTTCAAGTAAACAGGAAAGATGTACGTACCTTCATGCTGAACAGATTGCCGCTGGCCAGGAAGAGTCATCTTGGTCAGGGTGCGACCGACAAAGACGATGAATTCCCTGGCAGCCGAACGCTGAAAGAAACTGAAATGGCTGACGTCGGTGGCATTCGCCAGGAGAAGGGGGGATCAGACGGCCCGGACGATGAGGCCTCCCGCAAGACAGACGATTTTATGACGAGAAGGGCCGTGATCTTCATCGATGAAGAACCCCGCCTGTCTGATCTCTAACCACCCCACTTCTCCCCGTGCGATGAAATCTTCGGAGAAGACTCAGCTTTGGTTTAACGCGAACCTGGCCAGAGCGGAGAAGAAGACTCGAATGTCCCGCTTTACACGCTTCTACTGTAAAGATTGGCTGAACCAAACGCATGAGAAACTTCAATTTAATGAACCCCCAGAAAATTTGCCTACAGATTAGGTTTTACGGCAGTAGAGGTGACGGAGGAAAGAGAAGTCTACATAGCAGAAGACATATGTTTATAATTTCCAAGGGGCGATGTACAAATCAGATTTCCTAGACCATACTGCCAAGCGGAGCGTCCCCCGTTTTCCAACGCGCGCGAGAAGAGCCTCCTCCTCCTTACGCCCTCTCGCCTCGGATCCGACGAGCGAGCTGAATGTCCTTTGGCATGATGGTGACGCGCTTCGCGTGGATGGCGCATAGGTTGGTGTCCTCAAAGAGCCCCACCAAGTAGGCCTCTGCCGCCTCCTGTAGAGCAGAAACAGCGGAGCTCTGGAAACGGAGATCAGTCTTGAAGTCCTGGGCGATCTCCCGGACCAAGCGCTGGAAAGGGAGCTTGCGGATCAGCAGCTCAGTACTCTTCTGGTACTTGCGGATCTCCCTCAGCGCCACAGTCCCGGGGCGGAATCTGTGCGGCTTCTTCACGCCGCCGGTCGCCGGGGCAGACTTCCTTGCTGCCTTGGTGGCGAGCTGCTTCCTGGGAGCCTTCCCGCCGGTGGACTTCCTGGCCGTCTGCTTGGTTCTCGCCATCTCGGAAGGAGGAAGATTTGCTGCAGCAAAGACGAGGGAAGGTGAAGGTATAACGCTTAGTTCGTGGGATCCAGGAACGTACGAAATTGTGGTATTTATAGACCGAAGAGGGCGGGAATTCGAAAATTTCTAAATCCCTCGGTGCAATGCAGCCCGTCCGATGCGAAAACATCCAACGGATGAGATGAATCTAGAGGAGAAGACGTGGCGATCTCCGTGCTCTCTGGTGATTGGTTGAAATAGCGCCTTTCGGGTCACCCATGAACAGTTGAGATGGTTGTTCTGTGTTTTATCTGACCGTTGATTCCGTTAGGGTGACTGACTGAATGGACGGCGGGATTGGGATCTCCCTGGCGGCGCTTGTGAAAATTCCGTCGTCGGAAGGAGAATCTCCCACCGGCTGTGCTTGACAGGAGAGTCCCCCGGAGAGGGAGGAAGGTAAGTCCGTGAGATGACTCACAATGCTAACAGTCTGTTCACGTTTTGATGATCAGATGATCTCCCACGACGAGGATTTTCACGTTTGAAACGGGTTCCAGTTTGGTTCTTCTTGAATTCTGTGTAATGTGTTGAGTTCTGCTTGCAGGCCAATCGAGCGCCAGTCGAGCGTTCGGCTCACCATGTCAGTTCCGATTCCATAATGGCTCAAATAAATCTTGCCTCTGATGTTTCCTCTTTTCTGGAATTTTATTTTTCCGTAGCTTACGGTGATAGATAATTTTCCAGTTATGACAATCTAATTTATTAGATCGTAAATTCTTAGCGTCTGCAATGTAAAACGAGTGATCGGGAAAAGGAGATGCGGCGTTGATCGAAGATTTACCCCCATCTTTGATCCATTTCTACTCAGTCGTTTCTTCGCCGCTCTTCGTGGGATGATGACCGTCGACCAGATCTAATCATTCTTAAAAGAAACACTACGCAAAGCTCTATGCATTAATTACTCAGTAGAAAGACCAACAGGAGGGCGACTAGATTATCATCCAGAAGTCCAGACGCCAACTTGATCATCCATCGTGGAGTTGAGAATGTACTAGTGGAGTATTCGTGGCTCAAAAATGTTGTTGGAATCAATTTTTCCTGCTTTCGGGCAGGTGCTGTAGGATGCTGTTAATTGTGATTGTGAGCTTCCCTTTTTCCTCACCCACATTAGAAATCAACGTAGAGTACCGATTATGGAGTATTGATAAGATAGTCATACCGTGGGCTTGCACAGTGGTAATTGAGCAGGGAATGGGTAAATGGATAAAGGGAAAATTAGTAAGACGAGCCTCCCAACCCTGATCTTGTTTCGCTGTCCACTAAATTCAGTGTTTGTTATCTTGAATAATGTGTCTTGAAATATTTATTTCCCTCGAGAGAAATCATTGGATCACGTTTATTGACAGAAAGAATCAATGAAAGCTATTGTACTTTCCATACCATCCTGTTACTGGCTGTATATATTGTTGATTCCCATGCCGCCATCATGTTACTGCTTGCTTTCAGCCTGCTATGTGTTCTTGATTACTTGCTCATACACTGCATTTTTTTGTATATTCTGCAGGGCGGATGATGAACCTGTTGATCCAAAACGGCACATTGAGGACAATTGCAAACCAAAATGTGTAAAAAGCTGGGTTGATTATGGGGTAACTTCCCGAATAATCTCTGCAGATTTGGAGCTCAAGATCGTTCATATTTGTTTTTAGTATGGCACGAGATATAATGTTCTACTTGTAGTACGTCCTCCATAATATAAATGTTTTAATACTTACTGTGTATTTGATAGTGTTAACTTCGTTTTTTCTCTTGCCATGAAGCTCGAGCATGCTCTCTGGTAAGATTAACTTTGAATTTTGTGAAGGTAGATCCATTTAGTGATCTTGTTTTACGTGCTGGAGGAGGAAAATGTTGAGTGATTCTGATCGCAACGTTTTCCCTTGTTTCTTGACGGAGAAACTTTCAAAGAGAAAATGTTAATTATGCTTTGGATAATTCAAAAATGGTTGTGTTACTCCCTTAGAATTGGATATTAAAAAATGAAACCTGAGAGCTTCTATTTGTTCCTGATGGTCGCCGTTTTTCCCTTCCGTGTTTCAAAAATATTAATCTCAGCTTTTATCTACAATGATCGCAGAAATGCATTCAGAGGATCAAAGATGATAACACGGGCCACAAGCACTGTACTGGGCAGTACTTTGATTACTGGTCGTGTGTTGACCAATGTGTGAGTGACTTTCCTTTTATCAATTTTGTCCTAGTGGGCTCCTATCAATTTTGACCCTACCCTTCAAAATCGTCTTCTAAGCGCAGGTCGCTCCCAAGCTATTCAGGAAGCTGAACTGAAACTCTGTGAACCTCATTTCAAATGCAGCCTTATCCAACTCTCTTCCTTGGTATGATCTCTCCCTCTCTCTCTCTCTCTCTCTCTCTCTCTCTCTCTCTCTCTCTCTCTCTTTCTCTCTCTCTCTCTATCTGCATCTATATATATATATTTATGCAGCTATATATGTGTGATTGATGGATGGCCCGCATTCTTCATGCGTCAGGTGGCTGTTTCTTGATGCTTTCTGAGCCTCGGTTGAGAGGGAATGCTCCTCAGGATCATTGACGTCTGGGGGCAAAGCAACTTTTCCAGAAAGAGAAATAAATTTGATGCTGCTGCCCTGCATCTATTTTTATGTTTATTTCTATCATTATCCCCCCCCTTATGCTCCTTAAATGGCGTTGACAACTCCACTTCTTAAACCTCTCAATTAACGACCCACCCAGTGAGTACGCCTACCTTTCTCAGAGGAGAAAACGGGCTCCGGGCCGGATAACTATGAGGCCCGGACCCGTTTGGAAGGCCCGAACCCGGTGGTGCGCTCCGGTCTGGCCCACCAATCTGTTGAGATGGAGATGGGACCATTGCCGATTCTCCGCCACGTGGTGCTTCGTCTAGGAAGAAAACTGCTCGGGATGCCGAATGGATCTGCTGCGGAAAGCGCCGGGCTTCCTCCACGTGGCGAGGCCGGATAAGACTGCCGCTTCAGCATAGAAGAACCCAACGCGTCAATTAATAAAAGTAAATAAATAAACACAGTCGTCATCTTCTTCTCGAGGCCAAGTGGGGTCAGCGTAGTGTGTCAACGATCTCTTCAGATGGGTCCATCGATCCGACGGCGGAGAGAAAGAGCGCGGCCGAGGGGGCGAAAAGGTGTTAAAAAGATGAAAGAACTCTTCTGGAGCAAGTCGGTACGAATGGCGTCATTCCACTACCGACCGGCCGATAAAACTAACGCAGCCGTCGGTTGGCCGACGTGGCTTCGACGCGTGTCGTGTCGCAATTGGGTGGTCCTAGGTGCCACTCACATCCAGTCGGTGGACTTGGCGGCTTGATGCGTACGTGTTCCTTTGAGGCCTCCCTCCCTTCTCACGGGAGGAATCTCCTTTGATGCCGAGATTTGATCGGACGGCTAGCGGAGCTCCGATCGACGGGGGAGCGTCGTTAGCCGTTAATCGGCCACTCGCTTCCTTTTTCCTGCTTCAGCCGGAATTTCTGGGGTCTTCTTCTTCTTCTCCTTCCTCGCAGTGCTATCCAGTACAGGAAGGGGGAGTGGACGGTCCTGGCCCCGCTGCATCTCGGAATTGCCGTCTACATCCTGGTGGGAGATTCTTCTAACCGTCAAAGATCCTGCTGCTGCTGTCTCAGACCCCGCCGTTGCTCTCTCTCTCTCTCTTTCTACCCCCCGCTCGCTGTCGCTTCCACGCGGCTCGCACGCCCTGCGTCGACCTCTTCGGCTAGGTCCCTTATCTCTCTCTCCCTTGTCCAGAACCCTAGTTTTAGTGCGGATGGATGTCTAGGGAGAGAGGGAGGGAGGCGGAGTGAGAGAGGGAGGGAGGCGGAGTGAGGGTGACGGTGCCTTCTTGAGTTGGTTCTCGGAGAGGTGAGAGGTATCGATGGAGATACATACAGTGAGCGACGGGGTGAGTCAGGGGGACGGAAAGAGGTGGGGGGAGGGGATGGAGTTGTTGGTGGAGGAGGTAGGGGAGAGCTCCTCGCCGCTGCCGCGGGCTTTTGGTGCCCTCAGTCCGCATGGCATTAAGAACGATATCTACAACAGGCTCGTGGAGAATGGCTACGAGGAGGCTCTCTTCAATCCGGACTTCAAGAAGCAGCTTGACGCCCATTTCGACCGCCTGCCACAAAGGCGGGTTCCTTCCCCTTCATCCTTGTTCTTCGCATCCACGCCCTACTTTTTCCGTCCTCCCCTAAGTTGTAGTTTATTGCCACGCGTAGCTAAGCCTGACTATTTATCTTTAATGCGTTAGGTTTCCCACTTTTCTCGGAAAAAATTATCTGAGTTATCTTTTGTTCCACATATCGACCAAACGTTATTTACCACGTTCATCATCAATTCTAAATTCTTATCTTCGCAGTTCGCTCATGTTATTTCTACACTTGAGGACATCCTATGCTATTCTAAAAACAAACCGTGAGGCTCTATCTTCTGTGTTTGGTTTCTTGTCACTTGTGCATTCAGAGTCGGTGTTAAATCACCCTGGGGATTTGTATATTTCTGTTTGTAGTTGTATCTGTTTTGATAAAAAATTGTCTTTGGGATGATGATGATTTCTTTTAATCGGGAGGCTGACGTGCTTGTTCTTCGCGTACCTCTGCCAGTTACCTATGGGATGTGAACGTTGACAAAGCAGAAGATGTTGTTTTACACCAAAAGATTCTTGCCAAGGCCATGGATCCAGCAAAGTGTCCTGTTTTCCATTGCCGCTTTATACAGGTGCCACACAAAATTCTTGTCTATGTGACTAATTTACTCTTTAGAAAATATGTCACTGCGTTTTTCTTGTCTGTCTTCACATTTGCATCCCTTTGAAATGAGGTGTCACCTTGGAATTTAGCCACTGTAACTGTATTCTGGGGTTTTTTTTTGGCAATACTTGTGAGGGATGCGCCTCAAGGTGTGGCATCCTGGTTCTACTACCATGTTGTCTCCTAAAGTTATATGTTTGCATGATGTACATATGTCTGACATCCTTCTTTTCTTACAGGATGTTATTCAAATGCTTAGCATATCTGTTTTGAGTTATTGGCTGCTTGTGTTTGTTCAAGTTGCTTTGTGTTTGAACACCTACAATTTCCTACGTGATAACCGTTGTTGTGGTTGTAGAAACTGCTCGTTGAATTCGGTTCATTTGAACATGAGAGTTATGTTATATTATCTTTGTTTTCGAGGATATAATTATTCATAGATTGTCCTAATATTTATGGAATCCTCTTAGCTGATGGAGTAGAAATGGGAGAGTGCTTGTTGATCTTTCAAGGATACAGAGATTTTAGAGAAAACTATTCTTCCATACTGTATTTGATAAGTTTAAATGTTTAAAATGTCTCGTTAAGGTGAAGCATTTATATAAACCATTTTGACAGTATTTATGATATGACATTTTTAATTGTCGTATATCATTAAAACTACAATACATGTCCTGTATTGTCTTGGATTACGTAGTTTGAACACTGCATCATCAATGACATGAAGTTTCAACGCCCTTAAAATAGATTGATTAAGCGAATGGGAAGTTGTGGCTCAAGTGTCCTCCGACTCAAACCATTTGGTCTTTCCTGGTCAATTTTGTGGTTTTACTGGTTCTGGAGTTTCTATCAAAATAGAGAGTACAAAATCAACCCAGAGTGATTCTCAATCTATTTTTAGTTACAGAAATATATTCTGCTAAATTTGTGTTGTGCACTTGAGTCCTTGTGATTCATTTACTGCTCAGATATTTTGGATACTGAACCATAGCTGTCACCGGTGTACTTACTATCATTACCTAATGAAGCATAAATTCTTCTGTGAGCAATATTTTTGCCACGAAGATATAAAAGCCTCTTATGTATGTGTGATAAAAGTCATTTGGCACTGCAGGTGAAGAGCAGAAAATGTAGGAAGGGGCATATAGTTTTATTGTTTCATACACTTACGGACAAACATGCCTGTCTGCCACCATCAGTGAGAAGGAAGTTAAAGAACGTTACACACATTTATTTATCCTGGTCAAGCTAAGTTGGAGAGTGGATTGAAGTTATGAATAGAGATCCGGAAGGATTCCAGTTAGGGTATGAGAACTGAAGATATGGTGGAGTTGGATTATTCGAACTGAATGCAGTCATTAGTGATTGTTGCATATGAGAGGAACATCGCAACTGATGTTTCTCAATGGTGATTAGCTCTGTGTTTACAGCTTTGTTTTTCCTTTCCCACCATATCTGAAGGCCAAATTATACCCACATATCAATTATTTCGTATCTTTATTTTTTCTCCTTGGCGAGATATGGCTATGAATTCATATTGAATTGCACCGTGATTCTTGCCTTGCTTGCCTAAGAAACTTAGCTGAGCTGAGTTTCACAGGAGGGCATAGTGGTTAGGTAGTATATTATTCCCGGGTCATTCTTTCTCTCTGTCACCAGTTTCCGACTAGTTTTAGATGCTGTTTATACTTTGTTCAGAAAATATTTGCATTTAGCTGTGCATGGTTCATTTCAATTCTCCAAAGATTCTAGAATTCTCTCGAGTGTGCAGTATTTTTAAAAATTGTTTTGAAATTGGTGAAAATGTGAATACTGTCAGATTGTGCATTTTCATCATAGACTCGCCTGACATGTGAATGCTTATCCAAGTGAGGGGCTTCTAGTTTGGCTTAGAACTACCTACTTATGCAAGGAGGCCCCTTATAATTGTAGGTTTCCAATATGATCCATCTTTAAGACGTGTTATCCATTGAGTACTAGCCTTTTTTGTTTTCTTTTTTGGTGGGCCAAGCATTATGTTTCAGATTTCTTCTTTTGTCAATTGATTTCTGTTATGCTGAGTAGCATATTCAGACTAAAGCAGTTGGAAATGATGTACAACCTACGAAAGTGTCATCTGCTTCATGGGTTCGTGATGTGACTGAACAAGAAGGGGAGGAGCCATCAGACATCAGGTTGCCCATACTTTTAAACTTATACAATGCAGTTTACGTTTGTTGGGGGGTCCAGATCTTTAATCTTTGATGGGATGAAGTAATTGGGTGCGATTAAGATGCTAATCTTTAGTAGATAAGCTAACTGCCCCCTGAGTTACAGTACATTTCTGTTTGCCTGACATAGTCTGCTCATGCATTGGCAAAGGTTTCCTTGATTGATTATTGATAGTGTTTCTTTTAGTAGAAAAAGGAATTGTGAGATTGACTTTGAACCTTGCTCGAAGCTTGAGGACTTGAATCTAGATGTTAAAAGAGGTGGTGAAGATAATGAAGATAGAGGATATCTTACTGAGGCCTCGTCCACAAGGTACCTTTTTTCCTACAATAGCATGACTCTTGCACTGAGAATTTTCCCGACTGCTATGATATTTGTAAGCATCCCAACCTGTAGAAGAAAAATGAAAGCACCACCGTTTTGGTGTGTTATGTGCAATCTTGCCCGGTTGATCGTTGGCATACTTTCTCGTATCATAACTTCATGAACAGCTAAACTAGAAAAAAAAATCAGGACGACGAGGTTACTTAACCTAGCACTCTGCAACTATAGTTCGAGAAAGCTGCCGAGTAGATGTTGTTTGTCATTATTATAGTTGTTTTCGCATTATTTACATCAGACAGATGTTCCTAATTTTTGGAGTGCGAACTATCAGACTTACATGTACCAAAAGATGATTATGTAGAGATACCAGCATAGTTAACTTATGGCAATGCCTTTTCTTTCTTTGAAAAGTGGTCAGAGGTTGTTAAATACTCGATAATCTTGTGAGATTTATCAAAAGTGTGAGATTTCTTTCTATGTTTTCAATTCTGATTTATGATAAGTTTAGCTGAGACAACTCTTATTTATTGTGCAGGCAGATACAAATTCCAGTACACGAAGTAATATTTTCTACAGTTGACAAACCAAAGCTTCTTTCCCAGGTAGAAATTGGGATTATATTATAGGGTTTAATTTTACAAAGCTTAATATTTTTTAGCGGTTATATTACCCGTGTTTACCTATAGAGTGAAAACATTGTAAAGGTGACAAATTCATTTTGCTTCATAATAGCATTTAGTTTGCCGATGTTCTTTTTCGTAGGTTTCATGTTATTGCTAATGGGACTAATTCCGACATGTTCTTTCAGCTCTCAGCATTACTGTCTGACGTAGGATTAAACATTCGGGAGGCTCATGTGTTTTCAACAGTGGATGGCTACTCACTCGATGTATTTGTTGTTGATGGATGGGATGTTGAGGTGAGTTATGCGTGAAATGTGAGGTGGAATATGATATGATTAGTTCTTTGATGGTAAATTTGTTTCCTATGATGTAATCGTTTGCTGTTAGAGTTATCTTAAATTTTAACGCTTCATTAGTTCTGATATATAGTGAGGAGAAATATAGTTCCGAGATAAACTAAACGTTCTTAATGGACTCCGTCTTCTCTTCCAAAAGTTTCATCTAATACAATAACTGATGCCTTAATGCTATGCGTTTTAAAATTTTCTTAATATTTCAATACCTAATGGATGCGGCTTTTGGGTGATGCATGGTTTAGTAGAGGAACATTGTGATTTCCATGTTTAGTAGAGTAATTTTCTTAAAATTACTGGAACTTTTGCTGAGCCTGAATGTTTCTCATTTCCATTTTTTATGCTCAGGAAACAGATGATTTGGATAAGGCTCTGGAGAAAGCAATTTCGCGAAGTGAGGTAATAAATAATACATTATTTTCTTTTTCACACTTTCCTTGTATTTCCTATTTACGAGTCAATTAACGTTTCTTTTGATGTATAGCCTTCACATGCGTAATGCATGCTCATGACGTGCTCCCTATATTTGCATTTTTCTCCACATTCATGAGATTGGATCCAACCATTTACTAATGATTGCTGGTGATGAAAGTGCATTAGCAGTATATAGATATCCATTTCATTTTCTTTGGCCTTTAATCAGCTGAAAGAGTAGGCATCTCATGACCAGAAATAACAGTGGAGTAGAAAATGGAAAACCATGCAATCAGGAGCTAGTCTAAATAATGTAAAATAGGAAGTTTAAATCCTTTATCTATATCTGCCATATGGATGCCTTTTCATAATATATATATATTTTGTATACATATATCTATTATTATATTCATACTGATGATCATGATATTTATTTTAGTCATTTATATTTTTTTATAGGAATGATCTTATATTTCTCCGTAAATTTAATTGTGGCATTTGAAACAGATCTGCAAGTAGTTGTCTTGTCTGATCTTAAGCATGAGCTTTCTTTTTCTTCGAAAAATAGGCCACGTGCATCTGAAAGTTTATTTAAAATAATATAACGCATACTTTAAGAGGTCAAGGGAAGAGAACGCTAAATTTATTCATAGGCTGTCTCTTGTTATCTACTAGAGAATGTGATGAGATATTGGTAAGAAATGTGGTAGTAACTAGCTGGATAGTAAAAGAGTTTGAGATCTAGATAAATTTAAAAAAAAAGGGTGAAAGAAGGGAGCTATATGTAAACGATAGAAGAATTTAATAGGAATTGACGGAAGATGTAAGAGTATATTACATAATGTTACTTTTACCACTGACATTGTATCGTCAAATGTAGCGTTCGTTTACCGGTCCATCTCACTCAATGCTGGAGAAGGTGCCCACTATCCATCCAGAAGATGGAGCTTGGGAGATTGACAGAAGATTGTTGAAGATTGGGGAGAAGATTGGATCTGGATATTGTGGAGATTTGTAAGTCAGCAGCCACGTGGTTTTTTTCTCTCATCCATCTGGAGTTGCTGGTAGTTATATATATATATTTTTTTGATATACAGATACCGTGGAGTTTACCTGGGCGATGAAGTTGCTGTTAAAATTCTTAAATCTGAACATATAAATCATGCATCAAAAGTCGAATTCAACCAGGAAGTCAGCATTCTAAGGTGGATAATAATTTTATCAGCATATAACTCTGCTCGTCATTTGGTAGTCACCGTAGTGTGGATGAAAAATTCATCTTATTGAGATTCACTTCTATGATAACATCATAACTTTAACAGGAATCAGTCATACTATTGGACGTTTCATTCTAATATTTGCTTTGTCAAAAGGATAACAGACTAATTTTTCTTTGTAATTTATTGCCTTTCGTGCCATTACCAGGGAAGTTCAGCATAGGAATGTTGTTCGTTTCATTGGTGCATGCACAAATCCACCAAATTTATGTATAGTTACAGGTACGCTACTAATTTTCGGAGTAATGTTTTACGATGAGGAAATGATACCCTTGCTTAGATATTATGTTGAAGGACGTGTTGATGGAGAAATGTCATAACATTTGTTCTTCTACGCATGGCATTCCAAATATTATGATCCATAAATTTCCTAGTAGAGTCGATTTTTGGGTTTGGGGGAAGAAGGTGCTTTAAAATCTCAGAAGTCTGTGGAGGATGCATTGACGTAGAGCCTCATCTAAGATGATCATAAAGTTCGTAGACTAAAACTCAGCCCAATACTCCACGGAATGATTTTCCCTGATGAACAGGAATGATACGATACAATTGGCAGATGCGTATATCTTTCAAGTCCAAAATGTAATGAGAGACACTAAATCATGGAGAATGAAATGTTCAGCTGAATGAAAGATGCATGCCAGTTTCCTCGTCAGTTGTCCCACCTCATCTCGAAAGTCTAACTTTAGGTGCTTACCTCAGAATGTGGCAATTGTATAACCAATGATGGAAGTAGCGTTGGTTAGCAGAGAGGAAAAGAAAACCCAACAGATCAATTGAGGAATGTCTGCCCAGAAAGCAGTTCGGTTTGCTTTGGTCAATCGAATGTTCATTTCATATCGGCATGATGGGTACAAGTTCCATGCCTATGTTTCTTGGTCGTCTGACCTTGTGATATCTTTGAATTTTTAGTTGTACTATTTCCTTGAGTGGTAAGGACTGCAGAACCCCGTTCAAGGTTTTTTTACGATGGTTAACATGAATATCGTATTCACTAAAATACCAGGATGAAACGTTTTTCCTTGTCTGGAGTCCACAGGACGTTCATTCTTTTGGTTAGTCAACTTCATTCTTGGCTGACTGGGCATGACTTGCTTCAAGTCAGTAAACTAAAAAGCTGCCTATAGTTTTGCAAATAAATGGGGTTTAATGGTTTTGTTCCTGTGACTTGTTTAATTGTTTTGTTGAATGTTATCTCATCTTAAATTCAACATGAAGAGTGTGCTTGAGGGAATTAAAATTCCTTTCATGGTATATTCCACTATTCGTTTTTTATCGACACAATGGATTGATGGATTATATTGGGATTTTCTTGCAGAATATATGCCTGGAGGGAATCTTTATGATTTCTTACACAAGCATAATAATGTTCCGGAGCTTCCCTTGTTGCTGAAGTTTTCAATAGATATCTCAAAGGGAATGGACTATTTGCACCAAAACAACATAATTCATAGAGATTTAAAGTCAGCTAATCTCTTGTTGGACGTCGATAATGTATGTAGCTTCTTCTGACTTCTGAACTGTGATTCAATTTCTTCAAATTCCTCTTATTGTTCTAGTTACTTTATCAAATGATTTTTTAACTTTTCATGCCTTGATTATTACATTTGTGCTGGTCTTGGTGATATTATGAATAATGTGTTTTAGGAAACTCGACAGCAATTTTCTGTTTGAACTGAAAGATGGACTTATCTTAGTGACAGCTAATTTTACCATAATATTCTAATTCTTCAGATACTTTCCCTCTTTATTTTTTATTCTATTTTTTTCCCTTTCTATTGTGTTTTGTGGGGGTTGAGGGAGAGGGCCACATCCCTGAATGCTAAACTAAACCGGTCAAATCTGCGGTTGACCAATTTATTGGCTGAATTTACCTGATCTCCTGGTGATATTGACCGATTTTCTGGCCAATATAAAAAAACTGCTTGCTAGTCCCGGCAGAGTAGCAAACCAAGATTAAAACAATATTATTATTATTTTTATTGGTGAAGAAATGTTTTCGCTAGAGCACAATACGAATGATCATTGTGTCATAACTAGGATACGTGATACTGAATAGCACAGATTAGACTACACCAGGACTCCGAATTGACAATGTATTTTTCTAGCATAGAGATTGTGGTCGATCTGAAAATCTTGACTTGTCTCTCGCGGTTCTGTTCTCCATCTTTTCTCTAGGTTGTGAAGGTCGCCGATTTTGGTGTAGCACGTTTCAAACATCAGGGGGGAATAATGACGGCGGAGACTGGAACGTACAGATGGATGGCACCCGAGGTTGTATTCCTGCTTGCTTGTGGAGCGGACGAGAAAATAATAATAATTAAATATTATATATATATATATAATGGATTATTCAAAATTATCTTGCCTTTCTGAACCATTCTTCATTCTTTTGAAGGTGATAAACCATCAAGCTTACGACCATAAAGCTGATGTGTACAGTTTCGCTATCGTTCTTTGGGAATTAGCAACATCCAAGGTATGGAATAGCCCTGCATCTCAGGAAGGCAATAAAGCTGTCTCTTCGTCACTGGGTTGACCCGATTCTTCCAACTATATTTATGTTGCATCTAGCTTTGACATTTTTCCATCGGTCCGCGTTAGTTCTTTCCTGGGACACCAAGTGATGAGCGGATGTGGAATTTGGTTTTGTGATGCAGATTCCCTATGAGAAGTCAACCCCTGTACAGGCTGCCCTCGGAGTGAGGAAGGTCTGCTTCTTTCTTGCACATAAGATTCTTTCTATAAATAGCATGTGCATCGTTTTGACTGATGCATAATATTTCCCCGATCAACGTTTTGAATCCTTTTTTTTTTTTTTTTAATTCTTTTGGTTGTTCTTGTTTTCTCAGGGCGTACGGCCGGAACTTCCGCAGAACATGCACCCGGGCCTACTGAACTTGATGCAGAGATGCTGGGATGGCAATCCAAGCAAGCGGCCATCATTCTCCGAGATCACTTGTGAGCTCGAGGAGTTGCTGACGCAAGTTCAGGTAAATATCTCTCCTCACCAAGATGCAGTTCACCGAGATCTCAACCTCTGCATAAAATCGTTTAAAATCTCCGTTGACCATTGAAACTTATTAATTTTAAAATAAGATAGAAAACAATCACTCCAAATACCTTGGCTGTTCTTGGTATGATTTTTTGAACATTATTTTCTAATACATGGCTTAAGGCTGTCGAATGGGCCAGACCGGAGGAGGGAGAGCATGGGTGCTTCCTATCCATAGTCAACTCGATTTTGGCTTTGGCAGGCCGACTCTTCTCCGTTAATTATCAAAGTCTGTGTATTTAAAGTAAGTAAGTGGTGGAATCTCTCCTCACCTTGGTTGCATATCTCTTGCCACCAGCACAGAGAGAGAGAGAGGTGAAGCTACTGAAGAAGTGAGTCCAAACCCTGCCGAACCCTCCACCCAGCAATTCACAAAAGGTATCAGGACTCCTTGTTCGTCCCTCTAATCGTGTGTTCGCCCCCACGGGTTTTTGCACGTGTGAGATGCGCGACCGCCGCCTCCTCCCAACATGGTGTGCCCCCCCCCGACCAGGGGTGAATTGCTTCTGATGCTGATGGTCAGCATGGATGGCTCTTGTTGAAGGTATTCCTTCTCTCTCTCTCTCTCTCTCTCTCTCTCTCTGTGCCAGAGCGTCTGAATGTGCTCGGTCAGGGTTGATGATGGGGCCACCATTGTTGCTAACGCCGCCGGGGAAGTGACGGTCCCCTGTAAAGATCCGCAGTGGGGGAGGAAAAAAATTGTAAAAATGAACGGTGTTTGATGATGGTTTCGTATAATTCAATTGCCCAGAATATTTTTCCTATGAAATTCCTCCTCTGATGATACGGCTGCGGTATGGATTCTACGATCGGTGTGAAGTGAAGATCTCCTTGTAATTGTGTTTCTGTAATTTTACTATTTTAATATGATTGCCGGGGGTTCAGATCTGTTTCTCTTTCCATCGATGGTGTTCTCTCGAGATCTACAGGGGGAGGTCGCGATGAAAATCATGGAGGGGTCTGGTCTGGTCTGGTCTGGTAGTTTCAGATGGCTGCTTTTTCTTTCTTCCTCCTCGTTCACTGTGGGTCTTCAATGGCGGAACTGTTTACGAAATCTGTATTGATCCCGACGAAGCCCACCGGCATTGGGGGGTACCGCCGCAGGCAGATCGCTATCTATGATTGATTGATTACCTTCTTCCAGGCGCTGCTATAGGGAGAGGCCTACTGCGTCAGGTTCCTCAAGCTCGCCCCCGTCACTCGGCAGAGTGGCGCTTCCAGATCTCGATCCTCCTCCAGGCTTCCTTTGTGCCGGCGGATTTCGATTTCGAAGGAGAGGAGGGGATCTGTGATGCCGGCGCCTCCGCTCTGCTCTTCGCCGGTGCATTCTCGTCGACGATCGTCTCGTTCCTGATATAGATGTTTTTCACTTTAATTCCTGGTGAATCTGAAGGAACCGTAGTGTGGTTCTCCCTCCTGTGTAGGGTTCGAGGGGGGAGAAAGCTCGGGCGTCCGCCCCGGGACCGCAATCTCGACCTGAAAACCCTAGGACCGCCTCGTTCTTGGCCTCGAATTTTGCCGGTTCTTGATGCCGGATGGGCAAGACGCGCAGAGGGGGCAGTGTGAGGTGTTGGAGGCCGACGAGGAGGGGGAGGAGGGAGGAGGAGCGCCTCCTCCGGCGGGGCCTCGTCCTGTTCCCCCTTCCTCCTCGCATTCCTCTGTTCTTCTTCCTTTGAGCACCTTGAGGAGGAAGACTCGTGATCTGCCGAACCTCTGCAACTGCCACTGCTGCGGCCTCCGGTTCCCGGACAAGGGAAGGAGGGAGCGGCTGCAACTGCTGGATAGCCACTGGCGGATCGCTCTCCTCTGCAAGGCGTGCCTCCGGGCCGTACGCTCCGGGGAGGCATGCTCCTACTGCTTCGCGACCTTCGCTGAGACAGATGAGGGCTCCTCCGTCGATTGCTGCCATTGCTCCCGCCGAGTCCATCTCAGATGTCTGCCGGCGCAGAGAGGATATCTCCTTCCGTCCGATCTCCGTCCTGACTTCTCCTGCATCGATTGCTGCCCCTTTCTCAAGAAACCTAGCAAGTTCAAGTATTCTCGTCCAGCTAGGGTTTCCATGGAGAACGCGACGACGAGCACCGAATTCGCCGTGGCGTCTGGGGCAAGGTCGCTGGCAGAGGCCGCTGCACCACCGCATCCTGCAGATCCGGCAAGCAGTGCGATGGACTCGGCTCCCCTGCCGGAGCTCCCGAGAGATGCAGCAGTTCCCGATGGGGAGATGGCTCTTCAGCTTCATCGGGCTATGAATGGCTCGCAGAGAATCACCAGGAATTCATGCACTGCAGATTCAGACAGTTCGAGTGATCACGAGAGAGGGCATCCCGGAATCAGTCTGTCGAACCAGGAGCCAGAGATCTGTGGGAAGGCGGAGCTTGCAGCAGAGAACATGCTCCTTGAGACCGTGGAGAACCCGTATGTTGAACCATTGGAGGCTATCGCTTCGTCTGAAGGGAATCCAGACATGGACCAAGCAAAATTCCTGAGGAAGAAGCTGAGCTTTCAGAGCAAACCCAATGGAGCGGAGATGCCTGGGAGGGGAGGAGAGGCTGGACTTTCCGACGATCATGTAGAGCGGATCGGAGACAACAGCAGCATCGATCATTCATCACCCTCGCTTCCAGTGCCCGAATTGCCAAGCATCGACTGCTCCAAATTTCCCCAGGAATGGAGGCCGTGTTTACCTGATCGATATATGAAGAAGTATTGTAAGAGATCGCCAGGGAAGAAGGATAAATAAGAAAAAGAAAGAGGGATCAACTTGTTTCTCTGACATGGATAGCTCGTCATTTTCTTCTGTGAACCCTCCAGTTCTTGTGCGTGCTACTCCCCATACGAGTTCTCAGGTTCAAAGGTAAGAGCAAAAGACTGAAGCTCTGCCCTGCCATTTTTTTTCTTCCTTCACATCGGTGTATCCTTTGCTGTCTTGTGATGCATGATTCTGAAGTAGAACAAAACTATAAATGTCTTCTTTGGGAAATAAGAACAGCATTTTCCCTAAAAAAAGTGATTTTTTCTTGGCAGGACTTTTGATGAACTTTGCCAGGATCTTTCGGGGAATTCACTTTTGCCCATAATTAGTGTTTTTGATGTGCATGACATGAAGCATACTTTATCTGGTCTTTTTGAGGAAAAGAAAAGCTTTCTGATATTTTTATTGCGTGATTTATTCATTGCTCGAATGCTTCAGACGTTTTTTGGTGGATCTCTGAACCAAAGCAATATAGTGCTTGATCCTTCTATTAGCATTCAATCCTCTTCGTCAGATTACTGTCCTACTCTTCGTGCCTTATTATTCTCTATTTATTGCCTCACTCAACTGGCGGAGACTTGTTCCTCAACCACAAAGTCGTTGATGAGTGGGAATCACCCACCCCAGTAAGAATGAGCCATGAATGAATGAAGTAATCTTGAAGAAAAAATTGCTCTCGGAAACCATTATCATGATTATTATTATTATTACCATTATTATGGTTACTCTCGATTGAAATGATTAGAGCTTGGAAGATGGCTGTGGGTGTCGATGTTCACCCCTCACAGAGGTGGCCGCAGGAGATGAAGAATTACGATAAGATCTTGCCTTCCGTCGTTACAAAATTGGAGTCAATTCGATTGTTCTTCTACTTTGATCTTATGGACTGATTACTTACATGATCTTTACATCATCCTCAAAAATATGGATGATATACAGAAAATCTCTTCGTTGTTGCCATTATATCATGATCTTCAGATCTCCGTTTGGGGTCCTCAGATCTTCTGCGTCCCCGCCTGAGCTCGGCTTTAGGGATTAGACCCAGCCCAGTGCTCATCCGGGCTCTGAAGATGTCACCCTCTTCCTTTCTTCCTTCAAACTCACCTTCTTCATCATCCGTGCAGGTCAGCGGGGGCCGTTTCTTGCGGCCTCACCCGTGGTTTCCAATGGCCGCCGGGTCTTCTTCCTCACCGCCGAGCTGGGAAGCGAGCAGCTCCAGGACGGCAGAGATCTCCGAGAAATCGGGTCCCCAGGCTCTCCCCGCGACGAACTCCTTAACCAGGTTGCCCACCTCAATAGAGCTGCACCCTGGGGTCTTCCTCATGTTCCTGCTCCGAATCTCCTTCCTCAGCCGCGACACGCCTTCCCAGCTCCCCGCAGCGGCGTACACGTTGGAAAGCAGCACGCAGTTCCCGGCGTCCTCCGGCTCCAGCTCCAGCAGCCGCTCCGCGGCCACGGCGGCGGTCTCTGCGTCCCCGTGCGTCCTGCATGCGCCGAGAAGGGAGCCCCAGATGGCCGCGTCTGCCGGCACCGGCATTTCCTCGATCATCTGGCGTGCGCGCCGTACGTGGCCGGCCCGCCCGAGGAGATCCACCACGCAGCCGTAGTGCTCTACTCCCGGCCTCGCCATGGAGGCGAAGATCTCCATGCCCTTATCCGTGAGCCCCGCGTGGGCGCAGGCGGAGAGGACCCCCAGCAGGGTGACCCCGTTCGGCTCCACAGAGGAGACCCTCATGGCCTCGAACAGCTCCACGGCCTCGGCCGCGCGGCCGTGGTGCGCGAGCCCGCCGATCATGGCGCTCCAGGAGACCACGTCCCGGCGCGGCATTCGGTCGAACATCTGGCGGGCCTCTCGGAGGCTCCCGCACTTGGAATACATCTCCACGAGGGCGTTGCAGACCTGGGTCTCCCCCAGGAGGCTGTTCCTGTCGGCGAAGGCGTGGATCCACCGGCCCATCTCCAGGGCCCCCAGGCGGGCGCACGCGGGGAGGACGGAGACGAGGGTGACGTGGTCCGGCTTCGCCCCCGACCGCTGCATCCGGTGGAAGACCTCCAGCGCCGCCGCGTGGCCACCGGCGCTGGCGTGACCGGAGATCAACGCCGTCCACGAAATCACCGTCTTCTCCGGCATCTCCTCAAAGAGGAGACTCGCCTCCCCCATCTGCCCGCGCCGTGCGTGCGCCGAGATGAGTGTGTTCCATGCGACCGCGTCCCGCTGCGCCATTTTGTCGAACACCTTCCGCGCGTCAGAGAGAAGGTGGTCGCCCCTCGATCTGGCGTACATCTCAAGAAGGGAGTTCTCCACGACAGGTGCCGAGTCCAGGCCGAACTTGCAGGTGTGGGCGTGGACCTGTGTGCCGAGGGCCGGCAGGGCCAGAGCGCCGCAGGCTTTGAGGACGAAGGGGTGGGTGAAGCGGTCGGCGGCGACGCGGCGGAGGAGCATCGCCTTGTAGAGCGCAAGGGCGTCGGCGTGACCGGCGTTGTGGGAGTAGGCCCTGATCATAGCATTGAAGAGGAAGGTGTTTGGCTCCGCCACCTGGCTGAAGATGACCTCCGCGTAGGCCATCTCCGCCGCGGCCGCGCAGGCGAGGACCAGCTTCGTGGCGAGGAAGTTGCTCTGCGAGAGGGCGAGCGCCACCATGCGCGCGTGGACCTTCCTCATCTCCGACAGCCCGGCGCACGCGCTCAGGGCCGCCGCCAGGTTGTCCTCCATCTCCCTGTAGGTCCAGCCCCCCGCCTTGGGAAACCTCCTCATCTAATCTGCCCGTCCAGGTGAGTCGCTCGACAGAATGCCTGACTAAATCTCCTTCTCGTGATAGAGATTAGGTGTTTTGTGTGTATGAGAGAGAGAGAGAGAGAGAGAGAGAGAGAGAGAGAGAGAGAGAGAGAGAGAGAGAGAGAGAGAGAGAGAGAGAGAGATCGCTTTTTCAGCAATTGGGTGGGTAGACGCAGACCTCAAGAACTAGCATCAGATACAGGATTCCACCACCACTCTAAAGAACTAGGAAGAGGGAGGGTTATATGACATGGTTGGGATCTTTTCCAGAGGAAGTGGGAAACTTCTCACGGCACTGACTACAAACCATGCGGAATTCTTATACACAGGGAGGCCCGCGGGCGTGCTGCCGGCGGGTGACTCAGCTCAGCTCATGGTGTTCATCTCCTCAAGGGCGTGTTCCGCTGCCGGACCTTGGGCTGGGTTTCGCGCGAACTGAAGCCGCAGAAATGGTGAACCCCGATCGTTGGCGTCCACCTTGTAACCTGCCCAAAGACGATAATTTTTTACTAGTCAACGCCTCATCTTCCTCCTAGTACAAGAAATCAAATGCGCAATAATATTTTACGACAGCAAAAGTCTTCGTGTGGGTTTCTCCCCCAAAATCTCGGAATAAAATCCTTCCAAATGCATGAAAAGAATTGTTATTTTTATAGTTTAAAGACTTGCTAATGCGTGTACCGACATCAGGGAGGTGGGTCAACACAGTTCTTGAGTCTAAGCATACCCATAAGTGCTCATGTGCGACTTATAGTTTCATTCCATTTCCATGAAAGGAAACAATGGTAATGAGCATAAAGCATGTGATACCATCACCCACCACGGGGATTCCAAAAAAAAGCAGCTAAGAATGTTCCTTGTGGTGTGTAGAACGAGTCACCTTGCAGGGCATTCATGGCGGACATAGCACAAGTGGTGTCGACGAAGTCCACAAAGCAGAGAACTAGCTTGCCGGCAGCATGCTGCATAATGGTTTAACCAAGGGGCAATAAAGAGAACAACGCGAGTAATAACATAAACACTTCTCACTAACGCGCAATTCAAGAACACATAACAAAGAAAGAAAGAAAGTCCTACATGTTCTGGGTCTTTGATCACCAGCCTCACTTCCTTAAAGCCTGCGAAAGGGTGGAATATATCTTTTCTTGGGTGAACGAAAACTCAAGAGGGAGTGGAAGTCCACATAAATCGATCAATCTGTGATTCATAACAAGGCCCGAATTATGAAAGGATACGAGCCACCTCCCTCTCAGTGCAGTCGGGGGGAAGTCCCTCAACGAATAAAGTCTTTGACGCCTCCTGTGGCAACTGAGCCTCAGCACCCGGTGGCCCCGCCCAACTCACTGGGTCTGCGTGGATCTGGCCACCAAGGGCAATGCCGAAACCATGTGGCATAGAGCCTGATGGCTCCTCAACATGGAGATCAGAAACTCCTCCAATAGCACCGCGAGTTTCCTCGGCTGAAGAAAATGAAGGCATCTGCTGATAAAGGTTAATTGGTTTTTCCCAAAAGGTGTTTCAATGTTTTCTTGAATTCAGAAGCATGGAGGCAGGAACTGTGGGGTACCACGTTCTGGAGATACTGATCGTAGGAGGCTCCCGTGGTCTTCGTGTCCTTCACAGCATGGAGCCCAACATGAGCATCGCCTCGGGGAAGATAATGGACCATGCCCTGACTGAAAGTCTCTCTCTGAGGATTAATATCTACACACATAGTGATGCTGGTCAATTACCCAGAAACAGGGAAGCAGCCAGGTGGTAAACTCATTAAACATAATGGCACAAGAAGAAAAGGAATTAAAAGCTCATAACATGACTATTCTATCTCAAATATTTGAGTTCTGGCTAACATATTCATCGTGAAAATCCTTAATAACATCTCTGATTTCCGATTAGTTAGGCGATGACTAGATGATGATGATAATGACGGTGGTGGTGGTGGTGGTGGTACATTGAATTCAAGAGCACGCACAATACACGTAATTGTCCACAGGGAATCATACTAAGTTTTTTTGTTCTTCGCCTGAGTTCACAGTGAGAGTACCACCCGGAACTGACGTACTGAAATTATTGGCCTCGTCCAATCGGCAAGCATGCTCTGTGTTGAACCTCCGGGAATCATTATATTTGGATTGCACATGATTATATTTAGCAACAGGCTGTTTTCATTCGAGGAGTCGTACACTTTGAAGAATTTATCCCCAGAAGAAAACATAATTCAACTACAATGTGACTTCATTGTAAGTCCCTATCACATTAATTCCTAATGATCCTCGGCGATTATAATGACTGAAGGCGGACGAAATTCGACACGTCCAAGTAAGACTCAGCGAATACAATGGCAACAACCGAGCGAGAGACGAAGTAAGAGCTCCACTACAATTGTTGGTCTACCTCTTAAAGTATAGGTAATTGATTCCACCCCATTCTGCTCGCGAACAAAAAAATATATTATCGCAGTAAGTAACCATAACATCCTGTCTGTTTCATTCATGCCATCCTTCACGCCTGCCTCAATATTTCCGGCAGACCTTTTTCTCCGCCCCCCATTCAGAGAAAAGTGGAAATCACCAACCAGATACGCGCCAACAGAAACCGCAAAGCAATCGAAATGCCGGAGAAAATTCCCTTAAACCGCGCAAGACGATCCAGATCGCTGGCAATCACGAGTTCCAGCATCTGCAACTTCCCGGGAGTACCTGACTCAAGGAGCTGCCGCTTGATGATTCCAGGCGAGGCATAGTTGGGCGCCGGCGGCCGGCTCCAGAAGCCGTCTCCCATGGCCGCACCAAACACCTTCAAGCCTCCGGCAGGAGCAGAGGGAATGACAGCGAGCCCTCCGATCGGAGCGGAGGAAGGGGAGAAGAACCCAGCTCAGCACCGCCAACCGATTCTCTCCCGATATCGCCTTCCCCTCACAGCGGCGGTCTGTACAGTGATAGGAAACATATCCATCGACTCGGCCTTGACAAGGCTGAGTCGGATCGGATCGAACCGTCTGGTCGGATATTCCACAAGGCCCTTTATAATCACCCATTTAAATGCCTTTTTTTAATCAGTTAATGACGTAATTATTTCCCGTTCTGGGCTCATTAATGGGCCGCGCAGTCGGAAATTCTGGAGGGTTCGGCCCACTTAAAGCATTTCAGATCGCCAATTCTCTCTCTCTTTCTCTCGCTCGTGTTGACCGTTCGCCGGTTTTGTTCATGGGACGAGGGAGACCTCCCACATGTTTGTTGAAATGCTTCAGAGGGAGTCCCGGAGACGACCCTTGAACCCGTTTGACCGCGGCCCACGTCCTCGTGGCTTCTTCTGAGGAGATCCGCAGCGTCTTCATCTCTGCTTCTTCCCTTCTTTTCCTGCCGCCAGCAACCTCTGATGGAGTCCAGCCAACCAGCACTCGAGTAGACTCCAAGGACCCCCCACCTCTCTCTCGCTCTCTTTCTCTCTCTGTGCGCGTGCCCATTGTCTTCTTCCTGGCATGGGAATCGTGTATTTCCGAGCCCCTGCTTTCATGTTCCCATCTTTCTTCTCTCTCTCTCTCTCTCTCTCTCTCTCTCTCTCTCTCTCTTTCTGTGCGTGGACATCGTCTTCTTTCTGATGTGGAGAGTGATTGGGTATTTCTGATCCCCTGCTATCGCATTCCATCTTTCAACCTCTCTTTTATGACGCGGCTGACTGGCGATTTTCCGATCCCCTGCTTTCGGGGCCCTCTCCGATTCCTTCTGTCCGCGCCGAATTCGGGCCGGAGATCGAACGGCGGAAGCCCCGTACTCGCTTGTCGAACCTTTAATGGCTTCACGATGTGCGGTCGGCCAACACCACCCTCCTTCCTTCCTTCGTTCCTTCCTTCCTTCCCATCAGTCTCTTCGCCATTGCCGCCCTCCCTTCCTCCTTCCCCCTCCCCCCAACTTCCTTTTGTCTCCTTTCTGCTGCCCCTGCCAGAGGAATCACCCTAGCCCGCAAAAACCGGTAATAGTAGCGGATGATGAAATCCTGCGACTGCTGGTCATGGACGGGCGGCGCTGCGGAGAATTGGGGAAGAACGAGAGAGAGAGAGAGAGAGAGAGAGAGAGATTTACGCAATTGCTAGGTCGGATCAAAATTTCCTCTTTGCGAAAATTTCTTACAGAACATCGTCGCGGGGATGGAGGAGACAAAATGTAGGAGACGAGCTAAAGCGGGTGATCAGAAGGGCATAATGTGGGTGGTCTGGAGGTCGTAGCCGGGGGGGAGGCAGCCGCCATGGTTGACGCAGAAGAGCTTGAACAGGTCGCCGGCCATTTCCCGGGCAGCCGCAGAGCAGTTACTCTGCATCAAGAGGAGGATCTTCGTCAACCCGTTGCAGGCCGCCACAGCCTCCAGCGCCCGCCGGTCTCGGAAGAGAAAGCAGACCGTCCACAGCACCACGATCGCGTGCTCCGCCGCCGCCGGCGACGCCTTCACCATCCGCCCCACCACCGCCGCTACCGCCGCCGGGTCTTCGCAGATCGCCGCACGCCCCTCGGCGCAGGTCGACGCCCTCTCCATCAGCCTCAGCGCCTTCTCCGCTGTAACGGGCGGCGTTGACTCCCTCCCCAGCACCTTCCCCAGGGCCCCCACGGCCCCCTGCTTCACCATCACTGGCCGAGACCGCCGCTGCTCAGACACAACGATAAGGCAGGAGAGGGCATCATTGACCAGCTCCTCCCCCTCGTCGGCGCCGCTCATTAGGTGAACCAGAGAGCCCACGTCAACCTCCGCCGGAACCTCCTTCCCGACGAGGAGAACCAGAGAAAGAACCCTGACGGCCAACGCCGCCGCCTCCTTCCGGCGGAGGATCCTGTTCAGGGCGGGAATGCAGCTGCCATTCTCCGCCAGATCAAGAACCCTGGTAGCGTCCGCCGCCATATCTGCGAGCCTTTTCAGGGCAGGAAGAGGGTCGTCCGAGAACTCGAGCTCCCGGAGGAGGTCGACCGGGGAAACAGAGTCGACGGCGGCGGCGCCTCCGGCCGGCTCCGGCGGGTGGTGGCGATCCTGTTGAGACTCCGCCGACCAGAGGTCGATGAGGCGGCGGATGGCGTGGTTGGGGATCAGATCCTTGGAAGGGAGGACCTGCATGGTGGCGGGACAGGTGTTGTGGCCGGCGTCGAGCCAGGTCTGGATGGAGGAGCGGTCGTAGGTGACGCCGGTGCAGAGGCTCACCGGCGACTTCATCACCTCCAGCGAGATGGGGCACCGGAAGAAGCTCGGCACCGTCACCTGCAACTCCTGCAACTCCTTCCCCCCCCCGCCGTTGCTCATCCTCACCATCGTCCTCTTCCTCCGTCGGCACGGCCGAGGAACACTAGAACAGGCTAGAACAGGGGGATCTGTGGGGGCGGTGGCTATTAATGGGGACGAAGAAGTCAGAGAATGACGGGGCATCTCTTCCGTCGTCTTCCGCGACGTGGACGGCGGTCAAACTCTAGTGAACCCCGACGACCAATAAAGAAGGCCTTTGGCCCCTCCCCCTGGTGGGTTTGAACCGACTTCGCGTTTCGACCAAAAGAAAATGAAATGAGCATCGTGGGTCCCACCTGGACGTGAGGGAAATTTATAAAATAACCCCCCCTTTCAGATGTCTCCTCAATCCTTCTGCGGCTACAGTGAGGGATCTTCTGGACACGTAACAAAGGGGAGTAGAAAATTGAAGTGTCGTTTATAACATATCGCCTTTTAGGTAAAGGTACACCGATCGGAAGTCGTCCTTATTTCAAATAAATATTATACGTGATGCTTTATTGTAAGAACTCTACAAGGTTAAAGGTAAATTATATTTTCTGCATTAGTAAATATGAAATTGTCGCTTTATAGGTCGGGCTGGTTCTCCGCCTCACGGGTTTCTTCACGTCGCGTCCTCTTCTCTCTCTCTCTCTCTCTCGCTCTCGCTCCCTCTCGTTAAAAATGAGCGTGGACTGGTCGGCGTAGGAGCATTTAACCCATGGAGAGCGTTAGGTGAAGACCAAGACTCTGATTTGATGCTAGAAGTCATAAAGATATGATAAACCTCCGCCGGAGGAATGGCCGAGGAGTGGGCACTCGTTGACGAGGAGATGGCGGTCGTCCGACGGATCGGCCCGGGCCCTCGACTGAAAATGATTCGGAAATACGACGGCCGAGTGGAGGACAGGTGGTTGTTGATATGAGAGCTACGTGTTGACTTTGCGACGGAGAGGGATTCCTCAATCAGCACATCGCCGCCGTTGGTGATTCCCCATCACAATCAGACAGATAGATAGATAGAGAGAGAGAGAGAGAGAGAGCGAGGCGGGTGATTCTGCACCAATTGGGTTTCCTTTTCTGATCCGACCGGCGGTCGCCGTCTTTCGATTCTCATGGACTGGCTAGAAAGAAGGAAGACGGGAAGAGGCTCGAGAGGAATACCACTTCAAGCACTTCCTGTTGCGACTTCAGTCATAGTTCACCAAGACTACTCAGATCTAGCTTGGGGGCGTCTTCTTCTGCTAACCATCGCAGGGCGTCTCATCAGCTGAGCGCCCGGCTATGTTCCTGACTCGCTTCTATTCTTCTGTTCGTTTCGTTCTCCTCCATCAAACCACCGCCGTTTTTCTCTCTCCTTCTTCTCATTTCAGTCCATCTGTCGGAGTTCTCTTCTCCCTTCCTCTCTTTTGTCTTCCACCGAGGGTTTTCTTCCCCCTCTCTTCTTCCATCAGGCCTCATTATTTCTTCTCTCTTCTTTGTCTGATCTCATTTGCATCCATCGGAAACCTCTCCTTCACCACGAGCAGTTATTTGCCTGCCAATGAGATCGCAGGACTGCCACTACTGTGCCAGCACTCAGACGTTGACTTAATGCGTTACTTTCCGCACCGAGTTCGTGGAATCCGGCCGAGAAGTTGGATTGGAGACCACCGGAATCGAATAGCCGTCCAGATTGCATGGAAGAAAACAAGCCTTGCCCGACAAGCCTCACGCTCGGCAGTGGCGACGAGGCAAGGGGAAAGAAGGGGAGGTTGGCACAGAGAGCCGCGAGTCTTTGGAAGCCTGATCTACGTGCAGCTAATGTCATGGGGAAGAAGAGAAGATAGTCACTGAGTGAGAGAGGGAGAGAGAGATAAAAAGTCATTAAATGCAGGGGATTGGTGAGAAAGTATGTGGGAGTTATGTCCATGATTGGGACAGCGAGAACATATTTATACGCTGAGAGAAGAATAGGGAATGTTCTGAAGAGCTGACGACGTCTCTCCCCCATGCAGCTGTGGTCTACAAGTCTCACTGTAGATCTGCAGAGATCGGTCGGAGGAGAGTGAGGAAGATGACGACCCCTCCCCCCACTCCGACGGCGGCGGGGAGTGTACTACAGAAACCCATGAGACCGGAGACCGTTTCGGGCGGCGTGAGCACGTCCCACGTCCTTAATGAGTCGGCCAATTCACTGTTCTCGCACCAAACCATAGGACGACCGTCACTCCTCTCTCTCTCTCTCTCTCTATACATATATCTCACTGCATGAAAACAAGGAAACTATCTACGTACGTCACCTTTACGCTAGCCCTCCAGTGTGTGTGTGTGTGTGTGTGTGTGAGTGAGAGAGAGAGAGAGAGAGAGAGAGAGAGAAGGAAAGAGAAAAGGTTATAAGAACGAGGTAGTAGTCTACTCTGTGTCCTCTTCATTTAATTCTCAGCCAGGTTTTTCTTCATCCTACGCGTTGGACCCCTCACAAATCGCGCCACACGAGTAACCAACCACCTGGACACCAATTCAATGGCTCTCGCACCTTCTCTTCCATATATTATACCGGAACACGTATTTATCTCTCCACCCCTCCCCAGCTGGTGGCTTACCTATCAAGCTCTCGGCTCTTCTTCTTTCTCCCCTTCTTCCTCCCCTTCTTGTTCTTCGTCTTCTTCTTCTTCTTCTTCTTCCTCGTCTTCCTCCCCTTCTTGTTCTTCGTCTTCTTCTTCTTCTTCTTCCTCGTCTTCCTCTTCTTCTTTCTCCCCTTCTTGTTCTTCGTCTTCTTCTTCTTCTTCTTCCTTGTCTTCTTCCCCGTCTTCTTCCCCGTCTTCTTCTTCTTCTTCTTCTTCTTCTTCTTCTTCTTCTTCTTCTTCTTCTTCTTCTTCTTCTTCTTCTTCTTCTTCTTCTTCTTCTTCTTCTTCTTCGTCTTCTTCTTCGTCTTCTTCTTCTTCTTCTTCGTCTTCTTCTTCGTCTTCTTCTTCTTCTTCTTCGTCTTCTTCTTCTTCTTCTTCGTCTTCTTCTTCGTCTTCTTCTTCTTATTGTCCTCGTCCATATGGGTGACCATGGGAAGGGAACCATTCTGGTGATGTTGATCTTCCTGTTCTCGTGGTGCAACGGATCGAGAGATACTCAGACTCTCCGTCTCACGCCGGCGGTGTCGAACAGCGAGGGCTGGTTCTTCGGGTTCTTGCCGCGTTCGATGCCGATACCTCCATCGGGCCCTTCCAGGCACCACAACGCCATTGACATGCACAGCCGTCCGACGAACCCGTGAGCTCCACGGCAGCGGAAACTGATGGAGATGATGTAAATGAGCATCTATTTTTCCCTCGTATTTCGTCTTCGCTTGTTCACAATCTTTGTCTTTCCTTGTTCTACGAGCTCATCTCTTTCTCTCTCTCTCTCTCTATAATCACACTACTCGGGGGAACAAGGGCTGAGGGTGGGAGGATAGGATAGCTTGAAAAGGACGGAAGAGTAGGCACGTAATTGCGGGACTCGCTTAGCCGCATTCTCTCTCTCTAGATACCCGTTCTTTTCCTTGCTCTCCAAATGTCTAGATACTCGTTCTTTTCCGCATTCTCTAGATACTCGCCAAATGGGTGAGTGCAACTACGCCCAGTGGAGGGGAGGAACATCGGAGCTCCCATCCCCGGCGATCTGCGAGAAGAACAGTCAACACTGTTGGGGGGGGGGAGGAGGTCGATGGGCCCGTGATAAGAGTAATAAAAAATTTATTGCTTTTCTAAATGCGTACAGGGCATTTGGTCTAGTGGTATGATTCTCGCTTAGGGTGCGAGAGGTCCCGAGTTCAATTCTCGGAATGCCCCATGTTAACTTTTGCCCCTCATTTCCGTAATTTTTGCCCAACAAGTGGTGCCCATTAAGCCACGTCAGTGTTTCATTATACAAACTTTGGGCCATCGGCATTGTTTCCGAAAGCCAGCTTGATAAGACTGGCCCGATTAGTGGGGCCCACGACGGCAACTTGTGCAAAGGATCGTCCAACTCCGACGGTCAACGTCAGCCAGCTCGAGTTCGGTCCGAACCATCCCTGCAACAACCCCTGCCGAACCTGGGGAGCTCTCTCCATCCTCCCTCGCCGCTGCCCTCTTCCTCTTCGTCCTGCCACCGACGTCCTTTATGGCGGCCTCTCTCTGTCACAGCCACTTCACCTCTCTTTCTCTCTACCTATCTATCCGTCTCGTTCATAAATACGGGGGGAGTCCATCGTTGCACCTGCCACTCGCCGCCGGTGGCTCTACCCTGCGGACTTCCTCGCCAGAGAGAGATGGAGCCCTACTCCTTCCTGCAGAGTCCGACGCCGTCCATGGCAGAGAGGAGGTGGAACCCGGCGGTGATCTGGGCGCCGAGATGCCCCCGGTGCGAGTCCTCGAACACCAAGTTCTGCTACTACAACAACTACAGCCTCTCGCAACCGCGCTACTTCTGCAAGGCCTGCCGGAGGTACTGGACCGCGGGCGGCGCCCTCCGCAACGTTCCAGTTGGCGGCGCCACCCGCAGGAGGAGTAGGCCCAAGCCTCCCGCCGGCCGGCCGCACTCTCGTCCTCCGGTCCTGTCCGAGCCCGGCGGCGCCGCCACCATGTCCTTGCCGCCGGTGGAATGCCCATCTGATGGCTCCGCCTCTCCTAAGCTGGCCTTCACGAAGGCAGAGCTCGAGGTTGACCATCCCCTCGGCAGGCCTAATGTGGGCAGCTACGACCAAGAGACGTCAACACAAATGAGGCAAGAACAACCTGCCGCTGGAGAGGAATTACCCTGGCCGTCGCTGGATGTGATGGCGGAGGAGACCCTGCTGCTGGACGACCTCAGGCCGTACTCTGTAGACTTCTTTGGCGCGACGCCGGCGGCAGAGGAACTCGCTTACGACGAAGTATTCTGGTCTGGTTCTCCAACAGATGAAGATTGTTGTCCCTGACAGCATCCCCAGAACTTACAGACGGGAGCCATGGAGGAGGAAGATCACCCTCAGCCTCACCGACAGCTGAGTCCCTTCACCACACCGAGCTACGAAGCTTATCGAGAGTAATAGTTGTCTCTGTCCACTCCTCACTGAAAATGCCGAGCCGCATCGTTAAATACTTCGAAATATATGTAGAGATCAGAGTAATGGAACGAATCGTCGACGGAACTAGCGCCATCGATTCCTCGAAGATTGACGGAGAAACATGCTGCAATGTAAGCATTCTGCCTCTCACTTGTATCAGCTTCACCGGCTCCGGCAGGGCTGAGAGAGAGTAGTGAGCTGGAAAGGAGAGAGAAAGCACTGCTCCTTCGGGTCCCATCTCTCTCTCTCTTGCTCCCTCGTTTTGAGGGAGTACTCTTCTCCTTGATGACGTAAGAGAGAGAGAGAGAGAGAGAGAGAGAGCTGCATGTTGAGGGCGTACTTCCCGGTCCCCCACTCACCCTCCTAGAGGCCGTACCCTATTCGTTAAAGGCGATATCCATGTGTAGATATATATATGTATGAGAGAGAGAGAGAGAGATAGGACTACGTAACCATGACCTCAAGAAAATATGATGGAAATAAGTGGAGTTTTAGCTTCTAGAATGTTCAGAAATTAATTATCCGGTCTTTCTTGTTATTAACCATCTTCTGCCTGCACGCTGAAGCGCGCGCGATGGGCATTTCATTATCTGACTGCTATGGGTTAGACGGATCTACGAATTTATAAGCGGCGGACGGGAAGTCTGTTAGTTGACTGCTGAGGGTTGACTGACCTTATGCCGAGCTCTAAAAGGCACATGTGCGCGGGTTGACTGTTGACAGAGGTGTACGTGCCAATTGGGTCAAATTAAAACCTGTATTTGATGTGATAGAGAGAGAGAAAGAGAAAGAAAGAGAGAGGGTTAGCTATGGTGAGGCTGTAAAGTCGACGCGCTGGCATGAAATTTTTCGTCTTCAATGTGACGCGACAGGAAACGTCAAAGAGCCGCCCGCATAACTCAGGAAGTCGAGAGAAGAGGGGACGTCGGCCGTGAGGTCGAGAATGCTCTCGGTGTACTCACCGCAGCCACGAAAAGAAGCGAGAAAAAAAGAAACTTATCGTCTATTGAGCGGCCCTCGGATAGTTACGGTCACCGAAATTGTCTGACTGGTCAGCAACCCGAAGCAGAACAACCGTGTGAAAGCCCCCCACATTATTCCACGTCAAATCCGCCGAGTTACACCAGTGGAGTTTCAGCGGGGCTCTCTCTCTGCCGCGTTGACTTCTCCGTGTTTGACCCACTTCCCTTCTTCCTCCCTGTCTCCCCCTTTTTAAGCACAGCCCATTTGTCTACTCCCCCAATCATCTGCTGCAGCATCTCCTCTTTCTTCTCCCTGAACCCCTCTGAGTTTCTGAGAAGAGAGATCTCTCCGGCGATGGAGGAAAAGGGAATCGAGGTCCCGATCTACTTTCTCTGCCCCATATCCCTCCAGATCATGAGGGATCCCGTTACCCTCTCCACCGGAGTCACCTACGATCGTGAAAGCATCGAGAGGTGGGTCTTCTCCGGCGACAACGAGGTCACCTGCCCCATGACCAAGCAGCTACTTCCGGACCCTGAGATCATCCCCAACCACACCCTCCGTCGCCTGATTCAGGGATGGTGCGTTGCCAATGCGGCCAGCGGCGTGGAGAGATTTCCCACACCGCGAGCTCCCGTCAGCAAGGCTCAGATGGCCCAGCTCCTCGACGAGTCCACGGCGGCGGCGTCGCCAACCCAGCTCGCTGCCCTTCGCAAACTCCGGTCCATCGTCGGCGAGAGCGAGCGCAACAGGCGCACTGCCGAGTCCGCCGGCGCCCCCCACCTTCTCGTCTCCATCATCAGGAGAAGCGCCGCCGCATCGTCCGCCGTCGATGGCTGCACAGGATCGACCAGCGGCAGTGCCCTGGAGGAAGCGTTGACTATCCTTCATACCCTCCAGGTGTCCCCGCAGGGATTCTCCGAGCTGGTCGAGCGCAACGGCGATCTCGTGGAGATTTTCACCGAGGTCCTCCGCAGCTCGAGTTATCAAACCCGCGCCTACGCCGTCATCCTCCTGCAGTCCATCACACAAGCCCTCCCCCTGTCCCAGCTGGTCAACCTGAAGAAAGAAATCTTCGAGGAGCTGAAGAGCGTTGTCAACGACCAAATCTCCCTCAAGGCCAGCAAGGCGGCGCTGCGGGTCCTGTCCCAGCTGAGCATCTGGGGAAAAAACCGTGCGAAGGCCACCAAGGCCGGCGGCGTGGGAGTTATTCTGGAGCTCCTGCTCGATGAGCAGGACGGGAAGGTGTGCGAAATGGCGATGGTTGTGCTCGACCAACTGTGCGGCTGCGCCGAGGGGAGGGCGGAGCTGGTGGGGCATCCGGCGGGGATTGCCGTGGTGTCGAAGAAGATACTGAGGGTTTCTCAACTGGCGACGGAGCGGGCGGTGAAGGTTCTCTACTCCGTCGCCAAGTTCTCGGCGGCACCAGCGGTGGTTCAGGAGATGCTGCATGTCGGCGTCGTCTCAAAGCTGTGTCTGCTCCTGCAGCTGGATTGCGGGAGCAAGACGAAGGAGAAGACAAAGGAAATCCTTAGATTGCATGCGAGGATGTGGAAGGACTCCCCCTGCATTCCGCCTCTGCTGCAGGCTTCATATGCCTGCTATTGATCTATAAATAGAGGAAAAAAAAAAAACAAAAGGATTAGAAACGATTTTTTGAAAGCTCACTCTTCGCATCCCCCCGATATTGTACACGAAAGAGAACAAGAACAATTTTTGTTTCTATATGTTCGGCAAAAAGTTAGAAAATACAAATCAGTTTTTTTCGCATCCCTGTGCTTTGAAATAGAAGTGAAGGGTGGGTCTGCATATTATAATTGAACACTTTCTATAGAACATCTTTGATAATACTCGACTTGGTCAAGTTGTGATAATATCGAAGATCAATCATGGGTTCTCCTACAGAGACAAACCTTTGGTAGCCAACGATGGCCTGTATATAACTCACATCTAAATGGGGAAGGAGGTGGGGAGAGAGAGAGAGAGAGAGAGAGAGAGAGAGAGAGAGAGAGAGAGAGAGAGAGAGAGAGAGAGAGAGAGAGAGAGAGAGAGAGAGAGAGAGAGAACCACATATATTGAACGTAGACGTGGTAGGTAATATTTTAGGATATGAGAATTATGGCACAAAATACATGATATACGAAGAACCATATCACAATGTGTGGAATTTATACTTTGGTATAAGTTAGCTCATAAATTCAAATATGTTCATTACATTTAGCGCTCATAGAGAAATACAAAAATATGATAATATATTATGCCACACTTGTAAACTATGATGTCGTATGATATCAACATCAGAATATACTCTTAAAAGAAATCAACACCACTCTAAGACTTGCAAAAAATAATGTAGTGTATTAATAGAACAAAAACTATCTATTTGATGTGTATGGGTTGTTGTTTGAATGATATGAAATACATATCTATCGACTATTGCAAATAGATGAAATAAAATGAGATTTTTAAAAATAGAATAAAATTTTAAACGAAAAAATATTAATAAAAACAGTTAATAAATATAAATAAAAAGTATAAGAAATATAATAATATACGTCAATATATACCTTACTTAATATACCTTTGCAAGAAAGTTTTAGAATTCATTATAGTAAACTTGAATTCAGTTCTCCTTGGAACTATATGAATCATAGTTGTAGAAGCATATCACTAATGAGCAGTGTTGATGTGCACTTTGATAATTTTAATATTGTGAATCTTAAATGACAAGTTATTGTTTGATTATTTGTATTTTGGCTTGTGGAGTTGTAAATTTGAAAGTGAGTGATGATGGGATATCAATTGGTAGGACTGTAAATCTAGTAGAGGTGAGGTGATGCCAAATAAATGATTATTGTACTATATGTAGATAGTATAACATGATAATAGTATTATTATAAATTGAGCATTTCTCTTTTTGATCACCTTACTTGTCTATTGTGAGTGGACCCTCTTGGATTGTATCATTCTTCAAAAATTGTATTAAAATTATTTTTATTTTATTTCATGAAGAAAAACAAAACTAATTCACCCCCCTCTTGGTTACTTTGTGAATTCATTAAACCTAAAAAATATTTCATTGATAAACTTAGTGACATGACTTGTTGTTGTAATTAGATCATCTTTCAACATATATTATAATAGCTAGGTTTAGAACTCCCTTATATAATATTTTCTTGTTATTTTGTTTTACCCCAACAATATATTTAAGTATGTTCAAAATTTCTTACAAAAAATACCATACCTAATATCAATGAATAGTCTCTTATATAATTTAAGTATTGTAAAAGAGAATCATGTAGGATATTGAATTCATCTTTAGTTCTAAACTCTTGGTAGAGTCACTCTACAATATGTTATTAGATGAGTTATTAAAGTAATCAAACGAAATGCTAGATGCAAAGTATATTTCCACAAGGCCTTATTAAAACACTTACAAATGAAGAAAAAAATCACATTAGAGATGCACATAAATTACATTAATGTAAATTTTGAATATGTGTTTAATACAAAATGTGCAACAATTAATTAGCTTATTAATATGGTATTTTTATAACATATTTGAACCTTTTAATTTTTTTTATAAAAATATAAAAGGATTCAAATCGAAGATGACATGGTAATGTCTGAACAATTCATTTCACTTTTACAAATAATATAATTATGAAATACATGTAAGTGTTTGTCATTATTTACTTTGAAGATATTGCACTATACGATAAGCAAACAAATATCATTTCTATTACTAGTGTTGAATCCTTCATGAGTGTTGTGAGTTGTTAGAGGAGAAAGAGTAATTAAACCCTAGTTCTCTCATCAGATGGGGGTCGAAATAGAAAAAAAAGAAAAATTCATTCGCTTGAAAAACAAAGTACATAGATATATATACATCATTAGGTGTTAGGTTAGGTCTAACTAATAAATTCACTTAAACTAAACCTATTCCATAACACTAACATTTAAAGATTATGAATCATTCAATCCAAAATTGTATATAAGTCAAAGAAAGGTTGACGCATTTTTCCCCTTAGTCAATATATCAACAAGTTGATCATGAGTAAAGATATATAATATGAAGATGATTCTATATTCTAACTTCTCCTTGATGAAGTGTTAGTCAATTTATATGTGTTTTTTATTATTATATTAAATTAGATTATAAGTAATATTTATTTTTAATTTATTATCACAATACAACCAAATAGAATCACTTCATTTAATCCTTAAGTATTTCAAGATTTATTTCATCAATAATACTTCACAAATTCAATTTGTCATTACTCAAAACTTTGACTTTACACTTGACTTTGCCACAATATGTTGTTTCTTATTCTACCAAGTGATGAAGTTGTCAACTAAAAAAGTACAATAACATCTAATAAATCTTTGATCAATGATAGAACATGCATAATCAATATTAATGTATAGTTTCATATCTATTTTATTTTATTTTTTATATAATATATATTTTCGATGTACCCTTTAGGTATTGAAGAAATCTTTCAATAAAAAGTATATCTAGTGTGAAAAAATATATATTGTCCTACTAGTATTTGGTATATCAATATATCTATTTTACTACTTTCCTAGGGATCACTAAGTATATGATTATGGTCAATTTGTGTGTGTATTAATAGTTTTATATCTGAATTTCATAATATCTCATAATAAATCTAAAAATATTTTTGATGTGAAATAAATATGCCCAATTTAGAGTTAACTACTTTTATCCCTAATAAATACTTTAATGTCTTAGTATTTTAATGTAACTCCTTAAATAGGTTTTTACTCAAAAGTTATATTTCATAATTATCTCTTGTGGTTATTATTATATCATCCACATATATTACGAAAATTATAATTTCATTTGACATTGAGTGTTCAATGGATAGTGTGTGATCTAGGTTAGATGGTTATATCTTAATTCACATGTCACTTTAAATTTTTTGCAAACAAGGCCCTATGTGACTATTTAAGTCCATACAAAGTCTTTTTTAATTTACATACTACACCCCCCTCTATATTCTTATTATATCATTAAGGAACATCTATATGTGCCTTCTTCTAAATCTCTATATAATAACACATTATTCACAACAAACTGTTGAATGTCATATTCATAATTTACTACTAATGAAATAAAATTCTAATTATATTTATTTTTACAACAAGATTAAATGTTATTAGATAAATCATTCCTTAGGTTTAAGTGTATTTCTTAGCCACTAAACAAGCTTTATGTATCTCAATTTAACCATATGCATTTGTATGATGTAAAATTAGAGATATGATATCATTGGGTTTCTAATGTACTTTTTCATTCCCTTTTTAATAATTATGAGTAACTCCTCATTGTTTACTTGTGATACTAAGGGTTCTTCATTCTCATTATTTTTAATCACTCCTATGAGATCATTAAGCTGATCATGTTCAATAGAATTGATGGCATTGAGTTAATCATTAAAGGTCACATCTATAAAATATATAAAAAAATTCAATTAAAGGTAAAAATATTATTTCTCTTTTTTGTATTTGAGTATCTAATAATAAACACACACCTCAATGCTTAGTTGAATTAAGTTTACTTAGTTGATTCATGATTATGGATAGAATTAAGTTGATTAATTGTTCTAAGAACTAAACTATTATTTAGTAAGATTTATGGATAGAATTAAGATGGAACCTCCCATGGGCTAAGTCTAGAACTCTAGTTGGTAGCCTACTAATAAGGTGTACAACTATTAACACAACCTCACTCCAAAAGGTTTTATATATTTTTATTTAAAATACTTCTCATATATGATGATTATTTATGTCAGCAACACTATTTTAATGTGAAGTACTAATACAAGATGACTATAGATCATTCCTTCACTCATATATATTATATGAAAGTATAATTAAGGAAATATTTTACATTATCTCATCTATAAAATTATTTTATTTTCATTCCAAATTAGCTTATAATGAGTGAGTAAAAATGTTGTAAACTTTACTCAGTTTTAATTTATAATTTAACACAAAAATTCATATGTTTTGTGAGAAATTACTAATAAAAATGATGAACCATCTAGCTCCTAATATACTAGGAGTTGATTATAGTTTCCAAATATCACTATGGATTAATGAGAAGATGGAGGTACTCCTCTCACTAGTGAATAGATATATTGTTCTCTTATGTATTGTAATCTCAAATACGTCACATTTCAATTCCTTCAATTTTATATTCAAACATAAACTTCATTAGTCTTAAAGAGGGGTGTCTTAAATAATGATAATATAACCAAAAAATATCATCATTAATCGATACAAAAGTCCTATCTTAAATGATCTTTTAACTTCCCAAAATAGTTATAGTCTAATGCTCTAAGGTAATATAGTATCCTCTCAATCATAAGTATGTCTAATCTTCTTACTCATTACCTTATCATAGACATACAAATATGACTATCAGTTATCACTCTACAAGATATATTTTTAACTAACTATCAGTTATCACTTATCATAAGATATACAAATAAAGTTAATATAGAACTTAGGAACATATAAAATATTTTTAAGAATGCTAATAAGGTTTACTTTCCCAATTGTTACAACAGTAATTAAAGATCTACTAGTTTCAACAATGTTTATATTACTTGAACAAATGCTATATGATAAAAAATAATTTGAGGAAAAAGTCGTGTGGTCGATGTCACCTATATCTAGTATTCAAAAGTAAAAAAATCATTAGATGCAACTTATAGTATCATAAAATAAAATTTATCACTAAACTTATTGAGTATTGGCCTCTAAAGACAGATGTTTTTGGAGTTTAAGAGTGGGCTAAACTCATATGACCTCATACTTGAGGGTTAAGTGAACTTGACCTCTCACTTGAGAGGTGACCAAGTGGGCTTGACCCCTAATGTAAGGCCTTCCATAAAATTTGTAATAGTGCTCCTTAGTATGTCTTGATTGTCTACAATAAATGCACCTAAGTTATCTCGATAATTACTCTTTTTTTACCTCTGCCATCTATCATTTTTAAGTTAGACCATAAGTGCTTACTTATCATTTTTGGGTTGAACCACAAATACTGAATTTTCTATATTATGTGGTTCTATCTTAAGATTTTTACTACTCTTTTTATTTCTAATGATGACAAAATTACCTCTATTACATTATAGTCTTTTTCTCTTCTTAAAAGTCTTAGCCTAATCACACACAAATTGAGTTTTTTAAAGAACTAATAAATCTTGTCATTCTTTATGTATTTTGTTGAAAGATATTTTATCCTTCTAGCACTCAGTGATAATATATTTGTATCAATCAATCTCTTTTCATATTGTTGTGAATTCATTTACGTATTGTTGAACTATTTTATTATCTTATGTCACATTAGTTGTTTGAATGATAATTGTATATTTTGATTTCAGCCTCCCTTTTGATAAGGTTTAACTTGTTTGCTCCAAAATATCTTTATTGTGAGTAGAAATAGGTATTTAATATTCACTTATGATCTCAATGTACTGCACAATCATGTTTTTATGATCACATTATTTTATTTCTATAGTTTAAATCATTGATTCATATATGTTGACCTTGGTTCCATAGTTTAATTCAGTTTTAGGTGGAGTGTAGAGTACTCAAATGATTATGTTTAGAGTACTCAACTAGTAAATACTTCTCTCACCCTTTATCTAAGGTCACAAGGTCAATTAGAAGAAGAGTTGAGTTTTTTTGTGAAGACCACATAAACTCTATCCTAGACAATATAAATCAATCTTTCTCTTTTATAAGTGTGAAGAGATACGAATAAGGCTTAGAACAATCACTATTTTAATAATTGGCATGTATTTACATATTAGAAGCATGTAACAAGCATTTTCTAGCATATTAGAAGGATAGAGTTCAAAAATTAGTCTAGATCTAACTATAAAAATGAGGAACAAGCACATTTGGTTGGCTTTGATACCATATTGAATCTTTCAAACCCACCATGAGGTGTTAGAGGAGCCATTGAGCCTTAGTTCTCTCATCAAACAAGAGAAGGTCAATTATAAACTAATACATTACTATTGTTGACTTTTGTGTTTAGAGTGTTTTAAATTGAGAGTGTGTGGATAAAGTGAAATAATAACTTTAACAAGTATAGGATTATTATATAATTGTAACATAAATTATATTATTCCTACTTAAGCTTTGTAAAAATCTCAAAAAACTCAAGATCAAAGAAGTATAACTTTATATTTTATAGTCATAAAGAAAAAGGAGTTGATCTAATGAGTAGACCTGACAATTATACTTGAATGAAGAAACAATCAAAACAATTCTATGTACTAAATATGAAACAAATGTAGAGAGAGTTGAATTGACTATTATAACTTGTGATGTTTTTGCTTAGGATTGTGTAACACTTTTTTAGATTGTATTAGGTGGGTCAACTCACTTGCCAACAAATAGTAGAAAGAAAATACACTCTCTTATATTGTGTTTACACTTTCCTTGGCCTACGTCTACTTACTACATATATTACCCCATAGTTTCCACTATTCTCTCTCCAAAAATATGATATACTTTCAAAATTTATGGGATCAACAAAACCCCTCATATGATATACTTTCATTTCATCTCTCCCTCCTATGCCAAACACAAAATAATTAGCTTGTCTTTCCCTTATTACTAGCATTCTCTTAGTACCTTAGCATATAAAGATGTGAAATGGTTAACTTACATATTATCTTCACAAATAAAATAACTGATCCCTCAATCATGTAGACATTTGAAGGCTTGCAGAAGCTTAGGCATTATAAAACCTTTCTTAAAATTCGAAAGAGAGCTGTTTTTTTTTTTTTGGGCATGAATTGATTGAGTTAATTAATATGAACATGTTACTTGAAAGCTCACAAGATGAGCTAATTATAAAGCATAAGTTCTTGACCATTACATTTAAGTGAGTGAGATTTGATTAGTGAAATATTTGCTTAGTTCACCTGAATTCAGCTTGTACAATAATTGTCTCATTAGTGTCCTTAGTTTATGATTTCTGAATATCTGATTTTATGACCACTTTGTTTCTAATTTTATGGTATCAATTGTCTTTTGCACATGGTGATGTTATAACAGACCATTGCCAATTTCAAAGAGAAATCTCTCTTTTTCTCTTTCGGGTTTGACTCATTCATTGTTGTCTTGTCTCACTTTGGTTTACTCATAAGTCAACTCACCAATATTCTTCTCGTAATTTTATCCCTGAGATATCTTCTTTGTTGTTAATTCACTTTTCTTCTTGGACCTCTTCTTGGATGATTTTTTTTATTGGTTCATATATTAAAACCAAAATCAAACATCACATCAATTTAATATAATAATTTATATCTTTATCCAATCAATGTATGAGAAGAATGTATTTTTATTATCAAATTTTATTTTTCTTTCTTTCAGTTAAGTATCAAAAATACTTAAACCAATAGATTCCTCCCATCTATATTAGCAACACGCTAAGCTGATGAGATATCATTTGGCAGAGAACAAGGGCCCTACTTCCTTTTTGATGATTAGACGATCCAAAAGCCTAAATTCAGTTTCAATTTCATCTTTATGATGATCAATGATTGTTGTGATTATTACATTCTATTTATGGATTATATTCTACGGTTCAGGAGAAGGTGTTCAATACCTCTGCTACAATCATGCTCTGGAGGATGGCATGTAGTACCGACTGATTTTGATCAAGAACACACTCTCTCTCTCTTCATGTCCTCGCAATTTTAAAAAGCGGCTTTTGTGACCTCTCCTCTACCAGGACGACGAGTGCTGAGGAGGTTTTATTAGGGCTTGCAGGCGTCAGAGAGAGGGAGAGAGCGGCTTGAGGGTGATGGCGAAGAAGGGAGAGGAGGGGCCGGGGGTTGTGGTGGAGGAGCTGCCGAGAACCATAGTTCGGAGAATCGTCAAGGACAAGCTGTCCCGGCTGTCGTCCTCTTCTTCCTCGTCGTCTCGTGGCGTAGGGAGAGGAGACGGCGCCGGAGAAGATAGGGAAGGGGACAAGGAAGGAGACGGGATGAATGTCCACAAGGAAGCTCTCCTCGCCTTTTCCGAGAGCGCCCGCATCTTCATCCACTACCTTTCTGCCACGTACGATCGCCGTTCTCATTCACTCTGCGCGTACCTGTATCGTCTGATCTCCTCGTTTCTTTCCTAGAATCATGCAAGACATGGAGCCTTTTGAGATTAAAAGGAGAAGGGGTTTTCGACATGGTTGTTTCTCCCAGGAATGCCTGCCTGTCTCTCCCTATCTGGGTTCGCCTCCATGGCGGCTCATTTCCCCGAGGGGATGGGCAGCAGATCAAACTCCACCTTGAGATCTCGCCGGCCGCGCTTAGCAGCGAGAGGGAACGGCGTTGCCGATGGAAGTTGGAAGATTGGATCTCCTTGAGAAACCCATTACCCGCCGGTTTGGATCCTTCAGAATCTGAGGGGCCGTGTGTTAGGCGATTCAATGCGACCCTTTCCGTTTCTTAGTCTCTCGGGCATTCCCATGATCTTATCGATTTCTTCTTATTCTTCCTGGTTTCATCTCAAAATCTGCTCTTTCTCATGCGCTGATGCGGCGGGACTCACGCAGATCATCGATCACCGTGATCTTTCCCCTGATCTCTCTCTTCTTGCAGGGCGAACGACATCTGCAAGGAATCAAAAAGGCAAATAATCAACGCAGAGGACGTGTTCAAGGCGCTCGAGGAGATCGAATTCCCTGAGTTCATCGCGCCCCTCAAAGCTTCCTTAGAGGGTACGACACCTCTGATGTTCTCTAGCTTCTTAGTCATCTTGCAGGCAGAAGGCGGATGAACTTTTCCGTATGCTTCTTATTCTAAGTTCTTTTCCAGATTTCAGAAGGAAAAATGCGGCGAAGAAAGCCGAATCAAAACCGCGGGAGAAGAAACGGAAGGCGGAGAGGGATGCGGCGGCCGCGACGAACGGGAAAGCAGACGGCGGCGAAGACGTTGATGATGCAGAGGAGAATGAGGACAGAGACCATGCCCTTGATGAATAGAGCTCTCTCTCTCTCTCTCTCTCTCTCTCTCTCTCTCTCTCTCTCTCTCTCTCTCTCTCTCTCTCTCTCTCTACTTAGGAATGACACTCCATTCGATGAAGAACAAGAACACTGAGTAGAATCACCTGTAGAAAGAAAATCCAATGGTATATGTTCTGTTACAAGCTTTCTGTCAGCACCGATGGGTATGGGTCAGAAGATGATTTCCGTGTGTGGTTCTGGGATCATGACAGCTGGGAAGGATAAAAACAATCAAGGAACAGCGTTTCTCATTGCTAGAAGCAGCTTCGGCGCCAGCAGCAAGATGAAGGCGAAGAGTGAGCCGAAGAACACGTTGATCGCTCTCTGAACTGGATCTGCGTCGACTTCTATTCTCGGGTTCTTGGAGGCTGCCATTGATGAGGCGGACGGAAGGGCTTCTATCACGGCGTCCGCCAGGTCTGTGATGAAGGAGGAGTTGCAGCCGAGGGTGGGCACTCTGCCCCAGTTTTCGATTCCGGATTCCAAGGCCAATTCCCTGTATTCCATGTCGATCTCCTCCAAGGTCTCGATGTGCTCGCTCACAAAGCTGCCAGAAAAACGCAGGGTTTGACTTTAGTGGGTTTCTTCCTTGGTGTCTGACATCTGAGGTGCATGAGTCGGCAGAGGGAAGCATACCTCACTGGCACCGCAAGAAGGCTTTTAGTCCCTTTCTGGCCCAGCTCGACGATGACTTCATCCGTGTATGGCTTCAGCCACTGCACTGGCCCAACTCGGCTCTGGTTTTCGAAAGTCGCAGGGGCCAAGAAGTCAGATGAGAGAGAATAGAGACAGGAAGCGATGATCTGCAGGAGTAGATGAAAATAACGAGTAAAATCTTGAAAGCAGTACCTGGTATGCGAGAATGTGGGGGTTGTCAACTCCTCTCGACTTCAACTCCGCCATGATCAAACTGATGCATTCCTCCATCTGGTCTCTGTACGGATCTCCCGCATCTTTGACATAGCTGAGTGGGACCCCGTGTGCACTGAAGAATATCATGACCTGGCATAGCCCACATGAATGCAATCATGGAAATGACATGTTGGATTATATTTCAATCGTGAGGGATATGCGAATTTCCATCGAATCAATCATTGTTTATGATGCCCGCATGGATAAAGCTTGGTGCGAAAAGGACATTCAAATGGGAGGGGAGCAAACCTCTTCAGGGCTAGAGAAGTTCATGAGCTCCTTCTCGATCTGGGTTGCCATGGCTTTGATGTAACCTCTACGATTGTACCATGACTCTATGATAGAGACTGGGAGCCTTGCAAGATGGGGATCCTCCCTGAGAGACGTTGCTTCGTTATTGACATTCATGTCGCATGAAGCATATAGATAGAACAGAATAAAGACGAAGCTAGCGGCTACAGAAGAAAAAATGGAAAAAAAAAAAAAGATTTACCTGAAGATGCTTTGCAGAAGTCGGATGCTAGAACCACTTGTTGATATGGAGTACTGTGGATACAGCGGCAGAACAACTAGTCTAGTGACCTTGTCCCTCTTAATCTGTAACATCGCATGCGAAAAAGCAGTTCATGAGAATGTCAATGCTCAACAGAACTGACCCCACCCCCCAATGAATTCACTCCAGCGAGGTTTCTGAGAATTTACATTCTGCAGTGATTGAAACCATCTTAAGCAAAATGTACAGATTATTAATTTCTAACCGCGGCTATTCGTTCTAACCTTTGACGACTGTGTGTGTGTGTGTATATGTATATAGAGCAGGGAATCTCTCGATTCGATCATTCATTTCAATTTTAACATCATGAGAACCTACGGCTGTCTGATGATTTAGAAAACTCGAAAGCCTAGGAGAATGCTCTAATCCTAGCCACATCAATGGAACATTCTTCCAATAAAATGTACTAAAGACAGCCGAAAAGGATAGGATGTCACTAGTTCACGAATGAATCAAGATGTATTCTGACCAATTATTGATTATGATAGCACATGTATTCGATCTACATGACATTAAAAATATGAGAAAAATAATTCATTTTCTTTCCAAAGGGAAGAGAACAATTACCTGATGAATAGCTTCCTCGGTGAAAGGGTACCAATATCGCATTCCAATGTACACATTTGCAGAGATCTGTTTTGCCTGCAAGGCCATTCTCAAAGCATGTGCCTGAGGAGGTAAAATAACCTGAGTCTCAGTTGAATTGTGTTGGGTTGAAAAATCAGATTCTCATTGCACATTCATTATGCTGCTAAATGCTTTGACAGTTCTTGAAAACACTGTTACTTCCAGGAAACAATAAAAGGGAAAGATCAAAGAAGTCAACGAAAAAGCAAAGAATTGCATCGAACCCCCTGACGCTTCTTTCTATGCACTGTCGTTCGGAGTAATCGTGTAGCATGGCTTGGATGAAAACAAATGGCATAAAAAAAGCTGTAGCTGCTCGAAATTTTATACAACATAAAGGTGATTCACGAAACAGATAGAGAAAGACGGAGGAAGAAAGTAACTGTACCTGCTCATCGGTTATCTTTCTTAAGGGAGATCCCCCCCCTATGGAAGCATAGCCTTCCTTGCTTTTCGGAGCTCTGGAAACTGAGATAAGTTTGGCCAACGGCTGCTGGAGAAAGCGAAACAACCTCGGAAGTCGTATGATATCCTGTTACAAAGCGCAAAATGTAAAGATAAGATTGTTAATTTTTTTTATGAAAACTGTATAGATCAAACATAAACAACATATCTGCTTTACAATCACAGACTCTATTGATTTAAGAAAGAAAAGCATGAGAAATCTGGGTATGAGCTCCAGTTAATAATGATCACAGGCATTATGTGTATCCTAGTTGGGAGCTGGATAGGCCCTCGCAGTTGATCAGAGGTTAAGAAATGCTCTTCCCACAACTTGAGCAGCACCAATGTTTTAGGATGTAAGAACAGGAAGGATAGATAACGTACTGGATCAGCAAACAAATTGAACAGAAACGGTTCGACATCATGCAGAGTGTCTGGGCCCCCGAGGTTTAGCAGCAATACTCCGATCTTCTCTTCTGAAACACTGGGAGAAGCTCCAACAGCAGTATCACCAAATGTACATACTCCAGCAAAGCAAAACGTTTTCCCATCTAACTTTCCATGCTGAGACGGAGCATTGAGAAAAGAAGCACGAGAGGAAAGAGCAGAATTCTCCACTGGCTTGTTAACATCTTTTGACGATCCTGACAAACTGCAGAAGGCAGAAGCAACATTGCCAGCAAATTGATGGCGTGATCTGAAAAAAAGACGATGATGATAGTTAAAATTATGAAGCTTTAGCATGATTATTTTATGATAGAGAAGAAAATGAGAAAGGTAGAGCCCAATTTCACCAGTCTCTTTACTAAATCATCACAAACCAACGCGAGCATGAGGCATTGTGGAAGAATCAGGGATCCACTATATTAAACAAATGGAAGGGGAAAAAAAAACATCTCGGAGGAAGTATGCGTGTGTGAAACTGCATTGTAGCGAACTAAAATAGTGATCAGCCTGTCAAAACAAAAGAAAAGAGGTTGCGGAAACACTGGAATATTCAGCATCATGACTGAAATCACGTTGGCTCAAGCCTCGCAAAAGGGACTACCTGAATGGACGGGCATCTAGCCGCTGCTTAGGTTGCAGTTTCAATATGTCATTGGAGGTCTGACGGATGTATTGCTGATCCTTCTCCACCAGCCGCTGAAACTGCATACAGCCATGCTGGGACGCCATCTAACTCCTGAAATTTTCAAATTCAGCGGTATCAAAACGACAGGACTTTACGCGAGATAAAAACAGGATGCCGAACAAAAAAGATCTGCAAATATCAACGACGGACGATCCAGACCTTCAATTTACAGAAGAAAGAAAGCCAAAGCCCCATCACTACGATCCATAAGGAGCCAAAACGAAACCGTAGTTTTCAGTTTCGACAAGCCGATCGATAATCGAAAGACAACCTAACAAACGAAAGCTACCACAGACAGAATCCCTGGTCCGCGGGGTGAACCATCCGTCAGGGTGAACCACGCCCGCAGACAGAATCCCTGGTCCCACGTAAGCGGCAGATCAAATCGGCCGAAACAAGAACCCTGCAAGCACCACGCGGCGGCGGCGAACCGCAGAGGGTGAGGGAAGACAAGAACGCACCGGGATTCCTCCCTAAGCCGCAGAGGACGGCAGGTGGGTTGACCGAGACTCCCAAATTCACGGCGGACAAGGAGCGAATGCCGAGAGGACGCGAAAACACCTCGTCGCTAGATGAAACCCTCGTCCCCCCCTTCCTCTTCCTCCTCTTCCTCTTCCTCCGACTGTCCTCGACCCTCCACGAGGAGCTTCCCTGAGAAGTCGTAAACGAACCTTCTCTCCCACCGCGTAAGGTGGCGTACCGCCGCCTCCAGTACAACTTTTATTCGTACAACACGTAAATAATTTCCTAACAAATGGAAGGCTGACACGTTTAACTTTTGATGACCTGACGCGCAAAGACTGGCCGTGCACAAGACCTCCCAGAGTGCGCATAATAGCCAGTGTTCCGTTTAGCGGTCAAAGTCAAAAGCACCCAGGCGGACAAGTTGCCAGCACGTGGGGCTGTTACACCTAACGACTTCCACGCTGAGAGTGACGCTGCATGTTAAAACAGTGTGGGCTGTGGGCCAGCTTTTGACGTGCTCGACGACCGGCCCAAATTGGTGAACAGCCCAAGCCACTTTGATCGTTATTGTGCTAGCCCAATAAAATGGAGCTCACAAGCAATCCGTAATAGGCCACGGCCCACTGGGCTCCCTCTCTCTCTCTCTCTCTCAACCGGCTTACTGTCCCATAAAGCCCATAATGGACTTTTTTAGCGGCCCAGATCTGACCATATTCTGGTGAATTTAGAAGCACGAATCGATCAAAATTAGGTCAATTTCTTGACGGTACCAAGAAGACCGGAAGCCATTGAGAAAAATGAAGAGTTTTTAACCCAAAAATAGGAAAAAAAGAAAGGGAATTGACCCGATGAAGGTCTAATGAAGATCCAGAGGCAATCTGAGCAGCAGCCAGCTTCTTCTAAGTGTTTGTGGCCCTTGTGTAGATCTGCTGCGATGAATGCGCAGCCACCATCCTGATTGATCCCCTCGCCATCAAATCCTTGATCGCCTTTCTCGCCAAGGAGCCACTGATCTGAAACCAGTCGGATAAAAAAAATGATGATCTTGAGTTATTTCCCAGATTAAACCCAAAAATGCTATAATTAATATAAGCAAATAATCAACAAATAATTCAGATATTTTTTAGCTTTCCTAGTTTCGTCTTCACTTATCATCATAGAGAACGAAAACCCAGCAGGAAAAAAAAAAAAAAAAAAAAACTAGATAGGAGGTAGTTTTCCAGTTATTATCGAAGAGAACTGATCTTCACATCAAAGAATTATGCTCAAAATCGCATGATATTACTAAAAAAGGCTGCTCTTGCCCACATGGTAAGGCACTGTAGATGGACAATGGTGGTAGTAGAAAGGCTACTCGGCAACAAACAAAAGAAAAGAAGGGTAATTCACACAGAACCCCAAGGATGCTAAGACCGAACCACACATCTTTTTTTGGTGGGAGGGTACTCTGAGTAGTGGGTACCTCGTAGGACCTCGACCCGCATACTCGGGTCTTGTATGGATATGCAGGAAGGGGTGCTCCTAGGTGTGTGTAGGGGGTGTTTTGTTCGCGAGAATGGATTCCTCGTCAAGTCAGGGGGGTGTGGACACACTTGCGCGAATTCGGGTAACGGCTACAAGGGAGAAATAGAAACATGGACGAGAAAAATAGAAGGCAAATGTTTTGATAATGCGCAGATGAATGATATGTGCAACAGCTACTAACCATGCTTAAAAACAAAAGCATCAATTGAACAACGGCCATCCATGTAACATCCTTTCAAAAAACCTTGTATAAATCGTATAATTTTCTGAACCAGATGAGGAGTCTCGTTTTCCTTTACCAGTAGCAAAGAGTATAATTCCAGATGATGGGAATGTTGCTCTTACATCATGGGCCAGCGTGAATCCATAAGTGATATCTTAATGATGGCACAAGCATGGGAGTAAATAAAACGCAAGCAACAGTTCAAGCGAAGAACAGACTTAAAGAAATTCAGATGTATACGGATACAAGAGACATATATGCAACATCATATACGAGATTGAACTTAATGCGTTAGAGATATAAATATCGAGTAAGAAAAATTATCGAATTCTGAGCTAAAGTGTGGATAAATTTTTGTCCACGAACCCTCAATCTCTCAGATAACACGGAGGGGGTGATCTGCTTGAACTTTGGAACCTCCGATAGCATCTTGTCGTAGCCCGCCTGATCGAACAGCACGGCGTTGTTCACCTTCTCCTTCTGCTTTCCCTTGCTCCACTTCTACGCTCATGAAAAAACACACCAAACAATCAGAACAAGTCTCAAACGCAGCAAGCCCAGGTTAGACGGCCTCAAACTCTACGCTACCAACCACGGGATCCGTACCTTCTTTTTCTGCTTCCCTCCGCCACCGGACTTCGCGGGCTTCGAAGATGGAGGGGGTGCCTTATCCTTCTTCGGCGCCTGCGACGACAAAAAGAAGACCAATGAAGAACCCCTGAACCCATATCCCACGGTAGCCTAAGAAGATCAGGGGAGAGAGGGCTTCACCATCTCGCTCAAAGATGGAGCTCTTCCTCGTCCTTCGAATCAGGAAGCACAGGTTCCGCCGGAGGCGAGGGATGGAGATACGGAGAACGGCGGGAATGGAGAGGCGGAGAGGGTGAAGTGGCAGGAGAGCCTATGATAGGGTTCCACCTCCGCCAACGGAACTCTGATTCAGCCGTCTGATCGGAGAGGTAAAGAGTTCCATCCATCAAACGGTCTTGCATTTCCCACCAACAAAATTCCGACCACGCCGTCCGATCGGAAAGGCCATAGATGATGATGGGACGCATCGAACGGCTCCGGATCATCCGACACACTTCGACCGATTAACCGTCCGATTTGGAGTAACACACATCGTGGTGGCCCTGAGCTCAACTAGCAGGCACAAAATGTATTTGTGAAGGTGACATAAAAGGCCCCAATTAATTTTCCTAAAATGAATTATTTCATCAATTAACTTTGATGGATAAAGAGAAAATTTATTTATGTAAATAAGAAATAATTGAACAATTAAAAAATAAGATCCCATTTTTTAAAAGAAATAAGATCGAACTGAAAACCCTGGGATTTTTTAATCCCCACTTATTTTTCATAAAATGAATTATTTCATCAATTAATTAACTTTGATGGAATTAAAGAGAAAAAAATATGGAAATAAAAAATAATTTAACTATTAGAAAATAAAACCCCATTTTTTTGATAAATAAGATCGAACTGCAAAACCCTGAGATCTTGTTAATCCCCATGAAACCTTTATGAAGGAACAGATTATCTCAGGTCATTAATACCTCTTTAAGGACAGAAGCAAGAACCAGCTCGGCAGCTTTCTCATCGTTTTCTGGTATTATTCACGAACCAAAGAAAAGAAGAGAAAATTAAAATACCAGAGGTGCTCAATCCGGAGCTCTCATGTTCACAACTTGGGAAGATAAACCAGGAGATCTTAGCCCCCTCTGTTAAGAACTGCGACTGGTGAGTTGATGGGGGGGTGGTGGATTCATTCACTAGTTCTTCACCTCCTCCGATTTCTTGCTTCTGGTTCCAAAGTACCAGCCGATGGCGGCAAGAGCAGCAACTCCGCCGCCAATCGCCAGATAGTTGGTGCTCTTCTCGGCAGAGGAACCGGCTGTGGAGGCCCCAGCCTGGGTACCGGTCGCACCGGCATCAGTTGCAGTGGCTCCTCCCGCGGCTCCTGACGGCTGTTCTCCCTGTTGGGCACCCTGATAGTGCAGCACAAGTTTATGACGATAAAAATAGTTATAGTTTTAGTCGTACTGGTGGAAATGAGGTCGGTTTCTGAAAGTGGGTAGTCTGGCATTGCCGCACCTTACGTGCGAGCTTCTCCAACTTCTCTCGTTCTACTTTCTGTTAAAAGAAAAAAGAAAAAAAAAAAGTCGAGGAAATGTGTGGTTCTCAGATCAGGAATAAATATTGCAGGAGCAATTTAAATTCAAAATGAGGAAACCATGTTCTTGGTATTAAAAAATAGAATCTCACTACTTCACTGAAGAAAAACGAAGCGCATTTCGCACATTAGTTGACACGGTGGTTTAATAAACCGATGAATGGAAAATAAGCATACAAATTGACCGATCACAGGTAATGGTCTTTGAGCATATTCCTGATTCTAAGATACGGGTAGCTAGATTAAAATTAGATTAATTATAGCAATCATAGAGCACTTCATCAGTATCGGTTAACAGACGAGACAACTATCCTGAAACAATCACTTCTTCTAAATAAACGTACATTTACAGCCAGAATTTATGTCTCATAGATCTATCATTACCTTTCTTGTGTGCCAGATGCTTCGACCAGAACAATTAGACTCCTCCCCTAAGTAATAAATGAGAATTTTATATAAAGTTTCTTTGAGTCTCAACAGAAAAATAGAAGTTTCTGTAACCAATGATGAGGGGAAGTAAACCACAAGAGTGTGGTGCAGATTCCAATCACAGAGTAGTGCAAAACCCTAACCATGGTTGTCGTTAGAATGGATCTTACAAGTGCAAACCAACTCAGAACTGGTTCATAATGGCTGCGTTTACGGGAATGTTTGCTTAGGATCATAATGATGATCAGACTAATGGAAATTTTAGATTTTAAAGACAAAGTACTGACCTAAAAGAAAGTAAGGTAACAGTAACTTCAACCAAACATCCAAATACCAGGATTGTTTCTACCAAAAGAAAAAAACAAGTTTACAAAAAAAGGAGAGTGGAATATGCAAATTCCTTTCGGATAGTCAAGTGCAATTGTTCTTTTTTCTACGGAAAGCTCCCAACGGTTGATGGGGTTCCAATAATATGTATTGCTTACAGGAGACATGGCGTCAGAATTGACTTTATTTTCTTTGTCAAAGCCAAATAAAGTAAAATCATATAAATACGGTGCAGAGATGTACAGGTAAACTGGATTTATAAATAATCTTAGGACTGAGATATGATCAGAACTAGTTAATGCAATGTTTCACAACCGTAAATACTCCGGCTTCACTAATTAATGCAATGTTTCACAACCGTAAATTCCATAAAAAACATCTAAAAATAAACTAAGATATGATCAGAACTAGTGAACCCTTAGACGTGCAACCAAGCAGTAACGCACAGGAAGCTTGGCAGATACCCCAAGATCATTGAGTTGATCGACTTCAATAGCTCCTCCGCAGTGTTCGGAGTTTCTAGTTAATCATCAGATCACGCTGCACGTATTAGACACACCACGGCGACTCAAGGCCCAAAAGCTCCTCCGCACATTCACGAAAGAACAGATTCAGACCCAGAATTGGGCAAATCCACATGCTATAAGGCCGAGCAGATTAGGAACCCCCAGGTTTGGCAATCTAATCAACTTAAAATATGACCCGAACCAATGCTCATGGTAAAAACCCGCAGTAAGCTGAGTCGACGACGCTTAACGACCACGAGAAGGGGAAATGAGATGACCTTGATGTATACGTTCTCGGCCGCTTTCTCCTCCTCGCTCAGGACCTTGCCCCCGCTCGAGAACCTCCGGAAGATGTGCCTGCTAGTTGCCCTCATCGCCGCCATCGCGCCGTCTCGGATCTCAAGGTCACAAACCTCAGGGGGGTAACCAGGGAGCAGACGACAGCGGAGTGGGGAAGAAAGGAGACACCTCGAGATGATGAAGGAGGAGGGGGCGCCCCGTGATCGTCAAGCCAAAACCACGCTCCGATCGTGGCCCATTGATCTGACGGCCTCTGTGATCTCGATGCTGAACTTCACGGAGGAGTCTACTATCAGTCGGGTACGATCTCCACAATCGGACGGTCCATCGGTAGAAGCTTGTCGGCGGATCTGGAGCCGTTCGATGCGTTTGATCGTCAACCATGGCCTTGGAGAATTTGGTCGGTGGGAAATACAGAACCGTTTGATGCATGAGATCTCCTCGGGTTTCTCTAATCAGACTGATCCTGAGCCGTTCGATGAGTGATATCCGCAAAAGCCTCTCCGATCAGACGGTTGAATCAGAGTTCCGTGGGCTATATAGCGTAGAGTTTTTTTTTATTTAAACTGAAGGATATGAAGAAAATAAAAGACCCGGTATGGAATGTTCATACATATTCCATGACTATTATCGGTTCGGATCATCCGGATGGTTTCAAGCCTCCTGCATCCCGGGAGAAGAGGTTCGCTCCATATCGGATCCTGAATTTTCGGATACTAGCTCGTGGATCGGATCCTCACCGCTAGGAAGAAGCTGCGCGGGAAAACCGCTGGACGCAGGTTCCCCTGTGCGAAGCGGAGAGCACGGGGAAGGGAGGGACTTGATGGCGGCCCAGATCGCGGCTTGTTAGGGCACAAAACGGGGAAGTCAGGCGAAGCGGGACCTTCCACCTCCTATTTCCTCTTCCTCTTCTTCTTCTTCTTCCTCGTCGTCCTCTATCCTGAGAGAGAGAATACATTATCCATTGGTGAAGAAAAGTCTTCCACGGCGAGGAGAGGCTGCTTGGTGCCGTCAAGGGTGACCAAGGCCCGTCCGGGGCGAGAATCGATGCCCAGGGCGGAACCACATCTTCGGTTGCAGCGCTGCGGGTCGAGCTTCTAGGTACGCCTAGTTCTCTCTCCTCCTCTTCACCCAGTGAAAATATCGTTTCTCTACTATGGTGCGAAAATTAGGATTGAAAACACAAACATATTTATCCATACAAGTTGGCAGTAGATAACCTTTTCTGACGCAGATGTCTGGTCAAACTCACTTGATACAAACCAGTCAATAGATCAAACCCGAAAGCTTCGTGTTTCTGACTTGAGATTTCTGATGGTTTGCGGATAATGATCCACCACCAGAACCTTTTTGAGTAAAATCTGACTTAAATGCAATATATTATCTGTTGGAGGTCCATACTTGATTCCCTTATGCTTTAATTGTACTTGGAGTCTTGAATTGAACTGAGTCATGTTGGACTTACTGCACAGGGCGATAATGTGGAGTCTTGAAAGGTTTTTATGGGTAGTAATAGAAGGCACTAAGTAAAGTGTAGAGGAAGGCTGGGAACAGATACATGAAAATTTTCCCCTGTTTGGGGCTGGGGATCCTGTTAATTTTTTGTTAAAAACGACCACGTTGGAGGATGGTTTTGCATAGAGTAAATTGGATGATTCATTTGAGGATAATGGTGGAGGCATGCAGACGTATGCTGGGGATTCCTGTCCCTTTTCTCCCAGCGAAGCACTAAGTGGGAACTTAATACCTCCCACCTCTCTCCGCTGACTTATTAGCCTAGGAGTCTAACTGAGATCCTCCGAGCCAACTTTGGTAGTTGACCCAGCATTTTTCCCGGCCAGTTTTCATGCAGTTCCCCACCTAGTAGCCTCTGTGTGGTAGATTAAGCAGAGGCCTTCTTCCCATAGCTCCTCTTTTCTTGTTACTATTTGGTGATTTGGGTCCATCAGTGCCAGATAAGGAAACCACCGGCCTGAATCGCTGGGGGGCCTCGAGGTGGCAACGACGACCTGATCCTAATGGACCGCATATATCTGAGCGGATCGTGGCTTTAGGTGAGCAAGTAGTAGGAGAAGAAGCGTCCTCTGAGTTTTCGTCATCCCCTGATCTGCTCTCCTCCTTTCCTCAGGATCCCTTTGGTATTGGGACGAGTCTGGGTGCCGGTGCTTCTCCTCCCCTCTGGAGCTGACTCTCTCAAGCCTGGCTCTGTATTTTCTTCTCCCTCTGTCACGGATTTTAAGTCGTTTTCGCTATGTACGATTGGGCCGAGTCCTCTCTCCTTCTCCGTCGTCAATCTCTTCAGATAGGCGCTGCATTTCTTTATTATGCTACCCCCAGCCCTTACATGCGCAGTCTGTGGCATGTTCATATGTGATCGACGCCTCTCTGAAATTCTTTCTTATACATCTTGTCAGGGAACCATGGGGCTCGGTAGGAAGAATCTGAAGAGAGAATCACACGGAGCTGGGGGATTCTCTCTTCAAGAGAACCAGAGTATCATGCAAGTCGTTTCTCTAAGGGGCTCCAACATTATCGAGGTACATTCCCATTCTGGCTTATCTCGTTCTTGGCTGACTCCCACTTTGGGAAAGTAGTATCAATCTGTGCGATCTATGGTGATAGTATCTCTGGTGTCAGGTCATGGACGCCGAGGGTGTGAAGTCTCTGGCTCTATTCCCGGCCCGGTTCCAGAAAAGCTTGTGGATAAAGCGAGGTCTGTGGGGGATGAAGCGAGCAACCAGGCTCAGGCTTTTCTTGAAGAAATGCTTACTTGCTTCAACGTGTTAAACGACTGTCTGCAGGTAGTTTCGTCGTGGTGGATGGGAGCGGAAGGAAGCAGGCCCTCGACTCGGGGAGCAAGGTGGCCTGTCTGGTCTCCCAGGTCCTCTTCCACGAACAGGTCCGGGTGCTTCGGAGATCCCCAGAGTGGTACGCCTCTGGTCTGAACATCAGAGTTTCATTGATCGCTGTTGATTATGGGTTATGCTTCCCTGTGGATTTCTTCTCATGGGTTGGGGTCCCTGCAGGCCAGAGGCCTTCAGGGGCACAGCTGAGGAGGACTCAAGCAGCCGCCAGCAGCCACCAGCCGGGCCCGACTCCGACGAAGAGGAGGACGATGATCAGCTCCCACCGCTGGAAGCCAACTTGAATCATAGCAGACCCACCGACCTGTGCTCAGATTCTGACTCAGACTTGGGCTGAAGATCATACAGTTGTTTTCATCCTCCAGCGATCCAAAGATCCCAACTTTATGTGATCATACAGTTATTTAGATCGTTGAGCAATCCGAAAGATCCCAACTTTATGTGCCTGCGCTTTCTGGGTGCCGCGGAGGCGATGAATAATCCCTCATATTTATTATTTTTTGGGGGTTTATATTCTTTCAGGGAATTATTTTTGTTAGAAAAAAGAAAAACCAGCCTCATCAGTACGCGTAGATACATGCTGACTAGTCAGGGATGTCATATTTTATTGGTTTATTTTTGTTATAAACTAAAATATATATTTTTAATCAAGAAATACGGGATTAGAGAGTGGGTTTGCGTATTTTAATTATAAGTTCGATTTTTTAAGGTCTTATTAAGAGAAAACGGCGGCATGTGCGAGGAAATTTAAGGAGCCTATTTCATTTAAACTTAAATTTTATTAAAATCAAGTTTCTTACGAAATGGCTTTTATCGCGCATCGAGTTTGGATATTTACGTAATATATATTCTTTTAGGGTGTAGATAGTATGAAATTTTCCTATTAATTAAACCCAAGCGCGGTTCAGCTAATAGCGTTTCTGCCTTCCTCGATCGGAAGAACACAGGGCTCCGGAGGTAGCAGAAGAGAAAGGGGGTGATGTATCATCCGACGAGAGGAGGCGTCCGAGGCGGTCGCGACCGTAAGTTTTTCCTTGCCACGTTGTCATGTCTTGGGGACGATTTCTCTTTTTCCGGTGTTCCCCTTCCATCGTGGGAGTTTTCATCGGAGCGCCAAGCCGATTCTGCTTCCCCGTTTGTTTTTGTGGCCTCTATGATATTGTCTCTGATGGATTGAAGGATCGAATTGTGCTTTAGATATTTTTGGATGGGGTGACTAGACCTTAGCACGGATCTGGGGCCGAAACCTGCGAATCTATGATTTCTAGGGTTTCTTCATTCCGGCCCAAGTTTTCTCTCGGACGAGATAGTTTTTTCTCATCGTTTTTTTGGTTTGAGTTTCTTCGTGACTTAAGAACTCATCAAAGTAGGAATTCCCCGGGATGCTGGAGGCTTTCTACCGTCTTTCAGAGGGGATTCATGCACTTCTTCTTTTTTCTACTCCACTTTTGGTTAGTTTAACGTTTAAATTTTTGTCATGATTTGGTATTTGTTTTGCTTCCCTTCCTGTCGAACGCGGTAATTTGGATTTGTGGCATTTCCGGAATGCGGAAAAGAGTAATTAGTCACCGCGGCAGGACTGCAGGAACTTTTTAGATGTTAACGGCTAGTGACTTCTTTGCTGAGACTAAGCAATACACCAAATCCTTATGTTTTAATTAAATTTTCCGAAGAGCTGATCAAGTAGGTTAATCACAACAGCACAGCAGTTGAGAGGATATACGCGATAGAATGCTTGGAGGTCATTATGAATATGCAGAGCTGGTCTTCTTAGTGTTCACGACCAACAAGAAGTCAAAATAAGGATGGATTTTATGTTACAGTAGAATACTGATTGTATCAATTTCTTTCCAAACCGGATTCACAACGCAGTACATTTTTTGTATACACTCTGCTACGATTTTCAAGGGTTCAGGCTATTTTCCTTTGTGATACACTGTGGGTAAGCTTGATCCAAGTCTATCTGTTCTGCCTGTGGCAGCAGGCGAGATCATTTTTTTAGCAATTGCTTTTTAAGCGAAGGTTCTCCCTTCCATCCCTCTCCCCCCCTTTTTTTCCCCCAGCATCCGGCAAAGTGTTGTTGCTACGCTGCATATTTTTAGTTAATGATGTATTGGGCTGCTTCAAATATATTCTTGAAAGAAATAAAATCATTGACTCTTGCTTCTTCTTCTTCTTTTTATAGAATTCACATGGGACGATGTCAAAGTCGATAAGCATCGAGAAAACTACCTTGGCCATAGCATTATGGCTCCCGTTGGTAGATGGCAGAAAGGTACTTTCTCTCTTTTCCACCAGTTCAATACCACCAGTTCCTGTGTACCCATGGCAGGAAGGAACTTTCTTTCTTTTCCACCAGTTCATTTTTTCTCATTAAAGTTAAATTTTTAATCCTGTTTTATAATAACTATGGCCATGGGTACACAGGAACAGTGTGATGTTAATCTCCTATTTAGATACAAGCAAAGGCTTTCCATGTTCATTTTCGATCCACTGAAAGAAATTTGTCCCAGATAATTAAGTAGTTACTATTTTCATTTTTTGTTAACTTGCCTCTGTAGGAAAGGATCTTCACTGGTACGCGAAGGATAAAAAATCCAAGGCAGATGAAGACGCCATCAAAGACGAGATCAGGAGGATAAAGGAGCAGGAGGAGCAAGCCATGCGCGAAGCCCTGGGCCTGGCCCCGAAGCGGGCGGCCCGACCCCAAGGGAACCGATTGGACAAGCACGAGTACGCAGAACTCACGAAGCGGGGCTCCACTGCCGAGGACTTGGGCGCCGGCCATGCCGAGGCGGCGCAGGTCCAAGGCCTCGGCTTATACAAGTAGGTCTTTGATTCTTTGGTGAGCATCCGACCAAAGACCGTTTTCATGGTTGGTGACTCAGTTCGGTCCTGTTTCTTTTGGTGGGTGCAGAGGACATGAGGCATGGGCTCAGTCGAGGTCCCTGCCGGAGGCTCTGTCGGATGCAGAGGATGAGGCGGCGGCGCCCAAAATACCTGCCGCGGAGGCTCCCCCGTCCCCGGAGAGAGCCCCCGAGGAGGAGGACCGTGAGAGCAGGAAGAGGAGGCGGCGCGAGGAGAGGAAACGAGAGAAGCGCTCCCAGGAGCCTGATGGCAAGAGAAGTCATGGGAGGCAGAGCAACAAGCGGCGCCACCGATCCGACTGAAACAGACAGAGCCCTCTGCTACTCCCCCCCCCTCTCTCTCTCTCTCTCTTCTTCTGTGACTCGTCTTCAACTGCCGGGCTGAGGCCCGAAACCCTCTGTGGTTGGGCCGGGCCGGCCCGTGAAGGGAGAGCTTGAGGGGCCATCGGGGGGGTATTCTCACACGTCCCCCGAGTAAAATAAGGAAATAGCGATTTCACCCCAACTAATGGCGGGAAATGATGACGTGGAAGCCCGAACGTGGTTCCCCAACCGCTGTTCTTCAACGGCCGGTCCTTGGTTGACTGGTGGGGCCGTGAGCCGTCGCATTTTATTGAGTTAGATCTCGATTCCGCCAATTTTCTGGTTTGGAGGCGGGAAATCTCGGCAACAGTTTGTTACTGTGAGAGGGACGAAGGGGGGGGGGGGGGGGGCTTGGAGGCGGAGAAAGCAGATCGGAGAGAGGCGTCGAGGGTGCGGTTTCTTCCCCTTCTTGCGTCTGAGTCCGTTTGTTCCTCCTGGATCCTGAATCCCGGTGCTAGAACGATGAGTGGCTCGATTTCTCTTCTCTTCTATCGTCTTCGTTCTCGGCGTGTTGGCTGTCCTGTTTGTCCGGCTTATTAGATCCGACGATCGCCTGCGGGAGTTCTATTGTCGCATCTTTGTCGGCTGTTGTAGTCTCTCAGCATATACATTAAAGTACTTGGTTTATCCTTCGTTTTTCTGTTTGCGAGCAAGCCTGTATATATTTGTCGACTGGCTAGTCGATGGTCCGTCAAATTCTCTGTCCGGTCGTTGCTCGTTTTACGGTGATGATACTGTTTAACTGATCCATGTTGCGTCGAGTTGGCGTATCCAAACGTTTTAACATCTGCAATAACACGCGGCCCTGCGGATTGATGCTACTGTTCTTCTATGTTCCTTTAAACGTCGAATTTTATAATTGTTCCGTTAGAAATATTCTGGTAGGATTTCTTTGCATGTCTACATGCCGGGTACATCGTGATATGAAATTTATTTATTTTTATTTTCGGTTCAACTCTGTTTTGTTTTATCGTCACAGCTGATCATTTGCTCCTGCAACTGGATTGCGCTTCTGCAGGTCTCTTAGGAACCACAGCGCTTTCTTAAACATCTCCGTATCGGAGCCATGAGTAAACAATTTCTGATATACAGTTTTGTGGCGAAGGGGACGGTTGTGCTTGCAGAGCACACATCATTTTCTGGGAATTTCAGCACAATAGCTATTCAATGTCTACAGAAATTGCCGCCGGGCAACCACAAATACACTTACACATGCGGTGGCCATACTTTCAATTTTCTTGTGGACAATGGATTTGGTATTAATCTCATCTCGATGTTGAATATGTGATCCTCAGTTTGTGATTTTCTGCCCCATATTTGATTGATCTTCATTTTGTCCTCTGCAGTTTTCCTCGTTGTGGCAGACGAAGCAGCACTGAGGGGTTTACCCTTTGTGTTTCTAGAGCGAGTGAAGGATGATTTTCTGCGTCGCTATGAAACTGACATCAAGCCAGGTGGCCCCCATGTGCTTGATGTTGAGGAGGAGGATGACCTGTTTGAAGAAAAATTCAGCATAGCATACAATCTTGACCGAGATTTTGGGTACGTGTGGTTGACTTCGTCCTGAGGTATTTTCAACAATCTCATTCTTGCTCATAGCTTTCTTGGAGCAGACCGAGGCTGAAGGAGCACATGAGCTACTGCACGAGTCACCCAGGAGAGATGATCAAGGTATCCAAATTAAAGTCTCAGATAACGGAGGTCAAAGGCATAATGATCGACAACATTGAGAAGGTGCATACTCTATCCAATGACAAAATAATTTATTTCTCCTGAGAAGAGGAAACTGTTAGATTATGTTCCGTTATTTATTCCTGATTTAAAATGAAAAAGAGCTCGCGTTTATGCCTGACCCATTTGGCTTCATGCTAAGAAGATCAAACCCTTGGATCCTCCGTCCCCAAATACACAATTATGTTTAGTAAATGTCCAATTCATAGCGGCTTATCGCAGAGAAAATCATCTCAAAACGTGCCCATGATTTTACCCGTACAAGTAGCCAGTTTTAATCCAGAAGTATCAAACGAAGAGACGATGTCTTCTATTCTAACGTGAAAACCCGTGTAGGTTCTTGATCGCGGTGAGAAGATCGAACTCTTGGTGGAAAAGACCGGGAGCCTGCAATTCCAGGTAATTAAGTGTGTTTTTCGATGAACTAACAGGGGAACCAAAAACGAAAAAAATTCCCACTCAAAAAAGCCCTGCTATATTTGTCAGGCGGAGAGCTTCCAGAGGCAGGGGAGACAACTTCGAAGAAAAATATGGCTCCATAATATTAGACTGAAAATGACGATCGTGGGAGCCCTCCTGCTGCTTGTAGTCATCCTATGGCTGGCGGCCTGCAAGGGCTTCAGATGCACGTAGAGGAAAGGATGGCCATCCCTCACGGGCCCTCCGCATAATGAGCGCCCACCTTCTGCCCGCTGTATTATAATTCTTCTCTAGGTGGCATTCATATTGTTTAGCTATAAAATATTGTGCATCGTATAGTAGATCAGATTCTCTCGAAGAATCATTGCTCTCCTCTTTTCAATTCCCTCTGATGTCAAAATCAAAATGTGTGAACTCCTTCTGATGGTGAAGATCTTGTTGTGAATATCAATAGTATGATAGGCTAGTGGTGAATTCTCGTCCAATTACTGTTGTTAGAATTAATCTCAATGTTGAAAATTGTATACGAATTGTTATCGTTGAGTTAATTCTGCTTAAATTGATTCATGAAAATTTATGACATTTCTCATAAATATGAACATAATTATAAATATCTATAGAGATCATATCTTAATTTAATTTTATGATGGGTTAAATTGGAAAAATATATTAGGAGATAAATCACCTCTTTTTCTATAAATAGAGGGTTATGGTCATTTCGGATCAAACATAAAGAAATTGTCAAATGACTTACTCATGAAGAAATTAGATGTTCTATGAGTGACTATTGATATATGAGACAAATACTATGACACTCTTGTCTATAAATAGAGGGTCATGGTCCTTGCCCTTTGAGTATCTCATTTCTCTTTGAGAAAGTCATTGGTTGACTCTTTTGTGTTGATCTAAAAGCGCCATGACCCTTTATATACGGACAAAACGTGATCTGTCTCTTGATGTCTTTTTTCAATTTAGCTCGTCCTAAAATTAAAATAAGACAGTCTTTACACGTATTCATAGTTACGTGCATAATTATGAAAGATGTCATAATCTTAAATTCTCAAACTTTCGTGAATCATTTTAAGTGAGATTAACTCAATAATAACCCCATAGTGTATACTTTATACATAAATATCCACATTAAGATTAATTCTCATACATACTTTTTTAGGCTAATCTTTTTTTATGCATGCAGCTTTATGAGCTGATGAAACCATGAGTTCTGGGGTGTTGGAAGGTTTGATGAACTAGGTTGGTGAGTTTTAGGTCTTGAACATGAATTTATTAAGCTATGATAATTTTTTTGTGTTAACTTATTGTTGATCTTTGAATAGGAGGAGCTTACTTCTTAGCTTCTCTCCTTCTAATCATCGTCGTCTTCTTCCTCTTCAAATCGAGAGAGAGAGAGAGAGAGAGAGAGAGAGAGAGAGAGAGAGAGAGAAAGAGAGAGAGAAAGAGCGCATGTTCCTCCATTTTTAGTGGTATTTTTCTAATTTATTTGATTATTGGGTTTCATACGACAACAAACATAGATATGCTGTTAAAAGACGATATTTTTACTTACTTTTACAGAATTATGGTCCAAGGTTGGGGGAAGGGGGGGATTGACCCTCGTAAAAATCAGGATTTTTTAATCTTTAACCCTTTGCCAGATTATTAATTGGTCATGAATCCCTGCATGGAGCTTCGAGGGAGTCTAGCCTGAGTTTAAAGATAACTGGTGGGGTTTTAGTGGACTAATTAGCCCCTCTCTCTCTACGTTCTTTTCGTCAAAGGCCAAATTATATTTTGGGAGTTAAGCAATAAACGTATATTTTACGTGAATTTTACCCGAAATGGAATGGGGTGGGAGGGGGGAATCGGGTCCGGTCCGTTCCAGCCGTGACGACCGGGTGTGACCGATCCAGCGATCCGATCCCACCCCTCGAGGATCGGCTTCCTCTTCCCCCCCCCCTCATCATCATCGCCTGAGCGGGGAAGAGATGCGTGCGCCCTCCTCGAGACCATGCTCGCCGCCGCCGACTCCCGGCGCCTCCGCCTTCTTCGCCCCTTCCGCCGCCGCCAAACGCAGACCCGCGAGCTCACCGCCGGGGAAACTGACTCCGCCTCTACCTCTCCGCCGCAGGCGGAACCATCGCCGGCGGCGGCGTCCGCGGTAGGCGAGGGAAAAGAAGGTGATCGAGCTCAACTCATCTCTGAGATCGCCGGGAAGGTCTGTAAGGCCATCAGAGGGCGACCCAGATGGGAGGAGAGTCTCCTCCAAGATCTCTCCGCCTGCTATCCTCAGTCCCTCCTCTTCCACCCCTCCTGCGTCCGGGAAGTCCTCCGCCGCCAGTCCTCGGACCCATTCCTCTCCCTCAGGTACTTCCTCTGGGCGGCCTCCTCTTCCTCATCCGCCGCCACCGCCGCCGATCCGGCGGCGTCCACCGCTGTGTTCGACGGCCTGGTGGCGGCCCGTGCGTGGGGCGCCGCCATGGCCATCATCCGCTCGACGAAATGCCGCCCCGAGAACCGGTCCCTGCGCTTCTTCCTCGATCAGCTCTGCGCCGAGAACGCCCTTGAGGAGGCTCTGGAAGCGGTGATCCTGCTGAAATCAGAGCTGGGCTTCACCCCCTCTGCACCCTTCTGGAACGCCGCCCTCGCGGGGTCTCTCAGGGCCGGGAGACCTGACCTCACCTGGCGCTTCTACGAGAAGATGACGCAGTGGGGGGTCGCCGGCGACGCCTCCACGGCGGGCTCCCTCGCTGGAGCTCTCTGCGCCGAGAAGCGGCTCTCCGAGGCACACCGCCTCCTGCGGGGGCTCGCCAGAGACGGCGTCTCGCCGGACGCCGTCTTCTTCACTGGACTGGTCGCCGGCCTCGCCGGAGAAGGAAGCTACGGCGAGATGTCGGAGGTCCTCCACCTGATGATCGCCGCCGGCCGCCCCCCGGACGTCTTCATCTACCAGGCGATCATCCACGGGCTCTGCAGGAACGGGCTGGGATCAGAAGGGCTACGCGTTTTTGAGGAGCTCAAGTTGAGAGGGTATTCCCCGGATGTGCCCACCTACACAGCCATGATCGACGGCCTCTGCAAGATGGGTCGAACGGAGGAGGCCCTCGGACTGCGGGAGGAGATGATCGGCAAGGGCCTGGTCCCCAACCGGTACACCTACAACGTCCTCGTGGACCACCACTGGAAGAAGGGCGACCCAGCTGCGGCGCTGCGGCTGCACGAGGAGATGCTCTCCTCGGGGATCTCTGAGAACACCGTCACCTGCAACACCATGATCGCCGGGTTCTGCTCACAGGGTATGACGGCGGCGGCGTTCGCCGTGTTCCAGGGGATGCCGGCGAAGGGCATCCACCGGGATGTGATTTCCTACAACACGCTGATTCAGGGCCTCGCCGGCGGCGGGAGGATCGTTGAGGCTGTGGGCATCTACAGGGAGCTTCTGGATGCCGGCCTGCGACCCGGCGGCGAGACCTGTGACCCCCTCATACGGGCGCTCTGCAACGCCGGCGATTTGACGGCGGCCGGCGATTTGCTGGAGGAGATGGTGAGGAGGAAGGTGGAGCCATTGTCCCGCTCCTTTGATTGCATCATCCGAGGCTTCTGTGACGCGGGGAACGCCGACGAGGGGATGCGGTGGCTGGCGAGGACGTTCGGCGCCGGCAACACGCCCGAGGAGGAGACGTTCAACAGGATGCTGGTCTGCCTCTGCGCCGGCGACCGGTTGGACGACGTTCTGCTGGTCTTCAACAAGATGGTGACAGTTGGGCGGCGTCGCCTCGGAGGGCCCATCTGTGGGTTACTGATTGAAACCCTCTGCGGGAAGAACCCACCTCTGGTCGATGATTGTATGAATAAAATCCTGGCCGATCCTTGATCCTTGATCCTTGATATTTTTATCAGTATGCTGTTTTTTGCATTCGTGAGGATCCTTCGGATAAGTGGTCTGGAGTTGACCGGCTGGAGATGGGATGATCCCTGGATACATGTAAGTCAACTCAACTGTGGTTTGACTCGGTCGGGGAGCTGCGGTGAAGGGTAGCTGACTTCATGGACCTAGACAATTTCTCACTAAAGACCAGAGAGTTTGGAGAGAGCGAGGGAGAGAAATGCGACAGGAGGAGGAAACCGGAGGAAGGAGAAATCAATCTCTGGCAGTCTACCTCAAGCAACAGCCGCTGTCAACAATAAAGAGACCCGTTAGATCAGAAAGCAGAGGAAGAAGAAAGTTAGATCAGGAGGTGAACGATAAAGAAATATAATCACGAGGAAACCCTAGAAAGAAGTTCCTGACCTCCACAGACTCCTCCCTGATCGCCACATAAAAACACAAAAAAAAAAAATGGACCCGTCAACGGGTTTTCATTCAGGCGGATGTGAGAACAATGAAAATCTTGGCCCCCGGTAATTAAGATTATCTGAGTCAGACCTTTTCAGTTGACTTTCTATTACTGCCATGGTTCCCTTGTTCAGTTTCTGCAGCTGCCCTTTTGCTTGCTTCATCTGCACCTCTTCCTTAGACTTAAATTTTAGACGAACGTATAAACGTTCCATGCTCTAAGGAGACTGGATTTCAAAAGAAATTATAAAATAAAAACATTCCGTGAGTGTCGGATGAGTGTGCAGGCATGCATTCCGTGATATTTGGCTGTGGATTTTGGTAAAAATAATAAAGATCGAAATTTTCAGACAGCTAAAGACCAGATTAATATAGAGAAGTGGTCCCTGGCTAAAATCCTCGATAAATTCTTCTTAATTCTTCTTGATCTGATAGAACTCACTCAGGAGAACTAGCACTCTCTTCTTCTCAGACCTTAAGAGTGGATTCTTGATTCCTCTCTCCACCATCTCCGAGGCTTCCTTCATCAAGGTCTTGGTCTCCGTGCCAATGTCATCAATGTACCATCTGTTGCTTGAGCTTCCGATGACAAGTGAAAGACAAAGCAAAAATATTTCTTTGCCTACCCAGTATCATATCGTACAGAAAACTGACTAGGAAAGCAGGTGCAGTGACGACTAGGTTACAGCAAGAGATAAACAGGGGAATTCGAGCTTCAAAGCCCAATGACAACTGCATACATTACCAATGAAAGTTTTAAAATATGTGACTTTAACGCTGCTACCGTGGGCTGGATGCGATGACTTTGAGAAACAAAATTATTAAAATGTCTTGGGCAGTAATGCTGAGCAAGAAATCATGGAAAAAAGTAGATCCAAGACTGGTACAGTGCACTTGGTTACGAGATGACGCACGAGGACACTTAAATAAAAATAGAGGCGATTCGTGCAGATGATAAAAATTAACAAAAAGTGAACCTCAGGATGAGGGTAAAGGATATTGCTGCAGACTTCAATATGTCGGTGAACGCTTATAACAAGTTCGCTGTGCTTCCAATTTGTCTTAAACAGATTTTAGATATTCTATTCGAAAGTGGAGAATTGTAGGGAATATAGTGAACAAATTGACAAGCCAAATTGATTCTTCTGCAACTTGTTTTTCACATCGAACCATAGGCGTTGTAAGGCATCTGCTCAAACAATGTTCATGATGTTTAGCATTCATGGTGCCCATGCGCGTTCTGCGAGAGAAGAGGCGACACATAGATATATGATGAATTCCTGAGAAACAGACAGCCCAATACATCTTACAATATATGATGACAGCGTCTTATGTGATCTTAATTTGAAATTATAGGGCTCCTTATGTTCACTTCTAATGGGTCTATAAAAGATCAAAGACAACCGCAAGAAAGTAGTCAAAGGAACAAAATACCTGGATCTGATCTCTTCAGAGTCGACAAAAAATCTATCGAAAGCAGAGCAAAGAATTTCAATTGATGAATTCCCATCACATTTCCCATCTACATAACATCGAAAACCAAAATATACAACAAGATTGCCAACAGAGTGATCACACTCTCAGAATATCGTTCCATACAATGAAAATGATGCTGGGGTCTACTCTTTCAATTATTATGGAATTTATAAAAATGGTGGTTGAAACAGTCTTTGGTCAAACATTTCACAGTATGTCAACGGTTCAACGTATTCCGTGTTGAAGACGCTGAATTAGCAAAAATGTTACTATGATGGTAACAAAAATCTTTTAAATGTAGTTTGTTTTGTAACAATCGGCGAAAGCAACAGAGATAACAATATGATGCTCAAAGATAAAATGAGGCATTGAGAAAATATTAAATTAGTCAATAAATTATGACGACGCATCATCAATATGGAGGCGAGGATCTATGTTTTATTTTTTCTATTAGTCACAAAAAAGCATACCATTACTTTCCAACCAACCACAGCAAGGAAACTTCGAAAGTACATTGAGGCAAGTCCTACCACAGATGCAAGTGTAGCAATCTGGAAAATTTCCGATTGTTATCCCTGTCCCTCGGCGAACAGAAAGTAGACCTCGGACTTCAAAATAGAGCATGATCCTTTATCCTATTCAGACCTTTCTGAATGTTGTATTGGGCGAGACTACGGGGGGCGTCCGGAGGCTGCTTCCCGGCGAAGTTTAGGTGTTGCTGGTCCGTCGCCATCCCTGATAACTTCCTCTAAAGCGACAGCCATCATAAATCCCCTTCAGACAAATCACAAGGAAAGGAAGAGGAGGATAGGTGGGGGAAGCAAAGCCTTCGCTGGCCTTCTCAGTCCTGTACCTTGCTCCTGACGATGCCGATGCCGTCAGTGCTCCCTTCCTCGGAGATGATAATCTTCCCCGCCGGAGACTCCACACAGATCTGCATCATCACCGAGTCCCCTCCGTTAAGCCCTGCTCCCCACCCCCACGGCGGCCTTTCCCGCCAATCTGGACTCTGGAAATTAATTTAAATAAAAATACACAGTTGACCAAAATTTAAAAAAAGCTAAAGAAATAAATGCAGTTGACCG